AGATTATTATCGAGATTTTCAAATAAGATTAATAGAATTATTGTTCATTATATTTTATCAATTATTAAATATAAGTGAACATTAACAAGAATAATTGAATCTCCTTATTAGAAAACAAATCATCGAATTATTATTATTAGAACTCAATAATATTATAAAAATCGGATAATTAATTATAAAAATCAAATTAAAGAATCAATAGATCAATACTTTGATTGATTCCGGAGTTATAGATATATTTATGAATCCCAATTTTGTAAAAGAAAATAGAATTCTTATAGAAATAAAATAGAATCTTTATTAGTTGATACTATTTGAAAGAAAGAAAACTGGAATTGATAATTGGATATATAAAGAAATCAATACTATCAAGATGATTATATCAAACAGATATATCGAATAGATCAAAATAGATTTAATATTATTAAACAAATATATAATTGTTCTTGATACCTTATAAATTAAGAAATACAATCCAAATATCGATTGAATAAAAGATATTTTAACATTCAATCGTTGTAATTACAATAACAAATGATTATATAATCCGAAGGAACAGATTTTTTGAAAGACTGGATATTGTATTATAACAATAACAGATCCTTCATTAATTAATAAAATTAATGAAAAAGAAATTTCAATATAATATAAAAGATTTATCAAACTTTTCGAAGATCTATAAAATTTGAGGACTTTATTAGAATATAAACTTTAGGATTATAAGATCAACTTCAAAAAGGAATTTGTATCCCCTATTAAGAAGTTGAGATTATATAATCCTAGTATTATATAGATATAAAAAGAATATAGGATTAAAATTGAAAAGAAAGAATGGATTAGGAAATCCAAATCTTTTTGTATATTCAATATATTATTGGTATTCAAAAAAGGCAATTTAGATAATCAATCTTGTAAAGATTATTATTAAATTAATAATAAAACAATTAGAGATATATATCTAATATCGAAAGCTTAAAAGTTCAAAGATAAATTGAATAAAGTAATAATCTATATGAAATTAGATCAAAAAAACATTTTCAATTTGATACAAATAAAAAAGGATTATAAATAAAAGACAACCTTTATATTATTATCAAGTTTATAGGAATATATAATCATATTATTTGGTTTAACCAATACACCAATTATTTATCAACAATAAAACAATAAAATATTCAAAGAATTCAATTCATTTGTAATTTGTTATTTAAATGATATTTTAATTTTCTTTCAAAGAGAGAAAGAATACAAAGGATATATATCAAAAATATTAAAGGTATTCAAAAGAATAGATTCAAGATTCAAACTATCGAAATATAAGTTTGAAGTATAGAAGATAATATTCTTAGGATATATTATTTAATTAGAATAAATGAATATAGATTCTAAAAAAACAAAGAAAATAAAAAACTAGAAATGATTCAGGAATATTAAAAATGTATAATCTATATTAGGATTTGTTAATTTCTATCGAATATTTATAAAAGATTTTTCGAAAATGATAAAACCCTTTATCGAAATAATCAAAAAAGAAATAATTTTTATATAGAATAAAAAGATGAAACGAGTTTTCTAGGAAATTAAAAATAGATTTATAAAAGAACTTATTCTTTACAATTATTATAATAATCGAAAAAGCATTATCGAAATAAACATTTTTGATACTTATATAACAAAAGTTTATTTGCAAAAAGATAATAATGGAAAATTATATTTTGTTGTTTATTATTCGAATAAAATAAATAAAATAAAGCAAAATTATAATATTTATAAAAAGGAATTTATAATTATAATAAAAATATTAAAATATTGAAAGATCTATCTTTAAAAGGTTAAATTTCTAATAATTATTTATATTGATTATATAAATCTTCGAATTTTTATTATTATTAAGATCTTGAATAATCATAGATTAATTAAATGGATTAAGGAATTAACAAGGTTTGATTTGATAATCAAATATATCAAGAGAAAAAATAATACAAAAATAAATATTTTAAATAGATTATTAGATTATAAAGATAATAAAACCTATCAAAAGATAACAATCTTGAAATCCTTATCAAATAAAGATTTTATCTTTAATCTAACAGAAATTATTATTATAAAAAATAAATCAATGAAGATTTAGAAAAATAAATTTATAAAAATATAATAAAATAAAAAAGATATCAAATAATCAAAACTATTAATAATTATTGATGGATTGTTTCGAATAAAAAATAAAATTTGATTATTAAATAATATCATTTCTAAATATATCACAGAACAATATATATTATCAATTTATAGATATCAAGGAATACAAAAAATATATCTAAAAATCAAAAGATAATATTGAAGTTCGGGATTCTATAATATAATCAATAAAATAATCATCGAATATAATATTTATATTAAAAATAAGGTTTTCTATTATATTTCTTATAAACAAATAAACATTATCGAAATACTATCTACATTATAGAAATCAATATCATAAAATTTCATAAATCTATTATCAAAATCTAAAGATCTAATAATAAAGATAATATATAATTACCTTCTTATTATAATAAATAAATTAACAAAGTATTTGATATTTATATCATACTAAACAATATTAATTATAGAAATATTAATCTTCATATTTCTAAAAGAGATTGTTATAATATATAAATTATTAAAGAAAATACTTTTTAATAAAAATAAACTTTTTATATCGAAATTTTGAATTGTTTTAGTAATATTGTTAAAAATAAAAAGAAAAATATTTATTATATTCTATTTACAAATCAATAAAGGAAACAAGAAAATAAATCAAATTATTAAAGTTTATCTTCAATATTATATAAATTATTAATAGAACAATTAAATGAAACTTTTATTTTTAATATAATTTATATATAACAATTCAATATCAAAAATGATATAAATCATTTCGAATTATATCAATTATAAATATAAACTAATTGTATATTGTAAATCAGAAATTATAGAAATAAAGAATTAATTTGTAATAATATAAACAAAAAGATTTAAAAAGATTTATAAAGAAATAATAACAAAATTGAAATTCGTTATCGAAAGAAATATATATTATTATAATCAGAAATATAATCAAGAATCAATATTAAAAGAAAAAAATAAAATCTATTTACTTCGAAAAAACATCGAAACAAAAAGATTTAATATAAAATTGGATTATAAAAAATTTGAATCATTCAAAATCAAAAAGATTAAAGGATTTTTAAATTATAAATTGATATTATCAAAAAGTATAAATATATATCCAATATTCTATATATCCTTATTCGAACTAGCATCTCCAAAAGTATTTAAAACTCCTGAAACAGAAATTATATTTACAAATTAAGATATCGAATACAAAATAAAGAAAATATTAAATTATAAATATATTAGAAATAAAATCAAATATTTAATGAAATAAAAAGATTATTTTGATTCCGAAAATATATAGGAATTTGAAAAAGAGATTAAATATTTGAAGAAGTTCTAGGAGTTTTGTTAATAGAATCTGGATTTATTCAAAAAAAAAGAGAATTCATTGTTTTTTATAAAAAGGGATCGAAAGAATCGAATTCGTTTATAAGAATTTCGTTAAGATTGATAAAATCAATTAGTAATTGATCAAATCGATTAAAGGTTAATTGATCAAATTAATCAAATTGATTAAATTGATCAAATTGATCAAAAAGTAATAAAAAAATTATAAGAATTTCTTTATTCTTTTCTTTTCGTTCTTTTTTTTTGAAAGTATCAAATTCATTAAAGTATTTAAACCTGTAATATAATATTTTATTATATCATTTTTTGAATTATATTTTTTGTTTAACAAAACAAACAATTTTAACAAAAGATTCAACGATTTCAGTATTCAATTTATCGATTTATCAATCAAAACTTTTTCAATTATATTCCTAAGGAATTTTACAATCTCAATTATCTTTTAAACGAAACTCAATATTATATAAAACAGAATTTCGTATATATTCCGAATAATATAAATAATATTTATTAAAAAGATTTTTAATATAATAACGATTTTTTTATCGATAATGAGAATAAGGAATTATTTCAATATCAATAAAATCGATAATTATAATTAAATATATATATTCCTTTTTCTTTTTTCAAATTAAATTATTGAAGAAATCAAAATTATTTATAATAAAGAAAAAAAGATAAATAGAATATAAAAAAAGAAAAAATATTAATTATTAAATGAAACCTGAAGAATTATAAACAATTAGAACAATATTTAACTAAAAAGAAAATAATATTATAATTTACAATTAAAATAAAAATATATTAAAGAACAATAATCAATATATTTATATAAATTTAAATTTTATCGAAAAACAAAACGATTCATATACAAATTTGTATAATAATTATCTTATATAATCTCCTTACTTTTAATAAACTCAGATATATAATCTAATCCTAATTATATAATAAGAAGCTCTGAAAACTTCGAAAGCTTTTAAAACTCCAAAAGCTTTTTGGAGTTTTAAAGCTTCACAAAGCTCCTTTATATTCATTAATATATAATCAAAATAATTTCATAATTTAAAAGCTTCATACTCAACTTAGTTATCAATTAATTTACCTATATTCCAATTGATCTAATAACATATTCACCTTCGAATAGATAATCAATGATTATTAGCCTTAACCTACAACTACCAACCATACGAAAACCTGAGGCAGCCGCTGCCTCGACCAGATCGTTACAATCAACTCAACATAAACTAAATATCTAAGTATCACTTATTGGATATTCATTCGCCTCAAAACTCTTCACTAACACTAACTTTTACTTTAGATTCCTTACTCTTTATAAGATTATATCCCTTTTCTTCAATTTCAACTTCTTAGATCGGGCTCATTAAAATATTTATAGATATCTAGGTAAATGAATTAATATTATAAACCCCAATCAAACACACCTAGATAGTAAGCAATTTAAAAAACCACCTTCCCGGCGTCCTGTTCGATCCTTGATATTCTATATGATATGATCTAGAACAATCATAGCTCATCACATACAAGTGAACAACCACATCTCATAATTTCGTATATAATCAAACAAGAAAACTCATTCCTGATATTGAATTGACAGCTATACATACCAAACCTTTAACAACCATCTTCACAATGAGCCTATACAATGCTCCTTACAAGCCAATAACGCTAGAAAGCACGCACTTCCTAAATCATCCTACTCAGGAATCGTTCTCTTCTTCCTTCCCTTCTGAGCCCTCTCACACAACTTTGGTATTTCCCCTTTAGTCTCCCACCCCTTTTCTCTCTGCACCTGTCCAATCTTTGGATATTTCCCACTTTGTTCAAAGAACCCTATTCACAAACCACAAATTAGTTCAATCCATACATGCCCTCCCCCCTCCAAAAAAAAAGAAAAAAGAAAAATCCTTCAAAATCAACTCACCAACCCAATGACCCAATGCCTCCGCCACACTCTTCCTCGCATCCCTCTGTTCCTTCTCCTTTAACTTCTTAAACTCCCCTTTACCAATCTTCCTCACAATCTCCGCATCAATCTCCTCATCATCAACCGGTAAAAACATTTCCTCCACTCCCCGCATGTCCGGCGTGCGATCCTCTTGAAAACAATTCGTGACAAATGCTCGACTGGCATCTACTCCTGCGAAAAATTGATAACTACCTCCTGGTCCATAGTGTCTACGTCCGGCAGAAACATCGTAGATAGTGCCATTGAGAGCGAGGTAGATGGGAAGTGAGGGGTTGGTGCCGTCATATTGAACGAGGTCAGCGTCGGTTAGGGAGGGGGGTCCATTCTATGAGATTGGAGTTAGTCGTAGTGTTCAAATCCGCGGTCACCTCCTTATATCCTCCTCCTGACACTGCACCCCTCACAACCAGCAAAACAAAATCAAAGACAATCCAAAGCCAAAGAAAAGAAAAGAAACTACCAACCCAATAAGCCCTCAAAACTTCCCCCCTAGTCCACATAGGTCTCTTCATACCCCAAAAATAACTATTCCTCGTAACCACATAGCTTAACCCACAACTAGCTATGAATATGAAAACAATTGATCTTAATAAATCTACTAATGAAAAGGGAGCTGCATCTTCATCTGCTGCTAATTTATTAAGAGATTTCTTTGTTTTCTTTTCCGCAGATGAAGTAGAAGAGGGAGAGGGTATGTTTGTGTTCGTTTTGGTAAGAGGTGCATCCGAGAGGATATCCGCGGATATTTCTTTTCTGCGTTCTCGAAGCGTGTTTGTATCTGTCATTCCGAAGAGCAATCCGAGATCTGTGTTGGATGGTACTGTGTAGTATTGTATTGGAGAAGAAAAGAATGGAAGGGATAGAAGGGAAGGGAAGGGAAGGGAATGGAATGGAAGGGAAGGGAAGGGATATAATTGATATGTGGCAGCTTCGTTGAAGGTCAATCGATATGGGGAAGTTACGGGCCTGCAATTTAGCCTCGGTCGTGCATGGCAAATGGGGTCATCGTCATTGGAACTTTTATTTACATTTAGGCTTGGGGTAGACGGGAAGAGGAGTTTGAGACTTTGAGCGGGAAAACGGGTTTATGATCTTCAATTGGTTTTTCACGCAACGCCAAATTGTCGCGATGGTGGCTGAGATTTGTCTTTAAACTTGGCATAGAGGAACTTTGGAACTTTTCCCATCGCACTCGTATTCGCACTCGCATTCATTCTGGATCTGATCTCTTATGTTGTGCTGCTCATATTTGTCCACAATTCCACAGTGATCAGCTGTAAATCACATCTGCAAAATGTATGAAGGTCCCATGGATTTGGTATCAAGAAGCAAAGGCTGAATTCGATATGCTACACCTGCCTGCCTTTCCTAACAAGCCCGAGGAAAAGTCATAATAAAAAACCCATCCGGATATCTCATGCCAAACGTCCACGTACAACACATAATCGTAATGTAGTCGATTATCTCGAAGACGAGGTCATGGCCATCGTGTATTGCCTTGATCGTTTTGTAGTTTTCGGATTATTGATTTCTTTACTCGTCGGCTTGAATAGCACGGGCTGTTGCGAAGAAAAAAATGTTGTTAGCTTTGTGTTCTCAAGAAAAGTTTCATGAATTTCGCCAGATTATTATTCCAATGGATGAATGCTGATTTGGAATTCTTGCGAATTGTTGATAAGAGGGTAATGTCGAAATGTGAAAACGTACTGTAGATATCACCGGCGTGGTGCTTGACGACAATCTTAATCTGTCCCTTCTCCTCCAATTCCTTCAAACATCTTCTGGCCAAAGATCCGTTGATCTTTAATCTATCGACCAAAACAGCGACAGTGACGAGACGGTAGGATTGAACATCTTTGGCGAGTCTGTCGGAAATGGCCTTATCGAGGATGACGGCGTGTTGAGCCTTGTCCTTGACTATATTGAGTTTTCATCAGTTCCCATTTTCCCTTTGATCGAAATTCCATTTTAGAAAATATGCGCACCCTTTCCCTTGGACCACTTCTTCTTTTGCTTCTTTGCGCCGGTGTTTGCTGGAGCCATTTTGTCGGTTTGATGTTGTCGTGAAGAAAATGGATGGTAATCTCAAGATCAATTCAATAGAGGTGGATTGATTTTTGAATTTAGGGCTTGTGTGTGCCGAGCGAAAAAAGGCGCTAATTTTGACGTATGTGTCACGTGATATTGAAATGTTAGAGCCAGGCATAGTATCTCAAACATCTTTGGCTCTTGAACATATTTAAATGAGAAGGAGGAAACAAGAGAAGCTAACTTAGTAATGAATGATGAACCATGATTCATTACAGAGTGTTCATATTTGAGTACCTAGGTAGCTTATGTTCAAGCAGCCATTCTAAAAGACGTGGGGATACACGAATGTTTAACTACCTAGTACATACTAAATGGATATCTCCTAGCCAGCGGAGCGTCATATCTCTAGAGTATCGATATATATATATGCATATGATTTTGTAACATCCTCTACCTATGTTTTACTCACACTCTAACTCATTATTTTTTGGCATCTCAAAAGGTCAAGGTAGTTCATCCAAGGACAACTACAGTCATATTCTAACTTATTTATATTCATTTAATATCTTGGAATCTATGCATGCTTATACCCAACTTCTCATGCTAAGGTTACCTTATATGCCAAATACCTTTTTGCTCCACCGGCCCATGTCTCCAAAGAGCCCCTTTTCGCAAATGCAAACGTATACCTATATTGATGCCATGATGGCCAATGCTATGTCAAAGGTGATCCTCGATCCTAAGCACTTCTCTTTACCGCTTTATTCTATAAGTTCATCTCGTCCACTTTCAGTATCCATATTTCCATCCGACATCTGCATACTCGATCTTCGACTTCCTTGATCCGTCCCTGCTGTAAGAGATACAACTGCATCTAACCAACTTTGTGAACCAGTCCTAAGAACTAGATATGGGTTGATATCCTGACTGAAATACTTTTCCTTCCTAGTCGTACTCCTCGCCCCTCCTTCAAGGGCTGACATAGCTGCTCGAGTTGTTCTCATTCTTTTGGTTTTTGGTGCCTTTGTACTTCCGCCTTGACTAAGTAGATTGCTGAGACGGACTCGATCCTTCTGTAAACGTGCATCATAAGATACTATGGATCTCACATAAGGAGCGACATCAAGTATGATGAGATTCATGGTTCGATCAAAGCACGAAGCTTCAAGATTTCCGGTGGACCAAACGTATGTCTTTTCGGCCTCTGAAATAGGATCAAAGGCTAAGCTCAAATCGCGGCGAGTTATAGCATTACTATCAGGACATGGTTGAGATCGGATGAGGTTTTGAACCTGTTTCTCTGTAGCCCCATCAAGTTCTCGATGAATTTCCCAACCATGTTCGACATGTTGACGAATTTGGAGGACTTCCCTAGCTCGAGACTTCATCCATAAAGATATATTGATACTTGTCTCGTCATAAATAGCTTGTGGTGATACATCAAGTAATTGGTTCGCAAGAGTATAATCTTCTCTGGCCTTGCTAGACAGTTTTGGGTGACTAGCATCAATGATAACCTATTTTTATTAGCAACAAGTAGAAGTGGTGTTAATTGGTAAGACTTACCTGGTTATCGGCGCCAAAACTGAAACTTGAGAAATAATCTGCAGCACTCATAGCTTCGGTAAAGTCGTCGTACATAATCAAAGCAGCTCGTTCAGTGGCCCGATCATTGACGAAATCATTGATATTTTTCGCCCAAGTGCTGATATCTAGGTTTCGCTGCCAATCCCCAACATCAATACGCCAACCATTCCAAGATTCATGTAAAGTTTCTTCTTCAATATCGATGTAAGGACGTTGACTCTCAAGAGCGTCTTGAGAGAGCCAGCCCATTCCAGTTCGGTAAGTATCCTCGCTAACGACGCGGTACTTATCACCATGCTCATCAAGATCGCATCCCAAAGGTAAACGGGGGTAAAACCACTCCATCCCAGCTTTACGGTCTCCAACTGCAAATTGGCACCAGAACTCTAGCTCCGTCAAAGAACCACGGAGGTCTGATGCTCGACTCTCATATAAAGCCTTCACTGCCTCACGGCGAATGACATGACCTTCATTGGCAGCTACGAGTAGCATATAATCCACGGCGAGATCGGTAGGCACCGCATTAAAGCGTATGATTGCGTGCAAAGACAGAGCAGCGATTGGCACCGCGGCTTCATCATTACAAGTCATGATAATGGGTCGTTTGCTTTGGGCAATTAGAAGCATAACCGTTTGCCAAAATCCTCTGTCCTCCTCATATAGAACGTCAATTTCTTCTAGCAGTATCAAGGATTGTTTTTGTTGCTTTGTTGACCCCTTTGGTGCTGTTGCGCCCTTGCTGGTATCTGGTTGGGCTGCACTTGGTTCTACGTCCTTGCCTGCAGGTTTTGGTTTCATTGGCGTCTTGGATGTAAAAAATGAATTCATGGTGCCCTGACGACCGCTCTTTAAGTCCTCAGCTACGGCATTCGACAATCGTTCTTCATCATCATTTGCATTGGTGGGTACTTTGTCGACCTTGGATCTTTGGACTAAATGATTCCTCGTCATATCTCCAACTTTGTCCATAACCTCTTTCCCACTTCTTTTAGAGTTAGGATTGATTTCAAACACTTCGAACCCAAGTTCTTTTGCAACAGCAAATACTGTGGCAGACTTGCCACATCCATGTGGCCCACTCATAACGACCGCATTGGCAAGGCGCTTGGAATCCTTGGAGCCTTTTGCAATCAAATCACCAGATCGCACGACTGTCTTCTTGACCAGACCTGAGCCTCCTAACAAGTCTCCATCTTCTGGCTCTGTGATTTCATCCATATCGTTATCTTCTTCGCCACTTGAAACTACAAAACAATCCAGCTTTTTCGATTTTCGCTTCCTCTTTCCAGGAAGCTCCCCTTTCGATGACGTGGATTTCTTTGTGATCTTATTTTCAGCAGAACCCGATTCTACTGACATTACTGTCAATTTCTGCAACCATTCTTTCAAAATCAAAGCCTCTGGTCCAGGTTGTAAGACTTCCTCCGCGCTATTAGGTGCATACTTCTGCGTCCAGGATTGATTCTCACATTCAGCCTTGTCGAATGCTGATAGTGAAGTGGCAATTAAGTTGTAAATATTTGTAAGAGTAGGGTGAACATTTGAACGTTTTATATCTCGCTCTTGAATCTCGTCATCACTCGACTCGTCATGCACTACTGGCTGCAACTTGGAGACAAGTTCTCTTCGAACCCTTCGTTGGAGATTTGGGCCTGATTCGACGTGTTTAGATGGCACACGAAGACAAGGAGAAATTGGAGCAAAATCATCAATATGAAGGTCTTGGATGCTATTGAATGTTTCCTCAATTCGTAATTCCGCTGTAAAAGTATTGATAATATCTTCATTCTTAACGATTTCAACTGCTTGATACTTCGCTCCTTTCTTGCCGCCGCGGTATTCCCCATCCAACGTGCTGGTAGAGGAAGTGTTTGAATCTTCCGCATCTCTTTCCCGGTCACCACGTACATGTACCATTCCAGACCATGGCCAAGCTGGCTCAATGGCACCAGGAAATTTTGGGGTTTTCGGAGCTGCCGTGAGGCCTCCAAAAATTGGTGGGGCCTGATTTACTTCATTTGAACGTGGTCGGCCAAAAGTGGATAGAATCTTTGACGGTGATGGTGGTCTGCCTAGGGAAGATCTTCCTTCTTCCCCTTGTTGTGCCTTCGACGGTTCCTCTACTTCTTCTTGCACAGGTGCTTTCTTTTTTGCAGTTTTCCACCATGGAACAACATCTACTCCATTTCCTTTCCTAGATGTGACTTCTTTTATATTTTTCACGTCCGCCAAAGTTGTTTCAGTGTTCGATGTGGAGATTTTAATGCCTTTTAAAATATCCTCTATTTTAGCGCCAACTACGGAAGCTGGAGTTTGTCCACCGCCATAGCCAATGACAATGATCTTTGAATTTGCCCCTTCGTCAACAGTGGATTTCTTGGCCCTCCCTTTCTTTTTTGGAAGAAAATTTATTTTGGGCGGTGACCCTATGGTACCAGTCTTCGGGTTGAATTGTAGGACTTTTCTAGGCCTATGAGTGTCATCAATTGTCCGTTTTGTGGGATCGTTCGCAGATGATTCTAAGCTCGACTTGGCTTCTTCGAAGGCTTTGACTTCAGACGCAGGCTCCTCAACCAAATCATTTTCAGGTGGTGATGAGACTTTAATGTTGAATGATAGGCCATGGGAGGAAAATGCTTCGTTCGTGGGTACTTCTGCTTTTTTTGAATTGGTGATGGTAGCCTGTTTGTGCTTCAAGGTTCGCAGATGTTTCGATGCTTTTGTTGGCGTAGTGGTCGTAGTTGTTGTGAACGGTCCTTCTATCTCCACCTCCGTTGTAGCTTCAGCTTCCGGGGAGGTAGTCTTTCGACGTTTTCTCCTACCATTATTCGGATCAACCTCTAATAAATCTGCTTGTTCTCCATTTGTAATTTCGGATGAGTGTGAAGTTCCATTGTGCTGCGTTGTGTCGTTTCCCGCAACCGATGACTTCACACTTCGCACACTTTTCCTTTGCCCTCTTTTGGGTGCCTTTTCAGTCTCTGGTTCGTCTTGAATTTGAATCGACTGTGCCTGTGTCGGTTCTGAGATTTGATCAGTTTTGATTTTTTTAGTGCTATAATTTAAAGCTTCCAATGAGTTCTTAGAACAAAACATACTCAATGGCTTCTGAAAGAAAGGGTGTACAGTCTTTTCCTGTCCCTCCTCTTGAAGAGGGTTCATGACTTTTGAGACCAGGACCGCCATTCGCATGCGACAAAGTTTAAAATGGTTAAACGCGAACCTAACGCGTTTCTCAAGACTTTAGATCTCAAATAATCATTTCAAAACGAAAGGATAACAATCATAAACTTGATAGGAAGCTTGAAAATAGCATTAGAATATATAAAAAAAAAGTTCAGAATATAGAGAAAAAGGCATCCAAAGTAAAAAGCAATCCGTAGTGAATTTCCGGTATCAGAGGTTGAAGTTGGGAACCGCGTTCTGATGAATTTACACTTTAACTATTTTTCATAAATAATTAGTGCTCATAAACCTTGTCATGAAATTTATGCATGGCAGAATTGATTCACCGCTTAGAGAAATTTCAAAATTTTGATTCTTTTACTTTGCGCAAATCTTCAATCCAGTGTCGATACGTTGGAATATTTTGTGTTATAATTCCAATAGTCAAGATGTCGTCCAGAATATCTTTGCAGCAGCCATATGTGGTCGCCACTTTACCGCGATCGAAACAGGCACAGTATGTGGTTGGAGAAGTTTATGGCGGTTCACCTGGATCAAAAAAAAGAAAGAGGTCAGAACTGGCTGTTGGAATTCATGGAGAAGGTGTGAACTTATACGAAGTAAGATCATGCAGAGATCTCTTGCATATCGTCAAATATTAATGGCTTCTTAGGTATCATCTTCAAAACTACTTACTTCTTACGCTCTACCTCCTGATACTTCATTTTCTTGTCCGCCATACTCCTACAGGTCGAAAACTACAAAAATGAAAAACGAGCGAAGAACCTATGTTTCGACATCTGGCTCCGAGGACCAAGTCACGCTGTTCCATGATACTACGGAAGGGGCTAGCACAACCCAATCGCCAACAGTCACACACAAGATTAGTCAATCGAAAGCGCCCGTGGTGCATTTGGGTGCCCTAGCCTCCTCGGGGTCAAATACGGTCAAAAAGTCGGATATATTGATTGTGAAGAAGGACGGCGAGATTCAGTGCTTAGACGGCGAGAGCCTTCTATTATTATGGTCTTCGCCTGCCACTGCTCTCGGCCGAGCTTCATCAATGTCAATGACCAACATCGAGGTGGAATATGCGCACATCACAAATGCTTACTCTGCCGGTCAAGGAATCTTGAAGGGTCGCCAAGATGTTTTTTCATTCTTTCCACAAGAGATAACAGAGGATGGCTTCAATCCAGACATAATAATTGTAGTCACGAAGTCAGATGTGGAGGAGGCTGGAGAGAGCGTGAGAACATTACATATTGTAACATTACCAAGAAAGGCGACTACACATTTGAATGGCAAAATACATTCAGTAGAGTCTCTTGTGGACGCACCTCTACCGATTCAAAAGGCTCCCAAGAAGAAAGGAACGGCCGGGAAAGCTTCGTTTGGAATCAACGTCTCTGCCGGTATTTTGCAAATACTCGAAGCTGAGGTGTTGACCACATTGGATCTACATGATGCATTGCCAAAGATCCAATCCGAGATTAATACTCCTGGTACAGGATCATTTCTTCGCCTTTCAAGTACTTCCATTATTATGTCAACCCAACAGGCTATTAGTATTCTCAACCAAAAATATGAATCTGTATTGGCTACGATCAAGCTGGATGATGAAACCAACAAAGAATCACTTAAGCGAAAGCGAGACTCTGATGATAAGCAGAGGCCACGATTAGATATTCCTGCTCAATTCATATCCTACTATCCTAAGCTTGGAACAGCTCTTGCTATCTCAGACAATGAACTCATTGCCATTCAGGTTGATTATCAACCTGGTCAAGGATCGAAATCCCGAGCTTTTGGACTTTTAATTGACTCACTTGGCTGTTCAGATCCACAAGTTGTACGCTCCAAACCAGGAAAGGAGCCATCCCATGGAAAATGGCTTTTCGTGGATCATTATCTTCCAGGATCGATGGGTATGAAAGAGGACACGTGGATAAACGTGACGAGGGAGCCTGAGAGATGTGTCAAAAATGGAGATACCTCAGGGTTCGAGAAGTCTTTGGGCAACAAGTTCGATCAAGAATGGAGTACCGAATCATCTGAAAATCCTGCAGATAAAGTTGCAAAAATAGAACCGTCCGAAGTCGATCGCAGATGGATATTATACGCACTTAGTAAGATTTTCAACTGGTCTCAGAACCTTGAAGGAATTTTTGAGCTTTCTATTGTTTTCTATCCTCCGAGACTTTTCAGATGGTTGCTTCAAACAGGAAACATGACGATTCTCAACATCGAGTCTGCATTGAGACAGGAAATACGGGCCTCACTTTCCGGTCCAATACCGGCTGGTCAACTTGTCAATGCTATTGTGAAGCTGGATAGGGAAATGGAGCTGTTGCTTCAGCTTGTTTCCTCAAATTTGCTTGGAGCAGCCGAACTTCTTCATGCGATTCGAAAGTTAATGGAAACTATGGATTTGTTTGAAAGCGGGGATTCTTCAAGTCCAAAGCAAGCATTGTTGACAAATGGAGAGGATATAACCTTGGAAAATGGTAATGCTGAAGAGGAAGTGCAAAGGCTTGAAGCGGAGGCCGAAGATGATCTACAACTTGCCGAATTCCAGTTAGGAGAAGGTTCTGGTGTCAGAGGTGAAGCGTTGAATGTGGCACTTTCGAAACTCTATACGTGCCCAGATAACAGCATCACGGAAGCTCTACAATCAACCTTTACAAGTCAGGAGACGGTTTCACTAATCTATATTTTGAGAGTCGAATTGGCTAAAGGTGGATGGACTGGTCGATACCTTGATATCTTGGAATTAGATGACGACGAAGTTGAGGCTCCTGATAACTCTATCATACTCATTTCCAGCCTACTCAACAATTGCGTTGATGCTCTTGCCGCTGGTGGGTGGCTAACTGGAAATGCTAGACTGATCAATGGTGATCAATCCGAGTCGGAAGCATTTATTGGTACGTTAAAGATGGAAGTTAGTGCCGCCTTAGAAGGTATTGAGACGGCCATTTACTTGAAGGGCCTCACATCTGAGATGGTCCGTTACGCCGATTCCGTGCTTAAGGGCCTTGGACATGGAGATACAGGACGCATGGCCAAATCGATATTGACACTTCCTTCAGGAGAGAAAGATGTATCAATATTACCAATTGGTCTAAAAGCTGAGAAACAAATTTCACGCCTTCGTGTCGGTGCTGGAGGGGAAATTCAGAAGAGAAGCAAGAGAGATATTGGTCGACTCTTGAGCAAACAGGTCGGGAAATATACCCGAGAGAGAATTGTCTTGTGATAAACTTTACTATTTAATAATTGGTCGGAAGGAATACAAAAATCAAAGTTCATGTTCATATTTTTCGGAGTTGCCCACTAGCCACTACGTGTCACCCGTAAGAGTTATGCACAGCCAAAGAACGTTTCACAAACTTGTTCAACGTCATTTAGCGATCCTATAACAATCTCCCACTGATCGCCCTCGGTTTCCCTTGGATATTGATGCACAGACTTATACTCGGTGGGTATGTCGACACGGGTTTCCGCATCGACGACTGCGCCACTGAGCAGTTCATTATCATATACGATTTCTATGGAAAAGTTGTCTAATTCGGCAATACGGGCACTAGACAGCCCTGTTCATACCCAAGGATTCTCCACATTTTTCTTGAGATTTATCAGCCGTTCTTCTGATTCGTTTGATTTGTCTTAACTCTTTTTATTAGGTCCATATTGTATACTTTAAATCGCTACCTATTTGTTCAGCTCAGCCTCTATCAGTCCTTTACTAGTTTGTTCTCTTGTACTTCTAATGTTTTAAGTGAATTTGTATAAATTATTTGAGAACAGGTCGACTGAACTTCTTTTACTTTTACTCAGCATTTGGGCCTCATCGTGGGGGCTACTGCGGGGTAACATATACACGAAGTGGTCACGTTGGGGCACCAAAATCCACTTCACTGCAGCAGACATACAACACATCGCATATTTCAATTTGCATTGCTACGTTGACATTTCATGATGAGATTATAGTCAACGTCTTTACCTTCATTTCGAAATCTGAATTCATACATTGAACCTTCAAGATGAGTTTTGGTGAATCTCCTTCAGATATCATAACTGTGGTAGCTTTTTGCGGCGAATTATACCGAAAATGTCGAGCAGCAGGTGGTGAATATGATGAAACAACTCGAGAAGTTCGTGGTTTGCATACCGTTCTTAAACATCTAAAATCAGAAGTCAAGGATGGGGATTCTCCACTCAATAAGGATCGGAGTATATGGGTAAGACAATTGGCGCCAATTATTTCGGATTGCAATTTTACCCTGAAGCAGCTTAATGGGTTGTTGTTCGAATATGGAAGACTATTTGGAGGGAGTGCGGTTGAAAATGGTAGTAGTAAGATTTCGTGGGATGGAAAGAGGTTTGGAAATAATGAGATGGATAGATTGGGTGCGATTAGAGTGAAGATGACATCGCATAAAACGAGTTTAACAGTATTTCTTGATACTATACAATTACAAGAACAAGGGAATAAGGAAATGGGTTTAAGTGTACAGCGGGAACAGCTAGATATCATTTTGGACAAGGTAGACCATATTGCAGCGAGGATGAGCCACAAGGGTGGGACTTTCATGACCAGTTATGAGGATGGTGATAAGGAAATTTGGAAACAGTTCAGGAGGAGACTGATTGCGGAGGGATTTTCTAGTGATGTTTTGCGAAAACACAAGGTATTTGGATATTCTAATTCTGATAGAACAATGACTTTTCTACTAACAATAAGTAGGATGTCCTAAGAGCATATATACGGCAGATGGAGCAAGACGGCCTACTTGCCAGAGAACCACCTACGCTCCAAATTCCCAGCCCAATGAGCCCCCATCCTGAACGTTGGATTAACTCAACACATTCCAAATCATCTCATGCACAACCACTTTCTTTCGATTCTATTGGTAGGGATGACAGTGGGGTAAAAGAAATGATACAGCGAGAAGAAAATGTGAGATTCCCAACATCGATGAAATTGGAAAGACTAAAGCCAGAGCCTCATTTGGATACATGGTTCGAAGGACAACCGGAGCGACAACCTTCTTCTATTCGTGGCCAATTATCTCCATCCTTAACTCCAAAAATCTCAGCCGCACAACTTATAAAGCCAGAACGGCAATTGGACACAAGCGGCTCAGAATATGACACGTCATCTATCCATCGACATCAGACGAAGTCTCCGCCCAATATAATTCAAACAAGTGACCTGTCCCTCTTTCCTGTCATCGAAACCCCACAACTTTTTCCTCCACCATCTCCATCAACTCATCACTTACAGTCTCACCCCAACGAAGCAACACGATCTATGGCTCTTAAACCAAGTCGACGTTCTGACAGGGCAACATCAAAACGCACACGTCGCGTACGATTTGATCTTTCAGACAGTCAACCATCACCTAAAATGAATACACCTGTCACTGTAACTAGTCCGAGACATGATTCCACAGTACCTGTGGCGAGATTGGGCCCTGATTCAAATGGAAAAGAGATCTCGCCTGGTGCAATATGGACAAGGGTTAAGAGATCTTTGATATCGCTTGAAGTTCTGGATCAAGATGGAAGACGGTATGAAGTGTAAGTTATTACTCATATCTGCTATTTTCATAATCATAAATTAAACGGGTATTGACAAGATATCACAGTCGTCCAGAATCTGTGGCGATATTGGGTTTCCTTACCAAAGAGGAAATTCAGAACTATGCCTCCCGCTCCCACACCTTGAGAGAAGAACGATGGCGTAAACATCATCTAGTAGCAATGGGTCCTGAAGAAGGATCTACAAAGGAGAAACTTCCGGAAACAAGACGAAGAAGAAACTCATCGTGTTCTGACAGTTCATCCGGTGGGAATAGTACCTCGGCTTCAGACTCAGACTCAGGCTGGAATTCAGACTCAGAGTCAGAGTCAGACTCGAACTCTGACTCCGAATCCGACTCAAACTCAGACTCGGACTCGGATGATGATAGCCACCGAAAGAAGGGAAAAGGCCAAGACAAAAAAGAAAGCAATGTGGATAAAAGGGAAGACCGACGTGAAAGAGGAGAAAGAGGAGATGAACAAGACAGAGCAGAACGACGAGAATGCGTGGAGAGAAACGATCGTGATCGCGAACCCTCTTATACCTTCTCTCCTACCCCTGCACCATACCTGTCTTCTCCCAAAAATCAATCCCAGCCTTTCGCAGCCTCACCAAACACATACAAGCCGTCTTCTCCCAGAAATGAACCCCAGTCTTTCTCAGCCTTACCAAACACATACAAGCCGTCTTCTCCCAGAAATGAACCCCAGTCTTTCTCAGCCTTACCAAACACATACAAGCCGTCTTCTCCCAGAAATGAACCCCAGTCTTTCTCAGCCTTACCAAACACATACAAGCCGTCTTCTCCCAGAAATGAACCCCAGTCTTTCTCAGCCTTACCAAACACATACAAGCCGTCTTCTCCCAGAAATGAACCCCAGTCTTTCTCAACCTTACCAAACACATACCAGTCATCCCCCCGAAATGAACGCCAGTCGTTCTCAACCTTACCAAGCACAGTCCCAATCGACACACCTAGTCTGTCAAATATCCCCGGCTTAGATCAATCACTACATGGATACGCACCACCTCCAATGCCATTTCTCCCACAGCAGGCTTTTTTACAACCATCCATTTACCCAATACGGACTCAAGAGGCATACGCCCCAGGACCTTCATATCCCGATCCATTCCTCTCTCCCCACCTCTACGCCGATCCCCCGCACTCGCCCTTCTCATCCATACCTACATATCCTCCCTCCCAATCAACATCTTTTCGTCTCTTTCCTTCTTCCTCTAATAAAGCCTACGATACAGAACACATCCCTCGTCGCCGTAGCCATCGTCGTTCACATTCTCACTCTCATCACTCCCGAGATCGCGATTATAATTCTCATAGATCGAGAAATAGGGATAGGGATAGGGATAGGGATAGACATAGACATAGAGATGCAGATGGTTTCGGAAGAACACCTTTGACAGGTAGTGGGTGGCGGGATCATCTTGCTGTGGCGGGACTTGGGGGCGCGGCGTTGGGATTTTTGACTTTGTTGAGTGAGACTGCTGATGGACTTTAGAGGTGGTGGTCAGGGGTTGTTGGTAGAGTGGCGTTTTATTTGGAGGGAGGGAAGTGGAGGGAGATGGGTGATGTGATAGTATAGTATGAAGAAATTGGTGAAATGAAAGGATGAAGACAAGACATGACATGAACGAATTTATGACTGAAAGGTTAGGCACGGCACTGTATGTTTTGGTATGGAAACGGAGTCTAAGGAATGGTTTTGACGGTTTGACGATTGACGATTGATGATTAAACGATAACTTCAAAAACTAGGAGTTGTATCAACATCATCATCGAGTATACCGTTTCATTTATGGTTTTTATCTTCTTATCTAGGGTTATTTCCTATTTCAGTAACAAAATATCATCGATACCGCTATGACACCGATATCATGCATATATACACACTCTTTTTATTTTCAAAATTTATCTTGGATATTCAATATTTATCGTCCTGGTTTCTAATAAATGAGCTTTGTTGTTTCTTTTGTGGTGACTGTGTCTTGAATGATCTTGTATATGTATATATCGATTATATCTACCTACTACCTACCTAATATTCTATACCCTTAATCATGAAGTGAAAAATAGACGAAAATACAAATCAAGACTTACCTAGGTAGATGAATAACCTTAACTGAATGAACAACTAGACATATCCGTATATCAAAATCAAAATTACAATCTTCTACCGGTCTTATTACTGTATTATGCAAGAATATCGATTATTTTCTTTACACGGTCACAGGAGAAAGAAAACCTTACAAAATAACATCATTTTTTTCAATCTATAGAATATCCCCCCGGAAAATTTCCACCTACATTCATTCTAGTAAAAGGTAACTCAACAACGAGTAAACATTAATGTTAGTATTAATCGAACATTTATTCTGTGTAACATTTAACCTTAGCTTTCACACTTTTAAATATAAGATCTTACAAATGTGACGGCTTCTCATGCATGAACATATAATTAGCCGAGAGGAGGGTATATCCTCGCCTTTTATGGAAATACATAAATACTAGGTAGGTAGGTAGGTAGGTAGGTATGTGCTAAGGTTAGGTGGACGGACGAATCGCTCAGGGATTTTCCTAGATTTTGCATTTGTGTGGATTGTGGATGATAGATAGATGTTAGAGATCTTCGGGAATCCAGGACCTAGGATCTAGGATCTGGATGTTGATATGGGTTTTGGAGAACTTTTTAAGAAGAAAAAAGGGAATACTTATTAGTAGGTCGAAGGAGATAACGGATTGAACTTTTGCTCAGAAGTGTGAGCTGACTTGGCCATGGTTCCAGTATATTTATTGGAAAACCCCTCTACGCCGAGTCTACGGAAATCTCGGAGCGTATAACTGGTGAACCTTAAGCTTACATGGTTAATGGATGGACAATAAATGATAGATAATAATTCTACTCCGTACCAGGGTTCGGGACACCAGTAGAATGAAGATGGATTTGTTAAATTAATAAGATTACATTTCTTATGTATTAATTAGCTATTTATGTATGTATACAGTATGTGTTGTACAAATAAATTATATTGGGATCTCTATAGATAAGTATGTATGTAGCTATCGGATTTTATAATGGGTTTGAGGGCTCGTAGTTTGTTTACTGGGGATTGATTCCTGTAGAGATATATAAGTAAAGCGTGGTCTATGCGAAGGGATTTCCTTATTTACTTTTTGCTGTATTTAATTTATTTGTGTATCTGTTTACTTGTTTATTGATTGAGATTTTATATCACGAAGGAATTTGCAGTGGTGATAGATAACTTAGCTTTACTGGAAGCGAAGGAGACGGTTTTTGCGTGGTGAAGTGCAAGACTGATATCAAGAATTCTTGTATTATTTCTTCTATTGGAGATTTGGAAGCATTAGTGTTTTTAGACTCTTGGAATCGCTTTAGCACTGGGCGAATTCACACTTTCAGGCTTGCGGTATAAGGGGAGATATTGAGGGAGGGTTGAGTCAGGTTAAGGCGAGAAATTGGCATTTCCTACAAAAAAGAGAACTGTTATCAAGGATCATCGATTCCTATATATTACTCTAAGAAGACAGTAAAAGCTCCCGAACAGCTCAAAACCTGAAGTATTACCGACCACGAGTCACAAAGCAGTAAATATCATCATTCCAGATACTGGAGTCGAAAAGAAATGTGTATCTACACCCTAACCCACCACACCTGTCCTCATACTTCTCTCCTACTACAAGAAAAATGTTCAGAATCATTGAGAAGGAGGAAGAGTGTAGGAGGTGGCAATTATGAGAGTCCGCCTTGTAAATTTGATAGGGGTCGATTTGAGAGGTGGAAGAGGGAGGGAGAAAGCAGCGAGCAAATGGTTGAAAAGGAGAAAAGAATTGGACGTGGAAAGGATATGAGAACGCCTGAAAGGGAGGTGGAGGACAAGAATGATGTTGAGGATGAAAGGAAGAGAGGAAGAAGCAAAATGGGAATTCAAACTGAGTTTAGGGAGAATTGGGCGGAGGGTATGTGTGTTAATTGTAAAGCGGAGAGGGAAGGAAATATGGTGGTGAGTTCCTTTTTTTTTCATTCTTGGGAGACAGAGGTGAAAGGAAATGGATGAAGTGTTAAATTTGAGAAAATCCATTTCTCATCAGAAGACAAATTATCACAAATAACTCCCTCATTACTTATACAACCCTAAAACGAAAGGAATTAATCAACTAACCTCAAAAATAGCTAGCAAGAAAAACTTCATTCACGAAATTAGTTAGGAATCTTCTGAGTATAGATCGAGAGTTGCAGATGCAGAGATTATTAAGTGTGCAGTCTGCAAATGGAAGGCAGAATTTGGGTGTCTCACCTGTTTCTGTGGTTGGGAGAAGGAGAGAACGGGCGAGATGATTGAGTTTTGATCGGATGGATATGTGGAGATGCAGCTTGAAAGTTCGACGGTTCGAATGGTAGATTTGGTCGCTGTGGTTTCTTCGAATTTGATATCAGATGTAGGTATCAGTCAGTTGAGGATGAGAAACTGCGGCTTTTTGTTTCAGGCAGTCTTGACTATTCACTATCGGTTGGACTATGAGAGAGGAGAGGCATGATGTTGTTATTGAGGGAGGTACGGATGGATGATTGAACGTACGATATGCAAAGCTGGGGAAAACTAATGACGATGTAATGAATGGACCGGACTGGGGATTAATTCATGATATAGACTCGGCGGCGGAAAGTGGGAATGCCTTCAGATAACTGTAATGCTGATTGAAGAATAACAAGTATGAGATACGATAGATTACTATATATTATGATTTCAAATCATAGATACATAAGACTGATTCATAATGAGTTAAGCTCTAAATGAAACAATATTTTCGGCTCAATTTACCTACTTCCCTATATATTAAGTATGTGATGTTTGTTCATTGGATATATATCATGGCCTTGTTTTCTAAAAGAAATTATTCGTTCAGAGATATCTACATATGTTTATACAATAAAAATTCGATAGGGGTGTATAATCTCGCGATTTCTTGCTTGAGTTTCTCCTTTTCTTCATTTACTTTTGTCGAGTTCAAATTAAATTCTTTACTTATTGTCGAAAAAGTCATATCTCTACTCATTTACACCACAATAACATTCAGACCTTCATTTAAAAAGTATCTTGCATTAAAACTAAATGTCACCTCACTAACTAGATAATTTAAATAGTAAAAAATGGTAAAAATCTCGCATGTAATATGTTGATTTCAAATCCCATCCTATCCTGTCCTTTCCATTACCTGCCCGTGTCGTGATGTCGTTATCGTGAGCTGATTAATGATAAATACTCTTCCTGTTCATTTGACCAGTATCATGAATTTCCTCTGTGGACTTGCCTCCCACTTACCTAGTATCAATGCCTGAAAGTTCCCTTTTCCGGATATCCTTTCCATGATGTCTAATCCAAAGCACAAGCAAACTTATTCTAGGAGACCCTCGTACCCTCGCACGAGAAAAGGAAAGTTCACTCCCGATCTATTTTGATCGAAAGTGTTCGAATGTCCCGGTAATTCATCGACCCGGGACACTTCATACGTATCTCCTAATGCCAGCACCAGCACCAGTAAAATGTAGTACTAATTCCATTCGCGCGCCAAAAACAAAAGAAATGTTCATCATAGCGAGTGTGTAAAATCGTGAGTCAAACATAGCATCACTGACTCACACCCCATCCCTAGCCATCCTTCTTCCTCTCAAACACCAAGACATTCCTCTCCTCACCCCCTATCCAGCACCCCTTTCCCCTTAACATCCTCTCAATTCTTATCCTCACTACAAACAAATCAAACCCATCCCCACACCCTTTCATGTCTCGTCCCCAAAATCCTCGAAATCTGCATTTCTCCCAATCTCCTCCTCGCCCCTTGCAACCTCATCCTAACAGCCTTTCTCAAACCCCTAAAAAACACCCTAATTTGAAAATAATTCACAGTTCCTTTCTTTCTCTGCACCGCTAATTTAGCTTTCTTCGTCTTTGCTTTAACCTTCCTAAGTGTTTTTCTATTTTTCTTCTCTTTAGCTTTTTCCTCCAATTTTTCCTTTTTTTCTCGCTTGCGGAGCGCGGAATTTAGTTTGCGGGCTTCGAGTTTCTTCCTGCGGCGGCTCTGGAAGGAGGTGAGTTTTTGGGTGAGGTGCGGGATAGGGTTTTCTATAGAAGGTGGATTGGGATGTGGTGGATAGGGGTCGCTGGTTTTAGAGATGTCGTAGACGATGCCGCCGTAGATTCCTTCTCGGACTAGGTGTTCGGTTAATGCGATACTTTCTTGGCTTAGAGTGCTGAGGCGAGGATTGGGCGAGGGAATAGCTGGTAGATTGGCATTGAGGCGTGGATTAGGTTTGAGAGATGGATTAGCTTTAAGGGGCTGACTGGCATCGATGAATGGACTAGCTTTAAGGAATGGAGGAGCTTTTAGCGACGGGCTAGCTATATGTGAAGTTATGCTAGAAGCCTGTGTCGAAATGGTGGTGTTGCTACTATGCGAGTATGTGCCCTGAGTAGCGCTACTGGGATTGGTACTGACTGTATTGGAGCGGTAAAGGCAGGTTTTTGGGGTATTTGGTGGTGAGGGAATGCTGGGAACGTGCGAAATTGTGAGAGGTATGTTAGCGCTATTGTGAGGAGAGGATTTAGGGGTGCAGGTAGAGTATATGGATGATTTTGCTGCAGCTGGTTGTTGATTGGAGAGTGAGGAAGGCGAGATGTTCGGGTCGAAATTGGAATTTCTAGTGGGGGTCGCCGGGGTCACGGAGGGGATTTGAGGTGGTGAAGAGATTGGTGATGGAGTTGAGAAGATTTTGGGGAGGTCCAGAGTATATGATGGAAGCTTTATTGGACGTTCCGGGATAGTTGGAGATATAATGGCTGTTGCCGTTGGTACGGGAGAAGTGATACTGTCCGGCGGGGATGTTGTAATCGCTGTCGGCGGTACGAAAGAAGTAATATCGACCACAATTGGAGAATTACTTTCGTCAGAACCGTAATCTTTAGCTGGTGGAGTACCGATACGAGGTATTTCGTTCAAGCATAGTTGACTGATGTGACGGTATGGACGATCCATTGGTGGTGGTGAGTGGACTGGACGAATTCTTGGAGATGGTGATCGCCTATTGACTGGCGTGAAAGGTCTTCTTGGAATTGTGTTTTCGTTCTCGGTAGCTGGGAAGTATATTGGAGCGGCCTTTCTCCGACGAGAGTCTTGGCGATTTAAGGTCGGTGAGTCGCCTAGCTTTCTGGAGGTATTCGCAGATGGATGTCTTGAAATTTTCCTGGTCGGTATCGTATCAGATCTCAATCTGCCAAGTTGTTGATCTCCTACTGGACTTCCAATTCGTCCCGGCTCTGAAGCCAGTCTCAGATCTTTTTTGACAAACTCTTCCTCATATCCATTTCCAAGTCCATTCTTAATATCTCGGTACAGATAACTAGGCTGGACTTGTGGCTTCATCCTCAAAGGTCGAACTCCAGCTACTCTATCAGAGCTTGTGTATTTCATTATCGCCGCCTCGAGATGTACTGGCATCGTACCAGCAGCTTTGCCATTCTTCTCTTTGGCTCTATTTGCCGCCGCATACACACCGACAAATTGCGGATTAACGCTCGGCCTCGAACCTCCTTCCATGTCAACCTTGGGTTTCTTGATGTATCTGTCGTACTGAGCGTCATATATTAGGTTGGAAAATCGAGAAGACAATTGAACTCTATGAAGTCTTTTTATTGCGGGGCTTGCTGAGATGGAGTGAATATTAACCGCGTCTATTCCGCGACAATCACTTGATTTGATTCCATTGATATTAGTGATTGATGTCTCCGCTTCGTTATCGCGGATTGAACCAAGCGGGTCGATTGAACAGGAGTCGATGTTTGTTGAGGATGATGGATATTCAAGATCTTGAATCATTTGTGACATTGGAGATAACCGAGGGCCTGTAGGAAGCAGGAGTCCAAATGACGTGATTCCATTGCTTGACAGCATAGCTGAAGGTAGTAAGGAAGTAATTGAGAGGGCCTGTTCATCTTCACACTCATCAGTATTATACCCGACACCCATCTGTACTGGTGCCGATGCTCCGGCATTTTTCCATTTTTCTTGAATAAACTCGATGGACTCAGTGGATTCATCGATCGGGGGTAATGGTTGAATATCATATTTGGCGGGCTTTCTGTAAGACTTGGGGCGGCTTATAAATTGACAAGGAGATGATGCGTCCTCAGTTGATTCCCCATCCAAATTCATGAATTTCAAGGTAAAGGCATAGAAGGTTTGGCATTCCAGATAGAACCTTGGCTCATGCTCGATAGATACAGAGTACAGACGATTCAAAGCTGGGAACTGTTCTTCTGGGAGCAAATTATGATGTCTGATTACATTGCAGAAGAAGGATTCATCGTCGAAATAGAGCGGATTGGAGATTGGCCGAACTCTCCTCTTGGGTTGCGTTTGTGGGATTAAATCAGACTTTCCCATTTCAGTTGACTTATTAGAAATCTATCCCCTAGAGGTGAGGGTAGAGATGGTAGATCTTGTGAGTCAAGGAGCTGCCTTAGTAGTTGCTTGTGTGGATTTCGTGGCTCTGTACTCAAAGAAGTTAGGTATCAACGTTTCCATCAAGGTGGTAAGGTACTTACAGAGTAGCTGAAGTAGTTCAAGTCGCACCGCTCATGTTGTAAGTTAAGCGCTGAATTTGGAATAAAGTAATCGAGGGACAAAAGGATGGTTTTACTCTCATGCCTCCATACTCCGTAGTTACGAAGGCAAATGATGCAACCCAGCACCTGACCGTCTCAACTGTGAATCACCTCACACAAGTAATTCACCATAACTATCGCATCATCTTCTGAGAATGAGATGAAGGCCGATACCGCAGCTAAAGCTGTATAGAGAAAAAATAAAATGAGACATGGCACAAAAATCGAGAATAATTGGAGATTATGATAGAATGGCCCACATAGAAAGGATTCAGTTTTGAGGTTGAAAGTGGTAAAGAAATCACAAAGGAGAAAGGGGAAGCGAGGTGATCTGTGTCATTTAGATATTGTTCTCGAATCCAGCGCCAATTATTAAAGGCTGAAGTGAAACCAATCTAGATGTGTATTTGTCTTTTGAAAATTTTCACCACCAGTATATCTGCATATCTCCGATCAAACTAAACTCGAAATTGCGGCATGCCAGTGTTTTAACTTTTGTTTACTCCTCCTTTCAAATCAATGCCTCATACTTTTTGGCACAAGCGTCAACCTTGCTCAACAACACAGCTTTTCTATCATCATCGCACCAACTTCCTTCAATTGCGCTGGTTGCAATATATTTCCATTCCTTTAAATTCAAGCCAAATGCTTCTTGAACGGCAAGATAATTATCCAAAATGTAACCACCAAAGTAAGCTGGGTCGTCACTGTTGATGCTGAATTTAATTCCTGCATCCAAGAACTTTCGAATTGGCAATTGTCCAACATTCTCAACACACCTCAAGCGAACGTTGCTGAGTGGGCAAACCGTCAACATTGTCCCCTGCTCCGCTACTCGCTTTAACAAATTTTCATCTTCAGCCAACCTAATTCCATGATCAATTCTTTCAACTTTGCAGATGTCGAGTGCTCTGGAAATGTAAGAAGTGTCACCTTCTTCACCAGCATGAGCGGTTCGATGAATCCCTTTGCTTTCTGCAGATTCATAAATCTCTCTGAAAATTTCTGGTGGGAACCCAACCTCACTGCTATCAAGGCCAATAGCAGCCACAGTCCCATTTGAAAAGTGACCCAACGAGACTGCTTCCTGATATGTAGCTTTTGCATTCTCAGCCGACAAGTGTCGCAAAAAGCATAGAATGAGTTTTGAGGTGATACCAAAATCCTTCTCAGCGCGTCTTAGTCCAGCCGAAAGACCCTCAACAACAGTGTTGTATGCAATTCCACGTTCAGTGTGTGCTTGTGGATCGAAGAAAATTTCAGCATGGTGAACACCGTCGCGATTTGCTTTCGTGAGATATTCGTAGGCCAAGCTTTCATAGTCCGCAGGGTTTATTAACACTGACATGCCAATGTAATAGTAATGGAGGAAATCGTTGAGAGAAGTAAACCGTTCGTAGCGAGATTCGAGTTCTTGGGGAGATTTGAAAGAGGCATCAGTCGCAGAGTCTGGAAGGGCGATGTTGTTTGTTTTTGCCAATTCGAACAGCAGAGCTGGAGACAGAGACCCCTCGATATGAATGTGATGCTCACATTTTGGGAGCTCCTTGAGGAACTGCTTCATATTTTCACCACACATTTTGAAATATTGTATTGACAAGATTTGCTGTGAGGAAGGACTCGAGATTGCAAAGTATATGTATTAGGTGTGCTTCGATTAACCCTGTTCGAGCTGCAATAATCTGTTTGTAGTCTTGGGAAATACCTGTCAAAACCCGTTGCTCTTAAAAGGAAAAGATGTCAATAGTAACTGCTTGATCCTTCTATCGTAGAATAAAGAGTGAATATCAACCTTGATGGAGAGTAATGGTTACGATTCACAAAAATCACCTCCTGAGTAGTACATTTAGTGGGAAAGAGAAATCTCGGACCTACAGCTACTAATATCTGTCAGGTGTTTGAGTATAGATATAAAAGTTATAGTACGATACTGCTTTACCACTGGTTACCTACCTTTGTGCTATTTTCATGCTTTAGGCTTGTAATGTCAAAGAATTGACAGCACGAACATATGGTCTAATCACGAAGATTGAAGATGTATGGTAATAGCTATTGAAGTTTTACTGAAAAGGTGGTGATGACCGATAAATGGCAGAAAGCTTTCACCCTATTTTTGCGGGCGGTCAAGCAAAAAACCCGACACAATTATTATTCTAGCCAATCCGCTCAGAGTTGATAGATGTTGATTGAATTTCATAGGTTATCATGTTCTGTGGTGGAGTCTTCAGACGCAAGAACTTCCCAAAGACTGCACAGGGAGTGACCAATCGCTACACGGCGAAATCCGGGAAAAGTAGGTGTACACTTAGATTAGGTACTTCCATGAGAAAATTTTGGAAAAATATTCTACCACATCCCCAATTTTATTCGGCCCCGAGCTCCTTTCTCTGTACAAATCTTCAAGTAACAAGTCCAATGTCCCAACTACTGGGAGCTTGATGGTCGCCAGTAAAGGAGGTCCAGCACACCATTGATACCACATATTGATACTACATTCTGCAAGCAGTAATGAATGCACAATGGGAGGACCACTGACTACTCAGGCATTGTCCCCAATATTCGGCCAACCATTATTTCTTTTATCTAGGTGAAGTCATAAAGTGAGTTCTGACATGGGATTTGACCCAGGGTCAACCTGGATGAAGGTAACTGATTCATTGAGGCTCCACAAATTCGTCCTCTCGCCTTGGTGTCACTGTCACCTCATCGGGTCTTGAACGTTATCGAATTTGCACGAACGGCGTTTCCCTTATTTTCCCCTTGTACCTTCGACCTTACCCTAGTCATCAACTGTCAATCTGTCACCAAAAGTGTTACTCCGGGGTTGCTTGTGGACCCCTTTACGAGACTTCAAATATCGATGTCGCTATAGTGGAGCGTTACAAAGTGTTTCATTATGCTCCGGAGCAGCGGATACCTACCTAATCTTGTCTAACACCGGGGAAAGACTTTCGGTAGCCTTGAAGATGTTTCTATACATGATCTCAGGAAGGGGAAAGCCCCAGTCTTTGCACCCTTGCACAAAACTTTCCGATCCTTGGGTACATCGCCAGCATTTCAACGTGGTTAAATAGCAAAACTGCAAGGTGATAAGGACTTTTCGGGTCGTCCACCGAACTATTCTTGGAGCAATGTTTGCGAATGTTTTTTGATCGTTACAAGGAAATCTATTTGCTGTTTATTCGAGGTTCCAGTTACACGCATTTACGTTTTCTTACCGCTTGCCGTCGCAAACTTACAGCAAGCATTTATGGTGGGCATCATGAGGTGTGCGACTACAGCGGAACTCGGAGAATTTCCCGGAATCAAACTGTGTGCCGCCACAGAGTACACGCACGCACGCACTCACCCTCCCAGTATCTGCTTTGATTTGCTCCATAGCATTCTTATAGAATTCAAGATCATTATGGAGCATAGTGTATCGCCGAGGATGCATCGCTCCGTTGGTGAGAATTCGGAGAACTACCCATGCTACTCACCACCCCTAGGTATCCAGAAATGCCCCGTTCAACATAAAGGGCAAGCAAAGATCTACAGTTAATAATGTTGGACCAGCTTCCCGTTCCTGGCGGTTGGTTCCATAGCAAACTGTGTGATGATCAAATTAGAAGGCACGCAATATTCGTTAATTTCTATCACACGTTTCAGAATTCAACTATACCCACTCACACACCCTAACAATCGGAATTGGTTTTTTCCAAGCCAATTTAATATATCCCAGCTGGGCCAGAGCTTCATCTTTTCTCAAGGCATAATTCAGCAGATATCTTGAAACCTAGGAAATTAGAAGTTTGTCTGCTAATGATTATAGTATTATAACTATTTTGCATCTACATTCATAACCATCCACCCAGGAGTCATTTTACGCCAAGAGAAGACGAAGAGTCCTGGAAACCAAGTAACCGGAAAATGAAAAATTCATGATCTGCATCCATGTTAAATATCATCATATCAACGATGTTTTTACCGGCATTCCACGGTAGTGGATAGCGTAGATACTAAACTAGCCGATATTTTTCTATATCAGATTGAAAACCTTGGAAAAGGAAAAGAAACATAAAGTCCGAACCACATCTTTTCGGGAGTAATCTGGCATCTATGGACGTGATATCAATTGGATACGGCGCCAAAATTCTTCAACGAGGGCTCATCACAGAAGGGAACGAGTCTCGACTTCACAGTCTAAACGCTATACTCGAATGGTTTACAAGCCTAAATATTAACAATTAAAGCGCCGGAAGAGATCCCTAGATTCGGGTAGTACCCCGATGTTAGACAGCATCACAGCCACCACAGAGCACCTTTGTCGTCATCTTCACCAGATGAACCTTGAAATTTCAACAAAATTGTATTTCCACCAGCGGACCCGGAGTGGGCGAAATGAGATGGTGCAGCGATCTCCTTTGCAAATTTTGAATGTTTTCTTGGCTTTTTTTTGATTCCACCACGCGTCCATTCCTTCACGATGATAGTCAAACTCTACATCAAGGAAGGCTTAGGGACTAGGACTTTAATTCGGAATTATTTTCAATATCGACAAAAATAGCCAGCATGTCAAACATGGCAATTATATCAAAAACTCTTTCGGTTCTGAAGAATGCCGTATGGAAATGTCATCCAGTCATTCACGTCCAGGCATCATCATCCTTCATCTAAAATCAACTCCCGACTTTACTTAATCGGTCATTTAGACTCGGACACTAGAGGGGCACGGTAGTTCAGTTTCTGAAGTGTACAGAACTAATTTAGTAACGTTTTCGGCCGCCGCGATGCCACGGCAGCACGAACTTTATCGTTAGGACATGCAGTCCATGCGACGGGAGTAACGTCAAATGGTATCTAACGTCACCTAGATCGCTTCCCCATAATCTGAATATAAGGGCATACATAGTAATGATCTAGTCTACAGCGAGTGCCCTTGTCAATAACTCATCTCTTTGGTTATCAAGACTCAATATAAAACCAGCATCCGCACAACCACAACATCAAGTTCTTACAAAATTATGGGTCAAGTCCATGTGATTCTGAGAACGAGAGTAGACCTCATATATCGCATACCGACAAATTGGGAGGTTTATCCTAGCAAACTTCTCGGATAAACATGCAACCCCTGATGCCCATCTAAGCCTTCCTGATTGACAGCTACTACTTGTGAGGCAGTGCTGAGTGCATGTATCTCTTATGTGGATATTTGGATCCCGCTAGAATCTTGGACGCAATTCACGTCGGGCCGGCAAAATGTAACCATTTAAACAAGCATACTAGCACGCCTCAAACAACACTTTAACTTTGAAAGATGCTTTTCGTGTCGTCATTCACGTCGTTCCCACCTACACAACAGATCATACTAAATTTTCTCTACACGCGATAGCAGACAATACCGGGGCAATTGCGATTCCTCAGCAGAAGGATTCGAGATTTATGGCTGAGAAAACCCCGCTCATCTCTATAAAACCCAGTGCGATCGTATGGACTCGTGCAGACGTCAGGCGAGCAGCCATTTAATATCCGGCACAATCAATGCAGCAAATTGGAATCCTCCAATCCCTTTGAGCCTATAGGCCCATGAGAGGCGGCGAAATTCTTCAAGAATTCAAGAGTAACAGCAAACTGAACGAATTCGATGCATCATCGCAAACATAAATGCCCACATCAATAAGATCCACGTACTTTCGACGCGCCCGTCGATGTAATGAAGGTACCTGATTGGAATGAAAGTTGCAGACGATTAACCCATCCGTCAAACTGTTACGATACCGATACCACTTCTAAGATCCTTTAGCAAAGTTGTAGACAGTTGAGCAATTGGTGTGTGCGCCTGTAGGTCGACATCACCACAGTATGAGCCATGCAACGTAAGAGTGAAAGAATCATACCGCCCACTTAACCGGCATTTCTGTCGACTATCCCCTCATTTCAATATTCATGCTCTCCACAATAATCCGCAGGTACCTCGGATGTCATGGCTCTCAACATTTGGAGTCTTGGCATCACTTTCCAAATCCCCACAATGATAACGGGAACCTCTGGATGCCCTTCCTTTTCGGAAAGATGCATCCCGCTTCGTTCTCCGAACGATCGGCTGCCCCAATAAAAGGTAAAAAGAAGCTTCGTGCAAAGTCCAAAAGATGAAACACCAATTAGCGTCTATAGAACTCGCCATTGAAATAGACACGGATGCTTCTAGGCAGACTGAACACCTCCATGCCTTGAGACCTTTGACGCCTCGAGACAGTGCTGTTGAAGAAAAGAGATTGAAACGCCAATACTCTTTCTTACTTTGGGTTTCCCTTGTCAAAAAAAAAGCTACATTGATGGGAGCCGGGTTGATAAGATTTGGATGACAAAGTGACGATAGAAGCTCCATAGGTACTATCCTCTCATGAACAGCCTTGCATACATTATCATGCACCTCGACCATGTCTGGCAACGTTGATCTTGGGAACACAACCTGCTAATTCAGACAAACCCCAGTGAATCGCTTCAAGGTACCAATGCTAACAACACACTTACAGCAAGGATATACAAAGGATGTACAAGGATAGCAGGTACCACCGCCTTATCCCATCATTATTATTCCCAGTACCAAATGTTCTGCCTCTCCTACCAGGTTTGTGCCGCGTCGCCTATTAAATCTCCTATGGACACAAATCGTGCATCAGTTACCCTTAATATCATCGCGGGCCTAGACCTAGACCATTCTCGGAAAACCCAGAATCAAAGCATTGTCCACCGACATACACATCCGCCTTTGGCGTCAGGAAAATAAAGATCATCAGAAATTAAATTCAGAAAAATCACGCACGCGTTAGTCGTTATCTCACATTTGCATATTCCAAATATCGGTGTCAAATCACACGAGCTAGGAAATCTTCAAAACTTTCAAAATTCCTAAGCTAGAGTCTTCTTTCCAAACAGTCGTACAACGCAATACACACATGTATCTAATGTATCTATACATCTATATACTTGCCTAGATTCTAGACCTTACCATCTATTGTTCTCCCATCCCATCTGCTCGGCTTCTCGATTCAAGGCTTACCTCGCCCCCAAAGCATCCACTCCCAAAATATAATAGCTTCGAGTCATTGAAATTTACCCTGTCCTATCAACGGCCCGAACCTGTCGGTATCCTCTGCCGGAAGTGGATTGGAGTCCGCATATATGCAAGTAGGAACGCTTACTCACGCCACAACCCGAGAAATTCTGCAAGGAGGACATCCTTCACAGATATCAGTGGACGCCTTCCATTGAACGGTGAACTAGGTGTGCAAGTCGAACAGATTCCCGGTATGTATTTTTAATTTATTTGAGAGATCTACTTCTATGTTCTGGAACGGCAACGGCCCCTCACTACCGAGCTGCCTGGCAACTGTCTGCTTGAGTCTTTATTTACCGCTGAAGAGTTAAATCAAGCGCGCAATCAACAGTGCATATCATGTCCCGAAGTATGACAGGAAACTCCCTACCGACCCGATTACCAAATAAGGACGAGCTCGCAAGTTTGCATCTCAATCGGGAAAGATCTTTAGATGGATTTGCCTCGTGGCCATACCCACCTTAGGATTTATCACCCTTGACGTTTGCTTCATGCAGAGCGTTCCGGTAACTACTGTTCACGGTCTCATATCTGTAAACCCTGCCGGTAAACTACCACAAGAAACTAGACCGACGAAGTTTTGACTATCACAATCATGCCGCTATTCTTTAACAGAATAGTTGTTCTTATTATATACATGGATGGGCCGGGCAGCAGTGAAACTTAGGGCCTAGCGACCTCTGGCGAACCTCTTCTTTTGGATGCTTGCCGTTCACTCTTGGCAATCAATTACTCCAGATTTCCCAATCAGCCTTAAAGCGGAAGCTCAATGCTTGCATCTCCGTCATATACCCTCCTATTCAACCACCAACCCAAGTCCATTCTAATACGAAAAGCTCATATCACTTGTCCATCGGCACATTCCTTTTCCCTCTCTTAACACATTTACCGCTTAAAATGGTCATTCTCCTTTAAAGCATTTAGACTTTCCCGATATGCGACCATATACTTCAATATAATTGGCTGATATTCATTCTGTCACAGATTAATCACCTCCACCTCACGGATCAGCTGCCGACTTTTGATCTATCTAGCATTGAACGATTCAGTGGGGGAATTTCTAGCTTGTGCACACTGCAGGAGCGCGTCGGATTTTGGCAGCCCTCCACGTTGTACAATACTGTTCCCCTGCGGCGCATCGCGGATTTTCTCAGATCTTCAACACACGGAGCAGTTTGAGACATTACCTGTTTCTGACTAAAACTCTTATGACTAGATTTCGTAGACATTTTGTGGATATTTGCCATCGATAATTTCTAATTATTATTTACTATTTCATCACAATACTTTATAGGCCGGTACATACCGACCAAGCGATGAAGCTAAACCACCAATAACGACATCTTTAACAAACACATTTCAAATATCAGTATTTTCTTCTCATAGATACATCGAATTGACCTCCAGTCACTGTTTTGGTTTAAAGAAACAGACTTCGCAAGCTCAAACAATGGCGGATCCACTTCATAATTCATACCCCAGATCACCGATACCTTCTACATCATCTTATGATTCATCTTCGGTATCTTCTGCGACCTCTCCAAGGCCGCAAGGCTTATATGAAGGACGATTGATGGGAGCTTCGCCACGGCCACTTAGTGGAAACATTCCTCATCCTCAGCATATATCTATGACATCAGGGCTTCCGCCACCGGGACAAAGTCCCTTCCATCACAGTTACAGCTCCGCTACTAACTCGCCAGGCGGAATAGGGATGGAATCTGTGGCCTCAAATGGGTCGTCAAGCGGCACTCCAGGTCCGTCTGTCGGACAGATGACACCAACCAACATGCAAGCGCAAAAACGAGCTTATCGACAGCGGAGAAAGGATCCCAGTTGTGATGCTTGTCGGGAGCGTAAAGTCAAATGTGATGCGACAGAAACGAGTAGCTGTTCGGAATGTTCAAGTAGGAATGTCAAATGTCAGTTCACTAAAGAGACAAATAGGCGTATGTCTTCCATCAAACAAGTTCAGGATCTGGAGAAACAGATTGCTCAAGTCAAGCGCGAAAATGGTCAATTAAGAGCTATGCTCAGTATGAGAGAGGATCAAATGGATGTTGATGGTGATGTTTTGGCTCAGACATCTGTCTACTTGCCGGAAATTGGATCGCAGCCTAAAAAGAGACCAAGAGCACCTCCACCGCACGATTTGTCGAGAGTACAATCAAATATTGGGAACTACAGCCATGGAATCTTCAAATCTCCAGCCCTCTACCGACAAACAAAAGCACCGGCAGGCTGGGCTTCCCAACCTCCGGAACTACCACCCAAACACATCGCAGATCACTTATTGAGAGCGTATTATTCATCAATACACCTGGTAACGCCTATACTGCATTGGCCCAATTTCCAGCGCGAATACGAAGAAGTTTATAAAAAGGGCACCTTTGAAACATCATCCCGGACTTGGTCTGCACTATTCTTTGCAGTCGTGGCAGTTGGTGTTTTGTTTAGCACCGAGCCCAGTATTCAGAGACCATACAAAGGCAAGGAATACATAGAAATATCTATAAGTCTTTCGGATCTCTGGAACGATGAATACAGCATAGATCATGCTCGAACAGCTCTTCTTACTAGTATCTTTCTCTACGAAATGAATCTTAAATCGGCAGCATGGACATGGCTAGGGTCAGCTGTCCGTATTGGTCAAGATTTGGGGTTCCATAGCGAGACCGGACCATGGCAATTAGTCGAAGATGAAATGCGAAGGCGAGTCTGGTGGGGAATCTACATTTGGGATCGTCAAATGTCACTCGAGCTCGGAAGACCTCTCCTGATCGATGACGCAGATTGCGATGTTCTTCTCCCCAATCCCATCGATGAGTTTTACTTGCATCCTAGCTATCGGTCTCCGCCAGCTCCTCAAAATGGCGCACCACCTGGTCCATCTTCAACTTTTCTACTTCCTACCATCCATATAATGCGCTCAATAGGACCACTCCTCAAAACTCTCAAATTACCCATCGTCCCTCCTTCAACAATCGCGACCTTAGACACTCATTTCACATCCTGCCTCTCACACTTTCCACCTCCATGCCAATTCTCTTCCCTCGAACCCCTCGATTCGAGTATGTTAACACCGATCATCCACCTTCTAAGCGCCCGTCTCTCACTCCATCGCCACAATCTCATCACCACTTCTCCTCCAGATTTACGCACTAGCGCTATCGAATCCTGTATTCACGATTCCCTAACCAGCGCATCCATAATCACTCGATCGGTCCCCAATTATCCACCAAATTCATTACAAACTCGTTCATGGGGCCAAACAATCAGCGCAACCATTGTCATGCATATATGGCGTTGTACATTATTTTTACTTTTCGGAGGACAATTCGAAGCAGCTATGACGTGTATTAGAGCACATTCCAATATTGGGTATTCGAGAGAGGTTAATGTGGCTTGTGGACGATATATTGGATTTTTCTTGACGGTGTTGATTGAGAAGAAGAGAGGTTTGTATTCTGGGGAAAAGGGGAGAGAAATAGGATATTTGGGTCAAAGAGGAGGGAGGTTTGAAATGGATGAGGAGGTTTTGGCGTATTTAAGTGCGGATTTGCAGGGAAGCGATGACGCGTGGGTTTGGCAGGGGAGGGAAGTGATGGGGATGAGAAGTCCAGCTGTTAGTGGTGTAGGTGGGACAGGAGTACTTAGTCCGATACTTGGGAGTGGTGGAGAGAGGGATAGGGAGATGAGTGGAATGAGTGGATTGAGTGGGGAATTTTTGGTGCTGAGGGAGAAGGAAGCAATGGATTGGGGTGGGTGGGAACGAGTGCAATATTTGGTGGATGTTTTGGCTAGGGAATCTGCTGCGTCGGGACCTGCACCTGGACCTACTGTTGGACATGGGCATATACAAGGAGGTGCAGCATATATTCCCGAATCTCGAGGTGTGTTTGGATTAGGATTGGGTGTAGGTTCGAATGGAGGTGTAGCACCCATAGTAGCAGGGGGACCAGTGGGAGCAGCCGGACCTATAAGAAACCCACAGACAAGTCCACCAGCAAAGCGAGATGAGCGAAATCGCGGCAACGAAAGGATGAGTATCACCAACATCATCTAACATGGAGCGGCGAGGATGAAAAAAGCCCCGCGCATTCATTTTCTGAACCCCTCCATCGAAACAACAAAAACACACACACATACATACAAGCAACAAGAATACCATTCCGCAATAATTACCACTATACCTACCAATACCAACTATAAAACAGCACGAGCACAAACATAAGAAACTTTTCCATTGTATATAATTTTTCACAAACTTAAGATCCAGGGTTCTTCTACCTCTCCCTCTAGCAGAAGAGAGGAAAATTAGAAACGAAGATGGGAACTAGAGTAAGAATAAGAAAAGAATATGAATTGAATAATAAATAAAAATATAAATATATACGAGACAATTTTTATACCTTTATTCCCTTGTTCTTGTTATTATGATGTTTTATATAGAATTTTTGTTGATGTTTATTTTTTAATATTTTTCTTTTAATATTTTTTTTGGTCGGGTTTATGTTTGTGTTTGTATTGGATTGATGAGTATATATATATCTTTTATATTGTATAATCTACCGATCATGTAAGACCTTACACGAAACAAGTGTGCGCTAGTACTTATTTTATAGTTCTAGCATAGTATGTATTGTAATATAATTACGAAGAATCGCCTTTGAAAGTCTTACTATCAACCGAAAAATGTTTTTATTTTTATATCATCCGAAATAAAGAAAATCTGTTTTTCAAATATAGATCTTCCTTCCTACAAAGACTCTCTTCTCATTATATTAGATTTTATTCTCTTATTATTCATTCTATCTTGCCATTGCGGGGGATACCATCTCATTGCAAGATCCACATTCCACCTTTGCATCTTTTCCCCTCTCCTCTCCTAGAAAAACAAAAATACAAAAAACATTAAAAATATCTACCTATACACCACATCATGATTTAGTTTCTACATGGTGTGGGTTTCGAATTGTAAGCTATAATTAAAAAGGGATGCGTGGATTCGGGATTGTTATATATAATAAGAGAGTCGGGACAAATCATTTTGTTTGAGGAAATTTACTATAAGATCCAGCCAGATTGAATGAGTTGGGATTCCTCCTTATAATGCAGAAAGCAACTACAATCAGCACTGCATAACAACTTAACAAGCACCCGGTATTGATATATTTCATTTCACAAAACAAAGTATATAATAAAGATAAAATTAGCAAGACAAATATATATATACACATATTCTCATCCACGAACCTGCTAAAAAAAACCCTACAAATCCACACACACACACACACACACACACACACACACACCAACCACCTAAACACCCAACCCAACAAACCCTACCAACCCTGCTGCCCGTTACCACCACCCAACTGCCCCGTATAAGCAGGCAAATCCCCATCCAGCAAAGTTTGCCAATACTCCCAATCCATAGGCGTAATATCCGGCATTGAAGTATCCAGGAACGAATCCGACGCCAACCACTGTTGTTCTTGTGAGGTTTGCATTTGCGTCTGCATAGGATGTTGCGTATGCAACTCCGAAGCCGAAGCCTCATGTGAAGATTGTGCGGGGATATAATCCGGGGGTTTTTGTCTTACGTATGATTCTGCCGTAGCGGGGGGCATGTGCCAGTTATTTACTGTTCGGAAGGGATCTGCTATATCATCTTCGTTATCATTTTCTTCATGTTGTCGTTGATGATGTTCTATAGATCTGTGGAGTTGATCGTGTTTTTGTCTTTGCGAACGGAGGATTGAGATGAATCTTGGTGGGGGGACTTGGTTTGGGGAATTTCCTGAGGTTCCTCCACTTTCTTCTCTTTTTTCCCAGGATTTGAGGACTAAGTTTCCCAAGGCGAAATATAGACTATTTTTTGTATCGTTGAGCATTTCTCCGCGAAATTCATATGCGAGTTCGACTTGATGCCACGCTTTATCTACTAATTCTCCTCTTTCTCTTTGGCGAAGTTCGCTGAGCAGGTATATAAATGCATCTACTTGAAAATGGACATGAATATGCCAAAGATATCTTTGGACGAGCTTTTCGGAATGACCTATGCCGTCATATTCAAGCATCTTTAATGATTCATTAAAGAGCATATCTCTTTCCTTTTGTGGCATACTCGCACCTTTATCGGGATATTGTCGTGGGTGATGAGCCATTAATCTCATTGTACAGATGACTGATTTGGCAACATATATCGATAGTAAATGTAGAGGTATTGATGGATCACAGTATTGCAAATACTTATCTTGGAGTCTGGCCTCCAATTCATCAATAGCCTTATCTTTTTCAGCGATAACGCTCGAAAATGGAGGAGTATGTGATGGACCACCATGATGACTACCTCTATGACCACCTCGGCCACCACCCTCTCCATGTCCATGTCCATGTCCGTGCCCATGTCCATGTCCATTGCCAAAGCTATTAGCCTTTCGAATAGCTTGCGAAACTTCATATCGAATACAACAGAAAAGCATTTCGGTTGCTCCGGCTCGCTCAGGTGGAGGTTCTGTCATGTCGGGAGTGAGATCACTATCACTAACATTGAGTGGTAACTTTGTATCAAATTTTGCAAGCCACTGCGTAATAATTTAGTAAAACTTGAATAGAAATGGAGAAGGAAGACGATAATGAATATTGAGAGTGGAACAGAAGAAGAATCTACACTTACAACAGGGAATCCTGCGCCACATAATTTTGCAGCAAAACCATCAAGGAAAACTACCTGCCACCAAACTCTCCTTCTCATTTCTGTGTCGAAAGGAGATAAATTATGAGAAGATCCATCACGATGAATACCCAATCTTTGACCAATTCGAACAGCAGAACCTGTTAATATCCAAAATGCATGAGCATCATAATGCTTACGAGCTGCAAGCTATTGATGTGAGTTAGTGACGAAATACGCAATTCGTTGCAGTGGTGCTAGGAAAAGACAGTGGTGTCTGAGTCATTCAAGTAAAAGGAAACAAAGAGTGGTAGAGCTAACTTACTAGAAATAAACAATAAGCTTGTAAGGCAGTCAAATTCAGAGATTTAATATATTTGACGTTGATAAGTGCTTGTTGTGCAGCATGAGAATATCTCGATAAAAGTACGGATCTTGGTTCATTGAAAGTACTCTCACATTCATCATCTTTTAGTGAGCCGATAGATAGAAGGTATATAACGAACATTAGAGCTTCTGTAGGTTTCGGAATATGATCCATATCTGAAGTCGCTTCTAAGATCATCTCCTGAACTGTCGGCGCATGAAAAAGTTTTATCAATGGATTCACATTGGTCAGAAAGATTTGCCATAACCTGAAAATTGTAACAGGTTGAGGATGTAGGCTTCTCAGGTTTCTTTTTGAACCAATCAAGTTCCCAAGAAGGATAGTTGATTCTTCGGGGAAGAGGGAGTTATCATTGTTATCATCTTCTTCTGATGACACTTGAAATGCATCTTTTGGATCTTGTAATTCATTACTAAGATTCTCCCAAACAGTACTAAAATGGGTTAGCAAATGCTTGCCAACTGAATGGGATTCTAAAGACAATTCTCACTTTTCTATGTAACGAGAGTTCCCATGCTTAGAAAACAATTGACCTTTTCCAACTTTAGAGCCGTGAGGGCAACCCATGCCATGAGGGCTATGAGGGCCATGAGGACCGTTAGGGCCATGAAAACCATGAAAACCATGAGAACCATGAGAACCATGAGAACCATGAGGGCCATGATTACATCGATGTTTGTGTGACCCAGATTGATTCTCATTATTGTCGGTCCCGGTAACCGTAGTAACTTCTGTACCTTTCTTGGAACTTGATAAAGCTTGGCTAGTAGAAGTTGATTCATCAGGACCTGCATCGTCAGTGCCACTTGCATTTGCACTTCCAACACCACCAGTAACACCATCGGCAGCACCATCATCCTCAATCCGAATTCCATTAACCCTCAATAAATGTTCATATTTCCTCAATCTTGCAGCCACATCTAACTCACTAAGTTTACGTCTTCTTCGACGTGGAGCAGCAGGTGTACTGGGAATACATTCCGCATGTGCCTTAGCACAATTAGAACATTTAGGTTTTTGTCGATCACATCGTACTTTTCTCTGTTGACAGAGAACACAAGAATGACCACGAGTTATCTTTTGATGTATTGGTGGTTGAGTTGGAGGAGGTGGGATTGTAGAATCGGCAGGTTGTGGAGAGGACTCCATGATGACGTGAAGATAGAGATAAAAATAAAACAGTTTAAAGCATGAGTGGATGATGATTGATGTGATGAAGGAGGCGTAAATTGACGATGTCCCTAGTAATCACGCAGTAAATGTTTTACTTGCAATTGACTGGCCGGAGATTCGGAAGTTTCGGGAGTTCCATCAAGATTTCTTCCCCAGGATGCTAAAAACGAGTTCGTGATGATTAAGCTCACTTCAACATGAAACATAAAGTTTCCAAGTCCCGACAGATTCCCCTTCCTCAATAACAGGTGACGTTCAACAGGGAACGAGGCTAATTTGATAGCATGGGTATTGTATTGATGAATCTTGTCGGTGTGTTTAGTTTTTTATGACCGATTTCCTGAGGTTGGTGGGTGTCTCGTCGGAGATTCGGCATTTCTTCGGTCCCGACAAATGTTCTTTCCTAACCTCCCTTGTTCAACTCTTGAAGCTTTCCCATTGGTTAAGAAGGAGGTGGAAAGGCTCATGAGGGTCATTGTTACTTCAGTTGGTACCTCCCTAGGACAATACTAGCAATACTAGCGATACTACGGGTAACATGAAGGGTAACAGTTCCAAGTTTTCATCCCATATTCCTCTACTCCGGACTTTGGATAGCTTTATATTTGCTCCATCCCAGAACAAATGTGGTCACTAACAAGGACTTTAGGATCAAAACAAACGCCATTGCTGCTATACCGACTATCGCAAATAAGTTTCATTCGCTTGGGATGTCGGATGATGCGGATTTTGCCTATGATCTAACAAGTTGCGCTACTCAATTTGGTTCCAAACAATCCAAGGTCTTGACGCATTCAGCTCTAGTCTTTATCCCTTCCATTGGTATCAGGTCTAGGTAGTCCTAGCTCCTATACACACAACCAAATACCACCAGCAATCTCAACAAGTACATCTAAGCATCTAAACATCTAATTCTCTAGATTCTAAATCTCTATCCCCAAACCCATCCCATCTAAATCCCCAATACAAAATCCACAAAATCCTCAAGTACAGCGAAACTCTTCAGAATGTATATGATCAAAGGCTCTCAATAACCCGGCCATATGAGCTAACCCCGCGAAAATAACCATAAAATGCAGGACTTGGTGACTGGAACCTATGATGTCGTGGCGTCGCGGAAACCATTTTTCGGGGATCTGTGGGTGTTTGATTAGGCTAGGCTGTTGGCTTTGATTGATGATAGAATTGTGGTATATCACCCCTTCTACCCTTTTCCCCTTTCCGCGCGCCCCTTCCTTCCTCACCGAAAAAAGAAAGAAAGAAACAAAACCACTCACCCTCACAGCATAAGTAAACGCCCCCAACAAATTCAACCCCGCCATCACCCCCATCCAATCCAAACTCATCCTACACCTCTGAATCTCATACCCATACAAAAAAACCCCATGCGCAATAAAAACGACCGAAGAAAGTCCCAAACAACTATACATAACCGCTCTATAAGGTCTCAAAGCCGGATTACGAAATTTGGGATGCAGTGTTGTGATTGCGCATGCGCTTGCTAGGATTGATATCTATTTTGTTTATTTGTGTTAAATTTAGAGGTTGATTTTGGGGGTTTCTTTTGAGGGGGGAGAAGAGACGTACCATGCTCCAATAGGTTTTTTGGATCGATTCGTCGCAGTAGAAGCCGTAGTAGACGGTGGGGATTGTGGAGCCCCACATCAGGATTACGACGCCGAGGTAGTCGAGTTGGTTTCCTAGGGCGTTTATTCTTGGGCTGTGGTTTGCGAGGATGTGAAAACTTTGGGTGGTGGCGTTAATTGCGAGTGATTAGTTTGGAGGGGAAGATATTAGGGGGAAGATATTGGAGAAGGTATTGGGATTACATACGTAGCTGAGAGAAGAAAACATATTGCTACCCCGAAGAAAAATGTAGAAAATACTATTATATCCGCTAATGTGGCGGTGGCATAGCGAGGTGCTATTTGTCGATAGAGTATAAAGGGGAGTGTGGCGAAAAGAAGCGAGCCGAAGAGGTGGGAATATATGTTGACTAGATGGATAATTTTCTATTAGTCGTTCTTTTCAACACTTGCATGAGAGATGGGATTACTTACTCGTCTCATTATGTATATGGCCTAAACTATGGAGAGATATGAGGAAAGAATTTGAGGCTGGTCTGTATTGTGTTAGTCATATCATGTATACTTTCATAGTTTATGATAAATACCTACCGATATCCTGACAGGATATATTCGTTGTCTCTAGAGTATCAAAAGTGTAAGCTAGTTCAGTTTCCATATCAAGGAAGAGAACTAACTGCTGCCAATTTTCTTTTAGTATGCTGTTAGTGGTTGTACCGTAAAGACCTGGGTCTATTGGAGAAACATACGAAGCTCATTCCATTCGAGAAGATAACTTCCTACCGAATGATCATTTGCTGGTTTTTCTGCATCCCGCAGTACGGATTTGCTGATTTCTGCTTGGCCGTTTAGGCTCTGTTTCGTTAGACGCCGACTTGACATCTTCAACGAGCCAACTTTCAGAAATGTGTCTATCCGCTAAACGAGTAGCAATAGTACCAAACGGAAGAAAGAATATCTACGGTATATTTTAGAGCCCACGAGCAAACTCCCCTGTCTTATTGTTTGTTAGTATCACCTAATTATATGTATGAAGAAAAGGTACCAACGTCATTTAAGACAAAGGGCTCCAAAACAATGTGGGCGTCAGGTCATCCTAATTTATTCATACCAACAAACATACAAAGGAATTTTTATCACGTGTGCGGCAGAAGAATCACAATCCTACCTACCATTTCCGTCTATATCTGCATGCAACCCCAGCCGGCGCTTATCGTAGAACCAGAAAGATATACTTCACTCCACTTATATATGAACCACTATTCCCCATACAGTTTACCATCTTGTGGTATGTGCTTCAAGTGGAGTGGAGCATACTTTCTGACGGCACGAGTAGCTTTCTTCACGCACGCACCTGTATATTTATATCATGGGTATTGATTCATCGTTGCTATTATCCCGGTTTTGGGGATGTAATATCCTGTAGAATCTTCTTCGATGTAGGGTTGCTTTTGCGTTTCGTCCAATACAAATACGTATTACTTGGCTCTATGAAACGAGCGAGGCACGGAAAATAGTGATGGGTAAAGGAGGTTTGTTCAGGGGGAGAGAGTATTAAGTGGTGATATTTCCCATCGTGCTGGCACATCTTCAAGTTTACTTGCACATCTTCAAGTTTACTTGCACAAAGTCAATACAAATTATCTACTCGAGTGCTATTCTCTCCATTTTCTTGCCATCATAGCGATGCTATTCTCCATTTCTTCTATATTTTGCTATTTTTCCTTAATTTCTACATCAGAAAGTGCACCATTTCTCAAACCAAGCAACGAAACTACCACAGGATGGGTAGCTGATCCTAATGGCCGAGGCACATTTTCCCTCGTCGTTTCTTGTCTCTTGACTTTATCGCTGTGTGTTTGGTCGGCTATGCATCTCAATATTCCGAGGCCAGATCATCCTGCAATTCATGAATATATCAGAGGGATTAAATGGGGGATTGTGGGCGTTTTTGCTCCTGAGTTGGTCGTGTTTGCGGCTTGGAGACAGTATAATTCTGCGGCGGCTTTGCGGGATTCGGTTCAGAAGAGGATTGCGGAGGGTGTGCAATCTCAGGACGGGATTACAGAGGTGGTAAGGTCTGAGCCTAGTAAAAAGGATGGAAGATTTGAAGAGGTAATCATTCTGTTCTTTCTTCTCAGTGAGCTACTTTGAAGAGGATATATTCGGGGAGACTTATTAGTTTACTGATGGGTATTAGTTTAGAATTCCTCCTCCCAAATTCGAAGCACAGGAAATCATTTCACCCTGGACTACCGTTCACGGCTTCTATGCCGGTATGGGAGGTTTCGTATTCGATTTCGAAAATTCCTCAGACAACACTCCACCATTCATCCCCCCATACACCCGCTTAACACTCACTGCCCGTGGCGTCAGTCTCCTAGCACAATGCGGCCACCTACCAAACATAAGCAAGCGAGAAATAGTCGACAAAAGCAAAGCCGACACGATGGCCAAACTTCTCGTTATTGTCCAAGCCGGCTGGATGCTCGTACAAGTCATCGGACGACTAGTGGCTGGTCTTCCAGTCACTCTTCTGGAAGTCAATACTTTGGGCCATGTTCTTTGCGCTTTTATCATCTATCTATTATGGTGGCATAAACCTCGCTCTATAATGGTTCCTACTAAATTGGAAGGAGATTGGGTGAAACCCCTCTGTGCGTATATGTACATGAGTAGTCAAATCAGTGGACACGATAGCAAGCATCCTGGAATCCTCAAGCGATCATGGAAGGATTCGGAATTATCGAGGTTTGCGTATGTTCCCCCGGAAACAAATGACGCAGCTCTTGAGGAACTCATAAGTGATATCACACCATCCAATTCCACAGCAGAGGAAGCTCCAATTTCCGACCTCGATACCACAATTGAAAATCTACATGCAGCTGCCAAAAAATCTCCATACGGATTCTTCGTCCCGTCAAAATCCTACCTCAACGCAGATGGAACATCAAAACGCGACCCCGACGACAAAGAAAATGCACAATACCTGCTAACCGCCAGTCCTGAACAACTTGCACGCTGGCATCTAGCAGCCCAGGCCATCCACAGCCATCCGGCCCTCTACTCACGCTTCACACCGCACCGCACTAATACCAATATCAATACCAGTACTTTAAACTCAACCGCACTAACACAAACCCCCAATGCGACCGCACAAACAACACACGAACCCCTCCTCGAACAACTCCTCTCAATCTCCTCCTCCAACTGGCCCAGCGAAGATCTCCTCCGTAGCACCGGCGGCCTAATAATGGGCATGACACTCTGGCTCGCCAGTATACTCTTCGGAAGCGTCCACGTAGCCGCATGGTACGATTACTTTCCATCATTATTCGAACAATGGATGTGGCGAGCCAGCGCCATCTACATTATATTTTCCGGGGCGTTATGGTTATGTATTAATGGGGTTGCGCGGGCGAGTAAACGGGTTGATGATTTCTGGGATCGGTTTCTGGCGTTGCGGGTTAATGGACTGGTGTATGCTGTTATTGGGATTTTGTGTACGGTTTGTGGGGTGGCGTATGTGGTTGCGAGGGTTTATTTGGTGGTGGAGGCGTTTGCTAGTATTAGGAAGTTGCCGGTTGGCGCGTATGGGACGCCGGATTGGACGGTGGTTGTGCCGCATTTGTAGTTTGTTTTTTGTTTTTCTTTCTTTTTGTCGGGAGGGAGATGATTTGAGATGAATGTTTAGATTTTAGATGAAGTTTGTTGGTGGTGAGGAGAGGTAAGAAATGGTATCAAGAGTTGAATAAATTCACCGGATGGCATCAAGACGAAATTCAATATAAATGTAATCATGTTATGATCAACAGAAGATTGTATGATCTATTCTAGACAGACTTCTATAAAGTAATATCTCTCTCTAGATGCATCTAATTTCGTTTATCCACTTAGACTCTACCATCCAACTTTCCACAACACCTCATTCCAGACGGAATGTCTCACCAAATAACCCCGGATTGAATGTTAAACATTCATAGCCAGTATTAAGCACAACCTCTGATACCAAAAGCTACCATCGCCCACTAAAATGCTCCATTTGAGGAAGAACATGTCAGAAATATCTAAAACTTTCCTTCTGTATTTCCATCCCAACCCAAACAGCTCAACAGCGACACTTTTGAGTGATAAACCAGGAATCCTACTTTGATTTATCCGCTTTTGAGATTTTCTCCTCGGTAGTAAATCTTTTCGAGACCGCCGAAATCATTTGTTTAAACCAATAGAAATTCAACAGTGTCAACATGGTATTTGTTCCTAGATAACCCCAAGCCAGCCACATCGGTAATGTCAAGTCTTCAGAAGATGCGGAAGATCTGAAGAGCTCCCATTCAGGATCTCCAGGAACTGCGAATTCGGGGATGGATATTCCGGTGCTTGGAACATGATAAACTTTCCATATATCTTGGTAGAGTCTTGCTGATTGATATACACCCCATACGAGACGACATGAGAAAAATGTAAATATGAGAATGATGCCGTTGTAAAATTGAGCTCGGGAACCAGTCATATTGAGTTTATCAAAAAACCAGTGAATATTGAGGAATGGAGTAGAAAGCTCGTAGAGAACGAAGTTTAAACCGTAATAGTTCGCAAATGGTCTCTAAAAATCCCAAGCATTAGCACGTACTCGCACAGTAACATTTGACAAGTATTTGGGTAAAGGACTCACAAAACCAATGCCAACCACCAAAAATGCACAAACCGCATGTATCAATGAGCTCAAACCAAGAACATCTAAATGAATAACGCTAGCCATCAGGTCCCATAGGAAATATCCCATGGCAAAAGCTTGGACAAGAGATTGAGCTCCGGTATAACCCCATATTCTACCCGTCCAGTCCATATTCCATCGTTCTTCATCTGTCCATTGCACCCATAAGGCTAATGTACATATCAAAGTGGACTGAACGAATGAGACGACATGAATGTTCCAGTTGACCTTACTCCGAGGTGCAAGAGCTGGATAGATATTTGGGAAGAGCTGAGATGAGATAATGTGCGAGCCATAGGTATCGATGAATGTGTAAAAACAACATGCAACAATGATTTCATGTAAATGGAAAGGTAGACTCTGTAAGTTTAGAAAATCGCACAACACTTTCCCTTTCGTCACAAATATCTCTGGTGCAGAGAAGAATGGATCGAGCATCTTGGGGATCTGATTGTGAAAATTCGATGTTTGTCCCGCACTTCCCCTCAATGTACGAACTTATCAACACACACATCAATGTCTTAAATGCATATTCCTAAAATCCAATCAAGTAAATCAAGGCCTGAAATTTCAGCCTCGCACCCGAGAGCACACTGGGAGCACTGCATATTTCCCCATGCACCCACCCTAGTATAGAAACCGCATTTTCATTGGAGCTCAGGTACGATGGATGCTGCAATAACTTTTTGGTGCAACCAAATGTAACGGGAGCCCTTTCGGCAATTATATCTTGGCCCAAAGCAATCTTCAATCGACATCTTCAATCAACATCATGATAGATGGAGTCTTAAAGCAGCCTTCGCAGACCATACGGTACACTTGTACCATCCAGAGTGGGTACGTACATAGCATAGGCCACCAGCCCATAAACCCAGATCAAAGGACGGACTTTTATTTCATATGCGGTGGATCTAAAGAACTACTCCGAGGTAAATTGAATTTTTCATGATAGTTATGTTCGTAAGTTTTGTTGAAGTTTACTTCTCAGGCAAAAACGGTCGGCGAGACAAAAGTTGAGGTTATAAGAGACTTTTTAGACTCTTCTTCAGCGACGGGATGCCCTTCCCGAAGTATACTCTGACAGCACGTGACATGATCCTTCTTACCATCACAAAATGTGCACCACCACAATTTTCATCACATCATACCAACCTAACAAAACGAAACGATGATATCTTCATCTCATCCTCCGCCTTTTCGAAACCTTAAAAGAACATACAATCAGACGATGCCAATGTATGGTTGTACCTTTAACCCATGTCATTGAAACTTGGCACGTTTTAAAGGTTGTTGGAATCGTTACATTGTTACCCCTCCGTGCTTCAGGATACTCGCTTGCTTATAATGCCATAGGCAGACATAATTGAAACCGAGAGACACGAGAAGATTGGGATTTCTTTTTACTGCGTACTATGAGGGAGATATTGTTAGTAAAATTGGAATTTGTGGGTTGATGAAGGGTTGAGTAAGACCTTACTACCTATATACAATTGATGAGGAATCACTCCAACAGTTGAGTTCAACCTCTGTTATATATGCGAAGTTTCGCAACCACGAAAGCCATTACAGAAGAGGCCAAAGAGTAGTCCATATACTATTTCAGAACAGCCCTACATATATTACCCCAATCATATACATTTATTGAGAGTCCAAGCATATCATTCAAACATGATACACATCATCTCAACTCCACAGCGTTACATGTCAAGCCTTCACTCCTGTCATCATCGTCCGTACTTTTGGTTCCCGCCGTCAAAAGACCTAACCCTTGGAGTTTGAAAACCCCCCTTTTCAAACACCTCAAAGTCTTTTTTGGTCATAGCTTCAACCTTCGTCATGACCTTGAATATACTTACTCATGAGTATCATAGAAGCTGGAACAATCATGGCAAGCATATTGAAGATCATTCAATTCTTTGTTTTTGCTTAATTATGCCTTCTTTCCTCTCCACTGTAGGTTCCTACTTTTGGTCTCCCATTTCTTGGCCTTTTACTTTGTCTACTATTTTCTTCTCTTTTCATTCTTCTCTTTTCATCTACTCCATTTTGAAAATATACGTATTCTTTAATTGTTTTGTCGGCGAGTACGATATTCAGCATTCATTATCAAGCGCAAGTCGCCATTATTCTATTCTGTAAAATTTAGACAAACCCACACTATCAGTTTTGAACCTCAAAAAACATTCTATCAAGATGTATTTCACACAAACCCTCTTCTTTTCTGCCTTGAGCATCAGCAGTGTCTTTGGTAAGTCTTCCGTCCGTTACCTCTCATCCCAATCCAACTAAGCCTTTCTACCAGCCGCCACCAACACTTCAACCTCAACACCGCAAACCCACGTAGTCCGCGTCGGCTCCACCAACAATTCCATAAAATACTTTCCCGAAAAAATTTCCGCCCAAGTTGGCGACGTAATCCAATTTCAATTCGCAGGAGGAAACCACACCGTAACCCAATCCACTTTCGATGCACCCTGCGTCCCAATCAGTCAAAGCACAAACAACACCGGAGTCTTCAGCGGCTTCATGAATGTAGCTGCTAGTCTAAATAGTACGGGTATGGTCCCGGTATTTAGCATGCCGGTCAAGGTCGCCACACCAATGTGGTTCTATTGTAGTCAGGCTAAACATTGCCAAAAAGGAATGGTTTTGGTAGTTAATGAGAAGTATGTTTATGTCATTCCTGATCTTCCCTTCCCTTTATAAATAGAAAAAAAGTAAAGTTCTAACTCATAATTTTCCATCTAGCACAAAAGCAAACGCCTCTCGCTCTCTCTCCAATTTCGCGTCTCTAGCTGCTAAAGCTCCTGCTAATCTCTTTCCTACACTTAATGGTACCTCGGCTACTGCTTCTACTTCAGGGACACCCGGCACTTCATCTACCTCTGAATCTAATTCCGGCTCTTCCTCTGGCTCCTCATCAGATTCAGATTCATCAAGCTCAAGCTCAAATTCAGATTCCTCCTCAACCACCGATTCTACAACAACAACACTTAGTCCCTCCGCCTCGAGTACATCCTCAGAAACATCCTCGAACAACAACAACAACGACAACGGAGATTCATCTTCAGCATCCTCATCCTCATCATCCTCATCATCAACAAAAACTCCCGCCCTCGCAACCGCAACCGCAAATACAGCTTCTGGAGTATTCGGAGTACACAATATATTTCCATATACCTATGTAGGAATTCTTCTTGGGGTGGGAATGTGGGGTTTATTTTAGATTGAGATGGATATAGTGATTTATGATTGGAAATTTGAGAAAAGAGGTCAGAGAGATTGATGGGGATGTAATGTGGATGGATGAATAAGAGTATAAAAATGTTTAGGCTAGATTGGGTGTGCTCTGATTGTGCTAGACACTAGACACTAGATGCGAGATAAGAGGAGAGTTGATGAGAGATGAGAGATTTTTAAGAGATGAGTGGATGATGGGTTAATGTTTTGGGGGATTATTTACTACGGACTTTAGATAGGTGCTGGGTATGTAAGATCTTACATGATACCGTGCTCTATGGACGGAATGCAATGATACCTTTGAAGATCTTCTGTTTTTGTTGGTTTAATTCGTTGGGTGTGTATGTCGAGATTGAATAGAATATCTGTTAGTGTTCGCTTGGCGCGAGGGGTCAATTTTCGTGTCGAGCATATGTAGATGGCTTTGTGAAATTCTTCACAATAATTTATATGAGTATAATGATATCATTATGGTAGCTCTGTGTTCAAAGTAATGTCCACTAACCCCTCCGTATATCCCCGGTAACACCAAATAGTACCCATTACCACTCTCCTCGTGAGTATTCTCTCTTTTGATATAACAGTGTCTGCGAAAGCTTAAAACACCATTGCACCATGTAAAAGTCTTCCTTCCCAATTATGACCGCCCTTACTCTCTCAAAAATCCAATAATAACTGCGGTGCCATTTTCTCTAAATCTTCCACCTAAATCACAAAATACAAAGTTAGCTACTCCATTTCAATGCACTCAATTTCCCCGGATAACGAATATCAAAGATCAAATACGAAACACGAAAAAAAACTACCTCCCAAAATCCCCCTTTCCTTCCATCCGCATCCCAAATCCTCGTAACAGCCTCTCTCACAAATACATCCATATATTTCCCCACCGCCTTATTCGCCTCTTTTGAAATCCGCGAATTCTGCTCTGCAAATAATTCGTGAATGATTTTGGAGAGGAGATCCGGAGGGATAGTTGCGCGGGTATCGGAGTCTTCTGAATCTTCTGCTTCTTCGGGAGATTGTTGATTAGGCGGTTGTGTGCGGCTAGATGTAGGATTGAATTTGGATTTGGAAGTGGAGGTGGAGGTGGAGGTGGTTTGATCGGGAGATAGTATTTCTAGTTCTGAATCATAGGATTGTGGATCGCTATTATCATTATCGTTGTTGTTTGCTTTTGTGTTTGATTTCGAGGCTGAGTTTGAAGGCTTAGATGTAGTGCTAGAGGCTTTTGATTTGGATTTGGTTGTAGATTTAGATGTAACAATAGGCTGTGAGGCGAACGGATCATCGCTTTCTTCTCCTTCTTCTTCTACATCAACATCCATTTCCGAGTCTTCTGCTTGCGGAGTCGGAGTCTTCGAGATGCGGGGTTTCTTGGAGGCGGGGGCTTTGTCTTTTGGGATGGATTTTGCTTTGGAGGTGGAGGCGGATGTGGAGGTTGATGCTGAGCCTTTTGGACGTCCGCGGGGTTTGGATGGACCTGCTTTCGTGGAGGGACGTGGGGGATTGAAGGGTTTAGGTGGCATGATTCTGGGCTGGTACGCAGATCAAGTATTCAATCGGTTCAATTGTACAGTATGCAATATGCAGTATGTAAAGTGTGGTTTACCTGTAATTGTGAAGCTATCGCGGCGGCACTGCAGAAATGGGTTTCGCTCTTGAGTGAGAGAACGCGACGCGAACGGAGCGTCAACATGTGATCCAAGAATACGGTGACCATTTCCTCCATTAATTTCAAAAACCAGATTCCACGCTCAAAAATCATTTCGCTACGACATCATCAAAGCAGAATGATAAAGAGAACAAACTCATTATTACTTAATTTGGTTTAGATTCCTGGAAATATTGAAAATATTCATGAGACATGCAACAAAATTTTGAGAAAGGAGCTAAGGAAACTAAGGATGTGGAGGGTGAATTGAAGGAGGGTGGAGGAACGGAGGTGGATTTTGGTGAATGGTAGTTTGCCTCCCTTTTTACTGCGGGTGATGATTTGGTTTGACATAGGTTGATGGTTGGGCAAGTCGTCGTTAATCAACATGGTGGTTAAAAGACTTGGACAATGATCGAAGCGTGTTGTGGATTAATATTGACTGACGGTGCGAGTGTATCGTTGGAGGGCAAGTGACTTTTTCTACACATTTTGTCATTTGTTTGCCAAGATGGTAAGACTTATGTGCAAATTCTGAATTGCTCTGGTACTTTGCATAGTTTAAGTACATGTCTCTCAAACTCACGGAGTCCTGTATCAGGGACTGCTAAGTTGGCATTTTTCCCTTACCAAATGCTACCTGGCATAGCATTCTTGCATCAGACGCCGCAAGAACCTTAGATAATTTCTTTAGGTGATAGAAGACGTTCATGGTGATCGTCAATTGCAGTTCATGACCCAAAATTACAGGAGGACACATCTGAGTTGTAGAAACACTAGAGATCATCCAGATTCGAGGGCAAATTCCAGCTGTCTATTGCAAGGAGAAAGGCATTAGAAATGTCGAAGGAAAGCCCAGCCCATTAGTTTCTAGAATCGTCCTCTGAATCATTCCCGGTACATTATGTTCATATCATATCGATCTTGCTCATGTCATGCCGATTCTGCTAGTCGAGTTCCGCTTTAACGTATCTATGCTTGCTCCCATATTAACAGAATTTCAAACCATAGCTACCACATATTCTTTGAGCTTCTGGATAGTGGTCCATCAACAAACTACCTCTGAAGTGAATTGAAAGTCTCATTCAATTAACGTCGAGGTGGGTTCTTTTTTGTGGGCCTTTGAAACGGTCGTACATGAGTTGGTGACGAGGTAGGGTAAAAAGTCGCGACAGATGCAGTCTAGGAATTTCTTGGACGTCTATATAAACACAGGATGCTTGAATTTCTGGTGGATATTGACCGAGCAAGGATTTGTCTTTGCAGACATTGAGGTCTCTTCTTCCGTTGCAACATGCCTCCTCGTTTGTGGTTCACACATCTCTATTCTTAGCTTGTGATGATACACCATTTGTAAGTAATGCCATTGAAATTATCATTCCTTTCATATTTTCTTTGCGTTATTTTTGCTGTCGCTAACAGCAATTGGTCCTTCAATTTTGTTGTCACAAAAACATGTATTTATGTAATAACGCGATTCTAATTTTTGAATTGGAACTTGAGGCAGCTTATAAAGTACTTGTCTTGTGAGTCTCTCAACATCTCTAGTCCGATTAGTTGACCAGTGCGAGGACCTTTGGTTAATACTAAGTCAGATTTATATAGTGTCTTAAAGACTTTGTGATCAAGAGTCAGTGATTCTGTAATGACCACCTACAACACTTTTATTGCTTTCATCAACTTAGTTTACACACTTTCACTATTCTCGATTCTGTATATAAATGTTATGCTCATAATATCTTTCTGTGACGCATCAAAATATTCTTTTCAAAACAAACGTCTGGTTTGTGGTGGAGATCGCAACCATCTAACTGTGTGAACGTTTTCTTGACCTAAATTGGTAGGGCAGTTCATGTGTATCTCGTGCGGTCAGACTTCAGTATCTGATACCTTCATGTTGTCAACACTTGAGTTGCTATTAACCAATTCTTTTCAATGCTAATGGATATAATTATTCTATAAATTGATTGACCTTTTAAAATTCCTTACAGCTCGGGCTTTCACCGTCATTCTTCCGCCGCGACTCCGGGCTTCGAGTGCACTAGTTCGTCAATCGAAATGGATTTGCTTTTCTTAAGCTAATCAATTGTTACTGTAGAGAAATGCGGAAGGATTAAATCTTGTCTAGCCCATGACAGTTTGGTAAAGTTTTATTCGTGGTAAGCTTAGAAGATTTCAATCTTAGTGGCGCTCAGATCTTCAGGTTTCGTGATCCTGAAGTGCAACATTCACTATTCCTGTTTAGTTGCTTCTTATTTGCGCTTTCGCTCGCAGATTTTGACTCTGTTATGCTGGATATACAAGTATCTCTCGCGGTGATTAGGCTAACAAGGTAATGTTAAAAAAAAATCTTGAATCGGTGTTGCGAAGTTCTCGCAGCACTCGCTCCACACCAAATTTCATTGGATCATAGCTTTGTTTAGAAGCATTACTGACCCTACTCATATTAGCATTGTCATTGGCGATAGCATACAGTTAGTTTTTTCCCCTTAACAGCAGAAAGTCATCGCCGTCGTCGGCGGTGTCGCTTTTCCCTGTCCTTTCAGGCCAAATAAAGTCAAAATAAAACATTCGTATCAAGGTCTAAAATGCGCTTTTACCCAAATTAATGAGAATTTTCCTGGAATGTCTCAAGACAATTTCACCGCTTTATTGTGAGGAAGAAAACTAGGCGGAGAAATGAAGATTCCTTTATACCTAATCTCGCTGCGGAGGAAAGTTCCATTTCGTTTGAGTTCCAGGATTAAGCCTCGAAATCAACCCCGAGTCTAAATCCAGTACCTTACTTAATCAAGCTAACCTTGCCTCAATTTTTCAAGCTGGACGTATAAAAGTCCTATTATTCTGATTATTCTGATATCTACGAGTCAAGTTTTGGTGATATCAAATAAGCCATCAAGGTACTAAACAGCGAGCCAACTGATGTGGACGTCTGCTCAGAGAAACAGTGAGGCGGAGTGAAATATTTGCGTGTTCTGCCATCGGTTGGCTTCTGTAAATGTTGCTCGGTGAGAGTTTAATGAATGTTTTGCTATCAATTTGTGTCGAATTTGTGTGCCGCTGTCTTCACGAGTAAATATCAGTGTATTTCCTGCAGTAAACTCAAAAGCATTACCTTTCCCGGTTTACCGGTGCTGAATATCTACTACCACTCAGACTACCCTTTTGAGAAACTTTTGATATTCTTTGTATAAGCATTTGAAGAACCAGTATTCATTTTACTGGTGGCTTTATGTACCAACTTTAAACTTTTATACATCCAGTATTATTTTATCTGGATGTAATCACCTTGACCCTAGACCATTATCTTTCTGGCTTACCAATTCCTTTTAACTTCCTTCTCATCACCGCCCATCTCATGACCTGCACTTTTCATCTAACATAAAAAGGTTCATTAGTTTAGTCTGCGCACAGCAAACATATAAATTTATTACCAGATGGAGAAGCAGGGATGCGGTCACTCAGCAAAACTTGTTTTGTGATGATTATAGAAAAATTTATTCAAAACTGTACACGACTCATACCTGCAGATGGGGTCATACTCTTGGAAGTATTTTTTTTTCCCTATTATTTTCACGGTTGAGTTGTTGTTAGCGAATACAGCGAATATGAAATCAGCAATTGTACCATGATTGTCTCCGATTTAATCCATGACCCAATACTCCCCTTTACACTTTATCATTTTCAAGCTCTTTTGTAATCTCCATTCTTCCGACTCCCAGGGAACGCAAGTTTCAAAAAAGCTGTCATTTTAAGGCCGTAAATGCCAGCTGAACTTCCTCTATGAGAACCAATCATTTCAAATAAGAGGTTTTATACACCTAGCCCTCATTTTGTGAAAGCTAATAATATCATTCCTGCCAGTTTTGATAGCTTCAGAAGAATTCACCACCCTTCTAGTTTGTGACTCATCGAGATTCCCAAATTCTTTTCTTCAACAGGCCCACATCATTCAGGCGTGAACGTTCTGATATATAAAAACTTAGTCTACTCTATCCATAAGACTTCATCTATTCCGCAAGTACGTAATGCCGCGCATATAATGGATCTTTCAAATAATTTTGCTGGTATGCGTGTTGAATTCATACAGATATTTGTAGATACAAAGAACTTAGGAAGAATCAAGGAGATGGAAAGTGAAAACTCGAGATTTGCTTCAGGATACTGTTGTCAATGATTCTGGAATGCTGTTAGCCATCTAATATTTGGCGAGAAATGTTCGCCGTCAAGTTAATCCGTGGCCAGATGTCACAATTAGATATTTATCTTAAATATTTTTTTTTATGTGCTTTAGACTCCTTTAGAGCAGATGAGTCTTTAAATCTATTGATAAACCGAAGCAGGCACAGAAAGCTTTGCATAACCCTTTCTTTTTCCTGTCAATTCATTTGAAAAAGTTACAAAATGGGGCAAGAGGCTCCTTACAGCCAAGCGAACCCCCCCCTCGTCTTAATATATCTCTCTAGAATTATGCTACAGGACAAGGGACGGAAATTTTTTTTTTTAACAAAACTTCGCCTTGTTGGATATTTAGTTTGGTAAAGATGCGAGGTATATAATGTCCCAATCATTATTCATAGAAGTCATGGACGACTCAGCACCCGAACCGAAATATGTGCAAGGAATCTATTTCCTCGGATTCTGAGATATAAAATCAAGAGAGAGGAGAAACAAGGAGTGGATGGATACTAACAATAAGTGACTTACCTGTTTACTAATGTTATAACTATTCAATCTCTCCTCCATTTTATTTAGTATCGAATGCGCCGCGTTATCACTATCGCAGCTTTTCACCGTCAGTATACAGAGATGATTACTGTCAAGAATCCAGAGCATTTTGTTCGAGAACAGTATTCCCGAATTGAAGCTATTTCTACTCCATCTCAACGACTTCCTCATTTAAACGGACTTGAGATCTGATCACGACTTCTGAGGATCTTGGTACAGAAAATTTGTTTGTTGGATATGTGCAGTTAATCACACAGTGAGATTACAATCTCGCTCGGTGAATCTCACGAAATTTTAGTGCGGATTATGGGTCTTTTCCAACTCTAATATTTTTGCTTTTCCTCGGACGCTTTTAGAATCAATATCCAAGTATATAAAGATACATTCTTCTTCTGTGGTTGAGTAAACACAAGAAATACAAGGTTTACAAGAACCAAAGGGCAGCAAACAAACAGTTTGAGTAATGCTAGCCTTTTGAATTTTAGAATAGATCAACGATGCAGGAAAGGCGGGAGGGAAAGTCGCTGGGGAGTACTAGTGGCCTGTGAATTGCTAGAGAACTAGAACGAAAGAGCAGTTCACAGGTACTCTTCTTTCGAGCACAATCGGTACTTCAAAGCTTCATGTTGGACTCAATTATGACTGGTTATCGTTTTTTAGAAATAGGCAACTTTCGTCGAGCCTCTCAATACCTAAAATCCACGACTTAATGTTGTCATTATCCTTGATTTGATACATCTATTGTCACCTTCATCACTGTCACTTACAGCAATCGGGTCACAAAACTCCAACACGCAAACTCATATTTCTCACTCATCTCTATCGTCCGTCAAATCATTATCCTTCCTAGAATATTTTTCGAAAAAATAAACCGCTTGGTACTGGAGTATGTCTATGTTACTTTAATCATGAAGGAAACAAATGTGCCTATAGCATCCTGACGTGGATCTACGACGGTAACATGACATGTAGCCGAGGTTTGAGGATCTTATATTTTGCTCGAAAATCTAATATTGAAATACACAAATGCTAACTAATCGTATTCATCATCACTATTCAACTCTTTTCATTTTCAATAACTAATAACTCAAGAATGTCTAGGATTCCGAACAAACTTAACACAAAATTGTCACGGGTGGTGAATGCACATGACTTTAAGGTTACCCCGCACGTTCTAAGACCACTTTACTATTCTAAACCTTTCATAGTGTTACTTCCTTCATCCATAAAACTTTCTCACGAGGTTAAAATACATTTATCCTTCCTAGAAACCATTAAAGACTAAAAGGCTTTGGATATTGGCTGCTCCAAAACCTTGTTGCCGCAACATTTCTCGACCACGGTGAACAGGGAATTCAGCAACGACCATGATGCTGATATCCTCAACACAAACACCAGCTTTAATCAACAACTGTAGCACCGCGCAAAGTGTCTTTCCGGTCGCGAGCACGTCGTCCACTATTACCACTGAAGTACCTTTGGAAACTAGATCCTGATTCATTTCAAATCTCTTCTCTTTTGACTCTTGTAATCCCGTAGAAGATATATGTGATGGGGATTTTGGGGTAGAGATGGTAGGTGGGGGAAGTTTGCCAGATTCACGAATCAGGGCCAATGGCATACCAAGCATCATCGCCAAAGGTGATGCAAATACATACCCGCCAGTCTCGCAACAAACCAATCTGTCGACCTTAGTCCATTCACCACTGAAATGATTTTGTAGGAGAGTGGTGACCAAGGTAAGTCCACCCGCCTGTTGAGAGATATCAAGCACATGGCGGAAGAGTATCCCAGGACGCGGGGAATCCGGTACTGCACGTACCATACCAGCTAGTCGCGCCAGGTCGTCGTGGAGGAATGGAAGGAGATACTGCTTGGCAAATGTTTTCGCCGCCTCGCTTCCATCTTTTTCATTGTCGAAGATGAGGCTAGGGCGATAGCGTAGGGCTTTCGAGTTCAATTCGCTCTTGCTACGTGCATTTTTATTTTCATCATTATCGTTACCGCCGGAGTGATACTCTTTGCGAGTCGACTGCATCTCTTGGCTAGCTTTGATCTGAACGTCAAGAAGCCTCCTGTCTGGTACGAGATGCGCAAATGTCGCTACAGGTGCTTCATCTCTCATTCCAGTAATTAACAACACATCAACATCGCCAAATTCATGAACGATATTCTGAAAGTGTTCCATTGGCAGCTGAGGTCGTCTTGCCACCTGATCGTGATAAAATACAGTCAAAGCTTGACGATGTTTCTCCTTGTAGGAACGATCGGAAAGAAGCCTATCCGGATCTGCTCCAGTAGCTGTCGCATATTCTCGCTTGGTGACATCGCTGATACTTGCTGAACATGCTGTGTATGCTTGATAGGGGCATGCGGTTATTTCGGAGACAAAAATGTCGGCGCAATAATCTTTACCGGCTGCGCTATCACCCGTGACAAGAATGACGAGCTTTTGTTTCACCAGTGGTTCTTGGAGCGGACAGGCGTACGCTATCACATTTTGTGGATCCAAAGTACGCTTCAGGCTGGCTAGACGTGGCAGATTTGGCCCAAAAGCTTTAGCCGCCAATGCTTTGTCCCTAGGGTCTGGCCCAAGGTCGGCGCCGTACACTCCACAACAAAAGGGCAACAAGTTTTTCCCGACATCATAAACCCACTGCACAGCAGTTTGAGCAGTTTCCGTTCCATTCTGATCGCAAGGCCACACGCCAGTTATAACACAGGCAAATTTCCAATCACGACAGCCGAAAGCCGTGGCTTCTGTTGCTATATTATGCACTGCTGCACCACCCTGCAGTAGATGAAAATAACAGAGTGGCGAAGGGCGAGCATAGATTGCTGCTAACAAAATATTCGCGATGTTCACCTGTGCAATGCTCTTCAAGAATAAGCATCGTTTGAAGGAGGAGGTTTTGCCACAACCGTGTCCGCCGTGCATCTCAGACATGTACATTTCAGTCTCGAACAAACCGACACCGTCCACCATTTTATGTTTGTTCTCTAATCCCAAGATGCTGGTTAAAAATTTCGGCGTCTCGGCTTCTGGTATGGTTGTGGAAACTTCGAACGTTGTCACCCCAATATGCAGCTGGTCAAAGTCCCAGTAGAGATATGCGTCTATGGACCAGTTCTGAGGAAGATTCTTGGAAATAGAGTCGACATCGGAAAGTATTTTCCTTGCCGAAGTTTTGGACCTCATTGGGAATACCCAGTTTCTGACAGAATAGGTCGGAGCGGGGTAAGCCTTGAAAGTAACGCTAATCACAACACCGAAGTTAGTTCCAGCTCCTCTTATTGCCCATAACAAATCTGTTTCGTCTTTGGGGCGCACTCCTCCAGCTGGCACATATTCGGTTGGTACTTGTCCGACATAAAAAACTTGACCAGAGTCAACACTGACAATCACAGCACCTACGATGCTGTCGCATGCAAGTCCATGAAGCCTAGTTAGGTGACCAATGCCGCCTTGTAACCACAAACCAGCACCTACACTTGGGCGGGACCCCAGAGGCACTGCGAAACCCGACGGCGTGACCTTCCGGACGATGTCTCCAGTCTTGCACCCTGCCTCAGCTACAACCAAATAGTTAGATGTGGAGTAATTATCGGTTTTGCCTACATCGTCACTGGACTTTATAATGTGTACTTGGTTAAGCGCTTCCATGTCGACAGAAACAACATTGGGCCACATACAATGACCACTGTGGCCCCCACCGATAATAGTGAGTCCAAAATTATGCTCCAAAGCCCATTGGACAAGCTGTTGGACTTGCTGTACCGTTGTTGGTTTGAAGACATCAGTCGGTTGGTGCAAGCGAGCTTCCCAGTTTTTGACTTTTCTCTTCGTTCTCATCTGCCCGGATTGTGAGTTTTGATTGGGTAGGTCGATCGAACGTCTATTGAAAGACACCATACGTTGAGGTGAGCTGAACGAGAGGTAGCTTTGACGTGTTTCCTCATTGCAAGTTAAGGCGCGACATATTTTTATCCACGCGCTTCGAACAGCCTCGTCTGCTTCCACGTCCTGCTTAACGTAACCCCCGATGAAAGGAACAAAATTATCAAGTATCTCGTCGTCATTGTCCACAGTAACAATTGCAGTAGGGAAAATCGCTGTGCGCTCGCAAGCCAATCCGTCAAGATCAAGAGCTTCGTCGCGGTGAAAAATCACTACTTTTCCATCTTCTGGACCTTGAACAAGTAGATCTAGCGCATGCCGTACGAATTTATGCTTGGGATTCATACCATACATGCTATGACAGAAAAGAACAAGGTTGAATCCTCTCCCATCATTAGTCTGTGTGTCAACCCTTGGCTCAATATCAAGAGCAAAAGGCGCTCGATAAATATTAGGTGGCCTTTCTAAAAGAGGCAGCGGGGAACCCAATCTTGATGAAGAGCAAAGCCAATCTTCTAATCTTGTAGCTGAAAGCAGATTAGGCTCAAATGCAGTGTATGTTTTAATCTTCCGTCTTAAATGAATGGGCAGATAACCAAGTATGCTTTTAGAACCAGGCCCGATCTCAAGTACCGAAAGACTGGAACGCGATTTCAATAGAGATGTCAGAAGTTCATTAAGTTGTGGAATAATAAAGTCTTGGTATGACGTCCATTCTGCTCCATGCATTAATATGTCGAAACCGGCATTGTACTGTGTATCCGATAGCGGTTGATTTAAGGACGACGTGTTCGCCGTGTCCCACTCCTTAAGAGCTTTCTTCAGGTTGTCAAAACTGACCATGTTGTTTCAGCATAAAAGAGAAATGAGGAAAAGATCATCATCCTAATGAAAGAAAGCAAATACCTATATACATATTGCAACAAATATGAAGGTCCATGACAGCAGGTCTTGCGGTCATTTTTCTAAAACTCCACAATGAAAGGTGACGCATTTTTGAAAACTTACAGTGCGTTTGTGGAAGCATCAAACTTGTAGGAACTAAGCACTTACCAAAACAATTTCTACTATTCCTTCACAATCAACGAAATTTGAAGTATGGATAGTTCAAATCGTTCTTGCTAGAGAGTAAAACACGAAATGTTTAATGGTAAATGTTTTTATCACCTCGCTAATGGGCATCGGCTTTCATTATCATGGTAAGATTGTGTTGTGTGATGTTACCTAATTAGATGTTTGAAGGCTGCTTGCTACGAGAAATTCACATACCCTTATTCCTTGTATTGCAACAGGGAATGATTAAATAGTTTCATGATATGCGTCACGCATATCTTCATTGACTTGTAGTTATACATGCAATCTATGGCACAAACTGTGACCAGCTTAGTTAGTGGCTAGTGGAACGGACACAAGATGGAACAAATAATCGATGTCATGATGATATACCCTGCTAGAAATATTCTATTCAGCATGAATGAGTTTTATCCCTTGGCGCGAATTACAGGCAGTAAGCTAATGTGATGCCATAACAGTAGCATCTCTCATATGTGAGGCATACCTCTTTTTACATTTTCTGCTATCGAGTCAAGGAAACTGGAGATTTTGTCACTTAGTAAAAGATCAGCTTGCCATTACGAACTCGATTCCATGTGTTTGATGTCATACCCGATCCTGTCTATCAGTTTTTAGGTACACAATTCTCTCGATCTCCCATTTTCTTCTACTACCCAACTAAATTCTAATCCCTCCGTCTCATACCGAGTAGAGTATGAAAGTTTCTCTGTTCATTCAGATCATCTTTCAACAGGCCACTCATCCATTTAGTCGATGTCAGGGACCCCGTCTTCTCTACACCTCTCATCATCATGCACATGTGTTTACACTCCAGAATTACAGCAACTCCTAGCGGACTCAAAACCTCCTCTATTGCCTCTGCAATCTGCTTCGTTAATCGTTCCTGCACTTGTAATCTGCGTGCGAAGATATCAACAATGCGCAGTAGTTTCGACAACCCGATAACCCGACCGTTGGGAATGTATCCAATGTGTACCTTGATTTGTTTATGTTAGTCTGTGAATGAATGGTAAATAAAAGTATGAGGAAAGCATGTTCCTGTAATGGATCTAGGAAGTGGTGCCTAGTGGATGTACGGATTTATGGGCCCAATTCAAAGTTAAATAAATGTTTCCCAAAGACTTGTTTGTACACTCCAAACAAGTGGAATCATCCGATACATATCGGATAGGAAAAAAAGACTTGGGGGCAGAACATATTAAGCATTGGGCTAATGCCGCATGAAATTTATTGAAAGTTTCCACGATCCACGCACCCAGAAGTGACCTAATACACGGCGCGTTTAAGTAGCGAAACATACCTTTCCGAAAAACGGTAACATGTGATGTTCACACAAGCTAGAAACATCAATGTCACTCACAATGACGATATCCTTGGTATCGACATTGAAAATGGCACCATTAACCACATCTTCCACGCTGCTTTTATATCCTTTGGTAAGGTCTAGGAGTGCTTTCGCGTAGCGGTCAGGTGTCTTTTTTAGGCCTTCACGGTTTGGATTCTCGCCGATCTGCAATAGGAGTGTTTTTACTGTAGTCGCTATTTCGCTTTGAGTTGATGAGGGGAATTGGTTGTCTGCAATTTGGGTAGAGTCTGATTGTCCGACGAGAGCTTGGTCTGAGGTATCTGAACGTTTTAGATTAGCCACAAAGTTGCGGAGAGAATAGAGTGCATGCTTACCTTGCTCAATAATATCATGATCGATCGTTTCTTGAATAGTAATCTTCTTTAACAAAGCCAAAAATTCCATCTCATTCTTGCTAGGAAGACGCGGGGCTTCATTTGCGAAACCAGAGTTGGTAGACATAATTTATTGGAACCCGCGTCAAGAACTTGCACTGTTGATTGAATTGAATTGATAATTTTACAAGAGCACATAGTAGAAGCCTTATTTAAATTAATAGTGCAACTTTTGTTTGTGAGGTGTTTGAAGAGCTGCAGCTTCTCAGATCTCTTTCTTGTAGTCATTATTCGGTATCAGGGTTTGGGTTCTATACAGCTTCTGAGTCTTTACAAATAAATATGAAATGTTTCCATGGAATCTTTCGATATCAATAAAATGAATGAATGAACCGCAAATCGCGGAGTTTTCGTGCTTTTAATTTCTTTATGACTTCAACTTGGTAAATTTCTCACTCATCATAGATTCACCTTCTCTATAGGAAACCATATCTGTAAATACCATAGTAAAATTGTATTTCTTCTCAAACTTCTATGTAGTACACCAGAAATTTGCTTTCTGATAATGAGATGGCTTAATGCATGCTGGTTCCTCGCCAGAAAGATAATCTTACATGTATTCCAGTATAAAAGGCATGGGGTCAATTTTGTTTGATTATGACTAGAGTATCATGTCATGCCCAACGCATTTTTTCTAAAGTTTTACGATTGCTTTTGAACTTCTGGATATTATGGTCACATTTCAAGAGTAGATTTATGCATAATGCTTGCAACTTTGCCTTGATAACCTTTTCTCGATTGTAGGACTTCACAACCATGGCTTCAATCTATTCTACATTCTCCGAGCACTCTGGGCACACGTGCACGGATTGTAAAAAGAAGACAAGAATAGGACGTGCATCAAGCAAACCAACATCAAATATTTGAACGTGATTATTACAAAGATAGGAGCTTATACTGTCCCAGAGGAAACAAGAATGTTAATTTAGTACCAAGAGTCGATTTCGAAGATTCTTGTTTTGTGATTAGTTTTTGTAAATCTATCACTAGCATATTCGCTTATTTAGGGTGAATACCGAAGTATATAAACCTTTTCATTCTTTACATTTATCCCCTGTACCAAAGTTAAGAAGTTATCACTCTTCGATACAGGCAAAAAGAAACTCAGATGGCATTATGATACCAGGTTCAACTTTTGCTTGTTTTGTGGTGATGAAAGAGAAAGGATGAGAAATATAAAATCACTATTGATTAAGATTATGTATACTTAAATATCTTTCGTTTCTGAAATATGATTCTAAGTGTTGTCAATAATTATCAAGTATTAAAAATATATCATTATAACCCACTTTCTTACTAATAAATGAATCTGAAATCCTCAATTTGTCAAATCTTTTTTGTCTTTTTGTCTCTTAAATAGAATAATCGCTATATCATAATGGAGCAACCTGTTCTAGGATGGCGAAGAAAAAACGACACGGGCTGAGAAGCATATGATTTGCGTAAATAAGAAGAAAGAGGAAAATTGAATTCTATTAGTGGAAAATGTGAGAAGAAGATGGAAGCCTAAAAGGTTGTTGTTGCTAGAAAAAAAAATAAGTATTAAAATCTACTTTCCTGTTATTATTGTCTAGCTGAATATTATAGTTACTGTCAATTCCTGATATCACATACATCACATCTTGTCATCGTACCCCATTCTCCCAACCAAATTCGCCGCGTTCTCGCTTATTTTAAGGAGAAGATTGTACGCAATCCGATGGTTTTAATTAGAAGGAGGAAGCATTTATGAGATATACGAAAGATCTGTAATACTCCCATCGTAGTTGTTAATCTCGGATGAGTGCCTTTTTATTGGATGATGTTAAAATTAAAGAGGGAATGCTTTTTGAGAGGTTTGTTAAATAGATGAAGTGGCTTAGTATAGATAAACCCTGAATCTACTGCTCCAGGGGCGGGCAATCTAATAGAACAATATTTTTGAAGTGAATCATTAGAGATATAAGTATGCTCTTGAGTAGTTGGCAGAAATAATATGTTATGGAATATATAAAATTTGTTGAGAATTGATTTTTGTATTTAGTTTTGAATAAGGAATTGATTTTAAGAGGGGAAAAACAAAGAGTTATATTATAATAATATATTATAATTATCGTTATCGTCATCATCATCATCATCATCTTCTTCTTCTTCTTCTTCTTCTTCTTCTTCTTCTTCTTCTTCTTCGTTACTGATTTCTCTACTCCCTCTTCATCATCTATCAGCCTCTTATCATTATCTCCATCCCTACCATCCCCCATCCACCACTTATATCTATCATCACAAACAATACCACACTCGTCCTCAAGCCCAAGCTGACTCAAACGACTTTCCAAAGTTTCTCCTACAGAACTTATAATAAGTTTATAATTACTTTTAAAATTAATCTTACAACAACTCATTTAATAAATTTAATATTATCAATGTCTTTTTAACATTCTGAGAAGGAATAAAAGAAACAACGAAATAAAGGATTTTATATTAAAAAGAGTGAAAATATTATGAATAAACACTTTAAGAGATGAATGAGTAAAAAGATATATAATCTTGTAAGATTTTATTTAATGTTTATTTTATAATATCTATATGAAAATTAAAAAATTAGAAAATTATATAAAATCTTATTTTTATTTTATTTTATTTTCTTATCTACCCATACTTACACTCTCAACTCACACTACTCACTCACTCACTTAACAATTTTTATAAAAAAAATACTATTTAAAAAAAATCAATATTAATGTCACGATTCACAGATTAGATTATAGTAGTAGTACAGATATCGGTGATTTAGTTGCCGATTACTGGCGGGGTGTGATTTAACCATTGTTTATAAGGGGTTCCTAATTACTTTCGATTAGAAACTCAGAATTCCTGGGATAAGTATCCTAGACAACCATATTAGATCAGGATAAATGTCCTAGATAATCAGATTATAAAGGGATCATAGCCCTAGAGGTTATCGTATCCTAAAGCAGGGGCTCCCAGGGGAAAAGCTTTTAGAACAAGTGTTCTAGGAAAAGAGAAGCTTCAGAATCAATCATATAATAAGGGGCCTTAGGAGCTCGGAAAGCTTTTAGAGCTCCGGAGCTTTGAGGAGTTTTTGGGCTCTAAGAAGCTCCTTTCCTTTAGTAGTATATAGTCAGAATAGTTTTATAATTTAGGAGCTTTGTGCTCAACTTAGTTATCAAATAGTTTATCTATATTCTACTTGATCTAATAACGACTTCACTTCCAAATGAATAATCAATAATAACAGTCTTAACCTACAACTACCAACTAAACGAACCTTAGGCAGCTACCTCGACCAGATCGTTACAATTAAACTTATATAAAAATACTTATTTTCTCCTCTCCCCCTCCCCCTTCATTTATTTATTCATTATTATACTTTTTTAAAAACAACTTTTAAAACTTAAAAAAAATTTTACTTGAATAATTCTAAATTTAAATAATTATAAATTTATAATAAATATTATTTTATTTTTATTTTCTTTAATCTCATATTTTTTAATATTTTTAAAAAAATTTTATACTCTTTTATTTATTTATTTATTTATTTTTCTTTTATATCTTTTCCTTTCACTCTTTATTTATAAATAATAAAAAGAAAAGTATAAAAAAAAGATGAAATAAAAGAAAAACAAGATTTTAAAAATAAAAAATAAAGTTTTTTATATACACTTGATCCATTTATTGACTAGATGACTGATCAGACTCTAATACTATAACACACTGAAAGTCTTATATTCTGTATATCCTAATCACAAACACTAACTACACTGCCCCGCCCTGCCTTGTCATTGGTATTCTCTTCCTTTTTCCAACCATCCACCCAACCATCCTCCAAACCACCCTTCAAACCACGTCCTCTTCCTCCCAAATAAACCATTCATCCAAATCCATCCAAGTGAATAGAATAAACCCAATCCCAGTTCATAAATCATAACCAATCACGCAAACCATCCAACCCAAAAGCAACCCTTAAAATCCCAAATTCCTGCCATTTCCTTTCCAAAGACAAGAATCAAGATGACAAAGCCGGTGCTAAGTGGTCGGATGGATATAACTATTTGAACTCCAACTCCCTTGTTTCGAGCTCCATCCATTGTACTGTCCTCCTACCCTATCCCATTATTACAAGAATTTTAATCACCTCAGCCATCCTTAGTATACCCACCAGAATATAAACATCTCCTTCTACTTCAAATCCCAAGGGAAACCTCTTCATTATCTTCCATGACTTCTCCCCCTTGCAGGAGTAACAGTACTAGCTGGCGCACTAATATCCCTTCTAGTTCCACCCTCCACCATTTGTTTCTTAGGTGTCATAGTGCCGTTTGCTAAACTTCTTGCTCTACCTCTTCTTTCACGAATCATTGCTAGAGCTTCTTCTCTTGACATTGTTGGGTTTAGTGCTGGGTCATTTGTATTGTTTGGAAGCGTGCCAGAGGTTGGGGTGCTTGGAGTTATGGGGAATGTTTGATTTTCGGAGGGATCGGCAAGTGGGACGCGGGTTGTAGTTGAGATTGTGTGGAAAGTTGGTTCGTGGTGATGATGGTGATCCTGATGAGCTTGAGGGTGGTGGATTGTGGTCGAAGTGGAATTGTTTAAATCTTCAGCGTCTTCTGCGTCAACTTCTGGAATGTTGATAGGGCTTTGAAGTGACCTGGTAGTTTTTGGACTTGCTACTTCATCGAAGATTGAGAGAAGGGAGGTATTGCTATCAGAAATGAGAGCCGCAGCTGGTGGATCGTGAGATGGCGTTACTTCTCTTTGTGAGTTGTTAGAATGATTCAATGGTTGTCGAAGATACATATGAGTTTCGGAGTGAGAATTTTCCATAGATGTTGAGAAAGACTCCTCAGGTACTGATTTAAAAATCCCTTCGGAAGGTATAAAAACAGTTCTTGGAGCTTTGGCTTGTCTTGTTGGATCATCATTAAGTTCTTGATTATCTGTTGACTTTCTTTTGTTGGACTTTGGTTCGCATACATGTATGCTAGATTCCATTTCCAAAAACTCGACTTGATCAAGGGCTCTGTTTGCTCTTTGAATTTCCCATTCCAACTTCAATCTAAGTTCATCAAGTTCTTCCTGACCAGCTCCAGATGGTGAAATTGTAAGAGAATCTATTGATCTTCTAATCTTCTTTGGTGATGTAAATTCGTCCTTGGTGGATTGTGGTAATGGTATTCGTCCTTCTGCTGCAATTCTGGCGATTTCTTCATTCTTAGCAATCATCTTGAATGCGTCTCTTTCCTGTTCCACCAACTTAATCTTTTCTTGTAATCGTGTCAATTCTTCTTGCACTGTAGCAAGTTGATACTTTGCAGAAAATGCTTCTTGTTCTCTCTTTACACTTCGACTCCTTTCCTGCTCTAAACCACCTTGAACCATTCTTAATGTATCTCTCGAGGATTTGAGTTCTTCTTGTATCTTGACAACGACAGATTGTGATTTGAAACCTTCTTTTCGAGCTTTTCGAATTTCTTTTTCCCATAATGCTTGTGTGTGTGAATGGGTTTCTTTGGCTCGTCCGTAATTTTCCTGTAGGATGAAGGGTTACTAAAAATTCGAAAGGATGCGCATATTGGCAACATACCATAACACTTTCCAATCTCTCTCCCACCTTTCTTTCCCGTTCCTTTCCTTCCTCAACCTGCCTTCGTAATATTCTAGCTTCATCCCTATATCGGCGCATCTCACTCTCTGCTTCCTCTCTCCCCACCATGGCGCGCTTCAAAGCAGCATCATTTGTCTTTCTTTCCAGTTGCTTGCCCTGATAAGCCAACGAGTTAAACTGAGCAATCTTATCATTGACTGAACTATCTCTTGAATGTTTGCTAGCTTTCGAGCCATTTTCACCGGTAGGAGATGTAGGTAAATCCCATTGTCTTTGTTGATTCACACGTTCAGGAGAAACTTGATGTAATGGACTACCTGGAGGACAATTCTCGATAAGTTTTTTTGGTGAATCCATTTTAGATTTTGGTTTTAACCCGAAATCAATTATAATTATAATATGAATTTTTGTGTATGGAGTCTTGAAAGAATTGATTAAGTTGATGGAGAAATTGTTGTAAAGATGGTCCAAGTTTGGATTGTTTACTTCACTAGTGCTTATTTGGTTTAGTGTGGTTACCCGGGGAACAACGAAAGTCAGATTTGGATTTTGAGACAACACAGAAGACAAAAAAAGATGGGATGAAAAAGATAGATACGAAGTACCTAGTAAATTATACATGGAGGGAAAGATTCAAAAATTCAAAAAATTGCATGAGAATGATATTTTTGGGATGAAGATGATACTTGAGGGTAAATTGGATAGTTATATTTTCCATTCCATTACATTACCTATCATGAACTTTTATCGAATTCGAGCCATCAATTTGATCCTGTACTGTATGTACGACGCTCCGCTGGGCCACTGCCGTGGGGGCTTTTTCGCTTTGCTCTAGAGGTGGAAGTCATGATAAACTATTTATATTTTCTATTCCTGTCAGCTTATAATGCTTCTAGTGATAAAAATCATAATAATACTGAAGGTACGCAGATCCTATTCTGATCAATCCGGACTCGCCGTGCTTGTGGTCGTGTTCCTACGCGAAATATTCCGATATCTTTCCTCCAACTCTAACAACACAATTTGAGCTTCTGAATAGTCTGCCCCCACGGCAGTGGCCCGGAGGGCCAGCGGAGCGACATCTCAATATAATGACCGATCCCATTCTTATTAACTGGGGCAAACCCTCGTAACCCCGTTTACTTCTCTGCCCTCGATTTTTCGGTGTACATCTGATAACTGTATCAAGTTGCTTCACCCAGCCAATCTTTATTCTCCTAATACCACTCACTCAATCAATCAATCAAGCTCATCTCTCCCAGTCCAATTCTCTCTAGCATCAAGACTAAGACTTTCCCCTTTGTAATAGTCAAATGTCCCTTCTCAAGGTACGGTTTGTACTCTCATTCATCCATCCATCAACCATATGATGATTGAGTCGAGTCGAAAAGGTTCCTCAAGCTGTCCCCTTTTCATTCAATTGACCAACCTCACTCACCCTTTTATATAAAATATCATCACATGCTGATCTTCCATATTGGGGCTTCTCTCTTGAAAAGATACAAGTGATCCTCCATCACCACTTTTCTATGCTTACTGATTGACTCGCGAAAAAGCACAATACCCACAGAAGCATGACATTGCAGTTCAAAATACCAATAAAGCAAAGTGAATATTCCAAAAACAAGGAAGTTGCCCATGGATGGAAAAATGATGGGGATAAAAAGGAAGATTTGTGAAACGGCAATATGTTTTATAGAAGATTTTCCGTCTTTTACGGAAATTATGGAAATGTCTACTAGGTACAGCTTTCGATGAACAAAAACCGTTGGAATTGACGAAGTGTGTTTCTCCTAGAGCCCTTGGTTCTGGCTTCAATTGGGTTGCAGAGCTCGGAAAAGATAGGGTGAGGGATGGTAGGTTGTATGGAAGGGGGGTGAATGAGTGGTGGTAGAGGGGGAAAAAGAAAGAAAAGCGAAAAGAAGATAAAAAGAACTATATCAGTCATAAACCCAAAGGAATTGATTTATTAATATCCGCACGACTAGATCATTCTGCAAAAGATCAATTGATGATTGATAAATAATAGCTATAAAAGGAATTAAATGATATCTATTGTAGACGGCCGTTCTTTATGTTCCCTCTAAACCGGATCAATTCTTTGCTGGCAACAAGGTACGGAGTAGATAGATAGATAGGATAGGTAGGTAGATAACAGATGATAGATGGATGCTTCATAGATATTGGAGGCTCTTCCGTCCCGTTGTCCGTCAATCCGTCCATAGGTATAATGTGGAGGGGAAGAATGACACTGCACAGTACTGTACGTCTGTAGGTAAAAAAAACTCCTCGCGTCCGTTCACCCGCTAAACCCAATTAGTATCCAGTTCCCACTTAGCGCACACTCGCGGTGGGTAATTTCGGAAGCTGTCCTTCTCACACTTCCACCATAAAATCTTTTTCCTTGGGCCAAAATATCAACTTCCCTTCTTCCCATTCTTCTTCTTTTTCCCACATTCAACCTTAATACCATCTCCTCTCAATCCTTTTTAGATCTTTAGATCATCAATACCGTCAATATGAGCAACACACCAAAGAAGGAGTCCGTCATGGGCGTGTAAGTTTTATACTTCCTTTCTTTCTCAACCCTCTGTTCTCTATTTCCGTGTGATTGCGATATGGGAATTTGGAGGTCTTCGGAATGCCACATCAACAACTAGATCAACATCAACCTTGATCGAGCCGTGAAAGAGAGCAATTGGATTATTGAAAGAATATCGACATAATTCCCATGATACATCAATATTCTCAAAGCTTTCGTTGTTTGATCAATGGCATTCCATCCAAAGAATTCCCTTCAACCCGCCTTCGCACAAATCAATTTTCAAATCAACCATGATACTGACAATATTATAATAGCCCTCCTTTCATCATTGACTTCTTGAGTACGTTGATCCCAGTACTCCGAATCAAATAAATATTACAATCCTTTTTGATGGATTTCAAAGGCCCGCTGGATTTTTGAAGGATTTATATGTAATTTACAAGGATACTGATTTGTGCTATAGTGGGTGGTGTCTCCGCTGCCGTCTCCAAGACCGCTGCTGCTCCCATCGAGCGTGTCAAGCTCTTGATTCAAAACCAGGTATGTTTATTTCGGGCATTTCTATTTATTCTTTTGGATACCTCAATTTGTACATGCATATGTACAGATCGCAGTAATGCATATTTCCATTTCTTCCGATATCTCGTATCTTGGAAATATCTGGAAAATCATTAGCCCGAAAATAATTCTATCCCACCTTTTATATTACACTTGCTAATGTAATCTTTCTACAGGATGAGATGTTGAAGACTGGCCGTCTTGACCGCAAATACGATGGTATCGTTGAGTGCTTCAAGCGTACCACCGCACAAGAAGGTGTTGCCTCCTTATGGAGAGGTAACACTGCCAACGTTATCCGTTATTTCCCTACACAAGCCTTGAACTTCGCTTTCCGTGATACCTACAAGTCGATGTTCAACTTCAAAAAGGACCGTGATGGATATGCTAAGTGGATGGCCGGTAACTTGGCTTCCGGTGGTGTAAGTTTCTTTTCCCCACGAAATATCTATATGCAAATACTAATTCCTACAAAAGGCTGCTGGTGCCACTTCCCTCCTCTTCGTCTACTCCCTCGATTACGCCCGTACACGTCTTGCCAACGACAACAAGAACGCCAAGACTGGTGGTGACCGTCAATTCAACGGTTTGATTGATGTTTACAAGAAGACCCTCGCTTCCGATGGTATTGCTGGTCTCTACCGTGGTTTCGGTCCTTCCGTTGCTGGTATCGTTGTTTACCGTGGTCTTTACTTCGGTATGTACGATTCCATCAAGCCAGTCCTCCTTGTTGGACCTCTTGAGGGTAACTTCCTTGCTTCCTTCTTGCTCGGATGGACTGTCACCACTGGTGCTGGTATCGCTTCTTACCCATTGGACACCATCCGTCGTCGTATGATGATGACTTCTGGTGAGGCCGTTAAGTACAAGTCTTCCTTGGATGCTGGTCGTCAAATCGTTGCCAAGGAGGGAGTTAAGTCTCTCTTCAAGGGTGCTGGTGCCAACATTCTCCGTGGTGTTGCAGGTGCTGGTGTCTTGTCCATCTACGATCAAATGCAAGTCTTGATGTTCGGAAAGGCATTCAAGTAAATGTATTTAAAATGATTTACGGGGATGGTTGATGTAGCAGTGGTTGATGATAATGCGAAATAAACGCCTGGGGTCGGTCGTGGTTGGGAGCGACAAGGTTGAAGTTGTACAGACATCCATTGCTATGGTGTTGGGGCAACTTGCAGTGATAGTTTGCCATAAAAAGAAAAGACAAACTAGTCGCTGCTGTACTTTATTACCTAAGCAATTTTCCTGTTCCTTTTTGATCTTGTCGTTTTGAAGTCTGGTCTGATTTGGCTTTTCTTTTTGTGTGGAAAAATTTCTTTTGCATGCTTATTTGACTCGATAAATAGATTGTGAAGATGGATGGATGGGTGGAGTGTTAAAAGAATATGGTATTTTATAAATATTTAACAGTTTGTTTCGTACAGTACTCGTCCTCAGTGAGTTCATATATGATGTGATGTGATGGTAGAGTGTTGAGATGCTATGAACATGTACATGCCCATGTATCGGTATGTGCTCGTGTGTATATTTCGTCAATGTCAGTAGGAATTAAGTAATTGGAAGAATGGAAGAATGAAGATTTGAAGGAAATAATAATGATGATGATAATAATGGTAATACAGAAGGAAGGTTATCTAGTCTCTTTCTCTCTGGGTGTGGATCTAGGTTTAGGGTTTGGGGTTTGCTTTTAGTTAGGGTTTGGTGGATGGGTTTTATTTCGAAATGAGGGATAGTTGAGAAATGAATATAAAAGGTTGTGATTAGGGGATGAGGATGAGGATGGGGATGGGGATGGTGGTGGTGGTTGTGCGGGGTGGAGTGGTGGAGGGTTGGATAGGAGGGTTGGATAGATTAGATGATTAGATTGTAGGAAGGAAGGAAAGTTGTGGAGGTGAAGTTAAAAGGGTAGGATAGGATAGCAATATTGGGAATTGTTTTTGTTTGGAAATTTCTTTTGTTGGATATGGATAGATGGATGGTTTGGGATAGATGGAGGTTTGAGGGTTTGAGGGTTTGAGGAGGGATGGATTAAAGGATTAGGGTTTGAAGGTTTGAGATGAAGGGGAGGAAGGGAAGGAGGGAGGAGAGAGGGAATAGAAATAGTTCTGGAGGGAAGAGTGGTGATTTAGATAGAAGGTGGTGGATGGATGTGGAGGATGATCTTAGATAGGGATATATATATATATAAGGTTTTGGATTTAAAGTTATAGATTTATAGATAGGGGGCTCGTGGAAGCAGAAGGAGTATATAAAGAGATGGAAAATTTTAAAAGTAGGTGTAGGGAGGTATAGGGAACGAAGTGGGAAGGAGGATTGACGGTGGGTGTATGGGTGATGGTGGTGATGGTAGTGTTATGATAGTAGTGAGGAGAAATATTGAGGAGAAATATTGAGGAGCAGCAGTGAGTGTGAGTTGATGGGCGTAAGAACAGTGATGGCAGTGATTTATATAGATTTGGATATGGATTTAACTGTAAAAACTCATGAGAATAGAGGATAAGGATGAGTAGGTTTTATTACCAGGGTCAAATTCGATTAGATGATAATCTTATGAGTGATTATTTAGATATTAAATATGATGATTTGAATGATCGTGGCGGAGAAAGGAAAGAAACGCAAGAGTATTAGGATTGAGAAAAGAGGGAGGAAGGTTTGATTGTAGGTCCTAGGTCCTAGGTCCTAGAAGATTTTGATGGTGAAAAAAAGTAAAGGTGTTTAAAGGGTAATATTATAATGGAGATAGTGAGAAGGAAATAAAGGTGGTGATGGGGATAAAGGAACTAATGAAAAATAAAAGTATAATAGCAAAGCAAGATGTAGATTTTTAAAGTAAAATTTGACATACTAGAGGAGAGTAAAGAGAAGAGAAAAAGCAGAGAAAGGAAGTATGCGGGTGTAAGTATTGGCCTGATGAGCATGATGAGAAGAATTTTCTTGGATTTCGAAAGTTTAGATTTCTTAGCTAGGTAATCTATAGATAAATCTTTAGGTGAAGTGGTATATAGATCTAATGAAATTCTCTTTCCATTTTGTTCTCAACCCGACCAGGAATAGAGATAAAAAGTGCTAGGTGCGTGATTGGACTCAGTATGTAAAGAGAGATAGTGGAGAGAGGAAATGTAGGGAGAAAGATGAGTGGAGGAAGAAAGCTCGAATTGAGAAGACAAGCAGGAAGTAGGAAGTCTTGATGGTGATTGGAATATGATGGATAGTGAAGGGGCGAAAGGAAGATGATGATTAGAAAGGAAAATAAATTGGTTTATGAAAAAGAGAATATGAGTTCGCAATAATCACGCCGGAGCTTGTTGAAAGAAGTTGGGCGCTCTCAGTTGAGAAATCAGGAAACTACGCAAACACTTTCCTTGTGTTCTCCATTAATAGTTTCGTTCCATTTGTTATAGTATCAATAAGAGAAAAGAGGCAGAAATTTATAGGAGAAGTGATAGTTTGGCGCTGAGGGGATTTGTAAGCAAGAGTAATGGATGATGGAGAAGTTTGTGAGAATGAAATGGAAAAAAACTGATATATAAGCAAGTGGGTTTTGGGTTTGGGGTGTAGGTCTGGGGATACTAGCTGCGGTATTTGTATTCTCAAGAATAAATAGTTTTTAGACTCTGGTGAGGATATAGTATAAACTGGAGTATGAAGTTGATAAACTCAAGAAGAAAAGAAGAGTTGAATATCTAACGTGAAGTTGCATTAGATTCCGTTGATGGAAGAAAAGAAGTGAAGTATAGATTCGATGATAATCATTATAGTGACAGTAAATCCTAAAATACAAGCTGGTAACAATGAGTAGGGATGATATTAAGTGGCGAAGAAGGCGGTGTAGGTTAACAGAAGATGAATCCTTAGGACCCAAAAGGATCTCGATTTGGATCTTGATTTGGGAGGAAAAGATTGTCAATGAGCATACCTGGAATATACACTCACAATCTAATCTTTGACACCTTCAAGGTGGTCTCTTTTGGTGGTTTAGAGTGAAGATATGTGGCAAATGAAAATATATTTATAGGCGAGCTGGAGAGATCAAGGCGGGGAGAAGCTAAGTGTATGTTTTATATCTATTTGAAGAAAGTAGATGATCTTTATTCTAGTAAGGAGTAACATAAGATGAGGTCTTTCCGGGCGTGAATGGTAACCTTAGATAAAAGACAGATTAAAGTGGTAGATATAAATACCACTTTATTATTCTACCTATATTTTCTTGCGAAGAACACATTCAACGTCGGTTACAACAGCAACCAGACAGGTTCATTGATGAGATATTACAAGAGAAACACACAAAAGAGTTTATGGAAGATAAAAAGTGTCATTTCGAATATGTGTTGTCTAGATAGAAATTGAAATAAAAAAAGAAAAACCTGATATTTTTAGAATGATAATAGTAAGATGAAAATCGGAAAGTGATAAAGATTATCTTTTTTTGAGTTGTGAAGAGAATAATGAATGGATCAGTGGTGATTGACGTGATGATGACAAGAGACTGTGATATTAACAGAAGAGACAACGACAGCGGGAATAGCTGTAAATGGATATATTATGGCAAAAATATCAGGAAAGTCGATACAATACACGAAACAAAATGTGGTTTAGAGCATTCTGTTTTGTAAAAAAGGCGCTGAAAAAGGGGAAGCGAAGATGCTACAAGGCAATGAGGGATGTGGTACGATTCCGGAATATCTTGTTTGTAGGTGGAAATGAAACATACCCGAAGTGGGATTATATAAGAAGAAAGGGAATGAATTTTCGTAAGGGAGGGAGGTATACCCGTAGATAAATGCAAATGATCCCAGCAGTGAATTTTCGATTTTTTAAGTAGTTCAGTAAATGTTCACCCAAGTAAAAGGAGTAATTGACTATAAATATTTAGTTATGGTTTTCGTTCTTGGATTCCTTAAACAAGAAATAGGGATAGCACACACTGGATGCTGGGATCCTGAAATGATACTGTCAGACTTACTGTGTGGAACTTTCCATGGTTTTTACAGATGGAAGCATAAGTCAAAAACACAACTAGTATATAGTCCCAAAGAAAGACTTAGATTGAATATTAATAATTGAGAGTAAGGGAATGAAGGACAATGAATGAGAAGAATGATGACAAGAGTTTTGTTAAGAACAATGGTGCGGGAAGAAATTAATGGTAAATGATTACAGCAATTTATACTTTCTCTAGTGAAAAGAGAGATTAAAATCTGAAGAATCTTGATGAATATATCAATATATAAGGTCTGTTTTAGAGAGAGAGACTATTACATATTACGCAAGAATAAGGAAGTGGATAGGCACCTGAACTTTGCCATGATTTCGCAGTGTTCTTTTGTGGATGATGGGTATGAGGAAAGCGGTCCTTTTTTATAATGGTAAAGGAATTCGCGGATTAGCTATTTGATGCGGAAGTGAATGAATGGACGAACTGGATAAGTTGTTTAGCTGCAAGGACTCTAGATGCGTACGTAATCAAAGCAACGAATGGAAAAAACAAAGATACGACTATATCAATAGCATCCTTTACTGTAATTCTATATAGAAATGATACATTTTTCTTGATCGAAGGAAACAATGGAAATCGCTTTCAATAACGAGATGACAGATAATGAATAGATGAACTCATTATACAGCAAAATAAAGGAAAATTGCAAAATAAGCGAAGAAGGTAAGAAATATAATTAGTCCTTGAAAATACCATTTTCGATTGGTTTGTATTGTCAAGGCTCACTATATATAGTAATAGAATACGCCTTTAGATTCTTCAATCTTGTTTTATCTGGCAAGCATTAAACTCTTTTGGACTTCCGAGCATTGAAGTTTAAGGTTATTTTTAACAAAGTGATTCGAAAGTATTGAAAAATAGGACGAGGAGGAAATAATCACAGGTTCAGGAATAGAATCAGAATGAGACGACACAGGTAGAAGAAGCAGTAGCTTTAGTCCGCTCTTATTGTGGCTAAATGAGAATCTGTAAGGATAGGTTTTGCCATTCTGTAAGGAACAGATTGTCGCCTTGATGGCGTACTCTGGCGACGATTATTGGGTAATGATGACGGTTATTGAATCAGTGAGAATGAAGATTTCTTGTTGTCATCGCCTTTCTCATTTTGGAATTCCAATGCTTCTCATCTAAGGTGTGCAGAGGGAGGCATGGTAATCTTACCCGAGGGTCAATGGGAAACCTAGGAAGCGAAAGCACCTGTGCTCGAGATGCAGAAATTTCCAGTACTAATGAGGAGTTACGATTGAGGAAGGCGAGGTCTTTTATACCGATTTTCGGTTAATATTTGAAGTCTTTGATGCGTATGAGACAGATGTACATATAAAAGTGTTAATAACGGGCATTTGCTTTATACACGGTAAAAAACTAGTGACAAAATAGGCTTGCTATATCAAGCTTCCGTATGCCCATCTTTGCCATAGAAAATTTGAAGATAATCGCTAAACAGAACGAGAACAGGTGCTGCACCGATTTTCTTCGTAGTGAGTGAAGTAGTTCTGGAGAGATGTCAAGGGTAAATTCAGGAATATTTTACATATAAAAAAAGAAAAATGCGGTGGAAATTAAGAGGGGCAAAAAAACAATAGTGAATAGTGACGCTGCTGATACGTGACAATGAAGATACCTCTGCCATGTAGTAATGGTACAGAATCTTATACACAATTACTATACATTGACAATCGTTGTATATGAGTTGATAACTATTAGATACCAAGAAGTCTATTCAAAACCTGTCTATGAATCTTTATTCAGAGACGAATCCAAACGAAAAACGTCAAATCAGTATATTAACAAAAGCAATCTAGACATCAAATACATCATAAGACGTACTCATATCATTCGCGATTGAATTACACCAACAAAAAGAAGGGTTTTATAGAGACGTTCGAGATAATTAATGGAAAATAACTGGGGCATGACTTCACGAAAATGAGTTGGTAAAGCGTGGAACCTCAAAGCCCGCTCTCTTCAACCCCAGCTTCCATACGCCATAATATCGTAATAACGCATTGCTAAAACAATGATATCCGACCCGAAGTTCAGTACTAGTCAATAGCATTTAGGAAAGAATTTATGAGGCTTATCTTCGAGTGTATATAAGAAAGCGAAAAATGATAAAGGAGATGATCATATATGAGGATGTCGATAATGGAGTTGAGAAGATGGCCATAAAATTCTGACAATAAGTGACGACAACGATAATTCTGCATCGACATCAATCAAACACAAGAAAGCACAGAGAAAAGAAAAGCAAAAGAGAAAAGAAAAGCAGAAAGGGAGAAATTGGAAAGTTATCCGACAATGAAAGTACTGCTGCCCAACTCCAAAAAAAGCGAAAATAGCATTTGACTGATTCATAAGTCATTCCCGAGTCCTTCATACAAAGTCAGGGAAAGGAACGAATATAGAAGAATCAATCGAATCTTCACATACAAGGGAATGGCAATAGAAAATTGCTAGAAACGGTAATTAGCGAAGCGACGATATCTTGGTAAACAACATGCTCCTAAGATCACAAATATTATTATAGCGCTCAGGGCCGTGAATCAAAAAGTATAAAAACGAAAGCACGCGGTAATAAGGCAGCAAGCGGCAATTTCTCGTGTCATCGTAAGTTATGAAGTAAGATTACAAAATGCAAGACTACAAAATGATGGGGACTTTATATACAGATGATACTGTATAATAAAAGTCTTCTCGCATTTATTACTAGATAAGTGACATCATTAACAAATCCCAAATGCCACCCTTAGGCAAACGAGGCAGGAAAACATACAATGATAACACATAAATAACACCTAATAATCCTCTACAATCTTACAATCATCAAAATTGGAAACTCACGATTGTGTATAATGAGCCTTCATCTTTAGATACTGAGGGCAAGTAATACAGGAAACTCTTGATGATGTTTCTGTATAAGCTGTGGTAGCATTTTGATGAAAGGATTCAAGTGTATATCTCGGATTTAATAGAGGCTAAAGCACATGATAATGAAGGAAGAGAATGGACAACAACCATATTTCCTCCCACAAAACTATTTACCCACCAGCCGTATTAGACAAGATAACTTCATGGTTGTACATGTATGTCCCAAAGCACTAATCATGACCCTCCACATTCCAACAGATTCTTGAAGTCAATTATTCGGAAAAGTTCCTAGGTATAAATTCACACTTTCGCGTCAGAAATCTTATGGAATTGCTAGCCTCTTCGGAAGAGATATCGCAAGGGTTGGGACAAAGTAGAAAACAAGATAAGCAAGGACCGAAAGACACCTTCGGTGTAGACTCAAGATCCTTCTTCTTTATTTCTCTGTAAATCGATGATTATTTTCTAGTGGAAGTCTCAAGGACCTAGGTCAATTAACTTATTGTCAAATAACAAGATTAAGAATGAGAATCATGCTTCTACCATGGTAATAATGTGTAGAGACTAACAGTAGAGATACTTAGCTCGTGATTTGGAGCATGAGCTTGGAATAGATGGGTTTTCCCAATAGTTTTTTTAACTGGCCAGAGTTAAGAATGAGAGACGCATATCTGAAATGGAGCTGCACTACTCCCATAATGAGCGATACACAGATTTCACAGGTACAGGTTGAGTTTGTAGGATCGATGAGCAGGGCCGCCTTTATAGATGCAGAGGAACATGATGTTGCGGATTGTGGAGACACTTGACGAATTGTGATAGGAGGGCGTGGTAGAATCCCATTTTTTCTGATATAAAAGCCTTTTAACTTGACATTTGTGGATTGGAGGCCCTGTCAATGGCTAGCAGCTAGAGCGGCAGGCACGATAATTTGGAATGTATTGATACTCCAAGAGTCATACTGCATATTCTTGGGTGATGACTTAACAGAGCAATTTCACTGTTTCATTTACTGACAACAGAATAGAAACGGTGATGAGAATTATTGGTGATGTCAACAGAAAGAAATAGACTGAACGCAGTAAAACCAACCTCGGAAACATTAACAGGCTGGAACAAGAGGTTTTTTGAAATTGTGCTTAGTTGTGATTAAAGAATCCTGGAAGTAGAGCACCTTTGATAGTAACCACCCTCCAGTATCTTGCGTGCAACATCAAAATCGTATGAACGGATAATCATATAGAAAGTATGATGGATGAAACTCGCTTGTTTTAGTATAGGTAACGTAGGGAGTTCTACGCGAATGGAACCCTTTTAGTGACTTGTTCTTTTGATCAAAACTCCACCGTTTGTGCTCCCCTCGAGTATACTTAGAAAATTTGAGAGATTCAGCTACCTACCTCGAGTCTATCCGCTTGCACATCCTGTATCACTCATCACCTTCTTGAATCTCGGCCTTCGTTGCCACACCTGATTTGAGCATTAAAGGTTAAATTCTCCGCTGTACTGGGCCAAGACTTTCGTTATTGCCAACCTCAGTTATTGTCACATCGCCAACATGTCACCCATAAATATCAAATAGGTAGAAGGGTGGAAGAGGAGTAGCACCCGGGCTCTAAGCAAAGATCGAAGAACCAATTCGGAGAGGCTTTCCGTTATAGACGTACTTACGTTTTTGAATGCTTTCCCCCTTTGGCTATGAACAGCTTTGATGTTGGAGGATTTGCTTGAATCTTTCTGGCTGCAAAGCGAGGCATATAAACTGGGCACACTTAGCGTAAAGGGTGAGTGTAGGGAAATGAAAGCGAGGTAATTTTCTCCCAAAAATCAATGACAATATCTGAGCTAGTAACAGCATAACAACACAGCAAATGTTTACGCAATGTAGAGGAAGTCCTTTACTTTCCTCATCCTGCTTGAACATGCAATAGGAATATAATGATCAAATGCTTTGTGCTTGCTCCTTTCCATCATACTTACAAACAGATGCACTGATAAATAAGGCCCTCCAGTTGGAAGTATGAAAGTCCGTTATATCCGACAACGATAACCGACGCATTGGCATCATTGATGTCCCTACGTCATCCGGGTAGCTCTCAAAGTACGCGGAGAATTCTTATAACCCCTCCAAAAAAGGTAAATATGAAGATATACTGATCCTCGTGAAGTCAATCTCCTCATGATAGTGTAAGGATGAAATGGACTTGAAAACATCATTTTCTTGTAAAACACACGTGTAGAAAGGATTGGGATTTGATTTGAACAATCCGTTTCTCCGAGCAGAATAAGGCATCAATCTCATATAATCTTATTTTAAGGCCACAAATAATTAATTATAAGTCCGAAAGGTTCCGATATCCTTAGCGTCAAAAGTTTTAATGAACATTCAAAGTTGTTTTTCTTTCTAATCAATATTTATTCAATTGACCACCTTATCTTCTCTCCACCAACGAGATATATTTTTCTGTCTTTTCCTTCTCTTCGTAGAAGAAGTATCTACCTAATAATACCACCTCTCCTCTCAATCTTTTTTTATAGATAATCATCATGGTTGGCTCTACTGGCTCAACAAAGGTGGATGCAGTCGTCCAACAGGTCGCTGCTAACACCCCGGAGAAGCTCGGCGGCTTCGCACTTTACTCCAGATTTGCTTTGGCAGGTGCTGTCTGTTGTTCAGTTACCCACGGTGGTCTTACTCCCGTTGATGTGTACGTATTGGAATCATCATCAAGTTTTGCGCAATGCAACAAATTGGATAACAAGTGGGAGACATGAAATGATGACATACTAACATGAATTTTTCTTTGTAGCGTCAAGACCAGAATTCAACTCGACCCCGTCACATATAACAGAGGACTTATTGGAGGATTCAGACAAGTTATTGCAAATGAGGGTGCTGCTGCTCTTTTGACTGGTGCTGGACCAACTTTTGCCGGTTATTTCCTCCAAGGCGCATTCAAATTCGGTGGTTATGAATTGTTCAAGCAACAGGCTATTAACCTAATCGGTTATGAAAATGCCGTTAACAACAAGACCGCTGTCTACTTGGCTTCATCTGCTACCGCAGAATTCTTCGCTGATATCGCTCTTTGCCCTCTTGAGGCTACCCGTATTCGTTTAGTTTCTGACCCAACGTATGCCAATGGTCTCGTTGGTGGTTTCTCCAAGATGTTGAAGAACGAGGGTGTTGGTGCTTTCTACGCTGGTTTCGGCCCAATCTTGTTCAAGCAGTAAGTATTAGTGTCTTTGGATACATCATTACCATGCTAATATTCAAAAAGAGTTCCATATACCATGGCCAAGTTCGTCGTTTTCGAGAAGGTTGTTGAGGCTATCTACGCCAGAGTCGACAAATCTAAGGCTTCCGATGGAATGCAAACCACCATCAACTTGGGATCCGGTCTCATTGCTGGTATGGCTGCTGCCGTTGTTTCACAACCAGCTGATACCATGTTGTCAAAGATCAACAAGACCAAGGGTCTTCCAGGAGAGGGAACTACTTCCCGATTGATTAAGATTGCTAGAGAGCTTGGTTTCAGAGGTTCATACACTGGTATTGGTGCTCGTCTTGCTATGGTTGGTGCTATTACTGCTGGTAAGTAGTTCTGACGTTTCCTGTTCTCCAATTCATTTACTGATATCTTGTACAGGTCAATTCGCTATCTACGGTGACATCAAGAAGGCATTGGGTGCCACTGGTGGTGTTGACTTGGCTGTTAAATAAGCGATTGTATAAAAGCAATTGTGGAAAGGGTACGGAATCGTGGACATTGTTTAGCGAACCCGGGGTTATATGCATGCATTTGATTGTTCCAGCAAACCTTTCTTCCTCGTCTTCAAAAAATTACTCCGGTCTGTCTTTTTTTAAGAGAAGAATAGACTAGATGACGGACTGGAACTTTAGAAGAAGATATGGAAGGGAAGGAAATACATTTCATGGCGTCGGTCTGTATAATAGAGACTTACTCTACGATAGAATAGATGGCAATTGGATGTGGTTTATGTTGATTAGTTCTACGATTTGATGTTGAGAGTCGGGGTGAAAGTGAGGAGAAAGAGGGGCAGGAGTCGGTAGTGTTGGTGATGTTTTAATGCGGGAGTTGATCCCCTCGTTTGCTTTTACTTTCTTCCCCATATGTTCTTGATAATTCACCGTGAAGACACGTACGAAAATTGTTGCAACTCGAAATTTCTGTTTGATAGCAGGATATCTGCCATCCAGGATCTTCTAGAGCTTAGTTTGCAGATGAGATGAGATGTCCAGGCAGATGTTATGAATTTGAGGAGGGGAAAGCTGGTGGTTGTGAGAGCTTGAAATAGATCTCTCGGACATGGATTTAGTCCCTACTAAGGACATCGATTGGTGCATGTATACTGACTTCGAACTTTCAGCAAAATAAAACCAAAAGGTCCAGGGAGCATTATGCGGAGTAACTCTCGTTGGTATTGTTTGATCATTGGATACTAGTTAATAATTCGCATACATCGTCATGAATCTATTATCCCTTCAAATAGCTAAAGTCTCTATGGTGACTTGTTCATAGGATTGGTGGATGTTCCTGTGTATGTATGGAACGTAATGCGGGACTTGGTAGATACGAGGATTCAGCAAGTATCTCACAGCATACCTACTCACCTCGAAGTCATGGAATCTCTTTTTGAATGAACACAGCCACTCTCTCATGCGCAGTATATCACCCATCCCCAATACCAGTAAACATCCGATAATCTTTATCTGGCCTAGGAATCCATAACCATGAGGCGTACAATCTCTGGATATCCCCAAGGGATAATGCTTGAAAAGAGTTTGAAAAGGGTTGAAAAATGCTTGATTTACACAGAGTGTAAAACGAGAATGACGCAGATAACATGCATTCCCACAGTTCCCCAATATGATTCGATCGGATATTTATTTTGACAGATTAGTTCAACCAATGAGATCGTCGGAGTCATACATACTGTCCACAAGCTAAGCTTTTCTGCCAAGATTCTTGAGGTTCCCAAAAACAGCTGGAGCTTGTATCCCTGAAAGAGGGGCAGAAAAACCTCGTCAGTGCTGTGAATTGAGAAATCGAGAGGGTTCTCCCCACTATATTGAGGGGATTATGAGTTGAATACTGGAACACTCGAGTACCAACATTCACTGTGTTTATGTATCTCGGGCGGTAGTGATACACGGACGGGTACGAGATCTGATGATCCTTTTTCACTCTTGTCTTCTCTTCTGGTTCATCTTCTTTTATATACAATCAATCGACTTGCCATTCTTCCACTTCCTTCTTTTCTCATCTCCCCCAACCACACATCAGAGATATCAACAACCTCATTAACCTCAATTCATACATTAACAACAATAGTATCAACCAACTCCCTAACCTCACCACAAACACAACCGCAATCATGGTTCACTTATCCCAAATTCCCAGCGAGCAAACTGTGACTGCTCCTCTGGTTGAGGGCCTCGAAAAACTTACAATGGCTGCTTCGAGCGAGGAGGATGCCTTTACTACTAGTATCTATGGTTCTAAATTTGCAGCTCGGGATCTTCCCCGACATGAAATGCCGGAAGGTGAAATGCCAAAGGAGGTGCGTGCCATCATGCTCTTTGAAGGGTTTTCATGGAGTGTGAAAATTGCATCTGAGCGACAGCTAATTTTCTGCGGATAAATAGGTTGCGTATCGTATGATTAAGGATGATTTATCTCTTGATGGAAACCCTATGCTTAAGTAGGTCTGAATCTCCGTACTATTGTGGCAGATACTGATTTTTAATAGCTTGGCTTCTTTTGTTACTAGTGAGTATATTAATTATCTAATTGATGTATGATTTAAATCGCGATCTTTGCATCTAACAATAATTCAGCGTACATGGAGAAAGAAGTAGAAGATCTCATGACAGAGAGTTTCAGCAAAAACTTTATAGGTAAACTATTCTCGTTCTTTTAATACTTCATACTCATGCTAACCCATTAAACCAGACTATGAAGAATACCCTCAGAGTGCCGATATCCAAAATCGATGTGTATCCATGATTGGTCGTCTATTCAACGCTCCTACAAATGCAGAAGTTGATGCCGCCGTTGGAACTTCGACCGTCGGTTCCTCCGAAGCTATCATGTTGGCAGTTTTGGCCATGAAGAAACGTTGGAAGAATGCTCGGATTGCCGCCGGAAAGCCAACCGATAATCCTAATATTGTTATGTCTTCTGCTGTTCAGGTCTGTTGGGAAAAGGCAGCGAGATATTTTGAGGTTGAGGAGAAATACGTTTATTGCACCCCGGATAGATATATTATTGATCCAGAGGAGACGGTTAATTTGGTGGATGAGAATACTATTGGTATTTGTGTCATCTTGGGAACGACTTATACTGGAGGTCAGTCTCCCTTTTCTTGTTTTCGCACCTTATTCAGTCCTCCTCATCCCCCTCTTTTCTCTGGAATCTCTCTGTGATAGAACACTACTGATCCGCTGTTATGAATTTAGAGTATGAGGATGCTAAAGCTGTTAATGATCTTTTGATTAAGAAGAACATTGATACTGTCATTCACATTGATGCTGCGTCTGGTGGATTCGTGGCACCATTCGTTTGTCCTGATTTGGAATGGGATTTTAGATTAGAAAAGGTTGTTTCTATTAACACCAGTGGTCACAAGTATGTTTGAATCAGCTTCGATTATTTTGACAATGGCTAATATTTTCACAGGTATGGATTAGTCTACCCTGGTGTTGGTTGGATTGTCTGGAGAGCACCAGAATACCTTCCAAAGGAGCTAGTCTTCAACATCAATTACCTTGGTGCTGATCAAGCTTCTTTCACTCTTAACTTTTCTAAAGGTGCTTCTCAAGTTATTGCTCAATATTATCAACTCATTCGTCTTGGTAAGAAGGGTTACCGTTCTATCATGAACAATTTGACAAGAACTGCCGATTACCTCTCCGATTCTCTTCAACAACTCGGATTCATCATCATGTCTCAAAAGAATGGCAGAGGTCTCCCACTGGTTGCCTTCCGCATCGACCCCGAATCCGAGAAACATTACGATGAATTCGCAATTGCTCATCAACTTCGTCAACGTGGATGGGTTGTTCCAGCATATACCATGGCACCCAAGACTGAAAATCTCAAGATGTTACGTGTGGTTGTCCGTGAGGATTTCAGCAAATCTAGATGCGATCAGTTATTGAATGACATTAAACTGTGCTGCAGTGTCTTGGATGAGATGGACAAGGAAACAATTAAGAAGAATCAAGAATATATAAAGATGCACTCTACTCATGTCGGAAAGAGCAAGCATAATCATCCTCATTACAAAAATGAGAAGCATAGCCTGCAGGGCAAGACTGGAAAGACTCATGCTATTTGTTAATTCGGTGATGGTTGGTGGATTTTGAACTCTAGTCCGGGGCTGAGATTGGGTATCAATGGGAGGAATTTGAAGGATGGATGATGAAAGTACGAATGGAATGATGGATCGATTGATGATCGATGATTGGAAACATAAAAATGGGAAGATGGATGACGAACTGATGACCTATGAATTGAGAACGACAAATACGTGGATATTTTAGTTAGATTTTATAAAGACCTAGTAGTATATAAATATATACTCAAATTTATATTCCATGATGCCAACTACGACTTCTCCAAACATCATCTCAATTGGTAAAACATTCGCGAATATTTGCCAATCCAGCCTATAATGCTGACCCGTAACACTATCCGTAGGGACTACCCCGGAATTTGATCGGCACTTTAATGCCTGCAATATTTGCGGCGTCGAATCCACTACATGCTGGTACGAGGTAAGACCGGAAAATCAACAAGAACGGGATTTTGCCTCATCTTGCATTTTGGTGTTTAACGGTCGGTCGGCGCTCACAGGTTTCGCTCAATTTATTTCATTTTTCATTTTCCATTACAAAAGTGGTTTTAGAGCGAAGGTCTTTTCGGGAGAGAGCGCGGTGTGCACGAACATTACTAAGAAAACGGGTTATTCCAACGAGGTAGCGGTTCGCATAATACACTGGCCAGAGATACCCGGAATACAGCGCAAAATAAGGAAGGAGGAGAAGGACACAGAGGTTTGGGAAGGGATAGGAGAATAGACCGGCTGGATTGGACTGGACGAGAAGGCACGAACCGATAAAACGAGTCGAGAGAAAAACGATTCTAGATCAGATGAGATAAGACGGGTGGATCAGCAGAGAAAAGAGAAAAAAATACGGCGGATGATGTGAATGAGAATTGGCTTTCACTGCGCTTGAGGTTTGCGCAAATCAAAGCGCTAGAGTTACTGGGCGGCACTGTGAGGACTTGTAAGGATATTTTTGAAGCCAAAAAAAATAAATAAGAGCCGCAGAGGAGATATGAGCGCGGGAGGTGCAGTGGGAGGAGGAGGAGTACCACAGAAGCAGATTCGTTTTGTGAATAATGAGGGACAACCACCTGCGAAGAGGAGGAGGGTTAATGCTGCGTATGTATACAGTTTTGGGAAAGAGTGCAGAATGGAGGAGTATTTTTCCGGGAACATCAGCTAATCTTTAATGTGGCATGGCATGTAGTTGTCGAACATGTCGAAAACGAAAAACAAGATGCGATGGGAAACGACCGCTTTGTTCAACTTGTACGGATAATGGTCATGAATGTATGGGATATGCGGAGGGTTCAGATGGGGCTGCGAACTTGATAAAAAAGGAGGTGAGGACTCCCGAGGGTGGGGATGCTGATGGGAATGGGAATGCGCATGAGAGGGATTTTACACCTACGCAGGTTCGAAGGCCGGGAATTTCGAGAGATAATTCAAGGGATATGATACCGCAGAAATTGCAACAAAAAGCGAATACGCCAGTGTCAAAGATGAGATTTGAAGATGATCAATTGCATATGAGAGACGTGCCGAGGAGGACGCAAAGCCATGATATGGGAACCAATCCGCCTGAAAGTCAAAGGCTTGATTATAGAGATACGGTTCTATTCCCAGATGATGGCAGTAGTCCTATAGAAAGGGAGCAACCGCTACTCGGTGAAAGCACTATCAGTGAGAGTCATAGAGTACCATATTTCAGATATTTTGGTCCAACCGCCATTGTACCTGGATTCAAACAAATGGTTGTCTCTGTTCGGGAACAGAGAAGAAGTATGGGGGCTCGTTCTTCTTCCTCTCTGACCATGTCACCTGCATCTGCAAAACATGGTTCGACCGGTGGTTCTGTTAATGGAGGAACGCCATCTCAGGCAGGTACGGAACCAAGATCTGCAGTGGATATGCCACTTTATGATCCTAATGATCCTTTACCGGTAAATAGATTAATCATTCATCTTGTGGAAGTCTTTTTTGCGCATTTGGGCTGTAATTATCCTTTTTTGTCAAAGAGACAGGAAAATTTTAAGCGTCTGGTGGAAGAAAAGAAAATTGAACCTATTCTTGTGGATGCGGTTTGTGCGTTAGCCGCTCGATTTTCGGATCATCCTCTTCTTACTACTTCGCATGAGTTACCACATCCGAAATCAGAATATGGACAGATTTTTGCTCAAAGAGCTAAAGCAGCTGTTGTCGATACTTTTCCTTGTCCGACGGTTGGTGCGGTACAGGCATGTTTATTACTTGCTTATGAGGGCTTTGGTGCGAATCAAGATAGTGCGTTATGGATGTATCTTGGATGTGCTATACGAATGGCTGTAGATCTTGGATTACAAAAATTAGACGGCGTTAAACATCAAGGTCAGAAAGATCCGGGATATCATAGATCTTCAACAAACGAAGGAGAGTCTAGCGAACCTGCAGCCACCATTTCCGCGGAAGAAAAGAAGGAAATCGAAGAAGAAAGAATTGATACTCTCTGGGCAGTTCTAATGCTAGATCGTGTCATATCTTCCGGCACTGGTCGACCCGTCAGTCTTAAAGATGAAGATCTTGAATTGACACTTCCGTCCGTATCGAATAATTCGGAATATGCATGGCCGGATCCATTCCCGGCTCTCATTAGAATTATTCATTTATATGGCAGGGTGTCGGATTTGTTGAATCGTATAAGAGGCGTGGATGATGTTACGCAAGGGTTGATTCAACAGCTTTCGGGTATGGAAAGGGATTTGACCATGTTGTATCAGAGTTTGGATCATCGGTTAGGATTTACGGCGAGTAATTTTCAGCATTTTGTTAAGAGTGGGGAGGGAACGAATTTTATACTTGTGAGTTTTTTTATGATATTTCTTGTTATCAAAGTTTTTAATTTTCGGACCTTGTTTGCTATATTGAATGTTTTTGAGGCATTGGTTGAGGATGAACTCAAAGATTCATGGCTTTTCTAATGTGGAAAGCTTTTAAACATGGCTTGCAGCCGGATTATTGGGAACCTTGACCTCATCAGGTTTATGGGACGTTTTGCTAATGGGTATGAAGGTCCATTTTTGGTTTCATACTTTAATCATGCTACTTCATCAACCAACTTTAATGCACTCATTCGAAGGACAAGTTTTACAATTACTCCCACATAGTCGAGAACTCAGCATGTCATCTGCTAAAACTATTGCTGATATTTTGGCTTTCGCCGAACTCATTGATCCAAGATCATTTATTGGAAATCCATTTACATGTCAACCTATATACATCGCTGGATGTGCATTTCTCAAAGAAATTGCATTACACACTTCCCAGCCATCTTCCAGAGATGCTAGCCCTCGACAAAGCCCGACCGGTTCATCGGATACTGTTAGACCAAACGGGCATCAAAGCAATCATGGAAATCAAAAGCAAAAACACTCTTTACTTGCTGCAGCTGCAAATCAAAATTATCAACGATGTCACAAAGCATTACAACACATAGAATCATATTGGGCTGGTACTCGATATATTCGAGTAGCTATGGAACAGAAACAGAGTGGAATCGATCCACAAGAGGTCGAAACATACACAGCGGAAGAATATACTGAAGCTACCAAACCAAGACATGAAATTATACCTAATTGGAGAAGAAAATTCTCTGCACATTCACCAAGTCCAGCATTACCAGGATCTCCAGCAATTGATTTAGCACAAGCTATTGGATGGTCACTTACTGGAACAACCAATTCTCCAAGTTCGAATTTAACACTTATGTATCAAAATCAAAATGCAGCGGATCATCTAGAAATGAAATCCCATAAGGAATACGGTCAGGGAAATATGATTTATGATCCCATTAGACAAAGTCTTCCAGAAAATATGGCAGGAGGTACTTCGACTAGTGGAAGATTTGATAATACGTCAACAAGTGGGAGATTTGAAAGATACACTTCACGATCGAATCAAATGCTTCCTCCAGTACCAAAGTTCATGCATGGAACAAATCTCGATGCAACAGCTACTGCTGATGCGGAAATGTTACTTGGACTTGGTGCGGGTAATTCACCTTATGCTACACCGGGTAGTAGTTCTCATCATTCATTTGATCCTGGTCATAGGAATACACTTTCTCCGAGACCGGGCTCTGCTAGTACTACTGGAGCTGGTGGTGGTGGTGGATATGATTTTCACCCTCCGTCTAGAAGTGGAAGTGCGAATTTTTACGGCGGTCATAATCATGGCCATAATCACGGACATAATCACAGCCACAATAACCACAATCACAATCACAATCACAGTCACAGTCATAATAATACAGCAAACAACTCGCATGGAAATAATAACTTGCACAATGGTACGGGGAATGCACATGGAAATGCACATGGAAATGGAAATGGAAATGTATATGCAGCGCATACAAATGGATATATGGGAATGAGTCTAGGAAGCAATATGGGAGTCGGTGATATGATGATGGAGAGTCAGGATATTGATATGAGGGGTCTTGGGGAGGATATGATTCCTTGGTTGGAGTATTTGCCGGGGGATATGTTGGGGTTTTTTGAGGGCGTTGGGTAGAGGTTGGGTTTGGGTGTGAGAATTTGGAAAATGGAAATATAGAGGATAGATTATGCGGTGGGAGGGATGGAGGGGAAGATGATTAAGTGACGAGTAGAAATTATCTGTATACTTATTCATTTACTTATTTATAGATCTGAATTATATTTAAAAATAAAAATTTATTTTTTAAAAGCTTTGTTCTCTCTAGTACTTTTTATTATTTTTCAATTTTAATAAAAATATCTTATACTTATTTATAAATATTTAAATAATTTATAATTTAATCAATATAATTATTAATAAATCAACAAAAATAATATCTTTTATTTTTAAATATTAAAATATATTTTGAAAATTTAAATATATTAAGAACTTAAATTTAATGTTTCTTAATAATATATAATTATTAATTAAACAAATATTAATATATATTTCGAATATTAAATTAATATATATTTTTCAAAAGATCGATTGTTTGATAATCGATATATAAAAGCTTAAGCTCGGTCTTTTTTAAAGATTAACTTAAGTAGATTTATTAATTAATATTAAGTCTCTTTATATAATATATTATATTATAAATATTATAAACAATTTTAATAAATAAATAAATATCTTTTTTTTTATTCAAATCGAATCATATTGAATTAATATTAAATCAATATTTTATATATTTTTATTTAATATATCTAGGTAGGTAGATTAGTATTAGTGTCACGATTTATGATTAAGATAAGAATATATTGAGGGGCAGTAGTCAATATATTCATATAAACTTAGGCCTTATCGAAAAGCAAGGCGATTTGTATACAAATTTGTATAATAATTGTTTTATATAGTCTCTCTATTTTTAACAAGTTCAGATATATAATTTGATCTTAATTATATGATAAGGAGTTCTAAGAGCTTTGAAAGCTTTTAGAGTTTCAAAAGCTTTTTAAAGTTTTAGAATTTTATAAAGCTTTTTTATATTTATTAATATATAATCAAAATAGTTTTATAATTTAAAAATTTTGTATTTAATTTAATTATTAATTAATTTATTTATATTTTAATTAATCTAATAATATATTTATTTTCGAATGGATAATTAATGATTATTAGTTTTAATTTATAATTATTAATTATATGAAAACTTAAAATAATTATTGTTTTGATTAGATTGTTATACTTTAAATATTGTTATAATTAAATTATATATAATATAATGGTTTTTAATTAGTAATCTATCGAATTGTTTTTATTCAATTCAATCGGGGCTTTTGTTTAGGTTGTTGTTATTATAGAATATAGATAAACGATTCAGATATTTATTTCTAATTTATTTTATAAAGATTGTAACAAATATTGAGCTTTTGTTGTATAAATTGATTTCTATTATATTTTTAATAAATAATTTTTTTTGATTTCTATATAAAGGATCTTATAATTGATTTCTTTTTTTTAAGGAATTATATTTAATTGGATTGAATTATTTTTTAATAATTTAATAATCAAGATTATTAATAATCAATTAAATAAAAATATAAAATCTAAGATTTATTGTTTATTTTTCAATTATAAATTATTTAGATAGGAATTCGATAAGGTATTCGAGGAAGTAGATCTTGATTATATAATTAAAAAAGTATTATAATAATTCAAACAGATTGAATCAATTATAGTTTATATTGTTAAATTTCAATAATATATTGAATATATTATTTAGAATAATAATTATCTAAAATTGTAATTTTATAAAGGATTGAAAGATATTATCAAAAACGAATTAGTAAGAGCTTCGAAACTATTTAATCTTTTCGAATTAATCGAAATCTTTATTTTTATTAATAATCGATTTTATAAATAACGAATAAAAAAGAAAGGAATCATTCAGAAAAATAGAAAGTTTCAAAAATCTTATTGTTAAAATAGGTATTATAATATTAGTAATTTAATGAAATTGAATGGTATTGAATAATGTTATATAAAATTAAGCAATTTAAGTATTGATGAAAAGAAGAAATGTAAAAAGAATAATTTATATTTTATTTGTAGAAAAAGTGGATATATATTTTGAGATTGTTTTTAAAAGAAAAGATTATTTATTATAAAGGGTAGGAAATAAATGAAATTTGGGAACAAAAGATAAGATTCTTAAGAAGCAAAGATTTTGGAAAAAAACTCGAAGGAAATAGAATTACTGAAAAGAGAATTATCTTAATTCAATTTTAAGCAATTAAAGGAATTGGGTATCAATAATCAAAATTTTAGAATTAATATTGAGAATAGTATTGGTTATAAAAAAGAATCTTTAGAAGATTTCGAGTTAGAAGATAAAGAATTCGAGGAGGATCAATGATTAATTGAATCTCATTATTTATTTCGAGAAAATGAGTTATAGTATTTAATTAGTTATTTAAATAAGAAATAGATATAGTGTTATTATAAGAAGAAGAAATTTGATTTCATTAAGAAATATAGAATCTATGATTATTTTATTTTGTTAGTATTTTATATAGTAATATATGATGATATTTATTGTATAGTATTTAAGGAAAATATTGAGGCAAATAATATTAGAAAGTATATTATAGATATAGGTTTTTTATTTTTCAATAAAGTATAAGAATATAATGAATATGATTTGGAAATTGGAAAAGTATAGGAAATCCTATTACAAATTAGGATTTGTTATATTTAACAAAGAATCAATAAAGATGATAAAAAAGTATCAAATCGGGATTATTATCGAGATTTTCAAATAGGATTAATAAAATTATTATTTATTATATTTTATCGATTATTGAATATAAGTGAATATCAATAAGAATAATTGAATCTTTTTATCGAAGAACAAATTATCGAATTATTATTGTTAGAATTCAATAGTATTATAAGGATCAGGTAGTTAATTATAGAAATCAAATTAGAAAATCAATAGGTAAATATCTTGATTGATTTTGAAGTTATAGGTATATTTATAAATCTCAACTTTGTTAAAGAAAATAGAATTCTTATAGAATTAAAACAGGATTTTTATCAATTGATGTTATTAAAAGGAAAGAAAACTGGAATTGATAATTGGGTATATAAAGAAATCAATATTATTAAGATGATTATATTAGATAGATATATTGAATAAATCAAAATGGATTTAATGTTATTAGATAGATATATAATTGTTTTTGATATTTTATAGATTAAGAAATATAATTCAAATATTGATTAGGTAAAAGATATCTTAATATTCGATTGTTGTAGTTGCGATAACGAATAATTATATAATCTAAAGGAATAGATTTTTGGGAAGATTGAATATTATATTATAATAATAATAAATTCTTTATTGATTAATAAAATCGATGAAAAAGAAATTCCAATATAATATAAAAGATTTGTTAAATTCTTTGAAGATTTATAGGATTTGAAAACCTTATCAAAATATAAACTTTGGGATTATAAGATTAATTTCAAAAAGGGATTTATATTTTCTATTGAGAAGTTGAGGTTATATAATTCTAATATTATATAGATATGGAAAGAATATAGGATTAAAGTTGAAAAGAAAGGATAGATTAGAAAATCCAAATCCTTTTGTATATTTAATGTATTATTGATATTCAAGAAAGGTAATTCAAATAATCGATTTTGTAAAGATTATTGTTAAATTAATAATAAAACAATCAAAAATATATATTTAATATTGAAAGTTTAGGAGTTTAGAGATAAATTGAATAAAATAATGATTTATATGAAATTAAATCAAAAAAATACTTTCAATTTGATATAAATAAAAAAGGGTTATAAATAAAAGATAATCTTTATATTATCATCAGATTTATAGGAATATATAATTATATCATTTGGTTTAATCAATATATTAGTTATTTGTCAATAATAGAATAATAAGATATTCAAGGAATTCAATTTATTTGTAATCTATTATTTAAATGATATTCTAGTTTTCTTTTAAAAAGAGAAGGAATACAAAGGATATATATCGAAGGTATTAAAAGTATTTAGAAAAATGGATTCAAAACTCAAATTATCGAAATACAAGTTTGAAATACAGAAGATAATATTTCTAGAATATATTATTCAATTAGAATAAATGAGTATAAATTCTAAGAAAACAAAAAAAGTAAGGAATTAGAAATAATCTAGGAATATTAAGGATATACAATTTATATTAGGATTTGTTAATTTCTATTGAATATTTATAAAAGATTTTTCGAAAATAATAGAATTTTTTATCGAAATGATCAAAAAAGGAATAACTTTTATATAAAATAAAAAGATAAAACAAGCTTTCTAAGAAATCAAGAATAGATTTATAAGAGAATTTATTTTTTACAATTATTATAATAATCGAAAAAGTATTATCGAAACAAATACCTTTGATATTTATATAATAAAAGTTTATTTGTAAAAAGATGATAATAGAAAACTATATTCTATCATCTATTACTCAAACAAAATAAATAAAACAAAACAAAATTATAATATTTATAAAAAGGAACTTATAACTATAATAAAAATATTAAAATATTGAAAGATTTATTTTCAAAAAGTTAAATTCCTAATAATTATTTATATTAATTATATAAATCTTTGAACTTTTATTATTATTAAAATCTTGAATAATTGTAGATTAACTAAATAGGCTAAAAAACTAATAGGTTTTGATCTGATAATCAAATATATCAAGGGAAAGAACAATACAAAAATAGATACTTTAAACAAATCATCAGATTACAAAAACGATAAAATCTATCAAAAGATAACGATCTTGAAATCCTTATCAAATGAAGATCTTATCCTTAATCTAATAGAAATCATTATTATAGAAAATAAATCAATAAAGGTTTAAAAAGATAAATTTATAAAAATATAATAGAATAAAGAAGATATCAAATAATCGGAATTATCAATAATTGTTGATAGATTGCTTCGAATAGGAAATAAAATTTGGTTATCAAATAATATTGTTTTCGAATATATTATAGAATAATATATATTGTTAATCTATAAATATCAAGAAATACAAAAAATATATTTAAGAATCAAAAAGTAATATTGAAGTCCAGAATTTTGTAATATAATTAATAAAGTAATTATTGAATATAATATCTATATTAGGAATAAGGTTTTTTATTATACTTCCTATAGATAAATGAATATTATCGAAATATTATTTATATTATAGAAATCAATATTATAAGATTTTATAGATTTATTATCAAAATTTAAAGATCCAATAATAAAAATAATATATGATTATCTTTTTGTTATAATGAATAGATTAATGAAATATCTAATATTTGTATTATATTAAACAATATTAATTATAGAAATACTAATTTTTATATTTCTAAAAAAGATTGTTATAATATATAAATTATTAAAGGAAATACTTTTTGATAAAGATAAATTTTTTATATCGAAATTTTGGATTATTTTAATAGTATTATTAAAAGTAAAAAAAAAAATATTTATTATATTTCATTTATAAATCAATAAAGAAAACAAAAAAGTAAATCAAGTTGTTGAAATTTATTTTTGATATTATATAAATTACTAATAGAATAATTGAGTAGAACTTTTACTTTTAGTATAATTTATATATAATAATTCAATATTAAAAATAATATAAATCATTCCGAATTATATTAATTATAAGTACGAATTAGTTATATATTATAAACTAGGGATTATAGAAATAAAAAATCAATTTACAATAATATAAATAAAAAGATTCAAAAAAGTTTATAAGAAAATAATAATAGAATTGAAATTTGTTGTTGAAAGAAATATATATTATTATAATTGAAAATATAATCAAAAATCAATATTAAAAAAAAGGAATAAAATCTATTTATTTCAAAAAAATATTGAAATAAAAAGATCTAATACAAAATTGGATTATAAGAAATTCGGATTATTCAAAATCAAAAAGGTTAAAAAATCTTTGAATTATGAATTGATATTATCGAAAAGTATAAATATATATCCAATATTCTATATATCTCTATTCGAATTAATATCTCTAAAAGCATTTAAAACTTTTGAAATAGAAATCATATCTACAAATCAAGATATCTATCATGATTCACGGTTTTCTTTATAGTAGTATTATTAACATCGGTGATTTATAAGCCGACTATAGGGGGGGTGTGATTTAACCGTTGCTTTCGAGGGTCTTGATTATCTAAGCCTAGGACTCCAGGATTCCTAGGATAAGTATTTTAGATAATTATAGTAGAATAGGACAAGTGTTCTATCTAATTGGTTGTAATGGGATTATTATCTTAAAGGATATTGTATCTTAAGGTTATAGTTCTTAAAGGGAAAGCTTCTGGGATAAATGTTTCAGGAAAGGAAAGGCTTTGGGATATGAGAGGCTTTAGGATCAGTTATATGATATATTAGCTTTGTTAACCAGCTAGTAGAACTAGTATCACAGAAATGCTAGTTGTGTTAGCTAGCTAGTATAACTAGCATAGGAAAGTGATTAATATATAATCAGAATAGTTTCATAGTTTAGGAACTTCGTACTCAATTTAGTTATCAATTAGTTTATTTATATTCCAATTGATCTAGTAATGTATTCACCTTCGAATAGATAACCAATAATTAATAGCCTTAACCCACAACTACCAACCAGACGAAACCTGAGGCAGCTGTTGTCTCTACCAGATCGTTATAATATCGAATATAAAATGAAGAAGATATTAGATTATAAATATATTAGAAGTAAGATCAAATACTTAATGAAATAAAAAGATTATCTCGATTCCGAAAATATATAGGAATTTGAAAAAAAGATTAAATATCTGAAAAGATTTTAGAAGTTTCATTAACAAAATCCGGATTTATTTAAAAAGAAAAGGAATTCATTGTTTTCTACAAAAAGAAATCGAAAGAATCAAATTCGTTTATAGAAATTTTGTTAGGGTTAATAAAATTAATTGATAATTGATCAAATCGATTAAAGGTTAATTGATCAAATTAATCAAATTGATTAAATTAATCAAATTAATTAAATTGATTAGAGAGCAATAAAAAGATTATAGGAATTTTTTTATTTTTTTCTTTTCGCTCTTTTTCTTCAAAAATATCAAGTTTATTAAAATATTTAAATCTGTAATATAATATTTTATTATATCGTTTTTTGAATTATGTTTTTTATTTAACAAAGCAAACAATTTTAACAAAAAACTTAACGATTTCAATATCCAACTTATCAATCTATCGATTAAGATTCTTCTAATTATACTCCCAAAAAATTTTACAATTTCAATTATCTTTTAAATGAAACTTAATATTATATAAAACAGAATTTCATATATATTCCGAATAACACAAATAATGTTTATTAAAAAGATCTTTAATACAACAACAATTCTTTTATCGATAATAAGAATAAGAAATCATTTTAATATTAATAGAATCGATAATTGTAGTTAAATATATATATTCTTTTTTCTTTCTTTAAGTTAAATTATTAAAGAAATCAGAATTGTTTATAATAAAAAAAAAGAAATAAATAGAATATAAAAAAAGAAAAAATATTAATTATTAAATGAAATTTAAAGAGTTATAAACAATTAGAATAATATTTAGTTAAAAAAAGGATAATATTACAATTTATAATTAAAATAAGAATATATTAAAGAACAATAATCAATATATCTATATAAGCTTAAACCTTATCGAAAAATAAAACGATTTATATACAAATTTATATAATAATTGTTTTATATAATCTCCTTACCTTTAACAAGTTTAGATATATAATCTGATCTTAATTATATAATAAAAAACCCTAGGAATTTCGAAAGCTCCTAAAACTCCAAAAGCTTTTTGGAATTTTAAAACTCTACAAAGTTCCTTTACATTTATTAATATATAATCAGAATAGTTTCATAATTTAAGAGCTTTATACTCAACTTAATTATCAATTAGTTTATCTATATTCCAATTGATCTAATAATATATTTATCTTCGAATGGATAACCAATGATTATTAGTCTTAACCTACAACTACCAATCATACGAAAACCTGAGGCAGCCGCTGCCTCGACCAGATCGTTACAATTAGATTTAATTGATATAATTAATATAATTAATATAATTCTATAAGTATATATGTGTGACTATACTCTAGATAATAAGTATTGTAAATAGATAGTGTTGTAGTAAGTTATCATACCAACCCAACTCATAATTACCTAACACTAATTACCTATCTCACTACTCGAGTAGTAAAATCTTCCTTACTTACAAGTCAGCCGTATAAACATCTCTACATCTCTCCATCTCTACATACCTTGAAGATATAAAAACCCGCATCCCATTGTTTTCTTCCAACTATTTCCATCAAAAACAATTCAATAAACTTCCCAAGTTTCCTAATCACAAAACACTCACTATTCATTTACAATTCATCAATTCAATATTTTGATATTATTCACGAACCTTTCGTCATTCACCAAAAATTTCAAATCACCCCTTTAAACTACCTACTTTCACTCAACATGGTTTTCAACAAAAGTACAGTTAACCCCTCTCTTCTGAATCTCCTCTTCACCCTCTTACCCCGCGTTTTCCCCTCCTATCTATTAAAATAAAACTTGATCATAAGACTCTTATAATTAATTAACTAACTAACCATAACCACACAAACAGATTCCAAACCATTCCGCAAAGTCAAAAAACCCACAAAATTACCAAAAAGCGTAGTAGTTGATGCACATCCACATATACATATTAAGATGAATACAGATACAGCAGCAAATGAATTTCCTATTGGGGATTCAAATCCAGATGCAAGTACGGAAATGTCCGCCCTAGCTCTAGCTCAAGCTCAAGCTCTGGCTAGGAGAAATAGAAATGGAAAAGGGAAAGGGAAATCTAAGATTCCTAAGAGGGATCGCTTGAATCAATATAGGGATTTAAGTGTGATTCGTACAAATCCGGTTACGATTGTTCGGAATGTTACGTCGGGGTTACGAGAGAGAGATACTTTGATGATGAATTTATCTGATTCGGACTCGGACTTGGTCGTCAAGGAGGATGAAGCTAAAGTAGTGGATAGTGAGCCATTTGCATCATCTGATCCTGATCTTGATCTTGAACTTGAACTTGAACTTGAACTTGATCTTGATCTTCCACTGTCCTTACAGCATCAAATACCCACAGGTGTAACCAACATGAGTAGCCCTCTTTCGGGAGTAGGAAAAAGTCTACCTACAACCGCTCTATCGACTTCGGAACCAATGGCTATCAAAAGCACTTTTACTCCAACAATCAATTCCCCTCAGCTAGCTTCTGATCAGATGGCTTCCCCGACTATACCTGATACCGTTCCAAATTCTTACGAATCGTACACGTCATTCATGTACACGCCTCCAGATGGCACATCAACATCATTGCCCCCTCAATCTGATCAAAAGACTAATGAGTCCTCTCTATCTGGTCCACTACCAAAGATCTCGCAATCGACTCCGCTTCTTCCTGCGCATCGTCACTCTATTCGTGACTCTCGAAAGTCATCTGTTTCAACGCTTCCACCAGGATTCTACGAGTACCACACTATTAGTGGAACAGTGATCATCCCTCGTGCTTCTGAGCATGGCGAAAATGGCTCTGGCTCTAGCTCTGGCTATGTTCCTGGCTTCGAACCCGGCACTAGTTCATTACCTTCCTCGTCTCGATCGTCTTTACGAGAGAAATGTAAGATGGCATACGGTATGAAGCCGAGCCTTTTATGTGCCTATATCTTATGTGGATTTTGTCTTGCTTGGCTCATGTGGATGTCCTGGACTACGATTTCTTCAAAAAGGACTGGTAATCGTGGTGGTGCTGGCTCTAATGGTATTGGTGGACACGTTTTACCTTATGGTGCCGGAGTTCCGGTAGTAAACCCTTTCAAGCATGCTCGCGCAGTCAAGGAAGTAGTCCCGACTGCTGAAGCAAGTTCCCCCAACTTTGGCGTCAACACCTATGTGGATCCAATTGACGAAATCACCACCAGTCAATTCGACAGGGCACTAAACCAACAGTGTGATGAAGAGAGCAAGCGGGAGGATATGAAAAAATTTCAATAATTTGGACGTGGTTTGCACTCGCTTGTGCTTACGTGATTGCTATCATGATTTTTATCGTGCTGACATCCGAGGCTGTGTATGTTCCTGGATGGGTTAAGAAGATTTCCCGTGAGAAAATTCTTGGTGAAAAGGTGTAAGTTGAAGTTGGGGGTTGAGTTTGGGCTTAGATGAGGAAGTTTTAGGTTATGAGGGAAAGGATGATAGGTGTGACAAAATAATTGATATGTGTGGGAAGATAAAATCCCGTGATAGGGTTTGGTGTATGATGGATGAGGCATTAGGATATCAATGGCCGACACTCATGTACTCAGTCAATAGCTTTCTTCGGTAGATGTTTTGGAAGGATATACAGGCAATAGCGTGCGAGCTTGAGGATATGGCATTTGGGCAGAGTACTTCATATTAACTTTTTATGAATGCGGACCTCCGGTGTCGGTTTTGGGGATTCCTTTCATCAAGCAATGGATTTTCACCCGGGCCATTTCTGCGATAACTACTTCAAATAAATGATCTTTTAATCTTCCTAAAATGGTACTAATACCCTGGCTGGTTGTAAAGTGACAAGTGTTTTTAAAAAAGACAATGGTAGGATGTCCAGGACTTCAAATAGCAATTGTTGCTTCGACATCCAATAAACTTGAAGGTCTTTCAGAACTAACCAACTATTATTCACACTGAGCCAACAACTTGAGGCCGGAATTTTTGCCAACACTAGTAGCAACCGAGAATTACCGTATTTGCTCATGCCGTGTTGTGAAACTAATATATTCCCGAGCAGACAAGATTCGTATATATTAGATAGTTAATAAGTCTGACCATGTACTTGTATGATTGCAGCATATTTATGAGTCCGGAGACACAATGCTTCCATGCACATGATGGATTCATTCTATCCAAAGCTTTGCCAGTGACTATCTCGCTCGGACGCGGGGATCGAAGGATTGAAGTAAGACTTGGAACTCCTGAAATGTCTTGAACAATGGACGGAAGCACAATTTCGAGATGCACCTACTAGGCACCTCAACCACCAACCGCAGTCACCCCACCTCCGAGGAAGTCTGTTTGCCAAATATGAAGTGCTCAAATTAAAATACTAATTCCAATAGGCTCATCCTATCCACTAGGTGACGAGAGTAGGCAATGCGTTGGCTTTGTAAGCACATAATTGTCGGGTGCGATGGGGCTTTGCATTGCAAGCAGAGTACAACAGAATATCAGAACCAATCTTTCTATGGCTGTGTTGGTAACAAGGAGGTGAAGAGGAATATCAATGAGTGGATGGAGCTCGGGAATGAGAGAAATTGGTTACGTAAGCATTTCCGTTTAGACCCCGCATTGCGTCGTTAGAAATCTAGCCATACACATCATAACCTTAATTCTTGCTTCCAATATTTCGCTATGGGCCGGTATACTCGATCGCAAACGTTCTACAAACTCAAATCTACCTCGAAACTGATATGGAATCCAAGCCACTGATTATTACGACGATGCAAGTGCATTTCGTAGTTATACATCAAACGACGATATCTTGGTTCAATTGACATCGACGACGAAAGTTTCCGAGACCTCGAGACTCCAACCTCTCACGAACCATAAAATATATAATTGGGAAAGCTACAACTAGTTCGGAGATTGGCATATGGATCGTCCTACGGAATTGAGGATACAGGTCTTCCTGTATAATAAGATGCGCGGTGACTATGGCAATGAAGGCAGAGAAAGCCGTCCTCGTGGAAAGCATGTCAACGCGCATGGTAGGAGAGAGAGTAATTAGTTTCCCGTCTGGAATAATTCCGCGGAGAAAATAGCCAGGAACTCCCATTCAAGGCAGACACAGAAGTTTATTCAATTTTTCTCGCGCCAAACAGGACATTATTGCCCAAAGTTTAGACTAGTACCAGCAGGCTTCTTCTTGAGCCTGATAGATGAGACGGGATACTCGCGCTTCGACGTTTTACCAGTTATGAGCTTAAGAAGTCTGCCAGGTATCTTAATTTGTGAACGAATTCTAGCTATCGGCGGCAAGGATACAGCACAAATTGTAGCTATCTCAATGCCACGATGTTATTCAAAATCCTCCTTACGTATGGTAAATTATATACACCTCACACAACCCATGAATTGTAATTCAAAGCACAATCGTTGGGACAGAACTAATGTCTCATCTCTAGACTAACCATAATGTTCATTAGATACCATTCAGAAGTCAAACATTTTGTTCTGAGTTACTTCCATTACCCATATGTCTACCCTTTATGAATCAGTTGTATAGGGATCTTGGGCACATTGGTTGATGATATTCAGCGTGTATCACTACCCCGCTCCCACGCCACTCGCTAATCTCCGAGCTCATGATTTCTTCGACACCAACACTCTCTTAGATGGCAATCACTATTACTTTCTACGATTCTTTTTTGTCTGGAGAGAGATTGTGAGGAAAACGAAGAATGGCACGGAGAAGATATCGTAAGTTACAATTACGCATTCGGAATATTCATAATTCCCTTGTACTAACATTACGTAGTTATGCTGCACCCCAGTCCTTGATTGACAGAACACCTCCTTCCTTATCTTCAAATCCGACGTCATCAGTTATCCAGTCTGGCCTATCATCGAGTCAAGTATATCACCTCGGTCTGATAAGGCTCCTGGTGAGGACAGGAAGTTTACTTATTTCTCAAAATTGCCTTCAGAGCTTCGAATCCACATCCAAGAACTTGTATGTGGGTTTGAAGGACAGCAAGTACTTGCTGTCGATAGTCAATGGGTGATCTGTACTCCACAGTCTGCTTCAAGTAGTAGGTCATAGACACCACCGGGACAGGGTTTACATCCCCAACGCCAATTCCTATCGCACTCAATGTCTGTTCCCTTTCTCGAAACCTCACCTTGAATAGGTACGAGCTTTACTTTGGCTCGACCTGTTGAAGTAGTGCGGATATCAGTGCTCCTCTTATGATCTACCTCGGTTTTGACAAGGATATTCTGTGTTTCCGTAATGATTGCAGTATCCACGATTTGTGCCCGTAAATCATGTTGCGATTATTTATACAATCTGGTTAATGAGTCCGACCTCGAAAGAGACCAATATATAGGGTTCAAAATTCACATACCAGGACAGATGTTCATGAACCTGGATTCATTCCATTGCGACTTTGGAAGATGGAAGTCACTTAAAAAGGTGGCATTTTGGGGTCACGGAGTCTGGAACGAAAGAGTGTGTAAAAGAATAAATTTCGAGGAGTTGAATGGCAAGGAGTTGCATTCTGCAAACTCGTGGAAGCGAGAGATTGGTGATTTCGGGGTCTCTATCTTCTGGGGACCTTCCGCAGTAGTCAATGAATCTACTCCGGGTGAGCATGGAAGAATTACTGGATCTCGTCGACCTGTTGCTGGGGAGAGGCAAGAAGAAGCGGGACCCGCCGAACCACGATGGAAGGTAAGCTTGGGATCATTTCCAAAAAAAAATATGAGCATGCTTGCCGTTGTGCGCACTGCTGCTCCAAGATGAAACGGCCCAAGATTCCGCAGCGGGAAACTCTCGGAGACAGAGTCAAGACCTGACTCGAATCATCTAATCTCCAATTCTGTGCATGCATATGCAGTGAAACGGAAGGAAACCCCATCTTCTAGAATCTCTCCGCCCGCAAGTTGACTTGCATTAGCTCTCCACAGCGCATGAAGGCTGCAGAATCTCCGGCTTTCGATATGAAAATAGAAGGAGACAAGACTTCAATTTTTCTGCAGTCCAAAGTGTTCGCCTTATCTGCGCTTAACATGTACTTTTATCTGTGGGATGACTCCCACGAACTATTTATCCAGCGACTTAAAACTTTTTCAGCCCATGACAGCGTCTTGGCGACAGTTTTATACGACCAGAAGCGGCCGACCAAGGCGCCAAGATTCCTGTTAGCGCGCAGCCAAATTTTGGTAAGTATATATGCACAACCAGACGCATTCATCTTTTGTTTTGTTTAGACCATTGATAGCCATACCACCTTCCTTAACTCACACCAAAGCCGAACCCAAAGAGCAATCTGGAATATCGATATTTTGGGCCTCAACATTTTGAAAGTTTTAATATTTTTAGAAATTATTTCGCTGACATTGAGTCTAGTCAGTTTGGGATATGAAGCAAGTCCCGTCGTCGTTACAAGGGTTATTGACGAGGATAAACTGGTGTGGTGGAGGACGAGAAATTTGATAGTCGTGTGTTCTTTTCACCAAATCGACCTGGAAGGGGATCGAGATGACGTACGTCTAGATTTGAACTGACTCGCAGATGATAAACGGTTGGTTCCTTCCTGGGTAAATGTGGGTTTGCTTTGTGGAAGTTCATTGGTCAGCAATGTATCGATGAATGAGATACAGATTTCGGTGAGCCGACGATAAACGGAACTGGCGTATACGTTGAGGGCAGAGGCTTTCGGTGTTGTGGCAGCCACACACGGCCTAGGTGACGTTTTGTCTTTGCCGTCTGCACCAATACTCGCTCAGCGTCTCGGACCTCGGCGGTCGAAAATGTTCGGCTCTATTGTGATGATTGTTCGGTCATTCGTTCGGGGATTTTCGGCAAATGGCTTGGCAATCCAAACATCTCTATGGGGTTAGTTACTTACCAAAGATAGTCGCAAGATATATCATTGCCAGCATGTTTATTGGGTTTGGCATTGCTTTAGATCATCTCTAGTTCCGTATGCTTGTTAATTAGCACCCGCAAAGGAAGACTAGTCATGAATCTCCATTCAATGCATTTGGCTTGTGAGATCACTGACTACTTCTGGAATTAGCGTTCAAATTCCGGCCATCAATACTGAATTTGGCTGGAGATTGCCAAATTTTTCTTTAACCCTGTCCATCAATTTTCTAATTCTTCTTCGTACTGTCAGCATTTTTAGAGCCCGCCGTGAGGGCTAACGGGCCCTGGGATTCCGGAAAGGACTCTCGTTGGTAAAAATAAAAGAAACGATACACTCCATATCCTAGTTAAGTATCATGCAATAGCCGCGCTCTTAGTACCACACTATAAACGCTTCATCATATTTTCCGGATACACAGCATGGACAATCAATATGCAGCGAGGTATGCTGTATGCTAGCCCATGACATACGTCGACCCATGAAAGCAGCCGCTATTTCAGCACTACTCTTCACTTTTCTCTATCATTTTTCTTATAATATTGAGAATGATGCACTTGCATGTAGTAGGTTAAATCACATTTTTAATATTTTTACTCATACCTGTGAAATCCATAACCCGCAAACCATGATTGACCTCCTCAGTCTATAGTGGGCTTATCCCATAAGCGGATCGCTCCTGCCGTTTTTTACTCGAGCAATTCTTCTTCCTCGCCACCACATTTCCTCACTATCTACGTAAATCCGTTTGACATGCCCAATACCAATCAGAAAAAAACGTCTCGTGCTGCACTATATACTTGTTTGTAATTGAATTCCCTGTGATTTCCTTTTCTATTATGAGGCTCAAAGACTGCATGGAAGCGAATTATCGATATCTGAATCCGTACTCAACTGCATGTTTTTGCAATTTCTCAGAAGGGAAATATCAGCAATATTTCCTAGTCCTTTCATTCATTCATTTTCATTCTCCATCACACCTATTTTTTCTTGGCGTTATTTTTGCACCTTGTGCTGATTTTGACTTGAGTTGGTCGATGATGTATTTATATGTCTCATTTTTATGTATAATGGAAAAGTAAATATAAGTTTTCGTTTGGAATTAATAATCTTATCTTTGAATTATCATATTCAAGAGGGTGATATGTGCTTTTGAACCGTAGGTTAGATGAGGCTTGTGAGTCTTTGAGATCTTTGATATGTGAAAAGATGAGTAGGCAATCTGATTTTCGAGGAGCATTTTTGTTTGCTGTATTATCTATCTGTATTATATTCATGATATCTTTACCTTGAGATTTTAACCTCTTATCCTCAAAGATTACATTATGTTAAAACTAATCTTATAATGTTCTTAATACAATAAGTCTAGTACCCTACTTTCCAGCCACCCCTAATTCCGGCCACCTTTTTACACCAAAAATCATCATTTTCAGCTATTAATAACTTCACAATTAATGATTAGAATTCAATGAAATTTGAATCACAAATATATTATATAATTATACATAAATTCTGAAAATTTCAGATTTTTTGCGATTTTATTGGTTAAGAAATTGAAAGTTGAAATTATGATTTTCAATTTGTATAAGATTTATATATAAATTTGAAAAACTTGAAAAACTTCAATAATTTTTCAATAAAAATTACTAAAAATAAACTATAATTTTTTTAGAAATCTTCAAATCAAATATTATATATTAGTTTAAGATTTTGTATTTTAAATAATATAAATAAATTTTTATTGATATTTATAAATTTTACAGAGATCAAAAATTATAATATTTTGATTAAAAGGATTTCTGTAAATTATTTTTCAAAATAAATTAATTTATTTCATCGATTATAATATAAATATTCGAAAAAAATTTATAATTTATTTTTAATAATTTTTGTTCAAAAGTTATTGAAGGTTTTAATAATTTTTCAATTTTGTATGTAAATCCTATACAAATTAAAAATTCAAAAATTTAATCTTCCAGATCTCAATCAAATCAATAGTAAAAAATCTGAAATTTTCAAGATCGATTGATAACTATATAATAAATCTACAATTCAAATTTCAATCAATTTTATCCATTGATTGTTGAAATATTAATAGGTGAAAATGATAATTTTTGGTGTGAAAAGGTGGCCGGAATTAAAGGTGGTCGGAAAGTAGGGTACTAGACTTACCTTCATTCTCATTTCTCATCCATCCACACTCATACTCCCCCCTCGAATCGTCCAATCACGCAGCGCAAAAGAATAAGGCGAGACTTTCTTCTCGAATATAGAAGTATAGAAATGTAACTTATTTAACCTTTTCGCAGTGCGATGATTCGATTGCGGGATATTATGACGGGGTTTTAATATTGAAGTATGCTGAGTTATGTTATGTTGTTTGGATTTTATTGTAAGATCTACTTTGGAATAGGTTTTGAGGTTGGCTGATTTATGTATGTATAGGGCTTATTATTATCATTGTTATTATTATGATTATATAGCTGCATGCTCACGGAAGAGCATATATAAGGATAACTATAGACAGCAGGCTTTCTAGTAGAACTCTACGAGTTGCGCGTCACAGCGGGGGGATAGTATTTGTAAGGCGATCCTTTATTAGTTGATTTATCTTTGCTAAGTGGTTTGTATTGATAGAATCGGAGGTTAGGAGATGCTTTGGGGATTGAGTGGTAGAGGGTGGAGGGGTGGAAGGGAGGAAGGGAGGCAAGTAAATTAGTGGTTTTTTCGTAGTAACAAGATACTCAATTACTCATTAAACAACCAATCGATTAATAATATAATATCGATATCGTAATACTCAATAAATGAACTCACTATTTATACAGAATAAGAATAAAAAATTAAAAGACAAACCTGAAATTCGAGACTACACGTATAATATATAAGGTTATCAAAATTTTACCCTCTAAACCTCTGAACCGCAAATGCATAAATAACCCGTGACCAGATAAAAAATGCAGAAGTCGAGTAGAGTAACTTTATATAAATACAAAGAAATAAGAAAGTAAAAGTGTAATTCAAGATAAGATCTTACTATACACATTACCTTAACACTTGAAAATAGAAATTATTATATAGAAGTATAGGAGTATAGTATGCACTGTATAAAAGTAGCTTGAACTTGCCTTGCCTAGAGTTCTGAAGAAGAGGGGTTCTGTCTTGTATTGGATGTTGGATTTTAGAAGACTTTTGATAGTTTGATAGGTTGAGAGTTTATTGGTTTATTGGTTTATTAGTGGTGTGGTGTGGTGGGGTGAGGTGGAAATATAAAATATATAAAATATATAAAATATATAAAATATATAAAATATATAAAATATATAAAATATATAATATAATATAATATAATATAATATAATATGATATGAGATATGAGATATGAGATGTATGATGCAAGATATAAATGTATGCATAGATTATCAGCCGGATATATATATATGGAGCCGGATGCAAAGGTGGAGATGTGTGCATGCAGTCTTACCTACGTTGGTTGGTTGGTTAGTTGGAAATGAGCAATAGAGGGTCAGATAGTGTATTTTGAGGGTTTGGAGAGTACGAGGGGGAAAGGAAAGAGGGAGGAGGAATCTTAGATGGTGGTTGAGAACTGGAACTTGGAAGAGTGGATCACCAGATTTGAGATGGAGATTCTTGTTCAGAGAGGAGTTTTGGTGTTGGATAACCTAGGTAAAACTTGATGTTACTGTTGAATAGGTGGGGCATGTTGACGACGCTGTGAAAACTAGAGAGGATCCGGCTACGAGGGGCGGATTGAAAGAAACGATATTGGGGTATGTATGTTATTCCTCATTGAGCTTTCTTGACTTATTGAGCCGCTCCCGAGTGTTGATTCATACTCAAACATTAAACATGTTACCAGCCACAAAACTACAGATCAATATTTCTAATATAGGAATAGATGAGGTGGAAGAAGTGGAAGCCGGAAAGCCATTTAATATCCTTGAGGTTTGTGTTAAAGTTAATAACGCTTGTTGGATGCTTTTGAATTGTTGGAGTTATGTAGAAGGGGGTTTCTCAAATGGACTTTCTCTAATTTGGTATATAGAGTACTAACAACTTAGAATCAGGATTAGGGACTTTGGAAATGGAAATTTCAGTGTTCAAAGGCTCTGAATTGATAGACTTGATGCTGTAGATGCACTCATGATTATCCAACCGATTTCCTGGCTAATTGTGCTAAAAGCTTATTTTCGGTAGTGAAATCTGATTAGATAGGGCCGGCAATAAACGATTTTAAATCATAGCATATGAACAAAATCATAAAGCAGGTAAAATATGGGAAAACGAAATTTTGAGCAATTCTTGACTTCAAGGGAGCTAGCCCTTTGACCTTGATGTGGATTTATTACCCCTCTTGATGGTTATGTCCCTCACAAACGCCAAACACCATGCCGATATGCATCCATCGTACATCCAGTTAAAACCTCTACGCTTCGGTAATAACAGAACCACCAGCATCCTTCCACTTTTGAACGCGTCTTTTGATATCCGATTCGGTTTGTTGCATAGGATTCAACCTCCTATCCCTAACCATGGCTCCGTAGTTCTCACCCCATCTCTTAACCAACCTCCCAATCCATTCCTTCTCCCTCTCACTCTGTTGTCTCTCCCTTTTCTCTCCCGCTCTTGAAGCTTGTTCCTCCAACATTTTCACAATCTCATTTTTTGACGCTGAACCCTCCTCATCAACGAACCCTCCAAACCCTTCTCCTTCCTCATCCTCAGCGTCCGAATCCAAAGGATCGTTTAATGGATTTGTTTTCTTTTCATCATGGATAACTCTTATAATCTTTCCGGTCTCAGGATCCCTTTCGACTCGCGCTTCGGTTGGTGCAAGGCTTTTAGGAATTGTGTTTGAGATGGCGAGTTTACTAGCGGTAGAGGTTTTTGATTCGGGTCCTGCTTTCTTCTTTTCGATACCACCGGTAACAGTATTGAGACGACTGGTTAAACCGAGACGACGATAATTCTGTGTTAGGGTTTCATCCTGTCTCCTGGATAAAGAATTAGCGTTGATTGCAAGATACAGAATTGAATAGAAAACTTACCAGTTTGCGGCGATAATAGCATTGCCTAAAGGATTCACACGTTTGGACTTTGGCTTGAGCTTGATCTTAGAATTTCCAGATCTGTTCTTCTTTTTTTGGAGTTCCCGACCCATTTTCTATTATTGCAGATAATGAATGAGGTGGTGGAAATGAAATTGGTTTGATAATGTATTGGCACTTCGCAAACTCGCTCACTTCGAAAATCTTCACAAAAAATTCTAAGCTAGTCTTATCAGCTAGCTTATCATCACATGATATGTCATCGAGGTTTCAGTCCCGTGATTATATGCACGTGCTTTTTCAATTCCCCCAACTTATTCGATTTTTTCATATGCGGTAGTAACATCATGTATATCTTCATAATTTCGATCTAACCTTGGGATTGAGACACTTTTCATAGTGCCTCAATATATACATGCAGCACGATTAAGCAGCTCCCGTCCCATCTCACATGTGAATATCTTCATCCGAAGTAGTGGACCCTACGGAGTATATACGTGTATGTACCTGTCTAGCTGAATGAACCGAAAGGCAGAGGTACCAACCAACCATCGCGCCCCTATGTCCAATAAGGTTTGAGGAAATGTCATCAGGGAAAACTCCCCGCTCCCAAATCCCCACGACTAGATATTAGATACTACATAGATACCTATCAGGCTATCAGAAGTATTCATTATGAAAACAAATCGTGATCTAATGCTAATCTATTCTATCGAGGTGCACAATCTATTTACACCAGAATGGCATCTTCTCCGGCCTCATTTCCGTCATACTTGTGCCACTCAACAAAAGTGTGGATGGTTTTTGTTTTGCTGTTCATGGGGTGCATTCATCGGTTATTTGACAACATATCTCTTCTCTTTACTGTCTAATGTCCGAAATCAAGAACGATTAGTGTGAACGCCGAAGAGATCTATCCTGCTACGGCGGATGCCGTTGTACTTTCGTACCCCCCACTATAGCTGTCTTACCTCTCTGTTCCTCGATTTCACGATCGACCTCGTTTTGCTCCCTTCTGTAAGTTCTGTTTACCTCAGCCACTGACTTCGAACTACGATGAAGAGGCGAAGTCCTAAAAGGATCATCAGCCAATCCTAATGACCCTAGTGTAACGTTCCATCACAATCGGTAGAGTTCGTCGCTTGACAGTTGACAGTTGACAAGTGACTTGAGCAACAAGAAGAATCTCGAGCAAAACATCTAAGCCAATCATCTAAGCCAATCAGCGGTGAATCAATAATTGCGAAAGGATCTCGGAGAAGACGGCGAGGATTCGGCAACGCCATGAGCGATGACGGGCTAGCGGCAGGATTCTGTTCTGTTCCCAATGAAGCCTTCGTGAATCCTCCACAGTGTTTACAATTTATGACTTTCTTCAAAATATAGCCGCGCAAAATATGATGAAGAAGGCTGTAATATCATAAATTCGCAACATCAATATTGCATCGTTTCTCGGTAGAGCAAGTTTAGGCCAATTCCGTCGAGCTGCTGAGAAATTGGGATGGTGGCAGATCCTTGGTTGGTCAAACTTGGCATATCTGAGACATTATGAAAGATGGCGGATCGGAGATATTGCCCAGTTTTGATATTGCTACATTGTATTTAGATAGGACCACTGCAGTTGAACTTGAACCAGAACTCGACAGGCCTTGAAAAGTTTCGATTAGACTTTTTTTTAATCAAGTGTTTATTTCCATTTTATTAATCACCGGTTGTCATGGTTTCCTTTAGCTTCCTTAACTAATATCTACTTTTTTGCTATTGTATTGTTCCTAATCATTGTGCCGTACTCCCCGGCCCTTCTAATAAACGAGCTAACTTTTATTAATCGCTCTGAAAAAAAAAAGAATCATGCAATTATCCGCGGAAAAATTCAGGTGGTTCCTCCGCTTGATCGCGGAAAGGCCTCCTCGTGCTTGGGTTTTTTGTACCTGAGATAGGTCGAGACTAGATCAGAGCCCATTAATAATGAAATCGCACATATAACCGGGCCAGTCTGATGTTAATATTGAGAGAAGGTGGCTTAACGACGCCCTATGTTTAGGGAATATGACTCGCGACCAAGATGAGAGAGAAACAGTCGGTAACTCTTGGAACAAAAAGCAAAAGTTTTGCAAGGATCTCTCAATCTATCCGTCCAATTACTCATCTCTCCAAGGTTAAGAAGCCACACCGAGGCATCTAATAACTCCTCAGTTCTACGATTGGAAGAAGTAAGCACGGCATATAGGCACGGGCTCGCCAAAAGGATACACCTAAATCAATTGGTAGAGGCCCCGTGGAGGTGTACATTTTGGCTATACCTTTGCGTTATCACATAGCCTAGCGGGCTCCCATTGTGGCGCGAATTCCTTCTACGCATCTTCGAAAGCTTCTAGCTTGTATCCACACTTAGGATAGCACCATCGTCGAAGAGAAGCTTTTACATGGGTAACGGTTGTGCTCGGTTTGGAATTTGCCGAATAGACCTTGGGGGGACGGCCACCCAAAAATTGATGCATCTATTGTCTAATTTGTCTTGCAGTAGCAGGAGGAAACCAAAGGGAATCTAACGAACATATCTAACGAAAATATCTAACCCCCTCGTGGATTTTGTTAATAATCATCAATAATCATCAAGCATATCAAGGATTGGATTTATTTCATTATTCAAGGTCCAGCCGTGTAAATTCAACTGATCTGCAATTGTCTAGATTGAACCCTTAATCAATGGTCATGCGTATGTAATGACAATGATTCGGTTTGTCAAAAAGATTTGATTAGCATTCATCCAAAGATTTGTGAAAGGAAAATGAAGATCATGAGGGGGATCCTAGTGTAAGTTGGCCCGCAGTGTAAACTAGTGGGCGGCCAGACGCACACAATTTGGAGCATGATTGATATAAGTGGTTCGGAGGAGTCGATATCATTTTTCGTAAATGTTTGGCTGGTCTAGTCAATTATCAATATGATGAAGGGGGAACCTTTAACAGCCATAACAAACGGTTGAATTAGTTGGCAGCTACGACTAATTACGATCTGCCCCCCTCAATTATTTCTCAATTTTTAGACTTTTGTACCTTCGCCGTGCTGAGTGCACACTTTAGCTGCAGAAATTAAACGAGCACGAGCTCTGCAGGTGATGAACGAATCATATGCTAGCCTGCTACCCAACCCCGTTAACACCCATGATGGAGTTATTTCTTCATGAACAGCTCAGACATGAAAATATTTACGGAGTACAATAATATTTACAATACCCCTCATTCATTAGCTACAGTCAGTACGGACCGGCTCCTGCATTCAGATGTAAATAGCATAGTGCTCCTTATCCATTCGCAGTCTTATCGGTTGTAATGAGACGCTTTGTGCCTTGATCGCACATTGCGCAAGACTGTAACACTATCACTTGTATCGCCACACATCAATAGTCTGTCTCATCGTCATAAGGAAAAGTTTAGTATAAAAACGCGGGATATGGGATATTCAGTCTTTGAAGACTTGCACACAAGTAAAACAAAGCCAAGAAGAACTAAACACCATCGACAGGGCTGCTAATTCAGGCATGTGCACGGCATACCGAATAGCCAGGGGAGAGAAATACAGCCAGCGTTTGCCCCCTCACGAAACGATCTTTAGTGGTTGCTTGACGCCGGTGGCTTGTTAGTAACCGTTTACCTTCTCATCTCCGAAATTCCATACTGTCTGTTTTAAGCTATCATTAACAAACTCCTCTCGTCCAATAACTCCTGCGGGAATTGACGCTAATCAAAAGGATGGCTTTATGACGGACAAAATATATAAAACCTGCGAGAAATAGATTACAAGTTAGAACCTGGTCGTTGTATGGGGTCTGCTGGCACTTCTTGAGATAGCTTCCGCAATCGCGAAATTTCCCACCCCAGTTTTTAGATCAAGCTCTACGGCACAGAAAATGAACGGGTATATTAACTTCAGTGGGTTGATTGTGGATTGAGACATACTAAAGCTTATTTCACATGAAGCTCACGATCCCAAGCCTTTTCAAGAAATTTATCTCCCTACAGAGTAGATAGACTTAGTCATAACCATAAAATTAAGCATTTTGAGCCCCGAGCCGATTTCGATGCCAATTCAAAATCCTCTCGAGCTTGTTTTCCTAAGCCAAGATTCCCACGAGCAAAAGATTGAGAATATTATTGATGAAATGCTATCGAAAAGCTGTGTAAAGCAAGTGAAAGAAGCAAAGATTCCTGCATGGAAGGCTGCGTTGTGCTTCCTCTGCAGACAAAGTTGATGATTTCTGATTAGTCAAATTATAGATTAAACCTCTCGGAGCTGGCAGTTGAAAATGGTCCTCGGCCCCCAAGAAAAGCCTGCTAATAAGTCCCAATTCAATTCCCTGCCCATCCTATCCTACATCACAATCTTTTTTTACATTTCCCTTCCCCCCTGGCAAAGCCGCAGTGCTGATCCCCACCCGTTACTTGAGTGTGCGCCGGGGCGGACACACTATCTAGGGGTTATCCATCGTCTAGCTCGCTTTGCTCCTCATAACTGATTAACATGCCCACCATGAATTTCCTCCAAATATTGCAACCCCAAGCTTCAGCTAACGGCTATTCTCCACATTCTTCTTTCGTTCACTTGGCTACATTATATTTCAATGGACTTGCATTTCTCTTTTCAAACAAATCTCCAAGTTTTTACCTCATAATTTCCATCAAAAATGACTCTCCCTGTAGCATGCCCTCCTTCCTCTGCCTCATCCGACCCGCCTACTGTTGCGCAACGCAAGCGACGCAGAAGAGCTCCAGCCAGTGGTGCCTCGGACGATTGCTTCGCTTGTACCAAACGCAACGTAAAATGCGATCGCAGAAGACCCTATTGTTCACAATGTCTAGAAGTGGGAAATGAGTGTTCAGGCTACAAAACCCAATTAACTTGGGGTGTGGGAGTGGCAAGTCGAGGAAAATTGCGAGGCTTATCCCTCCCCGTTGCAAAATCCCCTCCTGCCCCCAAAAGTCCACCCATCACTCGTCCTCGAGCTGCTTCTACAATTGCAAGACCTTTAGACAAAAACGAAGATGGTGTTCGAATTAAGTTAGAAAATGCTGCTTCTGTACCTGTCAGTCCATTTATGACGTATGATTTTGTCAACATGGCACCTCATGGAAATACTCCAACGACGACCCAAATGTCGGACTGGAATATACCTGCACCATCGCACGAATTCAGAATCCCAAAGTACCATCCTGAGACACAACAACGACACATACAAAGACAATTACCCGGTCAACTTCATCGGATACACACGCTTAGTATCGGGAGGCCAGAAGGACTCGGTCTTTCCAGTTCCGTGGACTCTCTGAGTTCATATCCTGACAGCGAGTATGCATCCCCCATCAGCCAATCATTTCACAATGACGAAGTTCCATTTCTCAACAGCCCGCCCAATGTACAACAGCTACTCTTCGAGAAATACTTCTATAACGGATCAAAATTCCGATATTATGGGAAACTCACGTGGTCCAACATCATGTCCCGATCAATTCTACGCCCAGTCGGAAATGAGCTCAAGCATAAGCTCTCATCAAACTATGTATGATATTGCAGAGGCTCGGCAACCTCAACGATCCCATCAAGGATCTCCTTCAGTGCATGAGATATTCTATGATGATGAAATGTTAGGTGAATAATTTTATTCGAGGCGTTTCTTGAGATCTTTTCACTAACTATTCTCCTCCTAGGCATCCAAAGCTCTCACGAACCTGACGTATATGCAACAAGCGCCAGATCCAGCCATTTTGGATGGACTTCTATAAATGAAGACGATGTTGGTTCCCCCACATCTGAAGCAGACACTTACCATCATATTACCGGACATGATTCCATGTCATCTTCGCTTACATCTGAAATGTCACCCCGAATCTCATTCTTTTTAGATTATTACGAGAAAATCATCTGCCCCTCGGTAGTGGTCATCGATAGCCCTTCTAACCCCTATCGTGAGCATATCCTTTCTCTCGCTTCTTCAAGTCAAAGTCTTCAACATGCCATCTGCGCCCTTGCTGCTTGCAACCTACGCATGAAGCGAAAGCAATCACTTGGGCAAGATCATTGGCGTCAACCAATGGAACTCGAACTTCAAGACCGTATCAACGTTGGCTCTATTGGTCGACCTGTCTGCGTCAGAAGATCCTCTACTCAAACCACTTTAACCGACTCCTCGAGTACCGACGCATCACTTCAAGAAGAATATCAACATCGCTCCCTTGCTGTTTCCTTACTCAATCAACAATTATCTGATCCCTCTAAAGCCCGCCATGATTGTGTTTTAGCCACACTCTTTATTCTCTGTCATTACCGCATGTGCGAATCTGGCATCGCCCAATTCCGTACCCAATTTGCTGGCGTCAAAAAGATCCTCGGAATGCGAGAATGCGGAATTGAGACTGGTAATTGGGGATGGATGGAGTCCCTCTTTACCTACTTTGATGGCATTGCCGCTTCAATCAATGACCGCGAAGCTCAGCTTCGAGGTGGATATCTTGAAATGCTAGCTAGTCCATCCAATCCCAATCACGCAATTGAAAACATGGCAGGCTGCGACGCTGTCCTCTTCAAAACAATCGCTAAACTGGGACGTCTAAATTTACTTTCCCAGCATCGTCCTGTTATGAATGATTCTATTTCCTGCAACTCTCATACAAATCATATACACCACCCAACCGGGCTCCATCGACCTCGTCTTGCAGGCCAAGCACTTGTCGATTTTTACAACCTCCATTCCATCTCATTCGATGGTAATGGCTTCGCCTCAACCATGTCACTTGATGATGAACCCAACTTTCCTATGCAAAGCCTCACACCACTCTCTCCTACCTCCTGCTCACCAACATCTGTCCCAACCTACATGCCAGGTGATGACGCCCATACCACTTTCTGGACCGAATGGAAAGCAGCGCGCCTCGAACTCCAAGAGTGGGAGTTCTCTCCCTCTCACATCGTCTCCTCTCTCCCCGTCACCCCCACTCCGACTCAACTCCGCGACTTCGGATATATATCCGAAGCATTCCGATATTCGGCCCTCTTATACACTGAACGTCTCGCTTGTCCCACAACACCCAGCTCGCATCTTAACTTCCAGAACTTGGTCAGCCAGGTTTTGTTTTACGTTACAAGCCTGGAGACTAATAGTGGATGCGAGAAGTTTTTGTTATGGCCACTTTTCATAAGTGGAAGTGAGTGTATCAATGAGTTGCAACAGAGCATTGTCAGGAGTAAATGTAGGGAAATTATGAAAAGATCAGGGTATCTTAATAACTTGGCGGGATTGGAGGTATTAGAGAAGTTGTGGGCAGAGGGGAAAGATGGACGAGCATCCCCAGATGGGATGAGAGGTCAAGGGGGACCTTTTAAATGGAGTAAACATATGGAGGGAGTGGAGGGTGAATGGATTATGGTTTGAGTTGTCGGTTTGATTGGGGTTTTTGATTAGAGGTTATGATGTGATGATTGCTTGTTGTTCCGTTCTTGTTACTATGATCTCGCTTTTAATGCGTATCATATATGTCACGTCTCTCACAATACTTTGTGCACATGACTTTTCTCTCTTTATGTTATTGTATTTACGACTCCCTCTCTTGGTGCTAGTAATCTGGAGGCGGACTGGGCTTATGAAATCACTTTTGTACATGGGAGGCAGGCTTTGGTGTATGGGGTGAGCCAACGAGAACAAAAAAGGTTATTAGCGGTGGGATGGAGATTGAGAATTCTTGGTTGCGGGGGGTGGGAGTCATGGTCACGAAAAATGAATGATGCCCCAAAATTATGGTACTTTTATGATTTTCGCTTATGTGTTACGAATTATGTCATAGTCTCAGGAATGGAGGCTTGGGAAAAGTATATCGCGATGATTGGTATTACACGGGGCAAAGAATCATTCGTTGGCTTGTTACTGCGTACTTTTATCTCACTTAGATATATTTCCAATACAAAAAGTTATGAGTTGCCCTCAATTCCAACACAATTAAAAACGTTATTTCATTCATACTTTGGTGTTAGTTAGCACTTGTCAATTACAATGTACCTCGACGTCACAACAAGCATTATCATGCAGGACAAGTTACCTACGTATATAAACCCCACTAGAATGCAATACAACAAACGAAGTACAAAGCACGCACAAACCTTCCAAGTTGTCAAATCTTCAGATTATCCTATCTGATATATTGATGTGCATATGCACATACCAACTCTAATCACACCGGTCCCCAAAATTAAAGATGGGACAACAGACACACAGAGAACAAGGAACAAGGTTCGGTCCAAAAGTGGGATATTCTCTTTCACGATGCCATTCTTCGCACTCTGTACAGTCAAATTGAGTCAATGTACACAATGTCGAAATGCCTCAACTGCGGAAATCACCCACGGTCTGCCCAATTACCGCTACCGGTATTTGCAGATACGAGAAAATTCTTGGCCTAAACTTAAATGGTAAACAATACCTCTCCGGCATTTGGTTGGCTGCCGTCAAGCGCCAAGCAGGAGGGAGAGAATAGAGTGTAGTGGAATGCAGAGGAGTGCATCTATCTAATCAAAGGGAACGTTGGATTGCATATATGGTCGAGACCGCAGCCCGCCAGCGAGGTGCAGAGACCCAGCGTAGGAAGTTCGGAAGAATGGGATATTTCCGGATGGGATGGGGCATTCTCGAGAGGGGTGGATATTCCAGTAGCGGGTCCGCTGCCCTTGGCACTATTATGATATGCCATTACCATGATATATGTCGTGACGCCCTGCGTGTAATTGGAAGATGCACGTGAGGATTTTGATGGGCGCTTTTTTCTTCGGTTTTTTGGCCGTAGGAATCCCCCGTCGGTTATCTAGAGTCTCCATAACTTAAGCTGTTGTGTGCAGTAAGTACATGGAACAGGTACGATAACTTTATCGATCATGATCCATAATTTTTACTTTCGGATCTGTTTTCTTTTTTCGGATCGTGAGAACGCTGGATCGGCGGTTGATCCGATACTTGTTGAATTATCTTCGCTGGCGTCTCTAGGTTAATGCAGGAGGAATTCAGGAGGAATGCAGATCGCGGACTTGTGCTCTGCCTTCATTTGCGGAGCCTCGGTCTAAAGTTCTACCATCTAGAACTTTGCCATCTCCGGGATTTGAAATGAGGTGCTCCTCGGAGGAGATAATTAATCCGTCTTGGAATGTCTAATCTTACAAGAAGTTTTGAACTTTAAATGTTTTGACGGTGTGAAGGCGATTACAGCGAGGAGGAAAGGAGAAAGGACCGAGATGTGCGAGGAAAAGAGGATTGACATATAAGGTGTGAGGTAAGAGGTGATGCTTTGATGTTTGGAAAGTGGGCAGTGGAAAGTGAGAAGATGTGGTTTTGATTTCTATGCCTTGGTCATATAATCAAGATGGGAGATAGGATATGTGAGGGATGGTGTTCGGATCTTAAGGTGTTCGACAGTATGTGAAGTTGCTTCATCATAAAACCCGTGTCAATCGACTTCCGAATAGAGATATCTGATTAGAGCAACTTTGGATACTTGATGACCTCTACTCAAGCAGGCTGGCTTGGACTTCGTTCTACGGGATCATGAACTATGGAAAATGGTAGTACTCTAGTCAAGTGGCAGAATTGAGGTCAATACACGTTCCATAGATGACGGAAAAGTAAGAAAAGGTCAATGTCGGTCATTTGTGCAGGAGTCGACGGCGACCTTAAACGTTGATGAAGCTCATCCTTTAATTATATCAACACACACTCTCTCAAAATATTTGAAGGCAACATCTTCCGAATATATGCATGCTTGAGAATAACCCGAAATGCAAATTTCTCCGTTCCCCCAAAAAAGAAGTCAAATGCGGAGCAAAGAAGACATAATTATTCTAGGAATATTCCAATGTAGCATTCACTAATATGTAGAGATGCTGCCTCCAAACTGCTCTTGTGTGTATTCTAATCCCAGCGTTAAGCACTCCTTTGTCCATCGATGGTTACCATAAGAGAGCTCTCCCAGTCAAACTTTCTGAAGTCCAAGGGCATTGCTCACAGCTTCAAGATCTGTCTCTTTGAGAAACAACCAGAAGGAAACAAGAAGTGGAAATCATAAAAAGTAAATCATGCTACATATTCCAAAGTTCACTTTGAGTAGACTTCAAAGCAGAAATATTGCGCCAATATTTTAGTTGGTAGTGACCAATCATATGGCCGGCCGGATTAAGGGGAGTTCATATCTGCGTATGTATTAACTATTGGCTAATAAATCTTATTTATATGCCCGTTGTTAGGCTCAATGTGGTAAGTACTATTATGGGTCTATATAATTAGGAATCTAGCTCTAATTATAAGACAACCCTCTTCACACTTATAATATAAAATTATACACCGTGGACAATATTTTGTGGCAAATCAACTTCCAGAAGTTAATCACCCACCAAAAGGCCACGCTGAAGGTCGGAGCTGAGTTTTCGTTGATTTTACTTTCTATTACCATTAATTTCGGAAAGTAGTATATCTCTTAAGGCGGGATATTCAAGCAAGGTACTTTGAATGCTTTCAACATCTTCAACTAAGTTGTTTGACACCTTATGACGGTGGCGAGCCATGACCGCACTCTATACGTACGTGCCGTCAACATATACGTAGCCGGTATGGGGTGAAACATATTGGAAGCAAAGCGTCGAGCCGCATCTACTAGGATTGCTGAAGCTATTAACACGGATGCATTCAAGGTCATTTGTCGATCCGAAAACCCGGAGAAGACATAGAATTGTTTTTCGCGCAGTCGGTCTCTAACGATCTTATATCCACTCTCCGACATAGATAGCAATCAGTTTTGTTTCGTCATTGACAACACGATTCGTGATGATGCTCGGCAGAAGAAAGGTCGAAAGAACGTTGGACAAATTATCAAAGGTTTTCGCTTATGCTGCTGCGGACTACTTCAATCTTTGTACACAAGAAGTTAGAACACCAGTGTACATCGAGGAGGTCGATCAGATAACGAGACGATTAAGCCAAACTGTCTGTGAACGAGTAGAAAGCCGTTGGGAAGATCACGACGCGATGTCATACAATGAAGATTGGCGAAAGTGCAGTAGCACTCAGGTTGGAATCAGTTGATGTTAAACTAGAAGTTAGCGACCTTTATGTACGGAAACTTAAATAAGATCTTCAAGGATGCTGGGCGTCTGCCTGCCACCGAAATTTTGATCATGGCAGGGTCAGGGACCGCGATGTACGTGGTCAAGTATATGGATTGGCTACGGGAAGTCAAGAACTGTGATTGGGTTATCAATGGTTGTGTAGGGAAAAGGCAAGACTGTATTTTTAAATCCGACGGATGTATCTCAGCGCAGACTCAAGTCCGAAAGAACGTGGGGCTATGAGCCGTTTTGTGTCAATTTTACAGGAAGGATACATCTTAGCCCAACTGGAACCCAAAGGGAGTTCACTTGCGTCCATTTCCCGCTCATTTACGGCAATTTCATCTTTGCAACCTCAGTGAAGTGGATTACAATGTGTGTTTCCAATAGTGCAGACTGACAGACTACACGTGAAAGCTTCCAAATGCTTTAAGTGTTCTAAATATTTTGAATGTTCCAAAATATGAATGGTTGAATTACTCAAATTTTTTTAACATAAATCATTGAGAAATTCAAAAGGTCTTTTATTATCGGGCTAAAGTCCGGACTATTGAAAACCCTGGATAAATACCCTAGGTTCACACGCTAGTTCTGACAACCTCAATCCAGAGAGGGTGCCACTTCACTCCCATAATCATCATCATTATCATCAGAGACTGGGTGCGGACAAGGAAGCTTGAAGGACTAGCCAGACACATAAGAATTCCAAAATAGAAAGGACTTTAACTAAAAGCTCTGGTTTTAGAGTTTATTCTCTTTTCCGCTAGTACATCAAGTTAGCCGATGGAAGAAAACTTAAATCCATCGTTTCCCCTTTCTCAAAGCGATATTTAGTCCAAGCAATCGAAGACCTCACTTAACGAGACAATTGCGTCAAGGCTTTGAGGATTGTGGCTTTCAAAATGCAGAAGGGTCACTTTTGAGACTATAGCTTTCTTTTCACTATATCATTTATATACATTCTTGTATATACACTTTAAGAACAAAATTTTCAGTTCTCTGCGAGATTTCCCGCTATGCATACAAAAAAGCATGAGAGACTTTCATCAATAATAATTTAACTCGCAACGGAAGTCCAAGAAGAGATATCAGATTTGTACTCGAATCTAATTCTCTCATATGCCCGAATTCTATTCTGCGTCTTTCCATACTTACTGAGGGTACTATCAAAGTATCATCTTTTCCATCACCAATTTAAAGAAACTGAATACATCAGACATTATATTTCGCCCCTCAATAACACTAGTGTGAAAATCTTGAGTTGCTCGAGATGCTTCCAAAAGATGACCTTTATATAGAACAGTTTTAGATCCCGCATAATCCTCCTCCTAACCGCTCACCCGTCTCGTCCACCATCTATTCCAACTAAATATCTTTCAGCATCTTCCTAGCCCTATTCCCCCACCATCAAACTTCACCACGATTCTGGCACTGGAGACTCATGATCATTCCATCACAAAACTCCAAACTTCAAACTCCACGATGACTAAAACTCAATCTTCCATATATCTACGGTGGAGAAAACGCCTTTGATAAAATGTCTTAAGACAATGACTAGCTACAAGCCATCACGATACGAAATTAGAACCACATGAATATTCGGCTAAATATGCATACAATGCACTAATTATTCTAAAAACACATGCATATATGCAAGAAAATATCACCAAGGACTTTGGAATTTGTAGACCAATTTGCTATCTAGACAATTTAAACAACACTTTCCAAAAATTCTGCGCGATGATACATACATATATATCACAAGATTGCAAGCACAAATCTTCTCCTCTCTTACTCGCATCATATCATCGCATCAACTCACCATACAAGCCATGACACTAACCCAGATACCCAGATCCACATCTTAAAGAAAGATATTCTTTATATCATGCATCACAAGGGAGTGAACACTAAAAACCCCACTCCCTCTCTCTTTACCGAGATTTGGTTTGCGTATTCTTACCATGCAATGATTTATCAAGCACTATTTCCCTGCCACGCCCCAAGGGGTGTAAATCTCATAATCACCAAACTCTTCGAAACCCCTGCTCCTATCTAACTTCTTTACATTGCTGCCATTGTCCACAAACATCCACAACCAAGGGGCGTAAGCAAAAATTCCGGCTCAAAACTTCCCAATAAGTAACCTATCCTTCCTCCTCTCTCCTTCCCCCTCTTCCCCTACTCCCCGAGTCCCATACCCAAGAAAATATTTCCAAACATAACAATACCAACAACTAGGAAATCCATAATAACCAACCAAGCAACCCTGCCCTCTTCACCTACCTATCTCACCCACCCATCATCCCCCCATCTCATCCCACATCAGCAACCCAATATCTAAAATAGATTCAGAGTTCAGAGTTCAGAGTTCAGGACGATGAGGACTCAAATGGTATACAATAAAATACACAATAAAATACCACAATACCATAGGCCCGACTATATTTCCCTCAAGCCAAGATTACAAACATGTAATGGGAGAGGACCAAGTCATAAAATATGAAACATACAACATAAAACATGAAACATGAGACATACAATATATACATATATATATACCACTTTTTAGAGGGGGAAGTACCATTACTACAGCTTTGGTAGGACTACATTACAAATTCGAGACTATATTTTGGTGGTTGATTGAGTTTTATGTTAATAAATACTACCTATGTAGAGATGTGTCGTGATGATCATGTATATGACGATGATAACGATGAGGAATAATAGATAAAGATGAAGAAAGAAGGGCTAGCTCGCTAGGGTGAAGTGTTTGTTTAAAATACAGGGCCACTGACCTCGATAACTCAATATGGTGCTCACCTAACAACATGACAATCAAGTTCTCAGCTAATTAATTGTAAATGCGTGTATCGAATCATATAAAGATGATAAGAGTCAATTTATTGTTACTGATAGATATACAGAAATACGGAACGGTGCTCATTAAAAGGTAAAACGCTCAAGTCATCATTGGTATCTTGTCATCAACATATATATCCACCACCTCATCCATACATAACTACCACTGTTAGAGAACCTGTCCCATGATCTCCTTACACAAATAGCCTAGAGCCTCGTACCCAAGTTGATGTGGACGGCTTTTACGTGAGAATAGGCTGGTTCAGAAGAAAAAGGTTAGTAAAACAAAAAACAAAGAAAATTGATGAATATATATCGGCGGAACTCACCTCTCAGGCCCTCCTCACCTAACTCCCGTCCAATACCCGACTATTTCTGAGTTAACAGGGAATCTCGACGATCATTGCAAGAATATTCACTTACCTGTTTGACCCCTCCGAATGGAATCCTAAAATCGGAATCCTGACTACTATTAATCCACACCATGCCCGCCTCGATTCTCCTAGCAAGCTTATGCGCTCTTTCCAAATTGGTAGTGAAGATTGCACTGCCAAGACCATATGTTGTGTCATTTGCCATTTCCACTGCATCCTCCTCCGTCTTGAAGCTAGCAATAACGCAGAATGGTCCGAAAACTTCCTCACGGTAAATCTTCATGCTGGGCTTGACATTTGTGAAGACAGTGGGGGTAATGAAAAATCCCTTGCCTGAAGGATGGGCGTTTGTGAAAGCTTCACCTCCCGCGATGAGCGTGGCACCTTCATCCTTACCTGTTTGAACGTAACCTAGTACACGTTCGTATTGAGCTTTAGTGACTTGCGGACCTTGGAATGTGTTTTCAGCGAATGGATCACCAACAACGGAAACTTCTTTGATCTGTTTCTTGAAGGCGTCGATGAACTTATCGTAAATGGAATCCTGTACGAGGATTCTAGACGTGGCGGTGCAGATCTGACCTTGGTTGGACATAATACCTAGGAAGGATTAGCAAATAGGAGATTTGAAGGATTGTGCTACAGGAGAAAAAGAACATGACACAACATGCGGTTTTCGGAATAAAGGCATACCAAAATGCGCCCATTTGACTGCCTGATCGAGATCTGCATCCTCAAAAACCATCAAAGGTGATTTTCCTCCCGTCTCTAAAGTAATGTTCTTCATGGTGCCTGCAGCCATCTTCATGATCTCTTTTCCTGTGCTAGTGCTACCAGTAAAAGCCACTTTATCAATGTCTTCATGTGTTGCAATTGCAGCTCCCGCTTCTCTACCATACCCGTTCAGGATATTGACAACACCTGGTGGGAAGCCAGCTTCCTTGATCAAATTTGCAAAATAAAGGATGCTCAATGGGGTTTGCTCTGCTGCCTTTATCACCACAGCATTACCACATGCTAAAGCGGGACCTAATTTCCATGCAGCCATACCTAATGGATAATTCCATGGGATAATTTGGCCACAGACCCCCACTGGTTCCTTGATTGTGTATGCGAATTTGGCAACACCAGTATCTATCACCTGTCCATGAATCTTATCGGCATATCCTCCATAATATTTGAAAACAGCTTCCACCTCTGCAATATCAGCAACAGCATCGTTATAAATCTTTCCATTGTCCCAAGTTTCGATCGTTGCAAGTATATCTGTATGCTCAGAAATGATTGTGGATAGTCTAATCATAAGGGAACCGCGATCGGTGGGGGACATATCGCGCCATTCAGGGTTGCGCATAGCTGCTCGAGCTGCTTTGACTGCGGTATCGACATCTTCTGCGGAAGCGGCATATACTGATGCAATTTCTGATTCATCTCTGAGCATCAAGTTAGCAGTGTGGTAATATGCCAAGTTGGTACAACATACGAAGGATTGATAGACGTGATCTTCTGGCCGGTACTACTTTTCACCCATTCATTGTTGATGAATAGACCGGTTGGCTGAATGTATTTCTTGCCATTGGGGGCAGTAAGCTCAACAGTCAAGTCAGACATCTTGGCAAATTGACTGCTGAAAGATCTGTGATAGCCTCGTAACGAAAGGGATGAGGGTTTTAAAGAGAATTCAGTCTTCACTCGAGGAGCCGTGCTAGATGAATACGAGGAGAATCTTCGAAATGCTGTACTACGGAGATATGATTGCAGAGGGAGAATAACTTTGAACATCTAAAGGAGGTGATCAATGGATATAAGATATACAAAGCTTTTCTTTTGTAATTACCATGAGTGGTGCAAGTGCGGGGCTTGCTTCCAGCTATTGTTTGTTTTAAAGGTTACAGCTTTGTGCTTGGTGGGATAAAAAGATAAGGCCAATGATAGCTAAATTCTAGTGGAGTTTTCGGGTAGCCCTTCCTAGTGTGTATAAGCTTCGTGAAGCTGTAGCTCCCCGCACATAACCGACGTTGCCGTCATTTCGATAATGGGCAATTGTTAATTGTTATCTAATTAATCTAGAATTTCCTGAACAGTATTCAAGCCTCCATCAGATATAAAAAATGATGACTAATTGTTGTGAGTAAGAGACTGGCTAATGGACTTTTCCGTCGCTTCGGGAAAAGGCCTGTTTAGTGGGTGAGACCTTTACGCGGCTTTCTCCTTTCTGTATACAAGTGTGCCCCTCGTCGGCTTCCCCAGAAAGTGAATCTCATGATGCAGGAGATCTGGAGCAAAGGAATTAGGGTTTCGTGAGAGTGGCAGTGGTTAAAGGTCAAACGCGAGGCAAAAACGATATAAATTATGTATAAATTATGGCAGTAATGATCTGAACTACCTGTCTATCATGATCCCAAATTATGTATGGAATGTAGTAATTCCAGGGTGTCCCCTAACTCCCCATCAATAAAAGTGCTGTAAACTTGGGATTATACACATTATCGTTGTACAGTCTGATAATTATTGTATGATACTCCAACATCCTCATCCTCGAAAAAGCAACATCATCTTTAGATGCAACCCTCTTCAACTTTTCTTACTTTCCTGAGACCTCAACTTGCCTCTCTCTTCACTCCCGCGTAATATTAACTGAAGCTGTTCGGTATGCTTTCAAATCCTCTCATCAGATATTTCCCTGCTTGTCTCTAGGAACCCTTTCCCCCTTACTGCCAAAACAAATAAAATAACACTTCCATGTTTAACACCGCTCCGACTATTTCCCAATTGAAAATGGTATCACAAGATAAATGATGTTTTGACCAATTCCCACAAGTTGTCCACAATCCAGTCAGAAAAAGAAATGTCTCGCATTCACAAAAGAAACAAACGAAGGTAATGAATAGAAACAGCCGCCAGGGGGGGTATATATAACATAAAACGGGTGCAAAAGCAAAATTAGGTTCGGTCGCCCGAGGATATGCAATTCTTTTTGCGAAAATCTTGCGATAGGTATGTATAGTAGAGTGCCGTGTAAATAGCGTAGTATACATGTCGAGGATAACGATCAAGTATGTAGTCTTAATAGAAGGGGTACATTTGTATAATTGACAAGAACGTATTAACTCTGGGAAGAAAATTCGTAGCGTTTAAAGGAGGGTATAAAGTATGATGTGCCGTTTTTTCCATCAAGCATATTATAGTAAAATTTAAGTTTAAGAAGGAAATGTCATCGTCGTCCGCCGTTTTCTTGTTTAGGCCATGCTCGATCGTATGGCCCTCGCGAGTATGGATCGAATGAAGGGGGGCCTGCCGATATCGACGGAGTCGATATTCCTGTCGCTGAACCTGTCGAAGGATTATCGATTCTTAGAGGTGGTAGGTTAGGTAGTCCTTGGCCATGAGCTGATGGGAATCCAGTTTGAACGGGAGGTAGAGTTGACGCTGGAGAATGCGAGTATGGGACACTCATAAAATCGCCTTGTGCATCAGTCCTTCGGCGCCTTGCTGGTCTTTCACCATTATCAGAACCTTGAAAGCTCATTGGCGGGCCGCTTGGTGGAGGAGGGCCTGGATAAGACATTTGCCTCATGGAACGAGGACTTGGTGGCCCATGAAGAGCCATATCTCTAGTTCCTGGGTTCCGGAGCAGCATATCTCTAAAACGATCTCGTTCTCCTCGGTAGAAATCTCTCTCTCCTTCGGCTTCTCTCACTCTTCGTTCCAATTCCCTAGTCTGTGACTGAAGTTTTTCGATATTGGATGAGGCCTCTTTCTCTTTTTCCTTTCTGCGTTGTCGGAATCGCGCCGATGCTCCTGCGTTGCGCGCACGCTTCTCGTCAGCTAAACGCGACGCTTGGTGTGTGTCCACAGGTACATGATAAGCCACGCCGTGAGCCGTGGTTATTGTCAGGACACCATATGGCTCTGAGGCAGAAGCCTGCCTCGAGCTTATGTTGGAGTGGAGTGAGGAACCAATCTGAGAAGCATTGTACGGACCTTCTGATGCCGCAGGCGGTGCTTGTAATTGTAATCCACTTCCTTGCTGCACTGAAGAACTAAAACTCGAACCTGGGAAATAAGACCCACTTGTCTGCGGATTCTGCCCACTTTGATGATAAGGATAACTGGACGCGGGGGAAGTCTGGCTCGGCGTTTGTGAAGATACTGAGATGCTAGGACTAGCGCTATGTTGGGCACGCCCTGGAGCTTGCATTTGAGAAGTATCTGTACGTCGATCGCCCGGCGTTGTACCTGTAGTGGGAAATCCATAGTGCTGCCCCTGAATTTGCCCCGGCGGTGTTGGCATAGGTGGGTTCTCTGAGCCCGGAGTTCGCACTGGTTCTGCCCTTTTCGAGGGCAAAAAGGGAGACTCTTGTGCATTGATAGTTCCATGAATAGGTGCTCTGCCTATACTGGCAGGCCGAGGTGATCTGGATGTTAGCATTCTGCGGGCTGGGCCCCTTGGGAAATTTGGATTAAAACTTTCTAAGGAAGGCGAAGTGCTAACGGGAGGCCGACTGGAATAAGGATGAGTAGTTGTCACCAATGGGCTTGCGCCAAAATGCGAAGTGGGTCCTGCTGTGGTAGAGAGTGGCGAACCTGTAGTGCCGCCACTCAGTCGGCGACCTGAATTTGATACGCTTTCAGGCTCTGTCGGATTCAGAATTGAATGTACACCGAGATCGCGCGATGGTCCCGAGGACTTCCAATCCTCACTAGTCGGTGCAGACTGAGGAGTCCGCAATGAAGGGGATGGTAATGTATGATGAGGTTGTGGTAATCCTCGGTTGCCTTGCTCTAGTTTTCTGTCTGCTGGTCGCCCTCCATGTCGAGGATCATCTCGCACCTGTACTGGTGGGAGAGTAATCTTTTGACTTTCTGGTGGTGAGCGAGATGCAGGACGAGACGCAGAAAGCCTCTGCGACATCGAGTCCTGATCCCCTAACCCTTCTTGGTCTCGAGGACCGGGACATTGACGTTTTCCCTCTCCCTCCCAACTCTGCTGGTAGCTGTGAAGCTTAGAAACAAAATCCGAAAGTCGTCGTTCAAGTAAATCAGAAGACTGGGTTCCGGCAAAACAATTTAGCACTGGAGAGGTTTGCGCGTTATCGGCAAAAGCAACGAAAGAAGAACTTTCGCGCAATGGGCGACTTAGAGGACCTTGAACAGCCAGATCGAATATCTATGGCGCCGGCTTGCCAATGAGGCTTTCCAGCGAGCGGTGATGGGTCAGCGCTTTCTCCTGCTAATTCTTAGCTTCGTCACTCGAAGTATTCAATTTCAATTTCAACCGTCAAATAGAAAACCATTACTTGTGTGTATGGGTGGTTCTTTATGAAGTATTTGTGTGATTCCTGTGAGGTGAAGTGGTTCAACAGGGATTATTTAAAGAGCATAAGATTTGACCGTGTATCTGTGAGTCTGGAAGGGGGGCCTTGCCTCGAACCAAAAGAGGAATGAATGACTTGTAATACTGTGAGGCAAACTCACTGAGCATTAAAGATAAATAGAGTGTGTGCCATAACCAGTAGTGTGGAACGGAACGAAGGCATAACGAAATAAACATACAGATATGTGGAGATTCTAAAGGTTGGCGCACCACTCACGGTCTTACAGCAAAAAAGCTGTTTAAGTGGTCGATGAGCACCGAGGGAATATCAGAATCTAGCTCTGTCGAGTTTCTATAGGCTGATGCGGCGGCCTGGTCGTAAAGGAATACCAGAAAATGCAGAGATTGATGATGAATGACTATAGATGGAAGAATGTGGTGGATGACGCTTTTAGCTCTACACAACTTTCTGCATTGAGGAGGAAAACCCCAAGCTTTGTGGTTCTTCGAACCATCCCAGTCCCACGCTCATTGCTCACAGACACTGACTCTACCCTTCACCGCACCAGCACCCACAAGAGTTCATGGAATTGTTTCCAGGGTCGTAGTGAAGCGGGTCTTTATTTTTTTTCTCGAGGCATTAGCTGGGATTGCTTGTTTGATGCAGGCATTGTGGTATTATCCAGGTACCAGGGCTTAAATGTATCCTTTTGAGATGATATCTTAACAAGCCTAGAGGTTCACAATGTCCCAGGAAACTTTTTTCTGGAGCCATACCGTGCTTGGTTCCAGCATTCGGAAGGCGGGAGGCCACGCGCAGAAGATCCTTGTGTATCACGCTATATTCATATAGATGGACTGCATTAATATTCTCCTTTGAGCAAAGAGTGCTTTTTAGACATTTTTTCTAGCTGTTGTACCTTGCCTAGGTAGGCAGATGTTCTTCACATCATTTGTGACAGGTACCCATATGGATACATGGGCGCATAGAACGATAATGCATCTAACAAAGTAATGCAACACACATCTTACAGATGCATAATCTCCCCACTGTTCCAGGACATACATAATCAGCAATTCGTAAGAACGAATTGTTGTTTACTATGGTAAGACCGTCATAGTGTATCCAAAACAGATGAATTTTTGGTGTGAAGATAGTCGAAGCTTGAAGGATCATATTTCTCCGTAGAAAAGGTAAGTGCTTCTTTCCCCCGTAATCAGGTTGCTGAAGAAATCGGGATAATAGTGATTCAGAGGTGGGAGGTGATGCTATCCTGCATTAGCACGGCAATGAAAGGACGCTGAAGCCACGGCTGCGAAATGGGAATCCACTGTAGACACTGTAGGTTTATCGAGTTTCCCTTGCTAGTTGAGCTAGCTAAAGTCTAGTATAGCCTAAAGCTGATAGAACGAAGTCGTTGCCGAGCTCGCACGTTCTTCCCATGTTACGCCCTGTAGAAATAAGGAACTTTGATTGATGGATACCATATCGCTTTGCATTAGTACATCCGCACTCTGCAGGACAAAATCAGTGTGGTTGGTAACTTTTCAACGTGGTGACCAAGTGACCACAACCTAAGTCTAAGTGGAAGCGACACACATGCATGAGAAATCCTGCAAGTGAAAGTCTGAAGAAAAAGTAAGTAGACGGAAACAGCCATTTCTCGCTCCCAATACTCCTATTTGATCCATTTCTCCTCTTTTTGATCATTTACAAAGAAAAAAAGCTTTGATATTCCTACACACGACGGATATTTATTGGAGCATTGACTTTTGAATATTCTTTTCTCTTATTTCATCGCTACAGTCGACCGAGTAGAAGGACCCGAGAATTCTGACAGCAGGGAGACTGCATGAATGGGTACGTCGGTATGGCTAATAACATTAGACAATTATTAGAGCTTAAGAAACCATTTCGCTTGGGCCTCAATATTTCTCACACGAACCACTCACACATCATATGGACTTTTTCGTGGTATTCATAGGCTGGCTCACAAGTCGGGAAAGAAATTAGGGAAATATGGAAATTATCCAAGTGAGACTTATTTCAATTAAAGATTTTTTAACACCTAATTTCCTGCCCTGTGTTCTAGGTAAGGATGATCTCTCCTGCCGCCTGTTCGAATGTTAAATAAAATAACTATTGGGCATCTCAAGCAGTTCAATTGAGTACTTGAACACTTTGAGTACTTTAATTTTCAGTGGTTCAATTGTACCCAGGTCTATACTTCGGAAAGTTTTATGATCGCCCATCAGTTGTGACCAACCTCGTACGCCAGGTACAGCATGCACATAATGATGTCAAATCGGAAATATACAACATTTTCAATTTTAAACTGTTATATCCCTCTTTACTTTTTCTAGAACAGAAAATTTATGAACTAGAACCTTGAAATTAGGATTGGAATGGCGGACCTCGGTGATCTTTGATCTTGTTGCAATCTTAACCCATGTCGACACATTTTGATCCGGTGGTCGTACGCTGGCTTAGCCACACTATTTCCACACTTAGTTTGGACCATAGCACCGGTGAGCGGCAGCAAGATGAGCTGCATAAGTTCCAGTCTTCTACGCACTGATGTATGTATGTTTGGGGGATCCTGGAAGGCGCCATCGCATAGAAGTGTAGCCCATCACATTCGACAACCGCTCCCAATATTCCATATCGAGAAATTCTACGCAAATCATTCGTTGATATCAATCGCTTTCTCCGAATATATTGCGTAAGGCGGGCAAGAAAGTAAATCACGGAACAGGGGACAGCACACATATGAGCACACATATGACTTATTTCTTCGTACCAAAAAGGTTGGTCCCTTTCATCCGGCTCTACAGAAAAAGGAAAGTCATGCGCCACGCGCCGTGCCGCTGACGATACTACCTCAAAAAGATGGTCCGCATAACAATTACATAGCGCGCATAGCTGCCCAAAAAGCATCTGTACCTGATCCACAGAGATCACATCTAATGTCATATGATGCCTGTAGATCCAAACTCAAACTCGATGGCACAATTGTAAATTTGCAAGCAATCCTGACGGCCTGATTATGCTTGTACTAAAGACTTGTCGGGAGAAGGAATTACCCCCCAAAACGTTTCGGACAGATGAGATGAACTGGAATTCGTCTATAATAATCTAACCTCTTTAACAACTAGACCGACCGTTCTGTCTCATAATTTCGGTGATTATGGATACGCCATCGTCGACCGTCGGTGTCTTCCACGATTGGTTGTGTCTCTCCATCTTCTATGGGCGGGCCCTACGCTCGTTACCAAGCTTTCACTTGAGCTCGAAGTTTAAATAATACGGAAGCTTTGTTTATCGATTTCTTACATGTGCTGCATTCTCCTAGGTTTTGCGAGGATTGGTACTGTTAGAAACTTCAACCTGAGCAAAATTTTGCAAAGATCGAGACTTCGAGAGGAAATTGATAGAACTAAACTGGCGAGGATCAAGCGTCCACCGTTAATTTAGGTTCGAACTATTGGTACCTCATCTTAGCGTGACTAGCTATACCACAGACTTTTATCTTAGATCCCCGTGGCGTTGAATCGCCGCAAACGAGATTAATATATTTTTACTCTCGATAAATTTTGATGGCCTTCGAAAGAGAAGTTCACAATCCCATTACCTTCGGTGAACCAAATAAACGAGGATTGATGAAGGGGCAGAATTTATTTTTACACGACTTCTTTAAACTCTCGGTAGCACCTCCGAATCCTATGGGCAGGCGAGGCATGCGTCGTTAAAGGTATTATTAAATGGTTCTGTTAGTTCTATTACAATTGTCTCCAATTTTGATTGATGTTGGAAACCGTAGTGAGTTGAGTTATTAATAAGCCTAGCGCTGTCTACAATTTCATTGTTGGCTTTCCAGAACCTCGTGCTTTACAAAATTGACCTATTCTTCGTTATTATCAAGCACTAAAGATTATCGGGTCTCCATTCTCAGAAATTATACTGCTCAGCAGCCCAAGATCACATTTTGTTTACCATTAATTCTGGAAAAGTAGGTTAAGAAGACCGAAAAACGTCATGTCATTAATCAATTCGGCCCTTGGCCCCGATACATGATAAGTAAGAGAGAGAGTATTGGACAGCGGTCCATGCGAGCAATGCGAGTTCATTCACATCACAATTATGCAGACCATATGATACGACTGTGATAGAACCAAAAAATGATAGAGCCAAACAACACACAACCCATCAGAAGTTCAGAAGGAGCGGGGATTTTAGGGAAGAGCAAGTCTCCTTCCATCTTGAATACACCAGGCGGAGCCGCCAATATTATAAATTGGAAGAATCAACAAATAGTTCTAATTGATGAAAAGACAACCCATTTACAATGCTGCGTTGCATGGATGCGAAATACGAGGCGAGTTGGGATGATTGGCCCTTTAATGCTTGGGGGTTCCCTTGAAGATGCACGTTGTAAATCCCCGCACGTGCAGATGCCGCATATGTACTCCATAACGGACACGCAGCGGGAGACAGTCGCAGCAAAAGACAGTCATGTGCTTTCCGACTCCAATGTCATCCATTTCATTGACTTGATGCCTGGGATCATGTCAACCGCGAACACCTCGTCCGATTCGGTGATACAAATAGGAAAAATGAAGAGGCTGGGATTAGGTGAGTATGTGATGATGATAATTTGAGCTTTCGGGGTTCTCAGGCCGCTTTATCAAAGCAAACCACGGTTACTTGTTTGATATATCTCATCGGTATCACTTTCATACTATGCTATCCAGGAGGATCTGATCCCTGACAATTATCAATGTTTTCACGTGGAAACAAACCTTGGAATATCCTTTGAATCAAAATGCCGTTGAGTTCAGTGCTCAACTAATTCAACATGTAAACCTTGGTATTGAAAATGATTTTTGCATTTCATACTATGCCAATTTATGACTGATGTAGTGTGTGCCGTGGGACTCCCGTTTCGGAAGTGACACAACATGAGCGACTTTTGATTCCAGAATGGAGGGATAACGCAACACAAAAGGAAAAAGCATTTATCTGCTTATATTAAGCTTATCCGTGCGCATGCTATCTCCATATCGTCTGGAAACTATTCAGTCACGTGATTATGCACTAGCATGTACCATCGGAAAGGGGATTCGTCAATTGCCTCAGCAACAATTTGTTGCTCCACATCATCCAGAGCTTGCGAAAATACGCATGGCGAACAGCGGTCTGCCTGTTTGTCTTTCCTGCCATTTGGTCCTAACGGGTCCCATCCGAATCTGCAAGTCTTATGGGGTCCGGGATTGACTCTCTCTTGCGCAATGTGACGAGATAGCGCCAAGTCGATGATTTTTATGCGTGCGTACACTTGCAGCTTCACCCCCATACCAAATCATATCCACGATTGCCACGAAAATGTCTGATTTAGGCTTAAGGTATAGATCTGCGACTGTCGGTGAAAGGCGAAGAGACAAAAAAGGGGTTCTAGCCCCAGCGGTGAAGATTCTTCGCTGGCGCCAATGGCAACATTATCATAAATGGCCAGCATTATCGCCTCTGTTTCGTAAGAATCGCTTTCAACCTATGCGCACCCTAATGTCGGCCAAGCATAGTAAATGATGTACAGATGTCAGATGTAAAAGCAGAAGGGTGGCGATGCAAGTTTTTCCACGTCTTGAATTTCTCAGTAAGTGATTACACGCATTTATTTGCTGGCAAGTTCGAGTACGCACTACTGCGTCTTTCACCTGCATTCGCGCTACCGGGGCGGAAGAAGGGAGCCTCGGAAAGCTCAAGGAATTTCTTATCTTATGGCTCATCACGAAGTCACCAAGACTAATCGCCGTCTAGCAAAGCATCAGGATGCACTTGAAGATTTTATTAACCTTACATCGCAGGTTGACTCCTATGTCCGGGCACTTGAAAACCTATACAATACAAATGATTTCAATACTTCAATTCTAATTTCACACTCGAGACAAACCACAGACACTTATTTGGGCTTAATAAGACGCTCAAAGTGGAAAAATCATATCTCGGTTGCCTGTATCGGGACAGACCCATGAAAAGGTGGTTAGGCTTCGGCCTTCATTAACCTTAACAGCAGCAATGAGTACCATCTACACAATACAACCTACAAAGCGGGGTCGCCGGCAGAGACCGGGAAACTCGGTTTTATGCACGATATAATAATGGAGAAAGTGGGCTATCAAGAAATCGCAGAACAACAATGGCGACACGTCAGAGAATGTGCACCGAGCTCCTTCAATGCGACGTGTCCCTTCAGAATAGACAAGTCATTTGTGATATAACTACGCAGTTCATAGATATATGACACAAGGGGCACACAGCATAACCAGTTGAAATCCTTGGGACGAGGACTTAGCTGTATGAGAGAATGCAGAGTCAAAGTAGCAAAGGGTAACATCATATAGATAGTAATCCTATAAGGGAAACAGTATATTATGCTACCATCGTATTCCTACGACTCAAATGATATCAGAATGTATCTCAAACATGGAAATCTGCCAAAAAGATTGCATTTCTGCAATGACGGGAAAAGGCCCGGCGTACCAAGGTTTGTTAAATGACATACGGAATATCAATGCAAGGTATATGAAAGTGATAATACATCAAAATGTAGAAATACTTATTTCTGCCTTTGTTTTCTAGATTCTTGGGCTGTTTAAAATCCGTTCCGGGAAGCAATAATTCAAGACCAAATTCTCGCTGAAAAGATTTTCCGACGTGGTGGTGACATCAGTTCAGGCGAACTTCCCCACCAGACATTCCCCGCAACCATATAGAGAGAACTGGCGAATCTCGACAGAAACCTCGACCTTCTAGAACTTGAGCTTCACTTGCCTCAATACCTTAACCATGTCTTCTATACAAACATGGACAGTCACCGAGCCATACATCAACCCGCACTGCGGTCTCGGCGAAGCACCTTTCTATGAGTCCTCCACCAACACACTCCGCTTTGTGGATATCAAAAAGAAGTGCTTCCACACAATAGATCTGAATGTTGGCCCGTCATCTCTTACCACCATACAGCTAGATATTCCCATCGGCGTTACAGCCGATATCGAGGGTGTAGATTGCACCGATAAGATATTGGTGGGTGGCAAAAGCGGGATTTACGTGATGAGGAGAAGTGATGGGGAGTTGAAGCTGCTGAAGAGATTTTATGATAGTGAAGAAAATGATGAGAGGTTGAGAAGTAATGATGGGGCGGTGGATCCAAAAGGGAGGTTCTGGATTGGGACCATGAATGACTTTTGGGTGGGGGAGCCACAAAGTGAGGGTGGGTGATATTTTGATTTCTCATTGGATATAGAGGAGGAGCTCGAGTCATTGATATTTAACGGAGCCAATGATCAAGCATATCTTCTTGGGCTCCAACATCCTCGGTTGATGACCATGTGGTGTGCCCCGCACTTGATGTTCAGGCTTCATTTCTTGCGTTTGCTTAGCACTAAGTATGATTGTTATAGGTACAATGTTCCGCTTCGATAATGACCTCACACGCCACACAATCCGTGAGGGTCTCACAATTCCTAATGGAATAGGTTGGTCCGCTGATCAAAAAACTCTTTACTTCACCCACACAACGGAATCAACAATCTGGGCGTATGACTATGACGCATCAACCGGGGATGTAAGCAACCAGCGAGCTTTTTGGAAACTTGATACTGATGGTGAGCCCGATGGATTTGTATTTGATTCGGAAGGGAATATATGGCAATGTATATACGGAGAAGGGCGTGTGTTGAGAATCAACACGGAAGGCCAAGTCATCGGCGAGATTAAGTTTCCGACGAAGTGTATTACATGTCCAGTATTTGTGGGCACCGAGTTGTGGGTTACGAGTGCGATTGCTGGAGGCGATGAATATGCTGGAGCGTTGTTTAAGGTCGATGTAGGAATAGGCGGCATAAGAGACTTCAAGTTTAAGTTAGCGAAAGGAAGCGCTGAATTGTGATGCTTTGTATGACGAAGGAAAGTCTTGGTATCCCATACATGGTTATAGCAACTATGTAGATGCGAGAGAGGCAAGCACAATTTCTACTTAGCAGCTCTAAGGCCATTTGCCAGTTGCTACAGATATTTATCTCAGATGCAGAATATGCTATGATATACAAATCCTACGAGGCCATCGACAGTGTGAATGAAGGAAAAGTATCTCGCTTCCAAACTGCATCCTTGTAACATTAGGAAAAGCGCCTTTGCAGACTTACGGAGATGTGAATGAATTCTTTCCTACTTCCTTGATTTTCTTTGTTTTATTCTTTTCTCTCGATGTCCTATAGTTTCATGCAAATATAGCAGGTCAGCATTAAATATCATTCTTTTTCAATTCACAATCAAATCAAAAGTCAAATAGAGGACTAGTGTCATTTAACAAGATAGGTGATCAGCCTCGTCAAAGTTCTTTACCAAGAAAACTCTTCTTTTCTCACTATACCTTCATGCCTTCACATTATCCGTTTTTATAGCACAATATTTATCCATCTTTTACATTAGCTATTCTTCTGTTCTACAAACTTTGAGTTCATCAACCAGAACTTTGAATCCGATCTAAGTTTGATTCTCTCAAAAGTGTATTTTCTTGAGCTCTTCAGTGCTTTACAATTAATTGACATAGAAGCTATCTAATCCTTGACGATTTCAGTATCTGCCAGCCATTGGCCAAGATAATGGCTAGTCTTAAAACCATCCTGATATGTTTTAAGTCTATCTCTTTTTTATGTTTTGTTGATGAAATAATGAATTATGAAAGATTTAAAGTATCAAAGGGCTATCCAATGTGGAAAGAGGAGCATCAGAAAACGATCAATTGGTATACCAATATTCTTGTCAAAGCTTACTTTGAAATCTTCCAGACTGCTGGTCCCTGATCTTGCGTTCTTTGCAACTACCTTCGGAATGGAGTACTTCTGCTACAGACACAGTATTGATTCAGGGACCAAGGCTTTCATGTTCGAATTTAGTAATATTCTCTCAGTCAATGGTAGTATTTCAACCAGGCAAACATTCGGTCTATTAACACAGTAGATACTTCTACGATATCATGCTTGGCAGAGATTATTGTAACAAGACATACAGGAAAGTGATATTACTCTAGTTATATACTTGTTCTGTCTTCGTTCATGGAATTTACACATTGCTGATTTGGTTTAAGATAGCTAATAAGTATTTCAAGTGGAGCTATTGTAAGGATGGAAGATAGGTTGATCAGATATGCGAGTTAGTTGAAGACTGGGATTGAGTTAGAGGTCCGTAAGAAGGGGGATTTGACTCTGAGAAGGTCACTCACTGTATTGGCAATATTGGAATGATACTTTGAATACCTTGGTATTAATGGCAGAGCAGCCAGGATTTGCTTTGCTCTGGGGTGTCTGTCTCAATGATGCTTTAGCGTCCAAGAAACATAATGACAACTGTCAGATTGCTGGTAATTGTATATCTGGTTCCACGTGCATAGATATCATGATCATGGATATCAAAAATTCCAATCCAGAAAGTGTTTTTGGAGCATTTTACATGACTGAAGTGACAACTATAGATGGAGTAAGATAGCGAAATATTAGCCACCTAGGTTGGTACACTCTCTCAAGTTCAGAATCATATTCAATACCTAGTATCAATTGTTCCCAAACCGGAAAGAATCATGTCTAATAGTTCAGAAGACTATCTAGAGATATAACAAGAAATCAACCAGTTATTCTGCCATAGATACAGCTCAACATATCTCAAGTAGCCAATAATAAATTTGTTAGGCGGTGAATTCTACAATTTGAACAGGTGAATATCATTCAATATCTTTCTCACTTTTGTCCCGAGGCGTTCCACATCACTTCTTTTCCCCAACAATAATTTCTTCAATTTCCTTTCTTCCAGTTCGAACTTATTTTGTTGCCCGAGTTTCGAGATAAATTCTCTTCTGCCACCAAGAAAAGTGTCAGTATCTTTGATCCAATTATAACTCCAAAAATTCCAACCTCCTCCTCCATCCACCGCGTATTTGCGCAAACAGTTCAAAATTTGAATTTCTTTCTTACGATTTGCCTTCCAAAACGCTTCAATTACGGTCGCATTGTATATTGAAGTACCCCAAGCAATTCTTTGCATTTACCTTGATTGTTTGTGGGGAAATAAATACGCGTCATGTCGAATTCTACGTAAGAATCCGCTTTCCCGAATTGATATCAAATTTTGTACCACAAAATATTAACACTCTCGCAGTCATAGTAAGACTACCGGCGATAGTTTCGTCATGTCTCCACGCATCGCGCCGTCCGAGTCGAGGTAAGAATCATCCTTAATTGCTTCTCAATCAAATTTTACAGGACAGAGGAACTAATAGCTATGCAGTGGAACCACCGCCGAAAGCTCATCCATATATGCTGACAACCAAGCCGCGATCGAAAGATGGGCTTTCAGCAGGGCAAGAACTGAAAAAGAGCATGCTGCATTCAGGGAACAAATCCTATTTCAATCCGCCGATTTTCACCAATTTCTCTCCGACTCGGCCAAGTCGTCCCCTGAAATCGCGGTACCCTCTCCAACCTGGGAGAAAATCCCTTTTCCTGTACCAGTTCGAACTCCAACCATTGTGGACGATACAGAGAATCAACACTTGGAAATGAATAACAGCCTCAACGAGATCCAAGAAGTTCCCCGTCGTCGAGCTACGCCAATTGACTTCGGCAGTCAACTCCAGCAGCGTCCTAGAGGTCTTGCAGTACAGAATCTTCCTTTCGATCGCGATTCTTTTGATGGAGGAATTGGAGCCTTCGAAATGCGATCTATTCTACATAGTGACCATGATGCTCAATCTACCAATCGAGAGACAATGATTAGAGTTGGTGCTGTCTTTGAGGTATCCGGCGGCTCACGAGACCTTTGCTCTTCTTCTCTTACCAGAGCTTCTGATATGGCTACTGTGAGTTACATAGCCAGTTGCTGTCGAGGGCCTCTAAACTGATGTGGTACTGTTGATAGAACTCCTCTTTCGTCCACTATAATACCGATGTGGGAGAATTGGATAGTTTAACTAAGGATGAAGCTACTCGTGCTATACTACCCCAAGAAAGGAATGAGAAGAGGACCTGCATGTCGATACCTTTTGAGTGGATTGGTCGCCAAGTTGGTAGATTCTTCTAGCTCCTGCATAAAAGTCTTTGTCACGACGTCGTTTTTGCTCCATTCAAGACCTGTCTCGATCTTTTCTGTCCCATGGTATCCTGTAGTTTTGTTTTTCACATAGGCGCTGTAAAATAGTTTCATTTTATTCAAGGATTGGTTTTAAGCATGGTCGATTTGAATTTACACTGCACAAATGGGTGCATATGTAGATAGCGAGGGCGGAAAATTATGGTATTGTGTTTCTTGTTTCGATTCTAAAAGTTTTTGGTTCGTCGCGAAAGATGGAGATTGTTGATTAATAATGTTTTCAATCGTCTGGATTGTTACAAGGCGTCTGCTTTCGGACTGATGTTATGATATGTTTAACTATGGCTTCGTGAAGAATGGTTTATTCATCCTCCAGCGCATTGTATTTTAGTTAGGTTTGCATAAAACTTCTGTATTTATTTGATTGGTCGTGCTTGGCTGTATTCTCTGACTTTGTTGCCCGTGAGATTCATGATGAATCATCTCTGCATCGGAATACGGTAACATTAAGCTTTATATTTCGTATATTGTATTCTATTAACTAGGTTAACTTCTGGGACGTACGGTTTACAAATTTGGTACAGCTGTTTGACAGGATAGCAAAACTGCCGTACGGTAGGAACCTGGCACAAAACCTTTAAGTATCTTACAGTAGCTCACAGCAAGCGTTCAAAAGCACACGAACCACTAGTAAATCAACTCATTTCGGAGCAGTGATGATTCCCTCTTCTTCCTCAGCCACCCTCCCAAAAGCCCAGAGGTACCACTAATGAAACCTACAGCACACACAAAAATGGACGACTATTTCGAAGAACTCTATCAAAAATCCCAAAAAGAACGCGAAATCCGCGAAATACTCGCCCAAAAAATCCCAGATTCGACGACAAGTAGAAATCGAATTTATGGCAGAGCAGGCAAGAGAAATCTATGCTTTACAACATGATCCGGAATATCAGTTTGAACAGAGACAGTTGTGTCGTTTTCGGGATCAGAGATGATCGGCTAGGAAGCGCAAGTTGGTGGAATTTTGTAATGGTGATGAGAATTTGGAGAGACGGAGAGAAAGGACTAGAGAAGAGGAGACTGCTAGGTGGCAGAGGGAGATTCGGCTTTGTGTTGAGGAATTTGAGCATAGGAATGGGGTGGAGGTTAAGTGGGATTATTTGCTTATTTGGAGGTTGAGCTTTTTGTCGGTTGGGATAGCTGTTTTTGCTTGTGTTTCTTCGAGGTTTGTGGGTGAGGAATGATGATATGGAGGTCGGATTGGGGTTCTTCATAATAACCTAGTATTTGAGATGCAGAAAGAAGGATACTTGGATATGGTGTTGCAAATACATAGAGCTGTGCAATCTACATAATCGGTGGGATATCACTGGAAAGCAACTTTTATTAAGGAGTTTAGGTAGATAGTACCACTAGAATACATTTCATTACAAATGCCGAAAGTCCCATACTATGATTTGATAGTGATGGCATTCTTTGGATGACTCTGCAAATGCTAAAATTAGGTTTGAAGTGAATTGATAGAAGCAAGTACCCAGAAAAATTATAATATTACTATGTTGCACTTGAATGCGCGAATCCGACCTGACACAATTAGGATATCAAATATTACATCTAAGCAAGTTCAAACTTGAAGTGAGGTAGCAAGAACAAAATGCAGATTTGGCTGTATGAATGTGTTTAAGTATAGAAAACAATACACATGACAAGAAGTATAGAAATGATAAGGTAAAATCCTTTACTAAACTTCTCTCCACTCATCTTTTATATTTTTAATGAGTGTTCTAAGCTCTATGATACTCATTCATTCTGCATCAAAAATTCCCTTGACTTCCCCAAGGACGGAGGTGAAAGAATAGAAAATTACCCAATACGGTTCGGATAAAAGATAGGTAATACGGTTTTGGTGGAATTCTACAATTTGCTTTCACCAGCTGTACAGGAATTAGTAAGTATGGCAGTAGAACCTGAGTATGAATGAGCTATAATTAGTAAAAACAGATACTAGTTACCGTATCTGATATTGCTGTATATACACATAGTTTTTTATATATAAAGACTCTGGTTTCTTGATAGGATAGCTTTCTTCCACATCCAACACAAAACTTTAACAATATCAAGCGGAAAAACCTTCACACAATACAAACCAAATAAATTCCAACTGTCATAATTAAACATTCTAACAAATTAGATTCTTTCTATCCCTTACCCTGGGTCAAAGTACTATTCTTACATCAGCAAGTCATAAATCCACACTCAGATCACATCAACAAACATGTCTCCTCCCCAGACTCAGGAACAAAGTTTCGGATCCGATTCTGGCACAATTGCTGCCAGCAGCCGAAGCAGTACTTACACAACCGAGTCATCTGTTGCAAATACTAGCAGTGAAGAATTTGAGGATATCAGCGAGGACATTGAAATCGGCACTCTTCCAACGATCAATCCACAGGCTGTGCAAAACGCCACAAGTAACAAGACAAAGACAACTCGAAGCAGCAAGTTCAGAAACCCATTCAAAAATTTCATCTACTTCCAAAACGCCATCATCACCTCCGCAATCAGCATGGCCATCATACTCCCTATCTGTCTACCACCATTATACACCGACGAGCTAAAATGGACCGTATCCATCGTGTTCAAGAACATTGAAGTTAACAACGGCACTGTGGATTATCATAATGGAACGATTGCGCCACTCAACGATGTGAATCTTGTTGGTTCGAATCTCACGGTTCAAACTTGCAATTTTATCGATACTGCTGATTTGTGTACGAATAATGCACATCACTATTTTGATATCTGGTGGCCTTGCTTTATCTTGTTTGTTGTGCTTTTGAATTTGTCTATTTGGCATTTTGTTACGCTTCGATATCGTTTGATTGGGGTTAGATCTTCTGGAAGAAGAGGGGATTAGTATATGATGTGCGGTTGATGGGAGATGTGTTATGGTGCTCCCTGCGGCGCAATTTTCCACTTTCTTTTTTTCTTTCCTAGCCAGGGGTAGAAAGCATTCGTATTCAGAATGTCATAAGGGTTTACAGACCATGGGTCGTTTGTTTTCAGGGTTTCCCTATGTTGCGGTTAATTTTACGGCTTTGTTTTCGGATTTAAGGATGATAGGGCATATGAATGAGGGAAAAGAAATCGATTGTCCTGTGGCTTCGTGCTGTGGTGCATCACGTAGTCATGCAGAAACTATCGTACCTGCGAACAATGATAGTTTATTTTAGTCATTAAATTGAGAAAACCTACTATTCATGACATTTTGCTCCTAACTGCTGTTCGTGAGTGATACTTGAAAGTCATAACTTGTAAATAACTCGAGACGAAATAAAATAAGCATGACGATTCTGGCTAAGTAGATAGCCAAATGAGAGAATTCTGCAGAGTCCAGACGTACTTTCACCAGCCAAATAAACTCAAACCTGGTGTTCATCCCACTTGAACATAATCCTACACTAGACTAGGTACAACAATATATCTATGTAGGCTGCGCAACGGGCCCCTGTAGGGCGGATTATTGCCCTTGGAGGGTAACCCGCGGATGATCTATTTGCGGGATGGGTAATTGAAGAATCTGAATGGGTAAATCGCAAATAATTTGTAGTTTATTTGTGGATATCTATCAATTCGCAGATTATCCATCTACTTGTGGGTAGATGGGTATCTGCAAATAATCTACGGATAATCTGCAAATTATCTATGAAGTGGATATTCGCTTAAATTTTGAAACTATTCCTACATTTTTTTATGTCAGTTTTTATATTAATCTTTATAAATTATATAAATTAAATCTATTTATGAATTAGTGGATTATTTGTAGATAATCTGTAAATAACCTATACAATACAGGTTATTTTAAAATCCTAATGGGTAATCTCTAGGGTGGATTGTACGCTTATAATCCATTTTGCGGTGTGGATTACCTATGGATATCCGCAACCTGTGGGTTATTTTTGCGCAGCCTATATCTATGTTTCCTATACCTATGCCAAAACTCGATCTTATATCTTTTCTCCTTACTAATAATCGATTCATAATACACGCTTCTCGGAGAACTAATATCGATTTTAGTCCTCCATATTCTTAAATTCCAAAACCTTGATATTCCATGAAACCGAGAATGTCTCCAACCTACTGGCTTGAGCCTCTCTAAGAACAAGTTATGTTATCATTTCTCTATATTAGTTTTCTTCCTCTTGTCTTTAAGCCCCAATCGAGTACATATACTCAATACAAGATAACTGTAACTCCTTAGAATGATGGTTTAAATATCATATTTCTTTACATTGTCGTAAAATAGTTATTCTCCCGCACCGAAATTTATACATACAATTTAATCCTCGCCGTCTGCATCTTTGCTCTCCAAAAAATGTTTCGTATAATCGTAATAAAAAAGAGTTAATCTCGATGACTGCGATGGGAATGACAGGAGAGAAAGAGCTCCCTCTTTCCAGGAATTACTGGATGATTCAGTGATTGACCTCTGCTGTCTTATACGTGCCGATGATCTCTTTCTCGCTACCGAAATTGAAGATCTCTCAGATGATACCAAAACCTCAACTTCTCTTTTCCCAACGTGCGCCGGACTTGTCAACCTCGTCGTGTCTGAAGATAATTCTCCATCTTCATAATATTGGATAGTTAGTATATGCGCAGGCAATATAAAAAAAATGGCGTACCACTTGAATGGGGGTTTTTGGAGGGTTCTCAGAGTCTTTTAGAATACTGCATTGGAAGTTCTTGAACTTTGTTCAACCCTACCATGAAGACTTGTTCCCTTACGAGTTATATCATCAAGACGGCGTGACCTCGCACTTGTGCGGCTACTACCTGCATCGTCTCAACTTTCGTCTTTGGAATCCCGGCGCTCATCTCTAAAATGCTGATTCATTTCTTCTTTCTCCTCCGCCGCTCACCATATAGGTCTGCTTTCCGGCTTCTTTGAGAAGAGAATCCCAATTAAAGTGTATATCTATATAATAAGAATGAAATAATTATATTAAGCGAAAGTTGAGAATAAGACTTACTTCGGATGAATACCGATATCGTGACAGATTCCAGCAAGGCTGTTTATACTAGTGAACATAAATGGCTATTCTAGGCCAAATATCTTCTTCAATTTTAGGTTTCTTAGATACAGGAACTCGATCTTTTTCTATTCCTTTTGATTGTCTAATACTTTAAACAAATTATTTATATTAATAGGTATATCTGAATATTCTAGACCGTGTATCTTCTGATATAACTTTAATGTCTATCAATCGACACAAGTATCAATATAAAACTATCTTCTCAAAGCAACTCGAATCTCTTACACAAAATCTTCAACCTCACAGCGTTACGCATAAGAGTGATGATCTCCGGTGTTTATGTCAGAGAGTCTAACTCGAACGAGCTAGAGTTGCAATTTATGTTCGAGCACGAATCAATTCAAACTCGCAGCTCGGAGAACATTACCTTCCCCTGCCCCCTCCTCTTCCCCTTCCGGCCTTTGTTTGTTCCCTTTTCCTCCAAGATTCTTCCCTTTCTTCCCATTTTTGCCTCGTTTCCTTTAGTATCATTCGAGGTGTTTTACCAGCTATGTTACACTGGCTATCAAGATCACATCCAGCATTCAAAAAGACACCCGAAATCTCATCCTGCAATCTCATCAAATCAGCGCTTGTCCAACGCGTTTGCCCATCGCGATAGGATCCACTAGTCAAACGCCTTTTATCATTTATATAATACCCACCCGCTGCTTCATGTAGCGGTGTATTCCCTTTAGAATTTCTGGCATGGAGGTCGGCGCCTCGGCTAATAAGAAACCGCACTGCTTCGACATAACGCAAATTACTCGCCGCAAAGTGAAGGGCAGTATCACCATCTGTATCAGCATCATTGAGACCCACGCCACTCGCTAGAAGGAGTTCCATCAGTACCGTATCCCTAGTTACTAAATGTAGCGGCGTTTGTCCTGTTTGATTTCGTAGACCCACGTCTGCGCCGTGTTCGAGTAAGAGCTTCACAATAGCCCGAGCAACAAAGGAATGTTCGCTGCCGCTTTTTGCTTCTCCAGATGATGCGAGATGCAAGGCCGTGTTTCCTCGCTTATCTGGAATGTTGATAAAGCTTGGATTGCTGCCTTTCAAGAGTAACTTAATGGTTTCGGTAGCTTGAGCAACAATATCGTCTCTGGCCCAAACTTCGTTCTCAGGCTGATTGAAGCTCCCAGCGGCCCAATGAAGGGGAATAGATTCGGAGCTATCTCTGCATAATAACATATCTGAAATGTCGATGCTGCTGCTTCGGCTGTCCAGCAGGACCTGGATGCCTTCGGAATTCAGATACAAGCTAGCCACGTGAAGAGGAGTGAAATCCTGAAGCAGCTTTTCATCGTATCCAGACCAAAATTCTAGCTCTCTTGTTGTCTTTGTATGCACGTCTGCACCTTCATCGATGAGACGTTTGACCAATCCAGGACTGGCCCTAGAAATGGCTAGACTGAGAACCGTTTTATGAATGTTCGCGCGATTTGTGGCATCACGAGCGCAAGCACCTTGGTCAAGTAGAAGCTGCATCAGCTCCTCACTACGAGCCACGTGATGGCGTATGTTTCTTTCTGGTTCACTCGATGCTGGCACAGTGTCCAGAAAGTGTGGGGTAAACGAGGAAGCTGCACAGAGCAAGGCCGTCATGTCACATTTCCGGACATGGATATCAACATATGCAGGTTGACAATTTAACAGAAAACGTGCCGTATCGACATGGGCTCTGCTGCTGGCCAAATTGAGCAGCAGATAGTCTGTTGAGTTGGGTGCCTCAAATTGAGCTGGAGTTCCATGGATAGCGTGATGCTCCAGAAGTATGCGAAGACAATCGGTAGATGCATAATAGGTCGCGGTGTAGAAAGGGTCCGTGTAAATGGCTAGATTTGCCGCTAGGCCGGGCATGGGATTTCTGAGCAAGTATTGATTTAATGCAGACGCGTCATTGAGCTGGATAATTCGACATAAAAGGGCGTTTCCGTATTCACCCTTTTCGTAGAGGGCCGTGGTGCCGTCATGGTCATACAGAGCGATGGATGTAATATTTTCTAGCTGTTGAAATTCGTGATAGGGCAATATTGTTAGGGATTGTTGTGCATCCATTTTTGACTTCGTCAGAATCGAGGAGGTATATACATTAGATGTGGTGAGACCTGGAAGAAAGAGCGGAACAAGCAGCTGTTATACATTGTTCTAAGCGAACTCAGTGTTCACGTGACGAACAATTTACTCGCTAACACTTACTAGTTTCGAAAATTAGTACATAATTACAGATTTATTTTTGTCTATTTTTACAGTTATTTCAATCAATCCATCCATTTCCTTTCCTCGTTATCCCGAGGTTCCTGTCGAGGCTGAGTTTATATCAGGTACAGAATTCCCGTTCGGAAGCCAATTCTGCTGAAACGCACCAAATTCAGGATTAAGATTGGAATTTCCGTCAAATCCACCCACAAGTTCGAAGCCGCCTTGATCCCCGGTAATGACGGCCATAGATATTGCAAATTGGTAAGACTCGCAATTCCTTGCTCATACATCCAAAGATTCTATTGAAATTTGTGTTAGTTTATGATTATGAGAAGCGGTCATAATTATGATGATATTTGGACTGGTGGATATGCAATTGACAGTTTGACTTACAAATGAATTTACAAGGGTAGCGCCCACAAAAGATCGAATCAATGCTTGAACAGCAGCGTTCAAGTCTAGACCTAGATACATTCTGGTCTGGATATCGTCACCTATAGGACAAGGCAGAGCTTGAGTGCGTGCATTGTAATTAGTCATGTTGCCGGTATTCACGCCCCCTGCATAGGTGGAGGAATAGCGAAACTCTACTCGGGGTTCGAGGGTGCCGGCACCAGATCGAGGGGGACTTATATTGACGGTTTGGCCATGATACACAGTTATGGTACCAACGCCCAGATGCCAAAACGTATCGTCATTCGTGATCTCTTGTCTAAATGTGTATCGATCCAGGGGGATATGTAAATGAAACACGATCCAGCGATCGGCTGCAACTGTATGTGTGGTATCGGCATAGGCGGCACGCTGAGCTGCCGTGGGAGCCACGCCTGCAGTAGGACCGATCCAAAAGGCCAGTTCTAATATAACTTGAGCACCGACAGTGTCGGATTGAGCCAGTGAAGGTAATGCAGGGACAAATCACCCTAAAATATAGTCAGCAATTGAGCTTTTCTTCGGTTTTGTTAAAGACGCCTATTCTAATCAAGACCGGCCCTATTAATCTTAACCAGTTCTGATTATCAAAATCGTCTCTGATAATCGAGGCCGGTTTTGATAATCACAGTTGGTAATAATAATGCAAATCTTTCATATAAATAAATAAAATCAAATAACATAGGTTCAATACGCCTCTGATGGCTTGAGAAACCGACGGCTGGAGTCCATTGGGAGTGCGGGCAGTTGTAACCATTTCATCGAGTCTTCGGGCCGAGATCCCTCGTTTGGCGGTTACGAGATCATCCCAGGAACCGACATTATCATCGGGACTCACGCACAAAATCGATGAATCTGACTGCAGGTTTTCGAGTCCGTTGGCTGCCTCAGCCATGTTACAAAGCATGTCGGTTAGCAAGGTATCGGCCGCCAATTATTTATTGAGATAGGCATCGAACTCCCTTGCTGTGGTGTCCTGGTAGGTGGGTGCCCGAGGACTTGTGGTGCTTGTAGTAATGGTCCCACCACAACAATATGCCTCCTTACCCCAAATGCAGTTTGCAACGTTGGGTGTTTGTCCAAAATCATCCTGTTCGGCAATCCGAATCGTACCTGAAGGGCAAGTGTCGCTACAGTATTTATCATTCTTAAATGAAACCTCAAGCCCTGCCCAAGCGCAGTTGGTGAAGGCATCCGGGACGGAGTCTGCGCAGCAGTAGTTGTATTTCTTCTTTCCAGTACACGATTTCTTTCGACCACCCCAGCCCGCGCGAGACCCTACGACAAAATTCGAATAGCCTGATGGGCACGTGTCATCGCTTTCACAGCTTGAAGTCCACGCACACTCGGAATACGTCTTTGTCGAGGCTGTAGTGGTACAGCAAGCCGATTGATCGCCTGACTTGCATCCGGCGGAATTGGTTCCCACTTCAGATTCGCCGCTGTTGCAGCCGCCTTGCATTTACCATTAATATGAAAGCCGCGCCATTGACAAGTCAGTACATCGTTTGAAGTAGGATAGCACAAGGTCTGCGTAAGTCCAGAGCCTGGCCAACACTGGGACCCGTCGAGCATAAGTTGCGATTTCTTATCGCCTCGAACAACAGTGGTGAAACCAGAGGGACATGTTTCGCCACAATTAGTGAACCGGCAGTAAGCATCCTGTTCGCCTTCACTGGTTGTCGTCGTCTTTGATGTATCTCTTTCAGTAAGTGCTAGACCTGTGGACGTATCTACGTTAATTTCATTGCCGAGCGCTGCTGCTAGCCCTCGCGAGAGTGTGTTATTGCTGTCATCATAGTCGACAGACGAAACCAAAACACCCCCAAGACATTGCGACTTCGCAAAATCGCTTTTGAGCTTGAAGGTGTCCTGATCGTCAAATGAAACCCATTGGTCATTATCCCACTACGAGATCACTTCGATTAGCTTGCCTATTCTAAATGCCTTTGGAGAAATCGTTGTTGGAGGATGAAATTGCACCTAAAATTATGGCTTTGACAGCTGCGTCCTTGTAGAAAACTGGGGTAAGGTCGTTATCACTCATGATCTGTTCGATCTCACTACTGAGAAGGATACCAGCTGAAGCGCTGCAAACACCTTCGTCTCCAGCCGAAAGATACGCGCAGCCAGGGGTATCGCAGTCGGAGCTAGCAATGGTGAAACTACGGCCGTAGAAGGCTAAACCTAAGTTGACCTTAGACGAAGTAATATTGTTCCACCATAGCAAATTCATTGAGAAATCTATTTCTGTCAGGTTGGCGTGTGCATCTAGAATAGCACCAGTCCACTCATTCCCAATGTCCTAGGTGCCATGTAAATCGTAAGCCATGTAGTTGAACCAATCCACTGAGGGTTCGATGGCGATCAGATCCTCTGAGATTAGGAGAGTTAGTTTGCCCTTTTTCGTTGTCCCGGTGTTACGAGGGTTGCCGTCTAGATCACGTGGAAATGCTCTAGGCTTCTCGAGGTGGTTTATAACCAGGCGTCAAGCAGGGACTTAAGTAACAACGATATGATTGCAATTCGTAACTAATAGTAGATTATACTAAATGATTGATCTTGAGCACAAAGCTCTAAAAATAAAGAAATCCTCCTGATTATATAGATCTCCGTGTTCTGCTAGTACGTTGGAGCGATGGAGCGGGGGGAGCGATATTCGAATCTCGCTCCTTCGATCCTTCACGTGACTGCTCATATGATTCTAGAGCATGTGATATTGGTCTATAACGTTCCTACGTAGCACTCGGATAGGGCTCTGCAATGAATAGATGAATCATGATCTTATATTCATGATTTATTTCATGGAAGTGGACTTACAAAATGCTGTAGATACCAGTAGCTGGTAGGCAGCGTAATGGAAAGACCATAGCTGTACTCATCCAGTGCTGCTTTCAAATTGGCCAGGAACTTCGGCTAATTGGCATAATCTTCTGTTCGGCCACTGCGATCGGAGGCGGCGGGATACTCCCAATCGATATCAACGCCTGAAAACCCCCACGTCGTCATGAAAAGAGTCAACGACGAGAAAAACACATTCTGGTAGGTGATGTCGGCAGCCGCGAGATCCGACAAGGTCGTCGCTGTGGTCGGGTCACTGTCCGTGAAGTCCACCCTCCGATGGATAACCAGAATTTCTGCGTTGCATCGCGTGTTTGGAGGGCCGCAAGCTTTGTATAGAGCGCTTCGTCACCATCGGCTCCGGGGATTACTTCAAAGGTATCTGGGTTGATACTGCCAAAGGCAAAATAGATGTGCGAATAGATTCCCTGGGGAAAGGACTGGGGAAGCATGGCATCACATGCGCGAGTAGCACCACCTGAGGCATAGTAACCGATGACACGGGTTATTGATTGTGAATCGACATCACAGGAGGGTATGGTGGGAGTCTTGGTCTCACAGAACGAATCGCCTGTGCCACAGAATCCATACTCGCTGCAGCAGACATTCGGCGGGCAGGTGGTTCTATTGACGTACTCGGACGCCCAGCCACCCGGGTCACACTCAGCTTTGGCGTCACAACTATTGATACAATTCTCCACACTGCAGTAGTTGGGACCGAGACCGCAAACATTGCTTTTAACACCGCAGCATCCAATGGCACATGGCACATTAGCATCGCAATAAATGTCGTCCGCTAAAGCCCAGCGAAGCCAGCTCAAGCCGACGAGGGCAGTTATAGCCTTCATGAGTCTAATCGTAGTTGTTAGCTAGGTTTGAGAATATGTATAAGAGGACATTGGATTTTGAAGCTTCGACTACTGACCGCGATGATTTTGAAGCAAAGAGAAAAGACTGAACTGCATAAGATCTATCTACATTTGGTGTGGGCTTCAATACAGTATCTATCGTTCTCAACCCAAGGCTCACTTAGAAAAATCGAGCTTTCACAAACGCAGTATAGTATAATCTACCTTCTGAAGGCATCCTCAAGTCTAGCCCCCCTTTACCGTAAATCACGTTGTGGAAGTTTGAGTAGTAAGCGCAGGTCTTTGGGCCTGCAGTTCTCATCTCAAAATCACCCGCTATACCCGCCTAAGAAAGTAATATCCGTTCAGATCCATCATTTAACAATGGGTTTTCTGACTGTATCAATATTCTAGGCCCGGTAGAACAAGAGTGGGAGTAGAAGTACATCGATGTTTAAAAACCGATAGCAACGATCCCAGCGACCCGGCCCAGATTGAGAAACCAGTACTTTCTGAAAAATACAAATTTTTGCAGTGCCGTTACATCAAGAGCTGACTGTATGGAGGCTCCACCCAAAAACTGGGTGGAGCCTCTGTATAATAAACTGGGCCAGTGGAGTACGTTATCTATTAATATTAATGTTCGAGAGGGGCGCGTAAGCTTTTGCCTTATATTGTAAGCTGGAACCAGGAACAGTTCATCACATTTGTGATTCACAAATGTGATGAACTTTGTATCTAACACTAGCCATTTGGATGTCGCTACTTTCACCACCACTGTCTTAGTATCGTAGCTGTATAGGGTGAATGCAATGTACGATTAAGGGGCAGTTTTGTTTTCTTTATCTTTTTCTTGCCATGTCATCTATTGTCGGCATCCTGTTGATCCTTCCGATGTTATATCGCCCAGTATGCGCTTCAATTTGCACAGGGCATTGGCCAGTATGGGGATTAGGCAATCAACATAGTTGATACCGAAATGAGCAAGCTTGTTGGCCAATATCCCAGCTAACATCGCCTACTCTTATTTTTAATTTATCGTTACCTCTATTCCTATTTTCAATCTGATTATCATTTTCCATTGTATGAAACTAAAATAATTTTTGATCAGTAAGAGATGAATCTTTTATAGGTTCTGAAATTATAGGTGTGGGCGACGATGAGGTTGAAAATAGGAGTGGAGGCGACAATGAGGTTGAAAATAAGGGTGGAGACGACGATAAGCTTGAATCCTTGTAGGGCCCTGAAAATCTTAATTATTGCTGAATCAGTATGGTGGGTTTACGGAAAATGTTTGTGATGAACTAGCTCTTTTGCGAATAGCCTCATTTTTACCTGAACGGGGTGCAATGAGCCAAAATTGTAGTTGATTGGCCAAGAACTCACGTTGATAGAAGATCTTGAAATTGGCCAATGCCCCCGGAACAAACTAATCTCCGAGGAAATTCTCTAAGTCTGATGAGTATAACTCTCGTGCCAGGCAGCTGTTGATTTTTGACATCCACCATCGCCAGAAGAGGCATTCTCCGCTCAGCAATCCTTTACTCTGAGTCAAAAACTATAAGCGAAGCCAGCCGCTAGCAGTTGCAAAAACTGACTGTCTCTTGGAGATATATCCCCGAAAAATTGTTTACGTATCCTTGGTTCCCATGAAGTACGGCTCTTACTTCTTGTTGCCATCTCGTTATAAGTGTGGTGTGCTCTTCTCTGCTCTTTCAAGGCCGCTGGCATTTGTACAACTCAAAATTATGGCCATCGGTAGTCACAGACTCCTTGCCGCTCTCTGGGCAACCTCTCATTTCGCCAATAGCCATTTTGTTTCTCATTCAACCTTCCATCGACATTCACGAGACACTGATGCTGCTGCGACATTCACAGGCTTCTCAATTTTCTCTAGTGGGTCCTTGTCAAGCTTGAACCTAGCTTCAGCTTGCGAGGATGCGCTATACCAAACAGTTTATTGCGACGACGATACTTCGTCGCTATTGACGGATGGTTACGTTGATGGCTTTGACAACTCTGCGCAACAGGCCTTGTTCTGCGATGCAGGTTGTGGAAGTTCGATTGCAGAATTGCACGACAGTGTGCTAGGTGCTTGTGGTGATACAGAGGGTTTGCTTGACGGTCTTCCCTTTGTAGGAATTTTTGATGAGTTCTGGAGCAACTGGAATCAGTCCTGCTTCACTGATCCTACGACTGGGGAGAACTGCAATGGTGAGAGAAGACTCCTATGCTGCGAAAGTGGCGCCAATCCCTCCCTTGGTTTCATGTATCAAAACTTTCTAATTCTCTCTTGCAGACGTCGTAGTGGCCTTCTCCAATGTCACAGACTTGTCTGATATCCCAATATCAGACTTGTGTTCGTATTGCAACGTTCATATGTTGGAACTGATGCAGGCAGATGCCTACACAGATGTTTATAATGATAACTGGGTAACCACATATCAATATGTCGCTGATGCATGCAATCTGACCGTGGCCGACTTTAACGCAACAGCCAGCGCTTTCAATGTAACCGGAGTAATATCAACGACGACAAACTGTGTGTCTGGGATCACTTACACAACCGTGGAAGGTGATACTTGTGATTCAATCGCTCTGGCCAAAGGCGTATCGGCGGCCACCATGTACTATATCAACTCTGATATTCACAATTGCTCTTCCGTCACGGTGGGAGCAACGCTCTGCCTACCTCTAACCTGCAATAATCTCTACACGGTCCAAGAAAACGACACCTGCACCAGTATTGCCGTGAACGCCAGCCTTCTTACGGCAAATATAATCTCCTACAATTCGTATATCAACTGGAACTGCAGAAATTTGCACTCCACAGATCCCTATTGGGGCACAACGCTATGTGTGTCGACACCAGGAGGAACATATACGGGCCAAGCGTCTAACACCACAGCAACATCGGATGTGACAGTTTCCGCGCCTGCGGGCTCAACCGTGGCCTTGAACTCCACTACGGACTGCGGCCAGGGGTACGCCAACAATGGTAGCAGAAATCTCACGTCTGCCCAGATCTGTCTGTCATACGAGATTGCTTTCAACCTGTTCACCGAAGCCAATGCGTCGCTGAATAAAACCACCTGTAATAATGACCTGGTTTTAGGAGATGCCTATTGTGTCGATCCATTGACAGGCTGTGATTGGACCACGGCTACTTCAAGTAGTAGAAGTTCAACTACCAGTACGGCACCATCAATTACATCGATTGTCACCGTACCCGGACCAACACAAACTGGCATTACCAGCGCGTGTAACAAATATTATGTCACTGTCGACGGTAACTCAGACTTGCAATTTCATCATTCGTTCATTTGCTAATTCGGGATAAAAACAGGCGATACATGCCCTTCTATTGAAACAGCATACGATATCACACTTGCTCAATTCTAGGCTGTAGGTCAGATCTCCTGGAGCAATATTTCCGAATCGGGTTAATTCACGAGTTGAGACACTGTTTCGTGGGAGTCTACTTCTTCTTAAACAATCTCAATTGCTCTAGAAACACCCTCATTTCTTCCTAGAACATTTAGAACAGGCAAGTTAACTCTGGTGGTCTCGTAGGAATCCAGCGATTGGAAGTGATTGCACAAATCTTTGGCTTGAGGAAGCATACTGTGTCGGAGTGTATGGGTCAACGGTAACCACAGTGACCGCTCGTGGACCAACACAAACTGGTATCATCAGTTCCTGTACTGAGTACTACGTTACTGTCGCAGGCAAGTCAACACATCCAAGTCTTCCGCAATCTGAATTCTCTTGCTAACGAGAGGAATGGGAATACAGGTGATACTTGCGCTTCAATTGAATCAATATATGATATTACCTGGGCTGATTTTTATGCTTGGAATCCGGCGCTTGGGAGTGATTGCACAAACCTTTGGCTCGAGGAAGCATACTGCGTTTCCTTTTCTTGATATTCCGCTATAGCACGCCGTGAAAAGGTTTTCTGATATAACAATTGTAATTTTCTATAAATCGATTAGTACTCGAACATTGAGAGTCTTTCGGATATTAGGGGTTATCTAGAAATAGAAAGTTATTGAAAGGTTTAGTCATTCAAAACCTTTAAAACATTGCAAACTTCTGCTTATCTTTACCATATAAATATACTCAAAAGTAAGACTATACTTATTGGTAACTAAATATCTGATAAATGTGAATTGAAATGCCACATGGATTGCATGTTGGATTGTGAATTGTCCACCCCATTTTTCCACTCCAATTTCCCAACCACCCAACGTCGATCATTATATCTTTGATAAGGCACGAGATAACTGCTTCCATCTCGATGTTTGACTTCTTGTCTGAAGTTGCAATCTCCGCAGGCTCGGAAGCAGCTCGATACCCTCCCTTTTACCGACAACTAGCGGGGAAGGATCTTCTGTGATTGCAACTACGCCTGAACTTACAACTGCCGCTATTGTGTTGACACCTGAGAATTTTCAATTTCACTATAATGGGTGATACAGAACCTGCCACGTTCGGGACCTTGCTTGAACCTGCAATTACTGTAGGTTTAGATGCAGTTTTGCCCTTGGGATATTTGGCACCATCATCTTGCAACTTCAGCTTCTCTGAGTTCTAGTTCTTTGTCTGAAATTGGGCTTGGCGACTTGTGTCTTCCGGAAATTGCACTGTTGCTCTAATCTTGCATCAAGTCAGTCGAATTGGACAGGTCTGAGGGTTGTTGAGGTTGCGCTGATTTTAGAAACAGCATTGATAAGTAGTTTCAGCTTACCTGCAGATCGGCCTCAGCTGGTATGGCATTTTGATTTAAATAATATTCCAAGTTCTAGAATTCACGTGGCATCAATTATGTAGCAGAAGGATTGCATTGAAGTCCAGCCCAGAGGGTGCTTTTCCTGAAGTAAGAATTTTGAATAGGCAGGTACACATTTCGACAGCTTGCAACCATCTGCGCGAGTGGTTGATTTGTTGTCTTTCAACGCTGAGGGTTTTGGTTCTGGATATTTCTGATGGGTAGATTTAAGGGCCTTTATGTAGATATTAACGTAGAGTATGGAAAGAGAATTAAGAAATGACAGAGTGGTAGTTGCAAGGAAAAATCAAACTTGGATTGGCTGGGTTGAAGATTACCCCACTAGGGCAAATCTTATCTTTTCAGTTGCTTAGTAAGATCAACCAGCGTAAAGTTTGATCTAGATCTTTTGATCTTATCTTATCTTATCTTATCACATCGTATCTGAAAAGCTATGGAAATCAATGCCCTTACTGGCCACTGCCCCATCAAATCATCCACCTGGAATATAACTCAGCATATTAAATTTTCCACTAAAATTTATTCATTTACATACTAGAATTATTCTGGTTTGGATAAGTCCTTGACATCTTCCCTCTACACCCACAATATTTGAACAACTTTCGAAAGCTCTCACAGGAATTTATGCGCTAACTATAGAAGAAAAGTAACCGACATCATATCGGAATCTTAAAGCTGCAAATGAAGTCATAGTAATGATGGATTTCATTAGAAGCTAAGGGGATAAGCTAAAAGCGAAACTGTAATCCTGACAATTCTACTCAAAGTCAAAACTAAACTCTATCAACACAATACATTTCTCGACAAAATTAAGCTTGTGTATGATGTCATAGTAACAGAGAAACTTGGTTGAGAAACTAAGGGGTAATAACTTCGTCTAGGCAATCTTGTCATATTGCTACATCATCCTATCCCATTGGGATAGAACCGCGTAGCCCCTTGACTCCCCAAATTCTTTATACCGATCCAGCAGATCCAGCATGTGTTAGCCCGTACGATTACTTGTTAGTATCACCAGATTGAAATTACTAACTCAATATTTACCGAAGCAGGATCAAACTCTTCAGGGTGGACATCTTACTTATACTAGCTTACCGGGTTGATAGCTAGTAGAAATAAATCCATACCAGATTTTGGTATTCTATATAATAGTCCACCGTGATGAATTGTCCTTAAGGCTACCTATCAACCAGAGAATGATCATTAAGAAATATCTATTCCTAAATCAGCTAATCCCATTAATAACCTTTCACTGATCTCTCCAGAATATTTCCTAGCCCAAAATAGAGTACCCAGATTCAAAGAGTACTTAGTTTCACACAAGGCGAAATATAACCTGATAGAACTTATGCTCTCGATTCGAATAACTTTCAAATTTTTTATCAGAAAACCAAACTGCCGCCTGCAGTGACTGCTGTCGGTGCTACCATGGAAATTTCTCAGCTGAGATACTGTGGTGGTATAGTCTCCTTGTTTTGAGTTCATAGAATAGATCATCAAGTAGATGAGTTATTGGAGCGCAAGTGTGGGTAATCAGTTCTAGGATTGTTTCTTTCAAGTGCATGAGAAATAATAACAAATAACCAACATGGGCTTATGAAAATATGTTGAATGCAAATCAAGTGCTGAGTTAATGGTGACAGTACAGTACTGTTGACTGAAATGGTAATCTTAGTAAGTAATCACAGCACAAACATCCAAAACCTCTCAAAGATAGATCATAATCATAATTTATTGATAGGCAAAAGACCTCCCTCCTCCACTTGAGATTCCATTCTGAACAAAAATCTAAACCCGACCCATTCCATCCAAATTCATAACATCATATACATATATACCCAACTCTCCCATCGATATCACAACATCAACCCAACCCTTACTTCTTAATCGGTTCGCCCCAAGCATTCAACTGCTCCCCGCTCCCACCACCACTACCTCCTGAAGCACCACCCAACGCACCACCCAAAGCACCCGTTGCACCTCCGGCCACGTTCCCAACAGCATTAGTAGCACCACCAGCTACATCTCCAACACCACGAACAGTAGTATTCAACGTGTTTCCGAGTCCCTCAGTCGTCTTTCCAAGCGCACCGCCAACGCCTCCGAGGAGTCCTCCTTGTCCGTTGGCTTGTTGCCCGCCTGTAAGAGTGTTATCGAGTGCGCCGACGAGCCCGCCGAGTAGTCCCCCACCTTGATTTCCGGACATGATTGTTAGGCTTGGGGGGTTTGGATTGGGAGTTTTGTGTTTGACTTGATTTGTTTTTTTTGGGATAGTGTGCCTGATTTCTTTGCACAGAGTAGTTTCGCAGGAAGTGTTTGTTTGTTTGTTGGTATGTATGATTTCCAAAAATCCAGTCAGGAGAACCTCAAGATATATATATACAAGTTCTACAAAGCGAATGCTCGTCTAAACGCCCCTTCATCATGCACATTACACCACATACACCATGTCTTCCATCATCTTCTCGATCTTCCTCTGATGCAATTTTCAAGATTTCAGGTTTTTCCAAAATCAAGGATGTGATCCATGTTGGACCCTGACGTAGATCGTATATTAAAAATGACTAGGGTGTTGGAAGTTTAGCCAACGGTTGTGCAGGACCCGCATGGAGGGCAGCTTGTCAAGACGTCGATGGTGGGGTATAACAATTGTGGAGGAGTGAGATTGACGTAATTGCCATGAAGAATGGGTACAAACTGAATCTGGATTCTGCACGAGATCGTGATGAAGGTGGAGCAATGGATGAGGAAGGTTGACCCGAGGTTATCAGCCACAGAATATTGTACAGACCTTGCTTTTTAGATTCCTATGGAGGCGTCTGCAGGCAGCCTTGCTTACAATTGGTTGGATAAGTGATTGGTGGAAACGAGGGAGCACATAACGTGATATGCACGTGATTAACCGCGCACTTTCTACAAGCTCCACAAATATTGGGAAGTGAACGGCAACCCACATTTTAGATATCTTGATTTATACCATAAACTTAGCTAAGTCCCCTTTCTTAACCGAACTAGAAGCATTGAGGACTTTGGTGAACAATTGATATCTTTAACCAACGATGATTCTTGCTGAGCCCAACCGACCTTTTTCTCCAGCATGCAATCGAAAAAGTCTTCTTAAAACACCAGTACTCATATACCACAAGATCAGTTCTCCACTCAAAACATCTCTCCTTAGGCATACTGATAACAAAAGTTCGTCCCATCGCTTGGATATTTATCCGAAAAGAAAATCCTACTGCTAGTATCACTCAAAACCAAATTATCCATGAACTCGTTATACGCTGTGCAGACCGTAGTATTCACATTATACGAATATGATATACAAGCTGTAACTTCTCCACAGTGTTTTTGACAAGTTACAATATCTTCAAGAGTATATGTGTTGAAGATTCTTGAGGTAAGCCCTGCTTCTGCCGTGCCTTCGACATTGCAACCGTCGATATTTTTGGCGACGATAGTGGGCGAGGTGGTGGTGGTAGTCGTGGTGGGTTTGGGTTTGGGTTTGTGTTTCTTGTCTTGAGACATATCGTCCAACATGGGGTTTAGAGGGGAAGCAATTGCGAGAGAGGCGATTGTGAGGAGGATTAACGATGTCAAACGAGCCATTTTGGTGTTTATTTTCGATGATTGATTTTTGTGGAGTCTGGATGTAGTCTTTGAGTACTCTAATCGAATTGGTTTGGAAATTCGAGAATACAGACAGTTATGGGCGAGAAGAATCGTTTATTTATGTATGAAGTGTTTATCGACGATTTTACTACGATTCTGGGGTCGGAAGTGAGCGGATTCCAATACTACCATAGGGTGGTACCATTTGTCATTGAAATGGAAATTTCTCGCATATGCGCCAATTCAGCCTGATAGATTATGGTCTTACATACTGCTGCAGCACCTCGTATCATGCACTATACTTGGTTCATTCGACTACATTGTTTTTGTTTGTCTTGCAACAAATACGAAGAAACCACTAAAATAACAGCCTTGCCGTACCGATGCTGAAGCTTTTCCAAGATGAGAATCTTCCGCAAGCCGCCCACCTTGAAGTGCTTACCGATCTGGGGAACAATGGGCTGTTCACAAATCCGGGTGAGTAATGTCCCATGCTGAAGTGCATGGCGAATATTGAACATAGCCAGGGCTTCTGCTTTGTCCCAATTTTCCATGGGCTGAAGATTGGCATCTTGACGCATGTGTTTACAATTGTTTCACAAGTGCCAGTGCCCATGTGCAAAGTCAAGACAACGTTTTGTTTTTTCAACCAGCTTGGGATGGATATACTTCAGGCCCAGTCTCAAATATTTTGAAACCAGCGTTGCATAATTTCCTAAATCAAGAGCCTCCACCAGCGCTTACTCTCGATAATAGGCCTTCGAGAGGTATTGATTACAATGGTACTGTTCTCCGCTTGTGTAAACTCCTTTGAGCTTAGAGTATGCCGAGTAGCATCCGAAAGTGGAAGGTGTACTGAAACGATATCACTTCCCCGGCAAACCCCCTCAAATGAAACATATTTGGTCCCTGAAGGTGTTCATCCTGCAGATTGAATTTCGGTTGAGCATGCATACAGGCAGTGCGGCACGTCTGGCGACTGCGCTGCCAATATTACCAATACCCAGGATCCCAAGAACTTTCCCGTGAAAACCATACCCCAACCCCGCATATCCCGTGTCGAACGGATAAGCGGCGTAGAGAGCAAGCAAGATGCACATTGTACATTGTAGCATTGGTTGTAGCATTTCTAATGTTTGTCATGGCGTCCGAACAGAATAAAGATACGTTACATAGAATTCTAATATCAACGTAAACTTTGTTACCATGACTGCTAGAGATGCCGGTATCCATCTGATAGTAACCGAGCTGAGGAGTGCATATGATTCTAACTGATCTTAGTAGAGATTAGACAGGGTCGGTATCAAGTGACCTGTATACTATCCCAATAGATGTATATCCGCTGAAATCATAGGTACACGGCATACCCTGTGAGTATCCCCCCCGCATCTGATTTTCACCACAATTCCATCGTAACGCCCGGATTGCCAATTTAAGAAGTACCATGTTTATTTCCATGACTTAGGTGATACTGTCTCAAGTTAGCTGCTTGAATACTCTTTGAATGCAACGAGACTGCGAGGACTATGACTGTGGTTGTGGTGCAACTACGAAAACAAAACGAGATTGCGGAGACAGGAAATCGACCTTCAAGACTCCTTTTATTCCATCTACTAAGTGAACTTGGAACATTATACGCACCATTATCAAATCAGAATTACCACCACTAACCGCATTCCTTCTCTGCATTTGCTTGACCGAGATAATATAGCTTGGGTTGCATTTGTACTGTATGCGAGGAAAGATACGAATCGATCCATGCGACTTAGGGCGGTGAGGCAAACTTAGGTAGGCTCTTCTTCCGTATATGGTCCATAATGTTATTTGGAATTTATATTTATATACAGTAATAGCAAATTCTGTATCAATCATATCTCTCAGCATCCCCAATACCATTGAACCAAACTTCAAATCAAAAGTTTTTGTTGCATATCTGATTTTCACTTTCTAGGGTCCTGAAGTCAGTACCGAACGAAAATCCCCAAAAATGATATTCGATTTTCAGATGTGCAACAAAACTTCTTGTAATATCAAGTAGCTTGATGAGCAATACTGATAGAGAGTTTTGTTGAATATCTGTCCCATTTTTCCGGGCTATAGAATCGGTACGGGTTCAGAAGTCCAAATTATATCTGGATATCTACACTTGATACAAGTTCATTGAACGTTTTGTTGCATGTCAGATTTTCATTTTTGGGGCCTCAAAACTGGCACGGATTCAAAACCTCATATCAAACCCAAAAGCATATTTGATATTCAGATATGCAACAAAAACTTTTTCATATCTATATTCTAGTAATTTAAGGAAAAGGATGATTAGTAACCACCTCATTCAAGTCGGAAGTTTCTGTTGCATATCTGATTTTCAAAGGATACTTTCTGGGCTTCAGAATCGGTACGGAACAAAAATCCTAAATCAATATCTGGCTAGATATTTAGCATGAGGTTACAATGACCAAAGATCAAGTCCCTTTTAAACTCGCATGTGAAGGAACCGATCGCCTTGATAGTGAACTTTCATTACAATCATAACAATGCTACATAACAGTCTCTAGGTGTGCAACCTAACCTTCAAATCATGGAAAATTGAAACCATCATTCCAGCTGCGTTCCTAAAGATAGACAGTTAGACTCTTTTCTTACGAGATGATAAAGTCAACTTACTATGACTATCCACTTTCGAATCATCCATTCTCCCATCCTCATCCTCATTATCAACTTTCTCATCCTTCTTCGCCCTTGATGGAAAAAATGAACGAAACGCCCACACTGATCCCTTCTTATCCTCATTTCTCACATCATCATCAGCATCAATAGTCATAGATTCACCTAATTCTTCCACGTTCGTGGATGCCTCGCTTTCTGGTTTAGACTTGCTTGAGCTCCACAAAGAGCTAACTCCTTTGGAAGCATAACTGGGAATAGCTGCACTTGCCTTTAATCCAGTTGTGGCAACGCCAGTAAGACCAGATCCCGCTCTTTGAGAGATTCGGTACAGGCTTTGAAGATATGATTCTCGTTGCTTGCCATCGAGGTCATTTTCCTGGATATCAGGAAGTGGAATTGCAGCAGCGGCAGCGACAATGTCGAGAGGGGATTCATCAACTCCGTCCATATCTAGATTTGGTACAGACTCGGAGTCGGTAGCAGTACTGGTGAAGTTCTCACTTTCTTCTGTTTGTACTATTACATCTTTCTCTGGTACAGTCTCTAGTACAGTCTCTGGTAACAATTCTAGGGGCGGTGGTATATCCACAACTTTGTTGTCGCTTTGAAACCATTCAACAACTAAATCTCTTGCCTGTTCGGACATCTTGTCGTAATTATCGTTGGTTTCCGGTTTGAACATACTCATATGAGCGTGAACTTCATCCTCGACTGCACCATTAACACTTCTAATGAAGAGTTCATTCGAGTTTTGTCCTGGTGCGGGTATCGCACAGAAGGTTCTTTCAGGAACAAAATATCCACCTGACCAATAGCCATTCTCTCCCAACGAAGTGTAGAAATTCCGAATTCCAATCCCTTCAATCTTGGACAGTCTCTCAAGTCTTTGAACCATCTCTTTCTGTCTCATCAATGCACCCACAAATTTAAGATGGCTTGACAACCACGCGAAAGATTGACCAACACTATCGCGATTGATATATGCAAGCCCCTGCCCTAATGCATCATATCCTTGCTCTGCACCCTCTTTGATGGAGTTCTTGTTAAGATTTTTGACGCCCGCGATAATGGTCTCGCGATTTCTGTAGGCAGCCACACCACCTGCCGCAATTGCTCCCACAACACCGGATTTTACAGCAATTCCTTCCCATATCTTCCATCCCGGGCTAGCAGTTCTGGTTGTAGCTACCACAGAACTGCCTGCACGTCTCGCAGCTTGTTTCGCGGACATTGTGGTTAGAGAGCTAGCACTAATGAGGCCGGCTGAAGCAGCTGACATTATGTTCCAAATATTGCTGACCTTAATTAAAGTTAGCACTTGTCAGACTTCTTGAAGTTTTTGAATTACCTTGTTGTATTGACTGAATGCTCCGTAAACAAACATAGAACGAGCAAGGCCATTGTAAGGGGTATCAAACGCGAGAATCCCTTGAATAAGAGGAAATATAACATGATTGGCGTCTTTCTCCTCTTGATCATGATGATCGTTAAGAATGGAGAAAAGTGCATCAGAGGCCACGAAACCTCTGAGTTTATTGTTAGTAGATTTATGGTGGTTCATGTAGAGTTTCCAATTCTTACCCCATTGAATGCGCGACTAAAATGACGCCCACGGATCTATCATTCGGTGGCCATGGATTTTGGGTCTTCTCTTTCCGAACCTCCATAACCTTTCCTTTCAGCCTGATATTGGCTCGGATTAATTATGAGAAGAAATTCTAGTTGGCACTACACATACCATTCGAGAAATTTATCGGTACTATCCAAAAGACTTCCTCTCGTCTCATATTTGGGATACATGAGAAGTTCAACATCATCATCTGGTAGCTTCTCTGCTACATGCTTCTTAAGGGACTATGTTGAAAGTCAGTAAACTTATCCAAATTGCACCATAGAACTCGAATCTAGCTAACCTGTGGAAAGTTATAAAAAGTCTCTCCATCACCCTTGAATCCATGAATGAAACACAACAAAAGTGTTCGCTTCATCGTAAAATCGTATGATAAACTCCTATCAAAGTTCCGTAAAGATGGAGATCAGCCACGAAAGTATGGGGTTTCAATTATTATTATGGGCATGATCTTCTTCTCCAAAAAGTGGCTGTGGCATTTAGTGCTTAAAAAATGCCTAAAATCATGGAAGCAGCTTGTGGTAAATTCAAGGTTTTAACTTTCACATGCCTTTTTTATGTAATGACCTCATGAGCTTAATGGCTCAACTGCCTTATACGTCATTTTTGAGTTTGTTATGCAGGGGATATCACTGTTCCTCACATTGCCAATCTTTTCGGGTTGGTATGTTGAGAGATGCAGTATCAAGTGGAAGGTATAGATGACAAAGAAAAGACATCGCAGTCGCTTATCGCAAGTGCACGTGACTGCTTTACTCGACTCTTAACAAAGAAGCATCAATTGAATCAATCTTTAGATCGTGTGAATATCATTGAAATTTTGGCTAAAATACATGAATAATCAACAAATCGACTAGTTAGTTATAAAACATAGAAAGAAATAGGCTAATTTTCCCAATCCAAATAAAACCGCTATAAAATACAAATCGTTCGTGAAAATCGTGAAATCATCTATTTCTTCTTCTTGCCCGTGAGGGAATCAACCACCATTCCAAGTCCAAGACCGTTCAAAAGGTTCTTCAAACCAAGACCTCCGAGAAGGTTATCGAGCAAGCCTCCGAGACCGAGTCCGCTGAGCTGTAGAGACTGTTAGACACGTGTTCATGAAGAGTAGGGAGTCCACGTGATGACTTACCAATTTACCAACTATGCCGAGTACACCACTCAATAGCAAGCCAACGGCTGCAAGAATCTGAGCAAGTGGCTCTGAGAGGAGAGACCACAAAGGATTGATTTCCTTCTTGGCGTGAGGCATGCCTTCAATCTTTCTCTTGGCGTTTTCGATCGTCTCGGTGACAACTCCAGTGAGCTGTGAATTATAATTAGTAAATTATCGTTTTATAGTGAAATAACAAGGGAACATACTTCCTTGATACAGTCAGCCAAGTGATACTCCTCTGGAGTAGCTTCATGAGCTGCTGTTTTGGCCTTGGCTTGAGATTGAAGTCTTCCACCAGGGTCAAGAGCACGGATGGAGGCGTTTGCCTCAGAAAGAATGCGACCACCTTCTTCGATCAATGGCTTGACTTTGTTGACAAGGTCCTCTTCATCAAGTTCATCTTTTGGTGTACGCTCAGCTTTGTCGATGTGTGAAGTGATCATCTTGAGAATTGGCTTGATCTTATCAAGAGCATCCTCGACGCAGTAAATCATTTGTTTACAAATCTTCTGATCGAGTTCGGCTTCCTCTCTCTTCTTTTTCTCTTCTTCCGTCTCTTGTGGTTCTAGTTCAGGCTCAGGCTCTTCTACCTCTACCTCTAGCTCCGGCTCGGGTTCATCTTCGACAATATCATCAAGAAGAGTCACGTGTCCGAGTGAGTTACCCTTTTGATCAACAACATCTCCGTCGTCATCGACCTTCTTGCCTGCGCAGACCTTGATATCTCCACTGGTCAATTTTCCAATTACATCTCCGTTCTCGTCAACTACATTACCCTCCTTATTAACTTTACGACCAGACATTGGGTTGATATCTTTCTTGGCCTCCTCCTCCTGCCATCTCTCCGCTCTTCCAAGAACATTACCATTCTTATCAACAATCTCGCCATCATCATCGACAGCTCGTCCAAATAGAACATTGGGATCACCGGATACCAAGCGACCGACAACTTCACCAGCTGAGGTAACAACCTTGCCTTCCTTGTTAACTGTGCAACCGTCAAAGTCTGTGAAGGGACCTTCTTTCAAGCCTTCGCGATCACCCTCTGGAACGGCTTCACACTTGCCAATGATATCGCCTCCCTCATTTCTAACAAAGCCATTCTTGTCGCACATCTTGCCTGCAAGTTGCTTGATATCTCCCTCCACAACACGACCATAAATTTCGCCGGACTTGTTGACGACATTGCCCGCCTTGTTTACGCGCTTTCCTGCTAAGGAAGAATTGTCGACTTCTGGCACTGGTTCAGCTTCGGGAGCTTCCCAACGCTGGGCCTTACCAAGAACGTTGCCGCTTGCGGATAAGATATCCCCGTCTGCGTCAACCTTCTTGCCCTTGAGTTTCTTGGCATCGCCTTCAATGACTTTGCCGATAACCTCGCCATTGTGGACAACATCACCGTTGGACTCAACAGTGGCATCTGGGAAGTCTTCAAATGGTGCTGGCTCCTTGAGCTCTTCCTTCTCTGCTTCTGGAATTGGCTCAGCTTGACCGATCTTTTTGCCGTTATCGCCCCAGATAGCTCCATCCTTATCACATCGGCGACCGATCATGTTCTTTAAGACACCTTGAATAATACGACCAACCACACGACCGGAGTCATCTGTAACATTTCCAAGCTTGTTAACCTTCTTGTCGAATAGGACTGAGTAATCTGGTCCTTCCGCCTCCGGCTCTGGCTCTTCTTCGGTACGTTCTGCCTTTCCAATGACGTTGCCATGCTTGTCGAGAATGTCACCATCCTCGTCAACAGTCTTGCCAATCATCTTCTTCACATCTCCATCGATAACTTGACCAATGATTTGTCCCTCGAAGATTACCTTTCCTGACTTATCAACAATAGCACCAGGGAAATCCTCAAAGGGCGAAGATGCATTTTCCTCGGCTTCTGGGAGAGGCTCGGCGCGGCCAATGACCTTACCGGTGTCGTTGTAGATCTTTCCCTCCTTGTCGCATTTCTTTCCAGCAAGCTTCTTGGCATCGCCTTCAATGAGTTGGCCAACGGGGTTACCTTCCCTATCAACGATCTTTCCGGCCTTGTTGACCTTGAGTCCTTCAAGGATGGAAACAGGTGGGATGTTAGATTCGGCTTCATCCTTGGCGCCTTCAGCGGTGTCTTTGCCTTCTTCGACAGCACCTTCAATATCCTTCTGGCCTTCTGAAACTTGTGATCCGAGATCAGCCTTGGAGCCAAGCTGGCTAATACCTTCTGGAATAGCGACATTCATGATCTGCTCTCTGACACTCTCTGGAATTGGGAGTTGATCAAGTGGAAGCAAGTTGACCTTTCCGAGAATAGTGCCATTCTCTCCGACGAGATTTCCCTGATCGTCGACATTGGCACCTTGCTTGCCGACCAAAGATTTAAGGTCAACATCATCTTGGAGTTTACCAATTGCCTTTTTATCGGCATCAAGAATCTCACCAGACTCTTGGATTTCAAATGGACCCTTGAGTTTGGATTGAGGGACGATCGGCTTTTTGGCATCGACATCTTGTTGCTCTCCTTCAAGACCAGATTTGGCGCTATCGGCAGGAGATCTCAAACCATCGGCGTTCTCATCGGCATCTTCAACTGGATCGGCAGATCCAATTACACGACCTTCCTTGTCCAAAACATCTCCTTCCTCGTTGACGATACTGCCCTTGAGTTTGGACTTGTCAATGTCGGCTTGACTAACCTTTCCAATGACATTTCCATCATCGTCAACGACCTGGCCCTTTTCATCGACTTTTCCTGCAGGCTCGACGTTCTCTGCAACTTTTCCGGCCTTTTCGCCAGTCTTTTCTGCAGTCTTCTTGACGTCTCCAGCCTTTGACTTGGTCTTGTCCTTGGCATTTTCAGCTTTAGACTCTGTTGTCTTCTTAGCAGCTTTACCGGTGGTAGTAGCCTTACTTTTGACGCCCTTACCGGCTTTAGTAGCCTTCTTTCGAACATCATCTACTTCTTTCTCATCAGAAGCATGTGAAGCTTTCTCTGGAGCATCTCTCAAGTTACGTGAATCTTCGTTTGGATCACGCTCAGTCAATTCCTCCTCTTGTCCCTCCTCGTCATCTTCTTCTCTTCCTTCCTCTTCTCCCTCTGCGACACCGTTCTCCTCGGTCTCTTCATCTTCTCCCTCATAATCATTGGTGAGGTCTTCGTTGTCTGAAACGGCTGATTGAGCCATTCTGTCTGGAGAATCGGGAGGTTCTGAACGGGTTTGTACTGGCTCCGGTGTTGATGGAGATTTTGGAACGTTCTTCTTGGCACTCTTTGGTGCTGGGGATTTTGAAAATGTCTTGGTTGGAGATTTTTCTGTCTTGGATGAAGCGTCTTTTGGCGCTCTCAAAGTTTGTTGCGGGTTGTCTTCAGTGTCTGTCATACTCGGTTGTTGGGTATCTTAGTGATTCGTAATATTCGTATTATGGTCTGTACTGTTTATTAAAAGTAGTGGTCATGCAGAATAAAATTTGAGCTCATACTGAACCCGTGAGCTCTTCTTGTATGCAATATCACACTGCTAATTTCCGGTTTACTTGGAAGCATAGAGCTTGGATAGCTTGGATATGATGTGAATACGTCACATCTAGGGAGCTATGATGCCACAAAGTATCAACTTCCAGGCTCTTTACGTCAGCCACCGAGAAGCTTATGGTTTGGTGAGCCACATCATATTGAAGTTTTTCCTACCGAATAATGATGGGAAAGCTGGAAGGCTGCAGATTTCCTGGCAACTCTGCGTCATGGCAAGGTAGTGGATGTAGGCGCTTACCCGTCATTGGTCGAGCCCTTTGTACCCCGCGACGTGTCCTCGAAATCAAGATGTTTCTCGAATGAAGGGACTACCTTTGATCGACGATGGATTTGCTACAAACGTGGTTTCAAGCTCGTTTTCTTGGTATGGTCGAGAACCAACTTGGACGGATAATAGACAGGTCTTCCTTGTTCTCCCCTGAGATCAAGCATGACATCAAAACTAACGACGCATGCATGTAATATGTGAGAAGTTCAGGTTACCGGTTACCCCGGTTTCTCAGCCAAGCAAAGAACACCCTTTATCGAGTAAAATCTAGCCCCAAATAGCCCACGAAATATCGTCTCTGGAATCTGATACTCGATCACTTTGACCGTGTTGTCCATTGAAATAAAGCGCATACAGTACAGGGAAGACAAGCCATCTTCCTTCGCCACCAACATCAAGCCACCAACTTTTTTTTTTCATGTCGTGATAGAATATCCCCACTTGTCAATTGGAGTCCAGCCCTGAACAAACTAAAATAGTCTGACACCAAAACGCCCGTTCTTCATGAGCCACATTACAAGGAATATATCCTGTTATCGGAACGTAGGCTGTGATGTATCCATTAAGACGCCTTCGATATATTAATATCACGGAGATTACATCACTAGACTGGATTTAGTTGGACCGTGCCGCGCAGTGCACTCGCCACATGCAGAGTGGTGGGTCGACCTCGCTTATGCCTTCCTTCCCCTTCATTTCGAATCTCAACCGACATTGTTCTTGTTTTCCAAGTTTGGGATCAGGATTTATACCTCACGTTTATTTTGCTGCGTTCTGGTTGGTTACATCACTATTTCCTGGGGTTGGGTAGATAACTCGAGTCAATTTTTTGGAGATTCAAGATTCTTAGCATTGATTTGTGGGGTGATAATTGGGGTTGATGGCGTATTATTTGTCGTGATTGCCCTATTTCTTTAGGTGCACCGGTTCTCAGTTTGGCATTACGAGTATTGTACGGAGTGTTGAGAAAGACGAAAGCTCAGTTTAAGATTATAGTGGACGGCCAGAAAAGGCCTATAATGAGGTCGAACATGTGATTGTACCAAGATGAAATTTTCAAACAGGTCAAAGGGAACGCAAAAGTTTCAGTGAAGATATAAATGTTATCAATTTTGTAAGGAATAGAATGCTAGAAATACAATACAGAAGAAAATACACAGTATGCTATTACCCATTAGTTCCAAAGCCATGTACTGAACCAATCGTAAAACCTCAAAGAAACCAATCCAAATTATCCAAGTACACACGCAACCAAAATCATTATCATGTAATCTCACATATCCAACCATTGCCAATACCTACTATCCTTATCATAATAATACCATCGTCCTAATTTCCAGCCTTCATCATAAAGGCAGTAGGAATTCTAATCTGCAAACTGATTCCCTCATTGGTACTCTTCACATCCAAGAAAATATCACTTGGGCTACTTCCTGCACCGATATCTGCATTTTGTCCCAATGTTCCAGCCAAAGATCCTACATCTCCAGCTTTGGGCCCGTCAACAGATTGGATTTGTTGTGTAGCTCTAGCCTCCAATTCTTTGGATTTGAAAGAACCGACTGCTTTGCCGGAGAAATTGGAAGTGGCTTTACCGATGACATTTCCTTGGTCATCGAAAAGATATCCGTCTTTGATGACGGAGATACTCTTACCGACAATTTCATTGATGTTTGGTATGTTGACTTGTACATCCTTCGCGCTGTCTACTGCACCCTGAGCTTGATCTTTGATTCCATCAACGGCACCGGTAGCTTTGTCAGCACCAGGTAGACCCCCCAATGCACCTTTGGCTCCGTCGGTACTATCACCTAGAGACTTCTGAGCATCATCTGTAGATGGCAAACCTCCCTTGACACCAGCAGCCGTATCCTTAACACCTCCAAGTTTCTTTCCAGCGGTATCCTTGACGCCACCAAGTTTTTTCTGTGCATCACCTGTAGCACCTCCAACTTTGCTCTTTGCATCGTCGGTGACCCCATTAACTTGCGATTGAGCGTCACCAAGTTTATCTTTTGCACCTTCAGTTACACCCTCAGCTTTGTCCTTTGCATCACCTGCAACCCCACCGACTTTGTCAGTGGCATCTTTTCCGAGACCGGATGCTTGATCTGCTTTGTCTTGTGCAGCGTCCTTGACATCCCCGGAAGTTTTCTCAACATCACCCTTTGCCTTTGATCCAACATCTTTGGCAGTATCAGTTGCACCTTTAACAACATCGGTAGCTTGACTAGCGTCTGGTGCTTGTTCAGCAGTATCTTTGATTTTGTCTGCTCCTTCCTTAGCGGTTTTGGATGCCTTGTCTCCGACATCCTTCGCTTGGTCAGTGACACCAGAAGCAGTATCTTTGACTTGATCAGCTGCAGGTGCATCTTTAGTAACATCTTGGGTTTTCTTGGTGGCACCACCTAAGATACCATTGGCCTGTCCTTGAGCTCCTTGTGCAGTTTTGGAAGCTTTACTGAGGAATTTCTTAGGTCGTTTAGTCGCTTCCTTTGCAGGTTCAGGGACGGAGTCTTTTGCATCTTTGACGGGCTTGGTAGCTTCCTTGACAGGTTCCGACTTAGTTACTGACTTGAGAGGCTCGATGCTCTCCTTGAATTCTTCTGGAATAGGAGCTGCAGATGTAATGACATCTGGTTGAACATCAGGAATAGCCTCAGCCAATTCATTTTCGTCTTCCTCCTCTCCTTCCTCATTTTCTTCATCATCTTCCTCTTCCTCGCCCTCCCCGTCTTCTCCTTCGGAATTATCTTGCTCCTCATCGTCTTGAACATCGGAGTCATCTTCGACTTCACCCTCATCATTCTCGCCTTCATTTTCTTCCTCATCTTCCTCGTGATCTGCCATTTCGATACCTTCATCATGTTCCTCCTTTTGATTTACCTTCTCTTGTTTTTGTTGTTCAGGCTCAGGCTCAGCTCCAGAATCCTGTTCTTGTTCTTGTTCTTCAGGAGCTGGCTTTGGCTCCGGTTTCTTAGCCTTGGAAAACTTTTTGGGTCTGGGAGCTTCCTTCTTCGGTTCGGGCTCATTTTCTGCCTCTTCTTGTTCTGGCTCTTCGCGTTCTTCTTGTTCGGGCTCTGGCACTGGCTCAGGTTTCTCGGCCTTAGAAGACTTCTTCGGCTTAGAGGTCTGCTCAGGCTCGGGTTCCTCATCCTCCGATTGCTCTGGTTCATCTTGCTCGCCTTCTTGTTCTGGCTCTGGCTCCGGCTCATGTACCGGCTCAGGTTTTTTAACTGGCTTCTTAAACTTCTTAGGCTTGGGTTTGCTCTCGGATTTTGGTGCTGGTGAAGGCGATGTCACTTCACGTTGTGGAACATTTTTGTCAGCTGGAGGAGTTGCTGGTAATTTGGGTGCGAATTTCTTGGCCTACATTGTTGTAGTGTTAGCCTTCTGATTTGCATCGAATATTCTTTCAATTTTTCCCTTTTTCTCTTCTCTATCTCATCACTTTGATAAGGTTTCCTTTTTGGTGGCAGAAGTAAAGGTTTAGAATTCTGCTCGGAGATAAAGAGGAGAAGAACGGTAGGCGAAAGGAGGCAGATAAGCCATAGCAGGAAACTTACTTTAGTGGTGGAAGCCTGCTTTGCGGATTTGCCTACATCGTTGGACTCCTTTGGAGTAGGTGGCGCAGCTGTGTCCGGTACCGACGGCTTTTCGCTAGGTACGGAAGGAGCATCTGATTTAGGAGTTGCTGGCTTCTTCTTGATCGGAGTTTTGTTGGTCTTTTTCAAGACCTTTTTAGGAGCTTCTTGTGTGTCTGCCATTTCTGTGATTGTTGCGGTTGAAGAAGATACAAATTCGATAGAGTCTGGGTTGTAGCGAGATGTCCGGTGCTTCACATGTAGCGTCCACTGATAGCAAACAATAATTCGAAGGGACAGTTTGGCGGATGCTCTATACAAGTATATAGAGGTTTCAGTAGTGTAATGATCAAGGTCACTAAGCTTCAATGCCGTGTTCCTCTTAGTAATTAGATGCGCACAGAATGATCTCACTGTCTCGAACGCATCACAAAAACCAAGGCTAGGCCTAACTATGAGCCAAGTTCTGATTGGAATCAATCATTGCGTCAACTCTGACGCTACACAGATTGTGAAAAAGATACAGCTTACAAGCTTCCCCGCGAAATAACAAGGAAGTCTGGCCAAAGATTACATGGCTATAGCTCCCTTACCAGCCAAAAGATCAAACTTGCATCATATCCAGCCCACCATATAGCTTGGAATAGGTTTAATTGGATCTAATCCTTCGGCTTACACGCCACATTTTGAAGTGATCCGACGGGGATCATACACTTAGCCATCTTGTGATCCGGAAGATCAATGATCTTTTCAATTTGATTGTTGGTAAGTAGTGAGGTCCTCAATATCTTCATCGAGATTTCTCCTGATGACATACAGTATTGCGGCAATACTTGCATGCACCAGCCACAGCTTTCGAATAGCCCCGCTTTACAGTTTATCCGTGCACAAATAAGCTATCCCAGCCAGAAACTGGTGAGGTTAGTGTAAAAAGAGAAGAAAAGTTTAAAGCCGATCCAGAAAAATCATCATGTCGTGCCGTCATTTTTGAGTGCAAGGCCGATCACTGGTCGCTAACCTTACGAAATTGCCTTTCACATGGACGGATAATAGTTTTCTAACGCAAAACATTCCGATGCTCCGGACAATTCGTATGCACAATGGCTTTTTGCATGGGAGAGACGGGCTTTTTGCAGTACTGTAACCTACAAGCAGAAAGCTGGCGATACGAAGCAATTAGCCATAATTTACAAAAATGAAAAGGAAAAGGGAAAGAAAAACTTGGAAACTCGACAGGGTTCAGCGCCTCGAATTTATCTGCCAACTAATTTGCCTCAGTGTAGCTGTACCTATCTACATTTGCTCATATTAGGTAGGGAACAACCTGCCAGCCAGCAAATAATAAGGATCAAAAATACGAAGCGCGGGGTGGTAATACCAATACCTATTAAGTCTAATTAGGTAGGTGTGACTTATGAATACAAAACGTTCCTGAATTGCGTAGAAAACGCGAAGATTCGTGATAGTTCTTCCCTTCGGTAAATAAGTTCCGTAGTTCTGATGTCTCGCCAAGATCTTTTGAACAAGTACAAGTAGTTGACAGCGGGCTAATTTAGAGGAACTGCTGGAAAAGACGTAGGCCGCTGTATTAGACTAGTACACGCTATTGTCATTACGGCACAGGCTAGAAGGTCACTGAAATTTTAGTTGATTGGGGCGGGGTGAACACTATCGGAACACTATCTGATAGCGACTTTTAACTCATTTTCATGCATCCACCACCATTTCATGTAGCTGACTGATTTAGAAAGAAAAAAACAATCATCTGATTTTATATTCAATGCAAGATACCACAAATTCGAAGCAAGTAATCTGCTAAATCTACTAATAATCATGAATATGTCGTAAAATTTCCATATGCAAGATATTCGATCATTAAATCTAAAAGTACAATGCCATGCATGCCATTATCATCAAAATATCCAGAACCCCACCACACCCAAGACCCCGCATTCCATTCCTTCATCATGAACACCAAAGAAATATACCAAAAGCTCTCCGTATAATTGGGATGGCAATAGAACCGCCTCTATCAAACATGCTCTTCACTCTATCCAGAACTAAGCAACACGATTGATGTTAGAATGGATAAACCTTCTGCTCATGACCTGTTGAAAATAATCAGCTCGACCGAGCTCGTAAACTGACATTGAGAGGTACTAGTTCTCGACATTTACATAATGGGTAGGACTGAATTTTATATATGAAAGATATGCAAGAAAAAGGGAATGAAAAGTGGAGAAAAACGTACAATAATGCCAATGTCAAATCACCATGAATCTTGGCTTTCAACTCGATCTCAATTTCGAGGTTAACATCTAATCTCAACTTCAAAGGTTGTTTGCCTTGATCTTTAGCAGCAGCACCTCCTTGTTGTTGCTGCTGCATTTGCATCATCTGCATTTGCTGTTCGTGTTGTTGTTGCATCATTTGCATTTGTTGCTTATAATCATTTCCACCATCCTCGAGGAATTGAGGACGATCACGTCTCTTACGACGGGGTTTGCGAGCAGGAGCCTCTTCTTCTTCCTCCTCTTCTTCTGGCTCTGGTTCCTTGACCTTACGACGGCGATGCTTCTTCTTTTTCTTTTCTGGTTCGGGTTCCGGCTCTGGTTCATCGTGAACAGCAGTATCTTCACTTTCTACTTGTTTTTCGGGCTCCTCTTCTTGGGCTTCTTCTTCGCCGCCTTCGTTTTCGTCAGCAGTGGCTTCGGCACCAGTTTCCGCCTCCGCTTCACCAGCTTGGCCACTGGCTTCCCCTTCATTTTCTTCTGCTACTGATGCCTGAGCCTTCTGTGCCGTACCTTCTTGTTCTTCCTCTCCTTCTCCCTCCTGTTCCTCTTCTCCATCCTCGTTCTGTTCCTCGTCTTGAGCTTCCTCGTTCTGCTCTCCGTCTGTTTGCTCATTCTCTTCCTCTTCTCTACCGGGTGTGTCTTCAGGAGTGGGCATCCCCTTCTTCCCACCGACGGGTGTATTGCTCTTTGGGGGCATGATGAGATGTGGATGTATAAGATGTATAAGATATGTAGAATGTGAAGGATGTGATTAGGTGACGTAAGGTATGGTTATACACACGACGGATACTCGTATACGTTAAGAAAAAGTATATAGGGGTGAATCAAAAGTAGATTCGTCACATTCGTTAAAATTAGATTATAAGAGGAAACGACTTAGCACAAGTTGTGGTTTTGTCTTATATGAAAGTCAAAAATTTGTAAACTTGGAAATTCATGCCAAATTCTATGGAGCAAGCTTTCAAGCAACATAACTATGACATAACCGCTGCCTTCATTTTTACCCTTGTAAGATGCAGGGACATTTTCCAAATTGTAGGTTAAGGATCCTGGATAAGACGGTTTATCGCAGGGGTTTGTGGTGAAGGTGGGAAGTCGTCAACAAACATGTGGGTCTAAAAAAGCTGCAGGGCTGCAAGTAACCTTGAACCTAAACGACCAACTCAGCTCGAGTTCCCGAGTCTAGGGACACACAACTCTCAAAATCAAGGCTAAATGATACTCAAAACAGGTGCGATTGTAAAAACCTCGATCTTTCCAATTATCCGCACAGAAACTTTTCCAGGCTTTTTTGGGCATAAGATTTCCAACATTTCCAGAAGCTCTTACAACATAGAAATGAAGAAAGCCAGGCACGAGTACTCTCCAAAGTAAACTCTCTTCAGGCGCTCACGTCCAAATCGATGCTTATGGTACTTTTGGCTTCACCCGCATGATATCATTTCTAGTCCTAATTGTGAAGGAATAATCCGACAGGCGACATGGGGCATGAAGAGATAAGTTGTGGCTGGTGAACAACTAAATTGCGAAGTTTTGACACGGAACGCAATTGAACACTACTCTCGGACCCACCCTCCACAAGACATTCCAGACAAACAACAATACGATAATACAGTATATCCCAAGATAACATTCAACTCTGGGGACGACATACCAGACAGAAATCACATCATGGCATTGTTTTTAATGTTCGTAAACGCGATACCAACGGTGATTGGTACCGCTGAAGCACTGGATGTGCAGAAAAAGGAAGATTTGGCTCAGAAGCACAAAGCAAAGTTCTTTATGACAGCAAATTTTGCTTTGGATGGAAAAGCTGCCCATGAAAAGGAAGCACAAGTCGTTTTACGTGACAATAGGGTATGTACATCAAGTTACCATATATTGCTGTGGAAAACTCTGGTGAAAGAAAAGGAATGCTAATTTTGAACTGTCCGCAGATGTATCTAAATCATCCAGATGCGCCGAAAGAAGGACATCGATTTTGCGGGTACTATTTTATGTATCCAGGCACCGAAGAACATGGATTAGTTTCGACGATTCAGGATAATCCTCCGATGCTAAATTGGATATACGTCGACTCCAATACTCTTGAGGTACGATATGGCGGTCGGGGAGATACAGTAGGAAATTTAGCACATCCGTGGGAATGGTCGGAGGATGAAGTGAATTTGACATTGGAAGAAGATGAGGGATTTGTTGCGGTGGAAGTTGAGCCTGGATTATGGCAAATATATTTTGATAGGAACGGGGATTTCTCCGGTCTGCCCAAAGGAAAGAAAATCCAAGAAGTTTGTTTACTTAGACGGATGATGTGTGGCTGGAATAGTCAACTTGTACCAGTCGATAAGAAAAAGGAGGGGGGTTGATAATTCAATGTTGGAAATAATATAAAAATTCCAAATATCATGATACCCGCCTGGGAAATTCCCATATGTACTGTACAATGCAGACCTACAACACGCACGAGACCTGACAAGATCATATTCTCGAAACATCAAACCTGTGCAAAAATTCAAATAATCAATCAACATGCAGTATGACGAAATCCTACATCTTTCAATCAAGAATATGGGGAAACATCACTCGAGGGGATGCCTGTAAAAGCCTGTAGCAGACCCACTGGGATCAATATATTTCCTCAGCCACAGTACAATTGTATTCGCAATCTGCCAACTTTGACACTGCATGGATAGCAAAAACTTGCGAGAGACGGGCCTGAAGAAATTGGCTACAAGCTATTACCCCGAAAAACAAGAAAGCGCCTTCCGGCGGCAAGGGGGTCTGCATGAAATAGATGACGTGGAATCAGAGTAAGCAGGTTCGATGATCGAGAAATCCACTCAGTCTTTCTTTTAAAGAACACAGGTTCGAATCACTCATAGTCTGATACTCATTCAAAAAACAAACTTTCCTCTGTTGTCATCTTATCCTATTAGGATAATCCTACCCCCTCTTTTTATTTCCAACACCCATTCATACAGAGGTCTCCTTAGACTCCTACCTCGACAATGGCTAGCCAAGCCGCGTCGAAGCCAAAGGCTGCCACCAAAACTGCCCCGAAAGGCAAGAAAGCTCCCCCAAAGAAGAGACAACCAGAGCCTGAATCGGAATCTGAAACCGAAACCGACTCCGATGACTATACCTCTGAAGAATCGGAGGAAGAAGCACCACCTCCACGTCGACAAGCAAGGCAAAAGCAACAAAAACAAGGAGGTGGTGGTGGTGGTGGACCACTCGGTGGCATCGGTGATATGGTTCCTCTAGGTCAAGCTACCGATACCGTCGGTGGCCTTGCCGGTCAAGCTGGAAACACACTTGGCAATGTAGCTGGTGGTGTGCTCGGTGGCGGTGAAAAGAAGGGAGACGATAAGGAGGATACACTTAGATTACGGCTGGATTTGAATCTCGAGGTAGAGATTACACTGAAAGCGAAGATTCATGGTGATCTAGAGTTGGCACTATTGTAAGTTGATACGACCTTTATTATTTCTTCAACCCCTCCTGTTCTGACCATGGTAAAAGGGATACTGGTGGATAAACATCTCTTGCACGAGTATTTGTTTGCAGAAACGGTTAATAATGTCGTCCCTCCGTTCCAGCTTGATGTAATCACCGCTTAGCGTATGGTCCGATTTTCGTTAACTTCGAATATTGTACCTTTCTAACCTGTGAAAAGTCTTCCATGAGGACAAAACTTGATTAGAAGCTTCTGCTAACGAGTTCGCTTTCTTGCAGGAACTAATTGGCTTTTCGATTTCTTTCACGTTGGGATAGAATCTTGGATTCTGCGGAGTGGGCACATGGGAGGACCGGGTTCTGATGTTATGAAGGAGTTCTTTGAGTGCATGGAGAAATGGGAGAATGGGATCGGTTTTGACATGTTCGACATGTATTATATACCCATTCTCTAAAGTGGGAATTTTTAATGCCTGAATGACTTTTCCAACACACTTGAAATCTACTTGATGTGACCATGTGTGATGATGTAGCTCTCCGGATTCCGAGGCTGTGTGACGTCTTTGATGATGCCCCTTTTTATTTTGAAGGGAGATCCGGAGTGAACCAGGCAGAGGTTTTGATTGCAACGAATAGGGTCCTTTTGGAAGATGCCCTTGCTGCACTCTTTCCGATGACCATTGAAGAGTCGATTCAGAGGAGTGAAACTTGGGGCCAGGAGCATCGTGGACTCACCACTGCACTTCCCACCAAATGTGTATGTATTCCTGACCACTTTGGTCTTAAATATAGTAAAATTCAGGGCCGAAGCTGCGGCGGACGCTTAACGAATTGTCATATGAGAAAAATGAATTCAAGAAAATGAACATACACGGAAGAATAGAAATTTAAAAAAACCACTCACCGTGGCGGTCGCGCCTGCAAGCCGTAACTTCATACTGGAGTAGATTCACACGAGTTCATGAGTTTTTGATTCAAGGCTTTGCTACTTCTTGAATATACACGGGGGAAAACAAAAACATATTTCTAGTAAATTGGTGTGCAAGCAGAGATGTTGGGAAAGATGCCATCTAGTTTGGAAAAAGGAGTACAAAGTCTGCACGTGACTGACTCGACTCGACCTCACACTACAACTTAGTGTGTCTAACACCCTGGAAACTGCTCGGTCGCAAACTTTCACAACTTTAGACCACAAAAACCATCCACAACCCATTGAATGGAAATGCTGCCGGTTGATCTATACCTATCCCAATGTCAAGTAGTCTTGATCAAGGAATCTCATTTACTAAGGGAAAGTGATTGCCCTTCAATCTTTCCTTTGCAAAAGCACATATGGAGGTCCCGCTGTTGGGGACAAACGAATTCATCCGGACAAACAAAACAACTCGTGTACACATCCGAAAGAAATGGGCCAAAGCATTTGCATTGCATGAGTATGAGCATAAAAATCACATCAGGATATGACACATCAGCAAGGCTGTTCAGCTATCATGGTTTACAGATAATGCAAAAGCAAAACATCAATACTTGAGATGACAATTGACGGATAACCACCGATTTTCTGCATGAGATAGTTCCATTACTGTAGTAACGAGCTAAAGAACATGAACAAACGCACTGATACCATGTGCATCCTTTCCTCCAAGCAAATCTCGATCAATCGAAAACACAATTAGAAAAAGCACCTGGTTCTTGGTTCTCATGGTACTGCTGTTCATGCTTCTTCCACATCTCCATCAAAGTCAGATCCGGAGTCGACCACATTCGCCATAGTTTCCTCGGTGAATTCAGTTCCCTGAGTCTCACCATTCTCAATTTGCTCTCTATCCTTGACTTCAACATTGATCTCGTCCTCCTCTTCATCGCTCGTGAGTGCCTAAAAGTTTGGTTAGTAACCAATCAGGTTATGAAGCATCCAAAACATAGCTAGCCATCAGTTGTGCTCACCTCCTTAATCGGGGACCTGGTTTTGGCCTTCCTGCTTGGAAGACTTCGTGCAGGTGTCTCAGGGGTAATTTTCTTATTCTCCTCCTTGTCATCATTTTCAAGCTGGACTTCTTCGTCTTCATCATCGCTGTATATTCCAGATTTCGTACGCTTTTGCTTCTTCTTGGGACTTCCTTTGGGAGCTTTGCTTTTCTTTGGTGATTGTCTTTTCTTTGGCGTTGCTGCCGGAGAGGCAGTGCCGTTTCCATTTGATTCCTGGTTGCAGGTGGATAGTGTTTTTTTAAAACGTGTCCACCTCATCTGGGCTGCTGACTTGGTGGAGACATTGACATCCTTCGCAACTTTGTCCCAGTTAATATGGCCAAAGTTGACTTGATTGAGGATGGAAGACAGTAGCCTCTTTTCTGCATCGCTAGACATGGTTGATCCGAATGTAAACTGTGTTCTGAAAATATTGATAAATGTGAAGTGGTCGTTGATGAACAGAATCTAAGGAAGGATCACTGTTATATACGTATTCATCATGTTTAAATCTCCCGCTGGGATTGAAGAAGTAATTTGCTTAGCTAAATTATCTATCCAAATTTTCAAAGTCAGAATCTCAGATGAAAAATAGTAAACATTTGCAAGCACCCGCTTAAGCACCCGCTTGGACACCAGTCTCCCCATCAACCCCCTCGATATCATCCAGCCCTTCCAGTAATCATTTTCCTGCGCTTAAAATTGCTCTGCATTTGTCCTACTCCGGCTCATCATCCTCATCCTCATCCTTGATCAACTTTCTTTTCTTCGACCCAGCCTTTTTCCTTCCGTTTGCAGTCCCCGCTGCCTTCCCTGTCTTCTTCCCATTCCCCGCATTTGACTCAGACTTTATGTCGGTCTCCGCATCATCACCGGATTCGTTCTTGGCCGACTTTCCTGAGACAAGTCCATTCTTTTGCTTATATCTGGACCAACGCTTGCTCGCAGCGCCCTTCGGATTCTTGCCGCCAACGATGCCGAGGTCTTGAGCTAATTGATCGAAATTCAAACTGATATTGGCAAGGTCAATTTGTTTAAATACGGCTTGGAGAAGCTTCTGGTCTTCGGTCGATTCGGTAGACATCATGAGAGAGTTGGGATTTTTATCTGGACCTGAGACTGTGAGTTAAAGTGGTTAGGCTTGAGCGGAAACAGGAGCGTACTGACTTTGTATGTGATTTTCGCAAGTGTGATTGTTGCTTAGGAGACCTTAGATGAAGGAAGATATACATTCATATAGATATACAAGGCAGCGAAGGCGCCGTTACAGGGATGCTGCACTAGGACAATAACTTTCATTGCTTATTTTGTCTCTCCTTATGCAAATTCAGCACATTCCAAGACAAATAAAAAACTGTGGCTGCAGGGTTTCAAGCCTCGTCTCCTGATGACCATCCATCTAGCTCATTTCCATCCTCCCCGATCTGCAGCCATTCTATGTCATCCTCAAATTGATCATTCTCCTCCTTGACATTCCCATCTAGCCCATCCAAGCGTCCCTTGTCATTGTTTGTTCCTTTGCCCGGACCCGGTTTGGAAGTAGCTGCATTCAAGGACATCGCGATCGATTTGTCAACTCTCTTGCGTTGAGTAGGTGGCTCATCCGATCCTCCCTTCACGGCTGCCCGCTTCCGTCCTCCTCCCCTGTTATTCTTTTGCTTATCGTTTACGGCGGCTGCGTGTCCAACACCCAGACTATTGTTTTTTTCCTGTTCAACTTGCGATCTATCCTTGTTGTTTTTGAAAAGTCTTGCCTTGAATCGGTACCAGCGTACTTGTGCGATTCCGGGTCTAACTTCAAGAGCTTCGGCCAATTTACGGTAATCGACCGGAGGAAGCGGGTTCCACTGGCTGAGGACGGCGATGAGGAGTTTTTCGTCGTCGCTTTTTTCGGAAGTGTTGGCTCTTGGAGGCATAATTGTCGTTTGTTGTAATTTTGCGGCGGTGATGAAAGTAATAGTGTTTGTGCGAGGTGAATGCGTAAAGTTTTGTGGAGTGTTTTGACGATGGTAATTTCCCAGGTGAGGAAGGCGTGTATGATAGTGAGAATTACAAGCATATCAGAGGCCTCACAGTCTCAATATAAATACAGAAGACAAAGGCTGGTTTCTAGTTGATTCTTCATTCATATATGCATCTGCCTATTTGAGAAATCCATGCATCCCAACCACCAACTTCTAGACGTCTCTAAACCCTGCCCAAACCTTAAGACCCATCGTCCGACCAACCCATTTCATTGTACGGCCATCCAAAAACCCCTTGTTCTGTCTCAATTACTTCATTGCCGTTTTCTGGAGATGCAGTCGAATTTTCAGCTGGCTCGTTCGCCGCAGGTGCTTCAATGTTCTTTTCCTCCACTGGCTCCTTCTTGACGGTTATCTGAACGTGTTTTCGTGTCGCTTCCAGCCTCGCCTTAAATCTCGACCAACGCATCGATGCTGCTCCGGAATTGATGCCGAGTTCTCTGCCAAGCAGATTGTAATCGATATTCGGTAAACGTTTCTCTTGGTTGATAATAGCTATCAGGAGCTCCAAGTCGGCGTTTGTCAGTGCGCCGTTGGCGTTGAGCCTTTCGTTGAGTCGTGTACGGCGCATACCTGCCGCTGCGGTTCTAATGCCGAGATCTGCGCCTAGAATGTGGTTGTTAAGCCCAGAAGATTCCCATTGGCGAAATACCCCGATGAGAAGCTTGGTATCGTCTTTTCGTGTCATTGCGTTAGATTTTGTGGATTTTTAATCTGATTGTTTGTAGGTGGTGGATGGAGACGCGGAGTTATTGACAGGAGTTACTTTTCACGACATTCATATATCAGTTCAAAGGCTAAATCAGAGTTGGTTCCAGGTAGTTCATTCATCAAATAATCACCTAGCAACCAATTTACTCCTGAATACTATTTGCAGTTGCAGACTATCCCAGTGATGACCTCAAAATTCCAGTAACTCCATTCTTTCATACCATGCATTGTTCCTAGGCCGCATCCGAATCTTCAAAGACATTAAATGAGGAAGAGGCTTCTCCGTCCATGAACTTCTCTTCCTGACCACATTCATCAAAGACATCCTTCTTGACCTTTCCATTAGCTCCACAAGCCTTCCTTCGTGTGGCACCTGACTTTTGCTTCTTAGTAGGAGAAGTAACATCAGTCAATTCCTCATCATTACCCTCGAAATCCGCCTCATCTTTACTGCGCTTCTGATTTTTATCACCAGCACCTCCTCCACCAGCAATAATCTTCAAATCTCCAAACTTTCCCTCCTTAATTTTTGTCGTCAATCGAGCCCACTAGTAGATCGGAAACTCAGTATTTGTTTATCGTAAAAGTGTGCAATTCTAAGAATAAATTATACTTACACGAACACGAGCAGCATTTGGAGTAGGAAGTCCTAGGTCTTCCGCTAGCTTGGCGTTGTTCAGTACGGGGAATTTGTTCTCCTTAGAGGCGAATTGATTGAGAGCAGCGATTAGGCATTTCTCATTGTCGGACAAGGTTGCGGGTGCTGGTGCCATCTTGTTTGACTTCATTGGGATGATAGAGGACTTTGCCGTGTTTTTGAGTGTATTTTGTGGAAATGTTTTGGATGAGAAGGAAGTTGTTTGATTGTGCAAGTGTTCAAAAGAGAGCGAGATTGTACGGATTTGTAGTAACTTGTTCGAAAGGTGAGCAGTGAAACCTCAGGATCGGGAACCGTCAAAGAGACTGGCTCGGAGAGTATCTTATAAGAAGCTAGTCCTATTTCGGTATATTTGGGGGTCTCTTATATGATGATCCGCTGCAGCTATAAATGCCTCACTGTTCACTGCTGATATGTTAGTCTGGATGATCTCAATCTCTAACCACGTTCTTTTCTTTTTTTACTGTGAAATTCACTCTGCAAGCAAGAAACTTCACAATAGGCAACAGGCAATAGATATAATGACCGTTCAAAATATTCCATTCTTCCAAGCATCTTCATTTATTACTTCAACGGCTGAACCAGAACCTGCTTTTCCCAATACACCCCTTCATAAAACTCTCCGAAAACAAGCATTTGCATCTCTGTACTTCTCTGCAAGCCCAGTCTTCCTGTCCGCACAGTCTCAGATCTCATCATCATCCCAATCTTGTTCATCGTCCTCCGCTTTCACAACCTTCTCTTTAGTCTTCCCCTTGCACGTCTTCTTCACAGCCCTGTTTCGAAAAAAAAACAAAAGATTAGCAAGTACTCTTCACTTTCAAACCACTAGGATGGGATACTAACTTGGCCTTCTTGGGAGGGTCGTCTGCCGCAACTAGTACCTCTACTACGGGTCTGTTCTTATCTCCAGCTTCCTTGGAATCCCTCTCAACAAAAATATCCCCCATATCTCCATAGTCCCCATTTTTTATTTTCCTCGTGAGTACACTCCATCTATTTTTGCAAGCGACCCTGCTGTCGAAGCCAGTAGTTTCTGCCAATCTCGCATGATCTGGTGTGGGGAATGTTTTTTTGTCCGAAGCGATTTGACATAATACTCCGATGAGAAGTTTGAGGTCTTCGGTAGTCAGAACGGCAGACATGATGTATGGATGAATGAGTGAATTAATGGGCTTGGTCGAGCTGAGTGTTCGGATATCTTGATGTGATCGTATCGTGGGTTTTTGAAGATGGGATTTAGGTTGAGAATGAGAAAAGGAACAGGTATTCAGAGGTTTTACACAATTAATACACTACCATCACTTTTCCAATTGTTTCGCAAAATCATTCTTCATTCATCCATATGCATTCGCATACTTTCCATCGCATTAACTAGGCTCATCTAGAAACACATTTCCATTCCCTAGAATTTCCATCCACAAATGGAGCTCTCCGACACTCTGCCTTTCAATCCTTGTTTTCTTTCCAGCCCAACCTACAACTCCTGCAACAGAAATGCACGCAAAACCTTCAAGCCTCGTCATGCAGATACTAGGCCTTATAGTTTATAGAATCCAACTCCTTCATAACAACTTCTCCATCCGATTCTGCGCCAACTTTATCTTTTTCCGCCTTACTGATTTCTTTTCTCGGGATTAGTTCGTCCGCCCCTCGTCTCCGTACCGGAGATCTTGGTCTTCCTGGCCCATTGCGAATCCTGAGGTCCTCATGTCCTGCTCTTATGAGTTCATTTCTTAATCTTCTCCATACTCCTTTCGCAGAAGCATAACCAGACAATCCGAGGTCTCTTGCAAGTCTGTTGTAATCAGGGGTGGGAAGAAAGTCATTTTCGTTTTTGGAGAATTGGGATAGGGCCGCGATGAGGATTTTGAATTTAGTTTCGGTTGTTTGGGGCATGATGATGAGATATGGTGTGTGGTGATGTGCTTGACTTGTGGTGTTGTCGAGTTGGTATTTAGGATGGATGGGATGAGGATGTTATTTGCAAGGTCTAGAGATTTCACATTGTTGATATACTTTTCATCACATCATATAAGATTTGCGAAGAATTCCAGTGAGTATCACCTAGAGATGATTACTTTTTCTCGAATATCCATCCCTTATGCAAAGCACAGACACACAGACAACCCCCTTTCGGCCACCAACCGCCAAATCTGCACCTCTCTTTCAGCCCTGCACAATCCCAGTAAGCCACAATAAATCTCACGCCTCATCATGATGCTCATATGCAAACATTGCATCCTGAAACGCATTGTCCTCTTTATCACTTCCCTCCAAATTCACAACTGCCTTTGCCTGCCCTTTATCTTTCTTTTTGCTCGGGCTCGGGCTGGACGCTTCGGCCGTATCGTCTTCGATATGTGCCTTTCTCTTTCTGCCTCGACCTCCTTCTTTCTTGGGAGGCTTCTTGGGTGATGGGTCTGGGGTGGCAGGTGTGGCACTTGCAAGACCGAGTCGCTCTTTGAGACCCTTGTAGCGAAGACGAGTGCTCTCGACCATAGCTCTTGTAATTTTATCGGGCTCCAATTCGGGCTTGAGAAACTTCGTGAGGGATTTGAAATCGACTTTTCCGTTTTGGGAAAGCACTCCTTTCACGAGTTCTTTGTCGTTATCGTTCATGATGGATGGTAATGGGAAATTTTGAGGTGTGGAGTTATTTGGTGTGGCAGAATTGTTTGAATTGGTTTGATTTATATTCATGGGATTTGCAAGGTGGATTAGGTATTCATATAGAGCGCAGGTAAGGCTGGATGAAACTTCTAGATCTAATGAAAATGGAGTTGCTGAGCAACGAAGCAATTAGGATTAAAGAAATCATGATTTTGTTTTTCTAGACCTGCAAATATTGCTTCCTCTGTTTGCTGCATTATTCTCCCCGCTTCTCGGCTCTTACCTGGCCCACCTTGAAATCTCTATCACATTTTCAGACTAGGTTTTATAATCGCCTTCATCATCCTCATCCTTGACAGATAGATCTTTCATTCTCTCAACTTCCGCGGCCACCTGCATATCTTCGTCGTCTTCTTCTTCGTCTTCCGCATCACTAGTCTCTTCCACAAACTTGGTAACTCTCGCCCGTCGAGACGGCAACTTGCGCAATGGCGTAACTGGTTCCTCCATCTTGATGTCAGCATCCATGTCTCCCTTCTCACAATCCTTTTCCTCGCCCTCTTCTTCCTCCGTATCCATTTCCTCATCTTCTTCGTCGCTCTCTTGTTTGATTACCCGGCCACGTGATTTCTTGGGACTTCCTTGTGTATTCTTCTTGGGACTATCTCCTGCTTTCTTTGGCGACACAGATCCAATTTTCTTGCTCACTCCAATTGTCCTTCTTAGAGTGGTTGGTCCTGCGCCCTTTGTAAGTTTTTGTTTGTAGCGATCCCATCTGCAGCGAGCGGCTTTGGGGGTGGCAACGCCGATGAAAGTGGCAAGTTCTGTGAAGAGTATATGTGTTAGCGTAATTTGATTCTGTGATGATGTGATTTAAGATATATGAAATACAAACACTCAGATTATTGGGAATGAAAATGCAAATGAGAATTCTTACTATCATAGTCAATGCGTCCAAGTTCGAATTGAGTCAAGACTCCCAGGAGGAGCTTCTCTTCCGGGGTTGTCATTTTGAAATTGACAAGGTTGGGGAAATATCCGGATTCCTTTTGGCAAGTTTTGTTCTCGATGCTTTGGAGATTGTATTTTGTAGACAGAAGCTGTTTGTTTCTCAAAAATAAAATCCAATATGTGACTTTATAGTTGACATTCCCCTCGTCTAAGAAATGAGAAACTCAGCGAAGAGAATCAAGACCTTTATAATTCTACCCTGTTGATTCTCGAAAAGGAATAGACAAAATTCGAATGATTTCTTTTGTAGACACCCATGCACAAGTACATAATTCTCGGGAAGAAATGCAGACGCTGATTGCATTTCATAGGCGTGCATAAATTTTCCATGAAGTGATGTTCTGGCACAAGGTTCATTCGTTGTCTAGAATCATAGGTTAACTCTGCAGGAAAGAAATCCACAACGTCATTTTCGATAATGAAGATCATTGCTAGTAGATTGTCTCATCTATGCATTTTGAAATCTGAAATCAAGTTAATCCTAAATAAATCCTCCAGCACCCTAGTTTCTGCTCAGACTCCATGTGCATCTAAGTTCCTCGAAACCAATCATCACTGTCCTTCCCTAGATTCGTACCTCTCTTCTTCTTAGCAATCTTCGTGTAATCAATATCCTCAAAACCAGAACCGGACCCCTCTTCCTGAACTTCGTCATCAGTGATCTCCTCCTCAGTATCATCATCACTCCACCTCTGTTCACACTTAACAACTTCCGTCGCACTCGTTTTCGAGAGTCTCCTCGCCGGCATCTTAAGCATCTTCATATCCTGTTCCTCATCGGCCATGTCCGCATCATCAATCTTTCTCTTGCCACTTTTCTTAGGCGTCTCTAGCACACTTTCCTCCCTTGAGATCTCGTACTTCAGTGGCGAGCCTGCTAGTTTCGTTCTAGCAACTTTAGTGTTCGCTTCTACCTTCACGGGACTGCTGGCATCTCCGTCACTCTCCTCTTTGCCCTCATTCCCGTCGCCCTTACTATCATCTTTGCCTTTGCCATTCTTATCCTTGATTCCAAAACTCTCCAAAAGTCTCCTCCACCTATGTCTCGCTGCATTCTGGCCTTTAACCCCCATATCTTTAGCCAAGCGTTTAAAATCGATTCTACCAACTGTGATTTGTTTGAAAAGAGCGCTCATAATAAGATTATTATTTTCGGTTTTAGTAGCCCTAGTAGGAGCGCCGGGAGCTTTGGCAATACTTTCCTTGAATCGTTTCCAGCGATGTCGGGCGGCATTTTCACCGTTGACTGGAATGTCTTTGGCCAACTGTTTGAAATTGATTGTGCCATCACCGCCCACATCGATTTGTTTGAAAAGGGCTCTGAGAACGAGGTTGTTGTTCTCGGTTTCTGCGGAGGTGGGCATGATGGCTGCGTGCTCGAACTGATCGAATCAAATGTGAGAAAGTTTGAATGTATTATCTTTGGTAAGAACGGTATCGTAAAGATGTCCTGTAAAGATGAGATTTGTAAAAAAAAAATTTAGTACTTCCCGATTTATGATTGATCCATCACAACTGTCTACAATTAGAACTGTCTTGAACTAAAAGTGAAGGTTCTTGAACTTTCCTTGCCCATCTGATCAAACATACCTAGGCAATCTTTCTTTTTCGATAACATTCGATTATTCTCGCAAAAGGAAAAGAAAAGAAAGAAAAAATTCAGACAAATAAAAAAAGGGATGAAGATGTAGCCCCCGCATACAAGGATACGCGCATGCATAAACCGCAAAATTCTATCACATTTGGGACAATGAGCTACAGATTTTTCTTCTTTGCGCCTGCCCCCATGTAATGTATTGATTACTAGTCGCTAACCCGATGCTCCAGAATGTTAAAAATCATACAAAGCTAATCATCATCATCATCTACGTCTCCTTCTGCTTTCTTCTTAGCGGCAGCATCAGCTGCAACCTCAGCCTTCACAGTATCCCAAGTAGCCTTGACCTTGCCACTATTTCCCTTTGAAGTGATAGCCTTAACCTTAACAGGAGCTTTGCGATTGCCCTTCTTGGCTGCAGCCTTTCCGTTGTCACTCTCCTTAGTAACAACTTTCCCACCACCAGCCTCCTTGGCAACTACCTTTCCGCCGCTCGTATTGGTTGTGCTCATTTTCTGATCATTGCTATCCTTATCGCCTTCGCCGTCTTCAGTTTTAAACTCATCTGAATCGTCCGCCTCGTCATCGACAACTCCATTGCGCATCTTGATGTTCAAACGGGACCTCCGCTTATGAACAGCGGCTACTCTCAAACCGCCCAGCTGTCTTCCAATAGCTTCCCAGTCGACCATTTTGCTAATTTCCTTTCTTGAAACCTCCTCGATGATGGCCTTCATCAATTCGGTATCGGCGCGAGTAAACTTAGATGCTTTAGATGTTTCCGACATTTCTTTTTTGCTCTGGGTGACGTTGTGGTAATTGAGTGAAGGGATGATGATTGGAAGGTTGTATGTATGGCTTGAAAGGTGGAAAAGGTGCTTTGAGATTTGTGGTGTATCTCTGAGGATAATTTGGGGAACATGCGATAAATAGTGCATGAGATCCTTTGGAGAAAAATGGCACTAATGTTTGGGATGGGATTTTTGGTAGAACATTCTGTCCGTAGATAGAACCTCCATGAACACTTGAGACTACTCAAATGCATCCATTGGGTAATAACGAAAGTTGTAACAGCTTAAGTGTAGCACAGCATCGCTGCGGCGGGAGCGATTACTTCTCCGCGCGAGCTTGATCGAAATCCTGTGGGTTTAGCTCTTAGGAGTCTGAAATAGGCATGGAATGCCCAAAGATGGTAAAGTCGCATTGTAGATGTATCGATACCAACAAGCTCTTTTGTCCTCATACAGATGAGATCTAATTTGACAAAATGAAACTGCAACCTTGATGCAGGTGGTAGATACTGGCCTTGCTGCACAGGTCCAGGTAGGACTAGGCAGCCTAATTTTCACCAAAAAGAAAGTGGCTGATGAGTCATGGACTTCCATGAGGAGCTTGGTCAGAAGGCTGTACAAATATTATGGTCAAATTCGAGGTGTTTCTAGCTGTTGATAACCACTTTTAACCTTTATCCATTAATGGGTAAAAGCCACATCGGAGATTTTTTGAATACTGTCTACCAACATCCAAAGCTAGTTCGCAACTCTACATCGTACCACCAAGTAAATTTAAGCTCGCTTTTAATATCTTGACTTCCAGCACAATCATGCCTCCAAAGAAAGTGGTCTCTAAACCCGACAACAACACGCTTGTGAGGACCGCAGTTGCCAATCAAATCAATCTCGCTGAGGAGTTTAAGCAAATATGGAATAAACTTGATCATGATCGCTTCATTGAAGATATGGGCGTTGGCAACAGAAATGCAGCTTTTAAGAGGTTTAAGAGATGGGCAGCCGGAATCGTCAAGTCAAGTGTTAAATCGCACGAAGATGATACAGATGCTACCGATACTGAGCACAAAACCGAACCGACTGGGAAGGCTGTGAAGAAGGTCTCCGGACCACCAACGAAGAGAGAGATCAGAAGAGAAGAAAGCGTCCCCGAATCAACAAAGAAAGTTGCAGGAAAGAAAAAAGCTATTGGCAAGAGAAAGAAGATAGATGATGAAGGCTTTACTGACGAATGTACAGGAAAAGCAACAGTCTCCGCTGACATGGGCAACGACTCTTTCTAAGGAATCCGAGGAAGGTTATTGAGGTCGAGAAGCAGTGGAGCATGGGCGATGAAACGTAAATGGACGAGTTGGCATTGTAAGAAATTATTGGCGTTTCAATCCATAGTCATGTTGTGAATGCGGAAAGGAAGGCGCAGGATGATTGGGAAAAGTTGATGTATGTTGCGCTTGGGTGAAATGGATTTAGGAAATGGCATTGAGTTTGCACCTGGATCTCGGTGTGAGTGATGGGATCAGTCTGACATCAAATGAGATGTTTCACACAATTCTGTGCTAGTACTACGTCCCAGAGGCTGAATTGCATCGTGTAATAGGAGGTTGATGACCTACCACTGCCATCAATGTCATGGACTTGAGGCGAAATAATTTCCTGATATTAAAGGCAATACTTCATTGTGGACTCAAAGAATGTATTGAGGATCAGCTCGCGTTTGCGGTTATACAGAATATCCCATGCTCTCTTCAATCAAGGTGATAAACAGATAACTATCAGTTTCAACAAAGACTGTATGTAGGGTTGATATATAGGGTTGAGGCTTTTCAACAACAAGACGTTGATTCTGCAAGATAAAACTTGGTGCACGGACCATTGTGTACCATTTGCAAGTATAACCCGAACTTGTTACTGAAATTCTAGATAAACATTCACCATGTAGCGACAAATCAACCATGGGGATACTGCTGAATCGTAAGAGGAAGAGAGGCAGCTGGGAGGAATGTCGCATGGATCGTTATCTGGTTGCTCTATAGAGCTGTCTTCAAGGATTGCAAATACCTACGCGCCTTCTTCCGTCAAGTCCCTGGACAACATCTACAGTCTCCGCAATTCCACAAGTGCATCCTGTTCCATTACAGAGCAGGTACTTCTGGCCTATGAGTATACGCGCATGCAGCTTGTTGGTCAAAATGGCGCAACAAAAGGTCAATCTGAATACTGATCGAAGTGCAGCTGCGAGAAGTCGCATATTCCATATGTGCCGAACAATTCTTTCCCCATCATCAACTTCCAATGTCTCCAACCTTGAAATTTCGAACGACCTGCCTTCGTACATCTATACTTTATAAATGAGGGAAACGGGTCTAGAGGACAATGATATATCGACCAAAATTTGTGGCCTGGACTCAGTCAAGGAGCATGGTGGATGCCAGCCACTCTTATCGCTTTGGCGCATGGGAAAGTGCATGTTCAGGCGTTGCAGTGATATGGCGATTTGTCTTTCAATATGACGTCCAAATGATATACCTTATGAAGATGAACACGCTGGCGATACTGTCCATGGAAATGATTGTTTTGCCCTACATCAGGCACAAATTGGACATGACGAATTTGGTGCATTCATCTCAGCTCCCATAAGATCATTGGTGAAAACGAGACATCTTTTTAGAAATGCCTGCGATGTACGAAGAGCTGGCATGTTAGTCTCGCCTGGATTACATCCAGGAAGACCCTTGAGGTGGCGTTACACAGTATCGAGCTGCCACGTTTTTCCTTGAGGAATTTTCCAGGGAGATGTACTATTTCCTTCTCTGACCAATTCACGAGAACTTCTAGCAATACCTTTCCTGCATCCTACTAAAATATGTTATACTATGGGATTTTGCTATTTTGGTACGCGCACATGAACAGCAAGCGCTGCGCTGCAAAGAATGTCTAAGAATCATGAATGTTGAATGGGGTTTTTTTCGTTGTTGTATAAAGATCTTAATTTATCCTGTTATTTGATTCGAAGACGACGAGGATACGAAAAGGTGACACATTCATCAGACATGACCATCGGAAAGCGCGGAGGGAATACCCGCTGCCAACTGCAGCATAAACTAAGTCCACGAATATACCTGGTTCCTGCAATCATATGATTCGACGACAGAGAGCTGAGCTATTCTAATACTGAAATAGTAATCAATCATCAATGGTATGATATTTTGTCGGAATCTACGTATCTAGATAACCTCGGTAAAAGATACGGAGGAACACTGCCTAATTCCTCTGTCAGGGTATCTAGTTAAGAGGCCTGTTGAAGTCGCAAGCCCTGGAGGTATCACGGTTAATATGAGTCTTTGTCCTGAAATAAGGGTCGCGCACTAGCTAATTACAGACTGCGGAAGACACAAGTCCGCTTTATTGTACCGGCTAATTCTTGCGGTCCATTCCCCACGATCTGGTGATATAAACAAATTGCTTTCTGATATAGTTTTATTCCTGGGATGTCCATTGGCGGGTTTTACCCCAGATTTACGAAATCCATGCATGTGCTTTGCGGCTGTCGTACCGACAAGCCTGTGAAACCCCATAAATTGTTTCTTCACTACTCTGTACATTGTGGAGATCAACCCACGCAGCCCCATCAGTCAAATTAGTGGCGTGAGGGGAAAAGATCGAGACTTTTCTTGGACTTCTATCATTTTATGTACTACTATTCTTGTACATGCAGGGATATTCTTCCGTCTGCAGAAAGGTCGCCAGTATGGCTCCATTTATGAGAGATTTTCTTCACAAGTATTGCTCAATACGGAAGGATTGATGTTTTTCCTTCAGTCGCAATCTTTTCCACATTGGATGCACCGAAATCTTTCATCCCGGGCCGCCGGATTTTCGTTACTGCCCTTTGCATGTCTAATTTTGCATGCAGTGGGATGGAAGTCAAACTTTGACCGCGTTTCGTTCTCTACATAAACCATGACACTGCCCGTCTTCTCAATTCGGCTTGTATCATTCCATTGTACTTTCATTCATAGGTTTGGCCAGATATTTCCAGAATGAAGGTATCAGTTGCGCTTATCACGTCGTTTGCCGTGGCTCTTGTAAGAGGCCAAGCAGCGGGTTATGCACAGTGTAAGTAGGAATCTTTGATACTGCTGTACTCTGCTGATAATTTATAGGTGGAGGACAGAATTGGACAGGAGCAACAACTTGCGCATCGGGATTCACATGCACCTACTCAAATGTCTACTACTCACAATGCGTGCCAGGCTCAGGTTAGCTGTTTTCTGTAGAAATTCTTTTGACATCTACTAAAGTGGCATCTAGGAGCTACAACTTTAACAACAAGCACTAAGGTTGCTTCTACGTCAACGACTAAGGCGGGCACTTCGACCGCAAGCACCGCCACCGCGCCTGCGAGCACGGCTACAACCATAACTAGTTATGCTAAGGCTGTAGGCACTGTATTCCAAATCAATGGAAAGAAGACATACTTTGCAGGAACCAATTGTTACTGGTGTGGTTTCTTGACCAACAATGCAGATGTTGACTTGGTTATGTATCATCTTGCTGCTGTAAGTTCATTGATAGCCTGTTATTGAGACTGTCTAACATATTATAGTCTGGACTTAAAGTGCTTCGAGTCTGGGGTTTCAATGACGTCACAACAACACAAGGCTCTGGTAGCGTTTGGTATCAATCTTTCATTACAGGTCAATCACCAGTAATTAATACCGGTGCCAATGGTCTTCAGAGACTCGACTACGTAGTACAATCGGCTCAAGCTCATGGAATCAGTCTCATCATCAACTTTGTCAACAATTGGACCGATTACGGAGGAATGCAAGCATATGCCACATACTTTGGCATTTCCTTGACAGATTGGTACACCAACACAGCAGCTCAAGCACAATACAAAGCATACATTGCTGCAGTAGTAGCTCGTTATAAGACAAACACCGCAGTCTTTGCTTGGGAGCTTGCCAATGAACCCAGATGTAGTGGATGTGCTACTTCAGTCATCACCAACTGGGCAACAGACATTTCTCAATACATCAAATCTCTCGACCCTAACCATATGGTGACCGTTGGAGACGAAGGGTTCGGTCTCACCGTAGCAAACGATACCTCTTACCCATTCACTTCAGGCCCCGGAACATGGTTCACCGACCTCCTAGCCATCCCTACCATTGATTTCGCTACCATCCATCTCTACCCAGGCTCATGGGGAGAGGTTGATTCTTGGGGATCTTCTTGGATCTCTAGTCATGCTAATGTCACTTCCCTTGCTGGCAAACCACTCGTCTTGGAAGAATATGGTACCGACACCCATCTCAATGAATTAGCATGGCAAGGAACTGCTCTTAATACCGACACTGCTGGTTCTATGTACTGGCAATATGGAGATACTCTTTCCACGGGAAAGACTTCGGACGATGGAAACACCATTTACTATGGAACAGACGAGTACACAACTTTGGTACTCAACAATGCCGCTGCTATGAACGCAAAAGCCGTGCCATAAGAGGTGGAGTTTTGAGCTTTGTTGACGGAAGAGAAGGAAACGAAGTGGTGACTGTATATAGCTTTCTTAGTTGTGAATAAATATCATATGCTGTCATTCTCGCTCCGTTGCCATATTGTAAATCTTCTTTCAACAACGGTGATTATAGTATAGACTTTAGAACTATAAAATCGGCATAATAATATTCTCGCAATACTTCTTTTGTCTGTCGAAAGTAGTCTAAATTTTGAAATATATATCGAAGAATGCAATTATGTAATTATGTTGAATTACCTAAAAGGGATGTGAATTGTGATATAGGGCATCATATAATTAAGTCCCCTTAGCAATACAACACGGTATATTTTCACGCCATCTCCCCCATCCCGGTCCTAACCATCATACACTCCACAAAATCTTCCCCATCCACCAGAGGAATCACCAATCTCCCCCTCTCCTCAAAACCAAAATACTCATAAATTTCCTTCCCCACCGGACTAGCCTCCAAATACGTCTCCAGGCCCTCCTCATCCGCCCTCACCAATCCCCACCTAATCAAATTTCCCGCCGCCCCTTGCCGCTGCCATCCCGGCTTCGTAGCTATAAGTTCTAAATACCAATGTTTCCTCTCTCTCATAATTTCCCTACGTCTCTCAATCAGTGTTCCGAAAAAATGGTTTGCGAGTTCCGCGTTACAGCCTGGGGGCCATTGGGGTATGTCATTTTTTGTGACTACTGGGGCCGAACTGTCGTTCCATTTTGCGAAGGAGATTATTTCTTGCGTGGGGGAGGATGTGTTGCATATGCATATGAAATGGGATGAGGGGTCTTGGATTTCGGCGAGGATGGAGTTGTACCACCATGTTCGGGTGGTGGGTAGGGAGCGCGGGAAACACGTTAGCGAGATCTCGTCGTTGCTGAAGGCGGAGAGGTAGATATCTGTTAGGTTGTTTGCGTCGGAGGGGACTGCGGGACGGAGTTGGAATCTCATGTTCATGGTGGGTCTTTGGTTTGAGGGATGGGAATGCGGGGTTTGATTTGAAAGTAAGTTTGGTTGTTTGTGGAGATTTGCTGGATTGAGGGAGTGGGTGAGTTGGAATTGGTCTCGGATGTTAATTCATACCGCTTTAGAGGATCTATTGCTCTTTTATGCGATCACTATCTATATACCAGAAAAGGGAAGCTTTTCGCTCTCGTCGTCGTCGGCGTGAGTCAGCTTCATCTGCATAATGATTTGTCACCGCTAATCTTAGTTTCACCAGAGTACTGTAGATTATATTCTACAGCGTTTGCAGATTTATCACCACATCAACATGAATGAATATGCACATCCAACATCAACACAAAAGTTAACGCAAGTCTTACAATTCAAGATTCAAATGTGAAGCATTAAATATACAGCTTACTCTCTCTGATCCACATCAACCCAAAAAGACCGCGGGGCGCCATACACCGGCTAATAATGATAATAATGATAAGAATAAAATGGCCCACAAACGGGAAACTCATCCGAAGTTGTATCGGAATTTCGCCTTCACATCCGGCTTATGTACTTGGGTATTTATTAGGCTTTTCAAAACTCATTAATCGTTGGAGGAAAATTATGTTCAGGAAGCTTGAGACCACGTTTCCTTTCTCCAATCGATGCTATCCACTCTTGACGACCACTTTTTATTTCTGATGTCTTCGTTCCAGCAAATGTTTACTTTGAGTGATCAATTTTGTTTGTTTTTTTATTTTGTTTTCCTTTTGTCGTGTAATCAGTAACCTCACTTTAGTCTTTCAAGAATTCAAAGTCAAGATGAAGCTTCCTTTTGCACTTGCTGTCCTATCTCCTCTCGTCTTTTCAACATCTGCAAAAACCGTGCTGGATGTCGAACCAATTTACATCGGCGATGTATTCTATCCACCCTCCATGTATATCCTAGCATGGACACCATCCACACCATCTGTCTCTAGAGAAGTAAGCCAATCATCAAAGCCAACCTCACCAGAATGGTGTCGCACCGCAATCGACATACCGGACAGCGCCAATTTCTCCATCGCGCATCCCCAATTCACACGTGGAAATCTCACCAATTTGAGATTTCACAATTACTTCTCTGAAGATGCATATATCGAGAGAAATGGAAAGAGATGGGGAGAATGTTACGTCACGCCTGAGAGTGGAGATGTTGGGGTATGTGGAAAGGGGGATCGATGGGTTGGGAGGGGAAAGAGGACGTGGAGTTGCTGGCCTGTGATTGAGGATGTTACACATCATCAGATTCTGGGACAGGAACAGCAAGAGGCTGATGTTGGGAGTATGAGTTTCAGTGTTGGGAGTGGCTATACTGGAGCTATGGAACGTTCTGCACCGGCTCAAGAAACTGGAGGACCGCTGGGTAGTGAGGTTAAGGAGGCTTTTACGGCGGTGATGACGGGGTCAAATTATTAATTGAGAGACTGTTCTTTTATCATTTCTTTGTACATGATTTCGCTTTTTCTCTGTCTATCTTCCTGAATTGATGTCGGATTGCTGATTTTAAACGTGGTATCGGAAGTGTATCTTTATGCTTACCTCCGCCACAACGCTGCTACTCTTCCTTTGGGCAGATATTTCACTTCTTCTGAGTATTTCCCACACAAATTACAGCAGCATCTGAGCTCTAACTTTATACCAACCGTCTCCGTCCCGCTGATCCTGATATTCTTTGGCGCAAGCTATCCGAGTATTCTCTGCAACTAACACAACCAAACTTTGTAGCATCCAATCTTGTCCCCCTCCATATCATCTCAAGGTATACTCTAAGGCTAGATTTTGCATCTTCAGGAAGTAGATCATACGCATTTTGAAAATCACTCATATGCTCTCTCTCATCCTCATCCTCGTATGCTCTACAAGAAACACACGCCAACATTTTAACATCCAAACCCATCTCAAACCTAATTCTCTCCACAACGGCCCTAATACGAGCCTTTGAAGAAACCCGCGCATAAGCCTCCTGGACATCAGCCTCATGAGATCTCTCAACCCAATTCCAACATCGTCTACAGCCCGCACCACCAAGATCTTCCACATTCAAACCCGTCTCGTACCATATCCAATTAACATATTCCATAAGCACAATCCGTATTTTTGGAGGAATTCGCACGACTGCTTTTGCAATATCATTATATCTAATTAATCTCTTCCGGCATTTTTACTCGGGGATATAAATTGTTCTTCTTCTTTTCCCTGACGTATTCCTTCATTGTACTCTGTATAGCCATTCGAGAGCCCATTTTAGGAGAAAGGGAAATGATGATTATTGATTAAATGATTGTTAGATAGATTCTTTCTTCTACGATGGAGATTGTGAGCGTCGTCGTCTTGTTTGCAGGAGGTTAGACATTTCGAGATTCGCGTCTGTGGTGCTGTGGAATGTGGTGATTAAGTGTTGTTGTTGCTGGTTAAAAGTTGGGATGGTTTGTATACTATATTGATAGAGATGGAGCGTCGGATTGGGGAGTGTTAAATTCATTATAATTGGTCTGGTGATATGGTGGTATGAATAATTTTTTGGTTTTGTGTCGTGTCGTGTATTGATGATGGTTATGATATGATTTTTACGGATGTTCGATTCGTGGTAATGATGTTTGGTTTTGTATTGATGATTTGTGTGTGTATTTTAGCAGAGAACTTTGAAGATTCAAATTTGCCCCCCGGTTGTCATGATGTGGTTCTATTTAGAAAGTACATTGTGGACTAGTTAAAAGAACTAATAGCTATCATGCTTTTCCATTCCTTGTAAGTCTTATGTCAAGCACCGCCAACTCTAAAATGAGGTCCGATCAGAAGGAACTATCAACATCAAAATACGAGTAGTTAGACTTCCTTATCTCTTTTCAAAAGTCTAGTCACGGAAAATTAACTTCTTTACTGGAAAGCAAACATGCATCAAGGTACTTTGATACCAGCTCCTCGTGTCTACGCCTCGTGAATCGCATGTGACCTTAAGGCAACATAATATTGCAAGTGCGATATTATTAGTCCGCCGGACTTGCACAAGAAGGATGTGTTGCACTTTGTTGCACGTTGTAAATCAGTAGGTGGTATGTGGTATACAACACCTGATTCCTATAGCTTAAGGGAGAACATACGAATGATTTTGTAGTTCCCTGACTTCATGGAGGTGCTCATGTTATTGAGGCCCGTAGATCACTAGACGTAGCTATCTGGGGACCTACAAACGTCTCCTAGCGTTCAGACGCAGTTTCCTTAGTCGCTGATATTGAGCTGCTTCGCATTCAGTTTCCACATGCTTTTCAGAACGCAGTCACCTCGAGCTCTTACTAGTATTTCCCCGATCTTGGTATTCCCATTCGGGCGAGATTATTCTTCAGACATTCGAGAGGTGAAAATTTATTTCTCGCCCATATGTGGCAAAAAGCGATGATTTGCCCAGTCCTGGTGCTGCCACTCTCTGAAGTCCATAGCTCGATCTTTTGGTAGATTGGGAGACATTCACCCCCGAACAAACTAGGCAAGACAAATTATGTCCCGCCAATGCTAAAGTCATTGGGCATTGCATGGCCTGAAATCACGTCTATTGATGCTAAAAAATTCCGTATATCTCGCCACATGGGAGTCCTTTTCCCGTCTGCGGCACAAGTAGCGAAATACTTCATGGAGAAAGAGAGCTTTTTTTTAGAAGTATACATGAGATTAAAGAAAGTTTGATTGACTCGGTTGAGGCGTAGAATGCTCCTCATGATACGGAATCTTTGATGCTCATAAGGTGCTTTGAAAAGTCTAGAGATATCTATTATTTTCTAAAACCTGGGTGTCACTAGTGCTGGGAATGGGAACTACGTTTGTTAGTTGACTTAATAAGTGCTTCTGGAGGGATGACAATAAAGTTGTTGCTAGGGCATTCATAAGTGGCTGGATATTTTTTCAACCGAGAACCTACTCTGAGTTGCCGGAAGTTACATACTTCTTTGAATAGCTCCCAGGAACCTTATTAAAGGTGCAGTGCCTCCAAAATTCGCATATTTAATTCCGAAATGATACCAGTCGGTAGTGACTAAAGAAACCCAATAATTAGCAAGAACATTGTTGACAATGATATCTTATCAAGCACAAGACATTTCTCAATTGCTGCCATCAGTCCGATTCCTACTTATTCTGTACATATACTCCCTTAGTATTTTCAGCCTTTTTAATTCAATACTGCTCAAGTTTGTACTTTGAAGCCTTTCACAGCCAATGCAACCATAAGAAGTGTTAAGTAGTGATTTTGATGAGCTTCTTGGTTGACTCAGCTGGGTATAGCTTGTTGACCCTTATATATTGCACACGCGCCTTTTACCTAGAGTTCAACCGACTGGACATACTTATAGTTGCCTTAATGTCATCTTTGCTCCACAATAAGCAACTAAGGACTCACCTATTCACTCAATGGATCTAAATCCTGTGACAAAGATCTAGCCACGAGATAATGCTATATAAGTTTCGCATATCCAAGACTCAATTTTTCCCTCAAAAAAGGTTTCAGGGCGTAGCAGACGCAGATGCAGAGAAGAGGGTATTGAAGCCTTTATGCTCAGAGAAGTAACAGGAGTTGTATTTTATTCCTACCCAGGATTTGTTTAAAATTAATTCTCTAGTTAGACCTGGCTAGATAATGTGACAACAGAAGGATACGATATGATAATTCGATACTGACTATGACAACAAAGGTATATTTATATAAGACAAACTTAAATATAGATATATTTAGTACTTTTGGATTTCCAAATTCGTTCTTAGTCCGAAGAAGCAGAAGATTCTCTGCGTCCCATCGGAGCAGCCGCACTGTCTTTGCCCTTATGAAAGGGTTCATTGATGCTTGGTATTGTTCTGTTGATTCAAGTATCATCGCCAAGGGTGTCTTATATACCTTTCAAGCGCGATCCGCGATACTTGTCGCATACCATATCGGGCAACGGAATTAGTTTAAAAGCTGTCAGCTATCTTCAGCTTAACGTGTTTCTTGCCCTTAAAGCTAGTATATTTTGTGGAAGATAGGGGACGTCCATATAAACAGCCACACCTCGACACTTGGGACGGAGAAGAAATATCAAAGAGTTTGGAAGCAAATGAGAGCTTCCACACGAGGCACCTAAATTCGATGAGTATTTGATTTAATATAATACTAGCACTCACCCTCGTGTTTTGACACTTCCCCAACACTAATATTTTCAATGGTGTTGATAATACAAAATCATCATTTGATAAGTTGAAAAGCAGACGACAACAATTATAAATCAACATTAAATTCCAAATCAATTGAAACCTATACATATATGAACAAAATTTTTACTAATTGATAGCGAATCCATTGAAAGACTATCAGCACTTAGTCTCTACAATTGAAATGCTCCCAATTATGAGCAGTGCTGTGCCTAGTTGCGGTACGTATGCTTATTTAGGGGTATAGATATATAAGAAGAGATTGGCATGGTTTATATACGACTGCGGGATCCAACTAGCGAGACCTTTTGGTAACTTAGTAAACATCGGCCTTTACTTTTACATTTTCTTAACAAAGGATTTTTAAAGCTACTGACGCACACCACAGCATGATTCACTCTGTCGTCCAAAATCTATGCTCATAACTTGTTATTGTCTTCGAGCTAGTTTGAAAAAGTCAGAGTGTTATAAAAGAGATGCATATGCGGCATTCAAAGGCATCAAAGACTTGGAGCACAACTATTAAACCAGGCATGGAACGATGGAGGAGCTTTTCCTCTGCTTTCCTCCATGGTCTAAACCTGAGACTCCATGAGATTTGCCCCCTTTCACAGCTGCTGCGTTTAACAGGTAAATATGAAAAGAGGTGGAGATAGCTTGCGATGAATATGAAGATTTATGACAGAAGATGGTATCGAGAATAAGAATTTTCAACAATAACCAGTAATGCAAAGGAAAATTCAGGAAATACGACAATAATACCTCGATGTCTCGAATGCTCTTTGCACCTCAACACGAGCTAAACTTTAGGCTTTTGCGCTTTCTATGTATACATAAAAATTCCCCAAGGCCTTCCAGCCCATTTTGAAACGAATATCCCTGAGGGAATAAGTGTTATAGTGTAGCAGAAATTTATCTCAAGGCATTCCTAAATATGGCTGAAGTGAAATGAACTAGTGGTTCCTGATATCAGTTGCTGAGCGATATAAAATTCAGGAGAATTTATGACTTTAGAATTGTCTTCAAATAAGCAAGGCTCAAGTCAAGAAGTGGCTAACAAAATTAACATTCATCACCTCTCGTTTTCTCCTTTGATGTACGGCGCTCGTTCCATCACACATGTCCCATCCATATATATCATCTTCCGATTAGTTCATCAAGTACTACATCGCATATTCATTCCCTTTCCAGTTCCAGGAAACAACATGTTATCTGGAGAAAGAAAAGGATTATTGAAGGGGTGTAGTCCGTCAAGTCGCCTTGCATTGATCATTGCATTTTATATGCGCACGCATAGATTTAACTTCAAAATTTCCGAACCATATCTCGGCAGGGCCATGACTTTAAAGCCTAGCCACGTTCTCCGAAATAAAATTCAATCTCAAAAACTTTCCCCTCCCTTTCTAAAAATTCATCTCCTTTGTCCTCCTGTCCAGGAATTTCTATCTCCCTACGATTCTGGCATCTAATCTATCCTCAAATTAAACAGTATTAATACATCCAGCTATTGAAAAAACACCGTTCTAGCAACAATCAACAACTAATAACCAACAATAAAGATAACTTCGGCTAACAACAATTCCTCCAACAACACTCAAAATATATAATAACCAAGACAATCATATAAAAATTTCATTTTCATCCACATACATATTTCCGAACTCGGTAGTCCACCCAGACACTCCATCTATGTCTATGCTTCCATGATTTCCTCAGCAAGGCTCTACTTAATCTCCACAGACAGCTTGAATACAGGCGCATATAAATATATCCCTATCAAAAACCCCGGGGGGGAAAATCCGGAATGGGAATATCTCTTGTTGAAATCAACATTCACTTGAACTCCCAAGCATACTTCTCAGGTATCCGAAAATGAATCAACCTTTTTACCTTTGGGGTGATCAGAACTTTATACGATTCACCAGTTCCTAAAAATTCCTACATCAATAACACGTCATTATCATGTGAATCGCACTGCAGCTAGCCGGGCCAACCAAAGATCCTCTATGCTATTCTCATCCTCACTCTTATCCTCATTTGTCACGGAAATCACATGCCCTCATGTGATCTCACGTGATCTATAACATCATAGTACTCATTCGCTCACGTTTTCCTTATATCTGATCGGTATCATGTGATTATATAGTTCTTACCGCTCTTTACAAAACTCTATTTATCTAGTCTATCTCCTTATCGGGACGATCGTCGGTTAGATGGTTTATTAGATCTTGTATATATATAAGGCCCTTGATCAATAGGATCAAGGGCTAGTCTATTCACTTCATTATTACTCTACATACTCTTATGTATCACCTATCTCAAGACTGTTTATATACTTTGTGATCATACTATCCGTGATACCCATCCATTCAATCCTCCTCATCACTCAAAAACCTCCTCGGATCCAAACTACTAATATCAGCACTCTTCGCCTCACCCTCAAACAGAAATTCACTCATCAATTTTCCCGTCGCACAACTATTTTGAATCCCCCAACAAGTATGACCTGCTGCTAGAAAAAGTCCTCGAATACCCGTATGACCAATTAAAGGACCACCCCCACTACGTGCTAATGGAAGATAACATGCTTGTTTTGCTATGACTTCTCCATTGCGCATAGGATCGGATATGGATCCTATGTAATCTATAATATCGTTACAACTTGATTCATCGCATATGACAAGATTTGAGGATCTAGGGAGAGGTATGCGTTCATCTCCTTCGCCTGTGCATGCACTTGTTAGTCTTTGATAGCTACATTAATAGGAGAGGAGAACAAACCACAAGCATAGACTGTTCCATCAGGTCTAGCATACATTTCTGGATTAACCATTTTATCATGTTTTCTCTTCTTTTCCCCATTTTCTCCTTTCCTTCCAAAACCTTTCGGTAAATCGATTTCTGTAAATACTGCCCAAGGAGATACATCTGCCTTTATCACTACACTATGAGCTCTTTGAGAAGTAATTGGTGCTTCTGGCCATACATGAGATGTCCAAGGACCCGCGGATAATATGACATCGTTCGCATGTAAGGTATGAATATGTCTTGACTCCTTATCTTCATATGTAACACCCTTTACACTATTTCCCGTATAATCAATAGCTGTAACCGAACCATAAATAATCTCCACACCTTTTTCCACAGCCAATTCTGCCATCGATGTAGTGAATTGATATGGATGTACCTGAGCCGTGGTCTCGGGTGTTCCCATTTCCGAATACCATTTTACATTATCCCTTTCAAACCAATCCAAATCATGCGGAAACTCATCACCCAGATATTTCTTCTGTTTCTTCATATCAGTTTTTGGTAATTTCTTCCAAACTTCTCCTCCAGTTTCCGGGCCATCTTTAGGATCAGCTTCAGGAATCAATCGAGCGTTGGCTCCTATAGAACCACAATGTAATTGACGATAACCCCATCGTTTCGCCCCATCATGTTCTTTTGCCAACTCGGCATGAAGTTTGTAGGAGAGTGGAACGATAGATTCTGGACGTGCCCAGAGAGCAAGTAAGCCTCCTGCTTTGCCGGATGCTGCTGAGGCGATATGTTGAGCTTCGATGATGGTGATTTTGGTTGTGGAGGGGTTATATGAGGGGTGTCGTGTGAGGAAATAGGCAGATGTACAACCGATGATTCCACCGCCTGTAGGTTAAGTTAATAGGGGATTTATGATTTCGGTTTTGGTAATTAACATGTAATGTTAGGTACATACCAACAATTACTATATTCCTTTTAGTTTCGGTTAATGAAGTTGACGAAGGTGATGAAGGTGATGAAGGTGCCATTGTTTTAATCAAGTGCTCGGAATTAAGCATTGATTCCTGGTATTAGGTAGTCTGTCTGTCTGAATTGTATTGCTACAAATAAAGTTTCAAGCTTTGATGCAGAATCAGAATGTCTTAGGATAAGGAGAGCTTATCTGAGCCTAGGTAGGTATTACTTGTCACGGCTTATTAGTTACTCCGGATCCCGTTCCCATCACAACCGTTTCAAGCCGAGGAGGAAATACTTCTCTCCACTCTAGCAAATATCAAGAAAATACCAAGAAATACATACATATACTCGGCACCACTCGTATTGCTCTATAAAACTCTATATAAGAATAAAACCCAATTAAAGTCTATAACATCCAACACCAAGCGGCATCCAAAACACAAAGACAGATAAACATCCGAAAATCCTTTGAGAAGAAAAGAAACTCGTGGTGATTCTCAAACTCCAACCCCTCAATCTCCAAACATTCCAGAACTCTTCAGCCCTCACTTTCTTACAAATAATCCTTCAGAAAACGTCATTCGATCTTTCTCATGATATGCTAGCCATACACAAACCAATTCAATCAATTCAATTTTTATATAAAAGCCTGTTCCCTTTGAAAGGATTTAACTCTTCGTCTTCTTTTTTCCTATATCCTAATACCTTCATCGCCCGAAGTTTCTCGAGGAAATCATTTAATTCCTCCCTCTTTACAAATATTGGGTCATCACCAAAAACAAATTTAACCATCACGAAACATTCTCCAAATTCTGTTCAACAACATATACGAAATCTTACCATGGCTTCTGCTACTTCAATTTATGAGTTTGAACCTTTGAATAGTAAGATTCTTCTATTCACATTCATATTCATATCCATATCCATATCCATATCCATATCCATACAAATCATCACATCCCCCTTCTGCATCTACCCCTCGTGTTCGCATGCCTATCTATACAATCCATTCCCACAAATCCCTCAAGCACAGTATACTAACCAAACTCCACACATCAGAAAAAGGCGACCCAACACCTCTCGCAGATTACAAAGGCAAAGTCCTTTTAATCGTCAACACGGCTTCCAAATGTGGTTTCACACCTCAATACGAAGGACTCGAAAAATTATACAAGGGAATGAAGGAGAAGCACGGAGATGATTTTGTAATCTTAGGTTTTCCATGTAATCAATTTGGAGGACAAGATCCAGGAACCGACGAGGAAATTCAAAGTTTCTGTCAGATTAACTATGGAGTTTCTTTCCCTATCGTATGTTTCTATGTCCCTCTTTCATTTATTTGGCATGCATGCATGCTCTTCACCCCCTTCCTTTTATTTCTTTGCTTGTTAATAATTCTTAAAACAATCTGCTAATTCTCACCTCCGCAGATGAAAAAAGTCGACGTAAACGGTGACAGTGCAGCTCCACTTTTCAAATGGCTCAAGGAGGAAAAACCAGGTCTCCTCGGTCTTCAACGCGTAAAATGGAATTTCGAAAAGTGGTTGGTGGGTAGAGATGGGAAGGTTAAGCAGAGATGGGCTAGTACTACTAAACCGGAATCTTTGGAGAAACCTATTCTGGAGGCTTTGAATGAGACGAAGTCGGAACTTTGAGGTTCGGGTTTTTGTTTGTTGTTTGCTGTGGATGGGTGTGATGTTGTGTGGTGGGAGGTCTTTTGCATTTTTGTGATGGGTGTTGATGGGTATTGATGATTGAGGGGTTTGATGGTTGGTAGGATGGCAGGTTGTTAATTGATGGATGCAAGATCTTACAATGTTAATGCGGAGTTAATACCATAAAATAAAAAAGCCTTTCCACTCGATTTATATCTAGAAATGAATCTCTACTCAGCAGAGACATTCAAAGCATTCGCGTCTTTAGAATATCTAATCCCCGAACTATCTACTATCTATCTCTCTGACTTGTCAAAGCTGATTGAGATTTTAATATGTCTACATTTATATGTTGTTTTGTTTTGTTTTGTTGGGGTGTAGTAAGGTTATATTCGTGTTTATCTATGTGGGTTTGGTGTTTGGGATGGGGGTGAAAAAGGGAGAGGAGAGGGAGGTGAGAGGTGGGAGGTGGGAGGTGGGGAGAGATGGGGAGGGGTGTAGTGAGGGATTAGAAAGACGTGGTGAATTCGAAGATGAGGGTGGAGGATATAGAGGAGCGAAGGGAAAGGTTATTGGGAGGGGGAGGGTAAGAAAGAGAAGAGTCTGCAAGATAGATTGATAGTAGGTACCTAGGTATTGATCATTTGATCACATCATTTGATTACGAGAAGAAAGAACTTATATCTAAATCATACTATTATTATTTATTTATTTATCTACGTATGGAATATAAAATTTAATTCAGAATTAGTGAATTTATATATACACTCCCCTCTTTAAACCTTCTTGTTCTGGTATTCCTCTCTTCTGGAATGAAAGTATATCTCATTGTAAATGTAAGGGTATGTATATATATACCCACCCCTGAGATGTATTTAGGAAATCTATAACTTTTATTTGTTATACGGTGCAGTCGAGCGGATTGAGGGATTGAGGAATTGCGGATTGGAGGTTTGGGAATTGAGAGTTGAGAGTGAGGTGTGATGTGTTGTTTAGTTATAATATAATTAATGTTAATCTTAAATAAATAAACAATTATTTAAAAAGTTAATAATAATCTTATTTTGTAATTATTTCTTTATATTATTTTATATTTAATAATTTAATACGAACACAGGAATATATTATTTTAGAATGTTAACGAATAGAGTTGGAGCTACACATGTGTATATGAAAATTATATTAGTTCTGGGTGGTTTACTTCTTATTCCTTGTAACCAGAGAGCTTTTATAACCTCTCGGCATCTCCCAGAACGCGAGAGAAGGATAACATGGAATAGCAGTATCAAAGGGAACTATCGAGTATGCAACTTCAGGGGTTGAATATAAAAGGCGGGTGAACAGATAGATGAGAAGTCAAGTAAAATAAGACAAGTAGCAGCTTTTAGATGTTTTTGAGATACGAGTTCTGTCATTTCTGGCATGCATATTCTTTCCGGGCATGGGAGTTTTATTATTTAAAGGTTTAAGTGTGTGTATCTCTGGGGCTTTTATGTTTTATTGCTAATTATATTTATATTTGCGTATAGAATTGGGGTTGATTTATCGTTGAGATATCTTTATTCTTCTTACTGTCATTGGGGATTTCATCTCCTTTAATAATTAACTACTATCCATTTCATATGTATATTCTTTCTACCGTCCAATTCCTAACGCCTCTATACTGTTCATTCACATCAACTTCACATCTCAAAACGCGCTCCCAGGGAAAACCACTATTCTCAATTTCCCTACTCGTCCTAGAAATATCATCTGCGAGTCTTCTAAGACTACTAGATGTTCTAGTAACTTACCTTATGGACGGATCTTTATAGTCCTCAACTAGGACATCAAAGAGTCAGAAATGAGTCTCCACAATTCCCGATTCTAATATCATCGAATCTATACATCTATCTGCTATGTATTCCCCGCTTAGTTAATCTTATGTATCATGACTTTCTACTCGCATAGATAACTATCTTCTGCATCCTTGAGAATATTCATGAAGTTGTATAAATGAATCACTTCCATAACATCAGAGCTACTCAATGTTAAATAAGGTGGAACTTTACAGTCGATGGGAAATGGGATTCTGGGGAAACTGGCAACTGGAAACTGGAAACGTAGTGTGTGATAGGAGGGAGTGCTAGTTGGTATTATGTGGTTTTTTGAGTATCGTTTCGAATTGATGGCTGAAACTAGTTGGTGGTGATAGTTTCACTGATCTTGTTGTTATTTTGTTGCCCTCACTTGTTGCCATTATCATTCCTCAAAACTTATATATACTCAAACCCTACGATTTATATCTTTGAGGCTCGACTCAGGCATTTGTGTATCTAAATCAAATGAGCGAGGTTATTGCCAACTTCATTGTGTCCCTTAATATTGATTCAATCCAGTTCTCTTTTCCTATGTTCATTGTTGTCAAAATGTTATTGTAACTTGCTTCCTCACCACCTCGAAATATTCGTCGTATTTGTACAATCTCCATGGTTTTCCGCTTGCAGGACACACCTGGCGCTGGCTTATGGTTGGTGAATGGATAAAACCGTAGGAGGATGAATGTCCGGTTTGGGTAGATGAGAAGGAATATGACATTTAGAAGTACTTCCTTTCATGTACAGCCAGGCCATCTCTCCCCTGCATCTATTCACTTTACTTTCCACATACTCCGATCTCCAAACCCCACAAATCTCCCACACACCTCCGATTCCCACCAAAGAATATCTAATGACGGGGTATAAAGTGAAAGCAAAATCATTAGCAGAAAGCTAGACCTAGATTGAAAGATCAGACCTAAAGTACGCAGGGAAAAACCGTGTCAACGAAACGAGGTAGGAACAAACTCTGTGAAAGCTCTCAAAGCATATCAGACAGATCGAAGAAGCCATACGAGCGCATTGATACAGCAATGAGAAGAATTGAATGAGTGACAGCGATTATATTTTGTGACAACTATTTCGACAACAACTTCTAAGTTATAACTGAAATACCTATAGAAAAACATCCCGCACACGTTTATCCATTCTATTTCCAAACCTGCATCATTGAAAATAGAAAAGAATGATAACGAAGCGAGCTGGTAAGCACAGTAAGGATTGTGTATTATGCATGATTCTATTATTTCTGCTAGGTCTGGATATCTGGTAGCATGATGATGGTATTAAAACCGGGGAAATCGTATTTATTTTTTCTATAATTAGTCTACACATTTGAATTCGTCGTTAACTATGGAAAGTCCATTTTCATTTAAAAAATTTCCATTGGCGAAAATAATAATCATAAGATTCACTTACGTTAATAATATGTACAAGGAAATTGCAAGAAAAGATGATGAATATATCATTTTCCATAGCTAAGTAACAGAAGTGACATAAGGTTATTACACCAAACTTGATATCACTTGTAAATTTCAACAATCTTTTCTCTCACTTCCTGTTGGTAAGACTGCATTATTTTGCAGAATATGTATTGTCCTTGAAAAAGATGAAGAAAACCGAAGCTGGAGACAACAATTTATACATCGATACCCAACTTTTTGTGGAGATTTTTAATGTGGTCTGAAATAGACAAATTTGCGAGGTGAGGGAAGAGAGCGTATATGAATGAATATAGCAGCATCGCTAGAATATATTAAGATACAGGTTCTTGATATCTAGCTTTCCTAGCAAAATATTACTTCCAATGCATATAAATAGATGATTCCCTCGTCTTTCAAACTCTACAATCTGACTCAAATTCATAGAAGATCTTGGTACAAAAGGGTGTCATTTTTTCAATACTCTATGAAAATCTTCTCTTTAAAGCGTACGAAGGGGTAGAAGTGTGCTCAATCTAGTAAATCATCCTATTGCTGGGAGTTTCAGTTTACATTTTTGCTACAATTTCCTATTGTTAATGTTTACATCGTATATCGTCGTGATTGTTGTCAATAAGAGCTAATCTCCCCAATCTTAATCTTTAGCTCATATAATAAATTTCACATCCTGTATTTTCACCAACAAACATATCACGCTGTTCCGCTGGTTGAATTTGCTTACAACAATCCTCACTTCAAAATTCCGCCCATGAACCTGGCATTGCAAGCCATTTGTTATTTTGTATAATCTAATAGATCATAACGCAAAGATTTTTCCTTATATAACAGAATCATACTTGTAGATTATCTAAGATTCTCCTTGGTGCTAGTCCAAGGTTAGTGGTACTCGCTTAAAAATGGAGGGGGGAGGTTTGAGAAAAGTGTTGCTTGCTATATAATGCTCGCCCTTACCTTCTATTTTCGGTACAAATTTCGGTAGCAAGTTACTATAATGTGCAGGATCTGATCTTCATGTTTTCTACATGTGAATAATTTTATGGTTGTTCGTCTATGTAGGTTGAGACCAAAACCAATCGAACGTCAATTGCTCGCTTATGTGTATTGTTCTTGTCATTGTTGTGGTCTATTATTATCATTAGAAATGTATTACTATCATGTTATATACGTATTCCTGTTATTTTTGTGGAATAGCAACAACACAAAACTTGGAGTTTAGCCCAATAATATCACACAGCCTTCTGCGCTTGAAGAAACTGAGTGTGGAATAAAATAGGTATCAGGGAAATGTGGATAGAAACTTCCATGTGGCCATTACGCGCTTTCTACATGACGCCCAAGTCAGAAGAGGGTCTTTGATTGTATTTAAAAATATTTTTATAGTCACCTATTTGGTTCTTTAATGAGAATAGTATGTGGGAATTCGCGCGAAGCAGTGTTAGACGAGAAAATATTGACAATCGCGATTAAGTAGTCGCCTGTCCTCGAGACTTCCGCATGCCAGGCTACAGAATTTACCACTCACTCATCATACATCGATAACGAAATGCAAGTGCCTACATACATACTCGCCAACTTCCACTCCGAACCGAACTCCACAGAGAATTTACAAAAGCATCATAACTTCAAACTACATCCACCTAATAGCCACGACGTACAGATACATTTGTAGTGTAGTTAAAGTGTTATTGTTGCAGCTTTCCTTATATAATTGATCGAACATTCCTATTCATTACTCTACAGCATTTCCATCTCCTTTCGCCGTATTCACCATACAGTTACGTATCAGCGCATATATAGAACATGATAGAATCACAAAGATCTCCTGTCCACGATAACGCCTGTACCGCTGATCGATGCGCAAAGAAATTTTCTACACAGATCGAGAATGGCTGTCAATTCACATGATCTTATTTAATCTTCTCATTTGTGTTGTGCTGTATTTCTATATTCAAGGCTTCTTTTGCTATGTCTTGACGCTAGATCTACCATGTATTCTTCGACGTCGATCCTATGTTTTGGAGTTCTTTTTGCTCAGCGACAGCCTAGTCGCAGAGAATGTAATTTTACGTGTGTTTATTTACATGGGAACTCAGCTTGGGTGAAAAGTGTATTTGCTCTCGGTACATGAGATCTTTTTCGCATCCGTTGGTGAAGAGTCCATTGGATGAGATAGATGAGATAGATGTAACCATGAGACTGAGCGTCAATAATAACTGATGAGATGATTTGATATCACTTAGTTGCCAAATCTCAGTTTCTTTCTCCTCAAATGAGAAGTCCTGGTACTTGTAATAATCAATTAAACTACCCCTCTTTACTATTTGAAACTCTAGATCCCTCTTGTAGTGACCGTGGAACAAAACTTTGACATAATATTTCCCAGTTTTGATCTTGTCTGCAATGGCCTTCAACATTCGAAATATATATATATATATGCATACAAACGCAAAAAAACCCCGTCGGTATCCAAACTTTTACGCATCACGAATCATGACATTTATCATCTATACGCAATGCTTTACCAAATTTATATCTGTTGTAGGATGGGCCTCCTTTAAGAACAGCAGCTGTACCTTAGTAACCGTATCTTCTCTTCTTCCTGGAAGTGGGCAGTAGCGTGTATTCAAGGCTAGCTTTCGTGCAGCCGTGTCTACTTCTATATAACTATAGTTATAAGTTCCCCAACACTTCACCATGTACAAAAACTTCTCAAATCAAAATAAAGCTACCTCTTCCAGCTTCCACAACACATCCACCACACTCTACATCAGGTAGACCAAAGCCTAAGCGTCTTAGAATCATCGACGTCATCTAGAATATTTTTAGGTTGACCATTTTCAAGGAAACAATTCTTAAGGAAACATTTAAATCATCGTAAACCTTTTCAACGTTCGAGATAATTAACTCAAATCATCCTGACTAGCAACAAGACATCATGGACATCGATGAGTTTACTGAGAAGACGGAGGTACAGCAAGAAATATACGATGCTTCCCGAACAGAAGAAGACGCACACAGCGAGATTAAGATCTTACAAAGTGCATCGCTCTCAGACCCATCAACCTATTGCTCGACTTTTTCTCTCGGCTTCTTTGACCTTGCACTCGAGATTCGACACCTGATCTACAACGGATTATTTAGCATTGCCATTCCCATCTCATTTCAAACTGGCTTTTGGGATCTTGAACCACCGCTAGGCATCAAGAAGAATTACGGTCTTTCCCCAGCATTTCTACGAGTCAACCAACAAGTACACTGCGAAGCTAGATCGTTCCTATACTCCAACAATCAATTTGACCTTTCTAGCATCAACCACACATATCAAATACCCACTAACGATGCAGCTCTTGCCTACTTCTTGGGGAAGATTGGTAATGACAATGGAAGCCTTCTTCGCCACATTCAGATTGATTTTCCCGCCTCTGACCGTGGAACTTACAAAATCCCAGGAGGAGTCTGGGAAGCCATGGAAGAGTTCGTAGGAACTGTGAAGCAAATCAAAGACAAATGCTCACAGATCAAGACAGTTGAAATGGTGCTCACTCGGAATATTGTGACGAAGCAGCGCGGGACCAGACGAATCAAGACATTTCATGATGAATCAAAAACAATCGATTGGATAAATGAGCAACTGCACGCCATTCCTTCCCTAAAGGTAGTAATTTTTAAGGCTAAATGCCCCGAAGGAAATGAAATATGGGATTAAAGAGCGAGAATGTGTGATTTTGGATGGGAAGTTCAGATCATTCCTGAAGATTATTTCTTTGCATATGATTGGTCATCTGATCCTGCCGATTGGTAATTAGTTTCTTCAAATAATTTAATTCAATTATTCTGTTCATATCATTTTACCGCACAGTCTAGAAGTTCATATACTCCTGTTTTGCGAGCAACAGGTATCGGTAATGTGAGCACACTGGACACAAGAGTATATTAAACCTTCCCTTGCACAATATCCAACAGAACTTTCATCCGTAGCTTCGACAAATAGGACATAAAAAATTAGAAGAGCACAACGAAACCCACTAGGGACTTAAGATTCCGCCTTTCCAAAAACAAGTGTCAACTGGCATTCCATAAGATTTTTCCCATACAAGTCTCCTGCTTTTCCTGTTGAGAAAACTATCAGACTCTGGGTACTTATATATATTCAGGGATTAAAGTTAGTTGAAGAGCTCTATAGCACCTTAATGGCTTGAAAGAGCCTACTGCAGTTATATCCGTGGTATCTAGGGTGAAAATATGGTTTAGTTGAGGATGTGAAAACAAAATTGGTACAAGTTCAAAAATCTCTCCACGGCGCCCTAATATTTTCTATTTCTCAAACTGTAGGCGTATAATCTATGGCGCACGTAGTTGATACTGTGAATTTGATGTCTAATTATAAAAGAAAGCTTCAAGGGGGTTTTTTTTTTCAAGGACCGAGAACTTTATAAATCTTATAACAAGCGCACGTGGAAAGTGGAGGTTGGCTGGAGATAAATTTCCACTCTGATGCTAATCAGAGCGCGAAGAACTCGATGTAAATGCTGGCTATATTTCATTTTAACTTCTCGTCCATGGTGTAAATCAGGGCTGCGCAAAGGGTAGGGTAAATCAGGCCGAAAAGTCTCCCTGCTGAAGCTCTGTAGGGTAAGGTAGCCACCCTGTGAGCAGCTTTGGTTACCATAAGTACCCGCGGGTATATAGCATAGGAAATAATACATATATGGTAAAGACTATCATATGATATCCATATCATATGGTATATATACCATCACTATGCACAATATAGCTTCAACTTTAGATAATAATATTGGATGATCATACGATATTTACTCAGAGGTTTTTTGGGATGTTTATCTGGAAATACCGCAATCGGGTAGAATAACCACTCTGTGTAGGTCAAATACCCCGGGTAGGGTACGGGTGCCCAGCCATGATGTAAATTCAACGTGAAAGACATTTGCTGTTGCCAAACAATCTCACTGTGTTTATTGTCACATTAGCAAAGACGAGAACTTCTCGTCTTAAGATAAGACACCCAATTTTATGCCGGTTGAGCTCTCCAGGTTATTACTTCAATCCTAGTTGTTCTTGTAAAGAATGAATTTCTTGAACTAGTTTCCTCAATCCCTCTTTTAGTTGCAAATACTGCTCTCATTCTACTATCTATAACAGCGGTGGCCATCTTTGCTTCGAATAGACTAACACAGTAACACAAGTTCCGAATGTTACTGTGCTAATTATCCACTTACCTCTTTCTATATGCTAACCCTGCGTAGGGGAATTGGTCTGGAAATGAAGAAAGTATACGGGATAGATAATCCCGGCAGGTTTGAATATACGCAGAAGAATAAGTAGCGGAGTTGGTAAGCTGAAAGATTGAGTTGAGGATTCGAGATAGAAAGAAACAATGTGTAGATTTTCTCTAAATGTGGATCCATGAAGATGACGCAACAGAGGTTGAGGAGAACTAGGGAGAATAAAGGACTTTACTTGTATTCTAAAAGCTCGCTTGATTTGGAGTTTGAAAGGTACACGAGATTCACATATGGAACTAACGTGGTTCTATGGGATGACCAGGCTGCATTGTGGTTGTTGGTAGAGAAAAAAAGAACGAAATTTTGTTTTCGAAGTAGAGCTAGTGAAACTGAGAGATGACTTGACGAAGGACGGAGGTGATAGCCACGTCGTTAAGACGAGATAGCCATGTGAAATGTAAAGTTTTCTGACAGCAGCAAAGAGTGGTGGAGGTAAGGCTGAAGAAAGATAACGCAGGAATAACAACGAGTCTCAGGAATTAAGGCGAGAACACGGAGGCGAAAAAAAAAACTAGATAGAAGATCAAAAACTCCAGAATTCTCATCTAAAGTTCATCTCATCGTTATGTAGTGATGGCCGGATATATCTTATGCAAACAATATATACTGGTGAGTATCTAATCTCGCCAACTGCCCAAACGAATATGCATTCATAAACCACCCTCATTTACAAAATGCAACGACCACAACCTCCGTTAAAATTCATCTATAGACTGAACTCGACCTTCATGACCTCATCAATACCGTCCTTAATCGCACTAGTCTTAATCTCATCCAACCTCTTCAAGGGTGATCTTGGGTATCCACCATACCCATAGTAGCTCTGGATCGCACTCTTAGTGCCCGCAATGGCGGCCTTAGTAAGAACCCAATCACCCTTACTCAAAACCTTTTGCAACTCAAATGCCTCGTCTCTCTTGCCCTCTCTGTACAATTCCCAAACTTTGACACAGACTTTTGGCATGACATTTGCACCACCAGCAATGATACCTGAACCACCGGAAACCAAAGTTTGAGCGGTGAAATCACACATGCCTCCGAAAGCCATGTAGCCAGATCCTTCTGAGAAGGCAGTCTTGGCATTAGTGGCCAATGCAACACGTGTGAGTTTTCCGGTGTTACCGCAGGTGAATTTGGTACCAATGATGTTGCGGTGTTTGGCGAGACGGATTAAAAGATCAGAATCCATATCAATACCGGCTACTGCGCCTGGGTAATTGTATAGGATGATTGGTAAAGGAGATTCGTCAGCTACTTGAATGAAATAATTGTAGACAGATTCTTCATCCATAAGACCACGGAAATACGAAGGAGGTAACAGGAGAACGTATTCTCCGCCTGCTTCTTGTGATTCTTTGATGAGGGAGATGGTGCCGCGAACGGACCCTTCTGTAGCTCCGACGATAATCGGGACTTGGTCGAAGCCAGCAGAATCAAGAGCTTCACGAGTAGCACGTGTAACAGCTTGCTTTTCGGCGCGGGAAAGATGGACAGCTTCACCATTGGATCCCATGGTTACTAAACCAACGAGACCAGCTTCGGCGAGACGGATGGCGTGTTTTTTGATGGAAGCAATGTCGAGATCTTCCGTCTCAGGATCGAAGAATGTCATAGTTGGAGCGTAGATTCCATCTTTGAGAGGTCGAAGAGTAGCATGACCGTTGCTACCGTTGGTTGCCATGGTTGTAATTTCTGGTGGGTGAAGATGTGTAGGAAGTGGGGGTTTGGTGTAGAATTCAAGAAATTGTGAATTTAGATGTAGAAGAAAAGATGTATTGTTTTAGAAGGGTATATGTAAGTAGTATGAGAAGAAAAAAGAAGAAGGAAAGGAACAAAGAAGTAGTAAAGAGTATCTTATGTATATGCTAGCTCTAAAAAGTGATGAGAGATCCCCCCTGAATGACTTAACAGAAATGTATCCTAAATTTGTCCGAGGACGGATGACCTATTTTTTGTTAATGGTATTAAAAATAAGATTTAGTTATTTTCCATTGACACGCCGAACCTAGGAAGTCAAGTTGTCAATGGACTTGGAGACTGTACAGGGTTTTCCATGTAGTTTGTCAAATGATGAGCTAAGTTTGTGGATGTAGTGGGGGAAGGTTTTGAACTTCCCCGTATAAGATTTCTTCCGATTTGTATTTGCATGTCAACCATGCATTGATAGCAAGAAGTGGCAAGAGGATTAAGGAAAAAGCGGGTTGAAGTAGAACAGATCAGACGATTAGAAAGATTCTTATTTGAGGGTCTAGCAGTGTTCTTGAACTGGTCGTCTTTCGGGTTGCCATGTATATGTCTTTGTACATAACCTTGTCCTTTGCTCGTTTCTCGGGCGATGGAATATATGGTATATCTCATGACTAAGAGCATACTGTCATGGAGGTATGCATGTTGATATGATCTGTAAATTAATATGTGTAATACCTTCTGGCGGTGGTGAGTGAGCGCTGTTTGGTGCTCGTGGACTAACAACGTCAAACCACCATTCTGAATGTCGTCGAGTCCGGAAACTATTTTTCCACCAATGGAATTCCTGATGATGCCAAGGGCGTGGGGTTAGAGATATTTCCAGATAAAATTAGTTCAAACTACTAAAAGGGATGCGGGGGGTGGAAGAAGAAGTTTCAAGGTAAAAGACTGGGGAAAATAGCATCATGAGCAAAAATTAGTGTGGGTTCTGACAAAATGATATGTGATCTAGATGCTGAGCCTCAAATATATAGACCGTCTAATAAGAGAACATGTTGACAACGTCACGAAGGAGGTTGGGAGGACAAGATGCTGTACTCTATGAAATCAAGATTGTGAGCTAACGGCCTGAAATGAATGATCGAAGAAAGATTGTAAATAGGTCTTGCTGCATTCTTACTTGAGGAAGTGCAGAAGGTTGAATTTGTTCCTCGTGTTATATTATACGATAATGCAAAAGATTTCAATTAGAATAATATCAAAAATTACAGAGTTAGTCACTCTTCAGAAGCCATTAATTTTCCTTCTATGAGCAATGCCTTCAAGGTTCTTTTCCAGATATCCGGGCCAACCCCTTCATCCCGCAATGCTTCTCGCTTTTTAGCCCCGGATAATTAAATAGCGAGAGGCACCGATTGCAACCCCTCAAATTCTCCGCCAAAACTCGTGATCCAACAATTTAATCCTGTAACCTATGTGGTGGTCCAAAATCATGGTCAAAGCAACTGAAGCACTACCTCCATTATGAAGTTGAGAGTCTCCCCCACTATCTTAATCATTCCTACTACTTACATCTCAATTGACTTTGGGTGATTCTTCATTTGTTCTTCACCTAGTCTATTTCCCACCTTCAGTCCAAACAAACGGAAAGCATCACACAATCATCATGGCTTCAGAATTGAAACCCCTCAATGTTCTCATGGTGGGAACTGGTGAATATACCACCGGTTTCGTAGGAGGTGGGGCTTCGGGGTCAGACAAGAAAGTTGGAGTTGTAGGACTCTCATTATTTGACCTGCGAAGACGCGGAAAGGTTGATAAGTTGTCTATGGTTGGCACATCTGGAGGAAAATTCCCAGCTATCCGTTTGTCCCCCAGTTTAACCTCCACCGAATTGTGTGGCATCTGCCATGTATCACCAACTGACAAGCTTCACTAGGTGAACATCTTAACAAGAACATCTCCCAAGTTTACAACAATCTTGACACATCCTTCGATTCCTTCCCAGCAAATGACAAAACCGACCCCTCAGCATACAAAACCGCCATTGATGCTCTTTCGCCGGGTGATGCCATTACAATCTTTACTCCCGACACAACCCATTACCCCATCGCTCTTTATGCCATCGAACGTAAAATTCACGTCCTAATAACAAAGCCCGCTGTCAAGATCCTTTCCCAACATCTCGAACTTCTCGAAGCTGCCAGAAAGAATGGAGTTTATGTTTATATTGAACATCACAAAAGATTCGACCCCGCATACTCCGATGCTAGATACAAGAGTTTGGGAATGGGTGATTTTAATTACTTTTACAGTTATATGAGTCAACCTAAATCACAATTGGAGACATTTAAGGCATGGGCTGGTGTAGATTCAGATATCAGTTATTATCTCAATTCGCATCATATTGACATTTGCGAGTCGATGGTTTCACAGCAGGGATTCTTGCCAGTGAAGGTTTCAGCGAGTGCTAGTAAGGGAACGGCCGTAGGACTAGGTTGTGATCCAATCACCGAAGATACTATCTCTTTACTTGTACATTGGGTCAAGAAGGATGATCCAAGCAAGAGAGCTACTGGTGTGTACACCGCATCTTGGACTGCTCCACAAAAGGCCGGTGTTCACTCAAATCAATATTTCCACTACATGGCTAGTGGAGGAGAAATCCGTGTTGATCAAGCCAAGAGAGGTTACGACGTCGCTGATGACAAGGTTGGTCAATTAATGTGGTATAACCCATTTTACATGCGTTACGCACCAGATGAGGAGGGCAACTTTGCCGGACAGACGGGTTATGGATATGTCAGTTTCGAAAAGTTTGTCGATGGATGCAGGTTGGTCAATAAGGATGGTGTTTCTGCCCTGAAGGTCTTAGATGATAGAGGATTACCAACTTTGGCAAATACTGTGGGGACAACTGCTATCTTGGAAGCTGGAAGAAGAGCATTAGATGAGAACAGGGAGGTAGAAATCAAGGTTGAAGATGGAGTTTGGTCTCTAGTTTAAGGGAAATATTGGGAGATGATTGATACCTAGGTGTCTAATTGAATTCACTACAAGGTGCAGCTGCAAATTAATTGTTTGCTTCTACTTAATCTTCGATAATCAGCGAAATTTTCACTCTTCGTTCTTGCCATCGTCTTCTGATCCCCAATGAGAATTGCGCTGCCCCACTTCTACTATTATTCCAGGTGGTACCTCCGAATAACCTTCCAAAAAATTGTCAATAAAGCTCCAAAGAGGTTCGTTAGGAGCGTTCAAGTCTATAATAGAGGAGTACCAACTACGAAGGTAACACTGTCTTGCTTGTAAACGGCCGGTTTTCATACATCGTTAGGCTTATGGGTATTTCGGTCATCAAGCAGTCGTGGCTAGATGCGAGCCGAATTTTTTTACATAAATATAAGATTATTATTGAAATTGGAGGTTTGAGGCTGAGGTTGAGAGGTGTATGGCTTGAGAATCTTGAGTGAGATCTTTGCGTTTTGAAGGTGGATTTGCGGATTCTGGATTTGTGATTTTGGGATTTGAGACAATATGAGATATATTGGGCGTTTCTTTTATGCTTGATGTTTTTTATTATGGTTCTGGAAAAGGAGTGTGCGTTGTGTGTGTGAGGAGTGAGAGAGGTGGCAGGCGTGTGCTTGAATATTGTCTTTCGTATTATGTGGATGTTTGTTTCCTGTGGGAGGATGAGGATATTTATTGGCATTTCCAATACTACCACGCTACTATGTTGGTTGTGATAGAAATACATAAAGTCTTAATGGCGGAAACGAATCATCTGATCGTAGCCAGAGTCTTCTATACTTTATAGGATGAGGCACAAAATATAATTTTGGTCTTTGTAAGATTAAATTTACATGATGCCATGTAATTCGAGGCAACATTAAATTATCTCCCCGCTGGCCGGTTTAGACTAAATTTATGTTGAGTGTGTTACTTGGTTTTGAATGGATTGTTTCTAATGTCTTTGCTTTCTTCTTTCAAAAGCAGTTGATTAACGCCAAAATCTTGCTTTAGACCTAGTCTTTGCCTACAAAAGTTACCATCCTAGGTATGCCACTTGTAAATTTCTTGGGATAGGTTTGTCTCTTTCCCTGCCAGCGCGGGGTGTAATGTTCCTGATGCAATGTTTGTGGTTCAATGTTTGTGAAATCTTGTACTTTCAATCACGCACTCCCCTCTTCAATATGGTTGTTTCGGTATTTTGACTACTTCTGTAATTTTAGACGTACTTTTATTATGCTTAAATAGTTTGGCCGTCAATGGATTTCCATCATCGATACATGACAATGGGCAATAAAGATAAGAGCCACGACTCATGGAGTCGGGTTGGATACTTTATGAATATTTTTTTTGGGATGCATCACCACATATCACTGACCTGTAGGTTTGCTCCGAAGTAGTACGCCGGAATTTGTTTGAAGATTTCAAATATAAATGCTTCAATGTCTAGCCTAGATAATCCCGCAGTAGTCGGCCGAGCTGAAACTCCAGTGGAGAACTCCATGCAACGACTAAAAGCCATGATAACTGCTCCATGCTCCCATACAACCAGCTGTTGTATATTTCCTGTGGTCAACATCATTTTAGAATAGATATCTGATATCATCTTCATCTTCATCCTCCAAATCATCTCCATCATCACTACTGAAGTCAGTATGTCATCAAAAGAAAAAGACCTAGCTTCGGATTCATACCGCTTAGTTTTCTTGATGTGTTTGTTAACAAGTTGTTCTTGCTCATTGATGGCCGCGGTAGCGAGGTTCTTATTCTCGACCTTTTCGACACACTTGACTATAAGAATCTTGGTGCGTTTGTTTACCGAGGCTGCGTATTTGCCATTGGACCATTCTTTCATACCATCTTCAACGACTTGGACCTGATCATCTGGGATGGTTCCGCCGGCTTTTTGTTCAAGAAGCCCGTCTTTCTTGATTCCACCGGTCTTGTTGTAACATGTGTATGTAATCTTCCCGGCTTGAACGTTGGCTACCAGGAGGAGGAATGCCAATGATAATGTTTTGAATGCGTACATTTTGAAGAAAAGTAAAGTTCTGTTTAAAGATCAGCCAGGTGTTGGGGTTTTGAACGTTGGGTCACAAACGGTAAGGACGGTGATTGTAAGTTGACTTGGGAGAAAGTATAGAAGATTGTTTGAAGTGAATATGTATTGTGTATGGTCTTTCATATTCACACTGGGATGAAGAGTCTTTTAATACCTTTCCCTCAGGCTTGCTCAATGCCTCATGGAGGATGGTATCTATCCATCTTAGATCTCACTAAGCCTGATGATAGTAAATGAACAAGCAAGACAATTTGACGTAAACCCAGGAAGGAATCAATGCATTGCGGGATTATAGCAGCAGGAAGATAAGTTTGGGCAACTAAGTTACCTGTACGGTATATTCATGACACCATTAAACCTACATTCTCTTCTCGGCAGTCCGTTTCCACATTGGAGAAATGAAATCTAAGGTAACCAAGCAGACTTCCGTAAATTACCACGTCCTATGATTCGACAATCCTTAATCCTTCTTAATCTGCCGCCCCACAATTGTTATATTTATACACTGGAATAACTTTATTCGAATCTAGGTTTTCGGGTTGCTGATCTGATGTAATATTTAAATCCTTCGCAATGACATCACCACGTGGAATCTTACTAATTTAACGAAAAAATCATGCGTCTTTTGATATTAGATCCCAGTCTTTGAAAGGAGAATAATCGCGCATTGTGGTGTCAGATTTGATAATACCTTTTCCGGATCCGTAGCATCTTTTGACAAATAGCCATGTTACAGATGAGGTTGTAGGAATGACCGCCGAGGCTGTGTGTAATTGATTTGAAACATATTCAAAATTTATTACTGTTGTGTTTGTCAAGTATGAGGTATACGTTGTTCTATGTTAATTAGAGGGTACAGAATAATAATGATTTGGTCATAAAAAAATCCATGGCGACAGCAGCAGCAACCATTCTCTTTACGTTCCCTCTGTTTGTGAACTTTGCTAGGCTCATGCAACCAAATATATTATGGTGCATTACGTTAGATGATCAAGACGGTTCACCGCCGCTACAAAAGGAGTCCTCGATTGGCTGGCTCAGGCTTATTCCACTCCCTCTTGAGCTCCATGGAGCCCTCGTATTATTATGTTGTGTCATGGGAACTAAATCAATAGAAATAACGCTAATGGCATTGGAACAAAGCATGATGTCATAGGCTGGGAACACAGCATTTCTTTTTGTTGATTATAGCTGAGCCGAAATGCACATCATTTTCTCTAAATGAAACTACTGTCAGTAGCATTGCATCATGTAGAACAATTTTAGCACTTTGGTAACAACATACTTCGAGTGAAACTCCGTGTTGATGACCTAAATTTCTGATAGCCGGATGATAATGCAATAATGGATTTATACATTCAAAAACCCAGCTACTTACGGATCTCGGGGTCGCCAACGATCAAAAGTCACAAGTACCTGCTCTGCATCTCGCTGCTCGAACCATTTGAGCGAAGCCCATCGTACACGATGAGATGATAAGAACTTAGTCAGGAATTAGCCAAATGCATCTTTTACCACTATTGTTGTCTACACTAGATCAAAATGTGATACGCTAGGGAGTCAAGGATATTGCTAGAAGTCCCTTGGAAGTGTTGCCATTACCAGATTCCCAGCAGGGATATTCAATAAAAGCTTGCCCAAACTCATAGACTCTTAATGAAAACATGTTCACCAGGAATACTTGGCAAATATGCAGAAAAGTTGAAGGAGGAAAGTGAGCAGCCGTGACCTGGTTCTTTTTGTAGTTGTGAGGATCAACTTCAAATTTTAGTTCCCAATGTGAGATTACAGCTTACAGAGTTGGAGGGGGTAACTCAGAGGTATTGGTGACTTTGATCATTCCGCGTTGCTCGGTGACTCAAGGTCTATGGGGATATAATAATTGTCATATAAAACCTGTGTACCACTCTATTATAACTTTTAATTCGAAAAAATTTCGCACATGATAAGGTGCCTTAAGTCGATACAGTATGCATAAATCAAGAAAAATGTTTCGAGCATATGCAAAGAAAATGACATGCATGTCTGGGATATATCAGACAGCTTGGAAAGCCATTACTTAGCTCCACGAGATAGATAACATTGAGTTAAAGACTGGCTTGCGAACTCAGTGATATCTAAGTAGAAAGAGCAGATTTTAAATCTCGAACTGTTCAATCTGCCTTGAGATTCGAGTAATTTAGGACTCTAACGGCCAGAATCCTTAAGAAGAGACTGTTGACTACAGATATTGGCCGATTTTGATGGCCCCCACTCCAAAACAGCATAAATATACACTTTTTAGATTACAAGGAGGTTCACGAAAAAGCAATCTGACAGGTTTAATGTTCCGAGTTAGTCACACACTCTCCAAGACAAATAGCAGCCGGTGGGAGAAGCTTATGCTTGGGGCTAATTGGATTTAGAGCGATCGAAGTTGATGAAGCAAGAACATTTGATGTTTTAAACCTATTGATTACCAAGGGCTCACTCTGGGTTGACCGGGAAGTATGCAAATCCATGAGATATATTTCTGACTACCAATTTTGAAATCATAGAGCACATTGTTGTGGATTCTCACATTCGAAGCCTAGGTTGACAAGTTGAACAAGTTTGGAGCTATATGTTCGTAGTGTAGAGTAATTATCAGAGGACCAGAACCGAATCCGAAAGTAGAGTATCAAGAGTAAAATAACCATTCGCAAGTTCTGGCTTTAGAATAATTGTGGCAAAAAGTGCTAAAACTACGTCGCCGATGAGAACCAAAAACATCTCAGTTAATCTATAAACATGGTTGTCTGACATGGATATGATGAAATGACACTGAAGATTGATGCAATTCAAGAAAAGCAATATATTACGTGCTTATTATCTATGTACTGCAAAACAAAGTTCAAAGCGGGGTATTAAATGTAGCCATCACAAAAGGTATCATTACGTATGCCAACAGCAATCTCCATCCAATAACAAAAAAGGAAAAACCGTCAAATCAAACTCATCTCTTCTCCAAACTCTTCTTCTCCTTCTTACTTTTTGGTGAGCAAGAAGTGAGAATGGTAGTCAACCAAGATTTGTAGGTGAATCGTTTGCGAAGGGTAGTGGATGAAGAAGATGATGATCGAGAGGCACCAGGAAGGACTTTCTCGATAATTCTATGAGGGGAGAGGATGTTGTTAGTCACGGAATCCCTGAAAATTTTGAGCTTGAAAACCAATATGAGGTAGGATCATCTTGTATTTCTATCTTTCTTTCTGTTTTACAATCATTTTGTTTCCTTGTCCAATCATCCACCCAATCCTCTGTCAACCGTAAGAAAAGGCAAAGCGCTCCACTTACTGCGCCAAGAGAACAGCCCTATAGTAAACTTGTCCTTTGTCCAACTTATCCATTGCCTCGGCGATACCTGACTCTGTCATGGGGAATGTTTGAACAATTGGTTTGATATCATGGAATGCGGCAAACTCTAACATTTGCTTATGGGCACTTCTGTTTGCAACAAGGTTGCCTTGAATGTTGACACCCGCGGTGAGGAAGGGCATATATGGGATCTCGAGGTTCTGGAATGAAACTGTGAGGGGGAAGATGGTGGAGCGGGGTGCCATAATTGGGAGGATAAGGTCCCAGTTTGGTTGAGCGGCAGTGGTAACGAGGAGACGGTTGATGGGTTTGGAAACTTTGAGCTCCTTAGCATCTTTGGTGACGATGAATTCGTGTGCACCTAGCTTGGTGGCCTCATCCTTCTTTTTATCGGAACTGCTCAATACGACAACTCTGCAACCCATCTTGGCAGCAAATTGAATAGCTAAATGCCCTAATCCACCAACTCCCATGACAGCAACAACATCTGTGCTCTTGATGCCTTGAAGGGCAGAAAATGTGGTGGCACCTCCACATTGCAGAGGAGCGGCATACTCATCTGGAATGGAAGCGGGTGTGAGGAAGAGGAAGGCTTCACGCCAGATAGCATGAGAAGCAAAAGATCCCTGATCGAGATTGGCGTAACCGTATAGAGCACGTTCGGGACAGAAAACTTCGTTTCCAGTAAGACATTCGTGGCAGTGACCACAGGAATCATGTTCGTAACCCCAGCCGACACGGTCACCTTTCTTGAGATGTTTTGCATCAGGGCCGACGGCTTCAACGATGCCAACACCTTCGTGACCGAGAACCATGTCGGCACCTTTCTGGAAGGGGGTTAGCTAAAATTAGGAGGTGAAGGAGCGATAGAGTATGAACTAACGTAGTGGAGATCAGTTCCGCAGACACCAGAAGCAGTAATCTTTACAAGGACACTATCACCCTTGAGCTCTTCAGGCCTAGTGGTGGTGCTTTTGATGGGGTAACCATCAGCTCTGCCCTTGAAAACTGTGAAGGTAGGCATGTTGAGTGTGTTATGGAGAGAAGTAGATAATGCAGATGAGGTAGGAGTAGATTTGGAGAGATGGAATGTCTGGTAAATTTATCGAGGAATTTGGAGCTCTTAAGAATCAGATGAAAGAGTAGAAGAGGAAGTTGATTTGATGTCGAATAAAATGCAATTCCCATGGCACCAAGTCGCATTATATAATCGCTGAACTCAGGGCCGGCCCTCCATGTTCTAGGTCCAGGCACCATCCGGGCCACCATCCTGTGTGCATTGAAAATAAACATCGGCAAACTAACTGTACAACACATGTATTCACGAGATTTCTTGCAATGATACTTCCAAATCTGAGTTACTCATGACTTAGCTAGTCCTAAAAGAGAATCTGGAAGACAAGTTATGGGTCTCTTACCAACATACTGTATGATCTCGAAGAGATTCGGACCTTGGCAATCCACTGAAAATCGGTCGGACGAATGTAAGACCGAAGGCCATTCCTACAAACTTTCCAACTATTCTATGAATATTCGAATTTTTTGATGTTTACTGGGGTTTTTACTGGGATGAAAAGCTCTGTACACGGCTGACATTCGTCCAGCCGATTTCCAACCGAGTTCCAAAAGCCCGAATCTCTTGAGATTACAGACTACTATACCCCCCTGAGATTACTACCCAATATATTCCGAGGTCTGTTGAGGGACCCATCTTCTTTCATGCCCTACAACTAACACCGAAACACGATTTCCCAGGGTCTAATCTCCGGACTCCCCTTCAGGACTCCATGTAAGCAAATGTTGGTGACCAACTGTTTGTTGATAAGACAGATCGCTGGAAATTGGTAATAATCCCTGAATTTCTGCATAATGTGGATTCGGTAAATGGGTGCGAAGCTGGAGTACCGGAGTTGTAGCGTGCGAGTGAAGGAAATACTACCCCGCGATTTATCTGTCGCATTCTAAACCAATCGGATTACAAATTTTTACGGTGAAGGTTTTTTCGCTATGCAGCGTAATTAAATGATATCGGCTTGATGCGAATGGGGGCTAAATGCATATGTGCGAATACCTATACTTGGAAGCACCACGAACTTGAGTCTCCTCATGATCGGTTTTCATTACATTTCTATGGCTGAAATGGCATTATAGTAAATCATTAGTCAACTTGGCAATTATGTGTGCAATGAACGATTAGATGGATATCCTAGTGGCTAGATCATTATTCAATACAAGAGTAAGTACCGAAGGATAATCTCGGTGTTGTGCCACTACTCCACAGTATTGTTTCCAAACACAGCCAGCTACATGCGTTTACCATTGTACATGCTGCCATACCATTGCCCACCCGAAATTGAGTTTGGGAAAAGTTTAGTAATAGAATGGAAAGAACCCTAAAGAAAACAACGCCTTAAAGTCATGCCTCCCATTTATCATCGTCATCATCATCATCATCGTTACTCAGGAAAGATTGTTCCCATATTCGCCCATAACATCTCAAAGTCTGTATATGAATCTGCCGGGAATGTCATATCAATAGATTGAGCCAATATATCTTGCAATTCTGCATTTGTCTCGTTGTCAAAAGTTAACGAATCTACACCTTGCATGCCAGTGAAGCTATCGTCCAGAAGACTCTCATAGCCAGAGTCTCCTGCACTGATAACAGACTGCGTTTCTTCAGGCTTGATAATCATTTTCGACTGTTGCACCATCATCTGTTTCTCATATGTTTGCGCAAGACGAATATCTACTTTGGCACTGAGTTCAGTCATGACGTTAGCAGCGCTCGCGGCTTGGGCAAAATTGTTTCCAAAGTTATCGAAGACAGCAATAGCAAGGTCGAGAGCACCTCGTGCTGCTCGGGTTTGTGTGCCGTGTGGATATGCGAAGATATAACCGACGAGGGTCATTGCGCAATTCCACTGCCATTGGAAGGATTCTTGCCAGCCTGCTAGGATTGATGTCGACAAGATGACATGGTGCATTATGTGCGTCAATTGCATGGCGTGGCCCACACATTTGAGAGCGATTTGTTCTGAGAGAGGAGTAGGTGTGCCTGATGGGCTGAAGATGATAAATGGTCGGCACAGATTAGTGCTCAAGTTGTGATACATGAGTTCGAGAAGGAGACGTTGACGCTGAAGCCAAAGTGGCGCGAATGGTTCGATATTGATATGAGATAGGTCTGTGGAGAAAGGAGATCCGCCATTGAGACGATCGGTCTTGAGAGCCATAGGTACTCCCCTGAGCCATTCATCCATTCGCTCTAAATGTGGTTCCAGCATTTCCGCATAGGATCCAAGAGTTTGCAGATCATCCCAGATCGTTCCTCTTACGTTGATCGTATTAGGTACTGGAGTGTCATAAAATGCAGAATAAGCGGAACGGGCGACCAATAGCAGTTTCGTATTGTGTAGATTCCAGGTCAACCAGGTGACATTATCACCCAAAGGTGCAAAGCTCTGTCCTGCAGCAATAGCAACGTCGCGATCATCTGTCGGAAGTGTACAGGTAGTATTGCACTCATGAACCAAAAATGGACGACCAAGTTTCATACTCATTTTGCTCTCCAAGACGTACAGCGTCCACCACATGCGCTTTCGTAGCTCTCTCTCTTTTCTCGGCATTTCTTGAGGAGGTTCAACATGCAGACCAAGCATGTAGGCTGTTCGTACAGCAGCACTGCAGGCGCTGTCTGCCATGTTCTGAAATGACCCACAACAGAGATATATGGAGCAGAGGATATGGCATTGAAGGGTGGCTATGGTGGGTGCTTCTAAATCGGCAGCTAGGAGAGACTGGCAGCGTCGGTAATGCCATCTGCCAGCGATTGTTGCATCATTGACGTTCACATTGGCTCTTGAGCCAGGATTATGGGCGCGTGTTACGTTTGGCAGGAAAGACATGCCATACTGCATACACATTGCGAGTATGATATCGACAAGTGCGGATGGCTTTCTCTCCTTGTCCGAATTTATCCATAACGATTGATAGTGTTCCTTAAATTCCTGTTCATCGATGATTGGATTCGAGGTATAGTATGATTGCCAGAAGAGGCCAAGAAAGTACTCTTCTTGTGTTGGTGAAAGATAGTCGCCAACATTGAGCGGGTCTTCCATTGGGACCATTAGCCCGTTTTTGTTATCTGATGTATCCGCAGTAGTCGGTCCATCGAGTACTTTACTTGCTGAATTCGGTAACATTGCATGAGCGGAATGTTTTTGGTGCAGCGAAGCGGTTAAGAAAGTGTTAAGACGCCCGATGAAATAGTACAGCGATGCTGAGCCATACCACGTCTTTTGCGGAGAACGTGCAGTGCTAATGTGAATACCTTCCCACTCCCTCTTGATTGTATTGGCATCGAACTCAAGGCCATTCATACCACTCAATCCAGTGTCATGTCCCGACCGAGAACTGCCTATGCTGTTCGGCGGTGAAGGAAGTCCGTGTGGAGGAAGCATTTGCATGTTTTGTTTGTCGCTTGAGCGCTCTTTATCAAGTTCTTTCTCTAGTTCTTGAACCTTTTGCTTTAGACGTTCAATCTCGCGATATGCATGTGGAAGTGTTGCCAATTTCATAGCACCGCTGTTACTGCAATTACCCCCACGGGTTTTGCAGTTGTTACACGGATGATCATTATCGCATTTGATGCGATGAACTCGACACCAATCGCACGCTTTGGCTACTTGACTTCGCTTTTGACGTGGACGTGGTCGTGGAGGAGGCTCTGGAGATGCAGAGGTACTAGAAGTGGTGGAAGGCATGCTGACGAAGGTAGTGAACATTTTGGATATAATGTGGTGGGTATCAAGTAGAGGCAGAGAGGGGTTTGCGTTGCAGGAAAGACGTTGGTAAGAAGGATGTATATGCGCCGCAGCCACTGAAATATGATAACAGGTCGCTCGCTACATAAACAGGCAGAAAGCTGTTACCCGTGATCAGTGGTTATTCTGTCCCTTCTAAGATAATTTCTATGAAGGTCGAAAGATCTCTAGATATGAAAGATAGAGAATATCGATTCTGCATGTACAAAATATGGAGTTTGTGTGATTTGCGGTGCTAAAAGTGCAAGCAGATTTCTAAACATTTCTTATTTTGTGCACGGGCGGCACAATTAATGAGTGTTTTGAGTGCCAAGGACCCTACCCCAACCAAGCCCCACCTGAAGGGACCCGGGAAGAGAGGTGGCTAGAATATCACTGAACTGCGGTTTGTACTATTCGAGTTTTTCCGTGGATAATAACTAGTGTCATCACGAGAAAATGTCTAGGAAAAAGTCTCTAGGTGATTTTGGGAGTTGTACGAAGGATTATCTGTCGCTTTCACGGTTGTCATTAGACAAGTTGTTAGGATTGACCAATAGTTAGTCATAATGCCATAGAACGTGCTTCGAAAGTACCGTTCGACATCATCTCATTTTCTATGATGCATTACAAATGTCCCATAGATTGTCTGAAAAGAGTTCCCAAGCTTTGACTACTTAGGTACCCGGTGCAACTAATTAAGGCGGAGATAGCGTTTTAGGCTTCGGAGAAGAGCCTATGAGCCCCGTAAATGGTACACTAAAGCCCCTGTCAACCTGTCATAATGCATCACTAAAGTCGCTAAAAAAAACAGTTGATCCTCATCCCTTCATCACTCCACTCCCTGTCTAATCTTATCTATGAACCATTTCGAAAAGAACTTTTCTAATAACAAACTCGACATCTTCGACATCTAATCCATGATCTTACCATCAATCATCATGGAGAATTATAATCAAATAGCTGACTCCTTTGTAGAGTATACGTACTCACATCACAATATTTTAGTTATGAGTCTTCTCGATTCCGAAAACGCCCAAGAATGACACCAGTTACCGCAAGTCACTGTCTCTCATTCAATCACCGTACACTCAGGTCCTCGCCACGTGAGTGGCTTATACTAATAAAAATTGAGTTAATGCGGTCTAGGGCGATGTTACTGCCACAAAACTACTGGCCAGAACTTCAGCTATACCTACTCGGGTCCCAAGCCGTGCAACCCGAAACACGGCGAAGAGCCGGTTGCAGTTATCACGAAGTTCTCTTCGTATGGCCCGACTTTCTCCGTCTACTAAGTAAGCCGAAAGATTAAAATAAGCTTACTTTCCTGCTAGAGAATGGGACTTGCCGTGTATCCATACCCTTTATTGCTATTCCAGCATTCCGGAAATGCGAATGCGAAATAGTGTGGGATTCCTGTTTCACTTTGCATAGATACGGCGGGTGCCAATCAGAGAGCACAGAAGCCTGTCATCACTGATTGTTCTTCAGGACTCATCAAAAGTTTTTGTGTGGTAGTAGCCGGTGCGCTCGGCATTTTCATCGGTGCTTCTTGGGCAAAGCATTGCAGATACGTTGTTAGAGCAAGGCCAAAATCCTTCAAAATGAAAGGACTTACAGTCATTAGTCTTGCCATTTGAAAATCTATTTCCAGCGTTTCATTCTTCGATAAGACGTTTGTTCAAAGTCGTATTACTCCTGAATGTCGAATTTGCTTGGGGTATGGATGTAACGAGATTATTACTTTATGCAAACGGCACGTTTCTTCAGCGGGCGGCATCCTATCATCATTCCCGCGCGTATGGGCGTGATGTAATCCCGCCTGTTTCTTTAAGGGTCTTGCAGATATGCAGCGGGCCCGAGTCCATATATGCGGTATCTCTCGTGGCTTTTCAGGGACCTTGCAGGACCCTGAGTTCTGCATGGTCTCGGGGAACCAGGCAACCACATCAGTACCCATAGCTTAAACATGAAGGATATCTCACGTGATGCTGACTGAGCCAAGAATCTTGGGACCAAACACTCGGATACATTGCACAAGATTGTTCACAGTTGCTGGGACAATTTCTGGGACAGTTTACAATCACGGTACCTAGTTACTTTCTTTAGTTTTCCAAGAGATGCAGTGATCTGCTGTCAAAATGCTGTAGAACCAGAAGTACAGAGCTGCCATTCCTACCCGGACCGAATCACAATTCGGTCGCTTATTTGATGAAATCAAAGCCGGTGATATCGTCTTAAGACATTCATCATGATTGGCAGCCCTAGCTCGACTCTAGCGTATCTTCCTTCGCTGATCATGGTACGATGTACGAACTAAGGCACAACTAGGCTTTCGCTGCACGTTTATCGCATGTAAGCAGGGTTACCACATGTCAACAACGTGAAATCACCAACTGCTTGGTTCCAGAATCAATCACTAAATCGTGCTGGCCCTTTTTAAGAACGAGCTGAACAAGGGCTCAACCTCATTGCCTCTGCGCCGTGCGTGATATTACAGTCAGCCAGGGTTCTTTCTTCAACTGGCTCGACTTCGGGATATCGAATGTGATTCGATTGCGGATGGTGAGGTGAGACTTTACGATAGTCAACATCATGGGTGATCCGGACGAGGACGGAAGAGCTTTGAAGGCTGGTCGAAGCATCAATTTGAACGTCTATATAAACGGCTTGGAGTCTCGACATTAAGCTACATCCTTATCCTCATCATCATCTTCTTCTCTCAGCTTCATTCACTGCAGAAGCCTCTTTTCCGATCGCCATCCTCCCTTCACTTGAAGATCATTTCCTCATTCCCATCTTTTTCTATCAACTTTCTCACTAGCAGATATGTTTAGCAAGGGCTTCACAGTCGCCGGGCTGGCAGCCCTCTCTTTGGTCGCTCAATCCCAAGCAGGACCTACCTTGGGCTCTTCTCATCTTAAAGCAAGAGCTCTCTTGGGTACCTCTTTCGGTGTTCCTGGACGCAACGCAACCTACGATTACGTTGTCGTTGGTGGTGGTAATGCCGGTCTTACTATCGCAATGAGATTGGCTGAGGCCAACGCTGGTACCGTAGCTGTCGTTGAGGCTGGAACTTTCTATGAGATCAGCAATGGAAACATTTCTCAAGTTCCTGCCACTGATGGTGTCTTCGCTGGAAAAGGTGCCAGTGATTGGCAACCCCAGATCGATTGGGGCTATCAAACTACTGCGCAATCGGTAAGTTCAAAGACAGTAATAGAAACAGAAGTAACTTGCTAACATCAATAACAGGGAGCCTTCAACACTTCTCTTCACTATGCTCGTGGTAAGACCTTGGGTGGTTGCTCTGCTAGAAACTTCATGGTCTACCAACGTGGTACAGCTGGATCCATGCAGAAGTGGGCCGATCAAGTTGGCGACGATGCCTACGAATGGGATAATTTCCTTCCTTACTTCCAGAAGTCTGTCAACTTCACCGCCCCTGACATGAACCTTCGATCTGCCAATTCCACTCCTCAATTCGTTGCTGCCGAAGCTGCAAATGCCCCAGCTACTGGACCACTTTCCGTCACATGGTCCCACTATGCCCAAGCTTTCGGTACCTGGGCCATCGAAGGTCTTGCTCAAATCGGCATACCAGTTATCCCTGGTTTCTTGGGCGGATCTTTGATCGGATCTTCATACCCTACCTTCACCTTGGATGCTGAAAGGATGACACGTGAATCTTCTGAAACTTCTTTCCTCCGCGCCGGAATGAAATCACCTGACCTTAAGGTTTACACTCTCTCCATGGCGAAGAAAATTCTCTTCGACGACACCAAGACTGCAACTGGTGTTCTTGTCGAAACTGGTGGCTACCCGTTTACTTTGACCGCTAACAAGGAAGTTATCTTGTCTGCTGGTGTTTTTGGATCCCCACAAATTCTCATGGCGTCTGGTGTTGGACCTGCAGCTGAATTGAGTGCTATCGGTGTTGATGTTATCGCTGATCGTCCAGGTGTCGGAAAAGGAATGCAAGATCACATTTTCACCGGTATTGCATACCGCGTCAATGCTCCTACCATTTCGAAACTCGGAAACGATCCCGCATACGCTGCTGAGCAAGCTGCTCTGTACGAAAACACCCCCGCTGCTGGTATGTACACCAGCCCTAACACTGATGTTCTCGGATGGGAAAAGATTCCACAAAAGTACAGAAGCGAGTGGAGCAACGAGACTCAAACTGCTTTGGCTGCTTACCCTTCTGACTGGCCCGAGGTTGAGTACATTGCCATCTCCTCTTTCTTGGGTAACCAAGTGGTTTTGGGATCTGACCCAAGTGATGGATACAACTATGCCACCTTATCTGTTGCCCTTGTTGCTCCTCGATCCCGTGGATCTCTCACTATCACCTCCCCAGACACCAACGTCGCTCCAATCATCGACCCAGGTTTCTTGACCGAGCAATCTGATGTCGACATCATGGTGGCTGCAGTCAAGCGTATCCGTGAATTCTATGCTACCGATGCTCTTCAAAGTTTCGTCATCGGTGATGAGTACTTCCCAGGTTCTAACGTCTCTACCGATGCGCAAATTGAGGCCTTCGTCCGAACCAGTTTCAACACTATCTGGCACGCAACATCCACCTGCTCCATGGGTCCTGTCAATGATACCAACACTGTTGTTGATACTCAGGCCAGAGTTCTCGGTGTTTCCGGCCTCCGTGTTGTTGATGCTGCCGCTTTCCCACTCCTTCCCCCTGGACATCCTATGTCCACAGTTTGTAAGTCTAATCCTTCCTATAACCATTAGCCTGCGAACAATTACTAACAACCAGTTAAGATGCTTTCGCTGAGAAGATTGCTTGCGACATCATCGGCTGTTAAGCAGCACGCTTCTAAAGCGCTATTATCCGACCTCATGTCGGCTCCCCATTACTCACAATTCATCAGACTTCCTTTATTTCCGTTGCCGATAGATCCTTATTAGAAGCATCGCAGCTACATTACTCTCCTCTTCTTTTCTCTTGTCATTCCGTCAACTGTACCTGAACATTTTGATGCACCAGTTGAGTTCCAAAATGTTCTACACACAAAAGTACGCAAAGCAGTCGACCACTATCGATCTCTGCGCACAGACACGTTTTGATGGGAGGCCAATGTACAACAATTGCTCGCATCCTCATTGTGAGGGGTAGCTTGAGCATCGTTGGATTTTTTCCTTTTTGATTTGGTATCTGGGCGGCGGATTTCTTTCATATGTACCGTACAAGGAAACAGATGTACTATATAGTCAGACGTAGATAGTGGCAATCAAAGTTTCATATAGCACACTCACACTTTCTCCTGCATGTGCTTTGCAGATCATAACCAAAAATTTTGTTGATGGGGTTGACATTGCAGGTTCCGCCAAGCTGGAAACCGCCAGGGTGTTTGACGAGAGTAAGCTCCATAAACTGTGAGTAACCTTTGATAAGCTTAAATTGTCGTCGCGGCTGCTTTCTTGAATTGAAAACTTCATAATTTTCCTCGTCCCAAGTCTTTATATTTTGAAAGCATGGGTCTGGGCCCTGTTGAGAAACAAGTCTAAGTAGTTCTCACTCATTGTTGCGAGGCTTATATGAATTATATCTTGTAACAGGAAGTGACATCAGAAAGATAAGAAGAGACTTTAACCCTGCTCTTTAATATTATAGAAATCATTCTTTCAATAAAAAATCCTCCAATTATAAATATCTTCATTATTTTGACCCTTGTTGCCGTTACACCACTAAGGTGGTACTAGCACAGCTTCAGTTGCCAGGTGAATTCTCTAGCGTGAAAACAAATGATGGAACAACACACAAACACAACAATATAACTCCAAAAATTCCGAATACCCCAAACAACTTCAACAACACCAACACTTTATCGAATTCGCCATGGAAAGTATGAGGAATGATAAACCGAAATTGTCTCGAGCCCAAGGCAGCTCGAATCATAGCCAGCGCCTTCCTCCAATACGCCCTCCCCCAGCGCCTGGCTCTATACGTGCTATACTACTCGAAAATTGCACCACTCGACTCTTTGTTCATCCGTTTGATTGGACTGCCGATCATTATCGCGCTCTTCACATCGAACTTGTTACATCTGCTAATGTAGAGGAGCCGATAGCTGAAGATATTAAATCACAAATTGCTGAAAGCAGAATAATAGAGGGAGCATTATGGGATGTAAATGGTTGTGATTTGATAAAAAGAGACAAAGCGATTCGAAGTTTAGTGATCAATATGGCAAAAGTATAGAACCTGCATTTGGAATAGAAAAGATTACATTTCATGTATGAGAATCAGGTTATTGCTAAACTTCATGATGTTCTGGTTGCTTGGCCTCGATCTCGATCTACGTCTGAGGTTGATTCAAGACTCCCAATCTGGGCATATACTCACCGAAAGTGTACAATTGCTGCACGACGGAATTGGTACAAATCTAAAAAGAAACTATGGTCCTTTGTTTGGAATGAGGCCATCCGCAAACAGGAGCTTCCAATTGACCCTATTTACATCGCTATTCTGATCGCTCTAGCTCAATAGAGAAGGAGATTCATTCCGCAAGGACCAACATCGTATCAGGTATTTTGTTTCTCTTTGAATAATATATAATGCTAATTAGTTATAATAGGTCACTCTTTTTGTCCCTATACATAAATGAATAATAATAGCCAATACTCTTTTATCAAATACTGTAATACCTACATCACCACAAACTCAAAAGCGAAAAGTAGTATCAAATATTATACAATACACAGCCGATATTTCAACCATATATTTACAGAAGTTCGAAGAACCTTACAAATTTTATAATGCTAGTCTTTGCATTGAACAAAAGATATTACCGATCAACGAAGCTGCTATATTCTTTCAAGCTATGCAATCTGCTTCCAATTACCTTAATACATACCCAAAACCTTCTTTTGAGGAGTCTACTTCGAAACGCAAAGCAGACGATCAAAAGCTGGAAAGCAAGCGGAGGAAAGTTTGTAGTATATGATGCATCTCTTTTACACCAATCATTCGATTTTGCACGGATATCTAAATGTTGGAAATTGTTACACAAGACCTCGTTACAGGTCTAATATTCATGCAGGTCATAAATTAGTATCATTTGCCGATCGGTTAATGTTGATTGCCGACAATGTTGCCGTGCATAATTCGGCCGATCAGCGTACAGACCAGCGTGAATCTATCATTCACATTTACATATTTTACAATGTCTACTTCAACATAATGACTCGAGTCAATCCTCTGATCCAACAGCTTTAAAACTTAGCTAAGGAAAGTTTAGTGCAGAACCTCATTCCCCAAAATTCATGCCCAACTACCTAGGTACTCACGCATGACCTATTTGGACACGGCTATGTTGCGGCTACTTTCAGGGGTGTCTCGCTTAGAACAAAGCCTACCTCGGCTAAAATATTTGCACCGAAATCATCATACACCGAAACCTACCGAAATCTGATCCGTCCCCACTTTAACAAATGAAGTGCTTGCAAATCTCGACCTACCCGCCATTCACTTCTTGCCGGTCAGCCCGAAGCGCATGCCCCGAGTCGTGTCTAGGATATGGTACGCACATGAGATCTAGTATGTTACATAAACCGTAACTGATCCAATCATTCCTCACAAACGAAGTATTGCATATGCCATTAATGAGATTCTACGCAGGTCTTCTCATGCTTACATGCGACAATTGAAAGTTCGTGGTTTTCGAGCCACGTGATACAGATCTAGCCTCCAAATTCAAGCGATGAAGAAGGGGTTGCTAAGGAAATAATGCAGCCGTACCCAAATGCCATATATGCTTGGCGACTAGTGAAAACAGATGGATGCGATATATGAGGCCGATAAGAAGCCCGTGTAACGGGACCCGAATAGGTGGAGGATGAGCTGTCATGCTTTTTACCCGGCTGGCTCGTCGTGTAGCCGTATCGATCATGTGAAAGAGACAGCTATGGAGCCTTATCGGAGAGAAAATGAATAAGAGATCTTCCAACCTAATTAGGCAAGACGATTTTCAATTGCAATATCACGTTCAGTAAGGTGTCTCAGCTCACGTGTATGTCTTATCAACCCCGTTACTGAGCCACCAGACCACTAGCCACAGCAACGATTTGAGGATACATTTCGAAAATTTGCAAAAGAAGGTCGAGAGGTCATGAAGGATGGGAAGGGAATTGAAGGGCTTTTTGGTATGACTTTATTGTCGAATATGATCACGATTAATCAATGCAAGTCATGTCACTTTGAAATCAGGCAAATGATGTAATTTTGATGTTATCAAATTTGTTTGTATTCTTATCTATCATTAAATATGAAGTGATTCATGAATGAAAACCCAAACTCCTAAACCATCTATCCTATATCTTATCTATACCGAATACCCAAGTCTATTCATCAAATTAAAAGATATATATGAAAAGATACATGAAACGAAAAGTGACAAAGGAGATTCGTTAAATGACAGCCATGTCTAGTTCAAAGCCAAGAATGCATTCTGGGTCGCTGCTGGCTCTTTGATCCCCCATTGAACCATCCAGTTCTCTAACCACACTCTGTTCAAAGGACCAAGAGTTCTCAAGGTCTTACTGGCAGACTGAGAAACAGTGGTAGGTAAGGTACGAGCGCCTTTCTCGACGGCGCCACCAGCTGCTGCCTTGGAGTAGAATTCAAGAAGGCGCATGGCGGGGTTGGCATCGACATCGACGTTGCCAGTGCGCTCAGCCTCATCCACAGAAGCTTTGAGTGCATCGACCCATTGCTCAAATTTGACTGGTTTGACCATTCCCTCGGGGTAAGCGGCAAGAAGGTTCTGTCCCAAGTCCTCTTCCCAAGAGGAGAATTGTGGGTTCACAACGTGGTAAGTCTTGCTGTGAAGAGGAGCGGAAGAGATAGCGCCTGTGGCCTCGTCAAGCTCTGGTTGAGATGCGGTGTCAAGGATCTCGCACAAGACCTTGGAGAGCTTGTCTACTGGGAGCCAATCGATGTGATCTCTGGATGGGAATGTCTCTGGCACAACACCGAGATGGGCGGACGAGACAATGATAGATGGAATGTACTCGTGTTTGTTCCACATTCCCTTTTGTTGCTCAACTGGACCAGCAACGATACCAACACGGCAGACCGCAGTGCGCACACCGGAGATTTGAGCGGCTTTTTCAAGGAGGGCCTCAGCGATAAGCTTGGATTGACCGTATCCCATAGGAGCAGCTGCAGTAAAGTCGAGGATTGGTGCCTCGGGAACACCGCCAACTCCCTTGTATCCACCAACAGCGGCAATAGATGAGATGAACATCACAAAAGCGTTGTTGGTAGAGCTGGAAGCCATTTGAGCGAGGTTGCGAACACCAGTGATGTATGGTTTGAATGAGTTGAGGGTCCAGTTGAAGTTGACTGGCCATTGGCAATGAAGGACGTGGGTAACGGTTTCCAAAATTTTAGTGTAGTTTTCTTGTCCAACACCCAGTTGGGAGTCGGAGAGATCTGCCTTAAGGAAGGTGACTCTCTTGGAATCAATAGGGCTCAATCCTCTTGCGATGATGGCTTGTTGATATTTCTCAGCACCACCAGCAGAACGGTCAAGAGCGTAGATATGCTTAACGTTAGGGTCATTGTTCATCTCATTGAGAAGGTATGAGCCCAATGAACCAGTAGTACCAGTAAGGAGAACGGTAGTGCCGTTGGTGATTGGTGTGACACGAGGCTTGGTCTCAACTGGAAGAGTGGAGACAAATTCTTGGAAAAGAGACTCCATGGCAGTCAATTTAGGGTTCTTCACTTCCTTCTCGTTAGGATCGGCGCTTTGGTAGGCACTATCAGGATCTTCAGGTGCCAAATCTGCTGTCTTGTAAAGGAACTCGGAAAGTTCGACCAAAGATGGGTTGGAGTAAACAACAGTTGGGGAGATAGAGTCCGCAGTGAGGTTGTTGCCACCAGAGATCTTAGCGTGTATCTTGAGCTCGCGGACAATTTTGATGACGTGGAGGGAATCTAAGCCAGATTCGAAGAATGCTGCATCGGGTCCGAGGTTCTGAATACCGGCAGTTACTTCAATGAGATCCTTCAACCATTTTGCAATGTTGGTGCGGTCAGCAAAGTCAACTCGCAAGTCACCGACTTCGCCTTCTTGGTCATCGAGATTTTCAGCAGCAGTGTAGACATCCTCGATATCCTTCTCGTACAATCTGTATGTCTGATGTCTTTGGATCTTACCTTGACCAAGGTAGTGCATTGGGCGGCTAGGATCAACAAACAAGATGTGGTATTGATCGAGCTGGCCGTGAGCCGGAGCGTGCTTGTTAGCTTGCTCAATAGCTGGAAGTATCTCTTTGATCAAAGCGTGGCGTTCAGCTGCACTGTTTGGTGGCGCATCTTTCAAATCGACAAGAGCGGCTGGCTGAAATTTGCCACGACCAACAACCATGGCACCCTTGACAAGAGGACTGCTGCAGAGGGAAGCTTCCATGAGAGCTGGAGCAAGTTTCTCTCCGTTGCTGAGGACGATAACATCATCAGCACGACCTCTCCATTTGTACAAGAAAGGCTTAGCTGGATCAGGGTGGCGAGAGTAGAGATCATTCATTGAGTATTCCTCGAGTTGAGGGAAGGTACTGAAGATACCCTGGTAGTAAAGATCCAACTCAGGCTTTCGCTCAATGAAAAGCTCGTGAAGACCATCCATGTACTCTCTGAAGACGATACCAGAGTGAGTTGGGTGCCAGTAGAAGTAAGCCCAATCCTCGACAGCAGGAGCCAATCGTGGAAGACAAGCAGTCTCAGTGGCTCCAAAGTTGGAGACAACTCTGCAATGTTTGGATATAATGTCTCCAGCAGTTTGGGAGATGGCAGCACCACAGACAAGGATGTAGTTGAAGTTGTGGATACGTTCAAGGGATTTTGGATCGTGGCTCAATTCCTCGTAGATGGATGGGGGGCCAATTGAGGCGTCGACACCACCGTACTTGTGAATGTCATCGGCATATGCAGCGTGAGGTACAACGTTTGCAGAGCCGTAAACAGTGGTGACACCGAGAAGGAGAGACATGGTGATACCGATGTTCAAACCACTAGTGTGGAACAAAGGCATAAGGTTGTAAGCCCTGCGAGATTGTTGGTAGACTTCAGTGGTGGGAACATAGCCATCGATGGCTGGAATAGTTCTCCAAGCCTCATATGTGCTGAGGATCTCATTCTTCCATGTGATAGGCTTCGGAAGACCGGTGGAACCAGTGGTGTGGAGGACAAGGCATGGGTCGGTGCGTGCCTCAGCAAAGGACTTGCTGTAAGGATAGGCACGGACTTCCTCATCTTCAAGAAACTCTTCAAGTTCAGGCACGGTTGCAGTGCGCATGTTGCGCTGGCTCAAGATGTTCTCAACATGAGTGTTGCGAGCTGTCAAGAAGATGTGACAGTTAGACTTCTCAAGCACATTGAGAGAGCCAGCGACGCTGTTACGGGGAGAAAGATACAGCATCTTGTATCCGGCTTTGATAGCGCCGAACATAAACAGGAAGTAACGAATGTCACCTAGTTATCATGTTAGTCTCATACAAGTATATTACAAAGGGGAAAGAGTAGACTCACTGTGGCCTTGATAGGCGACAGCTGGGAATTCACCAGCTGGTGCTTTTCCGAGGATTGACTCCAAGTACCAAGCCGTGCGGTTGATTGCATTTGCGAAGGACTTGGCAGATACTTCCACAAAGCCATCTTGTGGCATATCGGTCTTTGGGTAAGCAAAGATTGAATGATCGGGAACCGTTCTGGCGAGCTCATCTGGGATAAGATGAACCAAACGGGCGGGTTTTGCGTTGGCTGCGTCGAAGGCGGCTGCGACATCAGATCGGAGAGTTCCTGCTTGAGACATTTTGAAAGTTGGTTTGAGTGATTGAAGAATTAAGAGGTATTAATATGAAGTATTATTAGATATAAAGATAGATGATTGGCTCAAAGAAGCTTTTAGTGAAGGTGTTGGATGTAAAGTTTTGGATGTCTAAGACTCAAGTATTGGAAGACTGTGAAGTGATGTCCTGGCGATGCCTGGATAGAATGTTGAAGATGTTGTTGATGATGAAAAAAATTATTTACATCGACAACATCAACATCTTATATATCACAAATCTCTTTGTCTGTCGACATATTGTTTGGAGAATATGCTTCCCAAACCAGTGTCTCCATACCGCGCAACAGGAACATTGCATTGAGCAATGATGGCATTTGCGGGGAGTGGAAAACCGGAGCAGAGCTAACGGGCTACTTTTGGCCTAGCCTATCTCAATAATACTCAATGTACCATATGTCGAAGGTTCAGGAGTAGCTTCCGCAGGAGATTTGTCATTGCTGTTGGATCTGGAGGGGAGATTGGCGCAATTGGGAATCCTGGAGCTTGCAAAAATCTCCTAATGTCAACTACCAAAAGCTACTCCAGGAGCAGTATTGCTGTATCTGACATTGTTACCTTCTCCTTGGGAGTCAAGTTAGCGTCATGCACCATGGTACCCCAATCGTGCATCCTAGATCTTGCAGGAGTTTCATGATTCATTGCCACAGACGTCGATGGGACTTCTAAGTTGGGACTATCAGATACGTTATGCTCACTAACACTCCGCCATATCTCCCGGAGCTTGGGCCACACATGCAATTGAGGGGTTTTCCCATGTTTTGATTATGTTTGTGGTGTAAGCAATCTCGATGGATTTGTATTCTGATAAGGAGTTCAATGATACTTTGCCTTACTGGGTTAGGCTAAAAGCTCAAATGGTGTGTGCGAATGAAGGTGTTTTGCCAAAATGCAATGTCAGTATTGAAGTAAGGTTTGTGTGAAGATTCCGGATGCTGCACCGAGAATGTAATTCCCATAAGCAGGACATGATTACGCTTCGGTTTTCGGTTATCTACCAAGCTTCACAATAGCTTTAATACAATCAAATCGAGTATATTCCGGTGCTCCTATCGAAATGTAAGGTTTGTTCTGCAGAAACATTCCAGGTTGTGTGCCATCTACCAAAATTTCAGGGTGATCCATATGGGAAATTTCGATTCTAATTTTTGGCTTAAGGCGCCATTACACGGAAAATCTCGCATATGGGTAGTGCTTCTTAGAGGGTATCAGTCTTGAATAGTCTTTAGAAAAATATTGGAAGGACAGGGAAGTCGGAAAATTTGTCGTAGTTAGTAGGATAGAGGATAGACAGAGAAAACCTTGGGGGTGAATGTAAAAAGATTAATGTCAACTCTATACGGGATTTGTAATCACTTCAGTTTAATTCTAATTCTATTTAAATATTCTAAAAACTTACTAGCCGATAACCAAGCGCGCAGAGAAAAGAAACTATATATGAATGTTAATCTTATTGGCTAGTAGAATTTAATACGAGGTCATGGATGGTGATAATAAAGAATTTTTGTAAATATGCAAATACTCGGACTAAACTTCTGAGCATATGTCACAAAATCACAGATAGTTCCCCAAGTAGATTAGACAACTTTTGAAAAAATATAATAATAGACATGTTAGTATTGTGATCTTAATGCGAGAATAAAAGAACCCGTCCACACCATGCTTACATAATATTTTAGAAGACCTGAGGGCTTGTGATCATGCAAGATCAATTGCGTCGTGTGAACATACACCAAATGAAGCTCAGATATTCTCCGGTTGAAGATATTTTTGTTCTCCACGAACCAATTGAGGATATCAGTTACCGAACTGACTCCCTGTCTCCGACCATGCGAAAGCAGGAGAAACCGAGCGGGACGAGAGAAGTTTAAATTTTACAGTTTCACGGGCCGAGCCTTTCTAACAAACCCATATTGAAGATCATCGGGTTTTGTCTCCACATTCTTTAGCGACAAATTCACAACATCCTTCCCACTCCCCCTTTCGGTAGTGGAGTCACGGAACCTGACCCGCATCCTATATCGGTGGCCGCGAGTATACATATTACCATTACCCCGACTGTTATAAATGAAATGCATACCTCTCTTACTTTCTCATCATTCCAAGGTTTTGCCGCTCCTAGTACCAATATATTTGACTTTATTACCCTCAAGATTCACTCCGAGATTCTACACCAGATAACAAAATCAATTGAATAAATCCCAAATTCAGTTCAAAAAGAACAAGGACAGAACAAAGATGCCTTCTTCCACTAAGCTTCCTACCCGTGCCTTAGGACGTAATGGCCCTCAAATTCCTGCCCTTGGTCTTGGTCTCATGGGTTTAAGTAGTAAGTTAATCACCGTGGATCATTAGCAGACATTTACATTGACGATTCAATAACAGCTTTCTACGGAAAACCGGGTTCTGATGAGGAGCGCTTTGAATTTCTTGACCGTGCTCATGAGTTAGGCTGCACCCATTGGGATTCAGCTCAAATGTATGGTGATAATGAAGTACTTTTGGGCAAATGGTTCACAAGAACTGGCAAACGCAGTGATGTAAGATTGCGATATTGAAAACACACAGCTGAAAGATGTATGCTTACTGTTGTCTAGATTTTCTTGACAACCAAATTTGGTAACCATGTCACACCAGAAGGTGGTCGAGAGATCCGCAATGATGCAGAGTACATTCGTCAATCTGTGGCGGAGAGTTTTGAGAAACTCCAAACTGATTACATAGATTTGCTCTACTGGTTAGTTCTCCACCAACTTCCCGAAAAATGGACATCGTTCTGACAAAAATGTACCAGTCATCGATTCACTGGAACCATTCCAGTCGAGACAATTGTTACAGTTATGAAAGAATTTGTTGAGTAAGTTCTCCGTCCTATGTGTTTCTTGACAGAGACTAATTCTGAAAGTGCCGGCAAAGTCCGCTATTTGGGCCTCAGCGAGTGTGGTGTTGACACCCTCGAGCGTGCAGTGAAGATTCACCCCATTCACGCATACCAAATTGAATACAGTCCATTCTCTATGGACGTCGAGAAACCAGAAGTTGGGCTTCTCGACTGTTGCAAGAGACTCGGCATAGCTCTCGTTGCCTACTCACCATTAGGCCGTGGTATTCTCACTGGTCAGTACAGATCAGTTGATGACTTTGACAAGGACGATTTCCGACGAACAATTCCCCGTTTCGCCACACAAGAGAACTTCGACAAGAATCTGAAACTTGTTGATACCATTACCGCAATTGGAAAGACAAAGAATGCATCACCCGGACAGGTCACACTTGCTTGGATGATAAAGCAAGATCCTCTCATTTTCCCCATTCCAGGTACTAAAAAGATTAAGTACTTGGAAGAAAATATTGGAGCTCTTTATATTAATTTGACAGATGAGGAGGATCAGGAAATCAGAAATGCAATTGAGAGTGCGGAAGTAGTTGGTACTAGAGTTGCTGAGCATCTCATGGGTGTTCTTGTGGTTGACACCCCTCCTCTCACCAATTAACGGGTTTTTTGGGAGTTGGACCTCATAATGGAAATTGGGCACCAGTTATTGGTGGAAGCGTTTTTATAGTATCTTATTTTTTCATATCTCGCAGTAGAGAAATTTACCACGGTTCTTTTTACTCTAGTTGAATATTGCTGGTCCTGTCTGTGAAGAAAAACTCCGTAGGAATAAGTTCACTTTGAAGTCCCCAGGAAAGATTCGAAGCTCTGTTACATAAACAAAATCTTATTAGCAAACTAGGCATGTAAAGTGTGCTGATTTTGGAGAAATTCTCTGATCACTGATTTTGAAACTTATAGAGGTGTATTGCGTAGGTTACCGATGATAAGGCTACACTCACTAAGCATCATTTGAAGCTTCCTGGCAAATCTTCTTGTCTTTTTTTTTTTTTTCATCGCTCCACCTACACTTGCTTATCAACAGATGGCATTTCCAGTTTCCACATATTCTGGAAAGGGATTAAAATAAAAAGCATGTTATTTTGGCTGAGCTACGTTAACGTTGTCAAAGCTTAAGAATCCTCAAAACATCCGGCGTGGCTAAATTAGCTGACATAATCATGTTTGTGGTCCAGAACCTTAACTCAACAGTCACACACTTACCCCGAGTCAAAATACACAAGAGCTTCTTCATCTCGGGTAGAATCTTAACTCTAAAGTTAGCTACCTAATTTAACCCTGCAGCAGAGAATTGGCTAAATGCACTCATCTCGCACTCTGTCTCACCAGATGTCCTGCTGGGGTTTGCCTTTGGGCTCCGGGGTGTGTACACAGTACAGGTACTCATTTAGCGTAGCGTAAGCTCTATAACTGGTCTGCATGAAAACTCCGTCATCATATCAATTGGCTTCAACTGGTGTGTAAACAATCAAAACGGAACTTTGCCGAGATGGAGTTCTTGTGTTGCCGGAGCTAACATACGATGTGAGTGTTTGGAAGAATGAGGGACGTGTATGAAGTGTAGAATGCGGGAAGACCTATCACTTTCACGATTCCGGAGTTGAAGAAATGGACATTAACACGAGAATGGATGTATTTGTGAGGAGTTGTTTTACCGGACTCTCGTTTTCGGTATGAAGTTACAAGCCATGGCTGACCGATGCATCCGAATCCTCAATCCGAAAGTTGTTTATCAAGTCGGCTCCCCAACGCAGATTTCATTCATTATTCAGTTCTTTTTCATCAACATCACTCTCTACTCTTCTCTCTTAACCAATATCTCCTTCGCCCTATTCAAAGCCTCCTTAGTTGTCGTTTAGATCATAATGGCCCATCTCACCCCAGAGCATATCTTGCACCTTTACGATACCTTCGGAGAGCTCAGGGTGCTCGACGATATCATCCGTCATCGTTCAAAAGACAATCCTCCTGCTCCTATCTTGGGTTATCCCAGAGTTGAAGATAACCCAAGCGATTATGAAACCTTCACTGGTCAGCAGCTTGATTCATTTGTCGATGCTGCCTGCAAGTACTTCATTAAGAATGGCTTGGAGCCCGTAAGTTAATAGAATATACCTTCGAGAGTCATTCGAACACAACTGACTTATAATCAGGGTGGAAAAAGAGTCATTGGTCTCTATTCTCCGTCCAATGTAGACTTTGCCGTCACCTTCTTCGCCCTTAGCCGTCTGGGCTACACTGTCCTTTGCCTTTCCCTTCGCATAGCACCCATAGCTATCATCAACCTCCTCAAACAAACAAAATGCGAGGTCATAATCCGTGGTGATACCCCTCAAATCGCTGCCACTTGTGATGCCGTCGCACAAGAGGCTACTTTAAGATCTATCGTTATTCCCATGCGTGCTCAGTATGGAATACCACGCCCAGCAAACGAGCAGCCATTTACAAGAGCATTTGATCGTGAAGTTGAGACCAATGAGATCGCTATTGTCATGCACAGTTCCGGATCCACTGGTCTACCTAAACCAGTCTTTCTTACACACAAGAATGTCTTGACTCATCCAGTGCAAGGTGCTGGAATGCACAACTTTGGCGCACTTCCATTATATCACATGTACGGTCTCTCAACAACACTACAAGCTATGTACATGGCAAAGAAGGCAAACTTGCCTAGTGCTACTCTGCCAATGACAGCAGATAACCTTATGCTTGCCATTGAAGCGACACAACCTGAGGTTTTCCACGCTGTGCCATATGCTTTGGGACTCTTAACCGAGCACCCAAGAGGTATGCCATATCTTAAGCAAGCCAAAATTGTCACTGCTGCTGGTGCTCGTACTCCAGATGAGCTTGGCAATCTATTAGCCTCAGAGAAGGTCAATATTGGTGTCGTGTTTGGAACGTGAGCTTTCCTCTTCCCTTCAACTTTAAGTCATGTAAACTAATCCAAGGTAGTACTGAAGCAGGTCTTCTCGGTGATACTATGCGCCGTGCCGAGGGTGATGATTCATGGAATTATGTGCGAATCTACTCGAACATTAGAAGTTCTATCTACATGGACCCCATAGGAGACAACCAATTTGAGTGTGTCTACCTTAAAAGTCATCCAGGGTTGTCTGTCTCAAACTCAGATGACCCCGCACCTGGTTCATGGCGCTCAAAGGACGTTTTCGAGCCCCACCCAACCATTCCCGATACTTGGAAATATGTGACTCGTCTTGATGATCGTGTCACCTTGAGCAATGGAGAGAAAGTTCTTCCACTTCCAATTGAAGGTCGTCTTCGTCAAGAAGAAATCATTCGTGAAGCTGCCGTCTTTGGTGTAGACAGAGCTATTCCAGGTGTCTTGATCTTCAGAGCTTCCGATGAGTTACCAGATGACGAATATCTCGAGGCCATCTGGCCAGCTATTGTTGACGCCAACTCGCGTGCTGAGGGCTTCTCTCAGATTACGAAGGAGATGGTTGGTCTCGTACCATCAGATGTCGAATACCCTAGAACGGATAAGGGAAGCATTATTCGCGCACAAATCTATAGGAAATTCGCAGACAAGATTGATGAATTATATGACAGTCTTGATGGTGACGCCGAGGGAACTCTAAAACTTGATCTCGCTGGCATTGAAACTTTCTTGACCGAGACTTACGAAGACATAACTGGTCACTCTCTTGAATCCGTCGATACTGATTTCTTCAATGCCGATATTGACAGTCTGAGGGCCATCCAAATGAGACGCATCATCCAAAAGACTCTCGACCTTAATGGCCAACAATTGAGCAGCAACGTTGTTTACGAACATGGAACTGTCAGGGCTCTGGCACAATACTTATTCTCTCTCAGCTCCGGTGAAAGCGAGCAAAATAAAGACAACGTTCCACTGATGGAATCATTGATTCAGAAGTACTCGACATTCGGAGAAGTTGTGGTATGTCAATTTTTTTTACCTTTTTGATTTCAAAATACTTACATAAAAATAGATCCTGACTGGTGCTACTGGTTCCTTGGGGGCTCACGCTTTATACCAGATGGTCAACAGCCCCAACTTCAGAAAGGTATACTGTCTTGTTAGAGGAGAAAATCCTATGGACAGAGTGATGAAGTCTATTAAAGATCGAGGATTGTCTCTCACTCCAGCCGCAAAGTCCAAGGTTGTCGCATTCACTGCTGACCTTGCCCTCACTGATCTTGGTCTCGGGAAAGCGATGATTGAGCAATTCAAGACTGAGGTCTCTCTCATTATTCACTTAGCTTGGTCTGTCAACTTCATCATTGGTCTACAAAGTTTTGAACCTCATCTTGCTGGGTTAAAGAACCTCTTGGATCTGTCCCTTGCCGTCTACCGTTCAGAGCCAGCTCGTCTATTCTACGCTTCCTCTATATCTACCGCTGAAAACACACCAGCACCGGCTCTTATCCCGGATGCGCCAATTGAAGACTTCCACAACGCATTGAATATGGGTTATGCTCAATCTAAATTGGTTGGCGAATACATGGTATTGAATGCTGCTCGCGGAGGAGCACGAGCCTACGCTCTCCGTATCGGACAGATTGTTGGAGATAGAGATAATGGCTTTTGGAATGAAGCTGAATTTGTGCCCTCCATGATCAGATCCGCACTCTCCATGAAAGCTCTCCCAATATTCCACGAGAACTGCTCTTGGATCCCAGTCGACACCCTCGCCACTGCTATCCTCGAGATTGACGAGAAACTTAAGGCTCTTCCCCGACCATGCGCTATTGACAGCACTAACCCTCCTATTGTTTACAACATGGTTAACCCTGCCACTTTCACCTGGGAAGCACTTCTCGGCGAACTTTCCACTGCCGGTCTCGATTTCGAGGCTATTCCTTTCGGAAATTGGTTACAAAAGCTTAGAGAGTCAGCTGCTAATGGCCAAGAAGAACAAAATCCAGCTGTCAAACTCTTGGATCATTTCGAACAGCGATACCTTCAAAGTAACAACGGCCATGGCTACAGTGGTGCAGAAGATAGTGCAAGCTCAAGCGGCACTAGCAGTCCTCGAAGCAGTGCCTCGGGTACTTCAACACCAACCAGCAAGGGAACAAGTGTCAGCGATTATGAAATCGTCGGAGTCACATTTGACACTAAGGCTATATTGAGGGATAGTAAGGTTTTGCAAAGCCCACCTGATATTATTCAGGATGGCTATGTAAAGCAATTTTTGAGCCAATGGTTGAAGAAGTGGGTTAAATGATTGAAACCTTGAGGATGATGGGATATGATTTGATGAGTTTGAGGCACAGTAGAGTCTCTACGCGACCACGGCTTGGTTTTTTCTTTTTGCACCGGGAGGCGCAAATTTGTTCCATATAACGAAACTTTTCTTTTCATTATGGAGTTTTGGGAAGCTTTTGCATCTATTTTTGTAATCAAGTCTTTTTTAACTCACTAGTTTCATGATAAAATGATATAAGTGATTACATTCCAAAAGACCTATATAAGAAATGAACACCGGCTGAAATTAGTGACTGTGACCTTGAGTTCATTATGGTAGTGACCATTTCCCGCTTCCTATGAGTTTAGCGAGTAGTCTTCGGCTCTTTCGAATAGTTGCAACTACTTGGTTGTAATCAAAAAGAGGGAAACGAGGTGTAGATGATGGTGTTTTGAGAATAAGCAATCCCTTTTTGATATTGGGAAACGAACTGGCGAAATTGCCTGGAATATCAAAACTACTTAGTACATTCAATCTGCCTTTACATTAATCCTATCCTAGATATTAAGGCTCTGAAGGTTACCAAGCATGTGCCGAAAACATTCCGACACAAAAGATCATTAGAAACTCGATGATCTTTGAGATGCATTTGAGTTGCTGAGCACCCAGAACTGAATCCACAATTCCACTCCGCCACTATTTCGAACTCCTACAATCTACAATCAAGAACAACAGCACCATCACAACCGAATGAGTAAGTAAAATTGCAATCAAATTTCCACAGCAACCATAAAATCCACAACGTGTGAACCTATCAACACTAAACCCCTCCCCAAAAACAATAAAACCCAACTTCTACTTCCCCGCTCTCAACCACGCAACCCCCATCTCATGATCTAATCTCCATCTCGGGGCCAGCCGCTGCAGCATTAAATTAGACTTTTTACAACGCATATGCAAATGCAAGAAAACATTATAAATAAGAAATCCATACTCAAAGAACTGGGACCCAACCGACTTTCCCTCTCATTTTCTTTTTCATTTCGGCAAAGTCGGGTCTCGTCGCACAAGTATCCGTCCGCATAAGGTGTAAATACATTCGGCTCGGGTGGGACAGGAAGTCAAAATACAAGGTGCCAAGAATCGGGTTGGGGATTGGCGGGGATGGGCGTTGTACGCGGGGTTTGGGGGAGGGGTATCGTGTACTCGGGTTATTTTTGTTGCTTGGGTTTGTTTGAGGTTGGTGTTTGTGCTGAAGAGAGGTGAGTTCCGAGATCGCTGTAGGGGTGATGTTGTGGGATTTTGTGGATGTAAGGATGGGAAATTTTAGGGAAGGGCTTTCTATGAGATTCCGGTAAGTTTCTTTTATTAGTAGTAGCTATAGGATGAGGGGTGAGATGCTATGTACCCCGCGTTTTCAGCCACTTTGTGTATCCCCGTCATTCACCAGCCACACTACTGCTTTGATGTCAGTCTTTCGAATAGTCTTTGGAATAGTCTTGAATTTACCTATCTAATCTTACCACCAGAAGTCGATATCAGTGTTCATTTAATGGTATGGTGTTGACAAGCCGACAAGCAGTTTTGTAGAACTAAGTTTGGGTGTATAATATAATTCTCGGCGAATTACTCTCGTACTCTTCTAACTGAATATATTTTAGCTTTGTGCCCTTTACTAGCTTTTATACATCAAATTCTTTCTTTTTTAATAATTAGAAATTTATATTAGGGGCTAGAGTGTATTCTTATATTAAATGAATAAAATCTATAATGAAAAGATTAAAATCTAGAGTGAAAGAGTATAATCTATAAATAATAAAATAAAGAAATCTATAATAAAAGAAAATCTATATACTTTGAGATAAGAGTTCTGGAATCTACTCACCGCACACTAAGCGAAATCACACCAAAATCAACGATTTTTTCAACTTTTTAAACCCTTGTTATCTTTATAAAATAATAAAATAAATAAATGAAAATTGATAAATATATAGATAATTCATTCAAATATAATAAAAATTTAACAAAATATTTTTTATTATTTTTGTTTTAAAGTTATATATATTTAAGATTGAAAAAACAAAAAAGTTTAAAAAAATCGCTTATTTTATATAGGGAAAAGTTCAAAAAAGCGTTACACAAATGAAAATTTAATATTTTTTAAATTTAAATAGATATAACTTTCAAACAAAAATAATTAAAAATAAATTATAAATCTTTTCAATATCCTTTTGTAGTTAATTATAATATTTGAAAATTTCATTTGATTCAATTCAATATTGAAAAAGTTATTTGATATTTTATTTTATATAGGAAAATATGAGTTTTGCAGGGATTTTGTCACGAATTTAAATGGTGTGCGGTGAGTAGATTCCAGAATTCTTACATTCGATAATAAAGAATTTATTCATTATAGATAAGATTTCAATAAGGGGTATGAAAGTAAAATATATTAAATTCGAAAGATATAAGAGGTATAAAATTCACTTCGTGGTGTAGGAGAGTAATTTGCCGTATAGTTTTACAACTTGCATTTAAGATTCGTTGTCAATACTATCATTTTGAAATCGGACTCCAAAGATCAATATCGAAGGACAGTCTCAAAGTAAAAGAAGATTTTTATTTTTATCATTAGGTTCTCTACTTCCAGACACTTGCTATTTCGGCCTATTTCATGGTATGTAGACAGTTGGACACATATCCAATTTTTTCAAAGATGTATATATACACTGTTTCCTCTCTTAAAAAATTTTAATACCAAAGCGCCTTATTCCAAAACAAGCTTCTATCATTGGCCAAGATATCATCCTGAATATACATCGTATCATTAAAGACCAACTCCCTACCGACCGAAGACGAGTTTCCTCCATGCATTGGCCAATATAATTTATCCTCTGGCCACATGGTATTTGGATTTCCGGTCAAGATGAATGAAACCAAGTATTTCTGCATCTTAAGCGCAACACTGAAATCAATATCTGTAGTCGTGACAATACCTGCACCCGCAGCAGTAGTTGTATTGGTGGTACTTGTGGCATTGGTTTTAACGAGGGTAAAGTTGCTGTACCAGTAATAATTTTGATCCATGCCGTGAGAGGCTACACCAAGGGCTACCATGGCATTCCAGGTCTGGTTTTTAAGAGCTTCAGTCAAGGCGTAGTCGTGGGCAACTAAGTCAAGGTCTTGTTCTATATCTGCAAACCGAAGTCCTTCGCTCTGATAGTCCGTTGAAGGATATAGGTCCTCAATCTCATTGATGATATCATCTGTAATTGAAGGAAAATAAAGTTGGAGCTGAGGACCAATATCCGAGCTGCTGTTCACGCCAGCAGGTAATTTTTGGTTGCTTTCGTGAAGTTCATGTGTTATGACAAGTGGACCCGTGAAATTGAAGCGATTTTGATAAAGCTGAGATTCATCTGTTGGTTTGGGTTAGTGATGACTGAGACGATGTGGAAATAATGACATACATGTGCCGGCAATGAAGTCACCATCGACGCGAGGTTGAAATTGGTATGTATATTTAGAGACCATGTTATTAGCCGCGGTAGAAAGGTTGGCAAAATTCACAGAGCGCATGCATGTCAAGCTGCCACCTGTACATCCAACAGCCGTTGATACATTCTGCCAGAATGCCTCGGAGTGCTGATTTCCCGCTCCAGGTATATATCCAGGGGACATAAGGTATGCACGAGCGAAAGTCTGCTCAGCACGACCTGCGAATTTCTAAAAACAAATTGTCAGTGAATGATTCACATACCGGCTTGGATGGAATTAGTTTGGTACCGTAATCTGGAAAAGATCTTGTGAAGCACCGGCAGAAAATCCAACGGCCACTATTTCTTCTGGATTACCACCCCAATGGCTGATATACCTTTTGACCCAATCAAAGGCATGAGCAGAATCCCAAACTAATGCATTTGAGGTTCCACCTTGGTGATTAAGAGTTGGACCAGTAGCAAGACCTGTCATTCCCAGTCTATAGTTATAAGCAACAAAAATGAAGTCCTTGCTCAAAGCGAAGAGAGCTTCAGGAGTTACTGCAGTCTTACTTCCAAAGATAAATCTACCACCATGAGACCATACCACAACAGGGAGACTTTTATTCGCACTATTAGCAGGTGCCCAGACATCGAGGTAAAGACAATCCTCATAGGTTGCGCAGTCGACATTTTCTGGAGCCAAAGTACCATTGTTCACAATTGTCTCGACAGGAGGCCATTGTGGTTTTGCGAAACGAAGATCTCCAATCGGCACAGCAGCGTAGCGAATATTTTGATACTTGTAATATCCGATCGATTCACTGCCAGCGGTGGCAACAATGGTCGAATAGTCCAAAGTAACAGACGGCATAGAGGTGGCTGTAGTAGTTGCTGCACCCACGACTACAGCAGCTGAAGCTGCCATCGGCAACAAAAAACCCGTAGACAAACGCATGGTTGGAAACGGTCGACTGATATTAATGAAACAAGATCGGAAAGTAAACCATGGAAAACGAAACGAAACAGAAAATGGAGCTCAATAAAGAGATGAAGAGATGAATATCTATAAAAGCATACAATCTTCAACGGAAAATACCATATCCGATGAATCCCCAATATGTGGACGGTTCTCCATAAGTGGACGACCCCTTAACTGGGAGTGCCGTCTAGTGGCCGCTAGATTTTCATTGCGGGGTAGAGTAACGAAACTTGGGTTGGCATCTTGAACTAGTAATAGTGATATCGCGCTTCGGCCCACCACGGGCATTGCCATGGTGGCTTCGCACAAGGCCCTATAAGGTCTGTGTTGATTTTGACATGAGCTTGTCGGCGGTGTATGAAGCTTTTGGTGTACAAGCCGAAATTGGCCCTGGAGCTAGCTCTAAATCTAACTGAGTGCAAGTTTTGGACTTCGTAAGGCCTAACTAGTCGCTAATTTGCACCCGCAAATATGGCCTTTTAGTATATGCACACTGAAAGATCCTCATTTCGTGATTTGCATCGACATCCACCCGTCCACATTAGCTTATCATTGCCAACACGCACTTGACGCGTCCTTCACGAAGCCAAGCCATCATCATGAGCTGTTTGTAATCCATCTTACTTGGAAAAGGAAGCCGCGCCTCCTCCATCGATAGCCTCAGTTTATCCGAACGAAGGAGGTCTTGGATCACAAGCGTAGAAGGGAAACAAGGCTCACTGACCAACGTTGCCAGCCAGAAGAGAGAAAATCCTCATTGTAAGTGTCTGGCACGAGAAGATACTCAAAAATGGTGTAAATCTTCTAATCACTCGTGGCGCCAATCAAAGCCGAAATTAATCCATCGATTTCAGCTCGTGCACCTTTTTGGCCTTACTATTTCTCTTCTTCGTTCTACCATTGAAGAATCATGTCAACGCGTCTCCACGAGTGCGATAGCATCGACAACAATATATCGTGCAAAAATCGGTCTCACACGACCTTGAATCAGATCACATGATACCTCAGCCATTCTCTAATTACTCCAATGTTGTTTCGGACACCGGAGTAAGAACACTCATCTTCGATGACGTCCATTTCGCGTATGGTCAGTTGTGATTTAACTCCATACGAAACTTAAGCAATCCGCCTTTGATTACTCCTTTTGTGATTATTACCATCTCCAGGTAAGCCCCAGAATTACTCCGTTACCTCCTTTAGGAAGATTTCCACTTCAGGTCAGTATTTTACTTTCAACAAGACTTTGACTTTAGATGAACACAATAGATGGCACCACTGTCGATAGATACACACTCAACTTTCTATGGATTGTTATCTGTACCTTTCTCTGAGGGTCTTTCAATGGATGTAAAGTCTTCGACCCAGGTCATGCCGGCTGCAAAACCGGAACGAGACAATATACTTCGACATCATCCATTAATCTCCCCATCCTCAGTAGTATCTGGCATGGCTACCGATAATAAGCTCACAATGATTATGGAGCCATTGAGATTCTGCGTCGTAGCTTGAAGGAATCGCCACTATCATCATGATATAAACTTCCAGTGCCAAGTCAAATGCGCGGTCCTGATTGATGACGGCGGGTAGTGGAATGGTCTGATAGAAGCTAAGAATACATCATCAACGTTGGCTTTCAAATATTTGCAACACCAGCGAATGAGGATAAATTTATGGATCCACCAAGTCTTCAAAGATACTGAACAGAACCCTTAAGACAGAAGGTCTCATCAGCCTGGCAGGGCTGTAATAAGGTCCAAATAGGTCTTTAATATCTCCATGCTAGCGTCCATGATATCAGCGTTGTTCTTTACCCTTTCTTCAATCTTACATATGGCCCTCCATGCATGCATCTTGAAAAATTCCCCCATGAGAATGGCCTCTCCTCAAAGGCCAAGACTTGAGGGTCCTCAAGGAAGGAAACGGGACACTATGGACAAGCTTTTTTTGTTGAAGTGTAGGTACTATCCTTGTATATTACAGGATTCATCGGGCAATAGCCCCCTATCTTCACCGGCAAGGCCGAACAGCGTGTTTGCCACTTCCGAGCCACCTCAAGACATCTAGTACCGACGAAAATATTCATGCCATATCTCGATTCGTCTACCGACTTCTATTTTGTCTTGTCAGATTCTATTTATCTGTCGGCTCTACTCTTGTAACATTTACAATCTTATTTATCAAGAAAGATATCGGGTGTGTTCTAATAGGATATTATCGAAGTCAATCTTCAAGAATGGATGTCTATTTGGGCAGAAGCTGCCAGGGAGCAGGGCAACTCTGTCGCAACAAATCACAAATGGTTTTCATGAAGGAATGGAAGACGAAAAGTGGGAGTTATAGCTAGTTATGATAGACCTCTATTCCGAAGCTTTCAAATGAATAGTTTTCCAATTTCGATGACGACTCTCAACCGGTTCCTTGGGAGTTTATAAAATCATGAAAGCAACTTGCTATCCACTCATCAGACTTGCAAATCCAGTAGGGTAGACCCGCGGCTTTTGTGTACGTCGTCTTTGCGCTGTTAAAGGAGAGGTGATACTGTCATTAATCTATATAGTAAGATTAGGAAGTTTTCCCATATTATTGTATTCTCCAACTACAAGATCAGATATAATCTTAGGTGGGCTTCAGACCAAGATTTTGACCTGGAACATTATTGAAGAAATAAGATCTTACATGATTTCTGTTACGAGGGTTGCCGTCTAGATCACGTGGAAGTGCTCTAGGCTCTCGAGGTGGTTTATAACTAGACGTCAAGCAGGGACTTAAGTAACAATAATGAATGGTTGCAATTCGTAACTAATAGTAGATTATACTAAATGATTGATCTTGAGCACGAAGCTCTACAATAAGGAAATCCATCTTCATTATATAGACCTTCATGCTATATATCCCAGGGCTCCCAGTTGTCCCAGCCCATCTGCGACCACTGAACCCATTGGGATATTCACGTGACCTTTTCTTCATTAGTCATATGACGTTGTAACGTGATCATGTTACATCCGATGTAACAATTTCATACCAGTTATCCCTTTATGAGACAATTAGATGCCAGTTACCTGGTAATCTCATTCATCTACCATGCATTATCGATGTTTCATTACAGGGTTTGACATTCAAATTTTCATAGTTCTATGACTGTGGATGAATACAGGACAAGGTACCAGAGAATATTCCTGGACTGTAGGACCGGTAGACGCATCATCGATCGTCTACGGGATTAATAATAGTACAAACTCGAGAGTCGAGCTTCAATCAGTATTGTGAATATGAAACTACACAATATCTTGTTAAAGCATGGCCTCAGTCATTCATTAGTCCTTATATTTGAGTCGTTAAATCCATTGTCGTTATCCTAATTAACATAGTCCAAATTATATAATTACATCTAGACTTGAATACACAATATCAAATCAACTAGGATGAGTCTAATGACTGAAGATTGCAGGAGGAAGCGATTGCAAGAGGAAGTAAGATCTTATATAGCGTAGTTTTTCTCCGTTTCGGTGTTGGGTCTGGTTATATATGTATGCTGCATCTTCTTTGATTTATGAGGCTTCGAAGATGTTAATTAATATTTATATAGTGTCTGGTCTGCTTGTCAGCAAAAGCTCTTCCTTACTTATTTAGTAGATAAATAATAATTTTGAGTAATTGTTTAATTATCGAATGAAAGAGTAGGGCTGGATATGAGTAGTGTCTAGATTCAGTTCGAAGGTTTTAAATGGTTTCGCGGTGTGTTCTTTTCTTTTCTGGAATTTGATGTGATGTGTAGAGTTTCTTAATTTTTTAATCCTATTCGTGTGTTTTAGTGTAATGATAAGTTGAAGAGAATGCATATATATATATCCAAGTATCTAAGGTTACAATTTCCCCTCATATATATCATCTATATCTAATATATCTTCCGACTTCAACTCTTTATATCCTCCTCTCATTGCATTGTATTGCCCCAATTTAAGTCTAGTATACTTACAATATACTCTCCATTTTGATTCCAGTACCATAGACGAAACATCGAATCAAACTTTGTGAAAGTTCTCTTTTCGAAGTTCATATATATAAGATGTTAAATATTCGAAAACATCTCAACTGATCCATCCCCCTCGTTGAATAAATCTTCCCATTATTCAAAAAACCCAAACCCAAACCTTCCAACATCCAAGGTCCAAAGTTCAAGTTCTGAGGTTCAAACCTCAGCACCTAACTCCTATCCAATCTCTCATGTAAAACATTTTGCTTCATCATACTCCCCACCCCCGCCATCAACACCGCAAAACCCAAAGCCGTCAAGAAAACCCCTCTAAAAGAATCCATATAACTCTCCATGACACCCTCTTTCCAACCTTCAGGAAGGTTATTCAGCTCATCAAAAGAATCTCTAATCTTCTTAATGATTTCCTCAGCATTAGGTTGATCTCCGAATTTCTCCCACAGTTGTGTTTTAAGTATATTCTGGTATACTGCACTTGCGACTGTGATACCTATTGTGGAACCCGTGGAACGGAATGCATAGGATGCTGATGTGATGACGGAGTGATGATCATGAGATACTGCTGAGATGATGGCCAAAAGAGTGGTAGTGAGGATTGCACCGTAACCGATTCCTGTTAAGGAGAGATAGATATAGATTGGCCAATCTGGAGTATTTGGGTTTAAAGTTACCAATAAACCAGTACCGATAACTATCATGGTAAGTGTAATAAGACTAGTGGCTTTATATTTGCCAGTCCTATTCATGATGATACCAGAACCTAAAGAACCTATAGAGGCACCGATAGATTGGGGGATAAGTCGCATACCAGAGGCAGTGGTTGATACACCACGGACTTGATAGTATAGTGGTACGTAGAAGATAATCATGAAGATAACCATTGTGACGAACCAATTTGTAAGACAGGCGGCGAGAACGGTACGGTTGACGAGGAGTCGTACGGGGATGACGGGTTCGGATGCGATGTATAGTTCGATATAGATGAAACCAAGTAGGGAAAGCAGAGAAAGAGATAGCGAAACATAGACGAGGGGGTGATTCCATGGAACTATATTTCCACCGGAATTAAGTCCTAGGAGAAGAAGAACGAGTGTAAGAACCAGGGTAAATGAGCCTAAGAAATCGACTCTTGATAATTTCGACTTTTCGCTTTTCTTAGGAGGGATGTTGACGGAACAAGCAACCACGACTCCAGAAACCATAATAAAAGGTACTTGAACCAGAAAAGCCATTCTCCATCCCCAATTATCATTTATCCAACCTCCAAAAATACCTCCCAATCCCGCTCCCGTCCCATAACAAATATTTCCAATTCCTTGCACGACTCCTCTCTTTCTAAGCGGAACCAAGTCACTTCCCACAAAAGTGCTTATTGCCATTAAACCTCCACCCCCACATCCTGCGACCACTCGCCCAAATATCATCACCCATTGACTATCTGCCAATCCGCATATTAGGTTTCCTGCAGCGAAAAGTATATTGCTAACGATCAGGCCAGTTCTTCGACTGAAGATATCGGTAAGACGACCAGAAAGCGGTTGACATGCAGCGTTTGCTATTAGATATGCGGAAGCGAGCCAGGAGAGAAGAGAAAGGGAGTTGAAAGATGTAGAGATACTGGCAGAGAGGGTTGCGATAATAGTTGAATCGAGAGCACCGAGAAAAACACCTACCCAGACTGCTCCTAGGGTAATTACTAGACGTTTGGTACTGGGTTCATCTGGAATAATTGTTGCTTCTGCAGATGCAGAAGGATCTCCTAAGATAGATGGTGATTGGGTGGTGGAATCGGAGAGGAGGGGTGTTTCTTCATCTGAGTGGTTGGATGAAGCCATTTTGGACGGGAGTAAATGTTGTGTAATGTCTTGTTTATGTGGCTATAGATTTATCATGATAGAAGATAGATATAGAGACACAAAGATAAAGATGTTCTAAATTATAAATCAAACACACAGTTACTCACCGATATCTCACCAATTTGATCTGATGTTTGGCGATTGACTGGAATTTTTTCGAAATCATATTGTAATAGAACTCCACGTCGACGACGATGACCATTTGAAGATAATGATGCATTGGTGGGTTGGTGGGTTGGTGGGTTGGTGGATAAGTAAAGCTAGAGATAGGCGGTGAGGGCGCGAAAATGATGATATTATAGTTTACAAGTGTACCGAAATACCGTGCGGGGAACTTTGGTCATCTACAACAATGAATCGCAAGTACCGGGAACTACTTTCATTTATACCAGGTACCAACAATTGTAGCTGTCTTATCCCGAGACTTTATGAATAAAATGTCTGAATGAGAGTGGGCGGTCCGGGAGGTTAAAACGATATGCGTTTTATATAAATTGAAAATAGCAGGTACGTTATATACGACGTACGGAGTTATCTACATCATATCATCCATCATCCATCATCCATCATCCATCATACCAGGGACCAGTCCGTCCCTACGCAGCCTCCTCCGCTTCAAAGTCTCAGCCTTCTCATTAACTTTTGAACTACTGGTTGCCCAGCTACGAGGAAAAAGACGCCTTCCTTAATGGCCTGACCCAATTATTACTTAAAATAAACAAATCCAGTCAGTTTCTGCTCCACTTGATTCGCCAGAAACAAACATATTGACCAAGGAGCAACCAAGTTAATAAAAACCAAGATTTCATAAAACAGCTGAGCTTTTTTACGGATTAGATACGATACGCGTACGAGTTGATGAGCCTCTTTTCTTTTCTCTTGACGATTTTGGCATTTATTTTGATTTCTGCCTTGTTGTTTTTCTACTTCATTTGCTTTTTATGATTCTACCTTCTTCTTTCCATTTCAAGAACCTCTTTTTCTATTCTCTCGAACCTGTGAATATTGCACCTACATACCTACACACCGAGCAAACGTCACATACTTAGGTTCTTCTGCGTTTGTTTTATCTTCAGCCCCTCGAATATACGAGGCACCCTACCAACACAAGATTCCGAAGCAACCGTGAGAATACATAGCAACTTCACCCTCTATCGCGCTCACATTCATCCATCAACATATCGTCAAGATGGAGTTCTCAATACATAATTTACAAAAGTACAAGCTAGCTGTACATATTATACAGCTCTCCATGGCGGTCGTCATATGGATCTTAGATATTGTCGTGATGCGATCAAATGCAAATGTCGATGGAAGACTCGGATGGAATTTCGGTTATGTATGGTTTTATCCTTTCGCAGAGGAGATTTGTTTAGTTACTGATGAGTTTGAATAGACTTTCTTGGTTTTACCGGCAGTTATATATCTTACCATGACGGTACGATTTCCAAGGACGAGGAAATTCGCAAATCCATATGCGCTGTTGATTATTGATCTCGTTTGGTGTATCATGGCTTTATCGGCATTTGCAGCCGTCGCAAATTGGAATGGAACTGGAAGATGTAGAGATGGTTGTAAAGTGAGCAAGGCGGTTGTTGGATTGGGAGTATTTTTATGGTATGATTTTACCCTCTTCATCAAAACCCTCAGTAGTCCATCTCTAACCCAAAATGATAGGCTCTTTTGGATCGTTTCAACAGCCATGTCAGTTTATGGCCTTATGTACTACAGAAGAGAAGGTTATCTACCAGGCGCATCTCGAGCCCCCAATAACGCAGCCATGATTGATCCCGACAAAGAAGCCTTCTCCACCGCTCCCCACGATGACGAATATGCACCCGTTCATAGCGCAGAAGAACATGAAGAACACGAATTACGCGATGATGGATATCCAGGAGGGAATTTCGTAGGGAGTGTTCACACACCAGATTACGAACCTTCGAGTTATGGAGGTTCATATGCACCTACATCCATGGCTCATCATGATGATTTGGAAGCTTCAACGGCGTATACGGGATATAGTGCGAGTGGGTATGGAGGATCACAAAACTCTAGGACAGGGCGAGCTCAATTTCCTACGGGGAATTATGATAATATCCCCGTGATTGGTGAACCGTGAGGAAATTCATTATTCAATAAATGAGTAATGCATGAACGGATGGATGGATGGATGAATGACACAGAATAGATGATTTTGCGTTGGCGTTTCTGGTCCTAATCTTGTGGTTTTCATAGCTACGAATGGATACCTACAAAATTATGTGTATGTGTATGTATTTGCTGGATTGGTGTATGGATGGAGGATGGATGGATTGGTTGAGGAAGGGACACATACAGTTACATATGAATGCATGCATTTTATTGCATGTATTGCATGTATCATATGTATTTGATTATATGAGAACAGCATGCATGTGATGAAAAGGAAACATGACTTGCATATGTACATTCGGGGGATTTAGGGAGAAATTTGTGGCGGGCTTTACTTGGCATGAATATAGGTAAGCACGAGGATAGGATAGGATAGGATGATACGAAGAGGGTGAGAATAAGAATGAGGGTGAGAAGGATAAACATGAAATTTGGATCACGGAGGGAGGATATCTTCACGGTCGGGGTTTTATATAGAAATTACTTTCTACTTGGTTCTCTCTTTACCCTTGTATGGTATAAATAGGGAAATAAGAGAATTGATTGAAATGAAATTTAAATATATATTAGATTGAAATGTATAAAGTGTGTATTTGTGATTCTTTCTTATGAATGATATGATATGAGATGATAAGTCTTGAATATAATGTTTAATATTTAATATTTCTCATCTCATCTGATCTGATCTGAGGTTTATTAATGCCCGATCGTTGATTATGATTGTATGATTGATTGATTGATTGATGGATTGGGATTTTATTGGTGCCTAATAAGTTGTGGTGGTGTGGTTGTGTGGGAGGATGTGAGGATGTGTGATGGGTGATGGGTGAGGATGGATGGATGGATGAATGGGGATGGATGGATGAATGGGGATGGATGGATGAATGGATGATACTGGCTGGTGGGATAGGGTAGGAGAAGGTAAGAGAAGGTAAGGTAAGGTAAAATAGGATTTGATTGAGATGTGTATTAACTATTAAGATTATGTAAGAGGAAGATATATAGTGTAGTTGTAGGTAGGTAGGTAGGTAGGTAGGTAGGTAGGTAGGTATCCATTAGTATGTTCTGCGTTTGTGAATTACTAAGCACTAGAAAGAGGAATATCCATTTATTTGTTTCGATAAGATTGATTTTGTTTATAAGTCTTATATAATTATTATTTAATTTTTGATTGTATAAATTGATTCATAAATGAATGAATGATTTTGAATAATAAAAAAAGATACAATAGATAATTAAAAGATTATTATTTATATTAATAAATATTTATCTATCAAATTAAAAGTAGTAGAATTGAATTAATCCTAGAGACCTATGAATAAAAGAAAGAGAAAAGCCCACCAGCCCCATAATAATTAGCGTCATACTGAACGAACCATTAAATCAAATGGCGGGGTTACACGAGGCCTTATATGGAAAGAGAGGGGTTACAGTGACACAGTTACACGGAAAACTTGTTGTGCATGCATGCATGTACGGACGATGTTGTGGAGGAAAGAGGGGAGAAAATGAAAATGGCACCCCACTGATTCAACATGTGTATGTATGTAGTACCTACCTACCTACTTATACACGGAGATTGTAAGTTCTTCATAAGCTGGCTTTCTCTTCTTCCTTCCTTCTTTCTTTCGAGAGAATCCTTTCACATACCTGCTTTAAGGTCACACAAATATCCGCATACCTTACCTTCTCCTCCTTCTCCTCCTACAGGATTTTTTAAATCGAATTCTTCTTTTGCGTTGGCTAGAATACTAGAATCCTATCCTAGAGTCTCGAGTTCTCAAGATCTCAAGGTCTCGACATTCGAAAAGAAAAGATAAGAAAGATACGAAAGAAAGAAAGAATTACACCCTTTGTTCCGTGGCTTTTCGTCTGTCTTGTGAGAGTGAGGAAGAGATAAATAGGATTTACGAATCTACGAATCTACGAATATACGATATACGAATTGCGAATCTACGACTTCTGTTCAGTATTTTTGTTGTTGACAATTGCAAATATGGCTCCCGTTGGTCCTCCCTTTCTTTTGTTAACTGCTTGCTTTACTTTTATACTTTTGTACTTTTATTCTTCTTGTTTGTGTGGATTGATCTGATCGTAAATGGATGAATGATTGATTTGAAGCTTTGATCCTTTACTTCATTTGTATCGATCAATCAATCATCATCAATCATGATCTTCTTCTCCAACTCCTTCCGTATACAAACTAACCTCCTCTTCAAATCCTTTGTACAATCCCAACTAATCTCCTCCCACTAGATTACCACCCTCCTCTTCGATTGCGACAACACTCTCGTACTCTCCGAATCCCTCGCATTCGAAGCTTGCGCCGATCTCGCCAATGAAATCCTCTCCGCTCGCGGTATCAAAGACCGCTACACAGGTCCACAACTTCTACACGAATTCGTCGGACAGAATTTCCGCGGTATGATTGGAAGTCTCAAGAAAAAGTACAATTACGAAATGGATGATGCAGAACTAGAAAGCTACGTGAGTAAAGAAGAAGACAAAGTGATTGGAAAACTCAAGGCTGCTCTTAAACCCTGCGAGGGTGTCGATGAAGAATTGATCCGTCTTGAGAAAGAGGGAACGTATAAAATGGCTGTTGTGTCTTCTAGTGCTTTACGTAGAGTTAAAGCTTCGGTGGAGAAAGTTGATCAGGCGAAATATTTTGGAGGGGAGATTTATAGCGCTGCGAGTAGTTTGCCGAAACCAACGAGTAAACCTGATCCGGCGGTTTATATTTTTGCAATGGAGAAATTAGGAGTCAAGCCAGAGGAATGTGTTGCGATTGAGGATAGCAAGAGTGGTGCTACGGCGGCGGTTCGAGCGGGCATTTTTACGGTGGGTTATGTGGGGAGTTATGAGGTGGATGAGAGGGAGAGAATGGAGGGAGTTTTGTTGGAGGCGGGTTGTAAGGTTATTATGAAGGAGTGGAAAGAGTTTAAGGGGATCTTGGAGAAGATTCAAAAGGGAGGGTTAGAGAATTAGATGGGTAGAAGGTGATCAGATAGTTTGGAATGGGTGGGTTAAAGATGACAGGAGAGAGGAGGCATCGAGAAAGTTTCTTGGCCTAAAATTTCTTTGGAAGATTTCTTTTTATTCCTTTAAAAGCTTGTGGAAGTGGAAGGGTATGTAAGGGAAGGGAAGGGGGAAAAGAGATAGGAGTGCTGAGGACCTAGTAGCTTACTTACAGATGACTTCCGAATATATCTCTCCTTGCATTTTCACATACACTAGTTTATTTTTTCTTTATTACATACACTGCAATATGACTTCTATCCCGACTCCATTATGCCCTTTCACTTACTACATTAATAAGAGAATTTCGGGTATTTAAAGAATCATTAAATGGAAAACTGAATATTTCATTCTTATATTGACTACTCACTCGGTCTAAGTATAACTCCATCTGCTTCATATAAATAGCGCATCATGCCTCAAGCAGTACTCTTGCAAAATTCCTCAATCTCCTTCTTCAAAGCATCCCTCCTCAACTTGAGAAGCTCAGTTTTCAATCTCATAACCTCATGCTTCAAACCTGTAACTTCATCTCTATCAACCGAAGCACCCTGCTTAAATTCCGAAACTTTTTTCCGTTCCAAGTTCCTCAAGTTGTTCATTATAATCCATAGTTTGCGTTACCTGCCCCATCCATGAGTTTGACAGCTAAATCATTTAATTGTGTATTTCGACGTGCAGCGTGCAGGAGCTGCGTGTCGGCTACCAGTTCGTGTATTTCAACGATTCGATCCTCGATATTCCGTGGTTTGTCGACATTTCGGTTGCTGTGATCGGATGAGTTGGCCTCCAAGTCGTTTGAGCTATCTGAATCATCATCTGACGAGGTCTCGATGGAAGGCAATGGGGTTTCCTCAGTAACAGTACAGTAACTGAATCAGTATCTGACAAGTTGTTGAATATTTCCTTTAACGATTAAACACAGGACTATTGATTTCTGAATGTAAGTCCTAGTCTATTTGAATAGGATTCTCTGCCGTGCCAGAGGAAGGAGTACGAGAAAACATGTCAGGAGATTCCGTGATTTTCTCCTCAGTACCATTAAGACCCACAGAGACGCTACGGCTTCCAATAGGCAAAGCAGGGTCCTAGAGAATATGTCGGAGACTGTACGTCAAGAAGATCAGGGCGGTTAGGGTTATGCATTTGAGCGGGCTCTATTAAAAGAGCAAAGCTTTGATCGGGTGAAGGAATTTGTGAAAGTTGCTTTTGGCGTTCAGCATGGTCGCCACCGTCATCAGGAGTCATTATGGACTTCGATGGAAATTGTCTCTTGTTTCCAACATTTTTCGCGAAAGCAGATTTCCTCGTGGTGATGCATTGTAGAGGTCATCACTCTCATATCCGTTTGGCAGAGCATTTGACATTTGGGTCTTGACATCTTCATTGAGCTGTGAGGTGTTCTTGAGTTGAGCGACTCTTGCCTCTCTGTCAATCTCTGCTGGAGAACGACTGCCTGCAACAACACTAAATCGAGGTTGCTGTGATGCTTCTACACTATATCTTTGATGAGAACCCCCTGCTTGTCTCTTCGAAGGTGGTAATTGTTCTTCCTGATCGTCAGAAATAGCTTTCTAGTGAAACGCTTTGTGTTTGGAGAAGTTTTCTTCGTAGGGTTCCTGCGATTTAGTACGCCGGGAAATTCGAGTTAGATATCTTCCCGATCGTAAAATCGCTTTCTGTTAAAGCTCTTTGGATTTGGAGAGGTTTCCTTTGTGGAGTTTATACAATTTGATACCCCTGCTCTTGCTGCGTGGAATGACCCTGAAGCTCCTAGATCAAGGAGCTTTGCACTTATTGTTTCCTGGGGCCATTTTCCCGATTCTATAGAAATTATTGTCAGTTTTGCGGCACTAAATGAATCAAAAAATTGACTTACGGAGTTTTGAAGTGTTCGCTCCTGTTAATAAGACGAGATAACCTCTGAGTTGGAAGAAAAAGATATGTAAAGTTGGAGGGATTGGGAGAATCTTAAATCTGCTGATGGTTTGAGACCAGGAAGGAAGAGTTATCGAAGTGAACAGTTAATACTTGAAAGAAGAGAAGAGAGCTTATATATGGCTGAAGGAGTCCAGAAATTTTAGGATGTTGTCGTGCAGAAGCCGTCTGTTCAAACACCGATATCTTGCAATCATCCAATAATAAAAAAGTCTTCTTGTGTGCATGTGATCTTCATGTGATCTCCATTTGTTGCATACCTAGCTAATGCGCACGGTATTTTCGAATATCTCGGCAAAAGGGCATTGATTATACACGCCGGTAGCATTAGCTAACCATAGTTAGATCAAATCGATTACTACGGTGGGTATATCAGAACTACTAAAATCGAGCTGCGAATAAAACGAGGATAGAAAGTGGAAGAAAGTGGAGTAGGTGTAGAGTAAGAGTTATTTCAGCTGTAGAAGTAATTGTTAATATCCATACGATTGATTATCTTATACAGGCATAGTCTATCACCAAAAGCCTTAGCCCAATTTGTTAACCTACTAGCGCTTCAACTAATTATCCACCGTTTTCCATACATACTCCATACTACCACCTACTACATCCACCGAGTCGAAGAACAGAAAACTGATAAATAATCCCGTCAAAGAATAACTAAGTCATGCTCACCATTCTCAAATGCTAGTACCACTATGTACCTATCTATCATTGTGTAGTTCAAATTTTTAAGGACTTATTTTTATCTAAAGGGGATAGATACATACTTCGAAGCGTGTAAGTAGATATGAGGGAGTTTGTAAATAACGTGTTGAAATGGAGCAAGAATTGGAGAGGGAAATGAGGAGAAGGAGGTGAAGGAAGAGGAAGAGGAAGGGGAAGGGAAGTAGGTGGGGTGGAGGGGAGTGGTGGGCTGGGTGAGAATGATATTCCAAACGGACACAATCTTAATAAGACTTACACGTACTTTGACCTCACAAACTCAAGCTTTGGAAAATTAAAATATGAAGAAGCAGCAACAAGCTCTTCGCCAAGAGCTTGAAAGTCTTATCTTCACAAGGGAGAGCAAGAGAAACAGCGACTTCCGCTTCGCAATCGATGACGACCAAAAGAAAGTGGAAAGCCTGTGGCAACTGCTGACAGGTAACCACATGTATATTCCCATTTTTCATAGACGAGGTGATCTTCTTCCTCATGCCTCGAGAGCTCGTAAATTCACATGCTCTCTTCCGTTCTTGGCCAGACATGTATTTGGACATGCAATACCTATATCATTGCCATGGTGAAGCATGGCGTGAAATATGCTATACTATATGGATCGATACCAACAACAATGATAGTACTATTAATTTAACAATAAACAAGCAATAATATCTGTTTCTTTTCATCTTCCCATTTTCTCCTCTTTGAGATACCTACTAAATCATCTCTGATTAAGTTGTAATTGCAGTTGAAATATTTTTTGTTCCATCTCTTGTTGCATTTCCTGCTTCTCTTGCTCCAATTCTTGCATCCGTTGCTTAGCCTCTTTCTCCAATTTTTTTGAATCACACAGAGCTGTATAAACATCCGATTCATCAGAATCCCAATCGCAGTCTGCATCATGTGATCGCTGCCGTCCCTTGCTCAAATGTAATGTTGTCTGTAGTTTATTGTCATAGGTGTATACTTCTGCAGTGTATTCATTCGAATTGATAGCGATTTGCAAAATATGTGATTGAATATCGGGATCTAAAAAGGATTCTGTGTTAGATCTTGAGTCGGGTTTGAAATGAATGAAGTGTTATTACCTTTGATTTCGAGAGCTTGAACTGTTGACTTTGGACAGAAATTAAGGACGATATAATCTTCGAGAATACCCCATCCATGATATTTCCCTCCAATTCGAAATCGACCCAGATGTTCTTCCATTTTATTCTTGTTTCCAGACTGAAGTATTTCTATGCCCCATCTCTTATCTAAGACATAAAAATCTATTCTTCCATCTTTGGTATAAGAATATTCAGAAAGAATCTCTATATTGTTAAGCTCATGACTAAAACAGCAATATATCTCGTTTTGAAAAGCCGCTTCTGGAATTCCCCAACTGCTTTGAGATTTTGGAGATCGTACTTGTAAAACAGATGGACTAAACCTTTCGATGACATTGAGACAGGCTTGCCTTAGGGTCATTTTATCCAAACGAGTGCCTGGTTCCGGGCCTGGGAAAAGACGGTGATACGCATACCTGGTATCTATAGTCAATATGGGTTCAAATTTAATATGGATAAAGGATTTCATATACCTTCGATGTATTGGGGAAGCAAAGGTATAGGTGACATCCTGTCTTCCAGGGTATGGCTGCTCGGTATGCAGTAAACCCATCTTGTAGCAAAAGGTAAAAGCATCACTAGACTCTCCATCCGGTAGGTTGTAACCATGCAGTAGCTCTGCTACTTTGCGCAATGCCGCTTTCACTCTGAAAAATGGGATATGGCTGTAAAGAGGGTGTCCAAGATACTTTTTAACTTGAAGCTCTGATCTAAACGTCCAAAATCCTCTCCCCCATATATTTAATTCACTTATGAAACCACTGTCTTCGGCAATAAGACCACGGCATAATTGAGGCGACCATGATCGTGTACGACGAATGCTGTCCGGAAGCTATCAGATATCATTAGAATTAACTACATTTTAGTGAAGATATATAGGAATATAACTTACATTGGTGAAACGAAGTTTCAAATAAGCCAAGATCGTGTCAAGTACGCCCGGATGGCCATCAGTAGTAGCATGAAGATATTCAAACATACCATTCTCAAGTTGAAAGTTCTGCACTGTAGCCCACTTCATCACCATAATAGATGTTTCTTTTGGTGTAAAGAGTATGTGTAGATTATTATTTGCAGATGGACGGAGTTCGACACGTTGAAATAAATCCACAAGAAGAGCTTGAGATGCGATTCCCGGTTCGTGAGCTGCGGAAATGCCTGAAATGCCGTAAAGACAGACAAGGACGAAAAGTGATTGCGAGCTGGTACTATGATTTTTCAAACTTTGATGCCAAAACTGTTGTTCCTCGTATGAATTTTGGCCTTCGTCAATCAGGAATACCTTTCTAGCTGCAGGATTGCGAAAACGCCGAAATTTGGCGTTTTTTGATTTCCACTTGGATGCTTCGCTTTCAAGATACTCCTCAAATGGAAGATTATTACGGTTTGTTCTAGTCTCCCATTCGATAAATACTGGTTCTAGATCCCTGTACTCCTGAAGTATGTGATAACCTAGTAGCATAAGAAGAACTGTCTTGCCTACAAAAGGCGTAGCACGGATAACCACAACCCTTGTATTTAAAAGTCTCTGCATAATCGAGGTAACAAGATCCTGTCTCTCGCAAAGGTAATCACAAACAGGGTTCCAAGGATTTTCCATATCGTGATGGTCGTCAAATTGATGCATACAGTTGGTACAACTATCAACAAGGGAGGTAAAGACTCCTTGTTGGCAATTACACTTTTGGCAAAAGAAGTGGGTGAAAGTGTTAGGAGGTAGGCTTGGAGATGAAAAGTCTGTATTTGTTGAGGACAACTCGTCTTTCTTCTGGCAGTGATATTTGGATGATTCTTGTTTTGGTTTTGGTCCTGGCAGAAGCGGCTTTTTCGGTCGTTTTTTACGGCGTTGGTTTAACAATCGATTTGGCTGACGAGGTTTTGGAGAACCAACAAGCTTTTGCGGATAAGAAGTTTTGGGAAGATGTAACTCTACATCATTTGGAATAGATGAGAGACATCTTTTAGATTTAGATCTAGTAGTTACAGGCATTTTCTGAACTAGCTATAGGTAATGAAAAGTAGATTTGTGAAGAGGAAAGAAAGTTCTTGTTTTCTTCATAATTAATATATGAATAGAGGTCCTTTGTTTGGAGAAAAAGTAAGTGAATGGAATTGAATTTTCTACGGAGTTTCTCGGGCTTGGTAGAGGGCACGAGTTCTTTGTAGTAACTCCCTTCGAAGACAGCTAATAAAAATATGTCACGAAGGCAGACAAGATGGCTAGAAAGTACTTGCTGGCCCCGGTGTCACGTGCTAGGTCTACCAAGCGTAATTTTTCTGATCATGAAGTAGAGCTTTCAACCGTGCATGATTTCAAGAAATATTTGCAGTTGAAACGTTTGTTGAAATTCTTTGGATAAGCCATGGAAGCGAAATTCCTCCCATGTCGTATCGTTGTACTGAACAAAAGACCATGGTTCATTTGTCTTAGTCACGAGGTTGGCGGGATTAGGACGATAATCGCTGAGGGTAAGAGAATATATCCTTATCCTTCCTTAAGGAATTAGAGGATACTATTGGCTTCCAACTAGAATATATGAGGAGTTTGACATAGCTTTTGGAAGTAGTTCAGGGTTTTAGCCCATCCAGAATATGCTGCCTGAATGTGGACGTTAATGAAATTTGGGAGGGAGAGATCAGTGGTCGAGATTGTATGAAACCACCACCTGCATTTATTTTGTAGATATATCAATATAAATATGATGGTGGGTAGACAGGAGTCGAGTCCTAATTAGTTTTTTGAAAGGGGAGTGGTATCAGTTTGTAGATGTATCGGTATACATATGACTGTGGGTAGACAGGAGTCCTAATTAGTTTGTTGAAAGGGAAGTGGTATCAGTTTGTATCAGTTTGCAGTTGATTGTATGTCTGCATTTGTGATCCGGAGCTGCGGGGTAACTCGCTTAACCTACCCCCGTTTCCGTACTCGTAGAACATCCGCTGAAAATCTCAAAGTGGCACTATCCAACACACACAGCTCCAAATTTTCTATTTTTTAAATTCCACGATGATCCTTTCTTTTTCCATCAAATGTCACGGTCGCTAAGCTCACTTGATTAGAGCGTGGTGTTAATGTCTCCTCTGTTCAAGCAGAGTGATATCAAACGCCAGTAGCGTAAAACTCCGGCCTAGACCCTCGATTTAATCAAAGAATCTCACATTGAATATTGAAAAACTATAATAGTTATACAATTCAACTACTAGCGCAATCATACAATCATTGCGGTGTGGAATCATGCTTGCTTGTTCTATCAGAAAGTATAACAAACATTTATTAGAGTCTAGAAAGAAGCTGAGGTCGAGAAAGAAGAAGGAAAACATTCAGCATTACTTAATTACCCAGAATAGCAGCTACCCAGGGCATGCTTGCCGACACTGGAAAAGACGGTGATTTCGCATGATGGCATTTTTATTTGTGGCCTCTACGACTGCAAATGTGGTTTTATGGTCTTGAAGTCATTGAGTTATTATTAGGGTTTATTATAGCTTATCAAGAGCTCTATTCTCATACGATTCTACATGGATAGCATATGAATTGTTTCGATTTTTCCTCAAGATCGAGTGCATACTTAACGAATAGATTCCGCATCTCATTTCTCTCCTTTCTGTTATATACTATTGAAAAGACTGTCCTGTCCATCTATCTGCCCTCTACCATAGATTTACATTTCATGAAATTCGAAAAAAAAAAACGTGAAAGCAATATCGCAACGGAAGCGAATCATTCTAGCAGCGCTGATGCAATAGCTGGCTCAAAATATGTCATGCAAGGAATTGCTCTCTCGTTCTCTATAAAAATCGTTAGTCTTTTAACTTACTTAATCCTCCAAGGAGATCCGAAGATCTTTCTCTACCAGGCATATAAAAAGTTATGCGAATGTAAGTTTAGTTTCGTTATATATCAAAAATAAGATACGCAACAAACGGGAATTTCGATACAGGCGTTTTGCTTTTGTATTTAATTGAGATGGTGCGAATAGTTGAGATGAGACGTTCGCATGGGATACTCGATACAAAAATGGTTGAGATGAAATACGTAAGATATAGAATAAGATGATTCACTTGGTAATTTCTATCAAGGTGATCGTTTTGCTGTAGAACTATTCGTTATAAACTCTTTTCACTATAGACCTATCCGCCATAGGACTATTCGCTATGAAACTATCCGCCACGACACGAAATGCTGGTCCACGCCAGAACAGAACAGAACAGAACATAATACAACAAACAAATTATAGCTAAACGAAATACCTCTAAGTTATATTCTACACCACGGTGAGAAGATAAGTAGATACCTTGGTGAGAACTCCATCTCACGGCAAAGCAAAAGCTTAAGAAATGCAACAATCAAAAATCCAGGCTGAACTTCTATTTCGTTATGAAACTTTCTTAGATATACAATACAACAAATGCTTCAATCCAACAGAACAATCTAATTTCAGATGCGATCGACTCGATCATCTGATTTCATCTGCTTTTGGCAACACACAAATATCCACCTATGGGCGCCGAGCGAGTATTACATATGAATATATGTTTGTAGCTGATCTGGCTATTTCAAGCCCGTAGCTTGGAGAACTTTCTTCCCGCCCTATGTCGATGATGTGATAATAACTCGGGCCTGAAGTCGCATGTACAGCGGGCTGTTGCCTACACTGACAGAAGTCGGTTTTTCATAAGTGGAATTGTGAATCCCATAAACCCAGGAGGGTCCATCCACACATACTCTCAACCCACTGAATCCGTCTTCCGCGTCTTGGCTCTCATTCTCTGGGTATCCTTCGCCTGTTTTCTCGCTTGACTAACACTCATCCTGACCTCTTCCATAACCTTCTTCTCCAACCCATCCACCTCCACCTCATCCAGAACAAATTTTCCCAAATTTCCCTGCCTCCACCTCTGAATAACCCAGAGAGCCGCAGCCTCCACATCCGGCACGCCTCCCTTACCCAATCTCCCCGTTTTCCTACAAACCGCCTCTAAAAACTCCACAATATCATTCGTTTCCCCACAATATTCTTTATACACACCCCCTCCCACCTTTAGATTAATAAGAAATAATAAATAGTCCGCCAAAGTTGTTGGCGCAATGATAGTATCCTTCACACTTCCCACCAACGCCAGTTTTAACATACTATCCGTATCCGGTACAAACGGCACGAAAACACCAGGGGTATCAACCAAATAAACACCCTCTGTCCCTGCTTCCGGATCTGGATCTATAATCTTAACCCCCGATGCGATTTTCCTCGTAATACCCGGTTGAGCACCTGTAAATGCAGCTTTACCTCTATTGACACCAGCCATACGTAAAGCATTTAGCAAAGAAGATTTACCAACATTAGGCATACCGACGACAAGGATTCGCGAACCGGTGAGGGATTGGTGTGCGAGACCGTGTTCTCTGCAGAGGGAAAGAATAGTTTGAATGTCGGGTTTGGATTTGTGGTTTGAGAAAAGGGTAGGAGAGGGCTTGTGCCAGTTTTTAATTATATTTTCTCTCTGTTTTTGGCCCCAAAGTCAGTATATGACGTCTTCGAATTGTATATATGTAGGGAAAATACCTTTTTATCCACAGGCAAACCTTGATTTCCTAAATCGCGTTTTGTATACACGATAACTCTTTCTCTTCCCGCGAGTGATTGTTCGAATAAAGGATTCCGGGATGTAAGAGGGACTCTATAGTCTCGACATTCTATTATGAGATCGATAGATGAGAGCATCGTTTTCATTCGAGAGAGACCTGATGCATGATGACCTAGATAATAGGATCGAGGAAGAGAGAGCTGTTGGGGAAATACGGTGCGGGGTATGAATTGAGCCATTTTGATGGCAGGTTAACGAATGTTACCGGAGGAGCATGGCAACTGTTGAATGTGGAAGCGCGCTTCTGTTGGAAGGATATGATGTCGTTGTGAAGCCTCGAGGGAGAATGAAGTTTAGAACAAGGCTGAGAAGTTGAAATTTTGGATTTCGAATATGAGCAAGGCTGACCAATTGAAATCAGCTGTGACGTACGCTAATGCACGGTAGCTACATGGCGCCTGTAATTATGATGAAATGTGATGAAGCAACAGTTGAAGGCTGAAAGTTACAAAACCCGCACAAAGTAAGAACTTACCTCCGAACAACTTTAACGCCCATAGAGAAAGAAATACTACTCGATGCACAATATTTGCTTCAAGTCTGTCTTCCTTCCATTTCCAATAAACATAATCTCTCAATATTTTCGCTATCAATTATAATTATAAATTTTAGTAGGCAAGAAACGCTCCAGATGGCTCGATGAATTCATGCCATTTGGTGACATCGACGTCATGGTCTCGGTATTTTATATTGATATTTCATTGCAGCATTTATGCATCCATCACTTCTGAACGCTGTCTTACTTCTACAAAGTGACATGATATGCTCGCCATCCTATGTGCCGTCCACGAATAAATTTCCCGACATTAATGGATAGATTAGTACACTTGCTTTGCCTCTGCCACTACCGCCGTCAATCGTGCAAATGGCCTTTCGTTCATCCCTTCTGCATCGATTTCCTTCATAATGAATGTCCGGTTCGTCCTGCTGCACCGTCGATTATCCTCTTCATTGCCGTACTCACTTCCTTCAAGTGGAACAAGCTCAACCGGTCTTGCTTCCAACAACGGATAGCAGAAGAATGTTGAAACTACCTATCGACCATTGAAAAAGAATCCATTCCTTTTCAAAAGCGGATTCACCATAGTCATCATAGAAATCCCAATCTCGGTGTACACTGTACAAAAACATCTTCGGTCGGATTTAGACACTTGCCATACCCTTCATCCTGGCGTTATGGACGGAAAAGATTACGACAATGTCTCATCAGACCATTTTCCTATGTGTCCCATGCTTAATTCCCTCCAGCCGATCCGTCAATTCCCACGTGTATGAAAAGATTTGATGTTAGGACCGTTAAAAATAAACTTCGCCCACGTTTTCTATTTCCGAGACAATCTGTACAGCATTGTTCTCACCGAACGTTGATTTGATGGATGAGTGAGATGTATTTGATGTTGCTTACACTTTCGACTGAATTCTAGACCCGGTTCGTGCTTGGATTTTGGCGGAAGAAGTTGGTTGGCTCCGATGGAAAAATAAGGTCTCCGTAAGGTCTCCGGACAGAATTGTGGCGACATCGGTATGGGGTTCAAAGTAGACCATCAACACAATAAGTGGGATGGGATGGGATGGGATGGGATGGGATGGGATGGGATGGGATGGGATGGGATGGGATGGGATGGGATGGATGGGATGGGATTGGATGATGGATGATGGATGTTGGGAAGAGAGGAGAAGGGAAAGAGAGAGAGAGGAGAAAGGAGAGAGAAGAGGAGAGAGAGAGAAAGAGAAAAGGAGAAAGGAGGAACCAACAATTGTGTAGAAAATGAATTGATGAGTATTAATTTATTTTGCTTGTGAGACTGATGGACTTTGAACTTTTTGACTCTGGATGGCTTTATAAGAAGAAATCATCAATTTGCTTCAATCATCCATCATTGACAACAAACCATCCCCCCTTTTTGTTTTATTTTCTCAAACTTCACTGCAAAGCACTCTTCACTCAAAACACTCTTCACTCTTCACTCAAAACACTCTTCACTCAAAACACTCTTCACTTCCAAGCTTCCTCTTTGCGAATCATCAGTCCCACAAGGTGTGCAATTATTAGTCATCTTCTACGTATTCATCATTTATAACCCATTTATAAGTAAAATCTCCACTTATATCGACCCCACCATATGACGCCGGAGGGGTGAAGGCAGAAACGAAACGGAATCTCTGTCCGATCGTCTCAACAAACATAAAAACTCTTTCAACCTCTCTCCAACTCAATTCCATCATACCACTTTTATATCTCTTCATCTACCCACAACTTTAAAAAAGATACCCCATATCAAATCAATATTATAATCATGTCTTCTTCTTTAGATCAACTCAAAGCCACTGGCACCGTAAGTAAACAATCTGTTTTCTTTTGTTGATGACTCGGGTCCGGCCCGGAACCATGAAGAATACTCATGAAGGAGATGGAATTTGAGGATATACTTTTGAACACAGTGTGCTAACCATTACCTTTTCATGATAGACCGTCGTCTCTGACTCTGGTATGTACCAATCTATGCTACCTCCATAATTTCCATTGCTTCAGACATTTACTGACTCGTATTCCTGTCTAGGTGACTTTGCTTGTACGTTCTCATCTCTACAACCTCTCGCCACCATTCCTACGATTGATCACTGATCTATACAATTAGCCATTGCCCAATATAAGCCACAAGATGCTACCACCAACCCATCTTTGATTCTTGCCGCCTCCAAAAAAGCCGAATATGCCAAACTCATTGACACCGCCGTCGCATACGGAAAGGGAGTAGATGGTGACCTTGAAAAGAAGACCGATGCCACTCTCGATCGTCTTCTCGTCGAGTTCGGTAAAGAAATCTTGAAGGTCGTTCCAGGAAAGGTTTCAACTGAGGTTGATGCTCGTTTCTCTTTCGATACCAAGGCCACTATTAACAAGGCTCTCCGAATTATCGATGTATGTTATATACTTTCTGACCCCTGATTTTGAGAATAATTGTACCTCAATTGAAATCGAATTGATAATAACATATGTGTCCTATACAGCTTTACAAATCAGAGGGTATTGACAAGTCTCGTATTTTGATCAAGATTGCTTCCACTTGGGAAGGTATCCAGGCCGCCCGTGTCCTTCAACGCGATCACGGAATTAACTGCAATCTTACCCTCCTCTTCTCCAAATCCCAAGCCGTTGCTTGTGCCGAAGCCGGTGCTTTCCTCATCTCCCCATTCGTCGGTCGTATCCTCGATTGGTACAAGGCATCTACCGGAAAGACCTACTCCGCTCAAGAAGACCCAGGTGTCGAATCCGTTAAGGCTATCTTCGACTACTACAAGAAATTCGGATACAAGACCATTGTTATGGGAGCTTCTTTTCGTAATGTTGGTGAGATCACTGAACTTGCTGGATGTGACTACCTTACCATCTCACCAAACTTGTTGGAGGAGTTGAAGAACTCCACTGAAGCCGTCCCCAAGAAGTTGATCGCTGAGAACGCTAGCAGTTTGGATATCGAGAAATTGACCTACATTGATGATGAACCTGAATTCAGATTTGCATTCAATGAGGATGCTATGGCTGTTGAGAAGTTAAGAGAAGGTATCAGCAAGTTTGCTGCTGATGCCGTTACCTTGAAGGATATCTTGAAGGCTAAGTTGCAATAAATTGCTTTTTGAGTCTTGGGTGGTGGTTGATAATATAGTTATTGGTTATTCATGGAGGTCAAAATTGAAAGATCGAATGATTACGATTTGTATTTACGCATGGCCAGAAATGAATTGAGCAAATGAATGAATTTGATGATTAATTGTTTCCCTTAGCTTTTGTGATTGTTTAATGTATAGCATTGATATGTCATATGTTTGTTAAATGCAGGGTGTACTTAGTATCTACCGAAAGTTTGGTTACTATTCTATAACAAACTGACGAGTTGATGTTGATATTGCAGCGACACAATACACCTTCAGAGCAGTAATGCAATAAGATCTTTCCCGTGATCAGCCATCACGGAGAGGTGAAGAGATGGGCGTTTTTGACGAGTTGATAGTGTTTGTTGGTGTGTTGGTGAGCGGGATGGAATGTGGAATGTGGAATGTGGAAATGTGGAAATGTGGAAGGGTGGAGGGTTGGAACGGGGCTCTGAGAGGGGGTGGATTATTGGTTGATGTTATGTAAGATGGATGAGTTTGGATACTGTTCAATAGCCACGATTAATGTGTATTACACGAATTTATGAACTTCTTTTCCAACCCCAAATTAGAACAAGTATAATTTAATCCGGATAATGTAATCGCCCGTTGACTTCTTCCAGATTTGTAGTCTAATTTTTGATGTGTAATCAATCGTCCAAACGAGTCTATGTATCCAAAAATATCTTTAAACTCAAAGCTCACCTCGTCATAAGTTAATACGCTCGCTATTGTTTCTTAATGAGTATCTTGTTTCTCGTCGAGAACTTTAGGGGGCCCTCCTGCTGTTATATCATACCATATTTGATTCGTTCTTCTCTTCTACTCAAAAGGAACGGTTTCAAAAGATAGAAATATTTGTAGTCAAACATTCTGGATATCAGGTAACTTACCCACAATCCACGTGTCCTCGGATAAAAGACCGCATTTGGATTTCGCTGCAGATCATGCAAGTTGCTCCATATAAGATCTGACATTGCGAAGACAGATACATATCACAGGGGCATATTGACAATGCTATGGGCATCGAGTGAATAAAGCCCTTTTGTTACAACTACTCATACAACTTCCTTCTAACCTCCTGATAATCACTGAGATGAATATCGACAACTTGCCTCGCTTGCCAGCGGCACCAAAATCAACATCAACATCACCATCACCATCCTCAAACACATCTCAACGCACATCCCCTCCAACCCTCATCAAAACAAGCACAAACTTAATTCATCATTGGGAAACTTTCCATCCCCAACAATTCCAGCTTCCCACCCACCAATCACGATTCCTTGGGAGGAAAATAAACTCTACATTCATCTCACCGACCGGGGAAATCCAGGGACATTTCATTGGAGTTTGTATCTTACGGAAGATGATCCCGAGAAGGGTTGGGTGTATCATGTGTATGATCCTGAGCCTGGGAGGTGGATTTTGGAGATGCTTGGGCCGGCGGGACCGGTGACTTCGGTGGGGGATGTTGATGGCGAGTTCGAGGGTGATGGAGGGGAGGGGATTTATGCGGGTGGGGATCAGGGGATGGGGATGGAGATGGAGATAGGGGTTTAAATAGGGAGGATGGGGGGATTGATTCTAGGACGGAAGGGAAGGAGGGTGAAGATAGCGATGAGTTAAATGTGGAAGGTACTAAGGATAGAAAAGTTGTGGAAACAATGAGCGAGAGAGTATCCCCGAAATAGGAAATGAGAAGATAGGGAGCCCAGAATCTGATAAAGAGAAGATTCGAAAAAGGTGAAGGAAAGCTTGATGGAGGGGAGAATCGAGAGAGTAGAAGTGTAAGCATCATGACATCTAAGCGAAACTTCGCCGAAGAGGAAGAGGAGAAGAATCCCGGCACGGGTAAAAGATTAAAGACACAAGAAGACAAAAAAGAAGACGAAAAAGCAGAAATAAAACAGCAGAAAGAAGAAACCGCAGACGAAAAAGACGACAACTACACCAATCTAACCCAAACAACGCTCCTCGCCGCCGTGGAAATCGGCACCAATATCCAAGACATGCGCGAAATAATCGAACAAACCATATCCAGCATCTGGGTGTATGAAAAAAGACGCATAGGAAGAGGCGACAAAACGTGTCGACAATTCCTGATGCACTGTATTTCCGAGATGGAGTCGCTTGGAATCCTGAGTCTTTTGCCTGGGAAATCCGGGTTTGATTTGGAGAGGGAGGCCAAGGAGTTTGGTATGTTGAGTGATCCTGCGTTGAATCCGGCGGCTAGGAGAGGAAGATTGTGGAAGAGTAGGATTATATCGTGAGGAATTAATTCGTGGATTTATAGAGGCGGGATTGTGTGGAGGAGAAGAGAGGAGGGATTGGATGATTTAATACTGTGTGGGTGGGATTTTTGTACTAGGTAGCTGAAGGTTTGGAAGTTGATGAGGGGGTATCTCTGTGAAACTTTGTAGATGCTGAGGGTTTAATGTTAGAGATCGGAGTGTGATGGGTCGGAAGAGTAAGAAATATGGGAATATTAGTTCTGGTGGTTTAATATCATAGGAGTTCCAGGATCTACTCACCGTACACTTAACAAATCATATCAAAATTTATTATTCTGTCACTTTTTTTTTCAAATCATTATATCTAGAAGATGTGTTATTATAATATTCTGATTAATTTTAAACTATACGTTATTCAAATAATCATCTATTTAGATTCTAAGTTTAAAGAGTTAATTAAAATCCACGGATTTTGAAATCTATTCTATAAGATAAAATCCAGCGTTTATGTATTGGAATCTTAGAGTATGAAATAAAACACACTCGATTCGAAAAGTATAAGAGTATTGAGTATATTTCACTTCAGGGAGGCACGAGGGTAATTTAATAATCTTGAATTCTCATAATGAAGCAAAGATATTCATCACTTAATAAAACCAGCAAGCCCACTTCGAATATCCTTCCAGAGATACTTAAAAAGAACAGAATGACTTCGTTGGCATCTAGCGATGTACAATCTTCCTGACCATTTCATTTCCAAGATTGATGTTCTAATCGCCAATGGATGAGAGCCCCCAACCATCCACACCTTATACCCCGATTGTATCAGGTCCGGCACAATATACACTGCTCGAAATGTATGTGGTGTATTCTTCCTCGATAGATAATTCCGTAGCCATGTTATAAATACATCCTTGCGACCATTGTATTCAAACAGAAGCATCGCCCCAGCTAAAGTACCTTGTATACATTCCAAAGTAACCTGGGTACCTTGCAAATCACCTGTAACGCGAAAGATGCCGGGAGAAATCTCCGACAAGATGTTGAATCCGTACTAGGAATTGTACAAATTATTTTTGAATAGCAAAGAAGGATTGAAGCATACAGTTACCTTCTCGTTAACCTGGCCAATCGTCGTGGTGTTGCTGCAATTTACATTGGCATTGGAATACGTGTGGTCATTATTCCCCACAGATGGTGTAGAAAGTGTTGGGGCGGGGAAGGTAGGGACTGTAGATGAGGTGGGTAAAAATGAGGGCCCGGATTCGACTAGGGTGGAGGTCATCCTACATATACTGATAGCAAGGAGGTAGTGAAAACCCAAATTAGCTCAAGCGTAAGCAGGAACGAAAATAAGTGGTGGGAAAGAGGAGGGAATGTGATGAAGATTAAAGCTAGACGGATTAAGTTGTTGGATCATAGATGAAAAGCCATACACATACACTGGCTGTCTCGTTCCATAGGCTTCTTCTTATACAGTGGAATAGATATATGTATTCAGAAGGATACACCATCAATCACAGGCGGGAGCTGAGAACACTTGCAGATCAAAGATGTCTATTTTCTGAATGAGTTCGAATGGGGAGCAATGGCTGGCGCTTGGAAAATTGGTACCAACGGGAATCGGCACTGCTTGCCGGATTGTGCGGAGCTCTTGCAGGGGAGCAAACTTATTTTTGAAAAGTATACGTATATGGACGTTACCCTGCATGATATACGATGCGCCAATTCCGATATCTTTTAGTTCCATCCGTCACTTGTGATTTTGCTGCCTTCACTTTGACTTTGCTGTCTTCACTGTGATTTCACTGTCTTCAGGTCCTACGATACACCCTCCAATATATTGAATATGGACGAGAGCAAAGTAAAGACAGTTTGCGATCGTGATTCTGTCTATATCTCTTTAAAGGACCAGGCAAACATCAACGCTGTTTTACAATGTCCTCGCAGATCAGTTTCAAAAGAACGAAAAACTCGCATTCATTTTGTCGTACATCACGAGGTGCATTGTGCTGCTGTTCAATTATCCATTTGTCCATTTGATCTTCCATTTACTCCAAAGCAGAAATTCTTCCAATGCTTTTTTCGATGGACTCGATGTTGTGAAAGTGCACCGCTGGAGGATGTTTCTCGCGAGGTTCTTGGAGCTGTATAACGAATCTATTATTGCTATTACCATCCAACTCAATGGGACTTCTCGAGCGAACATTGGTAGGTCTCGATCTTCATTTCAATCCTTTTGCTTACACGCTCAGCTGTATCAACGATCGCATTCAACACGCGACTGGAACGACATGCGCGAAGAAAGCCGAAACAGCTCTTATCGGCTAGATACAATGTGAAGCGAGCTTTGAAGGGGATTGGGAAGTGAACAACAGCAGCGGCAGACTCAGAAGTGGAATAAAAAGTCGAAGACTAGATACGTTCAACGATGCCAATCACCGTCGCACCCACAATCTTAGTGCCAATGACAAAGAGGACGCTGAAGAACATTGTGCCACGGCGGTGGATGATGATGATGCGAGGATCGTAACGATGGCGGTGTGATAATTGCAGATGAGCAATCGAGAGAAGACAAAGCTGTTGCAGCAATCTTGAAGAAGATCCAAAGAGGACTCCTTCAAGTGATTCCTGCTAAGAATGGAAAGAATCTTCACACTCAGGGTGGATGCACTAGTATGGCCAACAAAGGTCCAGCTGCTTACAACGAAGTAATTCCACCAGATTTCTTTGCGCGAGACGAAAATACACTTCAAGATAGGTCTTTACTCCTAGAAAACTTTCTCTGGCAACAATCGAAGAGCTTCTTTCGAAATGCTCGAGAGATTTCCTGGAAGTGCTCCTTTCTTGCGGCATGTCTACGGAGACTCCGCGATCCCATAACCTCGGCCGTGGAAAATGACCCTTTAAATGTGACTAGTTACCGATGGCTCATGGCAGTGCAGATGATAAACACGATTTTTGATGGACTCTGGTTAGCATGGGGGCCCAAAGCCGCTCTTATATATGAAGCCCTGGCCGGTATGTCTGACGCTATTTTTGGGAAACTCAGTTGACAAGTTCACAGCGAAAAGTTATAGCCTCAGTCTTATTGTTGGACTGGGACAGGGCGTCAGAAGTAAAATCATACAGCGTGTCATTAACGCGCTGAAGGAATCCGTACCTGACCTGCCATTGGAGGTGCATGTGTTTCATCCAGCAGCATGCGTTAATAGTGCTTTGAATATAGAGTACGTAATAAACCAGTATTGCAAGCTACCGCAAACCACCAAACGAAAGTTACAAGAAGACATGTGTCACTCTGAATCTAGAAAACTCATTCCTCAAGGTCAATTCCCTACAGCGCTTGCAGAGTCATACAACATTGTCATTGCCTTCGCTTCAGTGGGACCGATACCTAGCCACCTTGCAAGCTGACCCTGCGACAAGCTCTCCAGAATGCAGCAGAGTGAATGTATACAGTGCTTCTGTGGACGAGCCTACTGCTGTCGCTGCTAGTGGGGTTCAAAGCAGTGTTGGGCTTCCAGTACAAACTCTTTCAGACAGAAATTCGCTTGGAGGTGCGGTAAATTGGGAATCCCCCCTATTAATCCAATTTTGCCCGAGCTCGGGAGTGGGGGATGGGATTACGTACTTGATTTTGATCCAGAAAATTATAATGGATGGGAGATCTACTACGGATAAGATATGTAGATCAATTATTGAATGCACAAACCTCAAAATGATAACACCAAGAATATACAGTATGTGCAGATAGTTCAATCAATGCAGTCTGTGTCTCCATCAATTACCGTCTCCAATCCTTACACCGAGCATGACACACACGACCTTGCTTTTTTCCGGAATGCACATTGAACATCCGCCGCTAATCAAGACCTCGATATTTAGCTTGAAAGTAAGGGTTGTCCGGCGTCGACTCCTGTTTTCATCAATAACTGCATCCATAGTGCCAGTCATAGCAACCGGTATTAAGGCTACACAGTTACTTCCCAATTCTGACCACCCGCTTTGAAATACCACGAATTGGATGGCACGCGAGACAAAGTATGGCTTCATGGGAGGATTTATTAACGCATCAACGATATCGGTAATCTGTAAAATACATCAGCTAGTCAGTGCATAATCTTTGTTGAGAATGAGATGCTTTTCACAACTACCTTTAGTGACGCATTGAATTCTCTTTTGAAAGCTTCCTTGACTTCACCCAATATCTCCGGCCCGCCATCTGCCAATTTTACATTTGCCTAATTGCTGGTTACTATCGTCGGAATGGACTCAAAATCGAAATACTGCATCAGGCGTTCGACATGATGCTGGACCTTATCGCCCGCCTGCACGGATCGTGCAACAGAATAATCCACAATAGGGCTCGAGGACGTCATAAATACGAATTTTCAATGATGATACGTGTCTATGGTGTGTTCCTCGAGAGTTTGGTATTGAGTAGAAATGTTTTGACGGGATACTTAGAAGATTATAAGTCTAAATGTGTGGAGAAATTAGTTGTTTGCTTGTGACGTACTTTAAGGCATACTTTCGCGTTAGGCAACATAATTAACCGGTTACAAACTCCTTCTATTAATAAAAAAATAAGATTATTATTATTAATTTCAATTAAATGTTCTTTATTTATAAAATATTCTCTTGATGATATTTTTACTCTTATAGTAATTCTTTCTCTTCTCGCTCAGAGATTTGAAACCGCATTACTTGATATAATATATACACTCCTTCAAAACTACCTTTTGTTTTCTCCACTTTTGAGAACCTTAAATATATTCTCAGGAAATTCCAGCATGTCCCAAACAGAGTCATTATCAAATACAAGCCCTATGTATTCAACAATGCAAACACTGCAACGCTGTCATATTGCCAAGAATCCATTCCTTCATCCCCACCCACAAGCTCCCAGTACAAATTCGCTTAGAAAGGAGTTGAAGGGGAGTTCGTTGAAACTCAAACGTGCCAGATTCGAACTTCGTTGGGTGTTACGAGTCGGATCCAGTTTCCCGAATTTTGTTTTCTACTAAGTCCATAGATTCCTTCATTCGTAGGCCTAGCTTTTTGACTTGAAACGAAAAGTTCCAGAACCTCGGTAAGTCAAATCATCACAGACAAAAACAAAGCTGCTTTTCCCATGTGCGAGGTATTGGCGAAGATTGTGAAACCCTCCCATATGGAGAGAGTTGAGAAACCAGCTGCTATGCAGCAAAATTCGAGATAGACCTGACGTCCAATCATGCTGTCATCATTCCACCCCTTCAGGTCGCATAATTTGCAGCCATGCATATATGCGATTCCTATAAGCCACTATCGCCATGAGTTAGTATATGACGAAAGCTTGCAATGCCCTAGAACCTCGATATTCCAGATATATTTTGCTCTACGGTATTGTGAACTGAAGAGAAAACATCATAAGCAGACTTACCCAGGAAAAATTCCGCCAATTTAGAGCGATGTTATCGCCGGCTTCCAAAAAGATAACGGTAATGCAGAACATATGAGCCAAGAACTTCAATCCGAAGTAGAGATCGCAGAGAGTGGCTGACGCATTTTATGAGTAGTGTTTCTTTTCGAATTCAGTAGAATTTAGATGTGTTTTCGAGGTGTTTTCGAGGTGATTCGAATTTTTCAAAGAAACTGTAATTCATCCAATAAACAAAATTCGACAACGTTCCTTCGACAAAATATCAGATCCAATTCGCATGTACTCCGACGATAAAAGTCCCAAAAGGCAACAACATATCATAAATAAACCTTGCACGAAAGATTTCAAGCTCGCAGTTTCATTTTCAATCTCTTCTATGCCACCTATTAGTATCTTAGAAATATCTATGAAGCCTTGTTAAGGGTACCTACCGTAACGAGATTTGAATTGATCTCTCCGTCGTAAACGAACTAAGACTTCTCTTTCCCTCTTGGCAAGATCAATCCGGTCTCCAAATCTTAGCAATGCTTTTTCTCTAACCTGAAGAAAAGTTATGCCCGCTGAGAGTGCGGGGATTTCCATACACTCTCCATTTCCCATTTAATAGCAGTAAGCCTTTCAATAATTTCATGAATTTTCGCGCGTCCTTCTTCTGGCTCCAAAAAAACGAGCCCCTGCACGATGGCATATTTTGCCTTTCGAGAAAGTTGATACCTCCAGAATCTGAAAGTGCCCACAAGTGAGAAAGAAAATATCACGGTTATCAATACGAAGGTCCGCCACATCGTGAAGGTTGATATTTCTTCTTCCTTGTCGAAGTCAGGTAGCACGACTAGCTTGAAAACATATCTCCATATCTTAAGGTTCCATATGAACCGTAAGATACTTCCGAATGCATCACAAGACGAGGGAATTGCTTCCATATTGATGAGAATAGATGAAAACGAAGCAAGTATAAAAATGACGTATAAGTAATGTTGAGATATAATATTTCAGATTCGGAATGTGAGTCGTAAATGTCTCAGGTGATAAATATGTATATATCTGTCTGTTTAAAATTTGAAGTTTTTCTACTCCACAAGAAGGTTGAAAAATTTGGATCCTTTAATAGATGAATATGAATATATATATGTGTGTGTGTGTGTGTGTGTGTGTGTGTGTGACTAGTAGTTTAGTATGAGACGAACTAATTTAATGAAGCCCTAACTATGAGCGAGCGAACTCGAAAATCCACCCGGCACCCAGTGAAAGCTACTAGGTGTCTTTATAAAATTCTGCCAACCAATCCCCAGAGCACAACCCGGCAGCAGGCAGCCTTTCAGTCACCAAGTAAAATAAATCGGTCGAGGCTGTTAGTATAAGCTTGTAAAATACTAGGAGGGTCGTTGGGCCGCAAATGACGGAACCATTTAGCTCCAACTGAGCTGTGTGGCTCTTATAGTAAGTATAGGCCGCTTCCAATTGTCAAGAAAATGACTGAGAGGATGGCCAATGGTATCATGTGCTCTACCTTCATTACTGAAAAGAAAGTAAGCAATCATGTATGTTTCAGGAGATATCAACCCACTAATGGCCCCGAAGTTCCAGCTAAACTTAGGCTGGTGAAGAGTTAGACGCCTCTAAGAATAGCAATAACGTCATTGATACTCTGAACACATATAGGGAGGAAGACAAACGCCCCGTAGGGGACATCAATTATAAATCCTTACTTAACCATCAATGTCCAAACCGCTGTTCGGCGAATCATATAGTCTGAAATCATGACATCTTCACTCTTGTGGCCGTCCCGATCTTACAATGGAAGTTGCAACCGATCCACAGAGAAACCGATACCTGTCGAGGAGTTCGACGCAGAAGTATTTTCGTGTGGAAGAGCTGCAAGTACCCGAAGAACTGTTGAGAAGACAGAGAAAATCCTAAAAGATCTAAATGGGGACAGCCTAGGAGGTATAGTTCTGATTTTCTGTTTAGATGTTTGCTCCAGAATGAGAAGAGTGACGGTTATGACGGCGATTTCGCGAAGAGGAAGGTTGATATAAAAGCTTGAGCTTCATATTAGCACACTGCTGGAAGAAAAAATTAAGAAACTTCACCATCTCTAGGTAGTAAAGACTCCACCCATCAATGGTCCAGCAAAAAGTCCAAGTTGATGAAGACATGTCTCAATTTTAGCTTCAGGGTCAATTTTTTAAATATTGAAACAACACCAACCTCCCATTGTGAATCCAATAAACCGTTTCAGGGCCCGCTAACAAACTAAGCTTCGTTATCATGGCGCATGCCATCAATCTCATATTCAAGTTAACAGCACGTTTTTCGAGAGGTACGCAACTGGTTATTATAATAAGAGCACGGTTTATGATTTCAACAGCCCTTAAACTAGCAACAGCAGGACCTAGTATTAATAAGGAACAGCGACTCCACTGAGTACGGAGCCAAACTGAGGATTCCGAAGAACACCAGGAAGATTCATTGTGATGAAATTTGTCAGTCATTGACAGGGCTGAAAGAGTTCATACACCAACTTTGGTATTAAAATGAGTATAAATTTGCCTGTAAACGGCTTGTTAGCTGCATTCAATTGATCTCAACCCTCACCACGTTCAAATGATCCGAAAGTAAGAGGATTTGGCTCATCTCCCGAACTTTACGCACTAACATACCAACCAACATCCATGAGAGAATTAAGCTGGCTCCTAAAGCTTGGAATATCCTATAATTACAGTGAAAGAGCAACCACTTAGAAATTCAAATCATAGATGTGCTGCATACAAGTTATTGTACCAAGAACCTCCGCATCCACTAGCATGAGAAAACATGCCATGGCTACACGGCAACATACCTATCCATGCCATCCGTCAGCCTGCATATACAGTACTAGCGCACTGCTACTAGCTGAATGGTCTTTTCACACCAAAACTCAATCACTTTAAAATTTTGTAATAATTTTGATTGAAATAAAAATATAATCAAAAAAAATAAAAAAACTACTTCGAATTAAATATAGAATTAAAATTTTTCAAATTGTTTTTTTGAAAATTTTAAAATAATATAACTAAGTTTGAAATGATGATACAAGATTTTGAGTCGATTTTTCCAATAAAATAAGTAAAATCTAAAAATTCAAAATTCAAAATTATAGAACTTTATTAATTAATAATTAAAAAATTTAAGAATCAAGATTATAGAATCTCTAAATGAATATTTTTAAGTTTACAAAAGGGCTTATGGCTAATAGCAGTGCACGGTTACCGTAAAGACTCGCGTAGTGTTAATCCTTGTATTGTCGTTAGTAGCCCATCACATTCCGGGTTCCAACTCCAACAGTTAGCCCCACCGGCATGCTATCCTACCATAGCAATTCGTAACTACAAACCAAAAGTTGGGCTACAAAAGTTCTCGATAAACAGGATGAAATCCACTTGCTCTACCTGTCAACATATGTTTTGCTTTCGTTTTCTTACAGTTGCAAAGTTGAAGACTTCAAGTTTTACTGCATTATTCCAGTCAAACTCCAATTCGTTTTATCAAGTAGAATCAAGATTCTTACCAGTACCAATACGTGCGATATCTTCTGTCACACCTCTTGAGCCTACAGGCCTTATTGCAAAAGAGGGTATCGGTACGTGTGATTTTCCTGCGGAGCTTTGGCGCTTTATGAAAGTTTTAGGCGATCGTGAGAGCTGATATGGAGTAGAGCTACTTACATTTTGGACGCCTAATGGATACAAGATCTCCATCCTCCTTGAGGAGTTAAAGGTAGGTATTTAGATGATGATATATCGCTTAGTGCACTAGGAACTTTGAATAAATACTAACTACTACCTACAGGCAGCATACGGCAAGACGTATACTTGACAAAACATCAAATGTATTCCAAAACAAACAAAAGAGTCCCTAGTATACCGCCATTAATCCTAACGGTCGTGTCCCTGCTATAGTCGACCATGACCGCTCTGACTTTGCCGTCTGGGAATCATCCGCGATCTTGGCCTATCTTACCCGCCACTACGATCTATCTCATCACTTCTTCTTCCCCATTGAATCTGATGACTATTCTCGGTGCGAACAATGGATAGCATTTCACCATGCTGGTTTAGGTCCTATGCAAGGCCAAGCAAACCACTTCTACCGTCTCGCCAAAGAGCGTATGCCTTACCCTACTCAGCGCTATATCAGCGAGTGTGAGCGACTATACGGTGTTCTTGACCGCTTTCTGGCAGATAGGAATTATCTTGTCGGTCCTGGACGTGGAAAATACAGCATTGCTGATATTGCCAACTTTACGCAGGTTAACGCAGCTTATTTCCAGTATTGAATTTGAAAAAATTCCCGAATTTGCGGACTTGGTGCGACAGGATCAATGCTCGGGAGGGTGTACAGAAGGGGATGGAGGTGCCACAGGCAAGCGGCTTGGATAATAAGGCTTGGTTGAAGCAGTTGGAAACTGGGAGCGGGAAGTTCAAACAACAGGAGGCTAATCTCCAAAACCTGTTGGCGGAGTATGAATTTCAAGGAGAGAAGAAGACTTGATCTTGATTTACATGGATTATATTGTGAAAGAGTTGGAATTACAAATCATATACGTAGAGGTTTTCAATAGCTCAATCACATAACCTTCCGTAATTAGATATAAAAAGAGGTTTTCGCCCTTTTTTTTTCGATAATCAATCAACTCTTTATATATCACTTTTAAAATCCAAATCGTTTCAATTTCAATTCCATTGTGAAATCTATTTTTTTTATAAGTAACTTATTACAATATGATCTAATCAGTTTCCCTTTCCCATTTCCTTTTGCATTGTGTTATCGGAATGCACGTATCTCGACCACTCTCGTTTACAATATCATAGTAACACGTAATATCCAAACACAAATTTATACTATCATTTGGAATAACTACCAGTAATCTGATAAGCGTTGTCTTCTCTATGTATGAGTACAAAAATGTATTTGCTTCTTCTCTTAGTGCTTGTTCAATGCCATAAATTAGAGGCTTTCCAGAGAAATCATACATTATTTGGAGTTTATAATTTCAAGACGAAGACAAAAGATTTCTCGTCTCGTCATTTTGTACATTACAACAGTGGTATAATCAGGAGTCATTTGAATTGAATCGTCTCAGCATGAAAATAGAGTACTGAGCAAGAACAAACGTAATTGAGATAAATATCTCTGTCCAGGATATTCTCTACCTCCCTTTTGCATTTCTATACATTTCTGACTTTTGAAACGAAGAAGCTTGAAGCAAAAGAGCTGAGCTCCCTACTCTATATCTACCTAATCAGATTCAAAAATACATCAAACAAAACTCGAAATAAAATCTACAGCCTGTCTATCCATAAATTTTAAAAACGCCTAGTTAGTATAAAACATAAAAATAGATGTTGGTGACACTAGCAACACCCAACAATCAAGTTCGCACTATCTATCTACGTGCCCTATAAACAACATATAAGGAGATCTAGAATATCACGTACTAATCAAATACAATTCAATTTAAGAAACAGAAGTTCTTCGTAATTTATCTACGCTTACAACCGGCTACTTTGCCAGCAATGGAATATGGGTTGGTCATAATTATGTCAAACAATTGCAAACAGCTTTCGGATGCGTCGCATCGTGAGATTTTACTTCTCGCTTAATTACGGGGAATAGTTAGGTGATGAATAAGTGATGACGCTTGTGCCTCACAGATGTTAGATACATCACGCCCTTAACCTTACTATATGCACACCTTATATGCATTGTGCCATCGCCTTGCATTAATGCGAGCACTACAGCATTTTCCGTCCAACATTTTCAAAAAATGCGGCGTATACAATTTCATCAGGGGATCTGCTCTTCCTCTTTTTCTCAAGACAAATAAATATTCAAGAACTTCTTCTGTGCTACTCGGAGAGTTTTGCTTTGATCAGCTAGACAACTTAAGCTTTGACAGTTTATTCGCCTACTTATTTATTCACTACTGGTTCCTCGGCATCATTTTTTGTTCAATAAGTCGCGTTCGTTACTACGTTGAATGTTCAGTATATATTCTAGGAAGCTTAGTTTAAGCTTAGTTTGAGAGCGGATAGCTAGATAATCTGCCAGATTGCTTTGGGTTTTTGGTTTCTACACTACCAAACCAAAATAAATCTACATCGAAACTACTCACTCATACAATACACATCCTCCAATTCCAACACAAAATGGAAGCTCTAATCACACAAACCAAGCAATTAGCCGAGAATGCCAATGAAACAACACGCCAGCAACTAATCGAGCAACTTCGCGAACTTATCTATTCCCTCGAGACAGAAGATGATACGATGCAAAGACTACTATACCGAGTAAGTAACGACAAAACCCCACCGTAAAGAATTCCACTCACATCCGATCTCAGCAGCTGGAAATAGTAATGATTAGAGTAGGAGAAGACCTGGGGCTCTTCGAGCTTCCAAGTTCTAGTGCGAACCCTTTGATTATCGAAGAACTTTCCCAGGAAACGGGTGCTGCACCTGTATTACTCGGTCGTATATTGAGATATCTTGCTTCGATGAAACTTATCAACAAGACGGGAAAATATCAGTATACTTCTACCAAAATCACCAGAACACTCGCTGTATCCGGTAACAAAGCTGGTATTTATCATCAGTAAGTATGACACTTCTCTAGTATATTTAGTAGGTAAATTCTAATACTGTGCAGATTTGAAGACGAAGATTGCGGGGATCGGAGGTCGGATTATCGTGCAAGAATTGCCTAAAGACAGCAACCTGCGATCTGGACAGGACCAACCACACGACGCCGATGCAGCTGCAGCTAGGGAAAAATCTGTTGAGACCACCATCCATAACGTTTATACCCCTCAGCCCGTGAAAAGTACGTAATAATAAATAATCCTTCACAAATTATCTCCGGAATCCTTCCTAATCAGCTGACAACCACAGATGCAAAATTCTACTACATCCGAAGTGTATTCCACGACTTTCAAGATGAGAAGTGCCGTTCTATTCTGCGCAACATAGTGCCAGCAATGGGTACGGAATCGGTAATTCTCATTGACGAAAAGATATTCCCCGATTCCAATGTCAACTGGAAGATGACGCAAATCGATATTTCAATGATGGCATGTTTTGCATCTATTGAGCGGACAGAGGCCATGTGGGACGCTTTGCTTGATTCGGTTGGACTTAAGATTGTAAGAAAGTATCTTTATCAGCCCGAGTTTTCTGACAGTGTTTTAGCTATTGAGCGCAAGTGAAATGTCATTCTACTTTTTGAATTGAAAAAATCCTGAAAGTAGACGAGTAAATTGAGGTTAAAAAAAAGCCGGATATCTACATGAATCAATTAGTTGGCTAGCTAGTTTCCGAGTAGATTGATCAAGTCCATTTGAATAAACAGCACTTTAGCAAGTAGCTTCAATAAAATTGTTCGAGTGAAGATGTTGAGACAACTCACATACATGATAAATCCAGCAACTGAGTATTCGGCCATCTCCTCGGGGCCGCGAGAGACTGGAATGCAATAGAACTTCAGAGTTTCTAGGACTTTCTTTCTGCGGAGAATTTATAACTCCCGCCTTAGGTGTCTAAGTAAGCTTATCAACAACCCTTTAGAGAACCTGAAGACCCCTGACTATGAAATGCTTAAAAGCGCCCAACCCCCTCCTTTCACACCAAATTTTCTTCATGTTCAAAGCATTTTTCTTTCTTGGACATAAGAGCCACCAATAATGCCATCCAGTGTATCCAATAATCTGCCCACATTCCGTCCCGACAGTCATCCAGATAGCTAATCTATAATTTTAATAGATTAGATAGATTATTTAGGGGGTTTTAATATAAAAAAGCCGGATTAAATAATCTAATATTAAAAAATCTAGATCACAATTCAAAAGACTATTAAACTAAATGAAATTAATAACACGATTCAAATATTATATAATATTTGACTTATATAAAAAGCCTATCCAATCCAAAAGTCTAACTTACTTGTTCAGACTACAATCTAGCCTGTTGGGGATACAAATTATTCTAAATAAACTATTTAACCTTCAGGTTCTAATGGATTTAAACTTGATTATTTATAATTTAATTTAAACCATCTAGTCCATCCCGCAGTCTAGATTATTGGACAACACTGATGTCATCAGCAAAAACCAACCAACAAAAAGTAAATACCCTCAATTTCAGCAGCTCAATAACACAGTGTTATTAACACTACCAGCTCAACCGACAATATCACAAAAAGAGATCCATCGAACTATTTTATAATAATAAAGCATCATAAAACAACCAACTAACTCTCTTGCAAACATAACAGACCTCACTCACTCACTCACTCACCCATGCATTTATTTAATAAGATGCCAACACCTCTCAGCTCAGTCAATTCCACAGTTCCAACTCCAGCTGTCTATTGGTATCTTTGAATGTTTTATATATATTGTGAGAAAGTTGGAATTATAGGCCAAATACATAGAGGTTTTTAACTAGTCAATCATATGACCTCTTGTAATTAGATATAAAAAAGCTTTTGCCTCTTCTTTTCACAATAATCAACCTTCTATATATATACATTTGAACTTATATAACATCAACCCCAAAACTATTATAAACCTCATTTTACTTATAAATGACATATTACAATATAATCTAATTCAGCTTTCTCTTCCAAATCCCTCCTCACAGCATGCTATCGGGACGCACGTATCTCGACCTACCACTTTTACAATATATATAGTATTTTGATAAGTACTTAGCACAGGTGCTTAGCCTCTCGAGCTAGTTGTAATTCGTGTAGGCGGAGACCTTAGGATATACGAATTTAATAGTTGCACACAAAACACCCATGAGTGTTGATGCATTCGCAAAGGACTCAGGAGCCAGTCCCCAATTGTTAGGTTCGAAAATCCCTGCACCCAGATGTAATGAAAAGAGAACGATTGTATCATCATGCTATACTATGCTATGTTATGTATGCTATGCTATGCAATGCTATACTACGTAAACCCATGCCATGCCATGCAAAAGGTCAACCATGAATTTTAACCGACTCATCGTCCAAGCAACGTCAGAACACAAAAAAAAAGAGAAAAGAATTCAGGAAATCCATCAAGGCGGCAAAAAGAGGTAATAATTCGATACCTAGCTGATGGTATGGTTGATTCCATTATTGATCCTATCAACCAATTTAATCTTCATAAGCATCACCATATTCCCACATACCCTGACGATTCTGTCTAGCTTGAGTTTGACTGAGAGTCAAACTCTTAATAACATCAGCAAATCCCTTTTCCCAACCCTTCAACTTAGTTGGAACCATGCTAAGACCCATAGCTACAACATCATTATTGATACTATCAGTCAAATTTTGACTCTTAGCATCGAACAAAGTGACATATAAAGTTCCATCTGGAGCTGTATAATCCACATTTGCAACAAGTTCTCTACCAGCTGTGTTGTGGGTGATAAAGTCAATTGCTTCCTTCATGTAATCGTTATTTGTAGGGAATTGAAGAAGAGTTAAAATGGCATCCACAGCTTGTGGACGAAGCTTCTGAGTTGAGAATTGTGGTTGAGAAAGTGGTCGAAGACGTGACCAGGGAATCTTTTCGCCGTTACCATAATCGATGTAGACAACTTCTGCCTCCTTAGCAGTACGATCATTCGAGCGTATGCGAGCACGGTACCATTGACCATCCTCAGTAAACTTGGCTGCAACATAATCACCTGCCTTAGGTGGACCAGGGAGACCAGCTGAGTTGGATGGGTTCAGATGGAAAGATTTGAATTGGGTCATCAAAGTCTCAAGAGCCGAAGTACCAGTGCCGATGATTTGAAGTTTTAACTTTCCATCTTCAGCAATTTCGGTAACAACAACATCTCGGTAATCTTTTTCTCTCTTGATCGGAGCGACATCGTCATTGTCATCGTTGGCAGGTGGGTATTCTTCCTCTTCTTCATCTAACGATGGATCCCAATCTGCCCAGATACCCTTTCGAGCATCCTTTGCACGCTTCTCAGCTGCTAATAATTCCTTTGAATTTCCGGATTGTTCGGCTGAATGTTGATGAACTGTAGCATAACCTTCTTCAACCAAAATTTTACCAAAGCTCTCCTTATTTATATAAAGCTCGCCAATGAAGCCACCAACTTTATCGGTATTATGTACATCGATTTCAACATCACGTTGTGATAGTCTTCTCGTAGCAAGATCGTGCGCTTCTTTACCAAATGGTTCGCTCTTTTCGCTTGGATTTCTCGCGGATTTGGGAGCTCGAATACCAGCAAGAACGAAGTTTAATTTGATGCCTTCACGAGGGACGAGTACAACAAATCGACCACCGCTTTTGACAAAATCAACAATGGCTGGAACTTTCTTTTGTCGTTGTAATGTTCCAACATGTAATTTAGCCTTTTGGACAGTTTCGGATGCATCAAGATATTGCTTTGCCTTGGCAACCTTTCCAGACCACATTCCTTTCTTTTCTTCCTTAGCTTTCTCTTGCGCAGCCAAAAGTTCATCATAATTAGGAGCTCGGTCGGTGTCATCTCGGCGATGGCGGATTACTGAGGCCCAACCTTCCTGGACTAATTGCAAACCAAGATTCTTGTCATTAAGAGTAACCGTGGCAACTTCCTTTGCATCATAATCTTCGGTGCCCGGTCTTGACCCATCAATACTAATTCGGACATGCTTTCCAATGAGGCGTTTTCGAAGGAATTCCTTGGCTTCATCTCTGAAGGGGGATTCAGATGGCTCGGTAGGTCTAGGTCCACGGATACTACTGATGTTTATGCGCTTCTCAACACCGGCCTTGTTCTGAACATAAATTTGATCGGCGCTGAAAATCTTGGTAACTGTTGCCTCAAGACTTCCACCTGAACTACTGTTCTTTGCAACATGGTCCTTGAAGAGGCCGAGCTTGGCATGTTGTGCCCGCTTTTCAGCCTCACGTAATGCCGCCATGTCTGAGCCAAGAAGTGTAGAGTGAAAATCGGTGCATCGTGCAAGTCCAGCTTCGAGGATGAATTTGGCAATGGTTCCTTTAGGATGTATGACTGAAGCGATGAGTTGATTTTGCGGGCTGAGTCCAAGGATATGTAATTTAACATTTCTTTGCAATAATCGTTCCTCGACGAAATGTCTTGCTTCGTTTCCGAACGGTTCGGCAGGAGCAGTTTGTCCATTCGATGGGTTAACTCTCTCAGTAGCTGGTGCGCGGATACCAGCAACCAAAGTCATAACTAAATATTATCAGCATGATCATTTGAGCACATGAATGCAGCAAGCTGACCTTGGATATGCTGTGTGGGAGAAACAATCAAACGCACAAGCATTCGATCACCGCTCAATACACGTTCGACCAAACCATCGACTGTCTTTCCCTTCCACGTATCCAAGAAATTTTGGGAATTGCCCATGTCATGTTGAACCTCGATACGTCCACCATTGGCTTGCCATAAACCCTTGTCTTCGCTGCGTGCGGTAGCTTCGTACAAACGTAATGCATCGAGTTGTTGAAGAGCCGATTCGGAGTCTTCTTTTCGACCCGCGTCTTCTCTTAATTTGATCCAACCTTCCTTTATCATTTCTTCGGGTAATTTAGTTCCATCGTTGAGGAAGACAAGTCCGTATTCGCGCTTAGTATTTGGAATCTGGTACAATACTTGAAACTGTACCACCTTGCCCACTACTAATTTTCGCAAAGCGTCGCGGGACTCAAAAGCAAACGGTTCATCGCCCTCCTTTCGCAGATGTGGCGAAGTGCAATAAGCTAGGGACAAAATGCGCTCGCGATCAGGATTTTCGATTGAGGAAAGGACAAGACTGTCACCGCTCAAGACGGATTTAACTCTGGCTTGGTTGAGAACCATTTTGCTGTAATCGGACGGAGGGACGTTGGCAAGTCGTTTCTTTCCAAGGGGTGGAATTCGAGGACTAGGAAATGGTTCAGGGAGGTTAGCAGATTCATTAGAAATCTTTGAAGTCGTTGAACTGTTAGAAGATTTGCGGTCACTATGATTGCCTGCCGCAGAGCCTATCTTTAATGTTTTGACACCCATTTTGAATAGAAGAAGAAGAGGAAGAAGAAGTCAATTAGGTTGTAGTTGTAATTCTGTTGAATAGGAATTGAGTTAAAAGAGTCGTTCCTTTGGGCTTAGGTTGGAGATCGTAGGTCGAGGAAGTTAAAGGGTTTTATGGTATGGAAGCTGAATTTCGTAAAGGACCGTACAGGACCTAAGGAGGTAGGTACATGTAGTTATGTTTCTCGTTTAGAAGGATAGAGAGATATAAGTGATGTACCGTATGAAATGTAGCTTTTGAGCAGAAGTGAATTTCGAAAGAAAAGTAGGATGTGCGGAATTGAAATAAACTTTCCAAATCTGGATTGTAGGACTTTCAAAGGTGAGAAGTTCTTTCTCTGTAGTTTGGTTGCTTGTTGATCATCGAGCGAATGAATTTATCATGGTGAGATTGATAAACTGAGGCCAGTTCCTTTTTCTATGGTGCCAGTAGATAGGTAGTAGTCATCAATCTCCTTTTCTTCATAAATTCACTCTTCCCAACCAATGAATCTAATCCCAACTTCTTTTTTCCCAATTTGTCTACTCATAGCCGTCTCGACCTTCATCTCACTGGTGTGTATTGCGGATTGCGGCAGGCAGTTCTTGTATACAGTACCTTTACATATGCGGTCAGGGGAAGGGGGGAGGAGGGGATGGAAATGAAAATGGAAATGGAAATGGGAAATGGGAAATGGAATATTGTACGACTTACATAAAAATGCAGAAGAGTAGTAATATGCTACAGTTCTTTCTCTAGCAAATATGCGGAATACAATTGTGTGTATGTCCAGGTGTTCAATGTTCAGGAGAGACTCGAATATATAAAGTATTTAATGTCTCCTTCTTTATAAAGGAAATTATATGATAAAAATAGAAAGAGGTCAAGTGTTCTCTTGGAGCTTCACCACATTAGATGAGGCTACATTTTATACATGTAATTCCATTACCTGTAAGGTCCCATGGAACCCTTGATGTGGGGTAAAGATATCCCATGACTTATTGGTTTATGAAGCGAGAATCTGGTCAAATGAAGCTCTCATCCATGGTTGAAAAGTGGTCTGAAAGCTGTTCGGAAGATCATGCTTGAAATCTGTGGTGAACGAGTATTTCCGGCTGAGAGTTGGATGTAGCTGAGAGGGGAATAATGAATTGTACCATCTTGTGCTCCTGTCATATGCTATCATCATGGCCGATGTTATACTCGAGTGATTGAGATGATGACAGAAGATAACCTTAATAATGAATCTAATTCATAACCAAATAACTAAAATTTCATACTATCGACTCTAGCATCACATAGTACCTACCTAATAAATCTCAATGCCGGGCGGGGTAACCGGAGCTTACTGGAGCTTACTTGAACTTGGGCGAGGGGCGAGGGGCGAGGGGCGAGGGCGAGGGCAAAACACTAGCCTCAGACACCAGTCTCAAATGATGCAATATTTGGGTGCATTGAGCTGATTGATGGATTGACAGATTTGCTCAACCAATTTGCTCAACCACATTCCTAGGTATTCAGTTCGACTCAAGTTTGCAAATGCTATAGTTATAGCTATGGGTATTCGTGATTCAGCTCTATATAGCCTTCAACCCACTTCAAACAATGGTAAAGGTCAAGCATAGTGTTGACTTGGACAAAAGTAATGGAGTTTAACGGCTGCTCTTTTGCTAACCCTAAACACAGCAGAGGTAACTAAGCTAAACTACTACCAATACCCCTTTTCCCATTTTCATCATATCATTTCATTTCGTTTCATACCATTGTGTGTACTAAACCGTTTATGCAGCAATACCAATAACACCTATAGAAAAGCATTAGTGACGTGTCAATACATGTATCTGCAATAAGAAATAGCATACCGCAAGCTGGTCTGGTTCCGGCGTTACCGGTCTTCTTGGACTCTTCAGTGTCTCCTCTGCCGAGGTCATCAGTTCCGGAGTGGACGACAACGGTACGCTATGATGGTTGTCAGTATTTGCATATAATGTTTTGATGGAAATACCTACTCCAATAACACTCAATGGGCCAATCAACTTAATCTGACTATCTTCAACAGAGCCAGTGCCATTTCCTTGGGCATCAGTCTTGAAGTTTCCGAGATCACCTACATGGCGGACCTCATCGGTAGGAGCACCATGGGTTTGGCCGTGTGGGTTGACTAAAGAATTGAATCAGCCTCATGATGCACTATATTTATTTCTGTCCAGGACTTGGGGATCGTACAATGGGGACCGGCAGATGTGCAACCGTTAGTGTTATCACCGAATTGATGAACGTGCATGCCACGCTCAGCATTTGGGTCGTTTCCAGAGATGTTCCATGTGATGATGGTTGGGGAAGACTCGTCGGCTTGCTCGAAAGTGACGGTACCGGAGACCTTGGAGTCACCTCGGACGGTAGCAACTAAAAAAGAGGAAAGAGTAAGATTAGCACATGACATTCATTTTGATGGAGAGGAATCCAATCTAAAATAATGTAATATTGTAGTATTGTAGATTAGATGCTTGATTGGAGATAGTGTGCCCATCAGGGTTATCCCATTGTCAATGAAAATGTGCTCAAAAGCTCTCTAGTTGACCCCGCCATTGGTTACAGCGTTAAATATGCGGGGTAACGGCAGAGATTGAGATGTTAGATATAAAACGTACCTGCTTTAACCATTTTGATGAATTAGTGATGAATTTGTTGATTTGCAAGTTTGCAAGTTTCTTGAAGATAATCTTTGGATGTTGTTGTCGTTTTGCAAGAAGCAGTAGAATGGGAAAGAAAGAGGGGTGGGAACTGGTGGAAGGAAGCTTTGAACATTCCGGCGAAAGTGGGGTTGCTGGATCCATCATCCATCTGTATGATTATCAATTCAATAAACCATCTTGAGTCCGTCTAACACCGAGCGAATCAAAGCAACGGACTTGTGGTATATTGTCACGTGCATTTATTGAAACGTTGATGTCCTGTCTGTTTTGTGATGATCTTTTCGTCATTGTCAACTTTGTAGTACTTTGGTGATGCCATGTCGGATGATGATGGCTGGCCTTATTTCATGGAACTTCTAGTAAAATCTCCAGGTCAAGGCCAACAGTGCAATTCAAGGGTTTCTAGTGCCCGATGCGGTTCACTGATGATTATGACTCATAGCTGATTTATACTCAAAGGAATATTATATATTCTACCGGGATCTTTCCGAATAATTACATCAGTTACTGCCCGTGGCCTATCCGGCAGGACAAAAAACCCAAAGGCTTTTCGTAGCTGAAATTCTCATGATAATCTGAAAGTATAAGATAACCTGTCGAGTTGACACAGTGCTACTCTGGACGCTAGATAAGGAGATGAGTGTTCTTGAAAGTTGTCATGCTCGAGACATTGCAACATTATGACATACTTAGGTCATTACACAGCGCGAAGCCCATCTTCAACACTCGACGATGCCATTACTGCCTCGAAGTTCTGGAATGCATTGATGTTTTCGTCTTTGATGTTTGGAAATAGCTAAAAGGTTTGTCGTGTCCCGTTTGCCCCTTTCATGACGGTTCCGATGCTAATGCTGGGGTTAAGAAGAATAGAATGGCGCTGGTGATGCAGATGAGGTTTGAGAGCGTCTCTCCCCACCTAGATCCGTTGTAGCAGCAGGTGCCGTCGGTGTTGAGGGGATCGTGGTACTGTGGCATTGTAATTGTTTGGTGGGGAAGCTGGCTAAAAGTAAGGGGAGGGCAGAAGTAGGAAGATTTTATGTAGGATGGTAGTTTGAAGGGCCGGAAAAGTGTAGTTTGACTATTTATGAGGTCAAATAACACTTGCCAGAGTACACTTCCGAGTTTCTTTTTAACGTTCTTACGAACTCGAGCAACATTGTGCTTATTCGACTACCGGCATATAATTGTGAGCGGAGGGATAGTAGCAATACGCAAAAGCATCATCAAAAGTGCATAGTTTACAAAGACGGTGCAGTAAGTAATTAGTCTTCTAGAACGGTACCTCTAAAGCGTTACGAACTTCAATGGTGTCACGGAAATTGACAAGGATGTGCAACGGTTCCTTAAGGCTTAAGGCTTAAGGCTTAAGGCTTAAGGCTATTTAGAAAAGGCCGCTCGAAAAGGGCCCTTCAAAAGAAAAGCGATCCCCACAGCCCAAAGACATTCTAATATCTGATAATGCGTTGGCTTATTATGAACCAGTCCTCAATTCGTTCTTGTGACACGTGTAGCTATAATTTATAGTATTAGAATGGTAGAGGATGCTCATTCGAAATATTTAATAGATTGAATACCAGAAGATCTGAAAATAGAGTAGCCGTTTTTAATCTCTGCTTCGGAGTTCATAGGACCAACTCTAACTCTTTCATAGTATGGGATCCACGTGCGTGGTCACTTCAATGACTTTGGGGAAAGATTACTATATGAACTTAACCCCTTAAATAAACCTCTTCTGGTAAGAATATAAGATTGACATGAAAAGAGTATAAATGAAGGCGGCCTTTTATCCCTCAATTAAGGAGCCAATCCATAATTCAGAGAATAACCTTATTCGACACAATGTTTCAGGAATTTCCAACAGCGGATCTCAAAATGCTATTTAAAATAATTCGTATACGTATCGTATTAGTCACAGCCCTACCGTGAGGCTTGACTTCTGCTTTCTTTTCCTGTGCCATCGTTTGATCTAATGTAAGATTAGAATGTATGAGCGGGGCGTGGCTTTGGGTCGGTAACAGATATACTCCGTTGGTTATGATTATGATCATGAGCATGAATGAATGAATGAATGAATGAATAATAAATCAATGGAAAGGCAAAGTCAGCAAATGTAAAATATCGTCTTCTTACCACCATCTGAATGGCCAAGATATCTTCAATGAGATAAATTTATTAAACTACCAGTATGATCCATCGACAAAATATACTCCATCATTGATAACTTTTAGAAAGGGCTGAATATAAAAGTCATTCAAAATGTCTAATCTTAGAATGATTTAGATGTATAATTACACCATTTCTTACCATATCACTTTGTAAAGAGTGGTGGTCACTCAACCAATCAAGATTCGAGAGCTTGCGACGACAATCAGCTCCAGAACATTATCCAAAAGATAAAAAAAATTAAAGTCGAAAGAGGCATATACGAGTTCACAAATAACCTTCGAATAAGACAAAAAGCATCACATCTTTCACTTGACTCACATAGTCGTTCAGTCTGCTCCCTCATTTATTTAAAAGCTACAAAATACCATCATATTGCAGTGTTTGGTTATCATAACACTAAATAACACTTAACCCCCACAGCAAAATCCGAAGGATTATACCTGGTCCAGATAGATTGATTTATACGGAGACTCCGAAGACCGTATTGCATTCTCTCACATTGTCGCAAAATCTGGGCAATCAAGCATTTTTACACGAACACCGCGCATAGGCCTAAGATTGAGACGTCGACATACGCTGATTATCTGGGAACCTCGAGCGTCGCTGAAACTCCATTAAAATCGACAGACGGCATATCTTCCCCTTGAACTCAACATCCCCCAGCGGCCGAATGTGCATTATCTCGACTCTCTGATTGCGCGCAGAGCATGCAGGTACTCGTTAAAAAAGTCCCCCAACGTACAACCACCATAAACTAGCTAGTCGATTCGCAGATTATTACGTTTCTTGCTGTACATACAGGTCCATCGAAACTTGAGCCCTTGCGCAGATTTGTATTGTCGCAACCATGTCCTTCCACGCAAATGGTGGTCGACGTTACGGACATGTACCTCCAGCACAATATGGTGCACCAACGGGTCAGCCTTCAAATAATTCGAGTCAAGGCTTGCAGAGACAGTCTAGTTTTGACAATGGAGATGATGCTGCGTTTTTTGATCCGAGTCATAGCGGTTACCAGCCTGCCCCTCCATCCTCGACGAGGGCTTCAATGCCAGCAGAGGATTTATACATGTCAAATAACTCAATGAGTCCGCATTCGCCTGGCAGATCATCATTTGGCGCACCTAGTAGTCCAGCTCTGTCAGGATACCAACATCAATATCAACCCTTGAACGGGCCTCAGTCCCCCTCACTTACCCAACAACCATCATATAACCCCCAGAACTTTGTCAGGTCCCAATCGCACTCACAGCCATCTCAATATCGGTCTCAGGCCCAGTATAGCCCGAGCCTTTCTAGCCAACATCAATACTCAAATTCTACATCTTCAAGTCATCAGCCGTATAATCCTGCAGCTTATCAACCATCGCAGTATCCCACGCGCGCCTCATCGTCTGCTTCTGCATACAATAACTACAATAATTACAATAACTCGTATGCGCAGACTCCTACCTCTGCATCAGGATCCTATTGGTCCTCATCATCCCCTCCAGCGCGCGCAAGTGCCATATATGAGAGCTACATGGATTCGCCACCTATGAGAAGTCCAAGCTATGCTACTCACTCGACTCCCTTACCACCGCCTCCGAGGCAGGCTTCGTACAATCCGCCACCTGCGGCTCCGTATCCTGTCAACGGGGACGCCTTTGCTGAAGATGATTACATGAGGAATACACAAATGCCCACATACCCAAATTTCCCCGGTGGTGTACTTCGAGAAAATTCAACTGACTCCATATCTCAAGATATCCCTCCCATTCCCCCGCCCAAACGGTCTTCAACAAACTCTTCGGGTGCTCCGGTGATGAGTATGCCTGCGTCTCCTGGAACTACATTACAAAGACACCCAACACAAAGACCGTTACCCAGTGCGCCAATGGAACAAAATACGGGAGATGAAGATGACTGGGGTTTAGCATTACAAGGTAAGACAGATGAAGAACTTGCCCAAGAACAAATTTTTGCAGATATAGGAGATGCCCTTGGACCTTCCCACCGGAATGGAGACCTTCGGGATGGTGAACTACATCGATATGATTCAAGAGCAACTACTGTTCATTCTGGTGCTGGCGTTGACCGTTTTCCATCTACAGCTTCTACATTACATTCCGAACAGACTATCTATGATGGCTATGATGATGACGAGAGTGATTTGGAAGCAGTTGCGGGTCTCGAAGCTATGCGCATTGCCGACGAACAGGAATCTCAAGGGCTAAGTTCGGGGAGCTTAAGTTTTGGTGGACTATACGAAGGGCACTTATCTTATTATGAGACAGCACACCAGGATCAATATTCCCGCGAGGAAAGCAGTGATAGCGACTACAAAGGTATGGATCTGGGCCTTGCTGGTGGTGGCTATGACGCACATATGTCCTATGGAGATGATTTTGCGGGGATGAGTGCAGAGCATAGCAGTGAGATGGAAGACCAGAGTCGGCCATTACCGACGCCACATCAACTTAGTCGTTCTGACAGCCGTCTTCAGAGAGGTAGTTTGGGAGGAATGGCTGATTACTCAATGCCAGGGGAGGGTGAACTTCATCCTTTTCCTGCTTTTGAGGAAGCGAGGGTTGATAATTATGGTACTGGTGGTTTAGAAAGGCCAACGTCTCATGCTCACCGGTTGAGCTTTGACGAAGGGGACGAACATTTAATCCAATCTCGAATTTTAGATTCAAGGCAAAGTGGTAGGTCTGGAAGTGATAGCCCCACGAGAGATGAGATGCCAGATATGTTCTACCATCCAGGAATGACACCGGGATCTTACCAAAGGCCTCTCCCTGCAGTGCCTCCAATGTCCGAAAATAGGACACCTCAGTTACAAGCAGCTGGCTCTTACCGTAACTCGCATGGATATTCGCACTCCTACTCTTCAAGTATCGATAGTGCGAGACCTTACCCTCCTGGTGGACCAGACGCATATGCACAGAACGCCCTTCAGCCTGCCCTTCAATATGTTCCAAGATCATCGTCACTCCATAGTCATAGCAGTACTGCACAAACAATACCTCCAGTCCGATCGAAAACAGATGCAGAGGAGCGCCAAGCCAGAGCAAGAGGTAACAGACAATCCATGCTACGGTCCGCCGCAGGATTAGATGGCTATGATGCATCTACTCCGCAGTCACTAGGGACGCTTGATTTACCCGCCTTACCCGCCGGTCGTCGTAAGAAATTTTCTCCTGGGAGATTATCGACAGCAGATTTCCGGAGATGTACAGAACCATGGGCTTTAAGCGGAATCGCAGCTTGGATACGGGAAATGGCTGGCGGGGAGACTGGAGAAGGTGAATCTGACCTTCGAGTAAAAATCATTGAAGATGGTCTCATTGCCTTGTTTACTCACATGGTACCCACCATGAACACGGCCGACGCTGAGACGCTGAGTGAAAGAGTTGTAAAATCTATGTTCGATGCCGGGATTCTATTGAATGACGAAGAATGGGTCAAATTTGGTCAAGGTGAGGTATCTGGTGTGTTATGGCAGTTGACAGGCTCCGGCTGCTATGCGCCAAAGCTTCACGAACATGAAGTAGAAGGCCGATGTTACTCGCATCATTGTACGCGCACATTGAAGAAGATTAACTTGCAAGCTCAGACCTTGGAACCGTCTAGAAAATCCGAGGATTGGATTACTTTCTTCAAAGTAACAAAGGAAATGCTTGGTGGTGTAACCAAGAAAGAGATCGAGCTACAGAACAATCTTCACGAGATAGTCATGTCGGAAGATATCTACATGGACCAGATAAATGTGTTGCGCATACTATATCGAGACAATCTTGCTTCATGGCAACCTCCCATCATTGCGAAAGCGAAGATTAACAAGTTCGTTACTTCGGTTTTTGGAAAGGTCGAAGCGATCAAAGATGTCAATGAAAACCATCTCCTCGCACAGTTGAAGTATAGGCAAAAAGAGCAAGGGCCTTGGGTAACAGGCTTTAGCGATATTTTCAGGGAGTGGATAAGAAAGGCTAAATCGGCATATATTGAGTATGCTGCTGGGTTTCCATACGCCACATATCTTGTCCGGAGAGAAGCGGATAGGAATATTCTATTCCGCCAATTTCTAGACCAAGCTAGAGATAACAAACTTTCCGGCCGTCTAGATTGGAACACGTATTTAAAAGCACCAATCACGAGGTTACAGCGCTATGGTCTTCTTCTCGGAACTGTTCTCAAAAATATGACTAAGGATAGCGATGAGAAGGCAACTCTAGCGATCGCTATTGAAGAAATCAAGGCTGTCACATTAGAGTGTGATGCTAAGGTTGAGGAACAAAGTAGGAAGGTCGACATGATTGAGTTACAGTCGAAACTGTACCTTCGCCCTGGCATGGAGCGTGTTGAGCTCAACCTGGATCATCTAGGCCGCGAGCTCCTTCACAGGGGAGATTTACAGCGTGCCGGTAACAATCGATTTACCTGGTTAGAAACTCATGCCATCCTATTCGATCATTATTTTGTTTTGGCGAAGAGTGTCATTAACCGAGATGCGAGTGGTGCACGAAAAAAGGAAATTTATGATGTGTCGAAACTGGTGGGTGTTCAGCAAATCATGATCAATTAACATTACTGACCTTTGTGCTAGCCGATTCCCATGCAGCTTTTAGTTCTTGAAAGCAGTGACGATGACCCGGTGCAGAAATCCGCTGTAAAGGGTATAGGGGCTGTCACAACAACCGTTACCAAAACTGCCCCAGCAACTGCTGCTGAAGCCAGGTTAAATCGCACTATCACGAACTCTACTGGACTTGAACGAATGCAAACATTAGAGCACACAAACTCTAACAATTCGGTCTCAACCACAAATTCTGTGACACGACTTAATACCAACAATCTGAACGATAACGATGCAAAGGTGATGTATCCATTCCGGATTAAACATCTAGGCAAAACCGAGGTTTACACTCTCTATGCTCCATCAGCTGCGAGCCGAGATAAGTGGTGCGATAAAATAACAGAAGCAAAGACGCGTTACGCAGCGGCTCTATTTGCGCAGAATGCTGAACCTTTCCGTCTCAAAGTTATTGCTGACAGTGCTTTTACCTATGACAACTCGGTGATCTATCAACAGAGAGCTCTTATTGCTATCTCTGGTACACCACTAGATAGAGCCGTCAGGGAGATGGAATACTCTTACGGATCCAAACCACGGCCGGCCCCAGTATGCAGAGCTCAGGTAAATTGCGCTGTATCTTTTACATCGTATGGGAAACTTTTGATTGCAATTGGAACGGATTATGGGGTTTTTATTTCCGAGGCATCAAATCCCCGAGGGTGGTCAAGGGTAAGTGCAACAACCTGTTGTATTTTAACGAACTTTAGCTAATATTAGTAGACAATCCAAATGCCCAAAGTTACACAAATCGCCATCCTCGAAGAATTCTCACTATGCATCATCATTGCCGACAAATCCCTAATTGCATATCATCTCGACGTAATCATTCCTTCCTCGAATTTCTCTGGTAACCATACAGACTCATCTCGTCGAGCACCTCAGAAACTTTCCGGCGCTCGTGACGTGTCATTCTTTGCCACAGCTCGTATGAAGGAAAGAACGCTAGTCTTCTACAAGAAAAAAGAGAGTCTTCATTCTGTTTTCAAAGTCTTAGAGCCAGTCATTCAGAAATCATCGGAAAAAAAGTCTCGTCTATTTGGTAAACGCTTCGGTGGTAATACTGAATTTTTCCGTGAATTCGACGAATTTTATATTCCAACCGAATGTTTCACCATCAATCTCTTTCAATCATACATCGCCATATCCACGCAGAAAGGATTTGAACTTCTAACTCTCGATAAAAAGGTCCCGATGAGTATCCCGGATACTAAAAACCAAAATATAGCATCCATAGCCGCTCGACTCCAGGGTCAAAGACCTCTAGGCATGTTCCGACTTTCCGACGCCGAATTCCTTCTCTGCTATGCAGAATGTGGTGTATACGTCGATAAACATGGCGAAGTATCTCGATCTGTCATTATGGAATTTGTAGGGAGAGCAAAAACGGCAGCCATGTATGGTGCATACTTGGTACTCTTCGATAGTGATTTCGTCGAAGTAAGGAATGCGGAGAATGGAAGATTGAGACAGGTTATTGCTGGTAGTGATGTGAGATGTCTTGATGCGGGTACGAATCCACAGGGTGCAGGTGCTAATTCTATGGCTACTATGAGTCCAATGGGCGGACATGGAGGAACCATGAAGAGGACGTTGAAATTGGCGATGGCGCATCCGGAGATTGTGGGCAATCAGATTGTGTTGGAGATGGTGCTTAATGAGGGGCATCTGGAGTAGGGAGCGTGTATGCGAAGGTCTGAGCCGTGTGGAGATGGCTGGTGGATTAGAAAGGGGACACGGAATGAAAGAAGAAAAGTAGATCTTTAATTTACTGATGACGATACGAATGAATGGTTGGGCGAGCAGTCAGACAAGACAAGACTAGGAAATCAAATCTTGACTTTGACTTTGTCTTTGAATCTGACTCTGAATACTGGAAAAAAGGAGATGGTTCATTCTGATGGGAATACAAGGCAAAGGAAGGAAGGAATGGTAGAAAGGTGGCCAGGGAGGAATGACAGTGCTTTTTCGTGTGCATATAATACCATAGCAATTGTAGCTGGCGTTTTTTTATTCAATCTTTTTTTTATCTCGTCTTATCTTATACTTTTTTTTATTGATGAATGATATATGATGTAATGTAATGTGATACGATATGATTTTTAATTTTTGCGTTGTTTATGAGTGAGTAGTTGAAGAGGATTGGGATTGGGAGTTGAGGATCTTATTAAAGGGGGTGGGGTAGGGTAAAGACTGTGTTTTTCTATATCCTCGAGAGGATAGATAGTTGGTTTGTTTGTACGAGTATGTATGAACCATACATATATACATATATATATATATATATACCTTGGTAGGTAGTTCTTAGTATTTGGGTATATATGAGTATATATCGTATGGGCTTCTTTCTGGTTCTATTTTATGATGTAAGAAGTAAAAGATCTTATATATGTTTATAAAGGGGTTTAGATTTAGCCTGTTTTATTATATCATAGCATATCATATCATATCATGATAATATCGTAACATCTGTATATTCGTATATCCAAATATCATCATCGAATCATCAAATCAGAGCGGGGTATTTCTATTCATTTCCTCATTTCCCTCTTCGTCACCTCATCCCCATCTCCATCTCCATCCTCATCTCATCCCCAACCCCAAACCCCCTAAACAACAAAATTAACCGTCTTCCCCCTCCCAACCACCACAATCCTCTGCACCCTCTTCCCAGCCACATACAAAAATTCCTCCTCTCTTCCAAATCTCCTCAATCCCTCCTGAGACCCCAACACCTTTTTCACAATCCAACTCTCCAATTCCTCACCCTGCAATTCCTTTCCCGGAATAGAAAACTCAATTGCGAATTTCAATTTTCCATTAATCTGCACTGCGCATTTCTGAGTATATTGAACCAAGAAACGAAGAGAGTCATCTGGTTCCGGGAAGGAAGTTTCGAATATGGATTTAAATTGTGTGGTTTCTTTTTCTTTTTCTTGTGTTTGGGAAATGGATAGGATGGACCAGCATTCTTCTGCGAAAGCGGGGGTGATGGGTGCCATCATTTGAAGGAGGGATTTGGTTGCTGCTTGGGAGATGGTGAAGGTGTTTGATTCTATGAATTTTTGACATTTGAATCTGCTATCGTTGATGGGTAATTTACTCAGATCATCATAGGCGATCTTGTTTTTCTCGGTGGTTTGGATAATGAGGTTCGTGAGACTCATTAAATCGGAGACGATTGTATTGAGTGAATGCGTTTTACTGTAAGCTTCCGTGATACTTGTGATAGTTTTTTGGACGGCTCGCCAAAGTTTGAAATCGGCTTGGATAGATTTAGCGGTCGATTCAAAAGGCATCCCAAGAAGTTTGTTTTTGCTTTTTTCTAAAAGATCTAATTCAGAAAGGATATATTCTTTTGGGGATAAATTGCCATCTTTTATCTTCTGAGGCGATCCTGTACCTGCACATATATACTCATGAAGGCGTTTTAACCAACGGGTAATGCCAGAGATTTTTTGTTCATCCCATTCAAGTACCTCAGTCACTGGTGCTTGGAAAAGCATATGGGCTCTTGTAGCATCAGCACCATACTTTGTCATACATGTCGCTGGGTCGACACCGTTATATTTCGATTTTGACATCTTCTCAAAGCTGATGTTGGCCACTTCTCCCGTTGCAATAACAATCGGTTTCGATGGTATGGTGAGATCCACTTCATCTGGCTTCAAAAATCGACCATTGGTAGGATCCAAATAAGTCTTCCCATGGACCATACCCTGACTTAAAAGCTTTTTGAAAGGCTCACCACGGATATTATGATTCGACCCTCCAGGCCACTCCAAGGCTTTGGATAGAAACTTCGATATGAAACGAGCATACAATAGATGTAAAATAGCGTGTTCAACCCCTCCAATGTATACATCAACAGGGAGTATTGCATTGGCTGCTTCTGAAGAAAATGGTCTCGTTGGATTTTTGGGATCAGCAAACCTCATAAAATACCAACTAGAATCAACAAAGGTATCCATGGTATCAGTATCTCTTTTAGCATCTCCGCCACATTTGGGACATGATACGTTAAGCCAGTCTTGAGCATCACCAAGAGGATTACCAGCTTTACCTTTCAGCCAGTGGCCTTCAACGAAAGGAAGCTCAACTGGAAGCTGATCTTTAGGAACAGGAACTGGACCACAACTATCACAATGAATTATTGGAATAGGAGTACCCCAGTATCTTTGTCGACTGATAAGCCAATCTCTGAGACGCCATGTCTCGGCAGCTGATCCAAGACCTTGACTTGCGAGTAGCTCTATGATACCTTCCGTTGCTTGAGTTGTTGTCTGTCCAGAAAATGATCTTGGATTTTGTGATGTAAGACGGCCAGGATGAACAAAAGGCTGATCTGTGGGAACAGTTTTGGAAGCAGCTTCTATAGGTTCAATAACATGTCTGGGTGGAATATCATGAGTGTTGTGCTTCCAGAATGCAAAATCTCGGCTATCATGCGCAGGCACTCCCATAACTGCCCCATCACCATAATCACCTAACACATATGGCGCCACATAAATTGGTAAAGGAGCCTTAGAGGCTTCTGGTGTAGATTCTTGGGATGATAAGGGATTTATGGCACGAACAGAAGGAAGAAGGTAGCCAACCTTTGAGTCAGGTGGAAGATCTGATATTGTTTCCAAGAATTCTCGCAGTTTTGGATCTTCTCTCGCAAGATCTTGAACGATAGGATGTGATGCTGCAAGAGCAATATACTGAACACCATATATAGTATCTGGTCGGGTTGTGAAGACTTCAACCGACTGTTGAGTACTATCATTACCTGCTGATACGGAAAATTTAATTCGAGCTCCTTGTGATTTCCCCAGCCAATTCTTTTGCATAGCTAGAACTCTTTCGGGCCACATACCCCCATCGGCTAAATGATTAATATCTTCCAGCAACTGATCTCGAAATTCAGATATTCGTAGAAACCACTGTTTTAATAGTCTCTTCTCTACTTTAGCTCCAGATCGCCAAGAATAGCCATTTGCATCAACTTGTTCATTTGCGAGAACAGTCTTATCCACAGGATCATAATTCACTAGAGATTCTGCTTGATATGCCAGGCCATGTTCATGGAGGAGAAGAAATATATCCTGGGTGTGTTTGTAAAAATTGGGATCGCAAGTTGTAATTTCCTAATTCCTATTAGCTACGAAATCATAATTACTTTCGTAGACATGCCCTATCCCAATCCCAGCGACCGTTCCAGGTAACTAGCTGGTTCTTCATCTTTTGTATATTCTGTTTTGTCCAGACGGCGGGGTCTATTCCACGTTCAATTGCTGCATTTTCGGCGGGCAAGCCAAAAGCATCCCAACCTATTGGATGAACAACGTTATAGCCTTTCATTGTATGGAATCGCGCGAGTACATCGGAAATTGTGTATGCTCGAAAGTGACCCAAATGAAGATCTCCAGATGGATATGGAAACATAGGCAGTATGTACATCTTCTCGCCATGATCGTGTCCATTAACCTTTTCCGAGGTCTTCTTCTTCTCTGCAGACATCCATTTCGCCCGCCATTTTTGATCCAGAGATGGCAAATCTAAAATTTGATAAGAGTTATCAGTAGAAGCGGTAGAAGCGTATCGAGTAAATGAAACCGGCTTGACATTTTGGAAGCCAGCGACGAGGTAACTGCGATTGCAATAAAATAAAGGTCGAATTAATCTCTCTCGAGGTAGTGCGCATCTGCGAATGGAGAAGTGCATGATTTTCGAGGCATTATGTCATGACCGGAGACAGTTCTTCAAGGTATATTCGACCAGTCTGGTATTGGATTCGCAGTTGCATGTATCGCCAGTCGATAGTGAGCTTCGTTGAATTGTGTGTTTGTAGTTGTGAGGGGTAGCTATGAATAGCTTCAAAAAAGAAAGTATCTGTTTTATTTACTCGCACCAAAATAGATATAATAATAACGAAATAGCTGGCAAACCACCAATGTGAAATTTTGAGCACGGACCTGATTGTACCTAGGTCGCAAGTAGATCTTACATCCAGGCCCACCAGCCCATAACTTCTTCACCAACAGCAGCTTCAGGAGTAACAATTAATGAGGAACTAGCAGCTAGTAACTGCTCGACTCCGTATCAAAGCACCAAAAGCACCAGATCATCAAAACACCCTAAAACAAGGGGAAGGAGAAGGGGAAAAGGAAAGAGAAAGAGAGAGAGAAAGAGAAGGAGAAGCACGCACAGGTACAAAGCCAACGACTAGATCTTCTCTTGTACTCCAAAAATAATTCATTCATTGTCCATCTTCTCTCTCCCTTTTACTGAACATTAAACAGTAAACATTAAACATTGCACTCTAGACTTTACACTCTCCGTTTCTTCTTGTGATTCTTCTTCAATTCGAGTAAATATTGATACTTCCTCTCCTTGCCATCTCCAAGATACAAAGTATATTGTGATACCTACTAAAGTTGCACGACCGATAATGATTCAAGCATTGCGATAAACGAGATCCAAAACAAACAAGCTACCACTGATTCCTCCCCTTGAATCTATAAAAGCATGCGATGCTGGCGTTGAACGAATTTCACGAACAATTATAATGTCATCAAATTACCAAAACTTACAGCCGCATGCGCGCGATTCTTTAGAATTAGCTAGTCTGGCTTCGAGTTCTCCAGGCGCGAGATCATCAACAGATTCGGCTTCCTCAAGTGCCGGCATATCCTCCTCGCGAAAGTTATCCCTCGAAGAAGACGATCCTTTGGATGATCGAAACCCTGCTGCGAATGGTCGTTCCGGAGGACATAGTAGAACGTATTCCGTCTCGTCCGCCTTTGATTTCTCTTCCAACCTTTTCCCTCTATCTTCCACCGCAGGAGGTTATGCGCCTATTGGAGCCCCTATATCTACAACAAATGGTCGGGCCACCTTAGGAGGGGGCTCGTTGGAGAAGCACAAGACTTTGACATATCTGAATGGGTTATCATTGATAGTTGGCTTGATAATAGGGTCAGGGATCTTCTCCTCGCCGAGTCAGGTCAATGCGAATGCAGGCTCACCAGGCGCATCATTAGTGGTATGGGCAATAGCAGGAATATTAGCATGGACAGGAGCCTCGAGTTATGCGGAGCTAGGAGGAGCAATACCGTTGAATGGTGGTGCACAAATATATCTCTCCAAGATCTTTGGGGAGATTTTTGGTTTTTTGTTTACATGGTGTGCGGTCATCGTTTTAAAGCCTGGATCTACTGCCATTGTATCAATAATCATGGGGGAATATTTGGTACGGGCATTCATTGGAGCAGAGGCTGAGAACGTGAACGTTTGGATTAATAAGAGCGTGGCATTGATTGGATTGTTTTTCATCACTTTTTTGAATTGTATATCTACAAAGTTGGGCACGAGGATGGGGGATATATTTATGTTTATGAAGTTTATTGCATTGCTTGGAGTTACGGTCATTGGAGTTGTAGTAGCCCTTACTGGCTTCTCTACGTCAGGCGAAGCGAATGAGGATTGGAAGAATCATGGATGGTTCGAGGGAACTAGTAGTAGCGCTTCATCATGGGCCGTCGCATTATATGCCGGATTATGGGCCTTTGATGGTTGGGATAATGTAAGTCTTCCAACTTTTTGGAGCAGAATGTTCATTGACTTTCGTAGACAAATTACGTTGTTGGAGAGTTCCGGAATCCTACTCGGGACCTGCCAAGGGTCATTCATACAGCCATGCCATTGGTTATTCTCTCCTATATTCTCGCTAATGTCGCCTATTTCTTCGTCCTACCTTTGAAAGCTATCAATTCTTCAAACACGGTTGCAGTTATATTTGGAAACAAGGTATTTGGTCCTATTGGATCATTAATACTTGCTCTCATTGTCAGTGCAAGCTGTTTTGGAGCTCTAAATGCGACCGCCTTCACCAGTGGGCGACTAGTTTACGCGGCCAGTAAAGAAGGGTATTTACCTGCCATGTTTGGCAAGATTGGTTTCGGAAGCCAAGCAGAGCCATCAGCCAACACACTCCGAACACGCAATTGGGCATCAAAGAAATTAGCCAGATTATTCGGCGATGAAGATACTGGACTATTCTTTACACCCGTTAACGCCATGATCCTCAACGCACTATTAACAGCCATCTATGTAGCCGTCGGCGAATTCGGTACCCTAGTAACCTTTTACGGAGTCGCCGGATACACATTCTACTTTTTCACAGTCCTAGGACTAATCGTCCTTCGCGTCCGCGAACCTAATCTCGAGCGTCCATATAAAACTTGGATCACTACTCCTATTATCTTCTGCTGCGTGAGTCTATTTCTCCTCAGCAGAGCAGTTTTCGCGGAACCTCTTCAAACTGTCATTGTTATAGCTTTCGTACTGGCTGGCGTACCGATTTATTACTGGCGGATTCGTGGACGTGATCAGGTTACTAAGAGGGAGAGAAGTAGTAGTGGGAGTGGGAGGAGTAGTTGGAAGTTTTGGCAACGAAATTCTTCGTGATTTTATGCGTGCTTTTTGTAAAGAATGCGGGGATATTAGATTAGGGTTGATGTTTTTCAATGGAATTGCTGACGAAGATGGATCATGGATCATGGATGAATGATTGAATGAATGATTGATTGTTTGATAGATATATACATACGAGGAAGAAAGAAAGAAAAGAAAGAATAATAAATCTTTAATTAATATCAATATTCAACCATATAGTGCATTTCAATCTTCGTTTATCTGATATATATATATACTACCTAGGTATATAAACTATATTCTTTTATATAATCTCTTTTATTTAATACTAGATATTATTATAATAAATACACTTCTAGATAATATCATGATATTCCTTTTACAAAGGCAGAAACAAGGTGCTAGGACTTCTGAAGCACTGTCTATATAGAGTGTGAAAGCTATATGCGTGCTGTGTCTATATAGACCAGTTAAAACAAGTTATAAAGTTGTAATATTGGATATTGGATATTGGATATTGGATATTGGATATTGGATATTTATTTATTCTATGATTACTTGAAGATACTTAACTTGATCAAATAAACTAAACGCAAGTAATTTTAAATTGATTTAAAGTTGGGCTTTTATTTGTTTTTTTTGTTTTTTATGTTTTATTTATGTTGTCTATACTACCTATGCTACCTATGCTGTCTATGCTGTCTATGCTGTCTATGCTGTCTATGCTGTCTATGCTGTCTATGCTGTCTATGCTGTCTATGCTGTCTATGCTGTCTATGCTGTCTATGCTAAACTCAATCATCTAGTTTTTGAATCCTGCTTCAATTTTTAATTTTATATTTCTCTTTATTACTTTCTCCCCTCCTCACCTCCTCACTTCCTAACTTTTTCAATTTTTATAATATCTATTCTATTTATATGATCCCATCCATGCTATCTACATCATCTCATCTATCTCGGCTTTTTATAAAACTTCAACATTCAACACCAATATCCAACTTCAACTTTAGCTCCAGCTTCAACTTCAACTTCAACTCCAAGTTTAATTTCAGCTTCAATTTCAATTTCAACTGTAATATAAATATTGTTTTTTTTTTGAAAAAATTTAACAATTATATTACAAATAACTAAGAAAAAACACTTTATTAATTTTATATATTAATCTTTTCATTTATTTTTATTATAATAAATAATAAATATAATTAAATAAATAAATAATAAACTTAATATACTTTTGTTATAAAAATAACACTTTCTCCTCCATTTTAAATAGATCTGTATAGTAGTCTCTATTGAACTTTTTATTAATTTTAATCTATTAATAATCTAGGATGCAGTCTAATAAGACTTTAAATATTATTTATTCTAGTATATATATATATCATTCTCACTCGATAGAATTGAAAGTAAATTATTTTTAATTATTTTTATTTTATTAATTATATTTATTATCTATTTTGTAATCTTTTAAAGTGCTTTATAATTATCTTATTCTGTAATAATTTTTAAAATATATATATTATAAAAAAGAGATATCGAGATATATATATCTTGATAATATATTTTAAAAGGAAAAGAAATATAAAAATTGATTAAATTATATTATAATAAATTATTTATAAAGAAAATAGATTTTATAATAAATTTAAAATTAAAACAATATAGATTTTGAAAGTAGTATATAAAGAAGAACTAGTTGATTATAAAAAAACAAAATGAAATTTTTTTATATATTTATATCACAGAATGAGATAATTATAAAACAATTTTAAAGATCATAGAATAGATAATAAATATAAACAATAAAATAAATTGAATTGAATAATTTGTCTTTGATTCTATTAATCAAAGGGGATATATATATATTAAAATAGATAATATCTAGTTTTCACGAATCCATAATTATGATAGTAGTATAGATATCAGAGATTTAGCTGCCGATTATAGAGGACTCTTATTGTATGTATTTAGGATCCTAGGGGCTTTAAGACAAGTGTTCTAGACAACCATATCATGATAGAAGGAATGTCCTAGCCAATCAGATAGGATAGGATAATAGTCCTAGAGGTTATAGTATCCTAAGGTTTGAGTTCTAAAGGAAGGATCCCGGGATTAATATTTCAGAATGAATAACCCAAGAGATCAGATCATGTAACGGATAGACTAGATAAATTGTTTATTCAGTTTAGGGGATAGATTAAATAGATCAATTATCTATTCTATTCAATATTCAGAGATTAGTGTATAACTAATAGTTATTTTATAGTATAAAAGCTTTGTACTCAACTTAGTTATCAATTAGTTTACCTATATTCTATTTTGATCTAATAACAATTTTACTTCCAAATGAATACCAATAATACAATCTTAACCTACAACTATCAACCAGACGAACCCTCAGACAGCCGCTGCCCGATAGTACTGAAACGTTACACTAGTCCATCTTTAAGATCAATTAGATTAGATCATAATATACTAGTAAACTAAAATCGATAACAATAAGAGCTATCCAAAAGAGTGGAAAGCTTGATAGGGATCTACTGTATGGGTTTAGAAAGGATGAGTCGGAAAGCTAGGCTTTCTGTGACAATTTAATTATGAAAGGTTTATTATTAAACTATTGAAAGCCTTTATATTGTAAAAGTGGTAGGTCGAGATATGTGTGTCCCGATAGCACGTTGTGAGGGGGGATTGGAAGAGAAAGCTGATTAGATCATATCGTTATACGTTACTTATAGAGAAAACGGGTTTTATAATGGTTTTCGGGTTGGAGTTATATGGGTTCAAATGTATATGTGTAGAAAGTTGATTTTTGTGAAAGGAGAGGTAAAAACTCTTTTTTTATATCTAACTATAGGAGGTTATGTGATTAACTGGTTAAAAACCTTTATGTATCTGATTTGTAATTCCAACTTTCTCATAATATATATTGTAAAAGTGGTAGGTCGAGATACATGTGTTCCGATAGTATGTTGTGAGAGGGAATTGAAAGAGAAAGCTGATTAGATCATATTTTAATATGTCATTTATAGAGAAAACGGGGTTTACAATAGTTTTGAGATTGAGGCTATATAGGTTTAAATGTATATATGTAGAAGGTTGGTTATTTTGGAAAGAAAAAACAAAAGCTTTTTTTTAATATTTAATTATAAGAGATTATATAATTAATTAATTAAAAACCCCTTTGTATTTGGTCTATAATTTCAACTTTCTTATAATATATATAAATCCTTATCAAAACAATTCTATTTATAATAATAAATAAACTTCTAGATAATATAATAATATTCTATAACAAAGAAAAGAAAATATTAAAAAAAGCATTGATTATATAAAATATAAAAATTATATATATTTATATAGATTAACTAAGAGAGATTATAAATTTATAATATATAAACTAATAAAAAGATAAGAATAACAGAAAAAAAACACTTGAATAAAATAATAAATAATATAAACTATTCTATTAGAAAGCCGGTGATAGAAATCAAATCTATATATATATTATATAATATAAGATAACAACAACTACCATCCAAGAAATAAATCTCTGAGGCTTGAGCCGCTTCTATATATAACAATAAGCACTTGCAATCTACTATTGTATCCACCGTTCAAATTCCAAATCATATTATCATTATGTCCTCTTCATTTCTTCCTTGATTCCTCCTTTCTTGTTGCCTTCTTCTTCCCTCTTTCCTCCCTTCTCCCTTCTTCCATCCCCCCTCTTCCTATCTTCCTTCCTTCCTCCTCCTATTCCATTTCCTCTCTTTCCACTTCCCTCCTTCCATCCCTCCCTTCCATCCCTCCTTCCATCCCTCCTTTCATCCCTCCTTCACATCCCTCCTTCATCAATCCACTTCTCATCCCTCCTTCAACCCGTCCACTCTACATCCCTCCTTCACAACCCTCCCCTTACATCCCACCCCTAGCCCGAAATCTAAAAACAAACCACCACCATCAACCACCAACCAACCACCAACCAACCACCAACCATCAAATTTCCGAATCCCATCTCACAAAATCCTTAAAAGCAGAAAACAAAATAAATAAACCAACAGCAAACCAAGCAAACTAAGAAACCCTAACCTAATATACGACGTACAATACGCATAAACCGATAAATAAACCAACCAGTGGATCACTACTCTATACTTACTCCCTAAAGTGCAAAGCTAGTAAACGAACGAGCAAAGTCAAACCTGAAACAAGTACATAAAGTACTTACTGTACTAGATTAGCATCACGGTATCACTACATCCAATAAACTAATAACCTAGCTAGCAAAACTAACGACTAACACCAAAAAACAAGGGGTTCGTACTACGTAGAAAGAGATCCAAGGAACGAGATTTTATGTAATCCTAGCCTTATCAACATCAAAGCCAAAAATGAAAGAATGAATGGGTCATTATGGATGGAGAATGCAATACGTAAGTGGAAAGGTAATTAGATGAACAAAGTGGATGAAAGGAAGAAAAGTGAAATCAGATGACAATGTCAATCTCGATACCCTACCCGCAACTATAACGTTGTTGAAACTTTAAAAATTTTGATTTTCCTATCGATTTCCAATCTCTAATTCTCAGAGACCGAAAGTTAAACTGTCTTAATAATCTACTCCCGTCATCTCCATCCCCCCACACCGTCACACTACCAGATATCCCGCAAAACCTGACCAATGAAAAGTCTCAAAATTTGAAAGTATCAAGAAACTTAAAAGATGACCCGAGCTCTGATCCACCGAGTATGTCAATCTTCAAAAGCTCCACCTAGCATCTTGAATCTTCAAATCAAGCTTTCAATGGTGCCGTGCATGCGCATCTAGACTATCCCTATGAGCCTCGGACTCATCCATCTATCCGCTAGACAGCGTATGTATGTGATGACTCTCGGGCCTGTTTGCAGAAAGTAATCGCTAAAATAATAGACTAGCGAACCTATAGCACTACTAGCTAGCTCGAGCAGGGCTCACAAAAATCCAACTGGTTATTTGTGTCAAAACAAGCATATAATATTACTTACTTATTCTCCAAGTAAGCAACTATTTAGGAACTTATGTGCTGAATATTATCTCATCGCCCAACCATCTTGTAACCCAGTACACACTAGCGTATTAAAACTGGACTTTTGGACTTCTGAAATCCACTACATGTCACCGTCATTCTTATCCCCGTGTCCACCAGTCCGTCAAATCTCCTTCCAGCTGCTATGGAGAAACAAAATAAAATACTCCAGTACAAGTCCGGTAATACAGATCCTAAATTCGCCCGGCAAAGAAGAAACACTTTAACCCACCTAGACCGAAAAGTATTTCTCCGCTTGATCCACGGGAAATCGCCCTAACACAAGAAAATTACCCAAAGGAGAAATACTCCCCCGATCCGGTACCGCGCAATCGCGCCAATACTGTACGTACCTATGTGGATTAATCCAGGATGCATGATTTTCCTTGACTTACACTCCCTTACCAACAGCGTCCTTACAAATCTACAACTGTAAGTTTTTAATAGACGAAGATTAACCTTAATCGCAATCATTACCATGTACTATGTAGATTGTTCGCGTACCGATGAGGCACAGCTTGGCAACGTAACAGCGGGGGTGGAGCGGGTAAGCTAGAATATTATGTACCTAGTACCTTACTCGTAGAAGAGGCCAAGGTTACCTATGCATGCCGGGTAGATATATGTATAATTGATTGTTTACAGCAGGAGTGGAATCCCAGATCCAATCGTGGTAGGGAATAAAATCGCATGGAATATTCCATTTGTCATACAAGCAAGGCGGCGGACATAATAATTCCAAAATGTGCGAAGGCGCAAAGGCACGGCGCAGCGCGGCAGGGAATGTCGATTGGCTACAATGAAGAATTTGAAAATTTGCTTGTCTTTGAATTGAAGAAATAATGGTGTGGGTGAGAAATCCTTCTTTCCAAGTTATTCGATCCTTCGAATCCTTGAAAGCGAAAGGAAGAGAGTATGTAATTTCGTGAGTAATCTAAGCGTATTTCACGTTCTCGTAGATGTAACTAAAGGATCAAGGCTGTGATCTAGGCTTTAAGCCTCCTCCTAAGCACGGGAGGGGACGGTCATGTCGTACAAATATCACTATTGTGGTATGCCAGATGCATAACTTGATGCTGAATCCTAGAAACCACGAGGAAAAGTTGTTGCGTTGTGTTGGATAGTGTGTGCCCCTCCCCGTTTGTATTGTGGGTGCAAAATGCGACAAGCAATTCGTCGCGTGGGGGGCATTAAATTATGGTTGCGTCCAAGCAAGGGATTCTTGGGGCGTCTTTCGTAGATGAGTATGGAAGAATTGAAGATTATCGGAAGTCCAAGCGGGGTTACGGATCGCAGATTGAAGGATTTTGGATTTCTCCCTTCGTAAATATCGATCCGGATGTGGGCAGAATTATTCCTCCCGTCTTCAATCACTTTCTCCGTCAACTCCGGGCCCAGTGTGGTCAATTCCTCCGGCGGCAGCTTTCAACGCTTTCTCCTTCGCCTTTCTCTTGACTTTCTTCTCCCTATTCTTCCTAGCTCTCCTTTCTCGTTCCGCTTCCTCTTTAGTTTCCTTCTCCTTCGTCATCGCTTCTTCCTGAGCCTGAATGTTCCGTCCCCTCTCTCTCACTGTGATCCTCATCTTTTTGCCTGGCTTCCTCTTCTTTGCCCCATTGATATTATTGCTGATTCCGAGCCCGTTATTTCCCACCATTTTCTGCCCGTCAATACCAACTTTCAATACTTTTACTCTCCATGGAACTTCCCAACCCCAGTATCTTTGATGTCTGCCTCGTAAAACATTTTCTCCACTAACTGCCGAAATGGCGTATTCTTCTTTCCTTTCCCCCTCAATTGGGCCAGTGAAATAGTAACTTTTATTTCTTTCCTCAACAGTAAAAACTCCTTCATCAGCTACCTCTTCCTTAAGAATTATCTTGCCTTCTTTGTCATTTGAGAAAAGACGAAAGTCAAATTCATCTTCTTGGTCTCGGTCATCAACTGGTCGTGGTGAATGTGGCGCGTCATTGTTAAGTTCAGACCTCACTGTGTTTTCGACAGAATATGGTTGAGGTAAAATAGTTCCGTATAATGAAGCAAGCTGCTCTTGAAATCGAGCAGACACATCGGGGTCGATTGGGGAAGATGGTTCGGGAGAAGATGACGAGGATCCAGTGTATAGATCTGAACGGCGCACACTGTCAAGAGGGTGTTAGCGGACATGAAATTTAGCATCATCTAGCATTAACTATCACAGAACGAGAACGAGCTCACCGTTTTGCGTCTGGAAGGTCAAACATGATAATTACTGTGTTGTCGTAAATTTACCGAAATATCAGGTAGTTCGAGATCTGCATTGAAGCTCTTGGATATATTTTGGTGGGGGTTGAAATTGAGTCTGTGCAGGGGCCATGAGTGACCAATTGCGCAACGGGCTGGCCCGTGGATCTTCTTTAGACTTTACTCACTCACTCACTCACTCCCTCACTCACTCACTCACTCACTCACTCCCTCACTCACTCACTCACTCCCTCACTCACTCACTCACTCCCTCACTCACTCACTCACTCATATAAAAAATGAAGTGTCACAAAGCCAAGGAAAAAGAAAAAGAAAAGAAAAAGAAACCGTTATTCGGTACTAATTGAATAATTTAGAAAATGACCCCAATACAATTTTACTATTTCATTTTGACCGAATATTTAAAAATAAATAATAAGGGTATCAAAATCTGATCATAATATGTGTTTATAAAAGTACACCCGTTCCATCCATATATTTGACATCGTCCAATTCATCCATCCCATATGTCCTGCAGTGTAAAAGAAATATCAAAGAATAATATGATAAAAGAGACCTAAACTTTCCCTTTTTTTTCCTACGCCATCGCTTGCCATGTTGTGATGCCTTGGGCGGTGAATTTTAAGTTCGCTGCGAATTCGAAATACCATAATGTATTTATTCCGTATCATCCTAATCCATTGCCTCATTTCCTTCCATCCCGAGGTAGCACGCATAAACAAGAAGCTGTGCTTTTAAACCCTTTGAACACTGACTCAAGTGCAGAATTATACAAATAAAACATTCGATATGGCGCTAAGATACAAGGAAATAATTATCGTGCTGTGTAAATCGGAGGAAATCTTTCGTAATGGATCTGATAGTCATGCATGAATTTCTAGATCATAAGTCTGATGTCTGATGTCTGATGTCTGATGTCTGATGTCTGATGAGTCTGTCTGAGCAGGATCGATATCTTGCTGAAATTCTGATTCTATCATCACGGTCTTAACTTTAATACTTTAACAAAATCTATGCGGCGCTCCAAGTGTAGTGTTGTTGGCTGGGCTGTTGATGCTGTGGTGGTGGCAGAGAGTGACCTTCGTCTTTGACATAATGCTGATCTCCAGGGTACTCATAATGAGAACTAGTGACTGCGGGCAACGTAGTTCCATATGTAGATGCAGTATCCTGGGCGGTAGTCCATGGCTGCATGGACATAGATGTTGGGAAGTATTCTCTTGGTTGTGCGGCAGCCTCGGTGGTGGAGCTGTATGGAGCAGGAGCGGTAAACCGAGCCGTGAAGTCGGAAGAAAAGGATGAATTCAACTCAGGAGGGGCTTGGTGACGTGGTGATTTCGCGGGTCGTGGATTACTATCTATGAAACGAATGGGAGCGCCACTGGGTGAAGTTGTACTTTGGTATGTATACGATCGTACTGGAGGAGCTGGTGCTGGCATTGTAGAAGCCGGAGAATGCGTTTGAGCATTTTCTGAACTGGAATGGTTCCCCTGAAGATAATTATCCATCGACAACGACGGCGGCGGTCCTTGATAGCTCGGAGTCGATGGTCCTGTGGTATGTTCTGATGCATGTGGCGAAGCATACCATGATGGTAAGGTCCTAATTTGATCATGTCAGCTTACGACAAAGGTGGAGGTTACAAAGGTGGAAATAATGCCGACCGTCGTTCGATTTCACGTCAAGACAAGATTTTGGTTGAAGAAATGATGATGAGAGGAAGAACTTACTGCTGTCTCATCAAATGTGGGGATACAGGAAGATTACTTGCGTCGAAGTTGAATGGTGATCGAGGTAATTCAAGTGTCTGAGGTTTCGACAATTTTGATTTCATGGTAGCACTGGTAGGTGTGCTGCCATTTGCAATTTGTATTTCTGGTGCTTGACCTCGAGAAGCCGAAGAACCGACAAGCGCTATTTCCTTCCTCGCTTGGAAGTTTCTTGGGCTTCGGCCTCGGACCACAATGGGCGCTGTCGCTGTTTCGCAAACATTGATCTTCGTATTGTTCCCCAAGGTTCCTACAACATTCAAATGTAGGGTAAAATGTTGTTGAAGCTCTCGTCTTCGACCATTGTTCGCCGTCGCGATCCTGAACTGAAGTCTTCTGTAGGCTATTGGGTAAACAGCGAACTCATTGTTCGTATCAGGAGCTCCATCATCAAATGAAAGGAGTGGAATAGGTGAGGGCTCCTGCTCTTGACCAGGTGTTACTTCGGGAGAGTTTGGTGGAGGCGTTTTCCATGGGATAACAATCAATTTGACAGAGTGGCCATCAACTGATTCGGTTGCACTAATGGTTACTTCCAAGGATATAATAGGGATGCGTTCTCCGCGTTCAGTAATCACCGACAAAGCGCCTCGGGGTGTGGTGACAGATCCGGAAATTTGGAACAGGTTCCTACGGTAACAGGTCAACTCCGGCTGGACAATCACTCCTTCCCCTGTGGGGGTTGTCATTTCGGACAAGAAGAACATTCCATGGATTTGCGCTGAGAGATCTAACTGTTGTATTCTTCCGTGTTGGTCTACGATGGTATGCTTCGGTGATCGTTTGCTGAAGGAAAGTAGTCTATGGTCTTGACTGATGTTCGGCTTTGGATGTTCGGACAAATCTTCTCGGAAATCTTGCACTACCTCGCCATATGGCGAATCTTCTGCAGAATGAAATGGTCGCTTCAGTGAAGGATAACTATGATGAGGATTTAGTGGTGGTGAAGCAGTCAACAACACTCCATTCCCTTCCCTGTGAGGAGGTCTTGTGTTGATTGCGGGGATATCCATTGGTCGGTAACCCCCCTTCTGTCTTGCATGGTATGGTGGCAATGCCAGAGGACCGGAAGGAAAATTTGATTCGAAGGTTGTTTGATGAGAAGAAGCATGAGGTGGTTGAAGAGCGTAGCCTTGCCAAATTGAATGATCTGAATCTTCTGGCTTTATGGCTGCCATCGTTGTTGTTTGTGTTATGGACATTGAAGTATATCCTTCTGAAAGGGATTTTGATTATTGGTTGATTAATGGTTGAAGTTTAAAAACCTAAGCATTTATCCATAAGAGTGATTCTTCATGGAGTGTTTAGCATGATGTATTATGGGATGAAAGGGAAGATGAAGGCCGGAGCACAAGCTTATGCCAGGTTCGGGAACTAAGCTCTTATTCGTGAATCTGGACAAGGTCTGCCAAGGGGGTCTAAGGACGAGACTTAAGTGCGGGATGCAAGCAAGCCTCATGATGGGTCTAACGTCCTTTCCGAATCTCTTGTCCAGTGGCCAGGTGGGTAACTGCTTTGGCCCCATTTGTGTTCCGTTCCCCTCTTCGAAAGTGTGATGAATATGAGTACCCCATGGCATATACTATCTTCAATGAGTAGAAGTGGCTGGCGCGTGATCTGCATTAGTGATAGTGTATGAAAATAAGGACTAGATTGATCCTATTGGGAAGACTTGTATGCTCCCTTCCCTCAGTGCCTAAAATCGGAAATCATGGCGAATTGGAGATCTTCAAAGGGAATATCGAAAAAAGACGTTGAAGGGCAAGGATAAATTCTGTAATCGATGTATAGTTCAAGGGGGGAACCGTGTACTGCCTCACGGTCATCACCCAAAAGAGGATCGAATCCGCTGACAGGCATATCAAAAGGAGTATAGCTTCCATGAGGTGAATAGCCTTGACCAACGGGTGCCCCTGACCTGTCAATAAATCCGGCCGGCAACCATCCCACAAGCACTTACAATCAGAAAAGTATCCCAGGCCCCCAAGCGCCCCAAGTACCTACATATTTCCCGATGTCATTTCGTCTTATATTTTGGTTTGCGGATGCTTTCCTTAATCACACTTGTAATGTATTTTTTTTCCTGCATCTAAAGAGCTAACGCACATTAGGTCTCTTGTAAGGTCTTATTCAGCACCAACCAGTATGGCTTATATTTCCAGGGCCCTAGACAGTACCCTTGATGATCTTCTGACGACTAACAGCTAGGTATGTCAGCTATGGTCCTAGAAGATGCATAGTTCGGCAAGTAGATTTGAAAATAATCCTAGGGGTGTTCTAAATAATACTAAGGTTTAGCTTCACAGCTCTGAAAATGTTTCTCTACTTGATGCTTTTGCGTGAGATTTTCGCTTGTTGCGGCGGCGGATGTGAATACGAACCCGGCGATAAAAATCTGACGGTGCGAGGTGCATCAAGAATGAAGGATGATAGTGTATTACTACATATCCGGGAAAATAGCCTGATTAACCTGAGCAAGAAAATTATCTGAATAATCCATGATAAATTTCTTACCTATATCAGAGACATGATTTGCTTGTTTGCCAAATATCTGACTTAGTATTAAACATGATGATACTAGATAGCGTGCTGCACTATGCCGATTATTAACCTATTATAATGTTACATATATCCATGGGTTTTGAATTGGTCTTCCCGCGACAGATGTGCGAAAGAACTTGTGGGGCTGCGGAAAATGAAGGGGTTAAAAAATGTACAAACACCAAGTTAGATAAATTTAACGAGATATATCCACTGACTACCGGGGGGTTAAGGGTTCACTAGGATCATAAATGCATTGTTGAATTTTTAAACACTATTCAACATTCGATTTAAAATAAGAGCGGCTTCTAGATCGTAGCTATCAGTACATGTACATATATGTCCTAGGAAGTGTTGCCGGGGTGCAGCCTGGATGATTCAAGCAGAAATGTAGCATATGCTTCTGTTTGCGGTTCCTCAAACTTCATCCTTTGAAGATATCTAGCTCACGACTTGGGAAGTATCTCGGATATCTTGTTTGCATTAGACCCGTCAGATAAACGCTTGCAGATATGTACTGCAACTAGCCGTGGAAAGCCTCAAACGTTAAATAGAAGTCTGGGATGATTTAAATTATAGGCTCTCGATGCCTGTCGCAGCTCTTGATAGACGCTCAACTGGCTAAGACACAAGCGTAGCGTCTTCAGCTATCATTGAAGTTCCGAATCAAGCCTCAGACGACATCTATCGCCGGAAATTATGCCCACACCAAAACCTAATGAATGAAACCTTGTTGAACCTTGAGATTGATAATTTGAACATTCAGATATAGCCTTGCCCCAGCCTTATCCCACGATGCAACAGAAGAAAGCTCCCGTGCCGTAGCTTCGACGTTGTAACCCACAAAAAGCTATCATACATACTACTAATCCAACATGGCACCGCTCCTACTCCTCCACATGCAAATGCAATGCTTCATTGTAATGCTGTGGAAGTATTTTAGAACATGGAGAAAACGTGTGCTTGCCATCTAAGATTGGATTCACAAAATACCCTCAGAGTCGATCATCACATGTCGATTTAGGCTATTGGCTATTGTTTTTCGGTTTATTGAGCATTTGAATATTGTCTGCAATTATTAACATTGTCTATCCCCTGCCTGATTCCTTTATCGGTCCCTCCGTCATTTCATCAATCCATCTCATCAAGGGTGGCACGGAGGGATTGCTACCCCGGACCTTAGACAAGAGTAACAGAAACTTCCAGGTTTTATTCAAGGATGACATCCAATTGATCCGATAAAATATATCGAAATGTCTCAGCTAAGTAATTCATAACGAAATCAATCCAAGGAAATCCTAAATGCCGAAATACAGAATGCTTGGTCGAGAAACCCCGGGACAGAAGGACCGATATTATCTTCTTTAGAGGGTGATATGGTTTTACCTGCAGATCTAGTGCAGTCCTCGACGGTCTTGCAGGCAAGAAAAACGAGGGTTTCAATCAAAGGTGTGACAACGAGGCAGCCAATCTGTCAGTTACGAGGAGCGCGTGGAGGTACAACAGATCGAATTACAGTACCGTGGTTGGCCTGGCCTGGTGTCGACCTAAATCTAAGAGCGAATATACGCGGTCGTGGGGGACCTCGAGATTAAAAACAAACTGAAATGTGGCTTTCAGAAGTTTCTCATCCGTATGTTCCAAATATGAAAAGGGCACAGCACATACACACCTTAATACCTAAAGCCTACACATTTTATTTCAAGCCAAGCATTGGAAAATATCCTGCACAACATTCTTCTTTCGGACGAGTGCTAATGAACCGCTTATATGCCGGCCACAAATTAGTTCGCTGATTTTCATAAACGCTGAAAGTCAACAAGTCTTGTGATTTGTCCATCATGGTCCAGAAATGCGGATGACTGCATCTGGCAAGCATGTCTATCACATTTTCTTCACAAAAACCCCACCCACACACATGGAATTTAACCCATTTTGGGTTTTGACGACCAGATGAAGGGGCCGGCAACCGAGGCGCCCGACATATCCGTTCGGTACGGGCTCTACCGAATTATCCAAACAATTGGGACGGTATGATTGCGAGGAAAAGAAAGAATAATTTAATGATAAAAACAATGATAGCGACAACGGAAGCAAATGCCCGTTTCCTATTTGACTTGTTTCAATTCAATATAGGTTTTCTATGGTTCTCCTCCCCTCCCCTTCTTCAACTACACCTCATTTCGCATCGCAAATTTCCCACATCCTACTTCAGTCTCCAGGCGGCAGTTAAAAGAACACATATTCTTATACTTCTCCCAAGCCAGCCATCTTAGTATCGACTACGATGCGGATATATCATGTACCTACACCAACCTGTTCTTCCAGTATTTCCGTCACCCAGCTACATTTACCCGCGCCTTTAAAACACAAAACCTTTTCCGAAGTCGTAGAGGAAGAATCCTTCAAGTGATTCCAAGATTTTTATCTCGATATCGATCTGCACGTATTGTACACTGAATCTTGCAAAGTTGCAACCATCTTCCAGCAATAATAAAATGTTGTAGCCTAATTTTTTCCCCTCCCCGTCCCTGTGAACTTCAACGGATCTAGTTATCTTGCTTCCGGCCGAGTTCAGGTCATTTCAAGGGTTTCTTCGCACAGCACAGCTGGAGTGTAGATACAGATGCTAGGTACTTCTAATCAACCGATCTCCACCCCAAAACAGCTCTCCGCATATCTTACGATTTATATCTGTCACCTACATAGCAATTCTCGTTTTCGTGCAACAAACAATATTTATCAGCCAGCTCATCGCCTTTTCTCACCCATCCCCCATATCTCCTTTACCCCGCATTTTCGCCCCCAAGTTCTACTGCCAGCTGTACGGCTGTAATGCAGACAACGATACCATGTAGCTCCGCCCGGCTACAGTTAACTGAACTGGACTATTGAATTTGATTTTGAAATATAATACTGCAATACAGCCTCAATCGTGACCTGATGTCACAACTCTTTTGGGCCACTTTTCAGCTGAGTATTGGCCTAATAGTAAGGTGCAGTAGCATGCACAGGTTTATGTTCGGGGTTTACATGCACCGTATGGGATACTCGATGGGGCGGAAAGATGCGAACAATGAAGCGAAAATAGAATTCTTCAAAAGCTCATGATGTGACTAAAAATATGATTTAGCAAGTAAGTTTGAATTAGATAATGGTATTATTCATGAGGATTTTCCGAGATAAAAATGGACAGAGCTGGAGCCCCTGGATGAAAGTGATTACCTGCATCGAGAACCTATGAGGCTCAAATTGACCATCAACAAAATCCTGTTTTATAAATAAATCCCTCTGTAGAACATTTCAGCACATTATGATCTGATGTTGTACATGTTGGTCCAGGGGCAATCACGGCGGATGCTAACCATGATCAGCGAGGTGCTCTTGCCCGAGAAATGTGGGACTGGCGACGGGGAAAGCAATGCTTGTTTCTTGTTTGAACCCAATCTAGCGTGGGGTTAAATGCACTCGTTACTATCGCTAGAAACGGGATAGTTAGGAACATTCTTTTGTCTCCTTGATAGAATTAAATGTTTTTGCAAGTTTCTGCTAGCCGGTGACGTGATGATCGACGAATTTTGTGGTTTTAAGGGGTGAGGGCTGGAAGGTGTTCGTATTGAAAGCGAACGGGTCTAGGGCGAGCGATTGAGCAGATTATAACAATGATCAGCGGCAATATGTCTGCTTCAAGATTCTGAGTCTGGATAGTAGCTACAACCTTCGTCTTTAAGTTATTGCCTTGATGACGAGAAATATTTGGTGTGGTTGCAGTATTTCAAATGACACGGCAAACCGATTCCTTAATTAAGCGTCCGTTCCTGATGATACTACCACAACGATATTTAAACGTCCCGACCCGCTCGAAGGCAGGGTTTGCATCCATAGTGCCTCGCGAGGAATGCGATCCCAGCCCCGAGGAGTGCATACCATAGCTCTTTCAGGTATTCATGGATGAGAGTACTGTGGCGGTTTCAACAAGACTCGGAACAGGTGGAAAAAAACGAACTCGCGCATGCAAGTGATTGAACTATTCGGCAGATGAAGCAGAATGGGCAATGATATTGAAACTGTCGAGGCCCGTCCATTCGAAGTTACAACCCTTTTTACTCGAAGATGGACAAGTAAGTTCCACCAACTCGATTATGTTACAATAGACATCACTTTCGGAGAACTTGGAGAGTCTGCTCCCAAGAGAGATGTACAAAGAAAGATTTGCCTTCTTATACCCAATCTCCTTACAGAATTCGATTTGACGGAGCTATCATAGGGGCATACTAGAAAAAACGAGTACGACTTGTAAGCTCAGGTATTTTTCCAGCCAAGTAGCATATATAAGATTTATGTGGAAGCTGGTGGCAGCCTGTAGCAAGGCATAACATAACACAGTACGGCAGAGACAATCATGTAGCTGATCCATAATTACCCTGCTTTTCTAACCCTTTAATATTCAGCGTCTAGGATTTACTCGCCTCGAGAATTCAAATGAAAGTCATTACGCATTGCAGGTGCGCAATCAATAGCTTCAGCTGCACGAATTCAAAATTAAATGCAAGTTCCGACGAGAAGCCATTATACCTTGCAGGCATGCAGCAAAATGCTTCCCTACCAATCAACCAAAATCTGGCTGGCCAACAGACGGAAGGTAAAGGTAACGAATACACCAGACGAGTATTACAAAGTACAAAAAATTCAATTTTTCTGGACGGCACACATCAGTTCAGAGCGGCAGGCAGCCATCAGCCTCAGCACTACTCCATGGGCTATACTACTCTATAACTATGGTGAGAAGAGGTTGGCACGCATCTTTATGGCTACAGAACGCCACTTGCATGTAAAATGCGCGCAGCAACATCGGTCCAAAGGTTTTTGCTTTGGTTCGCAGGACAAGTGATTGAATCTGACTCCTGTTCACGAACTTTGGCGAAGGAGTGGGTAACGTATAAAATGACGAACACTGCCATTAACTAGAACAGAGAAATGAAAGTAAATTTTCATAGATAATATAAGCACTAGTGGACTGTCTTTTCTTATCCACGAATAGTAACGAAAGGCCATCGAGCCAGAGCATACATCACTTCCATGTGATGAAAAAGGGCTACTTAACAACACAGAACTAATAAAAACCTGACATCTAAACTTCAACTGCGAAGCACCAACATCGAGAGAACAACCCCATCTCGAAAGGAAAAACAAGATCCGAAACGTAAAAAGAATCAAACCGAGCCCCATCACTCACACACGCAGCGCAGCCTCCGCTATCGGTGTTACCATCCTGGATCATATCCCTTGCATCAACCAGAACGTCACATTGCCATCACTGAACTTTAAACTCAGAAACCCCGCATCGAATGACAGGGAACAAGCAAAAACATTTGTCTCATTATACACGAGGGTTGATCGTAGAGTGCCGCGAGAGCTGAGGAGATGAAATTAGGGAGGGAGATAAGAGTTGTACCTGAGTGGACGGGGAGCTGAACCCGAGACGTGCCATTACACATGAAGAGACAGGATGAGCGTTTGTAGTTCCATTTTTTGCTTTAACTGCCAGAATAAAGAATATTGTTGGGGTGGGTTAGTACTAAGGGGGCTTCTGTGGAGAACTAAGTGAAGTTTTGGTAGATGGGTGAAGACTCTGTGGATAAATCATGTTGTGGGCACGAAAGACCATCTGTTTAGAGTGTTTTCCCAACAGCAACATATTTGAGGAAACCACGTCCAGACACCACAGGACGCTACGAGAGCAAGTCATTTAAAGCTATAAATCCATCTTCATGGCAAATCTAATGTGATGGCCTGCTTAAGATGAAATTGAAGATTAGAAAAATGAGATACTGTTTGTATGATGTGACGATAGGATCGGAAGAAGAGACTGCATAGCATCAGTCAGTCAGGAATGAAAATGAAATTTTCAAGAGGATGAGATTCCACATTACCGTTATCAAATATCGTGCCATTGAATGCCGCGGTGCCTGCACGAAATCAGAAAAACCCTGACTTAGAGACAGGAACTGCTTACATTGACGGATGTACAATTCCTGACAAGCCACACGTAGTGCCATCGCCAAGCCAGTCAGCTGAGATTTATCGATAGTTACAGTTTGAGTATGGATGCTGTTGATTAAGAGATTGAACTCTGAACATGCCCAGAAAACTCACGAGATTTCACTCAAAGATGTGTCCACCTGAGCCGGAAGCACATCCTAACCCAAGAGACATGCAGCGTAGAAGTTCGTGCTTTGATACTATAATCCAGACATTTAGAGTTATCTTACAAATGCATGTGTTGCTGCCTCCCCTGCCAACGATAACAGGATATGTTTGTCCTTTTCCTCTGGAACAGATTGGCGGGAGCTACTGAAAGGTGCCCTTCCGACGAAATAGCAGAAGTACTTAAAGAAGGTTTTAAGATATCCGGGATTTGTGGGGCTGTGAAATGCGGTCGGCTTGAACCTTATCCTACGATTTCGGCCGAGAGGCGGAGAAGCACGATAAGTGCGAACGATTGAACATATCTAGTTTATGATAAACTGGGAAGATAAATAAGCTACTAAAGTGAAAACAAATTAGAGTGAAGGGGCGAAAGCACACTTCTTGCATGGAACTTTTAGGAAGAAAAACTTTCAAAGACTCAATAGATTGCAATAAAAGAAGCTGGACTTTTGATAAAATGATTGCGCAGAAATACTTCATCTTTTTGAAGGTAACTGGACTGCAGGGAATTTAATCAAAGAAGCTTCAGTTAAATGAATAACAAGCTTGCCAGGCCCTGACTTTGTGAAGCTCGAATTAAGCATATCAGGAAAACACGAGATCCCCCAAGCGCACAATTTCTTGTGCGCAATCGTGGCAGCCACTTGAGCGAAGCCTGTCTCTTGAGGTTTCAATATTGCGTTTGAGAATCGTTGCACATGTATACACACTCAGGGGGGCTTGGAGGCATTGTTAGAAGTTTTCTAGCTAGCCTTCAAGAAGTCTTGAAAGGGCTGAAATGGTGGATTCGGTTGATGAAAAAGAGGTGCTTAATAGGTAGACATTTATATCGTTTCATGAACCCAAAGAACTTCTAGATTGTTTCTGAAGTGTCTTTGATGTTTACTAGCAATGCTGAGACGTGACTCGTCTTATTCCGCCTTCATCGTGTGATGATTATGAGCTTTAAAACGATGGTATCAAAGGCATTCCACATTCCTACAACTTAAAGTGCTGATTAGAGAGTAAGACAACAGCTCTAACCATACCACTGCCTCTGACTGCTACTTTATGATCGCCAACAAGCATGTAGTCTGCTTTTTCGTTTCCGGACTCGTGTTGGTCTGGCCAGTCCCTCCATATTTCAATCCTATCTGAAGAGCCCATCGCCATTTTGATAACTCTCCTTGCTTGGGCTTCATCTCCTACTTCCATCACTAGAATTTTCGATTTTAAAAGGGAATGAAAATGCAGCAAGCGATGATAGAAGATATCTTCCGTTTTCATGGGATAGATATTCTCAGAATCATCATCTGAAAACTCGGTATCTAGTTTCGATACATTTGGCACCAGTGCAAGTCTTGGCTCCCAATTCCTCACGGATCGTGTCGTTTCTTTCTTAAATCCATCTTCTGATATATATGGAGGGTTAGATATAATAACATCGCACACACGTTGACATCTGTCTAGGATTCTTTGCTTTTCGCCGAGCACATCAGCATATTCAAAGCTGATACTTTGCTGCGCAGAACTTTTGAGAGCATTGAAAAGAATGTTTTGATTCGACACATCAAGCGCTTTGTGGGAGATATCTAGACCAACAATCTCAAGTTTAGTGTATACATTAGTCAGAAGAGAAAATAGAAGGAGGGAAATGCAACCAGTCCCGGAGCAAAAGTCGATGATCTTCATTGATTCCTGCCGACTTTGGCATTTTTCGTAGAGGAAAGGCTTTGCTTTTACAAGGAGTTTTGCCACGTGGGCTGTGTATGCCTCTGTTTCTGGCCTTTTGGTCGTTAGCTATAAGCTAGACAAAAAGTAGTTTATTGGATCTACCTAGGTATAAGTACTCCGGGTTGGCATTTGATTTCCAAATCCCCAAAAGGCTGGGTGCCAAGTATATACTGCAGAGGTTCTCCCCTGGCACGTCTTTTACAGAGTTTCAGCAACGCTCTCCATTTCTGATTAGGCAAGTAATAGCCTGTAGTCTTATCAACATATTCGCGTAGCCATCGCAATTCATTGATAGCAGATGGAAGACTGCGTGTCTCTCGAAGGACTAATGGTAGTAAAGGCGAAACATTGTAAGCGCTGTGTAGGAGAGTATGAGAGAGCCGAGGCATCAGACCACCTAGATGACTGCTTTGAACTAAACGGGAAATATAATTTAGAAGTTTGCGACGAGACGAATCATTGGTCCAAAATCTGAGTCTCCATACTGTGAACGATTGATGGTTGTGATGAATATTAGCTCGGAGGAAGAGTAGCCACAGCAAAGCCACAAACATAAAATTCCGACTTGAGTTTGCCACGTGACCATCATTTGTCATCCAAGTCCATTATCAGATTTCTATGTCTGCGTCCGGAATAGCATTACCAGCAATGATATCATAAATTTGTTAAGAAGCAACTGTGACATGAGCTCATCTACTAGGTATGCAAGTCAAGTATCAAATTTCCTCTTTGATCATGAAGTCCTTGACCCAATTGTATATTTCTTTCTATTACTATAGATTTTGCTACGATTGACTTCTCACATTGTTCCCTTCATCATGTCTGATCCCCGAAATCCCAATATCAAAAGTAGGCACACTCCACAGTGGGCACTCTATCAGCGAGAGATGTTTTGGAAGGATAACACTGGGAGGTTCCTCCGTTTAGCACTGATCCAGGAGATCTTGAGGATCTGGCTAAAGAAACCTTAACAAAAAATGGATGGTACGTTGAGCTCTGATACCTGCACATCACCAAACTGAAGTTTTTCCATAGGTAATATGCTTCCTGCAACGCAGGCCAATCACACACGCATCTCGCGCGAATCGACATGCCTTTTACCGCCACCGAATTGTACCTCGAATGCTCGTCGATACAAACAATCGTGATACGAGGGCTGGTATCTTTGGCCATAAGGTTAGCGCATCCATTGGATTTGCAACTATCGGAATCAACGAGATTTACAACCAGTAACTAAGGTTGCTAAAGAATTGAATTTGCCATATTGTTTATCTACTGCAGGATCGACTTCGATTGAAGATGTTGGAGCTGCGAATGGTGCTGGACCACGATTTTTCCAATTATATACGCCGCATGATGACGAGTTAACATTGAGCTTGTTGCAACGAGCTCATGATAGTGGATTTACTGCCTGTATCTTAATATTGGATACATGGCAGTTAGCTTGGCGACATCGTGATGTTGTGAACTCAAATTACGCTTTTTACCATGGCCAAGGAGCTGATTTGGGACTATCTGATCCTATTTTCCAGAAACGATTAGAAGAAGCCGGCATCGATGCAAAGAAGCAACCAAATGAGGCTGCAGCGATGTGGATTGACAACGTTTGGCATGGACGCGCCTGGTCCTGGGAGAAAATGCCTTGGCTCATGGAGCAATGGAAGAGGATTAGCAACGGCAAACCCTTTTGCTTGAATGGTATTCAGTATGTTGCTGACGCGGAGAAAGCTGTTGAACTTGGTGTTGATGGCATAGTCGTGTCTAAACATGCTGGAAGGCAGGTCGATGGAGCTTGTGCAAGCTTAGATGCGTTGGAGAAAATCGTTAATGGTATGTGATTAATGCCCAGCACTTACCTAGTTTGTGGATTATCACGTCGATGAGGTTGATACTGATCCTTCTATTTAGCTGTTGGTGATAAGACATACATCATGTTTGACTCTGGCATTCGTGGTGCAGCTGATATGTTCAAAGCTCTGGCTCTTGGAGCAAAATTTGTTTTCGTCGGAAGATTATGGGCTTGGGGACTAAGTATCAAGGGCGAATTGGGGGTTCGACATGTCATGAAGTCTCTCTTAGCCGACTTTGATATCTTGCAGAGATATCGAAACTATGATGGCTTCATCCTTCATCATCAAGAATATAATGTAATATAAAAATTAGAATCAAACAACAGTACATATGATATGCCTCCCCGTTGGATCTATTCCATTCCGTGCTTGATCACTTAATAGTATCAAAAGGGAGATTGGAAAAATAAAACTGTTATAAAGTCTCAACTATCACTACATGTCAAAATATTCTCGATCTTTAAGCAACAGTTGGACAATCAAATGTGCTAACCAAGCAAGCTTTGGCCGCAAACTAGAAATAAGTCTGCCGAGGAGCTCGGTTTCAATTACCACGAACTTTCTCATCACATAAGGTTACTCCGTACATAACATCATGGAAAAGAGCGGCAACAATTCCGACTCTTATTGTTTTCATCGAGCTGGATACCTAATAAGTATGTTTATTTAGTCATTGTCGTTTCTTATATACTTTTTTCTTCATTTCCTTACTTTCCTTTATTCTCATTGAGGCCAATCCAATTATCGAGACAAGATAAGCTCCAACCTTGAATCCCAAGATACTCATGCGAAGGATATCAGCGGAGGAAATTTCGCAGCACAATATTCCTTCAGACTTGTGGCTTGTAGTAAATGATACGGTTTACGATTTAACAGAATTTGCGCCTGGACACCCTGGAGGTGCAAGTAGTAAGTCTTCTATCTAGCTCATTGTCACACTCTAGATCTAATCCTGCATCTAGTAATCCTGAGATATGCCGGCCGCGATGCTTCAAAAGCTTACTCTGAATTTCATGCCTCCTCTCTAATATTGTCCTCACTCCCAGCTTCCAAAGTCCTGGGAACAATTGATCGTTCTACCATAACAGACGAGTGGGTCAAACCTCCGCCCGAAGTTTCGAAGGCTCTTGTGCCGGGATCGAGGCCCTCCCTTGATAATTTGATAAACACTTACGACTTTGTCACTGCGGCAGAATCCTTCCTTTCGCCGAAAACGTGGGCATTTTATTCTTCCGCCGCTACAGATCTTATAACCAAAGGCAGGAATAGTTCGACATATGCGGATATTGGTCTTCGCCCTAGGATATTGAGGAATGTGAAAAATGTTCGTACACAGACTACAATGCTTGGTAATCAATTGGACGTGCCAATATTTTGCTCACCCGCAGCTATGGCTAAACTGGTGCACCCAGAAGGAGAACGGGAGCTGGCTCGCGGGCTGAAATCTGCGGGGTTGGCAATGACTGTCAGCACAAACGCAAGCTTCCCAATCGCCGAGATTTTTGAGGCTGTCTCTGATAATCGTTCGCAAACTCTGGGTGGGCCGGAAGACCTCTCAATATTTTTCCAACTTTACGTTGATAAGGAGAGACATAAATCTGAAAAGCTCTTACAGAATGTTGAGGCTCTTGGTGTCAAGGCGATATTTGTGACAGTTGATGCCCCAGTCCCTGGGAAGCGAGAAGCAGATGAAAGAGTAAAGGCAGATGAAAGCTTGTCTACTCCGATGAGTGGCGCAAAAGCTAGGAATGATAAGAAAGGTGGTGCATTGGGAAGAATAATGGGTGCCTATATTGATGCTACACTTTCATGGTCAGATATCACATGGCTGCGAAGATGCACGAAGCTCCCTATTTTACTAAAGGGTGTACAAACTTCGCTCGATGCGAAGATGGCGCTCGACCATGGAATAGATGGCATTTTGATAAGTAATCATGGTGGTAGAAGCCTGGACACGAGCCCAGCTTCGATATTAGTCTTATTAGAAATGCAGAAGAATGCACCGGAAGTTTTTGATGGAATGGAAGTCTTCATTGATGGTGGAATTATGAGAGGAACTGATATCTTTAAAGCGTTGTGTTTAGGGGCAAAAGCTGTAGGAATTGGTAGGGGTTTTCTTTTTGCTCTTGGCTGGGGCCGGGAGGGAGTTGAGAAATATGTCGAGAGTGAGTATATCCCTAAATTCTAATTATCGTCTTTATATGCATGTACTAACAATTCGCAGTCCTGAAAGACGAGCTGGAGACAACAATGAGGATGATGGGTGTTACGGACGTCTCACAAGTCCACCCTGGCATGTTGAATACAAGGGCAGTAGATCATTTGATTCCGGACGCAGAGGAGGATCATCCATATGCTAAATGGAGACCCAAAGCAAGAATATAAACCTAGTGGGTTCATACAGATAGTAATAACAGAGGCCAGGGCCCATAAATTGGCTCAAACGCATAAATTTTGATACCATACTTCCCATATCTTATCACTCTTTCCGGTTTATGCAAAAATATGCTGCTGCTCTCATCTCGAAGTTTTAGATGACATCATACTTGGGTCCTCTCAAACCAAGCTATACTACGTTAGTTAGATCATTTATTGGAAGTGTGAGCTGGTATTCACGAACGCTGAATCTATGAAACTTTATCCCTCAGTTTTCCATGGTACGAAGCAAGATAAAAGCTACTTCTTCAAGTGCACCCCGGGCCTAAGATCTTGTTTCCGTGAAAGTAGCATTATCCAGAGGACCCACAAAGTCGTGCGTTTTACCTCCATTCGACATCAGTAGAATATCATCTATGGATAGAGCGGTTATCTGAGAAAGGTGTCTCTGACTATGATATCTAAGTTTTACTTTAGCTATCACATCCAGATTCGCGTCAACGCCCTAGTGCAGAACAAATTGGCCTAAGTGATCATATAGATATATCTGGCTTGTTCGAAGAATGGTGATTCAAATTCATCCCGACAAGGGGTATGAAGCAGGACCTAGAACTGTTGTTTGGAGCATGGTGCGACTTACAAGCGAAAGGACCAAGAATACATTTTTATGCACATATTTGAATAATTCTTGCCACCATATTTATTATGGCACAAAAACTTTCAATCTGCGAATGTAAGAGCATTCTACAATCAAAATTTCACATGCTTCGAGGCTGGGTATTTATTATATACATAAGTTCTTTGATCCCCGCATTATGCCATCAATCTTTACTCGACGTCGACGACGCCAACTAAAGAGAAACGACTAGAATATCACACAAAACTTTCAATGCATGCCTTTCCTATGACTAACTCACTAGCACCCAGCCGAAGTCCCTTAAATCTTGACGTCTGTGTCTACGAATCTCAAAATAGGAGTACTGACAGCTACGACTATGCCCTAATTACTGGTAATGAGGACAATTATGGCTCCATGGTCCGGTATAACATGCATTCCTTCCCATCCGAACGTCCAACCACCAAATCCGGTGAACTCCCCTGGAAGTACTACAACACCATCTTTCAATCCCCACAACAAGATGCCTTCTCCCTAATCCTCATTGCCAAGATTAAAGACAGATGCTTTTCGAAAACACACTCAATGGATTTAGTTTGGAGGTATCTACAGTATCAGAGGAATGCGAGGGTGCGTATGGTAGTTATGAGCTCGGGGATGATGATGATTTTTATAGTGAAGAATATTATGCGGGGGTATTTGGAGGGAGGTTCTTCTTTTTGCGGTGGGCGTTTCAAATTCTTACTTGGGTGAATAGGGGTGGAGAGTTGTTGGAGTTTTCGAATGGTGGTGGGTGGAAGTTTGAAGAGGTTGTGTGGGCCAGGACTCGGTTCACGGATTCGGCAAGTGAGAAGGAAGTGATTCGAGAGATGGGAGGTGGTTTATGATATGGCTCGTTTTCCGGAATTTACTTGGGATTTTGAGTTGTTTGGGAATTTTGACGGGGATTGGTCTTCTAAGGTCTAAATGGTTTCTTTTTGATGTTGAGAGCAGTCGCTATGTTCTCTACGAGTGTGCTGGGAGTAGTTTTATTTATTCCCGCAAATGCTCTTATTGTAAAGACTGAAACGGTTTCGCTTGTGAGGACACTGCAAAGACAGTTCCAAGGTGACGGCAGACTCTTCTCCGTGCCACGAAATACATAGCTAGAATAACATATCTGTCCGCCCTTATAAATGCAGCCCAAGTTGTGCCTCTAGGAGCCATAATTTTCTCCATCGTGAGACAAACTCCGTCACGTCAGAAAGGGAGACTCATTATTTATGGTCTGGTAGGATTCTAGTAAAATCTTTAGATGGAGAAATTATGGAAGTTGAAAAGGTGAGTATGATATAAGAAATGAGCATCTAAAACTTACATAGAATGAATCGAATTTTTCTATCTCATCATTCTCTCATCAAAACTAGGTAAGATCTTACCAAATCCATGGAAGTCCTCAAAAAGAGTAGATTATTCACTTCCCGCCTTGATCCACACTGCTCACTCAGGTATCAGATATATTCACAGACATTCTATAGACATCAGTACCATTTAAATTCTTTGAATGATATGTTCACAGAGTTTGTGTGAATATTTGTGCACGTAATCTATTGGCAGATCTGCATTCTGTCAACAAACCACCTCAAATTTATTGTCGCAACTATCTGAATGTCTATGTGATATCTGAATAGAATATGTTCCTATTTGGATGGAGTAGTTTCCTCCACATAGTGCAAATTTTCTGTATAAAAAGCCTCTTTGCATTCCCGCAACCCTCTATCAGCTACTTTATCACTTTACCAATAACCGAGATCAAGCACAACAGAATTTTATCACATAGAGACCCAACATTGATCATCATGTCTGCCTACCCTAGGTTCAGGCCCGACCTCCAAGATTCCGAAGCAGCTAGCCAAGAAGCGCAAAGCTATCTTTACCTCTGCGTCTCAGAATGCGAAAACAAACATCCCTTCCGATACGACATCTCTCTAGTCACCGGCAATGCCTCCAACATGAGCTCTCTCATCCAGCATAAGCTAGTAGATATATGCCCCTGTGTCGCAACAGAAGAATGCGGTCAAATAGGCCTAGGCTACCACCAGAACCATCTGCGCGACTCAAGTCAAGGGGTTCTCACGCTGATCCTACTCGCTAAAGTCAAATCCCAAGATCTGCTGTATAATGTTCTTTACAAATTTGATCCCGAAGTACACAACCTCGGAATGTTCAGCTGGTGTTCACGGGCTCTGAATACACTTATCTGGGAAAATAGAACTGGACGCATTCTAGAGTTTGGGTGGGAATTCGATATGAATAAATTAGAGCATGTGGCGGAAAGCTTTACGTATAATAAGATTTTGCAAGGGAAGATTTTGGAAAAGCTTGGAGATGATGGGAATTTACCAGTCTTTGATATGATGAGATATGCAGAGTTGATGAGGGAGAGATAAGGAACCTGGGAGGAAGATGCTGTTGAGGGTTCTACTAGAAGATCGTGAGGTTTCAGGAAATTGCTGGTCGGTGGATAAATAACTTAGAATCAATGATGCTTGCGGTGTTATATGAAGTAAAATCTTAGAACAATGCTGATCTTACATTTATGTGATGTTATGCATGCTTGTAGAAATTTTGGCTGAATCATCGTGCCAGTTTTAAGTCTACCTCACCCTCTGCTACTTCCTCCATGAACCTTTGATCTTCCAGTAAATTGATCACGCATGTGTCTTCCCGTCTCCTAGACAGGCTAGGATATGGCGGATTAGGCAAGAGTTATTAGAAGCGAGTGATCAACTTTGGCAAGCGAGGTGGATAGTTAATCCACTTCTGATTAGGAAGGAATGATGGGTTTCAATATTCTGGACTAAAATGCAATCTGTGTGTTTCAAGTGGTCCAATTGGTTTTGTTGATTTGCCACTTTGAAAGAAATCAAAACCCTAGATTTAAACAAATAGAATATTCTAAACAGACTTAATGTTTTAGATGAATTTGATCTCCTAGGTGTAAACAACGTTTTAAACTGAAACGGTAGTACATACAAACACCATATTAACGGCGATGTTGCCATCTCATGAACCACCTAATCCAGCCGAGTTTATGCTTTTCCCGCCTGAGGATGAATTCACCAGCTGTTTTGAAGCGCTTGATGTTGAATCAAAGCACCAGTTTAGTCTCTTAAAGACAATCCGGAAATTAGTAATTATGAGACCTTTATGAGAAATGATATTCGGTTCCCAGCAATTGTTCAGCGCAGGCTTTTTATGCCTGCTCATGGAATTCCCTTCGATCATCGTTGTTATCCGAATACCATCTGCATTGCTACGCCCGGCACAAATAAAATCGAGTTCCGTCTCACTAAATCTGTCAAGCAGCGAGTAAAACTTACCCTTTGCTATTGCTCCGCGAGTGTTCCAAAAGCAGGGCGAGACTAGTATTTACAAAATTACTGTGGAATTCAAAATCACAACCGCCGTAAGTGTCAACCGGACAATTATCGCGAAAGCGACGCGGGAAGAAAAAGCTTTTTCCATTTTAAGAACGTTTTGATTCTTGAAGTTCCTTTCACGGAAGAAGAAGAAGAAACAAAAAATGAGAAGGATTTCTAGAATATGTGAAATAGCATCAGAGGAGGGTCTCGAAGCTTATTTGGGGGAGTTCTTGTGTCACGTCGAGTTTCTGGCTCGCGTTGCTGAACTCGACTGCCGTAAGAAGGTAACGTAAGTTTTGCTTGAAGTCATGATGATTCAGGCGGGCAGTGAGCACCAATTTAGAGACAACACTGTTGGCCTTTATGAACGGCTAGGCTAAGGATTGCGGGAAGCGGCCAGTATCGATATGGCAGAGTTTCGAAGGATGTCGAGGAACACAGTAAGTATTTGATGGTACGGCTGGAAATGTTATTCTCTTAGCATGAGTATGATGTAATTTCTATCGGTATGTTGGAATGGTGGATAGTGGATATTGGATAGTGGAAAAGGGAAAATGTATCTCTTTGCTCTTTCGCGAAGGCTGTGTATACGAAGTGTCATCTCATTTTTTGAGATTACAAAAGATGGTTTCTATCCCCAAAGTATTCGATAAAATCAAGTCAACCTATTGTATTTAGCCAGAAACCCTCGATTTGTGATAAAAAATGAGAAACTTATACACAAATGGAGTGATCATCCATATCACGTCAAGCAGTTATCATCATTCAACCCTTGGGTAATAGCCGAATACACTACCTCACGCATCACATTCCTTGACTCCCTGCATCTCAAAAGCTCCGGCTAGTTTTCCAGCAGATACAGTGATAGAATATGAAGCCATTGGTACAAGCTGTGACTTCAGTTATGCGTAAACCTCCCACTAAAATGATAAAAAATGCTCCTTCTCAACAGAATTTACCCACACAGTAGCCATTCATTTTATGAAATGCTCTTCATGTTAGGTTTCTCGCCAATCCGTGATTTTTATACCGCTTTCGACGGTTTTATTCATCTTTCTTCGGGTAGCTAGCTGGCTTATGAAAAGAAGCGTCAGAGTCACAAGCTTCACATTGATGATAGATGTCATGGGGGGTCATTCAAAGAATGTTAGAAGCTAAGGAAATCTTCAAGGAAATTACAGTATAACCTGGTGGTGTCGTTTTTCTTCAATATATTTAACTATGCAAAATTAGACGAGTATCCGTGGTTGGAGAAAGTGAGACTTGTGCTCGAGTCATATATTTCATTTGTGGTGCATTAATAATTGATTTTTAAGACAGTAATAGTAATAGTCAAGAAGCCCTCTCCAGCTTCCGGCCTAGTAGTTTTGACTCTTGAGACAATTGGTTTTAGAGACTGTATGTATTTTTGTCTTCGAGACTGGCGTGATTGGATGTTTTGATGGGAGAATCCTGATAGTTCGTTCTTTGATCGCCATTGGTTTCCTGCTCTTTGTAATTCCTTCTTCTCTGGCTTTAATCACTACATTAAAATAGCACGTCTATCTAACTCGCGATGTTCAGATGTCTAGCTTCCAAGCTTCTCAATGGGAGCAGTTCTCCTCCGGCTTTACCAGATGCTTCTTCTAGTACTTGGCATTCGAAACCTTGTTGATTTCGGCCATTTTTGATCATGATGGTATTTGCTGAAGATAAAAAACACGCGAAATAACTACCTACCATGGTATTATGTTTAATCCAGGTCCATGTCTCGCTCGAAGTTGCAGTTAAAGAAAATTTCCCAAGCTAGATTTTTTATATAAAAATGAAAGAATGGTCATTCGCCATCTCCTTTTTTCTAAAAAAAAAATCTACTGGTAAGCGGCATTATGCCCATAAGTTGTTTAGTTAGATGATATTGTATATTCTCTAGCGAGTCATCACAATTCCCCCTCGGCTAAATCTCATCTTATCTAGACCGTCTATCTAATTAGACTAACAAAATAAGATGAGATAATTATACCCACTAAATTATATCTAATTGAATACTAAATATTCTATGTCTAATAGTATTCCAGGATTTGAATATATTTAAATATCAAATATCCAGGTCCAGCACTTAGCAAGCTACTCGAATATGTCCTCCCTAGCCGATGAAGAAGATTGATTATTCACCGCTTGAGAAGCTTAGATGTATTCATTTTACTCCACTTTACGTCGCAAAACTAATCATTCAATTTCTGAATGTAATTGGATGTTTCCCTTACGTTAGGTATATCCTCACTGACTACTTTACATTTTTAATAGGAGCTTTTATTAAGCGCGTATAGTGAAGCCTTCGAGGAAATATTGTATGTGTCTATGAGAACATAGATCTAAATGCGGAATTCATATCATTGCGAGGAGCCTATCCAGTAGTTTGTAGAGTTTACTATGTGTGAATATATCATTGTACTCCGTACGGTTCGTTATATCAAGTCCCAATCTCGAAACAGAAGGTCTCTACAACCCCTCCCAACTTCAGATTTAAGAAGAGATAAAGCCCGCTAGCTTCTAACTATCGCTGAGAAAATAAAATCACTGCAGTTTTGAACCATAATTGTGGTCGTGAACAAAACTTGGCTAAAAACTGAATGTATATGTCACGATCAACGCTAACTCAGACGAAATCCTCAAAAGGGGAACTATATGCATTTCAGGAACTGCAATCCGTGAATTCTAACCTGCTTCTCTTAATACAAAAGTGTTATCGCATCCCCATCCCCATCCCCAATGACTAATCAATCCCACTCATCAGCACCCAGAAAAGAAAAAGAAAAACCCAGACCCCTAACATCGACATCTACCTCCCTCCTCTCCTTCCCTCCCTACAACCCATAAATCACACAGCCACCTCTATCTCACGCATTTTCGTACGGACATCCTCAATACTCATACCCATACATCAACCTCTTTCTATTTAGCAACAGACGAATTACACCGTGGTTTGCTGGTGCATGCACATCCAGACTGTGATTTTTTTTGCGCACAGTTTGATTGAGGTACTTGACTTGCTGTATTTACTGAACTTGCAAGAGCTGCAGGAGTAGCAGATAGCTTGTCGCGGAAGACCTTGAAAAGAATGTTTTGGGAGATTTTTGGTAACATTTCATGATTTTGTTGATGAGTTTGATTGCTGAATCTGAGTGAGCGATATCCAGATATGCAAATTGCCAGAGATGTTTTGTTTTGAGAAAATTTGTTATGCGTATATCTGACTATAAGTAAGACTTCAAGTATGAGTATGAGTATGAGTAGAGAAGTAAGGTACCTATGAAAGTAAGAACCCGATAATTATATCGAAACGAAAAAAGTAACAAGAACCATCAGAACACAAGAAGAATATATATACAAAAGCCCACTCTATATGGTACTCCAGCAAAGGTATAATAGCTGTATCAATAATCAATACAATACAATATGTAATTACCCATAATTACCAACCGTAGAGAATGTGAGTGGTACTGTGGATTTTTATTCGCAAGAGAGTACAGCTGGATTAATTGTAGACCGCATCTATTTCTTTCTTTCTCTCCTTTATTGCGTTAGTTAGATTCGTAGTTTTGCTTCAAGCCAAGCAGTGCGTTTATGTATACTTTATATGGAGCGTATAGGATGGGAATAAGATTTCTATTATCTATATATCCATACGCCATATCCCACAGCGAGTCATACGACCATATGGCTAGACTCAGCTATCTACTTCAAGCTCCTTCAATCTGCTAATTTACTTTCTGCTTGATTTAAACAGGCAGCTGTATAAAATCCCATGCAAATGTACCTACCTGCCTATAATTCATGATACCGTGGGGAAATTGAAGCAGGCCGTGCTATATGCTTCCTGTAATAATCTAGTACCTAGCCTAGCATCAGGAACTCTGGCGTTTTTCACCGTTGAAACTCTCATACATAAGAACTGATGTAATCTTATATACACACTAAACGAAATTTATCATTCACATAACATATCAGAAATTGCAATCACAATTTATTTCTGCATCACTAAAACGTAATGAATAATAATCTTACATACCAATGAACAAATAGCAAATTGCATACATATATTTCTATCCGTACACGATGCCAATGAACTTCTTTTTCTTCTTCCTCTCGACATCCCTCTATCCACTTTCCCTCAATAGCACACCAGTTACTTAGTAGATAAACCACCATCTACATCCCACTACGCTCGCTACCTACCTAGCTCTTAAACAATTCAACCAGCAAATATGATTTCGACATGCATGCAGATATTCCTTTCTTCATTTACCATAAAGTATAAGATCATACTTTACTACTAAGAAACCAATGAAGAAAGACTCTCGGAAGCTTCTCCAAAGTACTAAATAACTACAAGTTCTCAAAGTGCAGTATCAGACACGATTGTCTGGAATCTCGTGCTCTAGTGTTCTAGTGCTTAGATGAATTCATTCTAGATGATTCCGAACTGCAATATTAAAGCGAGGTTCTTGATTCTAAGATCGATTTCATTTAAGATCTTATTAAAACGATCATATCATGATACTATTCGAGATATTTGATCCGTTTAAATTTAGAACATTGAATATTGAACCGTGAAATGAGCAAATGAACAAATATATTTTAACATCTGAAGCTTAACGATCCAGTCTGCTAGTGCCGACTAATTATTCAATACTCTGATTTCTTCATTTTTATCTGTCCCTAGATAAGACTTACCAATATCAACATTTGTATTTACAAGCTATATAGTACGGGAATCCTACGTTTTCGGATCACCAGATCGGAAGATATATCTAGATCAACATGAATACCTATTCTGGAATCGTCCGATCAGACTCAAATCGAAATGCTTACAACTATCGACACAATTGTGCAGCCCCGAAAGTTTGAATTATCGTTGCCTATATGTCAACTGATATGTTACCCGGTGAAAGTTGCTTAAGGAAGAATTTGTATCTTATTTTGTGTAGGAGTCTGGAGATTGAGGAATGTTGTCCTGGAAAGTATGTCAATCACAAGGGAATCCCGAAAAGATCGTCAAGTTGTTCGCAATGACACGGCATTGTGTCTGTACCAGCGAAAAAAATTAGCACTTTACCCGGTGCGGAAGCGTTCATCATGGGATATACAAAATACATATGATAGTTCAAGCTTATACTTTGCCGACAGAATACTTTTCGTTCGGACCTGAGACGGCCACAAGATTAAGGAGGGAAGTTTTAGATATTATGGCATCGAGAATTAGGCAAATAATAGCCGGAAAGTCCAAGTCCCCAGGGCCACGATGATTTTTCTTGGACAAAGCTCGTATGTTCAATGGTATAGATGAAAGTTTCAAGTACAACTGTAAAACATCTCGGCCAGCACTTCACTCGCAGAACACTCACTAGATCAAGGGCCCCTTTCAAGCTATGTGTCTGAAGGGTATCAATCTCGATAGGAAGCGGGAAAAGAAAAGTTCCGAAGATCTTCGTGATAATGTGTGTGACTTCTGATACTCAGGAAAGATGACAAGGCGAAAGTGACAAGCTACTAAATATACAGAACCAACTCTTTGTACGCGTTCCACATCTCGCCTGCCAGATCTCGTGGTGAAAATGGCTTGCAACTTAATCTAGTGCAACTGAATACCAGAACACTGGAATAAATCGGAATTATACTGAAAGACGTGCAACTTTGTGTTCTGGTGGGACAAATTCTTATTCCTGCTGGACAATCGCCACCACAATGACGCGTATCTCTAAGGCTGAGGCTTGAAAAATAAAAGAAAAGTCAGAAGCCGACAAAGAATCTTTGGAGTAGAATTTTCTAAAGTGGTGATTGATTCACATATCGCTAGGTTGCTATAAGACCATAAAATAATAACCCTGCTGTCAAAATAAGCATAACTTCTCACGTAGTACGCAGATAAAGTGCTATCAGATCTCTTCAAAATGTACAGATGACGATCGGTGAGCTTGCTTAATCTGTGATCGACAGCCATACAACGGTACTTCCGAACGGCCGCAGATCCCGAGTCGGACCATTAATTTAGATATCTTCAAATAGGCACAGATCATCGCCCTTTTGTCAAATTATTGCACAAATCTTTCCTTGTCAGTTCAAATGTCATTGAAGTTGGATGGAGGATAGTCTCTGGCGAAGGACAGAAGAACATAATATAAGCCACACCCGTGCACGTCGAATAAGTATCATTTGTCCTGCCTTCAAAACTGGTTTTTTTTTGGGAACGATGTATATTGCTGTCCACGGCGAGGTAGTTCTAGAACCAGAACTAGAACGAATCAAGTACACCGTCCGGTGCGAGCCGAATATGTATGTGCCAATACTTCATTCGGGTGGAGCCCGAACAGCAAGAAATCCTATCATGCAGACACTTGCTGACTTGTTGGAGGCTTGTCCTTTCATCGATCAAAAAATGATAGATAAGAATGCCCTGTATAAAACGGTGAACATTATTGGGGACCCTCGCTTGCGTCGCACAAGCAATGCAGCCCCACCATTGATATACATTTTTAATGGAAGCGACAGGAAGTAGAAAAACCTCGAATTTGAGAGATCAGCTATGAACAACGCCGAACATGCCAGCCTCGCAGTCGTGCGACAAGTCAAAAGTATCTGCAAGATACATGTGTGCTCAACTGACAGCTCCTGAAGAGAGATGATCAAAATGTACAGATGAAGAGAAATAAATAAAAAAAATTCCTTTTTTCTTGGAACTTAAAAGCTATCCCAACGCCAATGCCCAATGAACCACCATTGGGTCGCGTAAAGCGAAGTGCCACGGGTTAATGCAGGCGAAAGCAATTATAGTACTACACGAGAGAAAGATATGAATACTCAGACCAGAGTCTTGGTAGCCGTCGACACATAGGTAGTGACCTATATGGGTTTCGGAAGCACTAGTAAATGAGGGATTGAAGGCGGAATAAAATAGCAAGAAACTTCGAGCAAAGAAATAACTTCACGGATGAGATAATACTGAAAAACATCTTCCGGTGGACTAAAAGTGGTAAGGTATTCAATCGTCTCAGGAAGGTAAGATGATGTATCTGAAAGCTCTAGGAGTAGGATATTTCCAGCCACTGATAGGACCGGATGTGAGTACGAAAGGCGCAAAGTAGGTAGGAATAAGCGCCTGTTGAATGGTCCCTAATAAGAGAAATTCCTTATCCTGGTCGAGGTGTATTGTGGATGGTCTCTTTTACGTTGAATAGCGTTTCGACGCGTTGAGAGATGAAAGGACTGCAGCGCGCAACTGTCTCGACTCGAGAGTGTTTTTCGTCAAGCATAGATGCAGGCAATCTGATGGCTCTGCATCCTTTCTTGCTGCTCATTTTCATCGACGGATGGCTAATCACTAAATTTATATACCTACAGCGTAGTAGAACGGGTAGGCTGCGGTAAGGTCAGTAATGTGCACTGTTCATGGAGTGCCCATCTAGTACTAACCTTATGTCATGGTCCCTGAATATTTATTGTCAAACTAGTCAAGGAACCCCTCGTTTTGTTTATCTGGGTTATTCGGGGAGGGACTGGGAAGCGGCTGTTGGTATCACTCAAGTTATTGCCGTGAATTCAATACTATGTTTTGAGTATGTAAGGCTTACAGTGCATCCATCCATAGATGGAAATGACCTAGTGGGTGTGATGAAGGTTAATTGAAGACGATAGAATAAATTGGATGAAGATGTAAATATCAAACTATCTATCGATGCGGTGCCATGGTGTGATTTGGTGGTGATAATGTGGTGGTGGAGGTGGTGGTGGTGGTGGTGGCAGTAGAAACTACCAAGGTGCACTGCACTGGTACTATGTGATAAGCCGTAGGTGCATTTCCTCCTCATGTTCGTTCTAATGTCGACTCTAGTTGCCAACCTAAGCCTAACCCATCCGTCCGTCCATCCACCCACCCACCCATCCATCCATCCATCCATCCATCCATCCATCCACCCGTCCATCCACCCATCGAAATGGAACAAATATAATTTCCCATTATCATAATATACCAGGCCAAGTAACCAACCCTTAACTCTTCCTGAATATGCGAATGTCTGGATATCCGATATCACGTCTGAATACCCACCAACCCTCCATTACCCTGGGAACCTCTGGGAACCTCTGGGAACCTCTGGGAACCACCCTGCAATCAATCGTCTGAATCTACCGTAACGAGCTGGAACATTGAAAATGCACTTATCATGCATGTACTCTTCTATTACTGTACTTGCCACTTGCCATTTGCCATTTGCCTTTTGCCTTTTGCCTTTTGCCTTTTGCCATATGCCATATGCCATATATCCGTGAGGCTACTTCCGCCCTACTTAGCAATTTCACAAGACCCTTCATTTTTTAATATTTCATTTTCGAATAACCTTATCACCATTTGCTTGGATTTATTCCTTTTTAAGATCATTTCCATGGTTTCAACCGACGAAATAGCTTTGATCTCTTCACACCTCCACTTAATACGTCTTGATGCAACCATTGTATTTATTGTACTCACAGTCCCCTCCTTCCTCTCCTGCTCCGTCATGAAAAGTATAAGTACTCTCTACTGTACGCGCTTTCCCGGAACCGGTCTTTCTGGGATACTATGAGCCCCTCGACACAGGAAGACAACTTGTTTGATTCGGCATCACCGACTAGTTCATAACAAAAAATTAATCCAAATCGGCCGACTTGTTGCTTTATATGTGACGGTGATTCGGATCCCTCTTGAGCTTGTCAGTCCATACTCATTTGCGCCGATTTTATTAATAACGGGAAATTCTCGTGTACAACGAGTTTCGTAATCTTTTATGATTTGAGCCTTCGCTTTGGTAGATACATCTCACATTGCACTTCTCTGACGCTGTCCCTACGCTTGCTAATACAGATCGTCTTCATGATAGAAAGGCAATGGCGTATCATTCCCAAGCTGGGCCATCAAACCCTAACCTTCGAAATCCTCAACAACAATACCAGCAAGGATCAAATTACGGTAATCCTTCCGGCGGAATCGCAAACGAAGGCCAGGAACAAGAAGCCGGTTTTGATACGCTTAATTGGTATCGACATTACTTACAGTGCCATCAGTACTTTCTAGACGAAGCTCAACATGATTTTTACGTTCAAGCCGTTGCAGCTTTTATAAACATACAACTTCCGTACCAAAGGCAGCCATACCCAGTCAATCGAGCTTCGGCTGCGTGGTCCATGGCGAATCTCACTGATCGTGGAGAGGAAGAACACCACCCCGTTCCAGGTTATCCGCAACCTATTTCTCTAATTCCATACATAAAACGATTGATAGTCACCGGCCATGATGATGGTCGAATTTTGGGAACGTGGTTCGGAGCAGACTGGCGTCAAGGCATAGGGACAATACACGAAATGGAGCGACGCAATTACCTTTTCGCGTCGAAAAGTAAGGAATGGCTCGACGTAAAAAAATATTATGATGATTCCGCAGCTGCAGAACAGTCAACGCCTTACATGATCCCTCTTCCACAAATTAAAGAGGTAGAACTCTCCCATGCAGATGAGGCCTGGAGCAGTTGGATGGCCATGCAGGATTGGGTAATTGGTCCCAGAACCCCGGAAGGTCTATTACAGCCTCCACGTTCACACACGCCGCACTACAACTCGCCACGGATTAAAAGGGAGAGGGACTTAGATGATTGAGAGCTACAACACAGATGTTATTAAAGTCTGGGTCTTTATGCCTGTTCTTGCTGGAGTATGGAGGTGGATATACAAGGTACTGCACTGGCAATAGGAGTTATAGATATTTGGGGGTTTGGTAGGAATATGAGGTTTGTGACATTGTCATTGGGTTTAGTCGCAGGTCGTTCTCTACTGTTCTGTACAACAGGATTCTAAATACTTGAGAAATCATACCGCTAATATTAAACTATGGGGTATTGCTCTATGATGATTCTGCTGATTCTGCTGATTCTGTTGCTGCTCATTCTATTTTGAAATCCAACATGTGGACGCCAAAATTGTACCAAGTACTAGGAAGGTCGAGGCTGAACTTTCCGGCACACTAAAATACAAGGCTAATAGAGTATGACTCGCTAATTGGTCCCCGCAACTCCATGCATTATCGGTAATCCATTCACATCTGGACTGACACTTTATTTCTAGATTCACTCACATATATCATTACTTACTGTTCAACATAATTGTATTCTTAACCGTCTTGTTCTTTTTTAAATCCTCAACTTATTTCTGATACTTTCAATTGTGTATAAGAGGTGTAATCGGGGTTTACTGACCTACATTTAATCGTACGAATTAAAGATGGCTGCGCAGGCTGCCATCGCAAACTGGCGGAAGCTACTGGATAATAGCCTTGCCTCGAGGCTCGATTCTGAACCTTTCACAGATTACATTCGTATACTGTCCTCGAGAAACCCATTACCATCTCCATATATATGCGAAATATTTCTACGGCCCGATGATTACAATGATATAACTGTCGACCCACGGGTATTACGTTATGTACAAATATTGCTATCTGAAGGGTTAATTGATTGCGCCGGGATTCTACGAAGTTTGTTAAAATATTCTTCGCTTTGGAACTATAGGCCAGATGGACACATGCAGAACGAAACCAATAATGAAGCAAATAAGGCTAAAAGGGTGAAGGAAGGGAAGAGGAGGTGGAAGAACTCATATTCTGCCGAGGAGATGATGCTCTACCGACTTGCGAAGACAGTTTCTACTGGTGTAAGGCCTAAGAATGTTCAAGAAGCCGTTGATCTATTGGTGATATCAATTCAATGGATGGATATGGTTGCTGTTGGGATGAGAGGCGGGGCGCACGAAATTTTGGACGTCGAGGCGCATGTCGAGGAGATTGGGATGGTGGGCATGGCCTTGGGAACTCTAATGGTTGCCGTGGTTGGGAATGCAAAGATTTTGAAAGTCTTAGAAAATGGTCGCTATCCAAAAGGTCGTTCTGCATTATTCTGATGTCTAAATGCTACCGGCTACATGCTAATATTAATCAACAGGGACGGGTATCGAACTCGGAAAAGCTATGGCTGGGTTTGTTCCTCTGCTACTTCAGAGCTCCCCGCAGAATGCACAGCGGTTAGATGCTTTTCGTACACAGACTCTCATCAGCATTCTACCTGTCAACAAGAAAGAGCAAGCTGCCAATGCTGAGATAAACGACATTTTGGATTCCACAATGGGGATGAATATTGATAACATCGTGATTGCTGATTTGCCAGCTGTCAACTCCCGAGCTGGTCTTTACATCTATTTAAATTCTCTCGTAAGTACAACAATAGTCATTGCGAAAATGAATCATTTGTGCTAACCATTGCAGCTGGTTAGCAGACCCCTCATTGATGACCATGTAATTTTTGCCTATCTACACAATAGATATCAGGTAAGGACAGCTCGGTTCTCTTGCAAAGATCTTTACTTACCATTCTAAGGGCGATGTCCAATCGACAACAGTAGATCTTATACTAGCTTCATTTGATGTTTTGGCCAATGCAACCTTTCGAAATGAAGGGCAGCAAACGACAACTATACTACGATCGTTTTTGATCAATAAGGTTCCTCTACTTATTTCCACACTTGCAGCGTCATTCTTCCCCCCTCTAACTTCAGAGTTTTGTATCACCGAAGCTTTGAGTCATGTTGATACTAATGCATTTCCCACACTTTCCACTCTGTTTGCGGAGTCAAGCAATAACGACATGTTCTCGGATTCTGTTAGGCAAGACTTCTGTTTCGCTTGCTGTTTACATGGCTTGATTCCAGAATCAAGCATTGAAACATTACTCGGCGACATACCTATGCAGAGTTTACCTGCCGGGGGAAGATATTCTAAGCAGGATCTTGCTCAGCAATGTCTTTCTGACTCAGAACGTGCTGAAGGGTTGATCTCTGAACTGGAAAATATGGATGGCAATGCTGGTGCAGTTAGCCAAGCAATTGCAGAGGTATGTGCATTGACTGCCTCACGGTAACCATAACTAACCGATAGTAGGTTATAAAACACATGTGTGGAAATAAGGAGACAATGACCTTGAAGAGCTTGTGCAGTCAATTGGCACGTAACCCATCGTCTTTGGATATAATGCTTCTCTTCAACAAGCCTACATCGTTTTTGCAGCCGATCTGCGAGCTGCTTGACAATTGGCGTTATGACGAAGACCAGGGAGAATATCAGCCCGTTTATGAAGAGTTTGGATCGATATTACTTCTTGTTATATCATTTACACACCGCTACAATCTTTCAACTGTTGATTTGGGTATCAAAAACCCGGCTGAATCATTCGTAGCAAAGCTACTTGTTCAAGGTCATCTGAGTCGAGCTTTCGATCCATTATCACAACAAGATCAAAATCATTTGGATGGATGGATTAGGGGGCTATTTGAGCCAGAGGGTGGTGGACTTGGTGATGAGTTAATGTCCTCATGTCCGCCACAAGAGTTCTACCTGTTGGTGCCCACTTTGTTTCACCATATTGTTCTTGCACTCAGCACAGACACTCTTTCGGAAGAGGGTTTGAAAGGCGGCCTGGAATTTATGGTTGAACCATTTCTACTTCCTTCTCTAATTCCTGGCATTACATGGCTCTCGGCTCATTTGTGGGAGGCTCGTCACCAGGCCACTTATATTCTTCAGATCCTGTCAGCTCTGATCAAAAATCCTCCGTCCATATCGAACAATATGGAAGCTTCTCACCTGCTCAACTCAACCCTCAAAATCGTAGCCAAAAATCTGGAACAAAGTCTTCGATGGCTCCAACGAGCTGAACCCCAACGCCAAGACATCGAACCAATATCGAAGGCATTGGAGTCGAATATAGGTTGGGAACGAAGGGGCGCTAGTAAGCACAGCGAACTAGAATCGTGGACAGCAACACCTGGAGGTGGAATGAGTGCTAGTATAAAACACACAATCGCTATCCTTGTTCAATGGGGCCTTCAATGGGCCCGTAACCCTGGCATGCATATTATGCCGGCATCCTATACACATCGACAGATTCTTAGTGGGTTGAAAATGCTCGGTGCAAAGCGATTACTAAATATCATTATCGATGAAGTGAAGGCGCAGACTGAAGCCGGCAATGGAAGCGTGGCACTTGACATCGCTACTTCGTTAGTCTGCGCTCCAGATCCTACGAGCTTTGATTTTGGCCGAGGGATGGACATTTTGAGTGGTAACACACCACATCCGCTCCAGCGTCGGTTAACCTTAAAGGAGGCATTGAAGGCAGAAGCAGAAAATATGCCGAAAGTCCACAAGACTGATACCTTTCATGCGGAAACTGTGATTAGATTATACAGAAGAGTGGAAGCACAAGCGGCTATCCAACAACAATTATTACCACATGATGATGGCTTAAATGCTTTGAATGAAGTTATGGGAGATGCTGGTCTAGGGCCAGCCGATCAAACAAATCTAAATATTGATGATATGGGTGGTGGTGGTGAAGAGTTAATGATGATGGGTGGAAGCGTCCATGGCGGTGATTTACTGGATGCTTTTGGAGGGGATGATCTGGGCGATGGAATGGGATTTTAGACATCAAATCCTGCATGGCTTTGGCAAACTGGAAATGGAAGGGACATTTGGGAAATTCTATGAATTGGGAGCATTTAGGTTTTGCGCGGAGCATATTTGTTGGGTGAATAATGCATGGATATTACAATACTTCATGAAACATCAAAGAAGAGTGAAATATAGCCAAATGTTAATAGCAATGTAAGGGTACTGCACTACGCTACGATAAGAGGTATGAAGTGTAAGAACAAGCTTGGAAGAAAAGGGGAATAAATCACGTGTATTTACGGTTCTTATCTCCACTGACAGGGATTAGTGCAACGCTAAGATAATGAGAAAATTATTTTTCGATATGGGATTCGTGAACGAGGAGAGGAAGGGGATTCCACACAATTTGCGCAGTAATACAAGTCAACTTATAACAAATGGCCGGCAAAAAGAGAAAAGCCTCTGCGCCCAGTGCGAGAAATGGCACACAGGATTTCGACAAGTCTAAAGGCAAAGTGGCCTTCGCAACATATGAAGATATCGCGGACTCCGAGGATGAATTTCATATCAACAGAGATAAAGTTATGTTGGATGAAAAACCTCACGCAAAACGCCAAAGAAAATCAAAAGATGAAGGTCAGCGCTTTTGGAACTCTGAAATTCACAGTGACTGATGGATTTTTACAGATGAATTAATTGAGCAATCGGACGAAGAAATCTTAGGATACTCGGAAGAGAGCTCGGAGGAAGAAGAAGAAATAGAAGCGCCAAAATCGAAGAGCAAATCTAAAGCACAACTATCTGATGATGAGGCCGCAGAAGAGGAAGACGGAGATGCTGAGGGCTGGGGATCGTCGAAGCGCGATTACTACGATGCGGATAATATTGAGACTGAAGCCGATGCCCTGGAGGAAGAGGCAGAGGCTAAACGATTACAACAAAAGAAACTACAGAAAATGTCGGAAGCAGATTTTGGATTCGATGAGAACGAATGGCTAGGCGAGGGAGGTGACGATGAAGAGGGAGATGTGGTAACAGAGGTTTTGAAGGATGTGGAGATCACTGAAGATATGGGCCCGGCAGAAAGGCTGAGGATACTACAAACGAGATATCCGGAATTCGAGTTTCTGGCGAACGAATTTTTAGCACTACAGCCCGTTCTACAAGAATTACAAAAGGAAGTAGATGGAATGTCCGAGGATGCAATTGAAGCAATGCCTATTCCAGCTGTGAAGGCCAGGACTTTGGCAGCTTACATGGCTGCCTTAAGCATGTACTTTGCGATATTGACCTCTCCGGTGAAGGATGGCAAAGTACAGGAGAAAACTATTGATCCACTAGAGCTGAGAGATCACGCTGTTATGGACAGCTTACTGCAATGTCGGGAGTTATGGTCCAAGGTCAAATCAACTGAAGTTACGGAGGAGGAGGCTAGCTCGGAAGACGAATCAATGGAGGATCTAGAGGACACAATCACGGCAGAAGAGGAGACGGAGACAATCCGACCTACCAAAAAATCTAGGAAAGAATTGACTCGCGTTGCTGCAGCTGAAAGGGCCGCTGCAAAACGTAGTAAACAAATCCAGGAAGCGGAGGCTGATTTGGCAGATCTTGATGATCTTGTCTCGAAATCGAAGAAATCGAGGAAGGCATCGAAAGCTCTCGTCGAGGCAGACGACGATTCTGACTTTGGTGAAGAAGAAACTATGGATGCCAAGGCTGCGGAAGAAAAGGCTAAGAGAAAGAAGTCACTCAAATTTTACACATCCCAAATTGCCCAGAAAGCAAATAGGAGAGCTGATGCTGGAAGGGGAGCTGGTGGTGACGAGGATCTACCTTACAGAGAAAGGCTTCGAGATCGTCAGGCACGACTCAACCTTGAGGCTGAGAAGAGGGGAAAGAAATTGGATGAGTATGGAAGAGGCACGGCTCTCGGTGGAGATAGCGATGATGACGAGCAGGCAGCTGTTGCTGACGAGGTTCGAGATGATGGAGACGAGTATTATGATATGGTCGCACAAACATCGAAGAAACGCAAGGATGACAAAGACGCCAAATACGCAGCAATTGCAGAAGCAAAGAAAGCAGGAAAATTGGCGAGAGTGGTTGAGGTGGAGAATGATGAAGACGGGAAGAGAGCTATTGGATATGTTATTGAGAAGAACAAGGGATTAGCGCCAAAGAGGAAGAAGGAGGTCAGAAACCCCAGAGTAAAGAAGAGGATGAAGTACGATGAGAAGAAGAAGAAGTTGAGTAGCATGCGGGCTGTGTACAAGGGCGGGGAAGAGAAGGGTGGTTACGGTGGTGAGAAGACTGGTATTAAGACTGGTTTGGTCAAGAGTAGAAAGTTGTAGGATATTAGCAAGGCGTCTTACCAAAATGACCAAACCCCTTGGCAGGTGGAAATTCGGTGTTCTTTCGATCGATACCTCGGATTACAAGTGGTTGTACAGATTTCACATGTTCTTATCCCCAATGTCTAAAGTCCTTTCATACCCTTTTCTTTAGGATTTCATGTAACGCAAAGGCGTTGAAATGTCTCGGCTCAGCATGTTGCAGTACTCCCTGATATCCAGGGAATTCCCTACTGAATGACTAGTGAATTCAATTACCAGACAGAGACATCAACCTCCAGACTCTTCTCGTCGCATTCTCAATGATATAGTTGCGGATAGCCTATTTCCCGCTCACCTGCTCAATATTTTGAACTCAAAAGCTATCAGATGCATATACCGGAGTATTTGTTCCTCCTATACACAGTATTTGATTGAAGATATAACCAATTACCTTTCCTTGACCGTTCATTTCAATGTGAGTGATAGACGTATTCATTTTTGATATAATGCTTCTTTGGGTATCTTTTTTAACTGGTTTGCTTTGTTTGGGGATTTGTGATGCTGGGTCGGTGCTTCTTATTCAGAATCTGGATCCTGATGGCAATTGTTGTGATTCGGCAAGTCATTCTGATTTAAGTCCTAGTTTACTGATTATACATCACTCAAACATGCTCTAATCGTTTGACAGTGAGTGTGTCTTCTATATTCCCTCAATACTGTCTCTTGCCGAAATCTATCACACTCCGGAGAAGAAGCTCATCCTATGTGCTTGTGGCATGCTGCTAATCTCAGTATCAAAAGGCTAGGACAATGTGACTTCAAGTCTGCAAATTGTACGAAAACTTCCGTCGCGAATCACTTCTCGAATGGTCTTGATGTACCGCAATGTGGTAGAAATGCTCCTCAAGGAAGTCAAATATGTCCTTTGAATACTTGCTGTAGCGGTAACGGATACTGCGGGGTACGTATTCCTGGATCCTATGATCTGCACACCAAACTGTGCTGCAACATTAAAGATTCCCTCATCATACACTAGCTAACCAGCAATCCAAAGACTACATCCGCCTATTGCATCAACGCCGACCCCGTCAACGGCAATGTGCCATGCCAAACAGGCTATGGCGCCTGCGGCGTAATAAACTACCCCAACTGCGGAACCGGCAGCACGACCGCCACCAACGGCCGCAAAGTAGCCTACTGGCAAATCAACAGCGCGACTCGTTCCTGCAATGCTCTCCCCATCCCTCTAATCAACACGCAGGGAATCACCCATCTAATCTTCGCCTTCATGTCCATCTCCCCCAACACATTCCACGTGGTTCCTTTCGATACCACAGCCGTGCCTCTCATGCATCCATTTACCGCGTTGGCTTCTACTACTCTGGCGACTTATATGGCGATTGGTGGGGGAGGATCGAGTGTTTTGCCTCCGATTTGGAGTCAGATGGTGCAGAGTCCGGGGAATAGAGCTGCATTTATAGGGAGTGTAGAGGGGTGGCTTAGTACGTTTGAATTTCAGGGCGTGGATTTAGATTGGGAGTTTCCGGGTAGTTTGAATGATCGGGATGGGTTTGTCGCGTTGGTTAGAGAAATGAGGGAGAGTTTTAATGCGAATTATCCGGCGAAGAATTGGGGGATTAGTGTAGTTTTGTTCGTTCTTCTCCTCTTCTCTTCTCTTCCTCATCTATCTTTTCCATTTCCTCATTTCCCCATTTCTTTTTTTTTTCTTTTTTCGAGAATACATACCGGTAAACTTTTAGAATAAACCAAACTAACAAAACCCAAACACAACCCCCAGACCCCCCGACTTCTCCACCCTCCAATTCTTCGACCCCATAAACCTAGAACCCTACACCACCTTCTTCAACTTCATGTCCTACGACCTCCACGGACCATGGGAATCCACCAACCCCTCTCTAGGCGCCTATATCCGTCCACAAACCTCCCTGCTAGACATCAACAGCGCGCTTTCCCCCCTCTGGTTCGCCGGCGTCGACCCCTCGAAAATAAACCTCGGACTCGCGGCCTACGGTCGCGGCTACACGCTCGCGAATCCCGCGTGTTGCGATCAAGGCTGTGCGTATACGGGCCCTAGTATTCCCGGGCCGTGTACGACTCAAGAGGGTATTTTGAGTATGCGTGAGATTCAGGTGTTGGTTTTGAGGGAGGCGTTGGGGGTTTCGTGGGTGGGTGGTTCGGCGGCGGGGTCGGGGCAGGAGGGGAAGAGGCGGTTAAACAGATTGTTTTGGTGGGGAGGCAGTGGATGGGGTATGATGATCTTGAGACGTGGGGGTTGAAGAGGAGGTTTGCGGATGGGCTTTGTATGGGGGGGACTGTGGTTTGGAGTTTGGATTTGCAGGGGGTGGGGACGTAAGTTTTCTTTCTTTCGGTTTCGGTTTTGGTTCTTTTTTTTATTTTTATTTATATTTTTTTGTGTTTATTCTTCTTCTTCTTCCGCTTTTGCTCTTGATTTTATGTGATAGTTCTGTTTTTGAGAGAATCACCACTAATAAATAATCAAACCTAGAGGCGATGGGAATTTCGGGCCTGGGTTTTGAGGAGTGGTGGAGGGATGGATGGGAATTCAGAGGAAGAAAATGAGAAAGAGAATAAGAAGGGTTATAAGATTGAAGCATGCATGTATGCAATTACTACCATCTCACCCGTGTACATTTAAAATGACATGAAACTTCCGGGTGCATATCTAATATTAATCTTATAAGAGTATGGAAATTGTGATAGTGCATTTCATGAATTTAGATTTGGTTTGATTTGATATCTTCATTTACTTCTATACAATGACAGTAAATGTCTAATGCCCAAGAAAGTTCACCAAATTTGACATCCTTTTCAGTAACATCAAGTGAACCCCAAAATTGGCTTCAAATATTTCATCCGTGTATCATCCCATAAATTTTCCTCACCAAGATTCTCCCGCGTATTATTGACAACAACGTGCAGCCCGGTGTTTGTCCCTGAATTTCTGCAAGGCTGTTTGGCATCGTGTCTTCCTCCTAAACAAACTGCTGGAGGAGACAGATCATACGCTAGCCACGAAGCCTGAGGCGCACTACTTGCCAAGATGGTCAGCAGCCCTGTTAGCTGATTCCTGCCTTCCTTGGACACCACGTTTTCGAGGTTGGGACTCGGACACTCCTGAAGAGCGTTTTGTCGATGGATTCAAATCTCTCGTAGACATATTGTTTGGCATCTCCAACTCATGATGTGTGGTTTCGCTTGTGGAAGTTTCATTCTGCGTGGCGACAGACGTTTGAGACTGCGATTCAGAATGTATTGACAATGCAGCTTCGACATTGGAGGTTTCGGTCGTTGAGTTGGAGGTCAAAGCTGAAGAGGTTTGATTAGTAGTGTCTGTATCATTGACTCTATGGTTTGCATTCTCAATCATCTCGTCTCTTTGCTCCTTTGTCCAATCTATGGCATTTCGGAATGCAGTGACCCCTTCCTGGTACGTCTCAGGGCTCCCGAGTAAAGCCCAAGAATTTATGTGAGTCATGATATACTCGGTCCGGCCTGAAGGGCCATTACGCTGTACAGGGTGGCTGGTATACATGTGTAGCGTGCCATAATGATAAGTTGATGTAATAGTATAGGCAATATTGTCATATACCTCATCTTGCATATATGACTGCAACTGAAGCATGCCTCTCGCACCAAATGCACCATCATAGCATGCTTGCCGTTCTGCTACCGCTACGCTTCCATCACGCCCCTTTACTTCCAGAAAGAAGTTCGGCACAATGGGAAGGTCGCTTTGAGTTGTGGGGACGATGTAATCACCGAGATCAATACGTACTTGTCGCTCGAGTTGTTCAGGACGTGCTCCATAGTAGAGGTCCGGGTTACCAGAAACAAGTGAGCCATCCGTGAGATACCGCAGGTTTTTTAATGGAATTTTTCCTGAAACGCATTTTGCATCTATAACCTCGCCTTCAATCAGAGGAATCACCAATCTCGTTACTTGCTCCTCTTTAGCAGCGTCTGCATCCACTTGCGTAAACTTTTCATGCATTTCTTCCGTAAATCTTGACGGTGAAAGGGAACGGTGAGGCTGTGCTAGTCTGCGTTTAATCTCCTTCCAGTTATTTGGCTTTGTTGGTCTTGTGCCATCGGGGTACCTGTAGAAGCTAGGAAATATACCATTATCAATAAGGTGCTGTTGGAAATTGCGAGAGTAGACCGAAGTGTTCTTAGTAGTTGTGGTAGCGCCAGTAGTAGCGTCGGGATCCGTAAGAGGCTTTCTTTTCATGGTCGCGTTTTGAGGCTGGTCGCTAACAAGAGGACTGGCAGATTTTTGGTACTAGAAGCAGAATATTTAGTTTATGCTCCGGTGGATATCTGATGATACTTACTCCTCTGAGATCCGTTAAATTAGGACCACCGTGTCGAGCAAATAGCTGTATCTTTTTTAACCGCCTCGCAGAAGATTTAACGAGAAAGTCGACGGCGGGCTCCAAGTTTTCCTCTTCTCTCAACTTGGCAACAAATTTTCGAGTGACTGGCCGATGGCTTGGCAAGAGCGAACTGTTCCTTCGATCCAATTCTTTCAACGCGTTCCCAGTTAACCAAATCTTTGACAGATTGTCCCAAAATGCTGGTGGTTTTTGTGATGTGTTCAGCCTCTGCCTTTTCGACAAATGTTGTGTCGATGTTTGAAGAGGAACAGAATGCTGTTCTGAAAATAAGCGTTTGTGTGGATTGGAACGATTGACTTTGGGCATGTAGTGATTGTCAACGATAATATCGCCAGACTCTCGCTGATGTGAATCTGAATGAATGGTATCCATAGACCAGTTATTTATATGCGGCTATACCGCTATGGAGATGAATTTTCAATGTTTTTTCAAAGGACTAGTGCGGCAGTTGATAATCTCAGCGTTCGTACCTTGCAACCAATCAATCGTGGACATGTAGAAGCGCATAAATGGAAACGCCTACAACAGAAGTTCTGGAGCGCTGGAGCCTGTGACGAACAAAGTAGAATCTTACCAAAACCAATAACTCCCCAATCGCATTGGTGTACCTGCTGCAGTGCTGCCTGCGGAACCTGCAGAGCATCTGCCGAGCATTGAGAGGCAACAGGCAGAAGTCAACCAGACATGAAAATTGGCTTTTGTTTAGAATTGAAGGATTGATTGAATTTCCTTTATGTAGAAACAACAAAAGACAAAAGGATGGACTTGTTCTCCGTAGCCTTTTATTGGGAAGGGAAAGGAAAGGAGTTGCTTTCCTTTGATGTTGTTGATGTAAGTCTTAGACAAATAAATAATTATTATTAGAGTTTAAAACAATCCACCTGCCAACTGAACGCACAGGCCAGCACCAAAACGTATGGTCCACGGACCACCAGTGAACATTAGCCGTTGTCCTTGCCGCGAGGTAGGACGGAGGGTAATGTAGATTTTTAGTATAAGGTTATCCGCAAATAGTCTGTTTGCTCGTGATCAGGTTCGCTCCTCAACCAATCAATCGATGGGGAAACTAAAACTAATTTAAGCCAAGTGCTGGCAGAAGCGAACATATACATATCTCTCATAACACCTTTCACACGTTGTTAGCATTGCCGGCTGCAGAAGATATATCCACCGCTTCACTAAGACCGGCTTATTGAACAAACTTTACTGCTTGATTAGCAGCATTTTCTGCCTCTTTGCAAACCCCAAGATGATTCCTGCCCCAAAGGTATCATGTAGAACATTCTCAATCTCTAATAACTCAATTTTGCATCCCTTTTTCTTCATTCTCTCGACAAATCGCACATGGTCCTTATAGCGAACCTCTGCTGTGCCCGTCTGTACAAAAATTGGGACGGAACATTCGAACTCGTTCCCTAGCGGACTGAGATACGGATGTCCAGGAGATAAATCTGTAGGGATAAAACATCTCTTAACCCATGCTATAAGTGAGCCAAAAACATAATCCGTTTTGATACTTGGGGATTTATCAAGCTCTTTGTATCAGTTGTCATATCCAGCCAAGGAGTCCAGCATAGCCCTGCTCTTGGAAAAGGAAGAGCATTTTTGCCATCTGTAGAAAGATAGCGCAGCATTGCCAAAACTAGATTTCCCCCTGCGGATTCCCCTGATAGTACATTATTCTCGGGCTTTAATCCAAGTGTATTCACTACATAATTGTACGCTGTAAGACCATCTTGTATCGCAGCAGGGAAACATGAGTTCGGTTCAATTGCAAGTCGGTATTGCACCTGTAGGACATATCCTATACGTTTACTCAGAACTTCGGGACGCCAGCCACTTTCCATTTGCCGTGCACCACCGAGAACATATGCTCCGCCGTGGAAATGAATAACAACAATCTTTGGAGTTTCGCCTAATGGCGGAGGAGAAGTGAACCATACCGCACCAATAGGGATAGGTCGAATAGCTGGATTACTGTCGATAATACCGCAGTACAGGGCTGGGGAGGTAGTAGTAGTGGTGATAGATGGTGGGTCAATTATCACAAAGCCGTCTTTTTCACTACCAGGTTTGAGAGTTTTGGTAGTGTGGAATTCGACAGTAGTAGTATAATGCCACCAGATGGAAAAGATGGAAGTTCCAACAGCGTGATGGTATGTCCATTTTGGATGCTGGCGAGCAAATTTTGGAATGCAGTAAAGTAGGATAGCGAAGATGCGGAGTGGTAAAGTGATAAGCTCATTTTTCGACGGCTTACTATTGGCCATGGTTCGAAACTGTTCCGATTTGTTCAGAGAATCTTCAAGCCGATTGTACCAAAAATGGTTGCTTTTGGAGAACGATTTACCATTGGAGCTTGGATTGGTGGTCTTTGAGTTTTGGGAACTGCGCTTACTGCCAATAAGTGATGAAAAACGAGTTTTGTAATTTGAGATAGACCATGCCATTGAGGTTTTTTTAGTTGCAGCAAGACTGATATAAGTGGAGATTCAATGTGGAAGCATCATGGGAAGAGATTACAATACAAAACAAGTTTGAATAACCAAATAAGAAGATATTGAAAGAGAACTAAAGAGAAAGAAGACCTAGGAAAAGGGAGTGCGATTCTTATGGGTGTTGAAAGTGGCGGCTGGTTTGTATACGTATCTTGCCTGATGCGGCGGCCGCTAAACTCGGGGGGCAAGCACCACGATTGAAATTACATTATATAATTTAATAGTAAAACAGATACTATATACAAATAAAATATATCGACGCCCAAACACCTTACTCGGGCTCGAGCTCGACTTCCTATATCATATCATATAATCTTACATGAGGATTTCCATAACGCTTCCTTGACGCCTGACCCCTATCAACTCCAACAGATATAGATGAAATCCTCAATTCCCAAAACCGGTAAACTTCCACTACCAGAGTAACTCAGAAACCTATATGAAAATGTATGCATTCAAAGCCCTTCAACTACGCCATCTAGGCTAGTAGTCATCGAGAAGACCGCGAAAGGTGAGATTTGGGAGGCACTGCCATACCTGAATCCACCTCATCAATTAAAACATCCTTAGAATTCCTCGTAGAAGTTCTCGTAAAAGTCCTCGCGTAATCAAATGTCTCCTCGCTTCTTGATCCTATGTCACGATTCTCCACAATATCTACGCCCTTGTATTCATTACTCGTTCTTTCCCTGTCGCTTTCCAGTCCTATATGTACAAAACTCGAAAGACTGGTATCGCTTCCGCGTACCTCTTCAATGGCATCTAGATTCATTGAATGTATATTTGTTCTCAATTCTCGCTCTGGAGTATGTCCCATCTCGATATCGACTTGTGGAAGTGTTCCTGGTGTACGCGAGGTTCGTGTTGTGGTGTTGGTGTTGGATCCTGAGAAAGGTACTTTGTCGGAAGAGGACATGACATAATGATTCTTGTGGCTGGAATTGGAAGTATGACCAAGGAGGACAGGTATGTAGCGTGTGAAGAATGGTTTAATGGCAGGCACAGAGGCACCGATCTGGAGTGTGTTAGAGCTGTAATTGATATCTTCTATCGATGGCATAGAGTGGCGTAGAAAGGGGTAGAAGAAGAGGGAGGTGCATACTATGCCAACATAAAGTTCAACAGAACTACTGATCCAGACGTAATAATCGTCCCATGTTACATCCGTAGAAGTCAATTCTACATAGGTGTAATAAGTCCTCACGGTTCCAGCTATACAAACAAGAAATCCGGCGGCAAAAAGAAAAATGACGATGAGGCGTTGTCGTTGAGAAATTTGTAATTTAAGCATTTTAGGGATAGGTAAAATAACCACAAAAAAATCAGTTAAAGTATTGAAGCTCCCAGCAAACGTGACATGAACTTTTTGATTGATGCATTCTGGTTGAGGAGCGAATGTTATAAGCCAATAATGAGAGACTGGTCTGTTTAGTCAATAAGCATGTTGAAGAACAGTATACACATATTAGTTGACTAACCGACATTGAAAAATGACAACGATGATGAAAACTGTTCCTTGGACAGCAATTATGACTGTAGCTGCGATAGTCATGATCTTGAACCGTCTCCCGCTTGACAGAATTCTATATAACAATGCGAGCATAGAACATTTTGTCAGGGTTTGTCCAAGTGTAAAGATAACTTGTGTAATCAAGACATATTGCAGCCCAAATTTGACCTGAGACAACGGAAGATCCCATACATGTCGATTGAACTTGAAAAATTCCTCCGCAAGAACCGCAAGGACAGCAAATGCTGTCGAAGGCACCATCGCTGCAATAATGAGCCAGTCATCTAATCCAAAACATTTCGATATTTGAAGTCGGGTGTAGAGCCGAATGAGTATTATGAATAGAGCGACTGGAAATAATATTGCATTGACGACTAGAACTGCATTTCCACGCGTTTTTGGGTCGACATAGTTTGGTACTGGCCAAGAGGCAATTATCTCTGGAGATGGAAGCTGCATCTCGAAACGTTGACAACTTTAAAACGGCAACATCGAAGTACAGGAAATGATGTATATAATTACAAAGAATCGATCAAATGACGAGCCGACAATGCCAGAACTTTCAGATAGAGAGCCTCGAGTCGGACTTATGGAAAGTATCAAGAGTAGAATCGTACCTTCATATGTTATAACTATGAAGGTCTGATCCTGAAGGTACTGGCGCAAGCTGGAGTCTAGTACAAATGCTGCTCAGACACTGCAAGCCACTAGATGTATTGCTAGAACCTCATGTTGTGACCCGAACCCTCGGGCTTTTATCGATCAATGCTCGATAACATTGGTAGTTCTCAGATTAGCCTGATGGCTAACCCCCAGTCCCCATGTCGAGCGGGCCAATCAATTTTCCTAGTGCTCAAACCACGGACCATGAGCACGGATGTCCGATTTTTCTTTTGATAGAATCAAACGGCGATTACTTTTATCAACTCAAGCAGAAGGAGAATGTTGGGAATGTTTTGATGATGATCTTGGTATGTGGATGCATCTTGATGCTTTTGATTGTGAGAGATAGATCAAAACGCCCGGACCACCTCCTTTTAGTATCAGCAAACGAAAAAAAGCGCGTCGTGTTGCACCGGGAGCATCTCCCGGATAAGAGAAACTGGGGTCGATGAAGTACCGTTGTATCGAGGAAAAAGAAGCAACAAAGGAAATAAATGAATATAATAATGCAATCCCAAGGATCTAATGTATAGGGCTTAAATAAAAATCTAAAACATCCTTCTCAACAGACGTAAAATGAGAGGGGCTTCTCGCAAGCTTTTCTACCTTTGATGTTCATCCCAACTATTTCCTACGATTTGTGGAAATCCCGGACAATACAAGGGGGTAATCAATTAATTCCCAAATGCAAGACAGCTAATATGCAACTGCTGTGATTGACAGCATGCTAATGTCACATGTTCATGTAAGATTACAATTGCACAGACCGTCCCAATATACGTTTGATGTTCGAAGTTTCGTCTAGACAGCCGAGAAACGCGGGTCCTTCTAACGTTTTTATGGGGCTGTGCGGTAGACAAGGCGCTGTCAAAATTGCCCGTGACGTAAAATTTTAGACATTGCGTCATTTGCTAGACGCTTTTGATATAAGGTACTCGGGAAACTCATTCATCGGTTAGCGAGTCACAATACATGGGTCTTCTAGCCTAGTTGAAGATTTGGTGTCTAGAATTACTAATGGTTCTGGCCATTTTCACCAGGAAAAGCCTCGACCTTTCCTTACTCATATCACCTTAGGCCAGCCCTGCAAACCGCTGCAAGATTTCAGCGCTTTGATAACCACTTCCATACCCACTTTGTGGCATCGATGTTTTCTTTCCCCCGCCAGACGAACTATGCCTCAAATGAAACAGCATCGTCTAGTAAGAAGTCTTCTCTCGCAAACTCTACTCGAATAGCTTCACATTCGTGTGTCTTCTCCAAATTCGGCTCGCATACATTATCAACATCACAATCTCCAAGTTCGAGATTTTATCGCTATTCTTTTGATCCTTGCAATGATTTTTATTCCTTTTTACTTATGGGAAGGATATCTTATTGTTCTGCATCAATTGAGTCTCCAGCCCAGATAACCGCGTCGTCATGTTATTGTTTCTTTTTTTCCCCTCTCGTATCTACCTAATTTAAGCATAATTAGTTTTTCGAGGGTTGCTGGAGGTAAAGGTCGGACATATGGACGTAAGATCAATATACAATTGCCTTGTCTGACCAACATGGAGAGTTGATCTCAACCTATTACACACCAGTCATTCATCATCGTGACGTCTGCTGTGGCGAGACTATGAAATCTCGAAATTGCTTGATTGAAATGGCCTGTTCTTACTGGGATCGTTATCATTTGCCCCTCTTCTCTGTTTTCAATCTCTCACAATCAGGGAAAATAACAGCGGGGTCTTCTATCATACAATAGGAAGTCTGGATCAACACAGATTTCTCTCGCTTCACGACATTTAAGTGCTAGAAAGATAGAGATCAGGTAGCAATATGGAAAAATTCCAGTCCTCATCGACGTATTTCCGTTTCTTGCTGGGCGAGGGGAATTGGGAGTTGTCAGCCGCATAATCATCTAGAAAGATCCCATCTCAGGCATCAAATGCACACCTTTTTCTTTTTAAAGGGGGATGCTCGGCTCGAACAATTCCAACTATCGAGGAAGAGCCGGTGCTTATTTCAAGACTTTCTGCAATAGTATTTACCTGTGAAAGTGGTCACGGGTCTTGAATCCCTGATAGGTTATTGAGGCTTCGACCGTACTTAAAAGTGTAATTAGTAAAATTTCGATACCAATTCCAAGTTTGTAATCTATTACAAGGTTTCCCACGATGTCGCATATATTGTAATGGGCCGGGAGTAAAAATCCTGCAAAGAATAGTAAGGCTTAATACGATGGATGGGCATCCACTCCGTAGATATCAAGTTGGACGGGCATCGAGTTAACTCTAGTTTAAGGCACATAAAGAGAACGTAATCTCGAACCGATACGCGCTGCGCTAAAATCGCTTGTCCTGTCCCACCACTCTTATCTTAGTTCTAGTATATATCCCTAAATCTCTTCAAAATCCAGTAGATTTAAAAAAGCACTCGTTTCATGCGACATCTTTGTTCTTTCGTCTCATATTAAAACATGAGGATATCCTCTTCGATTGCTCTTCCTTCGCCATGATGAAAAAGTGTCTGCAATCTTCTTCTGAGTACCTAGGTAGTTATACACAGAATAGACGATGAGGGAAATATGGTTTCCAGTCAATTACTATGGGGGAGATACGGTTTCATATGAAAATTCCCCCGGTGATTATTTTGAAGTGATAAATTGATGAATTGCTGATGAATGTCACGGTTGCGGTAAAACATGTTCAAGTGGAATGATGAGGAATCAGTACCTGTTCAGTAAGTAAGATCTTACCAAACAGCCCTGAAACTTGCGAGCACCTTTCTCAGTCTGTACAAGCGCATCATTCTACATATGCCGTTTTCATATTCAACGAGAATTCCTTCTGAGAGAATCGACCATATGCATTCATTACAATAATCTTCATAACCCCAAGTATCTACATCCAAATCATAATGCACAATAATGCAATACCCAAGTCTCAGCGCCGATGGTATCAGTAATCCATATAAAATAGTCCATATAACCTAACCCAATCATTCATCATCACTGCTATCCATAATAAAGCCCGCTCTAACCCTCGGTCTCCTTGGGTTCGCCACTGGCACGATATTTTCTTCATCCTCATCATCTATCTCCATTGCCTTTTTCTTTAATGGTTCATCACCGTCTTCACTTGAAACTTTTCGTCTCTTCGGTTGCGCCGATCGACGTGGACTCGAAATCGACGTATCCGTCTCCTGAGCCTCCTCCTCTTCGGTATCGGAATCATCAGCACCTGCAACTTCGATTTCTTCATCACTATCCAGCGAAATCGCACTACTTGCCCTCTTCTTACTCGCCGTCACAATCACATCCTCATCACTCTCCTCCTCTCCCTCTCCATCCAGCGCACCCGCCATTCTCTTCTTCCCGTTTTCCCTCTGTTGACCAACCCCTAACAACTCCTTCATAATATGAATTTTATTCTCTTGTCTCAATCTCTCCTCCGCCTCGAAGAAAATTCGATCATTTTCCTCGTCATCGTCATCACTATCACGAACATATAATTCACTCTTAATCTTACGATTCTTCTCTAACTCCCTTGCTCTCCTAGCTGCTGCACGTGCTTCTATTTGTTCATTCGTTAGCCCACGACTTTCGGGTTCTTCGCTTCCTTCATTTCTGCGTCTTCTTCGATTTTTCTTTAGAGCCCTTAGGGCATCGGATTTCTTCATTGCTGTTGGCCCACCAGGTTCAAATAGTAGTTCCTCTTCGTCGTCGTCAATGCCGTCATCTGATTCGTCATCAAATACCGCGCGTTTCCTATTCATGCCAGCAGATACTCTCCTGACTTGATCAAGTGCTCCTTTATCATCGTCAAACGTTGGTGGGGCGAATTCAAATTTTTTAATTAAATCTAGGGCTTCTTTGATTTGATCTGCAGACTTTTCCGACGGGACAATCCAAGAAGTATCGGGATCATCAGCAGCTCCAGAATGTGTGAGTCCGGCAAGCTTCATTAACAGGCGCAAATAACCATTTTTAAACATGGCTGTTTTGCGATCATCGTTATCTGGGTTAAGAACTACATTGATGTCAGAGAGACACAAACAAGGATAGACAATCAGTTATACGTACGTATGGTAGGAGCCTTTGGAGGTCCTCCCTCCGCGGCAGGGGTCTCTTCATCCTCCGCAAATGGGTCTTTCTCCACGGATTGCAAAGCCTGATTCGCGGCCTCCCAACTCCTTCTTTCACTCTCCGCAAAGGATAATTGTGACTTGACCCATTCAATATGATCGGCCTCATTCCTATCAAGCAAGGCTCCAACAGCAACACCGATCTGATGTTCCCATTCCAATCCGCCCTTGACTTCTAGTTCCGCAGCCGCTTTGGGCTTGGTTGCTATTGTCTGTCTTACATAGCCATACTCGATGAAATGCGCAGTGCTATTGGTTTTAGAAAACAGCATTTCCACTACAAGTTCCGGTCGCTCTTGAATTTTTCTGGTGCATTTCTTTAAAAGTTGCTTTACCATTTCGTCCCATTCTTTGTAACATGGAGACTGAGGATCTAGTCCCCCTGGACCTTTGATCATCGTATAGAACAAATGGATGATATCCACTCTGAACAACATAACACTCATATCCTGTTTGAAAGCCACGCGATAGAAAAATCGATGAGCTCGTTTTAATTGCGCCGGTCTGAGATCAAGATAGAACTTCGTGAATGATACTAAGGTATCAATACATCCTTGTGACAGAAATTTAGCTGCAAAGCGTTTGTAATCGAACCTTCGCTCGGAAGATTCTTTTTGTGCTCGTGCCTCATCATCACCCTCAGACTCGTCAACTATATTGTCATCACCTTGGTCCTCGCCTGCATCTCTCGCAGCCTTCTTCTTTGTCCTCGTGCGTCTTCGAGATCTTACTTGCATGTCCACATTCTGCTTAGAGTATTGTTCCAGGATACGCATGTAATTATGCGTAAGTTCCGTACAAGAATCTAGGTAACCAAATCCTTGGTCTTTATATGTCCGGGTAATCATAGCCACACGATCGTGAGTTGTGTCTTCATAAAATATGCGAGCAAGAATATTTTCTGCAATCTCCTGATCATCTTCAAGACGCGAGTCTGCCATTTCTTGGACGGTGAGGAGGATTTGCGTGAAACATTTCATACCAGCACTTAAATCATACCAATTCTTGTTCTCAAAATTGAAATCCATCGCCCTGTTGAGCGTAATGAACATCTCTTGATTGAGAACACTAGCAACGAGGGCAAAACTATCCGCCTCTTCTGGCACTTTAGCTTTAGAAGGTTTTTTGTTCTTCCTCCTTACTCTTTCGGCCTCAAGAAACCACGATATGAGATAGAAAAATTGTCGTTGATGATAATCAAGAACTCTTTCAGCTTCTCTATCGATTGCTTTTCTGATATGTGTAAAGAGTGGATTAAAACCGGAATCGAGAAACTCTTCGACAAATGCTCGTAAATTTTTAGTTGCTGATGCATTGAGAGGAACCGGATTATCAAAGGCCAGCGGTCCACTTTCCCCTTTGACTGCTCTTCTAGGCGGCTTAAACTTTTTAGTGCTATCCATCTTGTCCAGTCCCCCTCTACCGGTTCGTAAAGCAGCCTGGCCAGAAATTGTTGTCATTTTTGCATCATCTCTTTGCATCCAAGCCATCGTTCCGAATCGATTATGCCTCGTGGGAGCATTTGTTTGGTAACTTCGGAGCATTGCTTGTTCCTTCTTCCGTAGTCTGATTAGTTCATCCGTCTTGCTATTATCCATTGCCTTTTCGCTGAAGAATAATTTCTCGACATCCACTCCCTTAATCAAATGGAAGATAACGTCCATAACCACAACATCTTGGGTATTGAAATCCTCTCCCATGGTCGAAGATACCGTTAAAAGAAAATGGAATATATCTTGATAGTCGAAAGCATCGATTGTTGCAGACCTCGATATTTCTGCCTCATCACCTTCATACTGACCATTTGGTGGAGCTGCAATCATGGCAATGTTCCGTAGAAAGTATAGAAGCAATTTAATAATACCCTGATCTCTTGTACTTCGGTCCCCAATATCCTCCGCCATTGCCGGTAGCGCGCATCTAACCGCAGTGTGTAATATTCTCGCTCCATCAAACCCAAGAATCGACCTCTTATATCCTACTTGCGCAATCTCTAAATATGGTATATGTCGATGGTGATTAACCGTCATTTCTTTATTCTTCTCTAACGGCCAAGTTAATGGTACCAAGAGTTCCAGGCATGCTAAAGCAAGCTTCGATTTCAACCGATCGTCTGTGGCATTCTCAGGCCATGCTGCGAGGATTTGTAGAAGATCTCCTCCTACTAAATTGGATTCTGCGAGACATCTTGCGACATCTAATCGATTTGCTTTTTCATCATAGAGCTTCAACCATTTCTTAAGATCTCGTAAACATGCTAATGCATCATCTCCTAGTACGTATCGTCCATCTTCATCTGCTCCGCTCCCTCCCAACTGTCAATGGTTTAGTTAGTTATAATTCTTGGACTTTTTCAGATGATAGAATTGAAATAACTTACAGCTGTGACCAAACTATTCACATAAGCCCTAACTTCAGGATCTACGACATCTCTTTTACCACCTGAGAATTCCATATTATTTTCTGTGCTAGGTCGCTCTCATGGATGGATCTAAGTAAGCATAATAATTTATCAGTATCATCGATATCAATAAAACCACTGTACACGCTCCTGCCGAAATTCGCGATTCGCGACGCGTATCCCTGTCAAAGCCACATGTAATGACGGAAAGCTGCCGGCCCGAACGCAGCTTTACCCCTCGGTGAATTATAACTTTAAATCCTGGGGAAACAATGAACCGATGTTAACCTTTTTTTACTTTCGAACTTCATTCAATTTCTTAACACAACACCAGAACTTTAATTCATTCTTCTTGCTAATATTGTCGCTCAAAATGCTTTCACCAATTGTAAGAAAGGGACTTTTGCAGAGTTCTAGATATGCAAGATCATTTAGTTCCAGCCGAATCCTCTCGGCGCAAGAAGTTAAAAGCCTGGGTGTTATTGGAGCTGGGCAAATGGTAAACCCATCTTCACTTTCTTTCTTGACATTCAATTGCTCATGTCATTTAGGGCTTGGGAATAGCATTAGTAGCGGCACAAAGAGCTGGTGTGCCAGTCACTCTTGTAGACACAAATCAAGCCTCCCTTGATAAAGGCCTCAAGTTTGCCGGTATGCATTCATGCTATATTGTCCTCCTCATTTGCAGATTCTTTGTCCATAGTCACTTAAAAGAGTATCCTAACAAGTATGTTCCTCACTTCAGATAAGCTCTTGGCCAAAGATGTTGCCAAAGAACGCATAACCCAAGAACAATCCGACAGCATCCGCTCCCTTCTCACCCCAACCACAAAGATGGACGATCTTTCCTCCGCAGATTTCGTAATTGAAGCTGTCCCCGAAATTCCATCCTTAAAATTCTCCATCTTCAGTTCCCTCGCCCAAATATGTCCTCCACACGCCATCCTGGCCACAAATACCTCCTCCATATCCATAACACGAATTGCTGCGTCTACGACCAAAGATCCCAAAGATACCAGTGCTTCTTCTCGTGTAATCTCAACACATTTTATGAATCCAGTGCCCATTCAAAAGGGCGTGGAAATCATTACCGGATTACAGACGAGTCAAGGTACAGTGGATACGGCCATTGAGTTCTGCAAACGAATGGGTAAAATCCCATCTACATCAGCCGACTCGCCGGGCTTTTTGGCGAACCGAATTCTAATGCCTTACATTAATGAAGCTATAATATGCTTAGAAACTGGCGTCGGGAAAAGAGATGACATTGATGCCATAATGAAGAACGGAACAAATGTACCCATGGGACCGTTGCAATTGGCAGACTTTATTGGTATTGATACCTGTTTAGCAATTATGAAGGTCTTATATGAGGAGACAGGAGATAGCAAGTATAGACCTAGTGTACTATTAGGAAAAATGGTAGATGCAGGGTGGTTAGGTAAAAAGAGTGGAAAGGGGTGAGTTTCTTCCTTCTCTCAATCTCTCACATGGTGAATGAATTTACTGACATTTTGATGACAGCTTCTATGACTATTAAATGGTAAGAAAAAGATATTAATGAATTAATATACTATCAACTCCGACCTCGAAGCCAGAGTAACGCATGATCCCGTCGACTTCAAGGGTCTGCCTCACGTCATGGTCGTACCAAATTGAGCTCTATTGTGACTGAACTATTTCATGATAGAGGAGAATAAATCAAACTTTGGAAGCTCAGACATGAAAAGTCTGTTATATGGAATCTACAAATTCTTCCAATCATTTCAGAACCATATTTTGCACTTCGTTCGTTCCCATGTTCCCACGACGCAGGCCTCACAGACAATGATTCTTGCGTTTTCCACCCCTTTTGTCATACTTTTCTAGTAGTGAAATGATAGCTAAATGTATGAGAAACTTGGAACTGAAAACGGCTGAGTCTCCTTCCACATTTTTGTACAAGACGAATGGATGGAGGCACTGGAGGGATTACTCGAATGATAATTCTAAGTGTAGATGTAGGTTTGTCGCTGAGTATCAATTGACTCATATAATAAATAGATATCTGTCTGAATGAAAATTAAATCGATGCTCCTCAAACCTTTCCCATATAATCAGGTTCACGCTGTGATTACCATATTCTCTCGAATGACTAAACCCTCTAGCCTATCCCCTCCCGGCAACAAGTTCCTTGAACTTTTGTTGCATATCTGATACAGCGACCACAGCCTGTCAATTGCTTCCTGGAATCAGTCCCTGGCACTATCTAATGTAATTTTACGTAGGTAGGAGGCTTAAAGAAGAAAGAAAGTCGATCTCACATCAGCATGCATAGTCTCCATAGTTTTCACAGCAGTGCAAGTTTTCGGATCTAATCGCATAATTCATTCACATCACATACATATCACATATATCACAGTAAAGGCAGCATAAGACAGACACAAGACAAGGTATTCAACTTCCACACAATGATATTGCCATCCCACGACCCAAATATCTACAAGGTGATTTTCTCCTCTCATTCCCCTCCATTGCATTCCTGCCTTTCCTCAGAATTCCAGCTTCCGCCTAAACATCAATCCTTATGAATCCGCTCCCATCCCATCATCTCCTCGTATCTCCTCACCAAACCCAAAAGACCAATCAATCAATGCTCAGCTCTTTCTCTCCAGTGGTGAACCCGTTATCAAAAAAGAACCCCAAACTCATACTCAAAAACCCCCCGCAGCGAAAAAAAGGCAAAGGACCAGAAGAAGAAGAAAAAAGAAGAATAAGGAGGAAGAAAGAAGAAGAAAAACATAAACACAAGAAGTTTCAATCAAAAAATCCGATAAAACCGAAACCCAGCTAGGTACCCCTAAAGAATCCCGGAACAAAAAAACCATAAAATCAAATTATACACAGAGAAGAAACGAAGAACCTCCGAACCTCAGAAGAAAAGGAAGAAGGGGAGAGAAAAAAAAATAAGTCCGCGCTATGTCCTCCCGAATCCTGTCCCTAAATTTCCCAAAACCCGCACGCAACCTGTTGTTCTTTTCCTCTTAGGAGGAGAGGAGGAAAGAAATTTGCAATTGATGTGATAAACTATGAAAATACTCCGAGAATATGAATGGGTGGATGATGAATGGATGGATAGATAGATAGATAGATAGATAAAAAGTCAGAAAAGCCCTAGATATAAAAACAAGTCCGGATAGTATCTCCAAGAAAATACAGAGAAGGGCTAAAGCAAAAGGTTAAAGGGTCTTCGAAAAGTCGAAAAGTAGAATGGTAGAAAGTGATGTTATGTTGGGTTCTCGTCTGACCCTGCGGGAACCGAGGTGTAAGAAGTATGTATAGAAAGTATGTATAAATATATATCTGTCTGAGTATGTCGATTCACACGTATATAGTAAGAAGCTGTGATGGATTTGGAGATTCGAGGTTGGAGAGTGAAATTCTTATGAGGGAGAGATCGGTTCGTAAGGTGTGGTGAGGAGCTTCTTGTCTGGTTAGAATAGAAGGATGAATTCTATGCTCTGGTCTTTCTTCAAATTGCAATGCCGTTAAACACATATATCTTTAAGCAAAAACTTTTGTGTGCGCACAGATATTAAAAAGTGAAAGCGAATGCGAAGCTATCTCTTTAGGAAGACATATGAGAAGATGCATAAGTTCCCGGCATGGTGAAACTTCTTTTCCGGTTGTCCTTTCCTTCGAATTCATGAGGTCGAAGATACGATGAGCCATCGCTGTTGTTTCTCTGCGCTTGTGGTTCTCCAGACTGTGCGTGGTTCTGGCCATGCTGCTGCTCTTGACTTTGCGAGCTGAACTCTCGCTCGTTTTGAGGAGCTCTCGATGCGTTGTAGGCGTTTGAGAAATCTTGCGGCGGAGCCATTGGCGCACTTAATTGTGGATGGTTTGCGTCGCTTGGAGTTCGAGGAAGTGAAAACTCCATTGGTGCTGTTAGAGGTGCGCTGGCAAAGCCTGTTGAATATGGGGAGGCGAATGGGCGGGAAGTGGGAGGCAAATGTGCTGCGCCTTGTTGGGGGAGAGATCGGTATTGATTGCGGAGGTCAAGACCTTGGGGAAAAGCACCGCCGGTAGATGCTCGCAGGCGTGACATAGCAGCTGGTGTGGACTGTTGCAGCGAAGACGGGGGATGCGACGGTGAGTAGTTCATGTGTTGCGGTGAATGCTGAATGTTAGAACCTATCAACACCGTTAGTCTACAATTTCTTTTAATCGGCATGAATGGAACGAACTTGGGTAAGAATTCGACTCAAATTGGTGCGCATTGACCGCATTATTCTGCTCGGGCTGGTACATAGATTGTTGCCGTCCAGTCGATTGCGGACTTGGTTGTCCGGTCTGATAATTGGCATAATCTAAAGTCTCGCCTTTCCAAGACATGCTGGATCTCAATGGCGATTGAAGTGATTCTGATCGAGATCTTGACATTGTCTCTCGAAGCTGTAATGGTTGTAATGGTCGACCACTGTGGTGTCTTGGCTGGGAATGCGAAACTGCTTGATAACCACCTGGTTGTCGATCAAACGGGTTCGAGCTCCTTGGCCCTGAGCTCATTGGACTCGACAGATGACTGGAGAAATATCGATCAGAGGACGTAATCGATAATGGCGATAGAACGTCTGGTGTGCCAATTGAGCCCCCTGGAGTAAATCCGACGTGTCCATATGCAGGACTCATGCCCGCAGGCGACATGTGCTCATCATGTTCATGTCTGCGCATCGTGTCTACCATCAAGGGTCGTATCATATGATCCGCGTAATTTGGCACATAATCGACGGGCGACTGCATTGGTGTTCCAATGCCGTGCACAGCTCCGTAAGGAGAATGAAGAGCTTGTACATTGTCGAAATCGTCCGGTACTGCTCTCATCTTCATCATTCGTTCCCGATCGTCCGCAGTGAGTCTCTTAATCTTTGCGCGTCTGCTTCCATTAATTCATGTCCTCATTCAAACCAGATTGCGTACACATACCGGTTCTGAAACCATACCTGGACTTGTCTGGGACTGAGGCCCGGAATTTCTCGTGACAATCGCTCGCGGTGAGCAGCATCTGGGTGCGCTTGCTTCGCGAATTCGCTCATAAGGAATCGGGTCTGCTGGTGAGTAAGACTGGATGATGATTAGTTTCGAAGTCACAACACACAGTGAGTGGCAAGGCCAGCATACCGAAATCTTTTCATTTTTCTCCGTTCTGCCCTTCGTTCTGCGGCGGTCTGTGGCGTAGAAGAAGTTCCATCTTCAGTATCTAACATATCATCGTCGTCATCAACATCGTCATCATCTTCCTCCTTGGGACTCAAAAGAGCTCCAGCGTCTTCATTCACAAGTGCTCCTGCTCCTTGCGGTTGTTGTTGTGGTGCGCTCGATGCAGATAGTTGATTTGTTGCTATCGAAACAATTGAAAGTGGCGCCGATTCTGTGGAAACCATAGATCCATTTCGAGCTCTATTGGCGACAGGTTGACCACAATCTCCAGGTGCTGAGTCTGGCCGTTCTATGGTAGGGGTTGGCGGACCTTCTGGTCTCAGTGGACCAAGTGTGTGTCGGTGCTCTAAAGTTGGTCTGGCGATGGCTTGTTGTTGACCGTTGGTGGCGTTTGAGCTCGCAGAGTGCTCGTAACTTTGGTTGACCACACCATTCTCTCCGGAGATTTGGTATGAAGAGTATTGTTCTCGCCAGTCCGGCTGCGGCGGCAAAGCTTCAAAGTTCGCCATTCGTGGAGACGCGAAGTTAGCAGACCCAAGTTTACTAGAGGACCAAGTGTTCCGTCCCGTATCGCATTGCCGTGTAACAAGCATTGAAAGTATCGTTTAAGTGACCGTTGAAAATGGTCCAGAAGTTGCTTTTGGGGTTCTTCAAGAGCCCTTGGTTCGAGAAAAGAATATGTGTATCGTGTTGTCGCAGTGAAAAGTAGCCGTGAAATGAACGAGTGTAAGGGCCGCTATAGACAATGGCTGATCACTGACCAGAAAAGAACATAAGGCCTATCGAAGACAGAGTAGTTGGTAAGTCTAGTGGAATCCTAGTCCTGCTTGCTCAATGACGATGTTGGAGAAATCGGAAGAATTTGTAAAGCTTGTTCCTGTAGCTATTGATCGATGAATAAATTAATTCTCAGGGTCTTGATCAAGATCTGCTAAATAAGGTTCATTGATGTAATGGACCAGTCCGGGAGATAGAAATGAAAGGATTTGAATGTTCTGGACAAGCCGAACGCGTATACCTTCCAGAAGATTTTAAAATTTGACGAGTCGGTATTCAACAGCGCTGTCGTGGAGAAGAAGAGAAGATGCAGCGTCCTTGGTCAAGGATAAGTTGGTCTCAACGAACGGATGTGGCGAGTGTCCTGCGTCGTCCAAATGAAATATAAATTGCTTCTTGTTTTAATGACGTGCTAAGTCCGTATTAAGAAGTTAACGGGAATGAAGTTGAAGGGGGTCGGTTGTTTTTCTTTTCACGTTCGATCGACAAGCGTCGGGTAATGTACTCCAAGATTGAAGGCCTTTGATATATAAACTCCTTGATTATGATCACCACAGCAAGGAGGACACTGGACCCGAGAAGCGCCCTATCACCCCTGGCTCTCTCGATTCACAGGAAGTCCCTGTCGTTGCAGCAGAATGCCGCTGAAGTAAATTGTACCGATGACAAGAGTCTAGTATGCAGGCGGAGCGGAGTAGTGTCAAAAATACCCACCTCAACTTGATACAGGGCTTGCACGGTTGCGTCTAGGATTTTGCTTGGGAGAACCGGACTTGGGATGAGTTTTTTAAAGGGCAGTTGCACAAGCTAAAGTGGGTGAAGAAGGCAGGTTGGAGGGGAATGTTTTTTATGCACGAGGACATTTCAGGTCAGCCACAGACAGATAGACCAAAAGAGAAATGATAACAAAAAGTGAAGCAATAAAAATATTTGGTGTGTGAAGCCCCTGTGGCTCTCAAGAGGATTGACAAATGGAAATGAAGCTGCAGCGAAATACTGGATAGCACTCTATCAGAACTGTGCAGAACGTTGGATAGGGATGAATGTGTGACTGGGGTGTAGGGATTTGGTGCCGGCGCAATCATCCGATACTGAGATGAAGCATTAAAATGGACCAACAGGAACAGGTTAAAATAAAGACAGGGCTCCGCAACAAGTGGTGAGTTGTATCGATCTCAACTAAGCCTGATACAGGAGAGCTTGAGAGAACAACGGATATGACAAGGGATGGGCGGAGAGATCGAGGCTGGGTCTCTTTTGCGCGGATCATTGGCCTCCATTTTGCATGAAAGAGTTGAGGGATCATTGAATCTGTGGGTCAACTCACAACCGTTGTCGCTAATAGATGCCACCCAATGAAGATCTATGAAGACATGGGGGTTCCCGGACTCGTTATGCGAGTTGTGACATGACAACGTGATGACCCTGCCGCTTATGAAAATTAACGCAGAACCAAGAGGGTAAAAAAAGTCAAATACAAAACAGGAAGTATCTAGGTAACGCATAATTCGCATGTTTTCAGTTGCAAAAGTACAGTCTAGGTTGTTTTGACCTCCGTAACATTCAGACTAATGTAGTTGGCAAGAACGTGATACTGTAAGAGGATGGGATGGATGGATGAATAGGGACTCTTCTCGGTAGTTTTGAGGTCATCGTCAAACCTTGAATTGTTACGCGTGCTTTCCTATGAGCACAAGGAAGACCTGAATGAAATCTGCTACAAATCCCTAGATGGTTTACCCAGGCGAAGGTTTGTTTTGACGTATGTCCATTGTGTTTGGTAGGAAACTTCCGGACGCGAGCAAATGTATCGTGTTGTGTAAAGTTTGAAGTATAATCACATAATTATAAAACAATGCATTGTTCATTTCATGAACTAGGCTACCGTTGAGTTTTGATGGTGGACGACGCGAAAATTGAGCATAGCCATTGTGCTAAGAGAAAGCTAGATGATAAGAAACCTGCTAATGAAGCCACTAAAAGCTGGAAGTTGAGGGGCCTACTGAGTGGTACGACTAGCATCTATGAACCTGCGGAGTAGGTCAATCGTAGAACGGCGGGCTGGGAAGGCTAGAAGTCCGTCAAAATCATTCCAATTTTCCAAAATTGGCGGGTATGCGGGTAAGGTTGTGCGGAATGACCAGGTTTTAGGGGTTTTGTTAAGCTTGTTCAGTGAGATAAAAAGAGAGAGTTTCAAGATGACTGGGATCCAATTATGTATTCATGCTATGCCGGTCATTGTTAATTTTCCAGGTCCCGAAGGAAATGATGTTTTAGTATCGAGTCGTGCGAGGTACCAAGTTTAGTCCAGGTACGGAGAGTAGTCGAGGTCGATGCTTGCAAACATTATCAATAGTACCTGTTGGATAGCTGCATCTGCTTTCTTTCGAACAATGTGGATAAGGAATATACAAGACTAAGGTGGACATATATTAACATTTTTCGTCTATCTGGACAATTAAACAAGGTTGAATCTAGGAAGATTCATTTTGACATATTCTATTATTATTCGAGAAACACTTTAGTTTTGTCCCTATCAAGGTATTACCATGCGAGAGCTCGCAAGCTGAGGAAATAGCTTCTTAAAGTTTATTCATGGGAACATCGCCCTCATTAATAGGTCTAGAGCACTGGAAGTGGAGGGAGGTAATCTTGATAGTTAGTACTCGTATAATTCACGGTAGTTAAAAAGAAAGACCTTGAACATGTGAATAGAAACAGCCTCAAAACTGGATTACCGGTATTGCCCAGAGAGGAAAGGTACGGAGTAGATGTAGGAGTTGAGACGGTCACCAAGTAACTAACTATCATCAGATTAGATCTCCCACAGAGTAGCATCAAATCACCACATCATCCATCACAATCACCGTGTCGATTTCATAGACTCAAATCACAGTTCTTTTGTTCATCCACCTCGGTAGGTAGAAAAGCACTCCCTAGAAAATCCGGATTCATCTGACGAAAGTCTGTGCCCGCGGTCTATCAAGGGCATCATCGACAAGATGTAATGATGTGCATGATTGTTGATGAGCGTGCATCTTTTACTTTTGTTTCCGGGGTTTGTACTCCTCTCTATGACTACTAAAGTGCGGGCAGTGATGTGATGTGATTGTAGAAACATTCCAGAGACCTTTCAAGGATTTCTCGTAGCCACATATTCGTGCCTTTTTGCTTACGGGTACCGTCCCTACGGTCCGGTCACTGTTGTTTAAGCACATTCCCGTCAGGGCCTGAACTGCGGTGTGTTACGTCGGGTAGGTACAAAAATATTTCTGGGAAAATATTACAATCTCGAGAACACTACATGTTTCGCTGACTATTGTCACGTTGACTAAACAAATTCATGGAAACTCAATAATGAGAAAAATACGGAGTATAAAACATGGATGGTCCCCATCAGTCGGACAGAATCCACAATCGACTAGGTCTTCACCTGCCAACATGTTGTTTTGTTGATATGTATTTTGTTGCAGGACACCACCGGGGATGTTTTAAAATACCCTGTGCCGTCTTTTTCAACGATCTGATACCAGGATGCTTCTGCTTCTGCTTCTCCTTCAGTCAAGAGCCTATGAAGAAGGTTGTTGAGAAAGGTTGTCTTTCTGCATGATGTGAAAAATCTAAGCTAGAACTTTTATTGTTCACTTCTTCAGCGGTGTCTTGAAATGCCGACTATTGTACTACTTTTAGAAATGATGCCCCACCGATTACGCCAACTGGAAGGAAGATCAGTATTATCGAGCCGTCAGTTCTGAAAGGCATGAATTATGTTTTTCAGGTTGATACGAATCATAAAACAACAGCTGTTGAAGATATTTTGATTTACGACGACACCTTGGGAGGAACGCTAAAAGCTTGCAGACTCGTAAGGTGATCATGGATACGACATTCAGAAATTCAGAAGTTTTTTATATGAACTCTTCTTTTACTAGTTGTGAGAAATGGGACTGACTTGAGATTCAATTGTTGAGGCGAAAGAATGAAGGGGTATCTGTGGGTAGCCGTACTTCGGGGTTCCTAGAAACCGCCATTGGCCGCTAGAAGCCTAAAACCTAGATCTTGCCGGAGCGCGGGCGGGATCTCGAAAATGCTGTGATTTGTGACCGGGCTGAGGATGTACAGTACATGACGATACCAGAAGTAGCCTTCTTTTGATTCTTGTGTTACGCATTTTACCTTGTGTTGTAGCAGATTTTAGTCTATATAATGCTTCAGGCCTAATGTGGCTATCCAAATCTTGTGCTGATTGGATAAGCAAACGGAAAAGCTTCGTCTACTTAGGTTGTGTAAATTCGAAGCGTGTTGGTGTTGCAGGTGCGCCGTGTAATAAGAAAAGAAAGATTATGCCACAAGCAGGGTGTAAGAGGGGAAAGCTCCGACTGTACGGTACCTTCAGGCTCTTGGTAATGTCACGGTAAGGGGTAGTACAAAATTGGTGTGGTCGCGGAGTCTTTCATAGAGAATCAGGATCAAAGTAAAAAGCTTGGCTGCCATAATGAATACGTACTTTGCAAAATGCGGTAAGCAAATAAGACATTAGAGGTGCTTTCGACAAGGGCGGTAGGATAAGGCTCACGAGAGGTTCGAGGCGGTATTCGGGGGGTTAAGATTCGAGGGGATAATGGAGATAAATTAACTTTTACGCCCGCACGATTCTGAAAAGGAGATGGGGTGATTGATAGAGAAGGGAGATGAGATTTGGGGAAGGATTAGCTTCTTTCACCAGGTACCTGCCGTAGTGAAGTTTCTAAGCTTTCTAGGGGTTTTTAAGCTAGAAGAAAAGAATTATGGATACATCCGTATTTAGACCGTTGCGAAGCAGAACAGGCAAAACGATTGGTGGAGTAAATGCAGGTACGACCGCTGACTAGGTCAAACAAGAATTAAACACAATGAAGAAGAAAAAAGGGTGTAAAAAGTGATGAAACAACTCTTCGAATATGATCCACTCATTTGATTCCTATTCTGGTCATTTTCAGAATAACTCACAGCGAACGCCGAGCAATGAGTGGGGTGGTGGACTTTCAAAAATGTACGAGTGCGAGATGCCGCACAATTTGACGTAGAAAAGAAACTTCAAATCACATCTATCATCTCCGCACCATATACAGGAAAACAGGAAGGGTAACAGCCAGTCAGTTACTGGGTGTATCACCTGGCTAGGTTATATGTCCAAAGAGCTAAAGCTACGTGGGAGGGGTCTACGAGATGCGGAGCCCTGAATAACACTGCCGACGAGACGAGATGTGAAAAGTAAGAGATTACTAATAATAACAACAACAAAGGTGTGCTTTCTGTAGGGTATCTTGTCTACTCGAGTACCTACCATCTTAATGTTGTACATAGACCTCAGCTGAACTTGACTAGGTACAAATATCAAGCCATGATGTTCTCCGATGTTCCAGCCACCATGGACCACATAGCTTGCTTCAATCGCCCCCAAATCTCAACCGTAATCCAAGTCTCAAGGACTCCTTCCGAGCACAGTCTTTGATCTTTTATTTTTTTCGAGGCAGCGGGCCAGCCCTTACGCAAGTGATTGTGTTTGGTACGCCTGTCAACTACTCGCCGATTGTCATTCCCATTTCATTGTCCCCCATTGTTGTCTAATCTTATATGTTTTGTAATCATCACGATTCCTCTTACCCAAATCAAGCTCTCGGCGCCGTTTCCACATACTACCAAGCTTCAGTAAGGCGTCTAAGACTAAGAAAATTCCTTCCATGGATCTTTCAATCTTCTCATTAAGGACTTCGGATACGTAATTTCGCAAGAGGCCGGGACCGAGACCGAGAAAGCTAGAACCACATCGCTTAGAGTCGTAGAATCTTTTTCTTGAGAATTACCGAGAGAAATCCTTACTCCGGGGTCTAACACCAGGAACGTTGAGGAAATACAACGGCACAAGAATAAGCCTGCCACCAAGGATACATCTGGTTTTATAAGTTTGCTAAGTTAGATGGCGCTTATGCTTCAGATTAAAATATTCTCCGATACGTTCCCCACTCAATAGTCCTTTGAATGGTTCAACAAGTATCAGAAACCTCCAATTTTCTACAGTTTCTACATAGAAACATGACGAGTCATCACCACCACTTTTCACATCCTCAAACAATGCCCAGAAATAAATGCCCGCAGAGGAATGTTGATTATGTTGTGAACCAAACATCAGCACACGAATGCCTGCAAAAAGCATAGTCACATCGTGTTGTACGTGGTCGTGGACTCATCACGATGCGTTTACTCCGGACTTGTGGGACGTTGGCTAGTTTAGATAGTCGTCATACGTTCCAAATAGCTTTCATGTTATGATGTTTTTGTTGTGAACACTTCACAATTTCAGGCTGCTGACGAGCTTTCCTCATTATCCGCCAGTTTATCCGAGAGATTGAGGGGTGCAGGCCCCAACCATATCACGTCCAACAATCCATGCCCCCTGCATGTGCTCATCTTAAGGTGATGGGGGTCATAAAAATCCCTGTACCAAGACTTGCTGTGTCGATCAGCACGGGCGCCACAAAGACGTACCACGCTGGATTCCCTCAAGTTCTGAACCTTCGACAACCATGAGTGGACGGATTTACCTTTCGTCTTGCTGATAGCTACCATGCAGTGTTCTCCCGTAGGAAGACCGCATCCTCACAGAACGGCGACCATTCACATCATTATCTTCACACACTTCAACCTGCAGCTCTCCACGAGAACCAGCACGAGAAGAAATATCCCGTGTTTTCCCATCCATCGCATACACCAAGAAGGTATCACCATTTCTACCATATCACTGCATATAAATGCAGGCAAGACGGAAAGTGGCTGTGTCCCCGGATTTTCACAATATACCCTGTGTGTGGTTAATGGGCTTTCCGATAGTAGGTACTATATACTTTCTACTTCAGAATTCGATACATGGACTCCAAAACTCCATATCAAGGGAATACCGGCAGTTGTCGGCGATTAATATATCATATATTTTATATTACATGCAAATCATGCATGACACAGTTTATTACATTGCGATTTATGTCCAACATTACAAGCACATATGTACCTGGTTTTAGACCCATTCCAGAATTCTGGTTATCTTGGGGGTATCATCCATCAAGAAAGTTGTCGTAGATCCTTTTGCTAAACAGTTTGAGGATTTAAATATGGATTAGCTTCACAAATAGCTATCATCGAACTACTGGTGTGTTGGGATATATATACCTCATTTTATGAACCATATGGCTCGGCATGATTCTTCCTCCGGGATTACCGGTTATATTCATCCCATGGACAGAAATGTACGGGGGAAACCAAAAAGTCCCCATGTAGCCGAGCTTGAATTCAGCCGAAGCATCTTTTGATCTCCAGATCCACTTGTTCAGTGAACATTCTGCCGGATTGAGATATGAGCCTCATCACTTTGCATACGATACTATTTTTTGTAAAACTGGGGTGCATGAGTTCGGTACCAGTTATTTGTTATGAGGTAAAGTACTCGTGTATACTTGGGGGACTAGAGGAGCTATGGCATATCGTTGAAGCCGGGAGAGTATAGTCTCGCCTCCCGCCCCCTAGCTACAGCGTCGTGTGTCACGAGATTGTGGTCAAGATTCAACAGAATACGCACAACCAGACGACAAGTAGCTGAGATCAAAGAATGATTGACATGGAGATTTCAAAAGATGTTTAGTTCCGTCGTGATATTTCTATCCATGAGCCAGAAGCAGAAAAGATTTTCATGTCTGATATGGCTGTTTATCCTTTCAATGCCATTTCTCCCACTTCAACAACGTCAATTTAGATGGCACTGTCTCCATAGTATTTATTGATTAACATGCCAATAAATTACATTTTTCTACTTAGTAGCAAACACCAACAGCGGTCGCCAACAGATGGGTACAAATTCTATGTGCTTTCAAAACATCCTTCTACCCGGTTGCCAATCACGCGAACGACCAATCTATTGCACTTTCCCAAAATCTCGGCCAAATACGTGCTTGATATAGTTGCAAGATTGACACATAGGATCACCATCACAAAAACCCCATCTTTTAGTACAAAGACAGGATCACGGTCCGAAAAAAAATCTCGCAACCGGCCCGTTCGTTACTGTCATTCAGGAACAAACAAGCTAGTTCAATATTGAATTAGCGCTTAGCGCAGCCGTTATTAACAGGCTTCCATAAAGACATCGTGACATCGCGGCTCTAGCACCTCCACATTTATCACCATCGCATCGTCTCCCAGAGACGAGACATGCGCATTTGTAAACCTCTTCATTGTCTCGTGCGCGGGTTAGTGGAGAAAAAAGACCTAGTGATATCGTAGTGTCGACAATACGACTTCGCATACCTGAAGATGCCATTGATGGTGCTCTAGGTAGAACATATGAGATTAGCCGTGCTATACGACTCAATGTATAGGCATTATTGAGAGGAATGTGTGATGTTGGTCCGATGACGGGGTCGAACTTAAGCTTAAGTTGTAGATCGAAGCTAATACAGATAGATGTAAGCTCTTGCGGTATCTGATGACCGCTTATCCGTCGGTAATTGAGCTTTTCGAATGCATACACGAGTCATGCTACTGTGGTCTTCTTACTTACTACAGTGACTGATCGAGAGTAGTCGATTTCGGCTGGTCTAGATCTGGTGTACGGTGACGGTATGTGCTGAGCAAATAGGGATAGTAGGGACAGAGTAGAAAGATGAGAACATGACATGTACATGCAGGTTGGAAATACGCTGGTTTTGACAAGTATTTGCTAATTTTTTGAATCGCAGGCTACAGGATGCAGACTATCAACAGGATCGTTTGTCATAAAACATCAGTGAGAAAAGTACCAGCTGGCGGAAGTTCAAACCATCTCAGTTTCATTAATCAATTTCCTTTGAAGTTTCCGCTTGAGACACCATGGTGTCTGATGAAGATAATTGTACACATAATCTTACAATATGAATTTACACAATAAACCATCCAAATGTTCACATAAACACCCTTCTTCAATTTCAACGATCTCTCTATCTGAATCGAGACCTTAAATCTGACCAAAATCCAAATCACCCGAAAACCCCCATTAAAATCCTACTCCTGATCCGACCCGATCCCGATCGCTTCTCACCCTCCTCCAACATACTACGCGTCACCGAGGTCACTGTATATTCCGCATATTCTATTCACTACCTCCAGCTGCCAAAACAAGACACTGTTGTTTTCGTTTTGGATCTGATATTCATGTTGTTGTTATCACCTGTCTTGCCTACCTACGTTTGATATAACTACGAAAGACATAGCTGACCACCCAATATATGGGTAGGATATGGAAGAATTTCAGATCTGTTTAGTTTTCAACCATGTAGAATGGAAACCGTTGCTTTTTTATACTTGTGATTTACCATGTAATTATCATTCTCATCATAAAAGCCATAAAAAATAATACTTAATACTAAACATAATAAGCCTCATAGAAAGTATCTACCATACCCCTAATCACCGGCTCTATCTACCCTGATTCCTAAAAGCGAAATATATCCCTCACAAATGGACATCTATCAAAACTTCAAATACTCGTAGAAATACAGACAAGCACATTCTCACAAAAACATCCATAATTATGAGTTTTCTCCCGCCACATTGCCAAGTATTAGTAGTAAGATCTTACTTATACTTCACAATATCCATCCCAACTCAGCCTAAACATCAAACGGAAGTACAAACACATACCACAAGGCCATGCAAAACCCGGGACGCTAGCCAATGATTCACTCCTGCTCAAAGACCACACTCACCACCACCGGCTCCGCAGAATTTATCTAGTTATTTCTGTACTATATTACCAAAGTCAGCGTACTGAAATTCTCAAATCGTTCTCAACCCTGTAGTAATTATAGAGGAATCACATCACAAGCATCAGTTACGAACGAGTAAAGTAAACAAGTATGCAGCAGCAATTTTCGGGATCGATAGATATTGAAGAATATAGCTATGTTAATATCAATGTGAGATTTGATGGTGCCACCATACGTATCTTAACCGAGCGTGAAAGGAGATGGACACTCAACATCATTGAAACATGCCCTCTAGGCTCAGATGGTAGAGACAAAAATTATGTTTACATGTTTGGTATCATTCTTTTGTTTGTTCATTATTGTACGTAATTTCCCCGTATTTAGTCACGTACAATACAATCCCGCAGATATTGTTCATGTATCATCATGACTCAGCTCTATCCATGCAACTGTCGGTGATTAATTTCATCTTCCAAATCCCATTTCTGTGTGTTATCAATTCACAACATCCAGTTCTTCCTCACCTTCGAGAATCTCGTCATCTCCCTCCAAGCCCTCGAACTGTTCTCCATCCTCATCAGCATCCCCAACCACTTTTCCCTCCTCAATAGCTAAAATTTCTGCTCCATCTTCTGGCAAACCTCTCTCCTCTCTCAACTGTCTTATCTTAGAATTTGTCATTTCGAAAACATATTGCCCCAAATGTTCCACACCCTCCATGACAGCTTCGCCGGGCACTGAATCTAAACCCTCCTCCTCCGCCAATATCCTCTGACTTGGCCACATTTCCCCAGTACTCAGCATCAACTTATCAGGCCTCGATAATAAGATGTCAAAGGCTTGTCTTAGCTCGAAACACGATTCGAAGACCTCTCGTCGTCCTAAAATGTAGAGGCCGAGACGAGCGCGAGATAGTGCCACAGTAAGACGTCTGACGTCACGAAGATAACCGACGCGTGATGTACGAGTGAGAGAAAGAATAACGTCTAAAGTTTTGTTAGTGATCTATTGTTAACGAAGCAACCCTGACGAAACTTACAATCATTTTGTTCTCCTTGATATTTATCAACTGTTGTGACAATTTTTGGGAGACCAAATAGAGGATTCTTGGCACATCGATGGGAGAGGACATCTTTAATCAGTGCACGTTGACCCGCATATGTGGATAATATGCTGATCTTAGAAGCGGGATATCCGAGTAGGCGCATATATTGGTAGGTGGCAACTGCATATTCTGCCTCTCCTAAATTCTGGATGAAATGAGGAGTGGGCTCCATTTCACCCTTACCTTTGTAGTCAGGCACTTGGATAAATTGGTAATCATATTTGAAACCAGCGTTTGCGGTTTGATATTCGGGTGTTCTTGATACAGTTGGCAAATTACCAAGATTTTGATATCGCCAAGAGTAGAGGGATGCAATGGACGGACGAGCACGACCCTGTTGATCGAGATTGATAGTTGGGACACCTAAGCGGACTAGGCGTGAGAAAAGGGATTGTTCGAGATTTGCGTAATGACGGAACGCAAGATTTTGAATTACTGGAGAGTTCTGGAAATGGTCCCCGCACAAAACTACACGTTGAAGAGGGGTCCCGCCACTCTTCGGCTTTTGCAGCGCCATCGGGATGAAGTTTTCGATTTCAGTGATCTGAGCCGCTTCCTCCATAACAACATTGTCGTAGTGGAAGCCAAGTGATGATATTTCACGCCGTCTCATGGCTGCATGCGTGGAGGTCATAGCAATGATTCGAGCCTCGTTAGTGAGAAGATAGTTTGCCTTGTCTCGATCACGTCGCAGTATCTCAAAAGGTCGAACGTCTTCAAGCTCAGTGAATATCTTAGTAATATGGTGATAACATCCCGTAGCTACATCAATGACAGCATCTTTATCAGCACCAGGAGGGAAAAGAGGTTGAGGGGCATTCGAAAAGTAGTAGTGAAAGGGGAATGCAGAAATGATCGACTCTGTCGATGACTCCGGGTCTTTCATGACTTCCTGAAATCTTGTCCATGCCGGCTCAACGTAGACCGAGTTAAAGTAACCGGCAGTCTCAGCCGAGCTTCCATGGGCTCCTGGAGCACCGAAATTGGCAGCAAGGCGATCAACCTCTCTGAGATACCCATCTCTATTTTCGAGAAAAGACTCAACACGCCCATGCTTGCTGAAGTTAGTTTCGGTATCTAGCTCCTCCTCGCCATGCCCCAATCGTAAAAGATGTCGTTCATCAATATCAAGAGCAACGATTTTCTGGAACAATTGATTAAGAGCCTGATTACTATGGGCAATAAGAAGAGTACGCTGGTTAGGGAAGTTATGATATAGGTTGTTAATGATCTGAGTTGCCACATCCGTCTTTCCAGTTCCTGGAGGACCAACAATAACGGTAAGTCCGGGTTGCGTGCCGGAGATGATGGCTTCAACTTGAGCAGGGGTAAAACGGACTTGGTTCAACTTAGGGGCATCCATAGGATATGGTCCTGTACTTGGAGGTTTATAAGAAGATACTTGAATGGCTTGTGGCTCTTCGTTTGGTGTGGGTTCTGCTTCCCTGCGTCTCTTTTTCGTTGGTCTTGCTGGTGGCTCGGCGGCTTTCGCTACCGTCTGCAATACATAGGGTGGTTCAAAGCTACCTGTAACATCGTCGTTTGGCTGGATAGCCCTACCGGGCAAGCTTTCAATAAGATGTTGCCAGTCAAGAAATGTGTCCCGATAGTCGACCTTTTTGAGTTGATTTGAAAGTCTAGTATAATTGGCTCCCGTAGGATCACCATAGCCGAGAAAGACCTCGTGAAGCCAGGGAGCCAGTGGCACATCAGATAATGTCAGACTCCTAATTGATTCGAGAATCGGTTTGAAATTATTTTCACGTCCTTTCCTGCGAACGATGACGTTCATAGTTTCATAAATGTCAGGCTTGCCTCTGTCGACACGATCTTTGTCCTCTTTATACATAGCTGCGTCAAGTTTCAGTTGAAGTCTTCGCGAGCCAGCGCGAGCATTGCCGTTGACTTGACCATTGTAATTCATCAATGAACGCCCTCGGTCATCTTGGACTTGGATGACTTCGGCAGCCCGGAGATATCTCAAACCCAACTTTTGAGCGTCCGAAGTGGTTGCCCCGCCATCCGCGATCATAGAAGACTCGTCTGTAGCTTTGACAGAGAGCAAAAAGATCACGTCGTCGGGCCGTAACGAATCCCATTCTCGGCGAATGTTTTCGGCCATGCGGTTGACATCGATCGTGACCTCAGCTCGGACGACAGCTGGTTTGTCATCTCCAACAAGGGGAGGTACAACTTCAAGGATACTACAAACTGGTTAAAGAGGTCGCAATGAGAACACGAAGCTGTACTTACGAAGGTTTCGTTATTGGCAGTGCCATCCTGGAGAATCCTTCAAAACTTGTTTGGCCTGTTCTACCAGCGACTGGTCGGAGACGCTTTATTGTGTCCTCGACATCTCGTCTAATCTCGTAAAACGATTCACATCGATGCAAGATAAATGACCGCCATAGGAAGTCTCCAACGGTCAAATACTGTAGGTTCAGCTTCGGGATGGCAAGGGGTTGTGACCCATCAAATCCATCATTCCTAAGCAGGGTTCTTTCAAAGAGAGTACTTTCTGTTGGAAGAATACTCAAGTCACGGGCAGTCTCTTGGAATGTCTTGCGCTTTTCATGGGTCGATAGAAGAATCTCCAGAAGAAATCTACGATCTACTATGACGCTGGTAGATGGTGGATAAGAAGTCCGTAAGCCAAGAAGGTTGCAGAGTTCCGTCATCTCAGCATCTGTAAGGGATTCTAGATGACTCTCGAGCTCCACCCGCTTATCAATGGACGAATAATTGGACAAGGCAAGAATAGTCAACTTTTCCTTAAAGTGCTTGAGTGCAGTCCTTTGCAGGGACGCCAGTGTTGCGCAATGACGTTCATATGCTTCCGTACGGCTATGCTGAACACCTGTATGGTCATTTATTGCAAAATATGTATAATGCTTAAAAAGCGCGTACAAATCTCGTAGAAGCCCATTCTCCTCATTATTGAATGCTGGGGAAAGTCTGATAGTTGGCAAAACGTGCAAATCTTGTAAAAGTGTGTTCACATATCTCCTTGTTGGTAACTGACTTTGAAGATCTGATAAAAACTCTACAAATCTCTCGCAATACTGTATATTCTCTACTTTGTGTGTCAGTGTGGAAGAAAATTGTGACAGCAGGGTTTCAGCATACCGGTTTTAATTTTCTCTCCATAGAGTTGATTGAAAAAGTCAAGAATTAGAGTCAAGAGCCAAGATCGCTCAAATCGGAGCCTGGCTTTTGTAGATTCATCGGAGGCATCATATCGTTTGGCTGCCGCCCTCCAAGCTTTCTTCAATTGTACAGTGTGATCAAGTATCTTCTCCCTTTTCTTCTCGCTCGAAATGTTGTGCCAGATAGATATCGAAACCAAAGGTGCGCACTCTTTCCGAACTATCCCGTTGTCTAATGACTGAAATGCGCTGATTATAAATGATAGGAGATGTGTTCGAATCGTGGCAGAAAGAGTAGTATCCAACGTCATAGACAGGATTCGTCGAAATAAGGTTGAGAAATCGGATGTATTGTCCGCAAAGATGTCTATAATGGTCAGCATAACGCACTGCAGCTTTCCTTAATAGCACTTACCCCAGGTCGGCAGATGTTCTCTAGTCCTTACATTTACAATAAGAACCATCAGAAGGATGTGAAAGTTTGAAGCATCTTCAGAATAACCCGGCCAAAGATAACTAGCATTGTGGTCAGTAATGAACCCCTGCCGCAAAGTCTGGGTGGATAGATGTACTTCTCAAGGATATGAAGATTTTCAAGTGTCAAAAGAGACCTGAATGAGAAATTATCCTGCTCCAAAACATCCCATATTTCTGTCTTGATCACGTCCAGTTTGACCTTTACCTTCGCTGACTTTTTTGAAGGCTTCAACCAATGCTTTGCGGCAAGTTGCGCAAATGAGCTTTCGTTCTGTGGTTCCTCCGAGGGCAATACTCCCGTATTCTCTTCTACAGCCTTCCCCTGACCTCTTCCTTTCGTCCTCGGAGCCATTGTTACTAGTGGTGGTGACTGGCAATTTGTATTGCGCGCGTCAGTCGCGTGTAAATCTTATCACAGATATAATTTTTGGAAGCTTGGTGCTTTCACAAGTGATGACTAAGCAGAATTCCGCCGTATCTACATTGACGTCGCGATAACCTTCATCCATTCCTTACTTCTCGTGACAACTAATTTTAGCACCAAAATTTCCACAAATTAGATACTCACCTGCGCAAGTACAGCAGGAACTATCAAATCGAAATTACCGTACGGGATGGCTGCCAGCATAGAGGGCCACGGTCTGCCAATGGTAGACGCTTTTGCGCAATTATTGTTGGAAATGCTTCAGCAGGCTGAATTGGTCAAAGAAGCACATACGATAGAGTCGCCATTGACTAAGACCGAGCTTGCAAATACATACGAGCGCATTGATTCAATATTCAACGAAGCGGCATCTATAGAATCTAAAAAGCGCAGTCAGTATGCCATCATCGAAACCGCTGTTCGAGATACTTTCAACAATTTACTGGTAAGCCTTGCACCAGTACGACCGGTAGACAAACTCTGACTACCTACAGGCCTCTATATCTATTGAAAGTTCTTCCTCTTCACGATTATGGAATCTTCTCGACATCATCTCCCTCCTATCTGACGACGAGCAATGCGAACCTGCCCTTTTATTTTGGCTTGTTGAAGAATTGCTGGACAGTCAGACAATTGCTGGATGCCGGAAGATATTTGACTACCTCGAGTCACGACGTGAGAAGATCACGGCAAAGCATTTCAACCAAAAAAATCTAGTAATTTTGAGAAGCTGCAACGAGCTTCTGCGGCGACTTTCTAGGGCTGAGGACACTGCATTTTGTGGTCGAGTTTTTATTTTCATGTTTCAGAGCTTTCCGCTTGGAGACAAGAGTTCTGTGAATTTGCGCGGCGAATTTCATGTTGAAAATGTCACATCCTTCGATGCCCTACCGCCAAATCCAGTAGACACAGAAAAGATGGAAGTGGATTCGGATAGCAACCTGAAAACAATTCCACCAGACACCAAACCAACTTCAAATGGACGAACGAGCACGGCGAAAGCGTCTGAAGACGGCAATGGTTCTGGCAAGGATGTAGCAACATCAAAACGTGAACCGCCGATGAAACCTGATGAGTTATACCCAATCTTTTGGTCATTACAGCAGAGCTTTAGCCAGCCGAAGAGGTTGTTTAATGCCGAGAATTTTGCTGAGTTTAAGAAGGGTCTGGAAGCTACAATAGCTACATTCAAGTCTGTACAGCATGAAACTGTAGGGCGGCCGGCAGCGAGAGCGGCAGAGGATAATAAGAGAGGGACAAAAAGAAAGCGTAGTCAAGGAGACGATGACCTAGCAAATTCTTTCAACCCGAAGTATCTCACAAGCAGAGACTTGTTTGAATTAGAGGTATGCCATCTCCCAACACTTGCGAGAGTATTCTAAATTTAACCTGAATCGTTAGATTAGCGACTTATCATTTAGAAGGCATATACTCGTACAAATCTTAATAATCATGGATTTCCTTCTTTCATTAAGCACCAAAGCGAAAGAGAAGCTTTCAAAAGCTTTACCGGAGAATATTAATAGATCGGTCACGTATGCCGATCAGACACTTAGTGAGGAGGATGTAAGTGACCTTTTTCCCCAAATAAGCTATTCTTGTGAATACCAGCTGACATTCCATAGACAAAGTGGTCGTTAGATACTAAAAAGACGATTGCAGAATATTTGAAGAAAGGTGCGGATGGCGCATTCTTCTATCGCATGGTTGAGACGGTTCTTTCGAGAGACAAAAATTGGGTTCGTTGGAAGGTTGAAAATTGTCCTTCTATTGCCAGACCAGCCGTTTCACCTGGGGACTATGTAGATGCTAAAGCATCAGCTCGCAAAGCTACAACTAATAAACGATTACGTCCCAATCCTTTGGGATCGCTAGACCTCAAATTCCTCGCGGAAACCGACGTCCAAAGTGGCTTAGAGAGGCTGAAGAAATCAGAAAGATATCAAGTTCCTTCCATCAAGAGTTTCAGAAATAAAATCAACCTAGATGATATGGATATTGATATGGCTCGGGATGAGGAATCAAAAAACGTAGCTATAGAAGCAAAAGCGAGTAAATGTTGGAGGGCACTACGAATCGCTAGTGCTAGCAAACTTGCTGCTTTTGACAAAATCGAGAAATCAGATAGCATCGATGAAATATTCAAGGACGATGTTAAACCGGAGGATCTTATTACCCCTGGCGATGACGATGCTCTGGAGAATGGAGATCCGAAAGTTGGCGAAGGGGACGAGGGTGCAAAAGTACTACCCCTAGGAAATGAGGATGTGGATATGGAAAATGAGAAGAAAGAGGAGCAATCGAATATTCGCGCAGTTCCCGTGACGGAAGTGGAAACATGATATTTGTGGAAAGGAACGACATGAATACACCTCACATCAGCATGCGTGATGAGATGACATTAGATGGTCATGCACCATCTCTAGGAAAAGATGTGGCGGAATGAACTTCATTGGAAACTGTACTTGTATTTGTACTGTATAATACCCCTTTCATATCTCGCGAAGATATATCATATACCACAACAGAGCATGGTAAAGCATCACTATCGAGTACTATCAATCCAAACAGAGACGAGATAGTCTATATTATCATACTGAAGCGAGAATTATGAGTGTGACACTTCAGAATGATACATAAGATGGGGATCCAAGAGTGGAATATCGGAGAAAAAGTCTGCGGGAGAGTTTGAGTGGGGAGTTAAGCAGATGATAGGGGGTTTTTGCGTGTACCGTTACTTTGTGATGATAAGTAGGCACTAAATGTTCAAGACTTTTCACCGCGATTTTCAAAATACTGCACAAGATATGCAACAGAAGTTCCGAAGGGAGGTAAACGGGCCGGATGAGGAGGTGGTAAATGGAGCAGGGTGTTTTTACTCTTGCCTGATATGGTACCGCATCCCACTATTGCATCTAAAAGACAATTGAGAGATTATAAGCAAGCACTTCCAAGCATAGAAGATTCACCCGCTAGAAATTGGTTGAGGAAAGGTCGACATGAATGGGCCTGAGTGGGTTCAGTAAAATACATGTTTGGAGGTATTATGATTTTTTATTGCACAGTATTTGTACATTGATGTGCGCTCCCTGGTTGGATTCATGTAGCAAGTTATTTTGTAACGAGGTTGTCGGTATCGTCACTCCTTGCAATATATAGCGAGCGACTAGATTTTTACCTTACTACTGTTCTTTTTGGAAATTCGGCCCGTAGCTTGCACTTCTCTCGCTGGGTCGTTTTTCCAAACGAGTATGGAAGGGACGTTGGCGTAACTGCCTTTTTGTCGATGAATTTGCAAGAATCCATACCCGGAAAGACCGGCGACCACATGAATTTATGTTTAATGTTCCATGAGCTTTCCTTATTCAATATAGAGGAGTTAGGTATCTACTCTTTCCTCGATTTTTAAGTTTCGACATATTTTCATCGAGATGCTCGACAGTTTTGTTTATATGCAGAGTATATACAACTTATTCCATGTTGAAAGTTCGATCATCTTATCTCATTGCAACTTCAAACATTCATCTGTTGTTTTCACAGAAGACCCTGACCTCTTCGACAATCCTCTCAGAAGCACCAAATAAAATCGAAGGCTATGACGAGATGTCTTCTCACGTTACTCAACTACATTCCTTCGGAAACCTCTTTAGAAACACCAAACTTAAGCAACGGTCATAAAGAGATATCCGCTCACATTGCTCCGCTACATCCATTCACCGGCTGGGATGCGAGAGAAATCGTGAGGTTAGTGCAGTGCCCGCTATGCTCCAAAATATTGCACGAGCCAGTAACTTTACCCTGTGGAAATACTATATGCAGGGAATGCATATCAAGTAGTTCATTATGGAGAATATCAACGACTTTACGCTTATCCTACGTTGACTCAAGTCGCGATTGGAGATTCACCTGTCCTTTGCCGACCTGCGAACAAGAACACACGGGAGGGGACACCTCGACAAACCCTGATCTGAAAATCGTCATCGATGCGTTCGACACCGAAACTACAAGACAAACGAATGTGCCAAAACCAGCTTGGATACTATTAAAGTTGAATGGATTTGATCCCCTTTCGGTGCAAGTTCTGACATCTTTACTGAGGCAGAGCAGAAGCAGTTGTTTAGGGGGGAAAATCACTGCAACCTATCTCATGGCAAATATGGGGAAGCTCCCATACAATTCTGATGCATTTTACAAGCCATACTCATATACAATGGAGACATGTAGGTCGCTGGATGCAGATCTACTGGACCGCCTGAAAAATTCGATAAAACCGGCATTTAATTGTTGTCAGCTTTGCCAAGATTGGTTCCTGGAGCCAGTCACAGCAGGTTGCGGCCATAGCACATGCCGCACATGTCTTCAAGAACTGCTAGATCTTGAAAATTTCATACACCGCACAAGTGTTACGGACGTAAAGAAAGGCTGTCCGTCATGCCGCCAAATCTTATGTGTTCCTCCAGCTTGCACACCTGACGTAGCACCGACGAACAAATTATTAGACAAGCTATTGAACAGATTTTTCCCGGAAGAATTGGCAATTAGGCGCAAAGAGGCAGAAGATAAGACCAGAATCGGTACGAAAGGGACGGATCTCTCGTTGTTCATTGATACTGTCTGTTTTCCGACACAGATGAGGAAACTTCACGTATGGCAGCCTAGCTATATTGTAATGATCGAAAATCTTCGACACTTTCCATGCGAAAAGCGTTTATTTGGCATGCTCTTTCCCAACCCATGTGGAATTCCTCAAGGGAACCTGGGCTCTGTCCCCTTTCGTGAATATGGGACACTTGTGCACTTGACTGATATGGCACGCAGGAAAAATGGTACTTACGATATTGTCGTCGAAGGAGTTTCCTGTTTTAAAGTTTTGCAGCATGATACTTTCCATTTCTATCCGATTGGCAAGGTTGAATGGCTGTATGATATTGGTGTTGCGGCAGAAGAAGCCCTTGAAATTCGTGAAACTGTTCCCCCTCCGGCGATCATTACCACGCATCTAAACGGAGATGACTTTCTTGATACCCAGGTCCCGGATACTTTGACCGTCCAAGATCTTGATACGATGCCTACCGTGTACATCTTAAAAGTATCTATAAATTTTTACTTGGCGATGGATAGGGATTCGACAGAGGAAGATCTGAAGAGAAATCGGGTGCGGTATGGGCCTATTCCACTGGACCCAAAATATTTATGGGACCCAGTGAAATTTCCTTGGTGGCTTGCGAGTGCGCTCGATATCTCGGACGGCGAGAAATGCAAAATGTTAAGAGAAACGAGCATCAGAGGGAGGCTAAAACTATGCGCCAAATGGGCACTCGAGGGAAAACAGTTTCGACAACGTAGGGATGTTTGGTAAGACTGAAGCTTGCACTGTACCATTTATTTTTTATTTTGCTATCATTTGCTAATCTATTTCTCCGCAAGATCTTGAAACTTGTCACAATGGATTTTGACTTGGGGTTTCTTGTTGTGGTACCTATGCTCTCCCTTGTTGTAAATCTACAGGGTTGAAGAATAGGATTGAGTATAATTGGAACGGTAATGAGAGTATTGAAGTAAAGGAATGGCATAACTTAAGTAGTTAGTTGTATGGCTCTGGGTTGGGAAGTTTGAAACCAGGATAATCGGATAGTTTTTGATTCATGTAATAGCTCTATACCCTACTGTTGGGGCTTTGGTCGGGATTGAAGTTGAGCATCGGTATTGTTTTGATGTCTGGGTAACCTTATGTTCAGCTACAAGCCATCTTTAGGCGGCTGTATTGGGGTACCGCATCAATGTCTATTTCACAGAATTCAAAACTTTGATAGACGTGGATGGGGCTGATGCTGGTCACTTAAGTATCATTACTCTTCACTCACTTTATATGTCAACGGTACGAGATGCTTCATTAATAAATGAGAAAAATCATTATTATTATTAGAATGCCCAGTCATACTAAACTACTTCCATGCAATACGCGGTGAATCCATGCAGTTGCATTACTACACGCAGTACCTCCACTCATTCCCTAATATATGTATCTTAGATAAACCACCGATCTTCGAGTCTAAACCCCAAATTTCACTGCTAATAACCCTTCCATCCTATTAGGACCCGCTAGACGTCCATCAAATAGCTCATCCTCTCTTCACTCGAATATCTTCCTCTCTTCACTCGAATATCTTCATTATCTCCTCCATTTCCTCCCTTCCATTAATTACACTCCACCATTTCCCCATATTCCCATCTGTATCGGTATTCGAGGAGCTGGAATCATGAGTATGTGCGGCTTTTGAGCGGTCGTCGTGCCGGATTATGATTAGATATTGTGGAGTGTGTGATGGAGTGTGTGATGAAGGGGGCTTGCAATTGTTTGGTGGAGAGTGGGAGTCTGGGTTTGAGGGCCGTAGTTTCCAGGCGCGGTAGGTGAGGGATTTAGAGGTGAGGGTGTTGGTGTTGGTATGAGGGGATGGGGACTTGGATGTGGATGTGGGTAGAAGTGGTGCGGAGGATGAAGGGAAGATATGGGGATGGGGATGGTGGGGATGGTGGGAGGAGAGGTGAGTAGGCTTGGTTGTTGAAGGAGGTGAGGTGGGATTGTGGGTCTATAGATGGTGTTGGATGTTGGATGTTTGGAAGTGGAGTGGAATGGGTCGGGTGGAAATGGTTGAATTAATGGTGGTGGTGGTGGTGGTGGGAGGAGGATGACAGGAGGAGATGGAAAGGAAGAAGAAGGCCGACTTGTTAACTTATCGTTGCCAGAATCGCTGGCGAGCCTATTCGGATGCTGGATAAGGGTTTCGGTATGAAGGATGTGGGTGGGCTGGATGAGAGGAGTTGAATCACGGCTCAGATGAGAAAATGCGGGATTTAAAAGAGAGCTTATTTGCAATCTCTTAGTCGCTGGTTCGAGTCCGGTTGCAGGTGGTGAGGCTCGTGATTTGGATTCGTGAAATTGGTTGGACGTGGGTGTAGGTGTTGAAATAGAAGAGGATGGTCGTTTTAGGTTGGGAGTTTTAAGGCTTCCTTCACTTGACCATGATTGATGTGGAGATAAATCTGAGTTATAAGCAGTGCTGGAGTTTAAGTTGCTCGAAAAAGTACGGTTGAGACTGGCGAGCGTAGTTACAGCTGCATGTTCGAGCGATTTTAGGTCGGATGAGCTTGTACTTCTTGAACTGGGATGGATTGTTGTAAATGGTGACGGAGCTCTGATACCTGGATGACATTGATAATGAATTGCGTTACTTGCTGGAATGGGTGGGAGTCTGCAGTCGGCTCTGAACGGTGCCATTTTTGCCGTCCTTGCGCTCTCAGCAAATTCCGAGTTTCTACCTCGTTCAACACCATCAAGTTTCACGGGCATATTGAGCACAGAATCCTGTAGAGAAGCAGTGATGTCTGGATTGTTGAGGCGATATTTGAAATTAGGATAACTATGAGTATTTGAACGATTATGGGTGGAAACAGAAGAATATCGAGTATGTACATCACTCCTATGTACGAGTGGCATTTCTTCATCTTCATTTTTGTCCCCAGAGTTTTTCTCATTGCTTCCGACAGACACAGTTAAGTCTATGATATTCTCTTCTTCCCCCTCTGGAATATGCCGGAGCTTATGAGCGCCGAGTTGGTTTCCCATGATATATGAAAGACTCATCCTATTGGTATTTACTTGATCTTCTATCTTTAGCGGGATTTCGTCCTTTTTAATCACAGACTCTGGTTTACTACCTGTGAATCTATGGTTCAAGGAGTTAGAGCTTGTAGCCTGCGCACCGCCGGCTGAAGAATTAACTGCTATCCATTGTCTAGCAGCTGCTTCTCGCAGTTCGAGTCTCTTTCTCAAGTAATTATTTGAGGCTCGGCTCTGCTGAACCCGGGCAGCTTCCGGTTGAATAGCGGATCTGATAGCAGATCTTCTGACAGGCCTATGAATCGGTGGCGATTGTGGTCGTGCTTGAACCCTGGATTTCAAGGCAGCTGCGCCGTTAGCTGGTGGTCGTCGTGGTGGTGGTACAGTACGTGGGAATTTACGTTGAGGAGCAACAGCTGGCTTCTTGCCGACGGGAATCAGTATTTGGCCATCTGTATTGGGTACGGCTTCGTAGGTGGTCATTGTGATGTTTCTTAAAGATATCAAAATGCTATGTATTCTTGATATGATTTGATGTTGGGAAAGTAAACAGAATGGCCGAAATATTGAGGTTTATATAGCTGTATTATGTTGTGGATACATGATTCACGAGAAAGAGGGAGGCGGAGGAGGGCGGGTGACTTGAGTGTGAATGCTCTTTGACGCTGTTAAAACCATTGGTTTTACTGGTATTCACGATGTAAAATCTCAAAAGTTCAAAATTTGTCGTTGTCGAGTCATCGGGAGATTCATAAATACAATTGTGAATCATCAAATAATATGTCTGAGACGAAAAAAATTGGCGCTGAGTCATGGAACGGCCTTTTGAGTCTCTGAATATGGGAGTGTTATTGCAATGAAAAGATGAGAACACGCAAAGAATTTTATTTCATGGAAGAGGTTCACGGTCATTCTACTTAGTGGCTATTCTTGTTTTATTGACCTCTGTTCTTTGCCTCTTGTCGATTTCTTCACAAGATTTGAGAAGATGCAGTTCGAGAGTTAGTGTAGGTTAATCGCTAGAGAAAATACAATGAATGAGTCACGAAATTTATCGTAACCCCATTGGCGCAATGGATAAATAGTTTGTTTGTTTTGTTGGAGTATAAATGATTGCCTAGGCACATTGTGATGCCGAGTGATAACTCAATAGTGCCAATGAATTTCATCGAGCCCAGTTTGGTAGCCAAGTTTAAGTCGCATTAGAATAGTTGCATTTGCTACATTTAGATCCAATTCGTTGGGATTAAAATGTATTCATACCATGGCATTACCATAAATACAATGTACCAGCGATGCAATGAAAAAGCTATCCGTCCCGTGCGCTCTTGGCTATCAATTAATAGTTCAATATCGTCTTAAAAGTCCATATCCTCGCCATTCTGCTGCTATACGGAATCCATATACGCTGACCCCGAAATCCAGAACCTCATCATAAGGAGGAAAACAACCATTCTGCTGCCCTGAAGGCATCAAGTCTATCTGATGTTCCCGAAATCTGTCAATCCGCTTCTTCCCCATCCTTTGACGGAGCTTGCGTGGTGGGGCCTTGTTTTGATTCGTGCCACTAGCCGTGCCTGATCTGAAGCTTAGACTTCCTTCGTGGACAGCAGCGAATCTATCTTCTCCAGCTAGGTTCATAGGCCATGGATCGGTACTGAGACTACCGAGCTGTTGCGGCTGTTGTTCCACATCAATCGGTACCGGTGAATCCGAATCTCTTAAGAATGAGGATTTCAAAGGCTTTGAGGATTCAAAATTCCATGCAACATTAGGATCTGTAATATGTCCATCAAGCTGGTGGAGTTGTTGGAGCTGTTATTCCATGTCATTTTGACTAGGCAACCCTGAAGCTCTTGAGGATTCCAAACGTCTTGAAGATCGGAAAGTCCATGCAACATTAAGCATTGTAGATGCTATGAGTGCATACCCCCAAATATAATAATTATTTTGCGTTTTTGATTCGGTGGCTCCAATTATTATCCCGGTCCGTGTCCGACGGAGGACTGTACCGGTATATTGATAGAAAGAAGGTGGAGGTAGACCTTGCGCGGCTGCTTTTCAACATTGCACACCCGCTTCCTGAATTGGCTTTCAGTTTAACTCAAGTCAATGATCGACAGCAGCAGTAATACGTATACACGGACTGAGAGAAAACGTACCTCTTCTACTTGACAATATTCAATATAATCCTTAGTTGCAGTCCAAATTGCTAACTTTAAAGCGAAGTATGATATGATAGTACTGACTACAATCGCGACTACAGCAATGATTGTTCCTTTATCCCAGGTTGTGAGATGCTTAACGAATCGTTTCAGAAGACTTATACCCGACAATTGGGAGAAAAGTGTGCTGTTATTGTTGCGGGCAAAATGGCCAGCTTGATTGATTTGATTGCTAAATGCAGCAGGTTGCTGGCTTTGCGGATTTGATGTCCTACCGGAACTTGGAATTGAACTTGGGCTTGGGCACTCGAAGGTGAGGGTGGTGTTTGGGGGACTGCCTGAGACCTTGGTGCAATTGATGAACTACTAGTATTGCTTTGCTGGTTTGGAAAGGCTTGGAGCGATACAGTTGGTAACATTGTGCTCTACCTTTTATGTCAGAGACAAAGTGATTATAAGAATACTGTAGTTCTCCGACACTTGAGGGAAAACTCCGATATCTACACCTTCCGTCACACAGCACAGCTGAGCCTTCAATCGTACACAGCCTTGCTGCAGTAAGATATCTTTTTTGGCAAATCGAGTTGCACATGATAGGCGGGAACCGTTACTCGAAGAAATCTTCATTTTGTTCTTCGAATAAGGACCACGCCGTTGAAAAGAAAGAAACCCTAGATTATCTTATTATTCTGACCAGGTATGAATGCGACAAGACCATCGCCGATACGCATTTTCGAGTTCGTATAGGAGAGACCATTAAAGACCAAAATCAAACATCACTCCTTTCAAGTTGTAAAAAAGTCCGTATTCCGTGTGGAAATCACGCCCCTCAAAAATTCATGGAAGTAAAATGAAGTTTAAATATTTACTCCCTCGTACATATGAGACAATTCAACTTTTTTGCCTGTCAGCCGTGCAGATCCCGTGCTGTAAACCCAAACATCGTATCTATTATTTCTTCATTGCCCAGCGCAATCATGATCCATCCTTTGCAAGTCCACTTACATTTGAAATTATCATATCTCCATCCGAAGAATCATGGAGTCTGCTTCCGAGAATCGAGGTATCGACCTTGAGAAAGAGTTGACTTGTTCTGTAAGTTGAGAATTAATGTTTCCGCATCCTAAACCTAGAAAGTCTTACCCCGCAAACTGTATAGGGCTGGGCTTGAATCCGCAGCCGCATCTTGAGGAATAGGTAGTAATTCTAACTTGGTCACAGATCTGCACAGAGGTTCTATATCAACCATTAACCTTACTGGATTGTCTGCATACTTTTTGCGGCTCTTGTCTTAAGGAATGGTTTTCATGGCAACTTGTCTCCGTACAAAATGCCCAAACTCCTATTCCTCCTGGCGGTACACCATATACATGCCCATCATGTCGCGCACCAGTTCGAGATACGAAACACAGCTCTACGATAGCGACTCTACTGGAGATGTTCTTGGCGCGGAGTCCAGAGAAGGCCAGGACGGCGGAAGAGAAGGAGGAAGTTGCTACGAAATACAAGGTTGGGGATGAAGTGTTACCAAAATGGGAGCAAAAAGAAAAGAGCTCAAGAGAAAGACGGTTAGAGGACGAGGATAGAAGACTGATGGAGGAAGTAAGGGATTTGAGTTTGAGAGAAGTGGGAGTGGGAGTGGAAAGTTCCGAGGCAAGGAGGGAAAGAAGGAGGCGGGAGCGGGATGGCGAGAGGTCGCATGGTTCAAGACGCCATTCAAGTCGTGAAAATAGTAGGGACAACAGGAATACAGATGATGCAGATCGACGAAGGCGAAGAGAGGAGCATCATGAAAGGAGAAGAGCCAGACAAGGAACCTCTGCGTTGAGGGCGGAACCCGATCACAGCGACTCCGAAGGCCGAAGAAGGGGGTACAGTGAGGCCGAATCAATAAGAAGACATGAAGAAACAAGCCGGTCTGCAGCGCGACAGATAGAACACCAATCATCTTTACGGTCACTTATCAGTTCTTCTGACATTGATTCTAGGGAAATGGAAGAAGAGATTCTACGACAAATTAGAGAGGAAGGTTTACTGGATGGTATTGACCTCGAGAATATCGACGTTAACCAGGAGGATCAGATTAGTGAGAGAATAGCGGAAGCTTTTAGACGGCGGCAACAAGAGAGATCTGTGATTGAATCATCTAGAAGGAGCGAGAGTGAGACAACGGAGAGACGAAGACGATCTCCTCTAGTATCACCCACGGATTCTGGAAGAGAAATGTCTGGTGACGATGCTCCCACAACTACAAGTCGACGTAGAAATCACTCCTCTTCACCAAGGGCAGGTAGCTTTAGTAATGAACAAAGCAGACCACCGCCATCAATAAGCGCAGTACATGCAAATCTCCTAGAGGTCGGTCCAATATCTGGAGGACGTAGAAGACAGAGGACTTTAAGCGCGCCACGAAGTTCAACAACACCTGTACCTGTATTTACACCCGAAACGAGAACTGCCGCTCTGTCTCAGACCGATTTGAGCATTGTGCCTCGGAGCTCTTCTATGCAAACAACCCAACCTTTCAGGGCCCATGCGAGGAGGAGCACTGACTCCAATGTGCGACGAATGAGTGAATCATCAACAGTTAGAGAACAGCAACCACAAACAGGTTCCACCACACGACCATCTAACAGTAACTTTGTTGCATCTTCCTCAAATTCAACACCAAGAACATCAGGCAACAGTTTGCTAGAAAGATCTCATTTGGACGATATGGCTGAGATGCCTGCTCCATTAAGCACCCGTGCTCATGCGCCAGCAGACATCTTCGTAGCCTCTGCTGTTCCTGGATTCGTTCCATACATGGATGAGTCACTAGTCCCTGCACCGCTTTCACCGCTTTCACCACATACCCCCACTCATCTATCACTTTTCGACAAAGCCGGTGCTTTATCAAGTGGTAGCAGGCCAAGCTCTTCTCATTCTGTTGGATCTAAGCCACGAACAGCGCTCTACCCCGAACCATCAATAGCATGTAGAAGATGTCAGAAAACTCACATCGAATATGAGCTGCACTATAACTGCTCAGCTTGCTTGCGTGGCAATTATAATATTTGTCTATCATGCTACCGTTCCGGTGCGGGGTGTCTACACTGGTTCGGATTTGGCTACTCTGCATGGGCAAACTGGGAAAATCAAATGCAAGCCGGGAAGATACCACAAGGTGCAGAAAGGCCGCACATGCTCACAGCAAATCGTTATCTAGCACCCAAAATGACGGCCGGTGGAGCGGATGGTCGCAAAACTCTCACTACAGAGGATCCTCAGAAGCGTCTTCAAAGTGGTGCATTCTGTGCAAGTTGCCTGGCTTGGACAAATGAATGTTACTGGCGCTGCGATATTTGCAATCATGGTGATTGGGGATTTTGCAATCTATGCGTCAACCAAGGAAGGTCATGTACGCATTCCCTTCTACCTTTGACGTACAAACCATCGGAGTCATACACACCTCCCTTGTCTCCGATGCACGGACAACAGCTTCCACAGTCAGCAACTATTCTAAAAGGACCAGGTGTCAGTGACGTAGGCAATTTCAAACCTCTCACTTTCTCTACCAATTGCGATATTTGTCGCTATCCGATTCAACCTTCTTCCACACGTTACCATTGCTACTATTGTACCAGTGCCGTTCCAGGCACTCAACCTGGCGACTATGATATATGCTCGACCTGCTACCCAAAGCTGGTCACGTCTCGTCGAATCAGCGTCGAAAATGGCCATAATGGGTGGCGACGTTGTTTACAGGGTCACCGTATGGTAATCGTGGGATTTGAAGATGATCGTGGTCAACGTAGAGTTATTGTCCAAGATCTCGTTGGCGGTCATAGCCTTGACACTGATCCCATGCTTTATCCCTCAACCGATTTTACAGCGCCCGAATTACAGAAATGGAGTTGGGGACAAGATAATGATACTTTTGTTAAACTCATCACGACCGATCCATCTAAAACTGCACCAACATCAGTCCCAGGGCTAACAATTGAGCAATCATTCCCGCCTGATGGTGGAATCGGGATGTCGAGTTTGGCAATTTGGAGTTGGTGGCCTGCGGAGGGGGCTAGTGATGAATTAATGTTTCCAAAGGGGGCCGAAGTAAGGGAGTGTAAGGATGTTAATGGAGATTGGTTTTGGGGTTGCTATATGGGTGCAAAGGGATTGTTTCCCGCGCCTTATGTGAGGGTCTTGGAAGACGCAGGTGCTGTTAATTAATTGAGAAGTGGCAGCGTGATTTTATTTGAGGATGTGCTGAGCATTGGGGAATTAGTTGAAGGGAAATAAAGAAAGAGGTTATGAGGGTTTTATGATATGCATGATTTATGAGATGTTGATAATTTTGATGATGGAGTGGAATATTTGAATGTCTTGTATATATCCACAATCTATCTGAGTTTAGCGAAGCTAGAAATCTATATTCTGAATAACACCTACAATCTCTTGGATCATTTATGTTGTCTAGTGATTTATGATATAGTTGTTGTGCGCAAGTATAGTTCCGGATTTCCATTCGATAAATAAGCGGTTCTAGTATACCCCGCATTCTTGTTAAGAGGAGGTGGATTGCCGGCGATGACTCGACATAAAACTAGATTTTAAAATTGATGACTCACAAATATTTTCTGAGGTGGATTGTATTTCGTTGTTATAAGTTGGTTCGGTGATTCTCTCGATTATCGCAATTTTTTGTCTTATGGTTGGTGTTGCGCTTAATCACATTATTTTGCTCTGAGTCGTCTATCACCTTGTGCGCTGCAGGATAGTGGTAATACATTACAGCTTTTGCTTTCTCATGAAACTTGGAGGCTGATTTTGAGAAGATAGACATTGAGTTTCAAAGCTGTAGATATATAGAACTGATCATCGCCTCGGACAAGATGGGAGACAAAGCAGAGAAATCCCACGACTCTTCCCCGAGCCGCACCGAGCATAAAGGAAATATGGACATCACATTCGAGTCACCAACACCCTGTTCGCAAGTCAACGAGGTCCAGTTCTATATCCATCCTCAAGAAACTGTTTCCGAAACTTTAATACCTAATCTGCAGCGACATCTACCGTATAGTAATCCCATCTACAACCGAATGCTCGCTCCCCAGAACACACCCTCTCGACATTGTCTCTTCGCCGCCACATTTCCTCCATATGGTCCAGTTCCTGAAATATACACTATTATCTTCTCTGATCGATCTCGCAAAACGGAGTCTCAGATCTGGGTTTTTAATCCGTTGATCACGCCATCTTATCCGCAACCTCTTTCTCAAGAATATACTTCTCTCTTAACTATCCACCTTAAGATGCTTCTACAATTCCTAAAGGGAACTGTTATCCTAGAAGCTCCTGGGCATCCTTTCCATCCTATTCTTAAATTTGCGTGTCTACACGAAATTATCACGGATACTTTATCCACTCTCCTTCAATCTCATTGTCAATCTCAATCAACATCTTCCTCAGTTATCGCCCACCACACCCGCTGGAACCTCTATCTGATTCCTACAACTCTCTTCGCTATCCCTTTATCCCGCGACTCACAACCCTCTTTCACCATATCCCGTGTTCCACCCGAACATATCCACCTCGTGGTTTCTACCTCTTCCATTCCCCGAGAACCTAGCACACTACTTGCGCAGCCTTCGTTTTGTCTTTTGAATTCTGAAAGAGAAATGATTGCCTGGGCTTTTATCGGTATTGATGGTACACGTAAGTAATCTTACAAGTTTTTCAATCTCATGCTTTCCAATCATAATTCCCTTGCATTTCCCCTTTCATATTTCATGAACTTCTCGTCTTTGAGTCTCTCTCCCTGTCTCCTCTCCTACTTCATCTTTACCACCTAATTGATCACTAATACCTCAAAGTCGCAACTCTCTACGTGCAACCCTCATACCGAGGCCAGGGGCTCGCAACGTATATTGCGCGCTTACTAGTTCATCGTCTTGGATGTGGAGAATTTCGAGATTTGGGGTTTACTGGGGAGAGTGGGTGGGTGCATGCAGATGTTAAGGAGGGGAATAGTGGGAGTGAGGGGGTTATGAGAGCACTTCGGGGAAAGAGAAGTTGGGTGAGTAGTTATTTTTGGGTTGATTGTGAGGGGTTGGATTTTTGGCATGGGAGTATGGATTGATGGATTGATAGATGGTTAGACAGATTAGAGAGGTTACAAAAGTAGAGGAGAAGATATGTGTAAAGAGAATGTAGTTGTGTTAAAGATTATAAGTATATAACAGAGGATAAACGCAAGTCACTTTTAGAGGAAATGAAATAGGAGTTCTGGTAAGATTACATCAATTATGCCCCGAAGTTATGTAACCTGTTAATTAGTCTTTTCAAAGACTTAACTTCCAGTTATCTAAAGAGATCAGCTATAACTCTTTATTCCAAACTTTTCCGACTGCTCAGTAAGTTAATTACATACCAATCACACATTTAATTTAGGAAGCCTTCTTCTTCTTCTGCTCAATCAACCCAAAAACTACCTTCCAACCTAAAGAAAATCAGCATGAAACTCTGTACGGATTCCATATAACAATATCTCAATTTCTTAACAACTAACTATAAAAAATAGCATCAACTCTTAATTTTAACATACAAAGAAACTAAACAAAACAATTAAAAAACTAAACATCCCACCGCATTTATATATATATATATGCCTACCTAGGTAGTTACACACTCCCTAGAAAGTCTAAACATATAATTATACTGCTCCTCCAAGAAAGATTTATATTTATATTCGAGTAAATATACTTCGTACTCCAGTACATACATATATAACTTTACGAGTCATTTAGAACTTATCACTCCTCTTCTCTCCTTTTCTCTATCTCAAACATTCCACTACAAGTCCCAGACAAAACTCCCAAAACAATCCTCAAGTCCCTCTAATTCCCCGTAGCATATCTGCACAGAACAGCTAGCTTATGATTCGAATCCTCGATATAAACATGCAAGTAGACCATACCAAGGAAATCACACCATGAAACTAACCTTACAAGTGAAAAAAGTTAAACCTACCATCTCAACCTTCGAAGGAAATCAATCCATTTACTCTAAACCCCTTCCTATTTAACTTCCAGAAAGCTTTCATTTAAAATTCCTGATAAACTCTAGACCCCTACAATGAGAAATACAAAAACAAATACGAAGTAGTAAGAACTCTCATACGCTCTTTCATCCAGCCTCTAGAATTCATAACCACATACATACATACATCTATATACGATTTCGAAAACTAGAGAAATGGTATAGAGTGCTATGATGTAGTATTTGAGTAGAGTTACTGTCATGTTTAATTGCTGTGGAGTTTTGTCATGGAGTTCTTGGGTGTGTGTTATTTTGCGAATATGGATAGCTTCATACTCACTTCAGAAAAGCGGGAAGAAAGAAAAAAGCAAACCTTCCCAGATATTTCCTGAGCGAGGACTCTATACATGGAATCTTACGTGACGCAAAACACTTCCCATACCATACCATACCAACCCAACCAAACCCATCGTAACTTTCAAACTCGATATCCAAAACCGGACAAATGATCCAGGGTCTGGTATCCATTCTACTAGAACCCGATGTGAAAGGATTGATGAATACCTACCTATCTACCTACCCACCTAGCTACCCACCGCAGACCCAGGAACCGAAGCTAAAATCTAAAATCTAAAATCCAGAGAATAAATGTTCGATGATATATATAATATAATGAGGCTACCTACAAAATCAAATCAAATCAAACCAAACTTCTACTTCTACTTCTACCCACACCACCGAGGAGTAATGAAGTATAAATAAATAAATAAACAAATAAATAAATAAATAAATAAATAAATAAATAAATAAATAAATAAATAAATAAATAAATAAATAAATAAATAAATAAATAAATAAATAAATAAATAAATAAATAAATAAATAAATAAATAAATAAATAAATAAATAAATAAATAAATAAATAAATAAATAAATAAATAAATAAATAAATAAATAAATAAATAAATAAATAAATAAATAAATAAATAAATAAATAAATAAATAAATAAATAAATAAATAAATAAATAAATAAATAAATAAATAAATAAATAAATAAATAAATAAATAGGAATTCAGTCACCAAACTAGAATAGGAGAAATTTTTTTTTTTGATATAGAATCGTACCTACCTAGGTACCCTTTGTTAATTAAAAAAAGATGCAATGTAAATTTTGCGCAACCTTCCACTTGGAGCAACCGTGTATCAAGATAATATCTATCTTGAGTCATTTCATGGAGACACATGTGAACATCGCTGACACTAATAGGTACAGTATGTGATTCGGGTAGCTCCGGAGCCTTTGAATAAATAAATGATTTGATTGAGCAAGAAGGTATATATGATATAAGATCTTACAATCCACGAGGACGCCGATTGAAATAGCCAAACCTAATATTTCCAGACGCCGATCCACATACTTCCATAGATATATAAAACCATCCATGTTTTCCTGCCATTCATATACCCATGATACACCCCCGCTAATATAACACACAAATCCAATATCCCATCCATACACCATATGCCCAGATTTTGACCTTATACCATTACAGCTTCACTCGCCCTCTTTCTTGTCTTTAATAATCTCCCCCTTCTTGTTATCCCCTTCACACCTTTCCCTCTCCAACTTCATTGGCATTATCATCGACAATTCAGGACAATATTCAAAAATCTTTTTCCTATGATCTGGGTCCTTCCATACATCATCCGGAAGAACCTCTCCTCCATCCCGTACATGATATCCCATAGGACGATCATGATATCTATCTTCAACCGAAAAATGATCTTCTTTTTCACCACTAGCAACTCGTGCTCCTGGTAATAACGTGATTCGTTTCCCGAACCACTCATCTTCAGGGGCGGTGTCATTAATCCTGGATTGAAAGCCAAGTATTTTTCTCACTGTCGAAATCCTTCGGAATGAAAGACCACCGTTTCCTGCAAAGTGATCATTCGCAACTCTATGAGTATATGTTAGTTTATGTTTTGAATAGTAATACAACGGTTTAAGCTCAAAAGTATCTCTTACCTAGGAGCACCAGCCCAATCATAGTCTAACCAATCATTCAAACTTTCTTCCGAATTCCCACACATAATACTATCCGACTCAAATTTAAGCAACCATTCAACCTCGGGCAAGAATTCCTCATAGAATCGAAGATCCGTGAGAACCCTGAATACATCCTCCTTACTATCCACCTTCCAGGGTTTCGGAAGAACAATCAAATCCAACTTGCCATTAACCTTATGATATTGTGTAGCGAAACTTCGAGACACAGTTGTGACGCTCTTATTTGTGCCGATAAACACAAAACGCCAATCTGGTGGCACAACAGAAATCATATGTAGAATTTGTGGGACCAGGTGAGGAAGAGGTCTGCCTTCAATGAGAAGTGCAACTTTAGAAGCATTGAATTGTTGGCGTGGGTCGTGGTTTGAATACCAGTCTACTTTGATGGCGGGAATCTTGTCAACGGCAGAAGATATTCGGTCTTTGATGTGTTCTTCAACAACCGGTCGATATCGCGGAAAGAAATGCGCTATCCACCATCTAGACACTGAGTGATTAGACTTTATTCTTGGACTTTGAAGTATGTCTTGGAGTCTGAGTAAGGCTAGATTGGACGCAATACTTACGTTGCTATCAGCGATATCAACAACAGGATTCTGGTTTTATTTATGACCAATACAGCATTGCCCAAAGAACCGGGACGAACAGTCGAAGACGACATGATTTCCTCACAGAAAGAAAATATGTAACGGATGATTCTTGCGAAAGGAGTAAAATAGGTGAATGAATATAGAGAGGTACAATTCGTATGCGGGAATCGTAACGCAAAAACGAGAATCTCAAAACATGAGAATTGTAATCTTAATTGGGCTAGAGTTATGAAACTAAATTCGGCCTACGACCTTACATGGATGTGCATGGTGACAGCTCTTAGTAGGTAAATGTGCAAGAGAAGGGAATCTGATAGAGGGGAAATATGATGTGGTGCGAGAGGGAACATAGGAAGGAAGCTGAATTATTATGTTAAGCCACAACGTGCCCTGGGCATCCAATATTATAAGGCGGCGTGTAATTATCCGATTCTTATATGCCCTGAATTTCAATTCACCAGTGATTCCCTGCGTACATCTTTTGAAATGGATAAATTTCTTACTGTCAAAACGCTACTATGAAATGCATCAAGATTTATATTTAAGCTTGAGATTTTGATTGCTGGTTATTGTTTCTGAAATATAAGTATATAAGACAGGTAGGTAGGTACACATATGGCGCCACCATCTTCCAGATGGGATAAATAAATATGCTTCAAATTACTGTAAGGGAAAAGATATCATTTCCGGAAGATTCCTGTGGGGGTTCATGATTTGAGGGAAAAGAAAGTTGCGAGACATGATGGCTGTTATGAGGAATGTGAAAGGCCCTTAATTACACTTTTCGCTTCCCGCCACCAGGAAGAATTCTTGGAATGGGTGATAGTATGGTGGGAAGGGGAGGCCATCACGATATTCATAGTACAGTGCAGAACTAGGAAGAAAAATCACAGAGAATTATAGCTAATCGACCTATCTAATCACCGGTAACTCCATATCATCTACATTAAAGACCCTTTTCACATGAAATAGCCGAACCCCTATCATTATTTACTAATCATGCCATGCCATATTACCATCCCACTCCTCCATTTTCAAATGTAGGAAACTCTCTTCCATGATGCGGTACAGAACACAATCTGTATTCGGGACACCAATCAAGTAATTTATCCATCTGATCTTCCTTCCACTTGTGCACGCGATGTAATCCTAATGGGTGTGGATAATCGATGGATTCAACACTGAATGTACGGGTAACTTCTTCGGCAGGTAAATTAATTGCACCATCGTCTTCTTGATCAAGACCAAGGTTCTCCTCGTCGTCTTGTAACTTGCGTAACCTGAATCATATCGTCAGTGTGTCTCAATGAAATAAAAGACCTGGACGTACTTTTCTTGAAACCATTGATCTTCTGCCATTTCTTCCTCTGGCTCCTCCTCCTCCTTCTGTTCCCTCTTCCCATTTTTCTTCCCATTCTCCTTCTTGCCATCTTGCTTGCCCCCTTCCACCTTCTTATCACGATTTTGGCCTTTTCCCTTCGTCTTCTTTCTTTCATTTTCCAGCTTCTTCTTTTCGTCCTCCAATTTCTTCTTCTTCTCTTTCTCCTCCTTTTGCCTCTGTTCTTCCTCTTTCTTCTTCTGTTCTTGCTCTTTTTTCTTACGCATCTCCTCTTTCTTCTTCTTCTCGTCCTCCTGCTTCTTGACCTCCTCAGCAAAATCCCAAATATCCAAAACCCTTAACATACTACTCCTTTTCCGCAAACTCAAGCCTCCTCTGTGCCCCTTATCTTTAACCGGTGTTCCGATCAAGTCATAAGCGAAAAAGTCATCGACACTTGTTGCTGCATTGGAACACAACATACTATCGCTATTGAAGAGTAGAATATGCTCTGCCGGTGCAATATTCTCCCACAGCCATGCATCTGTCATGAATTTATTTCTGGCTTTGAGATCGGTAAAGAGAACTGATTGTGGCAGATTACGTATTTGAATGAGGCCTTGTGTAAGATATCGAGAGAGTGCCGCAGATGTGGAAAACCGGCCAACTTCTTCGATCGAAGTATATATTAGAATTGGCCAAGCTGGGCCGAGAACGCTGCCAAAGTGAAGTACCAGCGGTATCACTTCAGGACGATAGCTGTCCTCAATTATCACTGCCACTTTATTGAAAATTGTTCCATTGAAATAATCCCCAAACTCATCCGTTGCAGGCTTGGTTTCGACTGTCGCATTTGACTTCTCTCCAAGGAACAGATTCGGAAGGGAAAATGTTGTACGCGATGAGTTGAAGAAATTTGTGTGATTCGAATAGATTTCAATGACATTACGATTTGGATTAGAGAGCTTTACTGTCCAGATAACAATAAGAAAAAGAATAGCTCCAAATCCAATGTTCCGAGCTCGACGTTGCTGGACATCAATAGCCATGGCCTCTGATCCTACGGTCGTATTCGAAAGATCTGCTCAGAACCCAAGGAATGTGTCTTCATACAAAGAATTGTTAAAGTGCACCGAAGCATTGAGCGTACGATATGTCCACTAGAACAAAATTTTGACAAAATAGTGTAAGTTCAATCGATCGACGTCAACATGCTGCACTTGCAAGAAAGGGCGTGGCCATGAGACAGAGCATATCAGAAAATAGCTAATAAAGTCTCAGATGCTTTCGGCAAGATAAGAAAATATGTACGAAATCGACCGCCGCAAGTCATTAAATATTTACTTTTCTCTTAATTTTAGATGAGAATTCTCAGTTAAATGCAGGTGAAGTGATAGTAAAATGCTCTGAAAAGGGGGTAACGCATTGAAATCTCGATAACATTCACACCATCCTTTTTCAAAATTCGATATATATCGGCAGCTAGCTTTTAGCAGTGGAAAGCTAGGCAATTCATAAGACATCGTGGAAATGGAGGCTGGAGTTGAGAGTATCCGAAAGCAGACTTTTTTCCGCAAGCAGAGAATTGGGGCATTGAAAACCAGACATGTTTGGGATTTTGTATGCCCCAATCAAATTACCCTTGCGTGCCAGAGAGACCTAAGCTGATTTCACAACGGGGCTAATAAGCCACGAAGAAAGGAGACAGAACAGCCAGCCTCTATCACAAATGTAGGGCGGGGACAGCACAGGTTGACAGTTTCGAAAGGATATATGATTAGACATGATGGATTTGACAGGAAAGAAGAGGAGTCGAGCCTTGCTCGTGATTTTCCAGGTTGCTATTACTAGAACTAGGTTCTAGGAGAGTTAGATCAAAAAAATAACAACAGATTGAATTTGGGAGGTTTTGACATGGAATTCCATCGTTTGACGGAAGAGTCGGAGTTCAAAAACGTTGGAGGTTCAATACATAGTATAGTGCATGTAACCGACATGGTGGTAATATGCACATAATATTTCCGGACGATCCGCCCACTTGTTAGCTTCTTGGTCTATGCTTTGCTTACTAGACTAGGAAGCTAGGACACTTCACTAACTTTTCCATCCCACGCTTCACTCAAGTAGTACCGGCAACTAGATTGTTGAGATTGACTGGATTTGGTATAGGGAAAGCTAGGTAAGCTCCCTTTCCTTCCGTACAGCTAGAGAGAACGCTTGGCTTTAGTTTCCGCTCTTGTCAAAAACTTTCTCATTCACTCGTTCATTCATTCATTGATTGTGCATCCGGCCTAAACATCACAGCCAAAATTCAAGAACTCTAGACCGCGTCATGTTGATGGTGAATTCCTTATCGCTGTGATAACCTCATGACATTTTAAGAAAATTCGCATCTAACTTTGAGGTTCAACAGCGACTTACCGACCTGTGTATTATTGGATTGCACAGTTTTCGGTCCTACAAATTGGTATTTGATTGAAACCACAAACGTCTTGAGCCCATTGCGGCAAATTCAATCAACAATCGCAATCATGTCGTCGCCAAATGGTGGAATGACTATTGAGGATATATGCGCTACCACAACATCGACTGTGGTGGTGGCATGGTCAAAAACCACGAGACGGATGCGCGTTGTTGGTGGTGTGTTTCTATTTTTGTAAGTAAATATTCATATCATAATCCAATTCTTCGTAAGTACTAAGATAATAATTTTACTCTAGCATTCTCTCCATTCTACTTTTCAGACCCTCAATTCCAGAACGCCCATCACTGCCCAAAATCCCAAAAGTCAGCCTCGACTATGGCGCCCCAGCTCCCTCCCAATTTAATGTCTCCAAAGTAGCTCTTCTGATCGAAAACCGCGTCAATCCAATTCTCTCACCCCTCATGCTACACTTCATGTCCGTCGTACCACCCGATTGGCGTTTCCGTTTCATGGGCAGTCTCGAATCTGTCGCGCATGTGAATACAAGCCGAGCTATTCGTCAGCATGTTGCATCAGGAAAACTCGACCTAACATATATTCCCGCCAACATGACCACTGGGTCACAGGAAGAAATCAGCAGATTTCTGACAAATCTATGGATTTATGAAACGGTTCTACAACCTGCTGAATGGTTACTGGTTTTTCAGACGGATAGCATGCTTTGTGCGAATAGTAGGCAAAGCCTAAACAACTGGTTAGATTACGATTGGGTGGGAGCACCATGGAATCCTAATGGGAGATTTGGAGGAAATGGAGGATTGAGTTTAAGACGCGTAAGCGCCATTATCGATGTCCTCCGCCACCAAGTACGATTAGATGATTCAGAGGCAGAAGATGTATGGCTTACTGATCGATTGGGACATCGGCCAGGGGCCAAACTTGCAAATGGGACAACCTCACTTACATTTTCGGGAGAGATGCACAGTGGACAGGGCGAGCGAGTTTCCGCCGAGAAAAAGAAGGGGAAAGGAAAAGACGAAACGAAAGCTGGGGGTTTGATTAAGGGGGTTGATGATTGGAGAGATGGTTTTTATGAACCTATGGGCTATCATACTGGTGGGAGTGGAGTAACACTACATTCTGGAATCTGGGGAACGCCTGAGAAGAGGAAGCATATTTGGGATTATTGTCCTGAAGTTAAGATGACGCTAAAAATGGATGCAGCAAAATATGTCCCAGGAGATTGTCGATCGAATTGGAAGCGATGGGATATGGGTCAAGAGGGTGTTGGTGTTGATCGAGTATATGAGAATGTAGAAATCATTGGTGGTGTGGAATATCCTTTACTACCTGCTGGTTTAGTACCGTGGTAACTTGGATACTTCCTATCTCCATCTCTCTATCATTTTACTGCGCGCAATATAATACTAGGTGTTTATTTTAAAGCTGGTCTATAATTATTTTCCTTTTTTTTTTTCGTCTTTCCTTTCCTCTTTTCTTCTCTTTTCTTTTCCTTTCTTGATTCGGGCGTTATAGGTGAAACAGTGGAAACGATGTCTATGAATAGCATGTAGGATACGCGGCGTTAGGGGCCTTCCAGGAATATAGGGGCGTTGAATCATGTTTCAAAGCTTGCAATGTGTCTTTATTGATGAGTGATATCTGATTTTTGAGGCATAGGCCCTTCAAAAAGCAATAGGGATCATCGGTACTTTCCTTTGCTAATTGCACCACTAATTTTACACTGATATTTTTAGAATCCAAGCCTCTTGCACAGTGGCAACAAATATAGCATGACAACCCAAACATTCCAAATCCAGAAAGTCACTTTGTCATCATCGACCCCTCTCTTCCGAATGCATCTGGTAATCACTACGGCACCAAACATAATAGGAGCAAGGTATCCATAAATACTCAAATGCCAAAAAGCAGGACAGAAGAATGACCAGAATCCCACAAAAACCGCTATCGTCAATCGTGCCGGCCAGTCTCCAATCACAAGAGGAACTGATTTCCTTCCACGTGCTTTATCCCCAGCCTGGTCAGACATGTCCTGGGCATGCACCGTGGTGAACATCACGCTCCCAATGACAACGAACCATTTCACCCCGTTGTTGCTGAGTGAGGCATCGGAAGCAATGAGAGTGGTTCCTGAACCGTAGCACAAGAATCCAAGTGCGTTTAACAAATTTCGTACCACGCAGCTTTTGTCTGCGCCGCCGACCTCATTGTATAGGACTGCAAGAATTATCAGCCCCGTACATTGTGCTATGGTCCCCGTGTAGAAGCTGCTGATGATTGCCACACAGTAAAATGCCTGCATCCAACGTTTTGCAACAGTGGCACTGATTCTACCTGTGGGCATGGGACGCCAGGGCTTGTTAAGTCGATCCTCCCCTATGGAATATGGGCGTCTCTGGTTGTCGATGACGAGGGGCAAGAGGTTAATCCAGGCCCAGAAGACAACGGTTGGAAGCCGGCAGACGATTTCGACGGTGTTTGGAAACTCATTGCTAGTAAGGATAGGTCCGGAGAGGGCACTGAGGATTCCAAACGCGGATTCTGGTCCGACGACCGTTTTGAGGTCGCTGAATGTAAAAAGCCAAATGGTGTAGAGATGAGTTAGGTATGAGGTTCGAGCTTCCGCTGTACACTTCCCGTTAACTTGCGCATCGTGAAGCCTGGATTTCAGCATACGTCCTGTCGTGACACGGCGCGCACCAATCTTCGCTTGGTTAAAGATGCTTGTGAAGGCCATTTTTGTCAAACAGGTTTTATGTATAAATGGAGAAAGTATCCAGGCCAAATCTCAATAAAAGGTACCGTGCAAAGGAAAGCTGCAGAGCAATGTTGAGATTCGAAGTGTGTTGAGGTGGCGAGGTTTTGAAATAAATGGAAGGAGGAGGGAGGAAACTTGCGAGCTTGCAAGAGGCATGGGTTTCAAAGTTGACTCTTACCTACCTGTCTTTACGAGGCATAGTAAGTTCGTTCCAGTGTGGAAAAGCAAGCTACTGTGCCGCAGACGCACTATTTTTGACCAAATCATCAGCCCGGCGGTCTGCAACATCATTCCTTAAAGGAATGATTTCTTTAACCAAGGTTTAGTTAGTAAATTCGTCTTACAAAGGGCTGCACCAGGCAAATGATCAGCAGGTGATAGGCAACCCCTTTCTTAGTATCGGAAGAAGAGAATTACAGGAATAGCTCATGATATAGCTGCAAGATACTCGGGCTCTTGTTGTCAGAAGGGTCGGTTTTCTGCATGTTGTTAGCTCACATTTAAGGGCTTGTAAAATCTTGCTTCACTGTGTTGGTGTCTATGGCACGGAGATATATGCAGGGCACTAACGAAGCCAACTACTTGACTCATCTGTCAAAAGCTACTAGCGGGAATGTCTATGGAGCTCGTTCGTTTTAGAGGCACAGTCAAGTATAGTAGCATACCTCCAAGTCATAACATATCATGCCCACCCTTGCAGTAGCTTATCTTTTCTACACGGCAGCCTGGAGAAGCGACTCAGATAGTTCTCAGCATCAAACTGCTAGTCTACTTTTGCGAGTGGACACTGTGAACTGCCCAGTCCTTTCTGACACCAAGTCTGCGCGCACTCGAAGATTTACCATGGTTGTCCTGAGCCTCAAGATCACGAGATTCCGATTCTTGTTGTTTGTTTGGCCTATCTGGCCCCTCGGCTTGACTTACCACATTTATCACGTCCGTAATTCCCGTGAGGGGATGGGCATCATCAAGTTTCCCAAAACCACCAGATCTCTTTGCATCTGGCTTTTTCACCCAAAAAATTTCTGCGGCCGCGTAGCCCTATCACAGCCACTTGAGCTTTTTCCAAACGAGAACTGATTGTGCACTTGCTTTGAACATAGAAACGAGCGCTCAGTTGAACCTTGTCCATGTGTTGTCCCGCTCCACCAGTCACAACCGCTGTCGATGAGAGCCAGGATACATCATCGCCGTGGCTTCCGCCTTAGCATAGAAAGGTTTCTTCTTACCCATATTAGCAGTTGTTTTCCGCTCTCCTGCGAACATCTGCGTAAAATTCAGCCCTAGTAATCTCTTGTTTCCGGGAAAAGGTAAGTCAAAAGAACTTACCAAGACTAAATTTATGACGTTGTCATTGAAGCACAATTTTCTTTTTGGAATATATCTCGCCAAAAGTCTAGCACAGACGGCGACGCCTGCTAAAGCGAGGAAAATAACATCGTCAACGATTAAAACTGAGAGGCCTAACTGGTCCCCTGATGCTGAAATCGCCATTTTGTTTGAGATTGCTGCTTCAGAAATTAAACTTTATTAAAGCTGTGTGTATATCTGAGCGAAGAAAAGAGCTCTGCTAAAGCTATGGACACAGGTGCAGATCGAGAGTGAAAGTAAGGTCAAGCTTTTACATGAAGCTCGCCTCCTGCATACGAGGAAAAACCCCAAACATCGAGGACATCTAGGCCGCACATGATACTACCATTTTTCATCCTGGCGATTAAAATCCAAGGATAAAATTTCTGCATACCACTCGGTATGTAACCGTTACAGGGATTTTCAGCTGACACCTTTCCCCATAAACAGCCCCTTCGATCCATATAACTGGGAACATCAAGATCGAGATTTGAAGTCGGAACCCGGTTGATGATTGTTAGTCACATTTTTAATTGATTGTAGGGTTACGAGTGAACGCATGCAAGATAACTCGGTAACGCGATGTAACTCACTCTAGGTGATGAGCCTAGGTAACCTAACCTTACTAGGCGAGCAAAATGATACCGAAAGCTTACTCAGCCAAATAGTTTAAGAGGGGCGCGCACAGAAAGTCAAGTTGATCTTCATGTTGAGCCGCCCTCGCTTTAGGAATGAAAGCCTTGCTACTCGTACTTGGTATGGCGGATCTGCCAGATTAATCCTACAGGAAAATAAGGCAGACGAACATGCATCAGAATTAGGTACTACTCAGTAAATCAACATTGTATTCTGCCTCTGCCCGCCTGCTTACAGCTTATGAACCAGGCGACACCATTTGGAGGTATGTCCTGGTACCGTATATCCTTGGCCTTAAATACTGAGCAAGAGAAATCTGTCGCTCTTTAATTGCTTTATAATAGAATTTTTGTTCTTCGCCCTCATTTTCCACTTGGATAAACTATTCTAACGCGCATTGACCTAAGACTTACAGCCTCGTGCTGAGCTCCAGAACGCCCTTTAACATCGTTCATGCCACTAAGATACAGTGATATCTGTCAAGGAGCTACCAGGAATGGTGTCAATGTTTCAAAATATTTCTTTGGCAGACAGAGCTCCGCCATACACCACCTCGGACGGAATATCTTGGTAAGCCATGTGGCTGTAGAATAACGAGATGATTGGCAACGACATAGGATAAACGGCATGACTTTATAGCCCATGGTCTAAATCCGACGAGTTTATTGGTTGCTCGGGACCGTGCAGAATGACCGAGGAAAATAATTTCGTTGTGAAGTGTCCTAGGAATTTGGATTGCTCTATACTGTATCTCGGCAATTTCACCACTTTAGCAAAAGTCGAGACCGATCAAAATCCTTTGCAACTCACAGATTCGCATGGCTAGCTGACTCAAGCAGACGGAATATTGGGCAAGATCCGACGAGACCGTCGCAATATTGAATATTTGTGCAAGATCAGCATCCGAGTTCCCCTCTCCACATCACCGGAAACGGAAGTAGCGGTTTTCTTCTGGTAACTACGACGCTCTTATGATTGAAAGTGAGACTTAGTTGCGGTGCAGAGCTGTAACAATGCAATCTCTTCCTGAAAAATATATTATTGCATGGTTTAGACTAGACTACTATTGTTGCTATGCCTTCGGGGAACTTCCCGCTAATATTTACACTTGAAGTACATGGTCAGCATGCCCGCGTATGGCACGTAGAGAACCCCTTTTTCAAATTTGAAATGGATATGTTAGAATGGATGTTATCATGTCCTCCCTTCGATCCTGCATTAGAAGTGATAATGGTAGAAGTTTGGATGTGGGAGAGAATCACCAGCCAGCAAAGGCCGTACTTTTCATGCAAAATTTGCATCAATCCATAGTTCCCCGCATGTAGCAACTTCGACATAAGTCAGAGGTTTGGTATATTTGCTATGGAACGCCTTGGATGTTGATATAAAGGGCAGAGGAATGTTCGACATCACCTCGTTTTGAACAGCAGGAAAACTGCGTAGTAGCAATCGAGAATGAGGTTAATTCAATGGCAATTATAACGCCAGGAAGCACATATAAATAAGATAATATAGAAAAGATACCAAGGGGATAAAGTAGAAACAAGATAGGTACCTGAATATGATGTTCCCCTTGGATGAGAAACGGACGGAGAAATCAAGCGAGAAATAGATTCGGTTGAAAGTTTCATGAGATTTACACTTCTTTTTCAAAGTAAGGATATACTCATCACCCCTTATGCCTCAATTTCAACCCATATGATATGAGCTATAGCTAATATCTTCTTTCCGTACCTTGTTTCCTGACGGATTTTTCTTTGCCAGCTTCGGCGTGGGTGGGTATGGTATGTTATGTCACGGTTCGAGATTGGTATCTATCTGGATTTAAAACATCACACATCGAGACTCTGCACCGCATTTGATGGAGAACTATCACACCAGCAGATGCAAATACAGCTCATGAGTGCCAATCAGCAACAAACAACATTTGTGAATTTGTGTCAAGGGTCATTTCATCCTGGTCATTTAGAGTGGAGTCGTACGAAGAATGCCGGTAAGCAATTGGACAAACTGACATAGGTTGATAATTCGGTCGAATAGCCGCTTCTTGTAAACAAAACTACGAACAGTTGGGAGAATCGATATGCATGTGCTCATTCTGATCTTACCACCGTACACTCCCCTACCCGAAAATATTAATTTGACCTTACGAAAATGACCAAGAAGCGTCTGAACGTTGTGATTGTAAGAAAAACATACTCGACCCACTACCCAAATTCTAACAATCATAATTCAAAAAGGTAGGTGGCTCCCTCAGTGCTCTTTTCCACGGAATTGTCCTCCGGCGGTTGGGACATCATGTTCGAATCCTCGAACGCAGCGCCCCGTCCCAGCAACAGAGTCTCGGGGCCGGTATCGCCGCCATGGAACATGTTCAGTCATTCATGAGAAAATACGACGAGACTAAGACACCTTACTGTGTAACGAGTCCAGATGTGCAATATCTTGACCAAGCTGTCAATATCAAAAGCACGTGGAATTTCTCCATGGTGACGACTAGCTGGAAGATACTATATTATGTCATGCGAGCCAATTTCGATGGTCTGGAAAGCAATCTCTGTGTTCAAGTACCCCAGCCAGCGGAGCAGCACGGCTCAGCCACTTATGAGCACGGGAAAGAAGTAATGGGCATCGAATACAAAGATGAGCTTGTCACGGTTCAATACCGTGATACGGGGAGCGACTCCCATGCGACTGTTCATGCCGATCTAGTGATTGCAGCCGATGGGGCTTCTTCTGGATTACGTCAACATTTGCAGCCACATCTACAGCAGAAGTATGCGGGTTATGTAGCTTGGAGGGGGATCGCGGCCGAGAGTGAGATTTCGGAGGAAACTAAAGCGATTTTTGCCTGCAAGGCTACTTTCCATATGTACAAGGGTGGTTATATTGTTCTGTGCGTGGCTCATCTCAAATTCTGTGTCTATTTGTAATCTAATCGTGTCCTATATAGTTATACCATCCCAGGCGAAGACGGTAATCTTTCTCCAGGCCACAGACAACTCAATTGGGTGTGGTACAACACACACCCGGAAAACTCACAGGGGTATCGGGACGTAATGACCGACGCAGATGGCCACAGACACCGCACCACCTTACCAATCGGCAAAGTGGCCCCTCAAAACTGGGACAAGCAAAAAGCACTCGCGCTTCAAATTCTCCCCGCACCTTTCGCAGAAATGGTCCAAAAAACCACCAAACCATTCATCTCGGCTATCCACGACCGGGAAATAGCAAAACCATCTCTCTTTGACGGAAAATTACTATTTGTAGGTGATGCGCTGGCGACTTTTCGTCCGCATGTGGGTTCGAGTACTAGTCAGGCGGCGCTGGATGCACAGCTGCTGGAACAATTGATGAAGGGTGAAATTACGACTGCGGAGTGGGAGAGGAGGGTTCTTGATTTTGCTAAATTTACGGCGGTGCGGAGTGAACTTTGGGGTGCGTATTATATTTTTGGGGTGCCGACGTTGGCTTTTGTGACGACTTTTTTGCGATATTGGAAGATGGTTGCTGTGCAGGCTTTTTGGAGGCGTATTTATGGTTAGGTACTTAGTATCTCCGGGTTTTGGGGGGTGAGGGCGCGGGCGCGGGGGCTGATTTTCTGCGTTGATATATAGTTCTTCCGTCTCAGTGTGCTAAGTATCTCGTGCATAGACTTTTGACCCATGTACCACATCTACTTATTGAGTGAAGCTATGTTAATTGCCAAAAAATGCGGGTTTCGAAACTGTCGAAATAGGAGTCGTTTTTTGCAGTTCTATACATTCGCAGACAATAGCAGCTGTATGATTCGGAACTTAATAAATGCACTTGGATTCCTAGTTTTGCAGTTTGGAACTACTTTCAATGTTTCCCTTGAGCTATCCAGCAGAAATTAGGTGGGATAGTTCGTTGTTATGAGGTATAGTATTAAGCTTGGTGGTAAACCCAGGACATCGACATATATGTGAATATGACTCCTCCAGAGCAGATTGATGATAAAGCACAAGAAAAAAAGAATTAGATTCCTCTTCTCCTCTCCTCTTGTGAACGGAGACTTTCCGACACGATTAACAATAACGATAACAATAGTGATTCTTGCTGGATTCTGTTCGAATTCCTTCATTCATCTAGGTATGCATCTTTTCGGATCTGGAGTAGGTAGGTAGGTAGGTAGGTAGGTAGGTAGGTAGGTAGGTGTCTATGGATACCTTCCTTCCTCCCTTCCTGTGCTGTGTGTGGGTGGTAATTAACGAGCGAGAAGAAATAGATAACTCAGTGAAATTCCCACATTCCTTCCTCTATCCCAAATCCCAAATCCAGAACCATCACACTACACAATCGGAAGTATCCTTACGTACTTGCAACCAAATGAACAAAAAGCCAATAATACAATAAGCAAAAGATAGCTACCTACAACTATAAACCTTTTTTCATTTCCCCATCCCTCTTTCCCTATTCATTTCCATCAAAAAATCCATCATCCAAATGATATTTCCATTTTTGAAATTTTACCCCTTACTTCCACGTGAGACGCCTCAGCTGCCGTGAGTGTCGAGCGTAGTGATTTCTGCTCTGAAGCTGTAACCTTAAGCAAGGGTTTAAGGTTCTTTAGAGATATGCATGAAATTGCACAACTACTCCCTCCTCGAGTATCATTACTCCAATTCTTTTTAACCCTTATACGACGAATATGTGAATGCGTGGATCGATCGCGACGTCAGAAGCAAGTGAGATTAATAATTTTAAGATGCTATTGCTATCGCTATCTTTGCTCCTTGGTATCTTTTTGCGCAAATTTATCCTAACCTTACATGAAATTCAAAAATTAATATAGGATAGAAAGAAACGAATGAGGCTATTAATGGGAATACAATAAAATAACAATACATCCATCAAACTGTATGGCATATGGGGATCCAGAAATCTATTAATTGAGCAAGGTAGGAAAATGGAAGTACAAGCACGGACTCAACAATCGTCTGGCGTTGAGGTTCCTGATAATGCATCATGCACGGGGGAATGTTACCCCGCCCGCTTGATAATGCTTCGTGATGATGCAACATCCTCCTCCAAGTCTGCGGGATGAATCACCGAACGACACAGTTATGCTCCGAGTCCATCCTCTTGCAAAATAGTATATAGGGTAGATGACCTTTGATTACAGTCATCTATTTCCTTGGCTGAGTTTTGTGTTTGATCATTACCATCGAATACCTGACACAAAAAGAATCCGTTAGTAAAACTATTCGACGTTTGACAAAACTAACAGAAGAGAATCCGTGATTGAAACATCGTTACGGGCTTAGGCGGACGGGCTTAGGCGGACGGTCTTCAGGGGATGGGCGTTAAAATAGTTCGAAACCGAGGAATGCTTGGAAGACGGTGCTGGTCGCTTTGCCAAGCTGTCGGGCTGGGGGCCCCAAAATAGTAGATCTCGGAGTTGGTTGGAGGGAAAACAAAAAAAGAGGAAAAGCTTACGCAACGATCCCAGCAATTGCAATAAAAACTCCAATTACTGATTTATCACCAACAGCGCGCCCAGAAGTCATCCATCCGAGAGCAACGATTGAACATGTTTTCACATGTCCAACGACAGTGCTGGAAACGGGACCAGTTTGAGCAATGATGAAAAATTGGGACATGTTTATTATGCTTGCGAATAATCCAGACTGGGAAAAGAAAAAGAGATTAGCTGATGTGACAAATGCATATACGAGTCCAATACGAGATAACATACCATGAAAATCATAACCCAACGGTTGACAGGCACCTCGCTCCAAACGGGAAAGGTATCTACAAATGGGATAACGTACAGCAGCATGAAGGCTGCTAATGGTGCTTGGCTAAACAACAATTGCATGCTGTTGACCTGCAATTTTTTATGGTAACTGGCGATCCATACTGTGTAGAGAGAACTGGCGAAGATTCCGGCGAATGCGAAAATTACTCCCAACGTAGTTGTGGTTTTGATATTCGCATCAGCTGTCGGTAGTGAATCGTAATAGGAGACCATTCCCACACCAATGCAAGCTGGTATCAAAGCATATATCGCATTTCTAGGTAGCGTTGATCGGTATAGAACAAAGTTCATAAGTGCGACGGTTGGTGTAAGTAGGATTCGAGCTACCTGATAGAAAGTAACTGTGGAAAAGGCAAGTGATAAATTCGGTAATATGACATTTAATGCCATGGAAATAGCAAGTGGAAAGATATCCTTCACTGCAATTCTTTTTGGTGTGAACATGGCAAACCGTGGTCGTGATAGTGTATAGAGAGTTAGCCATGTCACGGTGAAATGAAATGCGGCGAATGTGAGTTGTGCGAGTTTCAAAGAAGGATCGGAAAAGATTGCCTTGTTGGTAAAGACCTGAGAATTCGTTAGAATGTTGTAGGAAAGTGCAAACTAACTCAACCTTCAAGATAGATGAATTCAGTATTTCACACAATTTGTTATTCCAATTTCGTCCAAGAATTGAAAGCCGTGATGTTCGTACGGCAATCAAGACTATTGAAACCATGTTGAAATTGGAGGTGGGCTGGAATGGAATTTTGGAAAACTCACAATGCCAATTGTCGCCAGTGTATTTACCACCATCCAAATTATTGATGATCTGATCGAACTTTCCGGAGCCTTTGGTTTCTCTTCTGGTGGCGGAGCAAGTAATTCTGCTCGTTCAATATCTTCTTCCATGTCTTCCAATTCCTCTGGCGTCCTTAATTTGTAGTCCCCCTCTTGTGAACCCATCAAAGCACGCTTTTCATTTTTGTCGTCGAACCTCTCGGCTTCTGTCGACGCAGAGCTGATAGACGCTGAACGATCTACCGATCTTTCCGCCATGATGTGTATGGTGTGGTGGTATGTTAAAATATGTGTAGAGAAGTTGCTTGAGTACAAATCGGATTGGATAGAGAGAAGAAATGGTTACTTAGGATGGAGGAAGAAGGTATTCGGGAAGTATCTAGGTAGGTTTATGATGGCATAGATTCCTAAGAAAACCAGAGAATATGGCAGCTTTCCTTATTTCCATGCAAAGAATTTGATATTGAACACAACCCTGTAATGAAAGGTATTAATGGGATCACAGGGATGGTTAACAACTCCCACATTGCCAGGCATGCATTGCACTGCAAACGACCCCCCAACCAAGCATTGAGGACCCGCCAAAGGTTGGGAGGCCTGAATTCCACAGGACCACAGGAGGCTCGCTCTAATTCTAAAACATGCCACACATCAACATCGTGAATACAGACGGGAGGGCAGACGGGAGGGCAGACGGGAGGGCAGACGGGAGGAGGGGTATTCTAGAGTAGTTCGTGCCCTACAGATATATTATCATATAAACTACCGCTTGGTTTTACATTTTCCTTTTCCGGATGTTTAGGGTTTTATTTTAAAGAGGCTGTGGCATCCAGCTTCCAGAACCCTAGAGGAGCCCCTCCCTATGGTCAGTGAGACCGCGTAATCGAAGCTTATACTCCCTATGTTCGGGATACATGAGATACTTTTCAAGCTTTTTCCTTCATCAAAATTAATTTACTTTCTTGTCGCTACCGTCCACCCTTGATCCTACGATTGCATGTGTACGCGTTCAGGAAAAGAGCAAGGTGGTTTACGCGTCTTCCTAGAGTCGAAGCTAATGGGGAAGAAGCAACGAAGAAACAGAAACATTTCATCTCAAGATATCTATCATATCCAATGTTTGACAGATCATATGGTAAGTATTTTCTTTCTTCCTTTTCGTCGTGGCTGAGATCTGGAATCACGACTTCTCCGAGATCTTGATTGAGTACGGCCGAACCAAGATCCTGAAATTTCTTACAATATCTTGGAACAGCATTGTAGCCTGTAACGGACAAATTCCTGGATTCGTAAAGGTAGTTGGTTACGTTTAGCTTAGTCAGTCGACTTCTTCGTGGCCGTGGATAAGCTTTTATTAGATTATTGTCTGATATGGTGAAACGCATAGAGTGGTGGTTATCGGATTGGATAGATTTAAAAATGCTGTGTATTCGTCTCTAGTGTTCCGAGTCGTCCGTTACATGGTATCGAAGCACAAAGTTAAATGCCATATACATATTACACATATCATCATATCATCAAATCACAGGAAAATCCAGGTCTTTCAACACCAATCTTTCGAATTCTACTTCCCCTCTTTTTGGGTTCAATTTCCCCATGGGTGATATGAAGTCCTCCATGGGTCATATTTCGTATACACTCACTCCACTTTATCAACGGAATAACAACTCAACACCTACTATGGCTGGCTATGGAGTAAAGCATCGGAGCACCAGAGCTGCTAGGGTGAACACATCCTGATCCATGCACTTATTGTTCAAACACCAATTCAACCCACGTTCATTCTAACCTTTTTTTAACCTCAGCAAGGCAAGGAAATCAGACATGGGCTTGTTAAATTCGTTTCCATTTCCGTTTTCATTCATATGATCGCATCCATGGCAATGAGGATAACACCAAAAAGACGTCTCTCTCATATCATCTCCCTTTACGCCAATTCCATCTCTCCCTGCCGATGCCGCCGTTCACCAATCTCAGCTCATTCTCACACGCAAAAGCATAGCCTTGTTTAGGATTGGATCTGCTTCCACTTGACCCGGAATCTACCTTCCGCATATTGTCGCACTCTTGCTTTTGAAAGAGTAAATAATATTCACGTCTCCCTGCGTTTGCCAATGCGTCTGGTCTCTCAAACATTCCTTGGCTTTTCCCTCTGCAGCCTCCTGTAATAAAACTCCTCGATACCCTCCCTCCTTGCGCATTCTTACGACCAGCGAATATCTCCTTGTATTTCGTACATCCAATCTCTCCCATCCCAATCTACCATCATTTCTAGCACCTACTTTCTTTCCATTCGAACTTTCGGAATTGCGCAGATAGCCTTTCAAACACAATGCCTTCAAACGCTACAAGTAGGCTTCTTCCAAGTAATGTCTCTCTTCCACTTAGTTAGGAACATTTACTAATTCGTCTTGTTTACAGCTCACTCCTCCACTAATGGAGAGCAAAACAAATTCTTCGAAGATTACGGCGTTTGGAAGGAAGCTCCTATACTTACAGGAAGCACGAAATTCGAGCCATTACCAGATGTTAAGAATATCATGATTACAGGGGGGGCCGGGTTCATGTAAGGACACTGTTCTTTGTGCAGCAGGGGAATGGAATTCTGACCTTGATTAGTGCATGTTGGCTGGTACGACATTTGACTTTGACCTACCCCGATGCATACAACATTGTGTCTTTCGACAAATTGGATTACTGCTCGTCATTGAATAATACCCGAGCACTGAACGACAAGCGCAATTTTTCCTTTTACCATGGTGACATTACCAATCCATCGGAAGTTGTGGACTGCCTTGAACGACATAACATTGATACAATCTTCCATTTTGCAGCACAATCTCATGTTGATTTGAGTTTTGGCAATTCTTATGCCTTTACCCACACAAACGTGTATGGTACCCACGTTTTGCTTGAGAGTGCCAAAAAGTTTGGGATCAAGAAGTTCATTCATATTTCTACCGATGAAGTTTATGGAGAAGTTAAGGATGATGATGATGACCTTTTGGAAACCAGCATTTTGGCACCTACAAATCCTTATGCTGCAAGCAAAGCAGCAGCAGAGATGTTGGTACATTCTTACCAGAAGAGCTTTAAGCTACCTGTGATTATCGTACGCAGTAACAATGTTTACGGACCACATCAATATCCCGAGAGTGAGTACTTTGATCGAATTTTGAAATCATATGGCTGACGAAATTGAATAGAAGTCATTCCCAAATTTAGTTGCTTACTCCAGCGTGGACAACCAGTCGTTTTACATGGAGATGGTACCCCCACCAGAAGATATCTTTTCGCTGGTGATGCAGCCGATGCCTTTGATACCATTCTTCATAAAGGTTCCATGGGACAGATCTACAATGTTGGATCGTACGATGAGATATCCAATTTGACATTATGCTCGAAATTACTCACGTACTTGAATATTCCCCACAGCACCCAGGCTGAGCTCCACAAGTGGGTCAAGCATACGCAAGACCGACCATTCAATGATCACCGTTATGCAGTTGACGGAACCAAACTCAGAAAATTGGGCTGGGATCAAAAGACTAGTTTCGAGAATGGAATGGCTATCACTGTTGACTGGTATAAGAGATTCGGTGAAAGATGGTGGGGTGATATCACCATGGTTCTTACACCATTCCCCACAGTTGCTGGATCGGAGGTGGTGGGTGATGATCATGCTATTGAGGAGGTCAAAGAGGAAATGGTGGTTGATGCTAATGATAATATGGTTTTGGGTAAGAAGAGAAAGTTAAACGGTGTTTCGAGTGGGATGATTCAAGCTGTGGAAGTTTAGATTATACATGTTTGGCTTGGTCTGGACTCTGCACTGCATTCATTGCCTTGCATTTCAGCTTCATGTTTTGGTGGCGTAGAAAAAGGAAAATGGGTTGATTGGTGGGTGATTGGTGATTGGTGATTGATGATTTGGGTTAATTTTTCTCGTGGATTGGTTATCGGACAACTGTATTAGAGCGTGCTTTTTCATTTATATTCCCCATTGATAGACATAGTTTAGTTGGTAGTACGTAGTATATGAGTAGATGATATTGACGTTGATGTTGATGTTGATGTTGATGTTGATGTTGATGTTGATGTTGATGTTGATGTTGATGTTAATGGTTTCATATAGAAGATTTATTTATAAATATTGCAGATTGCGGCTTCATGGTTGGAATTAAATAGTATAGGATTGAGTTGGATAGAATAGGATCTGATTATAAATAAAAATAAATAAATAAATAATTTTACTTTTTCAAATATAGGTTTTCCGTGAATTTACCATAGGCCTGCGCCCCTCGGACCCCTGGCTTTTCAAAACAGTCTAATGAAAATTTAAGATTTAAAAAGTTTATAATAAATTAAATATATTAAATATATATCCGGGTATAGATAGAATATCAACTTGTTTTTAATAATTGAAAATTAAATTATTTTATTTAAAAATAATAATTATAATATGATTTAATATTATTATTTATAATATTTATAATAACGATAATATTATTTATAATATTATTATTATTATTATGAATTGAATAAAATGAATTAAATGAATAAAGTTGATTTAAATAAATAAAATAAAATTAAATGAATTAAATGATTTTAATAAACTTAAATGATTTCAATTGAGTTGAGTTGAAAAAAGTTTTAAATCAGATTTGTTTAAGATTGTAAAGTTAATACCAAGCTTTTTGTTAGATTATTTACCGGGGTATTTTAGACCAATCAGATTGTCAGGATCACGATGTCACGATTTACAGTTTTTATTATAATAATATTATTGATATCAGTGATTTAGATACCGATTATCAGAGGGGTGTGATTTAACTGTTGTTTTCAAAAGGCTTAATTGTTTACAAATAGAAACTTAAGATTCCTAGAATAAATATTCTAAGCAATTATAATAGAATAAAACAAATGTTTTAATTAATTGATTATAATAGAACAATTATTTTAAAGAATATCGTATTCTAAAATAATGATTCCTAAAAGAAAACTTCTGGAACAAATATTCTAGGAAAAGAAAAGTCTTAGGATTGATTATATAATAAGAAATTTTAAGAGTTTAGAAAGCTTTTAAAGCTTTAGAAGTTTTTTGAAGCTTTTGAATTTTATAAAGTTTTTTTTTATTTATTAGTATATAATTAAAATAGTTTTATAATTAAAAAATTGATGTTTAATTTAATTATCAATTAGTTTATCTATATTCTATTTGATCTAATAATAAATTCATTTTCAAATGAATAATCAATGATTAATAGTTTTAACCTACAATTACCAACTATACACATCTCAGGCAGCCGCTGCCTCGACCAGATTGTTACAGTTTACCCGGTAAGTGATGAAAAATAAGAAACCCGTTTAAATGAGTCGCGTGCAACGATCGGGTTGAGGCAACGGCTGCCTAAGGTTTCGTATGGTTGGTAGTTGTAGGTTAAGGCTAATAATTACTGGTTATCTATTTGAAAGTGAATCCGTTATTAGATCAATTGGAATATAGGTAAACTAATTGATAACTAAGTTGAACACGAAGCTTCTAAATTATGAAACTATTCTGATTATATATTAATCTTTTCCCTTACATGCTAGTTATGCTAGCTGATTAGCATAGCTAGTATTCCTGTGATGCTAGCAGAGCTAGTACATCACATGATTGATTCTGAGGCCTCTCTTATCCTAAAACCTTTCCTTTCCTAAAACATTTGTCCCAAAAGTTTTCTCTTTAAAAATTATAGCCCTAGGATACGATATCCTCTAGAATGATTATCCTATTTCAACCAATTAGATAGGACACTTGTCCTATTCTACTATGATTGTTTAGGATATTTATCCTAGGAATCCTAGGGTTCTAGATTTAGGTAATCAGGACCCCCGAAAGCAACGGTTAAATCACACCCCCTCTGTAGTCGGTATATAAATCACCAACATCAATAATACTACTATAATCTAAACCGTGAATCGTGACAATCAATTGGTTTTCATTTTGGTGGTATTATCATATAAATTGTAACAATATTTCTTATTCGAAACGTAAATTAGTTTTCTCCTACTATAACTCGAGCGTCTTCGAATATAAAGTGTGTAGTGGGGCCACCCACAATTAGTATGATTTGATGCGGGCATGATCGGTTGATTTTATATATTTTGTGGGCTTGAGATTATCTGGTAGGTGCTAAGTCTTACTAGGTAAGAATATAACGTTATCTAGGTACCTGGGTATCTAGGTAGTAATATATTTTGATATGAGGATGTACAAGTGCCGGGCGCCCTGGCATAGGATAGGATGGGATGGAATGGAATGGAATGGGATATCTAGGTGGATGTTATTTTATGTAGTAGGTGGTCGTGGTACTGTGACATGGTGGCGGTTGGCAGTTGGGGATTTTGGGGAATGGCGGATGAGCTGGAATGCTGGGATACTGGATGCGTGAAGGTTGGAAGGCTGGAACCGGATTGGTGGGCGGGCGGGCGGGTGGTTGGTAGTGGAGTTGGGGCAGGTTGATACCCAGGTGTAAGGTTAGATAGTACGGATGTCTTATCCATGCTAGAGCAGAATTGGTACCTAGATAGGTAGGTAAGGGAGGTAGGGTGGTTGAATAGGTAAGGTGGATTAGATATTTGCTTGGATGAGGTGTTGCGATGCGACTGGATTGGATTGATGAGACGCTCGGGTGGATCTATTGTTTTAAGAGGTAGGTGGTTAGGAAGAGCTGAGTACTTATTTAAATACTCGTATATAAATCCGAAATAGAGAATATTGGGAATAGAAACACCGCGCAAAACGAATATAGAACCCCGCCGTATCCTTCTCATTGGGACAAAACGAAGGATAAGCCCATTAATAGTCATCAATAATAACGTTCTCCCCAGAAAACCAATACCAAATATTAGAAATGAGGAATGGCTGTCCATTGATTCGATATCATTCGAGTTTAAACTTCCAAATATGCATGTGCTGACATGTACATACAGCATGCACACACCGCTCTTGGGACAACTCCCTTGCGTTTGCCGGGTCTTTAAGTGATGCCAAGTGTTTTTTGGTATTTTGTGATGTGGTATTTAGGATGAAAAGGTAATGTGAACGGATGATGGGGTATTGTATTCGGCATGGGGTCACGGCTGGAAATGAAAGTATTGACATAGCTCGTGGAAGAATGTAATCTATAAGAGTACAGTCGCAAGTAAGTACAGTCGCAAGTAAGTCGTATTACTGATGGATAAAAAGTTGAGGATAGATAAATAAATAAATAAATAATTAATTAATTAAATAATTAAATAATTAAATAATTAAATGGTGGAGGTACCTGCATTGAACCGGACAGGCCGGAACCTCAAACACTAAATAAATCCAGCACCAAGGACGTGGAGTTTCCGGGCTTGCATTGTGAACCAATGGGATGGTTTACCTCAACCCATCCAGTAAGTGAGTGCACCGCAATGTAAATGATGAATTTGGTGCGGAGTAAAATGGAACCGTCCGTAGTTGGGGGAATGTTGGATATTGGGGATATGATGATGATGGGTAATGTGGGTGTCCATATTTTATGGGCCTACCCGCTGTCAAAAATGGTCTAGAGAGTTGGTTGGGTTGGTTCTAGGAAAAGTCGTGGCCAGAGATACTTGGGATTGGCCGTTTGTGGTGCGAGTTGAAAGATCCAAAGGAAAGGCCAACCAGGCGAACGATTCCAATCGAAGACGATCGAGCTAGTTTGAACCTGGGAATTCTAAAAACTGCAAGCTAAAAAAACTGCAAGAACTACCTTAGATAAGTCACCGCTTTTGATGATCGGATCACAGTACGATCTTTTGGTAACTTCGCCTGCTTGCGTAGTGGGAGTACGACTCTGTTGCTTTGTTAGCTTGGTTAGCTTGATTGGAGAGTGTGCATGTCTTTACCTTTGCTTTGCTTATCTTCTTGCCTTTTATTCTCTGATATTTAATATACACAGCCGACCTTGGAGGGGAAAGGAAAAGGAGCCCTTGCTGTTTTGTTGTTTTGTTCCGAGGATTGACTACGAGGTTTATATGTTCATTGCCATCTTTTGGTATCTGCGTCGATATCTGCATCTGCACATACGTCTTTTCCGTATCTAAATTTGCATTTCCATACTCTACATACCAATTCGATTGGACACAAGAGCTCCTTCTAATGGCGCCTTCAGACACGACAAATGAATCTTGATAATTGAATTGGGGAATATTGACGACGAGACCGGTCGATACGATACGGCACGAAGGACGGTGGTTGATATGATTAGTAGATTGCGGGAAGGTTATGTCAATGGGAGCTCTTTGTACCAATCTTAAATCCACGAGGGAAGAAGAGGAGGAAGAAAATGAAGGAGAAGAAAGTTTACCGGATGAGAGTGTAAATGCTCCCGAAGAATTGAGACATTCGGATCATGATATACCACTTGTACCAGACGATAATGACGAGGAAGCGGAAATCGAAATTGATGCGCCTCCTGCGAGAGAAACGGTGCAGAGGGAAAATGAAGGAGATAGAAAACGGACAACTTATACCAAATCCGTTTTTCATCATCGCCAGACGGATCGAGATACAGTGTGAGATCCTCAGTTGCCATTCCTACTTTTTACTACTTACCAGTTTGCTAATACTTTATTCCAATATAGAAATTCCACTCGCTCACTATACGATTCCGATGTTGTATATACACAACAGCATGGCCGAGTTTATGTAGGAGATTACTACATGCCAGTCGATGAAGAAGAACTCGATCGTCTACGTATAATCCACCAAATATACCTTCAGATCTTCGATAACGAACTTACAACTGTACCTTTGGAATCACCTACTCGCATTCTGGATATTGGAACAGGAGCCGGTGATTGGGCTATGGGAATGGGTGATCTATGGCCCTCGGCCGAAATAATTGGAACAGATATTGCCAAAGTTCAACCCACAGCGGTCCCACTAAATGTCTTCTTCGAGATCGATGATGCGGAAGAAGAAGGTGGGTGGACATGGCCACCTAATGAATTTGATCTGATTCATTTGAGAGATATGGCAGGTGCATTCGGTGATTGGGATCATATATATTCCGAAGCATATATACATTTAAAACCCGGTGGATGGATTGAAATCATGGATTTCGATGACCATGAAGCTTTCCTTACCTTTTTCGATGACGATAGTCCAATGCCAGCTCTCCTACGTGACATGGAAGAAGCTGCTCGGATATCAGGACGACCACGAGGAGTTGCTCATCTAGAAACGGAAAAATTACGGAAATTAGGGTTTGTAGATGTGAAGGTTAAGGAATTTGGGATTCCAATGGGAACATGGCCAGATGATAAAATTCAAAGGACGATAGGAAAATTATGGTTGGTGTCGGCTTTGAGTTCATTGGAAGCTTATACGTTAAGATTATTAACGCAGGCTTTGGGTTGGGATGAAGAGGAAGTGAGGAGAAGGTGCATGATATGTGGAGAGGATATGAAGAGGGTTAGTTTAAATGCGGAGAGAGCGAGGGGTTTAAAAACTATGGTGAAGGTTTTGATAGGTAGGAAACCGGGTTGGGAGGTGGATGCTCATGGAGATGGAGATGGAGAGAGTGTGATGACGGAAACTCGGACGATTCATGGTGATTGAAATATAACTTTGAGTGGGAATTAAATGCACCCCTTTATATTCGACTACTAGTGTAGTCAGTAGTCGAACATCTCAAGTTCGTATACCTATTCTGTATAGCGTTTCAAGGCATTATGTTTATGATTATCCTCTTCTCAATATGGGAATCTTCCTCTTCTGCGAGCAAGCAAGCAAGCGCGGCATTTTGATGTTTTAGTATACTTACTTACCTGACGACATTACAAATATTAAGAAATATTTATAAAAAAAGAAATTATTTAATAAAATTGAATAATGAACTTATTTGATAAATAAATTAACTCTTTGATATAATAAGACTTGAAATATAAATTAAGATAATTTTAATATAAATATAATTAGTTAATTAATTAATAGTTCAATAAAAAATTAATAAAATAATTTTTTATAAGAAAAATGTATAAAAATAAACTATAGTCTATAAAGGAAATTATATTTGAGAAATTAAAGAATTGAAAATATCAATAATTATTGACTTATCAATACCAAAACCTTATTATGTATATAGTGTATTGTAATTTATTTGATATAGATTATAGAAAATAAAAAACTTGTTTAAGTGAGTTGTAATCCTGATAATATAATTGATCTAAAATACCCCAATAAATAATTTAATAAAAAGTTTAATAAAAACCTTATAATCTTAAATAATTTAACTTAAGGTTTTTTTCAACTTTATTCATTTAATTTAATTCTATTCTATTCATTTAATTCAATTCAATTTTATTTATTCAATTTATCTTATTTTATTTATAGTAGTAATAATAATAATAATAATAATAATACTAATAATAATAATATATATAATAATAATAATAATAATAATAATAATAATAATAATAATAATAATAATAATAATAATAATAATAATAATAATAATAATAATAATAATAATAATAATAATAATAATAATAATAATAATAATAATAATAATAATAATAATAATAATAATAATAATAATAATAATAATAATAATAATAATAATAATATAATATATAATTTTTTAAATAAAGTTTTTAATTTTCAATTATTAAAAACAAATTGATATTTTGTTTATATTCTAATATATATTTAATATTTAAATTTATTATAAAAGAATTTAAATTTGAATTTTTATTAGATTTTCTTGAAAAGCCAGGGCTCCGGGGGGCACAGGCCCTTGGTAGTATAATAATATGAGATTAAATAAATAAATAAATAATTGTTATTATTATATATTTCAAGAAGAAGAAAAAAAAGAAATATAAAATATAAAATAAAGATTAATATGAATATGAATATTATAAATAAGAATATATTAAATATAAATTATAATATTTTTTAAATTGATATTAAAATTTCATAAGGTTAGTCTTTCTTCCTGTTATGTTTTGAAAAATAGGATTATTTTAGTAGTTACTAGTTCGCTGGTTTTGATGGTAATTATCTATTTGATTTGTGAATAATAATTATGAGTTATGTTTTTTCTACGGGTATTGTAATGTAAATCTTAGGTTTAGTCCGGCTTTTAGGAGAGTAGATCTAGAGCTGGAACTTTCAGAATTTGTTTCCTGAATAGATCACTGGCTTAGGAGAGATACTTTTAGGTTAGATAGGTAGTGTTGTGAATGAACTTGCACCTCTGTACATCATGTGTTTCAAACGACATGCTTTAGTATTTCGAAAACCCTAAGATATCTGTACATAAAATTCATTCCGGTTTCAAAGCATATAACCTCACAGGATACAAGCCCTTTGGAAACCCCTTTGCCAATTCCGTCTTTAAAATTTTCAAACCAGCTTTCTCAAAAAGTTCCCGAAACTTCTCATCCGTCCTAATATTTTATATAAGCTTGGTCTCTCAAATTTATCTGATTTGTACGAACCTCGTAACGCTGCTATCAACTTCATCAAACATATCATTGCCAGCATGCGTACTCATATTTTCCTTTACTATTATCCAACCATTTTCATTCAACATCTTTCCACATTTTTGAAAATATTCCACAAGTTGGGAGTCTCTTAGATGACCTAGACACCATTGGTTCCATATTAAGTCGTATTTGATTTCTGTGTTTGGCGTCCAGGCTTCAAGGCCGACGGGATATATCTGACCGATTCCTGCGTGGTCTATGAGCGCGGAAGAGAATTTCGTTACTGGTTCTACGATATCCACTGTAGTAGCAATACTTAGAAGTAATGCTTTTGTAATTCGACCGATTCTGGTAACTTGGTTAGCTGACAATTCTTTAAGCTTCATGACCAAGAGATTCTCCTCGCGCAACCGAAATGATAGGTATGTTCTCTCATAATTTCCCCCACGGCTTTTCATTGTGAACAACATCTGTGGTTAGAATTGAGTAGCTCGTCTCGACCAAGACTATTGCTCAGAAAGCTACTTTAAACCATAGCCCCGGAAAATGTACGAACATAAAAACTGTCCTTCTCATACACTAGTACACACAGCCCTAAACATCCAGCCTTTAATTCCTCACCATCACCGACAAAAAACACCCTCGAGCTCCCAATCAAAATAACACACCATCAACCCCATCATCACGCAACCTCACCACATCCCAAGAAAAAAAGAGAAACACATAAACACATCACTCCAAAGAAAAACTTAAAAAAAAACTCACCCCGCACCACAATCCACCGCCCTTCCCAACTTCCCCCCCTTAACCCCCAATTTCCCCAAAAAATTCCTCGATCCCTGTATATCCACACGACTAATATATGGAAATCCTCCTAACATCCCATCATCACTTGCTTCTATATTTTCCCAGCTGATTGATTCTGTTAGTTTTTGTCTGTTTCTCTCTCTCCCTCTCTCTCTCTCTATTTCACATTTCATTCACAGATATGCATATAATGTTTGATTAGAGATTGAGATTAGACGGGGGAGACTGTAGATGATGAGGAAACGTAAGACGTACTAATGAATAGCATCCGCATGATTAATTTGAGAATCCGGAGCTTGGGCTGTCATTTTCTTTTTGGATTTGTAAACTTGATGTTATAGTAAGTAGAATGAATTTGATGGAGTAAGTGTAGTCGATTAAGGTGATTGTGATTGTGGTAGAGGTTGTGTGTGAGGGAGGAGGATTTATTTTTGAGGATGGGTGGGCTTGTTGGGATATTGATATTGATATTGATATTGATATTGATATTGATATCGATATTGAGAAGAGAGAAACCTTTGAAGGAGAGATTGAGTGAATGGTGGCGTGTTTTTAGTGGAGACTTGCCACTTATGTGTTAGTGTTTGATAGATTGCCATCATTTAGAACTTTGGTGGGAGTGACTCTAGCGGCAGACGATTTGAGGCATTATCCTCCTGAACAATGGATGACTCAAGATGTATATATGATGTAAATCTAACTTACATGATTGTATGTTTCAAAGAGGATGATAATTCTAACAAACACCTCTTTAACATGCGTGATTCTGAATAATAGATGATTACAATTTAGTTATAAACAAAGCCGAAAACACAAGCAAAATACTTATTTAAACTCACTAGAAGCCTCACCGGCATGCTAGACCTACACATCAAAATAGATTTCAAATATTTCGAAAAGCCCTAGACTTATATTTAACATCTTATCTTATTCTATATTATTATTCTATTCAATACTTATTATATTTAGTCATAAATACTAACCCTCATCCAAAATATTTAAAATATCTACAACAAAAGTAAAAGCCCCCTCTAATTCCATGCTCCTCTTCAAACTTACCCCCTAAGTACAAGTACCAAAACCCTTTTGACATCCTGTGCCACAATAAGCAGTGCTACTTCCACAATATCCATGCGTACTACAACAATTTCCATAACTGCTTCCCTGGCAAGTCTTCTGTTTAGTACCTCCACATGATCCATCAGTGCTAACTTTCAAAGTAGAAGTCGCAATGGCGGCGGATGTAGTAGCTGTGGATGTGGATTTTTTGGTGGAGGTAGTGGATGCTGAGCAGGTTCCTGCAATGGGTTGGCAGCCAGTACTGCAGTAATCAGTGGTACTTCCACAGTCTAGTTTTGAGTTTGCGTTAGTAAATGAGGAAATATAAAGTGAGAGTACATAACGACAATTCTTACATCCATGTTGTGAGCAGCAGTTTCCATAGATAGAACCAAGACATGTAATATCTGCATTACAGGAACCGTCATCGGAAACTTGTTGACTTGGTGTAGGGACGGCGGCGTTAGGGACACCGCTTCTGTACCAATTTTGAGATGGGTCGCCGAGACAATCTCCCACGGTAACCGACTTAAATCCATGGGAGTACATGGAAGCGAGAACGTAATCGGTAAGGTTATAGACGGTCTGATAATGGATATCGTGCTCGATTTCCAGGTAATTGTCTGTAGCGGGATTGGCGGTAGCAATAGCGGCATCCCAAATGTTCTTGGACTTTTGAATGAGATTTGCAGCATCATTCAAATATCCCTCGGTATCCACGTCGAAATAAGTCACATGGTAGCCCAAGTCTGCCATAAGGTCACCACAAGTGTCGTTACACTCAGAATAGGGTGGTCTCATATAAGTTGGGAAATACCCGAGAATGTTTCTGAAGGCCATCTCATTATAGTAAATTTGATTTTTGAACGTCGTTGGATCAAGGGAGGTCAAATTTTGGTGACCCCAGGTGTGAGATGCGACTTGATGACCTTCGGCAATCATACGTTTGATAACAGTAACATACTCTGGGGTGGTATCAATTGCACCTTTGCCAAGGTTGTTACCGGTGATCATAAAGGTAGCCTTAGCTCCATAGGCTGCAAGTTTGTCTAGAAGGTCATTAGTGTAAAGGTAAGGTCCGTCATCGAAAGTGAATGCAATGTCTATAAAAGTAAATAAGTCAGCATTTCCTACCATCACAAAGAGCCCAGAAATACAAACCTCCAGCAACCTGACAATCGTAAACACCAGCTCCTCCATATGGAACATCGCCAATATGTGGGCGTTTGATATTTGCTGTCGAAGCACCAGATGGAGCTTGGAGTGTATCACAAAGAGGTCCATATTCGAACTGGCAATCTGGAGCTGCACAATATTCTTCCGTGGTACCGCAGTATCTAGTTCCATTAGTTGATAATTTTCGTGCTTACAGGAAGCTACTCACCCTTCTGGAGAGCAGCATGCATTTACACAGCTACCAACACCGGGACCGCAAGTATTTGGATCGCCCGCCCTCGGCCCTATCTCAGGTGTTCTTTCTTCCACATGCACGGGATTTGCGATTGGCGCTGGCATGGCATTGCGACCTTTGATTGTTTGGAGGAACTCTCTGCCACCCATCAATTTTGGCATAGCAGGTCCAGGATGTGCACTCGACAACGAAGCCAAGGCCACGGTGGCGAGAAGCGACACAGACTTCATGTTGATAGCCTGATGAACGAGTGTGAGGTGCAATTAGCTAAACAAATATGACTTTTGGCAAGATTGTTTATATATAACCAGATTAAACCTTACACCTAGCTGGATTGCCAAAGGTGATGATAAACGAAAGACTGCACACGCAAGACTGAAGCGACTGTGAGGGTTATAGAAGCTGATGAGGAAGTAAAGGAGGTTGCAAATGGAGGCGAACTCTTCGTATTAAACCTCAAGAACAGAGATGACCTGACTTGATATGCAGCAACAACAAACAGGGGGGTCTGCAAAGGTAACATAGATTTCTGGGGTCAAAACTCCAAGGACATAGCTAAAAGCCGGATTTGTATAGATAGAACATGCAGCCTACTAATGATGCACCACAAGGATGCAGGATCTGTGCAGCCATCCCATCACTGAATGAGACGACTGCAACGATTTTTCTTTTCTGTATAGTTTCTTACATATAGTTGCAGGTCCAAGAACTCATTATACTGTTTAGAGAACATATTAATGTAGGTCACAATGAACTTGGAGAGTGGAAGGGTGTGAAGTGGGGACACAAAGGTCTCGAAGGGGCCCAAGAACCATGTCCGATAACAAGAAAATCATAGAAGTAACTTTCTCATAAGGATATTTCCATACTAAAAAATCCTTTTTGACGGCTGGGCGTTCGTAACTCGTTTGTATCCTTACTGGTTGTGCCGTACACTGTGATGAATGCTAAAATGTTAAAATACGATCGGGAAATTTTCAACGACGGCGTCTTCCCGACTTCGTGGTGCCAATCATGATTGCCATGCAAAAGAAATGCTTTTGTGACAGCTTAATACGCGGCTTTTGATCACAACCTCATTTTAAGGTCGCTTTTAATACTACATGGAGGGCTCCTTTCCATGGGTAAAAATGGTGGAATGGCAAAAGAGACTGAAGTGGAGATTGAGACTTGAGGCCTCCGAGAAAAATGAACATCATCTCATGGCCTCCTCCCGGGTAGAAAGTAAGTAAGCTTAATCTTGGCGTATGCACGATCATTTTCGCCCCCCTAAGGCTCCGTCAATATAAACATGTTTTGTTCGCGATGCGTGGACTTGAAAGCGTTCACCAGTTGGAAAATTATGTTGTGGATCATTTCAACAAAACGTGGCATGTAGCTCGTACCCAAAGGTATCGACTGAGCAAACAAACAAAAGGCATTTTGTCAAATCAAATAAATGCTTCTGTGCAGGTTTAAGCATAATCAAACCTCCTCGGTGTACTGTACTGTATTGATAAAGGTAACGAACGGATGGATCCAGCCGTCCATCGCAGTTTTCGATTCTTCCGATAACTATTATTAGTGTCTTGTTTTCTCCCGAGATCGTCAAATTTCCTACAATAAGGTCTCGTGCGACTCAACTAGAGCTGAGTTCGGACGAGTCTCATCGCTTAATATAATAACCTTCCTTACCTATGAGATCCGAGACCACAAGTGCAACACGGTTCGTGTGGCGTTCCTACCTTTGATGCGCAAGCATATAAGGGTCGTGTAAATTGCTATGTCGTGTATCCTAGACGCGCAAGTTTATACTGCAGTATTGATGTTGCAAAGCACAGTAGGATCCAGATTCACATTCAAGCCTCGAGACTATACTGCTAATCGAGCCATAATCATCTGACGATAATGTTGACTTTTCAAGTGGCAGCTGGACATTAGTATCAACTGCCAAGGATGGAACAAATAAGCTACAATTCATTATATGTATGATCTAAAATTTAGAAGTGTAAGTATTACGATAGACTCTTCCTCCCATTGGAACACGCCTTTTCGAGGCATCGGCCGAATCGAAACTTCAAAAAAGTGGCAGGCAGGTGAATAGCCACGACTGAATTGAAGATTTCCTCACTTCTCGACATCTAGCTCTGCTAGTGCGTAATTCTTAAGGTCTCGCTTTCCTTCAAGTATTTGTAGTATCTTCCCTTTGTGTTATTTCTCCAACTCTTGCCCCATTTTACTACTGCAAAGAAAGTCAGGACTTGAGCAAGACCAGCAAAGGCAGCCACAATGAAAGCATTTTGGTAACCCATATTTGTGACCCAAGGTGTGATCCCATAACCCATCGCAAAGCTCATTGTATTTCGGATAACAATCACACTTGCTATAAGCACCTTTAGCTTGGAACGTAGAAATGAAAATGGAACAGGGGGAAGGACGTACCCATGGCCTCGCCACTCAAGTCTTTATAAGCATCAATACAATACGAGACAGACAACTGAACACCAATGCCGTTTGAAGCAGCAATCAGGAACATGGCAACTGTAAGGCCGAACCAATGTATGTGTTGAGCTGCTCCAACACCCCAAAGGATTAAGGAGGAAGGTATGAGAATGACGGATAATAGGAATAACCAAAGTCGATGCTCTGCTTCCAAGACGCCTTTGTTGCGCCGGGCGAGCCACAATACCACTCTATCCCCTATGACACCAGAATAAAATGAAGCACAAGCTACACCGAGTAACGGTGAGACATACGACAATCCAACCATAGAAGAAGAGAAGTTATAAGGCGGGGCACTTAAGATCAACGAGGCCGTCCCATTGAGAACGTTGAACCAGATCAAATTGCTACCATACGAGAACCCAGCGTAGGCAACCGATGGAAGAGACATGAAAATGAGAGGCCGGACCACCATACGGAATAGTCTGAAATCTCGTTTCTTATCCTTCAGCGACAACTTTTGCAGGTACGTCTTCGGCGTGTAATGAACGGCTCCACGTTCTATGGTTTGAGTGGCCAAGTTTGAAACGCCGATGCTTGTATCTTTTTCGGGATCCAGTGACGTTGAAGAATTAGAGGACTTCTCTTGGATCATCCCCTCTTTTGGTGTAATCGCTTCAGGCGTGTTGCCCAGGGACTTTTTTATTTCCGGAGGTGCTCTATCGTAGTTTGTCTCCTCCATTAGGAAGAAGCAGAATACAAAACCGATGGCTAGAAAGATGGCGCACCAATACATCACCCATCTCCACCCTTGCCCGTCATTGATGAAGCCAGCCTACAATGATGTAAGCCAGAATGCCATTATGTTATCAATATCCTATAACTCACAAGTATTGGGGCTAAAAAATTACTTCCAGTCAGCATAAATGCATATAGTCCCATATAAGCACCTCTTTCATGGGTAAAGTAAATATCTGTAATCGATACTTCACATAGGGACTCGATAGGAGCTCCGACAGCTCCCTGTAGAATCTTGCTTCCAATCCATGCAGAATTGGTTGTAGCATGCGGCACCCATAACATGGTACTTGTTCCGTTAGCACAAATACAGGAAATATGATCACTACAATATTACTGACCCTAGAGTTGCTAGCAAGGAGAATAGATACACCGGTCTCTTGCCATATTGTAATGCTATGGGCTGGGCAATTAAACATCCCCACTGAACTCAAGTATAACATTAGCGGCCGACCCCCCGAAGATATCAAATATACTGCTACCATCTGGATGGTATCCTATGCATGCTGAGAGGAAAGAAAGAAAGCGCTTGCTTCGTTTCAGGGAAACGTAACGGTTTTCCTGGGCTTCACTCATTTGGGGACCATGGCCAGAGGCATATGATTTGAATTGACAGAAGACATGATAGTGTAACTTACCCCAAAGAACAAGAACATATACCCTGTACCGGCGTTCAACTGATCAACTGTCAAGCCAGTGTCCTTACTTATGGGCTCCAGGACACTATAAACAGCTGCAGATGCTATTCCAACCATCAAAGTATACATAGACATACATGCGGTCGATAGCATTTTCCGCTTTGGGCTCCAATTCAATGGATCATCTGGGTCACTAGATGGTGACGGAACTAGGACAACGTCCTGTATTCGAGATGCAGATGCATGCTGCCCTCGCATTACACCCTCAAGATCGACCAGGTGAATGGTTCCCGGGATAGGACGTGTATCCAATTCACCACGCCCATTTCCAGAATCCTCCATCGTGAAACAAACAACAAATGATCACTGCAGAAGAGATAGTACAATATAGCTGTTGGCAAGAATTTTGAATACTCAGCCTTTAGAAATGATTGGAGGTACCTTTTACTGTTCGGTCAGGGGGTTAGACTCTATACTTTTAAGGAGATCATCTGTGCTGAAAGCGCTTAACAAACTTATCACGAAGCTTAACATGGCTGTCGATCATGTTGACATGAGATAATGCGGTGTATCTGAAGCTATCCACTTAGAAGCCCAAAAGAGCAAGTATATGCAATGATGACCACCAGCGCTAAGCTCTCATTCGATGGGTTCGGCCAGGCCTGGCTACCCCGCGCATTCGTTATCATAAAAGTTCCGATAAACCTCATGGCGAGAACTTTATCAACGAAGTGTATGATAACGGTGGAGCTGTTTGTCTTGTCGTTGCGTCTTCGATAAGTGAGAACTTCTCGTCATTGTATCAGGGTCCATCTTGATTATAAAATCTCCAATGCACGATAGAACTAGCTGGATTAGGCAGGCATTACCACAACATTCCCCAACACTCACATCTGTTAATCTTACAGTAAGGTTGCGAATTTTCTAACCTCAGCTAACAATCCTCAATTCAGCAAGTATCTGAAGAACTACTAAATACATAGAATTATCTTTGATGACTCGCATCGAGGTTGAAGTAAAGTGCGCCGAAGTTGGGTTGCCGCCATGCATTGGAATTGTTATCAGCTCAAACATATCAGACGATACTGATAGCTTCTATACTTTCAACTGAAGTGACAGTTCACAGTGTTTATCGGTCAAACTAGGATTTGACAACCAGAATCCTCTGTTGATGATGGCGTTCAAAAGTGTCTATCGCTTTCGGTACCCAAACTGAATGATGCCAACTTGTAGCGCAACCTTGAGAGGTTCTTGGGTGGTCGATGAGCTACATACCGCAGCGGGCGCCTGTCTTCATCCCTTCTGCTATAGTTATTTTGAACCGATCAGATGACCTTCTAAAAGCCTGCAACATTCTTGGGATCTTATCGCATGCCGGCTTAGATAGCATGTAAACATGCCAGACATTCAATATTCTACATTCCTGCCACGGTGCTAGTGTTGCAATGCCTGGAGAAAGTGGCGAGCGCGCCCTTCTTTTAATAAAACCTACCTGTGCTGGTTTGGCGGCACCATGTTCGTCATCCCTCAAGTACTACTAATTCTTTGATTCTTTTGGTTGTTCAATTGCACGGGAGCAATAATGGTGTATGCTAATGCATCGTCGAAGTTGCCTTGGATAGCTACCATTTGTGCCTTTTTCCTTTGCTGGTCTGTTTGGTTTCGTGAGGTTCTATATAGGACGACCTTCAGCGTGAGTCAATAGCTTCTATCATAATAAGAGTTACCTAATGCGGGTTTCAGGAGTACGTAGTTCGTCCAGATGTTTGCCGCACCGATAGAGAAAATCCCTTTCCCCCACACGAGCACGCAGAAAATGAGACTATCCAAGGAGAGAATATAACTGCTACAACAGTCAAGGAGCCTTCGAATGAACGGCCACTCATTCTATATGCTTTCTCAGAATCTCCTGAAGCACGAATCAATATCCAATATTTTATAGACCATGGTCTTCACGATGCTGCCGATTTCATTTTTATTTTAAACGGCGAAACAGACATCCACAAGAACATTCCCCAAAAAGACAACATCAAGCACATCCATCGACCAAACGACTGTTTTGATCTTGGAGGATATGCCGAAGTCCTAACGAAAACTGACCTCTACAAAAACTACCGCAAGTTCATCATGTTAAACGCCAGTCTCCGCGGACCCTTTCTTCCCTCCTGGTCTCAATCTTGCTGGTCCTCACTCTACCTCTCCCGAATAACAGACACCACAAAACTCATCGGCATGACCGCAAACTGCGAGCCAGAATTCCACATCCAATCGATGATCTGGGCTACCGATTCCAAAGGCATCGAGACATTGCTCTTTCCTTCCAAAGATGTGCTCGCAAAATTACCACCTCAGCCTATGCATGCCATTAAAGGCCCTTTCAATGCATCGGAGAAATATACACCGGGCATCAACAATTGTTTCCGTAGCTTTAACGGAGCGATTAATGCCGAAATAGGCGTTACGGCTTTGATGCGCACCGCGGGGTATGGTGTCGAAGCTATTATGAGCGCGTTCCATGGAGTGGGTAATGGAAAAGACGAGGAAGTTTTCGAAAAAGAAAGAGGAGATCATCGTCACCATCACAAAGATTTTGGAGAAGACTCATATGAGAAGCAGGATAAGTCCTCTGACTTGATGAGTGAATATGAGAGGTTTTGCGGTTCAACGGGCACGGGAGATGTTTTGTATGATGGGGGATATTTTGGGATTAATGTGCATCCATTCGAGACGATTTTTATGAAGACTAATAGGAATATTGGTCCGGTGGCCCTGGAGAAGTTGACAGATTGGATGGAAGGGAGTAGGTTTAGTAGCTATGATTATTGTAAGTTGTAGGTTCTTGTTGGGATTTAGTTGTTTTTCTTGGTTGTTCTGGAGTAGTGGAACTTCTTTCCATGACCTGGGAGTCGCGATGAATCTTGTCGATCTTTGGAAAATCAAGGAGACCGAGTGAAGGTTTTTGTTGTGACGCATTTATAGATTGTGAAGGATAGAACTTCCGCAGTAAGCTGGAGGAAGACAAAATGTATGAGGGTATCAAAAAGTCAAATTATGTATGTATAGGGAGTATAACAGAGTACAACAAAGCTAAAGGTTGAATCTTGTTCGTTGCTTCTCCATTCCAGCCTTCCACTGCCATTGAACGGCATCATCTCCTTCACTGCCTGCTCTACCAATACCCTTATCAACTCTCCTCAACTTTAAGGTGAATCTTGGCCCTAGCTCCTGTAATCCAGCTCTGATGCCCTCTACACCTTCCACAATCTTTCCATCTGGTCCTACTACGCTCTTTTCTGTTTCTCGCTTCTCCCTGAATACATATCGATGTCTTCGCACGAAAATGTAATCACGTTGATTGTGCAGCGTAACCACTTGTCTACCCTGTAATTCTGGTTGTGGTGGAAATAGTGTCAAAAATAATCTTGCAGTCAACAATCCTAGTGGTGTGCGGAAATTGTTCAAAATAAGTTCCGGATAGTGATTTGTTGGATTACCATGACCGGGTAACTTCTTTCCTTCAACCCAATTCTTGATCGAGAAGTGACATGTAGGACCAGATGGTAGATGTACGATGGTCAAACCTGTGGGCACCTTGGCGTCTTCCTTGAGCATCACAACGGATGTATATTCGCGATTTGTAGCAAATTTGCAGATTTCTCTTAGAGAATATTTGTGTCCATAGCGGTGGGCCGATCGAGGGACGTAATTGCTGTTTGGGAAGAGAGTACATAAAAGATGAGCCTCTGCATGCAGTGTCGAGTTCAAGGAAGTTGTAAGAAGAATCTTTGGGGCTGGCGGAGGCTCATCTGTGAAAAGTGTAGGGAATTTGAGAGATAATGAAGATGGTGTGAGGTCGAGGTTTGTGCTGGTTGTTGAAGGCGCATTGCTAACTGCTCGAGGCCGGCTTTCGGATTCTCCATCCTCATCGTCCGATCCCTTCTCCGAATCCGAGTCTAGCATACTATCGACATCATCATCTTTCTCCTCCGGTGCCTCGTCCAAAGGTTCTTGCTCTGCAGCCTCCGCCTCTTCTATGCGCCGTCGCTTTAATTGCTCGACATCTACACTAATATTGAGGTCGTTTCCATCACCTGAGACTTCATCCCACACACGCTTATTATCAATAGTATGCGGAATGTTTTTAGCTAATCGCTGTCTTCTCAATTCGGGGTCTCTGTCTTCTTCTCTCTTCCGTTTGAAGCGTATATCTCTGCGATCGCTATCGCGAGCCTTCTTTTGTTTGATGTGAAGATCTTGTCTCTTGAATTTATTGCCAGTCTTAAAAGGTAAAGCTGCCTTCGAAGAAGTCGGGTGCACTCGTTTGGACCCCATTGTAAGGTTGTATGATGTTTTGGTTTGGTAAGTAGAAGGAAAGGAAGTCTGGAAAAACCGAAGATGAAATCCAAAAATTATTTTACCACAACGGCACGCGGCCGCATCTTCCGATTGGGTTGTACGAGGCTGTCCCCGTCGCAACAAGTCACAACGAAAAGAAATTCCCCACGACTTTCGTAAATCACAAAGCTTGAAAAGTTCCCCAGACTTTCTTTGACTCATACCTATTATTGGATGAGTCCTCGGTGAATGCGATCTTTTCGTAGCCTTACAAGAAATATTGTTCTCAAACCAAAATTAAGCCCACGACTGGCGTTTCGAACCTTTACATCTACAACACCCCACAATAAATATCAAGTACCAAAATCGAAGAAGGACAACATAATGTCGACTACTACCACCCTAAAGGGCCAGCCCCTTGATCGTCAGGTCCTCGATTCTATGTTGAGGCGGCGAATGTTCTACACTCCTTCTTTCGAAATCTACAACGGAGTCGCTGGTCTAGTAAGCAATGATTCTTTTATACAACACTCCCAAGGTCCAATGCCATATAAATCTTTCATGTCTAAGCCTCTTTACATTCTAATACAGATTCCATTGTTCAATCTACTCGGAGATGCTTTTTATAGGCAATTGCTGACTTCCACGTAGTATGACTATGGCCCACCTGGTTGCGCTCTACAGGCAAATGTTATTGACCTATGGCGCAAACACTTCGTCCTGGAAGAAGACATGTTGGAGCTGGATTGTACGGCATTAACTCCAGCTGAAGTTCTCCAAACCAGTGGACATGTAGATAAGTTCGCAGATTGGATGTGCAAGGACCCTAAGAACGGTGATATTCTACGAGCGGACCATTTCGTTGAAGACATCCTCGAATCGAGATTGAGAGGTGACAAGGAGGCTAGAGGTGTTAAGATCGTCGAAGAGGAAGAGGACCCATCTAAAAAGAAGAAGAAGAAGAAGACCAAGGGAATTGAAGCCGTGAAGCTCGATGACGCAGTTGTCCAGGAGTACGAGGAGATCTTGGCTAAGGTAAGGTCACTTAATGATATTACAAGTATAGCTATTGACTTTTCAGATTGATAACTACAACGGCGAAGAGCTCGGTCAATTGATTAAAAAGTACGAAATGAAGAACCCAGAGACTGGCATGGAGCCTTCCGCACCAGTAGCCTTTAACCTTATGTTCCAGACTGCAATTGGCCCAAGTAGTAACACACCAGGTTATCTACGACCCGAAACTGCTCAAGGTCAATTCCTCAACTTTGCCAAGCTTCTTGAGTACAATCAACAGCAAATGCCATTCGCTTCGGCCTCCATTGGCAAGTCATACAGAAACGAGATCTCTCCCCGTGGTGGTTTACTAAGAGTTCGGGAGTTTTTGATGGCTGAAATTGAACATTTTGTCGACCCCGAAGGTGGCAAGAAGCACGATCGTTTCAACGATGTCAAAGATGTAGAGCTTGTTTTGTTGAATCGCCATACTCAATTAGCCGGCAAAACCGATGTTGAAAAAATGGCTATCGGCAAGGCCGTTGAAAATGGCACTGTTGATAACGAAACTCTTGGCTACTTTTTGGCACGAATCCAACTTTTCCTGGCGAAAATTGGTGTAGACCAATCTAAAGTTAGATTTAGACAGCACATGGCTAACGAGATGGCTCATTATGCTGCAGATTGCTGGGATGCTGAGCTGCATACTAGCTCTGGTTGGGTTGAGTGTGTTGGTTGTGCAGACAGAAGTGCTTATGATCTCAGCGTACACGCAAAAAAGACCGGTGCGCCATTGATGGTCCGCCAAAGATTGGATATCCCAATCACTATCGAGGAATGGCAAATTGATCTTGACAAGAAAAAGTTCGGCCCTAAATTTAAGAAGGATGGTAAGGCAGTCGAGGCTGCTATTGAGGCTCTGTCACAAGAAAAGCGAGAATCGTTCGCAAAAGATCTCAAGGATAATGGAAAGATTGTTATTGAGGTCGACGGGATTGCCGACGGTAAGGCTGAAGTCGGTGCCGATCTTATCAAGATTGAGCTCCGAACCAGGGTTGAAAACACGAGAGAATATACCCCAAATGTAATTGAACCCTCATTCGGTATCGGTAGAATTTTGTACGCCTTGATGGAGCACAACTACTGGACCCGTGGTAGTGAAGGTGGTGATGAAGCACGTGGTGTAAGTGATGTTCATTCTCGTGCATTTACAGCGACTAACTAAATGCAGGTCCTCTCCTTCCCGCCAATTGTTGCTCCTACTAAAGTACTGCTCGTTCCTCTCTCCTCTCATGAGAGTTTCAAACCCTTCCTGAAGCAAATCTCATCTAAACTCCGATCCATGGGTATCTCCAGCCGTGTTGATGACTCTTCAGCATCCATCGGCAAGCGTTACAGTCGAAACGATGAACTTGGTACTCCTCTTGGTATCACGGTTGACTTCCAAAGTGTCAATGATAGCACATTCACTTTGAGAGATAGAGATTCCACCAAGCAAGTCCGTGCATCCCAGGAAAAGATCCTGGCGGCTATCAAAGAGTTGGTCGACGGAACTAAGGTTTGGGCAGATATTGAGAAAGAACTGCCAATTTTCGAGGGCCAAGAAGCTGAGATTCCTGCTCGTTAAGATATAGAAACTTTTACATTCAACGAAGATTTATCACATGTTATCAAAGAGGAGTGTGGAGATCTTGTGTGTCCTGAACATCTCTAGGTTAATCCTTGGGAATCCGATATCACATGTAGATTGTGATATCGTATAGCGCCAAATGATAAAAATAAACATTTCACTAACGTCCAACGAACCTTTCCCAGCAGATCTTCCTGGGAAAAGGGAAATGGCCCATTGATAAGATAAACTGTCATCATCGTAATCTGTATAGGTAAACTCAAATTTGAAAATGGGCACTGCGTGCGTAGTGAGCTTTCATCCTTCCTTTTCGCTTCCAGAAGTTCTATGGTAACTAGGAGTTGAACTATTTGTTAAAGAGAGGGAAACGCGGGATCATCATGTAAGTAACACCTACAGAATTGAGCGTCTCCCTTCCATACTCGATTCATCGAACCAGAAATGTTGGTGGCCCGAGGAACTCCCAAACCGTGCGGGGATGAATCTGTTACAAGATCCGTTCATTGGAAACATGAACTTGTGATGCTGCACCGATTTTTGAAACAAAGGATGATGATTATGGTAGCGCCTATGAAAAATTGGAGGGGCTTTGCTTTCTTTCAAGAGATCAATGCACAAATCAATTTTCAAAGCGTTTGTTTGAGTGAAGAAGAACTAGAAATTCGGCAACTGACTTGGTTGGAGATAAGTTGATGTTCAAAAATTGTTTCAAGAGCTTCAAAGAAATAAGAGGCTTGGCTTGGCTGCTGGTGAATAAGCTTTCGTTGATGTATATCGGTGATCTATGAAACGATGATACTCGAGTAGATAACTCAATCAACATGCCAACCATACCATGTTTATTATCAGTTAATATGTGTATTGAGGGGTTGTTGGTAACTCGGCTATAATCCTCCTAATTAACTACCTAACCTAACCTCACCTACCTACCTAGGTAACCTATGATGCTGTTTATTCTATTAAAAGACCCTGTAACCTTTCCAACAGAAATATCTCAAGTGGTTTTATCTTGACGAAGCCTTCCGATCATCCCTGAGTCAAAGTCCTTTCCTTCTCATCAGCCTCTTGTGACTTGGGTTGATTCTGATGGGGCTAGTTGTTGAGTGAGATAGACAGAAAGAAGGATAGATATGAAGAAATGATTATGATTATCTCCCATGTGAATTTGTGTGTCTTTGGAGTAATCATATTCTTGTTGTTCTCTTGCTTTTGCTTTGATATACATTACCAAGTGATCTGAACCACGACCGACCTATAGTTAGTTCATTTCCTAGTCCATGAGAGATACACGGGGAAGCCCCTCATTATTTTGCCGCTTCACTATACTAAAAATTGATAGACGCTCTCTTAAGGTGCATCAGTTCATTTAAATATGTACCAGGGTCCTCTGGAGTACTGCACTCCGTATTCATCTGTGAACTTGTTTTAGGCGAAGTTCAGGGACCTTGGTGAATACATTACAGTGAAAGGATTCGGGCCTCTTAAGGATGTGCACAGATGGTTCGGGGTCTATTAGTGTTATTAGTGTCCTGTAGTAACCGCTTGCACGAATGGCAAACAAATGGCAAACTCGATTCCTAAAAGCAGCTCAAAGTCAAAGTCAAAGTCAAAGACAATCTCAATCTCAATCTCAATCTCAACCTCAATCTCAATCTCAATCTCAATCACCTTCAACCCATTGAACAACTACAGCCAAAAGAGTATCTCACTACCACCCACCACAAAGGTCTTTTGGCCACAGCAGCAATATAATAAATACTTCAACTCCTAAGCCAACGTAATCATATATCGAAAAATCCATTATATCATTTCAACATAAAAAGAAAGGAACGCTGGACGTTGTTGTGCAACGGCAACTCGGTCTTTCTTGATCTCCCCCTGGCTTGCGACCTCGAATTATCTCAAAGTTCCAACGGTCTGCAAGACATAGAGCGGGTGGAGTTTTTATTCTCCCAAGAGCAGGCAGGCTTCACTTTGTATGTGATTGCAAGATCTTGCATTATTTGCTGAAAGAATAATTGCTAATAATTGTAAATACAGTCATTTTTGTCTTCTCTTTCAACGATACCCCGCGGCTTCGATCTGCTTGTTCCCTTTTCAGAATCCTGCATACATTGTTCTTTAAGTTGTAATCCTGCATTTTCATCAAGATGTCTTCACAAAATAGGTATGAAAATCTCCCCATCTTATGTTTATCTGCACAAAGCACCTGCTGGAAATAATCCAAAATGTGCAGAAATATTCGAGTGTTTATCTCCCCCGACAGACGTTATTCGCCTTTCCATGACCTTAACAGCCTTCTGCCTTTGAATAATATATCTTCGCCAAGTTTTCTTTGTAGATTTTTACATGAACAAAACTAACCAATATTGCTATTTTCAGCATTTATAGTCCAGGTCAATTCATGAACCCTGGACCTGCGCCTCGACCTCCTGCTGGCCCTCGATTAAATTACACTCCTACTACCTCGAATGTTCCCGGAAATGTGTCTGCACCCAACATCTCCCAGTTGAGCATCAATTCTCCCATCACCAGAACTGCTTCATCAACATACTCCGGTTCGACGGTCTCTCTGCCCTTAGCTCGACAACAGACCAATATGGATGGACAAGGAGGTGTCGCAGTGATCAAGGAGGGATGGGCTTCGGTAAAGGAGGGCAAGAACTTTATCAGTCCTTGGAAGAATAAGTGGCTCATCCTCCGCAAAGAGGCACTCGATTTTCATAAGACTGAGGGTGGAAAAGTTGCATATCAAATTGTGCTCAAGGATGTCCTTGGAGTTTCAAGAGTTGAGGCCGCTGGAACCATCTTCGAAATCAGGAGAACATTGAATGGCTCATCAAACAATCCAGGGGATGATGACAGTTCTGGAAGAACTCTTCAGATCAAAGTCAAGACTGACGATGATTTGTATGAATGGATCGACTTCATTTATGCCCGCTGCCCTGGCATGGGCGGTGTCAGCAACCCGACCAATTTCAGTCATTCCGTCCATGTCGGTTTCGATCCCAACACCGGAGAGTTTGTCGGATTGCCTGCAGAGTGGTCAAAATTGCTAAACTCCTCAGCTATTACCAAGGAAGATTATGAGAGAAATCCTCAAGCTGTTTTCGAGGTCCTGGAGTTCTACTCTGATATTACCAAGCGTCAACAGAATCCACAGCAATTTTCGAGTTTGACCCCTACTCCATCCGTCGCTGCTAATCAAAATAAACAACTTGGCTACATGCCAGGTAACTCCGTTGCACCACCCAGACCGCTTCAGCCTCAACAGCAACAACAGCCAAATAACAACGGATATGGCTCTCCTCAACAGCAGCCTCGAAGGCCCACACCTCCTGAGCAAAGTCAGCAACGCAACCAAATGCAGCAAATGGCAGCGAACTATGTTACTCCTGATCAGCGCGAGGAACAGAGACAAGCGCAATTGACAGCACAAAGACAGCGGGAACTAGAGATGGCAGAACAAAATCGACTTGATATGGAAGAATACAACGCGACAATCCCTCAAACTCGCATCCCAATGGCCAAACAGGAGATTGGTGGTGGTTATTCGAGCAGTCCTCAAGATCGATACAATCCGACTCGTGTGGCGCCTCCTGCTCCTCGTCCGCAGCAAGGTCAACAGGCTACTGCTCAAAGACCAGCGCAGAGACAAGCACCGTCTGCACCATCTGCACCATCTGCAAGCGATTCAAGCAGACCACCACTCAATACCCAGCAGAGCTCTTCTTCAGTTAGAGATCAAAATGGGTCAAATAAATCACCATCGGAAAGACAGGATCCTCGATATCCTAACAGTCAAACTTCTAGTCCACAGCAGCAGCGACCAGCTCAGCAACAACCAGCATCTAGGTTACCTGCGCCAGTTAACAATGTCAAGCCACTCAATGTCGCTCCCAAACCAGCTGCCAATGGTATTCAACAGAATGACGCTGTCAAAGCTGCAGAAGCTGCTCTCACTGCCAAGCCAGCCGCCTCTGAACGCACAAAGGACGTTCGAATGTCAACCATGTCGGAGAATGAAGTTATGGCTAAGTTGAAAGAGGCTGTCTCCAAAGATGATCCTAACCTTTCCTACTCCAAGCAAAAGAAAATTGGACAAGGTGCTTCTGGTTCCGTCTATGTTGCAAAGGTGAAGGAGAATCCGGCATCTCCTGTTGCTCGTGAAGTTCTACGTCAACAAGGCAGCAAAGCCCAAGTTGCAATCAAACAAATGGATTTGGCACACCAGCCGAGAAAGGAGTTGATTGTAAATGAAATCATGGTCATGAAGGATAGCAAGCATCGTAACATTGTCAATTTCCTTGATGCTTTCTTAAGAAACAACTATACGGAACTCTGGGTTGTCATGGAATACATGGAAGGAGGTGCTTTGACTGATGTTATTGACAATAACCCTAACATTACTGAGGACCAAATTTCCACCATTTGCCTTGAGGTTTGTTCCAAATCTGATACCCAACTCTCCGTATCTTTACTAATTTCTGTAGACCTGTCGTGGACTCGAGCATCTTCATGCACAGAGCATTATCCATCGTGATATCAAGAGTGACAATGTTTTGCTCGATGCACGTGGTAATGTCAAGATTAGTAAGTTCTTTCAATCTGGTTTTTAGATCTACATACTAACTCACTCGTAGCGGATTTCGGATTCTGCGCTAAGCTCACTGAATCTAAATCTAAGCGCGCTACCATGGTCGGTACTCCTTACTGGATGGCGCCCGAAGTTGTCAAGCAAAAAGAGTATGGTCCAAAGGTCGATATCTGGTCTCTTGGTATCATGGCTATTGAGATGATCGAATCTGAGCCACCGTATTTGAATGAGGAGCCTCTCAAAGCTCTTTATCTGATTGCCACCAACGGTACACCTCGTCTCAAGAAGCCCGAAAAATTGAGTAAAGAACTCAAAGCTTTCTTATCCGTCTGTCTATGTGTCGATATCAGAAGCAGAGCATCCGCAGATGAACTGTTGATGCATGACTTCTTGAAGCACGGCTGCGATACTGCTAGCTTGGCTAACCTCCTCCACTTCCGAAAGAATGCCAAATAAGCAACCAGCAACTTTACGAGAGTTAATGATGACAACGTTTACGAAAATCGAATACTCGGTGGCATTCGAGTTCGTGTTTGGAAGCAGTTATATCGATTTTAATATTATTTTTGCGACATAACGCAGGTTACATCATGGTTATATTTTGTGGTCCCTATATCAACAGCATGAATCCCGGAGTTTGTGGGAGTTTCACATCCTGTTTTCTTTGCTCGACATTTAAGAAGCATCGTGGATAGATGTCAATGGCATGTCTAGAGGCCTATAAAGACAGGTGAAAGGGAGTAACCTCTAGTTTTACTTTTACCTATTTTAACTTCTCGATAATTTTCCGGTTTGTGGATACCTATCCTTGGGATCTTTCGAAAGCAGGCCTCGAATTGAGGATATACTTTACGGGAAGATGGCCATAAGGAACAATAATTGGCGTCAGGTAGAATAATTGAAGATTAATAATAAATAAAAGATAGAAAAACACATTGCTCGTGGTATGATTGTGGTCAAAAGCATGATGTAATTGTGTAGTTTTCTTAGTAGAAACTAATCATCTATTGTCCACAATTGACTATCTAGTATAATATATAACATTTAATACTCTATATATCAATACATCAATCAATACATCAAAACATTACGGATTACAAGGTCAAAAAATTAAAGAGACCATAAACATAAATTATGAAACCCCCATCTGGTGCTTCCAAAGCTTCTAGAACTTCTTCTATCTCCAGTCTAGCCTCGGCCAGTCCCGGCAGATCTGGCCTTGTCTTACTAGTGTAGCCTTGCGACTCAACAACAACCTTGTTCACAAGCTCCCCGGTACGATCTCACAAATTTCGAGATATCTTCACACAAGTTATCTTGAATCTATTCAGAAGCAAATATAAATAATGGCTCCCTTAATACCATCTGCTAAATCGACCTTGTCCTATCCCTTATATGCTTGTGACTTCGATCCCATAAATCCGTCCAGATTGGTGGTTGGTGGGGGCGGCGGCGCTGGAAGGACGGGTGTGGGAAATAAGATTGTGAGTATGAGGACATTTCTGCTGAAAAAGAGTCTTTTCATATGCGAAAACTATGCTCCTTCGTTTTGCATACATATACTAATAGCTACAATTTTAAGACCCTTTTGGACACTTCAAACCCAAATGAGCTTGTTGAAGCGGCCGAGATAGATCTTAGCAAGGAAGAAGACAATGTCACCAGTCTTGCGGTCGGTCAGCCTCAAGGAAAGACAAGCTTGATCTATGCAGGAGTAAACTCCAGCCCGGAGGAATTGGGCAAGGGGATTAATGCGCATTTTCGAGTTATTGGAATAGAGCCAGTCGCCACAGGGGAAGGGAAAGGAAAGATTACACAGTCTGTTGCGACAACGAGCAAATTATCCGAGATTTCGAGAATTTCTTTATTTACTCATGTGGAAAGAGATTTATACCAAAGAGTTACCCGGCTATCACGGCCCTATTTAGGACAATCGCAATGGGGTGCGGTTGCGACTGGACTTGCGAAGGATTCCGAAATCGTACTTTTTGAAACTGCGCGAACAGGACCACCTACATCTAAGGGTGCGATAAAACTGGCAAAGGAGGCTGTTGATATGGATTTCATACAAACTGGAAAGGATGATTATCTCTTCGCATATGCCGATGACCATGATATCTATGTTAGGAAGCTTGGCTCAATAGATGATGGGGCAGAATCTGAGTGTGTATATATTACACCAGCCTCCAGAGGCAAGGAGAAAGTTACATTACCATCTTTCAGGTCAATAAGGTGGCTGACGAAGGACTTTATTGTCATGCTCACGAATATACATAGCCAAGGAGGAGTGGTAGTACAGATTCTCAGACTACCTCCAAGCGGCAAAGGGCAATGCAGAATTGCGCAATCACATCGACTTCCATCCAGTATAACGAAGGCTACTGGACTCGCGGTCTCCAATCTTACACCACCGGTGGCTCCTGATGAAGAACAAGACTACACTCAATTTGTCATTGCGGTCGCCGGTCACGATATCTCCATTTCTCTCTTCAAAGTTGATCTCCAACATGAATTAAATAATTACTTGGTCACACCTATCAAACCCTTCCGAACATTCAAGAATGTTCACCCACTTCAAATCACAGGCATTACATTCTCAAATTTTACACCACCTACCGGACCCATTACTGCAAGCACTCCTCCTCAATACCTCAAGCTAGCTAGTGTAGGCGTCAGCAACACAGTCATCGTCCACACTCTCCCCTTATTCCCCGTCCCTCTTTCCGTAAAAAGAGGCCAATCACACACACCTCGTTACGTCGTCGCTCTTCCTTCAAGTAAAGCAATTTACTCCTTTGGAATCATCCTTTCTATGCTCCTAGCAGTATTTGTAGCAATCATGATGCAAAGCATCTTAGAGATCAGAGGAGTAGTAGAACCACATTTAGGAGCAGCAAACTACCTACCTATACCATTACAAGAGGCACTCGGAAAACCATACAGATTCCCCTCCAACTACAACACACTCAATACACAATCCTCTACGCCCCCCATCTCCCCGAACTCACCAGAGACATCTCCCTCCCCCAGACTTCTTCGCCTCTCTCCGATCCCCCGCCCCAAACTCCCCTCCCTCTAAAATCTACCTGCACCACGGAGCTCCCATCTCAAACATCCCAGCCGTGGTCGAAAATCAAGAAATCACTTCCCCCGATATCTCCCCATCAATCCACGCCGTTCTTCACGATGCGGATAAACATACCGACGGGAAATCATGGGATGAATTAACAGCGCCGCAAAAAGAACTTTGGAAAAGGAAATTGAAGGATGCGGGACACTGGGTTGAGGAGATGGGGGAGGCGATTTTAAGGGGTGGTTTTGGGGAGTTGAGGGGGTTGGTTGGCGCCGCGGTTGTGCAGGCTGCTGCTCTGTAGTGGGTGGGTGGATAGATTTGTGAGTGAGTAGTTGGTGCGAGGATGGTAGGTAGGATGATCATTAATTAGGTGTGAAGAAGCTAATGGGGTAATATATAGAATAGAGAGGGTGGATATATAAATATAGGGGAGAGTGGGGTTTTTAAGAATGTGGCTTGGTAAGAGAAGAGGGGATGTGTATACTATTTTTGTTTGTTTGTTATTGTTGCTGTACTGATGGAATTGATTGAGCGGCGATAGATTAATAGAACGGTGAATGGAGATTTTCAACGTTTTTTTCTTCGATTTCTTTTATTTCTCGTCTATTCTTCCTATTCATTTATGCATTCATTCATTCATTCAATGAGATTTGATCGAGTAATCTAATTTGAACGAAAAGATATAGATATAATACATATACACACACATATATCTCTAATTTAGCGCAATATTACTCATTATGATGAAATAGGAATACTCAAGTACGGTGTAAATCTATATATTACCAAATAGTATGTTGTATTTCATATGAATCATTATTTCATCCCCATCCACATCCTCATCCTCATCCTCATCCTTATGCCTATTTCCATTTCTTATTTTCCAATTCTCAATCCGTTCATCCATCCATTTCATCCATTCAAACAACCGTCCATTCAGCTTTTTACTAGAGTAAAAGAATTATCTTTCTTTCTTTCTCCCTCCCCTGATCTTCATCTCTCCATCTTTCCTTCAATCCTAGGAAGTATTACTACTCCATCATTCCAAATCATGCACGTATGTATCTTGATATCACACTCCCGCTCCCGCTCCAATCCAGCTCAAGTTAAAAATAAAAGAATCCTAGCAAACCCCAACTCCACAACGCAAAACTTTAATAATAAAAAGTCCCTGTGGATGCATGCATCCCCCCTCTTTCTCCCCCTCTACAAAATCTCCCTCAAAGCTCTCTTCTGCTCCACCGTTAAACTAGTGGGAAACTTCACATTATACTTGATGATAAAGTTTCCCCTCTTATCGGGTTGTTTACTCAGCGGCATACCCAAATCTGGATATGAATCCGAGGAACCAGGTTGAGTGGGTCCTCCTTTATCGAGCGAGATGTTTTTACCATCGATGGTTGTGACGGTACGAGTCCAACCTGTGAGTGCTTCTTTGAGATCGAGATCGACCGTCATGATTAAATCATCTCCATCGCGTGTTAGATAGGGGTGTTTTTTCTGACGGGGTATGTTAGTATGTTGTTAGATGAGGTAAGGGTAAAAGCGACTGGCGGGGAAGGGGACATACCTCTTCAATGACGAAATGTAAATCCTGCTGACCACCCTCCTCCTGATCACCTACGCCCTTAAACTTAATCTTACTTCCCTTCTTCAAACCCGGCTTTATATCCATCTCCAAAATTCGATCCGTGGTTTGTCTCTTGCCCGTTTCGGGATCAAACGTCTTCCGCTTAATCTTCATCTTCTTATGACAACCCTTGAACAATTCCTCCAAACTCAACGCTAAAGGTTTCTCCACCGTCGTAACCTCGGGTGTTTCCGCTCTCTGTCTCGCCGGTTCCGCGCCCCGGAATTGTGATTGTGCAGTTCTCGAACGACCATTTCCAGCTCCCCCAGGACTAGCTCGAGGAATACCACCTCCACCCATAGTAGAAAAGAAATCCTCCATTCCCTCTCCACCACCTCCAGCTCCCTGACCTCTCAAAAATTCACTAAAGATCGATTCCGGATTACTGAAACTAAAGCCTCCACCACCTGGTCCGCCCGCGCTGCTGAAATCATAGTGGAAGGTTTTACTCCTTGGCATGCCGCCCGATGAACTATATCCTCCATAGCCTCCTGGCATGCCTCCTGCCGCAAATGGGTTACTGGTACTTGCACTTGGATCTGGTGGTGGGGGACCACCTCGTAACATAAATTCTAGGCCATATTCATCGTAAGTTTTGCGTTTTTCGGGATCTGATAGGATTTCGTAGGCTTGAGAAACTTCTTTAAATTTTTCTGCCGAGTCGGGTTTATCCTTATTTTTGTCGGGGTGATGTTTCATTGCCATTACACTATTCAAATGTTAGTTATTGGTACAGGTCAGTTGGGGGAAGCTGAGTAGATTGATGGTGATGGAGGAGGGAACTAGATGCACACACCGATATGCCTTTTTAATTTCTTGTTGATTGGCAGAAGGCTTAATGCCTAAAGCATCGTAAAGTTTTGTTTCTGCCACCATGTTTGCTGTTCTTCGAATATATCTTTATGTTGGATAACTTCAGTTGGGGAGGAAAGGACTTCGATTGTGAATAGAGAAGTCGGAGGTCGTAAAGTGATCAAATGAAGTTACGTCCAACTCCAACAAACAACAATGAACTATCCTCTTCTAATAAAGATGGCAATTATCAAAAATGGCCACTGTCAAGTTATTGACTCTCGGTTGAAAATGGGTCATGCACTAGAATCTGAAAGTATTTCGTCAGTGATTGGGTTGCGAAAAAATCAAATAGATAAGGTCGTATTATAGAATGTCCTCAAAGGAGCTGAAGAAAGGTTGTGTGTTGGGTCTTGTGTGTCTTGTGTGTTGGTTTTGCCAATATGATGGGACTGAAACTGACTGACTGATTGACTGATTGACAGGTCGGTTGGGTTGAGTTGGTATGATGTAGGATGTATGGTGTAGGATGTATGGTGTAGGATGTATGTAAGGTGTAGGATGTATGGTGTAGGATGTATGATGTGGTTGATGACAGGAAGGAATGGAAAAAGGTTGTTTGTTCATTTATCCTTTCCCTCAAAATGATTAAAAATCCAAGGAAATGTTGTTAATGTACATACCCACCAACTTGATTAGATCGATTCCAATGAGATCTCGTGATTATGCGGATACGCGTGAGTGAGTAGTAATGTAGTACTGTAGTAATGTAGTAGAGAGTAAGATAGATAGAAATGTGTGTGATACGTGATGCAATAATGTAGTTGGTTAGCAATTTGCGATTCTTTGTTTTCAAACCAAAGTTAACCTAGGTAGAGTGAGTTCTGATAGAAATAGAGCAGCTCTCAGTTGGTAAAAGAATGGAATGAATCTTTAAAACTACTCCGTCCGTTACGGCATCACTCCTCCTCCTATATAACAAACATATCAACAAGTACCTATGAAATATCTCCTCAGCTTTTACGTTCAAGAATCTTCCACAAATTCCACCCTGCAATCCCCTAGAATACCCCCGCGGTTCATTCGAGTGAGTGGTGACGTTTGGTGGTGGGGGCCAATAAGCGGAGGCTGTTACAGATTGCCTGCTTGCTCAAGTGGAAGCTTCGAGAAGCTTCTAGTGATGAAGTCTGCCCTGCCCTGCCTGACACAGGAAGATGTTGGCTGCCTTCAAAACATGTTTTAGCCATTATCTATGAAACTGCCAATACCTAAGATTACTTCATTTCACTGCTACGGATGAGATGCATTTTTTACAATAACCGCCCCTGAAATTAATGTGAATCGATGACAATCGTCGCGGTGGTTGATTCAACAGTTCCTTCATCAATATTCTCCAAATCCTCAAGGTACTCCCTATATATAAAATAGCTCGACAAAAATAAAAAGGAACCCATTCCAAAGAGTTTGTTTTAGAGTTGTGATGCCATTTATTAAACTGCGAGATCTCTAACTATCGCTTTCGTAATTCATGCCTCATGCCTCATACTTCGTGCTGCCGGGGTATTATGCCTCTCAATATGTACAATGTGAAGAATATGTCCTTCCAAATATCATCAATCCGTCTATGCTTCGTAAATGGGATCATCTCGAATAATGGACTATGCAAGAACGCCAATTAACATGCAAAATATCCTCAAACCTACTGAACAAATCCAACCCTTTTGATAGTGGCGCCACCATCTTTTTGGTTATTAGCTGATATGTCCTGTTCCTCACCCTGAATATCATCGGTCTCAAGATCTTCAATCTCCATGTCATCGTTGGCCACACCTTTCTCAATGGAGTTGCTAGTAAAGTTTTGCAGCAAGCCACTACCACTACGTTCTTGCATTTCTTGCGTCTTCCCCTCAGGATATGGATCAACGCCCATAATTACTTCATCACTCTGACCAAGGCGATTTTGTAGAGCCACGGACGCCGAAACTGTCACCGTAGACTCATTATCTGAGGCTTCCTTTGCAACACCATTCCGTTGTCCATTTGAGGCAGAGTGTGAGCGAGACGAGGGCTGATCACGCTTACGCTTTCCTGGTGATCTTGGTGAGAATTGTAATTCATCGGGATTGTCAAATGGAGTGCTGGAAAGCTCCTCTCTGAAAGCGATGTTATCAGCGCGAACGAAAGCCTAAGGATTGTTAGCGGGATTATTGGGGCAAATACAAAGACAAAAAAATACCTGAAGTGGATGTGGTGTTACACCCGCAGTCATCTCCATTGCCTCGTCGGAAGCATAAACTAGAATTGCTGTATCATTCTCACCTTTGAAAGCCTCAATGACTTTCTCAGATGTAGTTTTCTGCTATCGGATTAAAACGTTTACATATTTAGGATCGAAGAATACTCACTTCAACAGTAATTTGTGGAGGAGACCAGCTGCTATAATTGATTCTCCACCACTGGCCATCGCTAGGAGGGACACGCTCGTCATCACTGAGGCCCATATCAATGAGATCCGGCTCTATACGGGTGCAAATATACGTCGTTTCCTTACTCAGGCTTATACCACGAAGAGTGTATCTGTGCAAGCGCTGGGAGGTTTTAGCGGGATCCGTATACAACTTCGAAAGCTCCCTCCAAGCTTCTTTAGCTTTCTCTTTTTGATCTTGTAATCCTAGATGCTGTTAGTTGAATAGTCGGTGATTAGTTTGCATGATCTTACTTTTTAGCTTCGCGTTTACATCATCCATTAATTTCTTGAGTTTTTCAGACAGATCTGCGTTCTTTGACCGACCTGTATGATTATCGGAGGCAAGGTTGTCCATATTGTTATCGCCGAGCGGGAGCTCATTCTGATCATGATTGAGTGACATCTTCATAACATCCTCAACTAGGAGTGTTTTTCCATTGTGAATAGTCCATGTTAACTGTCTCTCATTACGAGAAATATCCGCAATTTGCAGCTCTAAATTCTGCTTTCTCGTGCGCATATTCAGTGCGTCTTTAACTGCAACCTCTAGGTATCTATCCGGGTACCATACTAACGGTACGTCGATACTTTTTTGGTCGCTCTGTTTATCACCTCTGAGTCTGAAAGTAATCATGTCGCCAAGGTGACCTAGGTAAGGACTCTTAGCAAGAACGAGAGGAAAATTGCTCCACAGTGCCTCGTCTGCAACATCATAGAGATTTTCGCAAAGAGAATCTTTTGAAGGAAGCTGAAGCTCGAATATGGCAAATTCTGTATCTGTGTCATCTGGATCTGGGTCCGAACCAAGAACGCCTGAAGAGAAGAGGTGCTTCGATAAATCAGTGCCTTGCAATAACCTGTTGAAGCTCATGAAGAACTCAGACTCCACATCATTCCCTCCGTGCTGTTGCATGTATGGAAGCGTAGTAATAACATCGGGTGAACCGTAGCTCCTCTCTGTCTTATCTAAGAAGGCCATCACTTTCTGGACCTCCTGGCCAAATCGCCGATCATCTGCCACAAGGTAGGGATCTTCTTGAAATGATGCAATAGGTCTCTCTATCGGTCTGCCGTTCCACCAGCCAGCCTCATATGGATAGTGCGTCTCGACATGATCCCTTCTAAGGAATATCTCACGGGCAAGGGGAATGTTGTAAAAAATAGTAAGAACAGCACCTAATCTGTGTGATTCTCCAGTAGGCTTGAGGAAGGCTGGGACTTTGTTTTCCAGATCTCGAATTCGATCGGTAGGCTCAGGATCAATATAGATCTCCTTGACAGTTGATATAGGAACCATAGCCCAATTATCTCCATAATCTGTTCTCATAGCAGGGCCAAAGTAAGGCTTGTCTGTTCCCACTACCCCAGATTGTTGTGGAGGTAACCTAGAGTCTGCCATAGACGCTGCCAATGCTTGCTGTAGTTCTTTGTCATCGTTGTCGACATATTGGCTAAAGGTAGTAGTAGAATCTGCCAATTGATGTATTAGAATATGCGAATATTTGTATTGAAAAAGAATCTACCATTATCAGTTGTGAGATCCACAACCTTACTCAAAGGTGACTTATTATTACTAGTTCTCGATGGTGGTCGAGAAGGTGCTGCACTTTCAAAGTGAGAATAGGAACCAAAATCATCCGGACCCTGCACTGCAAAAGCTGAATATAAAAAATTAGTGAGAGCCTTCAAACCGCTTGATTCCAAAACAAGAAACTCACAAATACCATGCTGGTCTCCACCTCCCTCACGATCCCTATTGAATTGGCTGTCATCCCAAGTGTACTGCGACTATTAGCGATAACTAGGTATTTTATGAATGCCTCTTTTATACTGACTCTGTTGGGATTTCTGCCTGTCTCCAAATCATCATAGTATTCATTGATTGCTTGTTGAACATTGTTATTATTTCCCTGTCTGTATTAGTTTTGTACATTCAAATTTTCTGGAGGAAATAACCCCACCTTCAATCTCAGTATGGCCTCTTGGCGATCTATCTGTCCAGTCATGTCCAGAAAAGCTTGCACATCTTGAGCAGTTGGTTGCGCCGCCATGATTGCAATGGTATCAAGCTTCAGGTTGAGCTTGACTTTTGACCTGTGCAGCTACTGCGCTTTGGGAGTGTGGGATTTCTTTGCCTTCCAGTCATGAAAGCAAAAGCAAAGAAATGCAATGAATATAATCAAGAAGAGTTTCAAGTGGATAGATTGTGCCAGCAGAACAAACAAGATGCCTTTCGAGCTCTACTACAGAAAGTTGATAGATTGTTTAATAGAAATTCCTGGGGGAGGACCGGGCAGCGGAGCTTACTTACTACTAGGTACGGAGTAGTTCAATAATCTGATAATCCTTGTTGTTGGTCCGAGTGTTGTGTAGTGAACCTGTGGGAGACACACCTCACCCCACCTTCTCTTCAAGGAAGCATGAGATCATGAGTCTCTCTCTCCTTGATGAATGAGGAGAAGTAGGTAGTGGAACTCACCACCATGAAGTCTTGGATATTCATGAGTCAGATGGCTTTTCATATGAAAGGGATGGGTACATGATTATGCAAAACAAAAATCATACCCATATCGACTGTATGTAGGACAGACTAGACATTTCGAGAGTCTTTTTATCCTTGTAATGCCTCCTATCTCTAGTTTGAGGATGTTAAGTATAGAAACTTGCAATATTCAATGTTTGGCGAGGTTAAGGGGGGAATCTTGATATTAAGATTCATTTTTGATGCTCTTTAGGAGATAATTCTACTAAGGAAGAACTTCAAGCAGGCAGTAGTAGTTAGTTATCTCAAATCTAACGTTAACCCTATACTCCTACATCACAATCAATCTACCCACCCTCGACTCTCATGCTCAATAGCCAATCTTCCTCCCATCCAAAAATCTCAAACGCTTCCCAAACCGTATCATCAACAATGGCATAAGAATAAACCACAGCACCATAAAACCCCACAACGAATTCCACCACCCCAATCCCAGAAGCAGATACCTGTAATGTGTTAATTGGAAAGAAAAGCCATAAAAACTAGCCTTTACCAAGTCCAAGAAAACATAACCCTGAAGCTCCTCCAAAAAAACCCATAGATACCCTCAAATATCACTGTGATAGTCATCATAACCAGATACACATAGCCATACACAACGACTATATATAGAGAAAGAAGAATAAGCGCCGGAGAGAAAAGCTGCATCTGCATCGGCCGAATAAAGCTTCCTTCATCGCTCATTAGCAGTTCTCTTCTCTTAATCTTCAACCTCGTATTCAATCTCACACTCTCATCACCGGTCTCATTTCTAATTCCCGCTGCGTTTTGCTCCAATATACGAACCTTGATATCTCCCGAAAGAATATCAGAAACAGGATCTCACGAACCTCGGACAAGAAAGCCATAAGCCAGAAAATCCATTGCCATCCTGTCTATCCCGAATAACTTCCCAGAATGGGCGCAATGACTGGACCCAACAGTGATCCAAAATCTGTTATTGCCAAGGCATGCCCTCGTTGTCCAACCGCAAATAAATCACTCACAATATCAGATTAAGAACGACGGTCACAACAACGATACCTTTAAGAAAGCGAAACGCAATAACCATCTGAATGTAGATGCTGAAAGTACTTACTATCAAGAAGATGCAGAAGAGTATATTTCCCACGTGGTAAACATAGAAACAGCATAGAGTTTTTAGGGAAGCAAGGATGAATGAACCAACTACCTGGATTCATGATTATCACCAACTGTTCCAGAAGTTGAGGATATCAATCGCACGACTGGACTCCAGTAAGGGATTAGGATATACTCACTTCTCCCAATTCCCGGACAGATACGAGCAGTGTCTCATACAAAGTGCTATTATTCGAAAATTTGAAGAGACCCCTTCAATATCGAATGTCTGTTAACGTCTGACTTCCATCACAAACTATACTATACATCAATAACAAGAAATAGGAAGATGAGCAAAACATCCATCCCTCAAACGGCTTGAACCTCCTTCATAGATAAGAAGGCCATTATTCAAGTACTAATAAAATATCCTATATCCAAAATCCCACCCAAGTAGCACTCACTCGAGACGATCAACCCTAGCATCCTGAGTGGCTTCAATGGCCGACTCAGTTCTCACTTGAGACTCTGAATTTTGCGTAAATTTTAGTTCATTCTTTTATCCTCACATTACTTGCTTCTGATCATGAGTGTTAGCATTGAGTTATTTATTGTATGGTACCTACTTCTTCATTAAAAAAATTGCATGGGATACCGCGTCTAAGCACCGAAAGTACATGTATAATAGTATTCATACCCATATACGCTTGTTGAATCAACCAGATGTTGTTGGTATGGTGGTACTGTCTCTCAAAACGGCAGGGGACATATTAAATGTGTCCTTGATTGTGGATCCTTCATTTCGCCTTATACATAAAGCAATCACATCGTCTCAGGTGTAAGCGGAAGGAATCGACAATACTAGCCAGTGCAAACTCATTTTAAAATATTTGTAATTACAGCCTGCAAATATTTACCCAGTCTTGCTATCTGCTGCAAAAGCCCATTACAAATTACGCCCCGACCCCCAAAAAGTATGTAACACCCAGTTCATATTCCCCATAATCTAAAAGCCTTAAGATCCCCAATGTAAAAAGCATGTTATACGCCTCGAATGCATACCTGCCTGCATTTCCCCTTGCGCCCACCGTGTTAACCGAGCGGACCGCCGCTATGCTATGCATTGTAAAATAAAGTAAGATTATGCTCCCTCTATCGAAGTTGACCATGATGTGATTTGGCGGAATGTCGGGGTGAGATATGACGAGGCAGGAGGATCGAGGAAGAAGCCGTGAATTTCATGAATGAGAATGAAACAGGCTTGATAGCTCTGTTTCCATCTAATCCTCCATATCTTCATCTTCCTCTTGTTCCTCCCCATCATCTTCCTCTTCCTCTTCGTCTCCATCCTCCATGCCAAAGTCTTCAGAACTATCGCTGGCTCCAAAATCGTCCTCTTCATCGCTCTCGGCCCAGAATGCATCGTCGTCTACAGGCTTGGCAGGAGGGGCAGTCTCAAGTGTTGTGGGCATTTCGAACCCGGCTGGAATATCTTGCTTCGAGGCAGCCACGGCCTCCTTAGCTTTCTCATTATATTTTTCTCTATTGTCGCGATACATGACGCCTGCGTCGACATTTGCAGGAGAATTGATCTCAGGGGCATCGAGAAGGAGGAGGATAGAACGCAAGACTGATTCTACCCCTTGTAATGGTGACCAACGCTCACTGGCAGATTCCCCGGACTGCTCATCTTCTCCAGGTGGGTGCAAGATCGATATGCATAATTTGCCATCGGGGTAGATATTTGGATGTTGAATAGGTCGGAGGAACTTAAAGGTAGGAGGACTGTAAGGATAATTGTCGGTGAAAGTCATTTCGGCCTAGGGTTAAAAATCAGCAGCTGTAAGACACAGTGAAATAAACAATCCTCACCTTGAAGTAGCCACCGTTGAAGGCACTTTCATCATTAACGACCATCAGACCAATTTCCCATTTAAAGAGGGCCCCTTCATTCAGCTGTATATGGTGTTAGCTTTGAGAACAGCAGTCATAGTCCAGATTCTCCTACCTCGATATTGACCCATTTCTCCTTTTCGAGCCCCTTGTACTCGGTCATCAAACGATTTTTCGCAGCAACCGCAGACATGATGATGACTTTCTTCAATGTGCACTCTCAAGTAGTATTGGTAGATATCAAGATGTAGATGTCTGCAAGAGAATCAGAGTCGAGTTGGATAGGACTGCTGTTGCTGTTGCAGTTGCTAAATTGTGCGGTTAGTTTGGCTGAGACAAACTACTCGAATCTGAGGTTGTTAAGGGTGGATGGCCAACAAGGTATCGAAAGTGAAACTATCCGTGTCGAATGTTGAGTGTAGAGTGATGGATAGTCCCAGAATTATGGATCGATCTGGAGGAACTAGTTGTTTTCAATGTAACCTCGGGGAAGAGGAAGTTGGTTGTATGTGTGAAGTGGTGAGAAGTTGAATTTGTGCTGTGGTTTTGTAAGAGTCTAAAATAGGATAGTTAGAGTACCAACCCTATTTTGCTGACAGACTTGCCTACGCTGCGCTGCTACGGTAATCTTCGGGCACCAGCGATTCGCCTTCATATACCGTACAAGGATCGTATGACAAGCATTATTCACTGCATCCGCCGAAAAGGCCTTGAGCTTTTATTAAAGTGGACTAGAAAGTGTTAAAGTAAGTGTCGTGCGCTTGCTTATCTCCAAAAATAGGTAAACCCCGAGTTGTGCGATACATCCATCAGCAAGCAGCCACTTGTCTTATATTATTAACGAATATGCAACCAGCATTTTTTTTGGACGGTTTAATAGCAATAAAGCGAATCAATTTCAGGTTCGTGGCCATTGTAAACTTCCCATAAGTACATACCTACCTATTTCAGATGGTAATTTTTCCTACAAATTTTTTCGAGTATTAAGCATTTTCCAAGAGGAGCCACCAGAGGCGAGGGGCATAGAGTAGTTTCTAACGATAAGCAATCAATCACAAGGACCCTAGGTGGCATTAAGTGGGACTTCTCTGTCGAAGTGCTGAGACCGTGTCATATGCCTTTTAGAATGTGATCATAACTGTAATCTTGCTTCATATATTACTCACTTTGCCTCGAGGGCTAGATTGCACCTAGGACTGTAAGCGAACACGCCCCTTTTTGCATTTGCTTCTCATCCTATCTTCAATAATGAAATTACTTAATGCTTTTGAACATGGTACGAAACTTTCAGACAATACATAGCTTGAACGGAAACGTACTAAATACTGGATGGCTTGGCAAATTTTGGTGGCGGGTTGTTATGTGAATGTATCGAGTTATTTTCATGATCAAAATGCAATGAATTGATGGAAGAAAGTGAAGCTATACATGTCTTCGAGGTATCGTAGCACAAACTCAATATGACGCCGCCCCAGCTGGTATTACCACCAACACCAAGCGCCATGCTGAGCATGAACTTCCATAAAATATTGTATCCTTGACTCCAAAAACCACAACATGAACAATGTCGAAACTGAACGGAAATTATCTAATGCTATCTTTCCCTAATGCTTGAGCTCTTTTTTTCTCGGCATTTTTTTGTGCTAACCTTGCTTTGGCAGCTGCAATTCTGTCAGGAGGCAAAGCACACTTTGATGGACTGGGTCTTCGGCTCGAAGCAATAGTGGTCGAGCGGGGTACCGTACGTTCGTTATTTGGTCTCAATGGGTCAACAGGGCGAGATCGAGAGACTGTTGCTTTAGGAGGACTCGAGGGAATGTTAAATATCTTGGGTCGGGGACTGGCTAGGCACCTCTCATGACTTTTTCGTGTACGGAGAAGAGGTAAGGATGGGTCTTCAGTTTGCAAGTTAGTGTTTAGTGAATCGAGAGTGAAATCGGCAAAACGGTTGGCAAGGGGAGTATGGTCAACTTTCTTCGATTTTTGGAAAGCAAATTGTTCCGTAGTTGCAAAATTGGTAATCTCAGACAAGGCTGCGTGTGATGATCGTTGTGTGTTTTCAAGAGGTGCTTCGAAATGTGCAGGCTTAGATGAGGCCATTGTCTTCGACGGGCGTGAAATAGATTGGCTCAACACTGGTATGTTACTTGTAAAAGCATACGATTTCTCGGTTGGGTGGCTCCTAGTTCGGAACAAATCAAAGCCTGACTCTGTCCCGTCGTCATAGGTAGACCCACGCACAGCTTCTCTCAATTTGGCCATCTCCTTCTCATATCTATCGACCATTGTATCATATTCAATGGACTTACTGTGAAGAGCTTGTTGCAAATCTTTTGTAGTTGATTGCTCGCTCTTCAATGATGCGTTCTCCTTCTTCAATTCCACTACTTGGTCATGTCGCTTTCTCAGAAGGTGCTCTGCATCACGTCTCGAATTCTTTGCTGTTTGCTTGATATGGTCGTAGTCTTTTTGAAGGGCCTGAAGCCGCTCATCTTTCTTTTGACGTTGTTCTTCAGCAAGCTTCAGACGCTTCTCCCAACTTTCAGTGTGCTTCTGGAATCGTAATTCAGAATGAAGCAAATCCTGTGAAAGCTTATTGTTTTCACCTTGCAGCTTAGAAACAGTTCTATCGGCGGTTGCTAGAGCTTGTAAAGCTTGATCTAATTCATTCTGAAGAGAGATTGTGTCTCTGGGTTCACTCTTCGAGTTCCTCGATTCGGTTTTTGGGACTGCTGCGGCAAGATTTCCATCTCCTTCCATGGCTTTGCGAAATTCTTCTACCTGAACACGATATTGAAAAGCCAAAGCAGTCTGACGAGCAAGTTCCCTCATGAGCTCCGGAGAAGTATCCCCCTTTACTTTCCCTTCTGATGCAATTTGCGACATCAGCTCGGTAATGTTATTTTCCATTGAAGAGACTTTGGCTTGCTCTTCCTTTAACTTTTCTGCAAGATTGAGAGCTTCTGCATCTTTTTTCTTGGCATAAGACTTTGCGAGCTGCTTGTACTCTACCAGCTTCTTCATTTGAGTCTGCGCCTCATCGTGGTACTTTTGGAATTCGGATTTCCAGAATTTCCCGGACTGTGATCGGGGATCATTAATATCAAGTGTCACGTCTGCATCGCTGTCGGCTCCGGATATGAGTTCTTTCGCTAATTCTAAACCATTCGACCGTGGCTTTTTTGCTTCCTTCGTATCATCGGATTTCACTACATCTTTTTCCTTGGCCAAAGTCGAATTTGGTAATATGGAAGAGGCTGTAGAAAACTGATTGCGCCTTTTGAATGCACTGCCTGACCCACGAGAATCTTCTAGAGTCTTCAAAAGCGAAGTCTTTCTGCTTGGTTGCGATAATTCTTCTGCCTGGGATGCCCGTGGAGCAAGGGCTTTTCCCGGTGTTGCTGCCCTGCCAACAATTTTCTGCGGCCTGTCCTTTCCCTCATTGTCATCAACATCTGATCCGAACGACACCGTCTTTCTTCGAGTTGCCGCAGTTCCAGGTGTCATCAAAATTCCCGGCGGCTTTGTTGGAGAGGCCGAGAGATAATGCGGGAGCCGGGTATCTCTGCCAGTTGTTGGATCGTCCTCATTTTCAATCCCATAAAGCGTATCATCTTGAGGGAGGCCAGGTGTACCAAAGAAGGCGCTTTTGAGTGCGCGAGCAGCAAACACCGGGGCAGGTGTCTCTGGAGTTTCCATATCGGGATCAGCACCTGTATGATGTGAGCATTTTTGTGTCTTCTATACACCTAGGTAATTCATGATTGATGACGTCCATACCTGCAACACGCTCGGCACCATCAGGCCGTCCTAACCACCAGTTAAGCATATTTGACGTAGCAATTGCAAAGAATTAATAGGAATCACTGGCAACGCTCATCAAAATGACCACAAATTCAGTAACTCTAGGTGTTGGTCGTCAAAATCATTAAAGTCATTCAACGGCCATTTTTGGAAAGTACAATTAATGCTTGAGCGTTTTTTGTTTACTTACAAGGGTGTTACATCGGACGCGATTTATACTAAGCAACCATAAGTCCCCGCGTTTTAGCCCCTGTAGTGCAATACCGCATGGGGGTTCACTGATCTCTGAATTTCACAAAGCCTTATCGGACAATTGGTAGCCTTGTGAAATGTAAGGGAACAAATCCCTTTAACATTCTAATGGTTGCCCGGATAAATATAACACCTTCCTGTTCGCAATGAAGAGAAAAGAACAAGATGGGAAGGCAAGTAGGAATGGCGACCAAGATCTCAATGTGAAGCGAACTCGATCAAGTAATGCAATATCAGTACATCACTCCACGGTTGATGCTGTCTCTGTAGATTCGAAAAACGGGAAACGAACTCGAACACTTGCAGCGGCAAAAGAGAACGATGTTGATTCCGAAGATTCTGCAGAGAATGGTGAATCAAACCCGGTCTGCAACGATGCTGCGCTATCAGAATCTCAGTCTGAGGATGATGGTTCACCAGGTCGTCTAACCTTGAGCCCGATTAAAGCTCAAAACCAGTCTACTCCTAGGTCTATACGGCATGGAAATAAACTATTTGCAACTCCTGTAAAGGCCAAAGGTATAACTGGAACAGACGAAACTCCGCGCCTTCGTCGCAACATCGATAGATCAGCCAGAAGGAAGAGTACTAGAACACTCATTGAGCGTACGGTACTTGGCAATACAAGCGATAATGATGACGAAGAAGAAGATATTGCGAACCAAATTTATGATTCAGAGGAGGAGGATGAAGCGGAAATAGGGAATGATAAAAATCAAGTATCTGATGCTATCGGCGAACCATCTACACCTTCCAAAAGGGGACCAGGGCGAATCAGAGGAACGACAAATCGACAGAGATCGTTGACACCGCCTCAAGATCTTTCGTCTCACGAACTATACTTCTCTCAAAATAGGCCTGGAAGGTCCAAGACTGCGAATTCTAATTTATCTTCCTTGGCGTTACTCGACCATGAAGAGTACTTTAGTCTTGCCCGTAGCTACAAAGACCAGCATGAAGACGATGTGAATTTTTTACAGGATGTGCATGCCAAGTCTTTCAATCAATGGCAATTTGAGCTCCGTCAGGACTTCAACATTTGTATCTACGGTTGGGGGTCGAAAAGGTCTCTGCTCCTCAAATTTGCTGAGCACATCTACAACACAACGGCTGATCATTCCCGAGAGAGAATAGTCGTGGTAAATGGTTATGTACAAAATCTCACAATCCGAGATCTTTTGAATACAATAGCCTGCTCTATTTCTGGCAACGGCACGAAAATAGGTTCACAGCCAGCAGAAATGCTTGAGAACCTCACGAATTTACTTGATGAAGACAAGACTCAACATGTGAATCTCATTATACATTCTCTTGATGGATCTGCTCTCCGTCGCCCTGCATCTCAAATGATACTCTCACGCTTAGGTTCTCACCCGCAGGTACATTTAGTTGTGTCTGTAGACCACCCTTCCTTTCATTTGCTTTGGGATAGTTCGCTTCGTGCAGCTTTCAACTTCCTATTTCACGATTGCACGACCTTTTTACCCTACACAGTAGAGATCGACGTTGTAGATGAGGTGCATGACCTTCTTGGAAGAAGTGGGCGCAAAGTAGGGGGTAAAGGAGGTGTAGGCTTTGTGCTTAAAAGTCTGCCGGAAAATGCAAAGAATCTTTTCAGGGTTTTGGTAGGTGAACAGCTTGCAGCTATGGATGATATCGCCGTAGGCGAACATAATGATGGTGACGACGAGGATGGGTTACATGGGTCTGCTGGTAGGAAGAGTGAACCTGGTGTGGAATACAGGGTACTGTACCAAAAAGCTGTGGAGGAGTTTATTTGCAGCAATGAGATGAACTTCAGGACATTGTTGAAAGAGTAAGTTTTTCCACTTCATATCAATGCTTGACAACTAATTCTTTCTCAGATTTCATGACCACCAAATGATAGAGAGTAAGAAGGATGCCTTGGGAACAGAAATGCTATCTGTGCCCTTTAGAAAAGAAGAATTAGAGAATATTCTTGAGGATATTGTATCATAGGGTTTTTCCGACAGTTTCAATATTCTTTAGCAGGGTGTTATGGAGCTGCACATTGAGCATTTACCGGTATAGCATAAGGGGGTATCATAAGACGGTGCTTGGCAAAATCCGAAGTAATTCACATTCAATCACATCATCATAGCCATTGTCTTGTTGAAGAATGGCGAGCAGTATACCAGCTCATGGTGAGCTCTCAGATGAGTTTTCACATGTTCGTTTCGGAAAGCTTCATGGTTTGCCACTTCATTGTCTGAATGGTGCGTCAAATCGTTGGTAATGACTTTATGGTTTTCAGAAGAGTACCTGCGTTCCATACTTCTTATCAATATCGACTTAATCAAATCTTCAGATTGGCAAATGAATGTAGCTGTGCTTGCGAGGCTGACAAGGCTGACACCACCAATTTTGTCTAAAAGTTCCAAATTATCCAGTGGCATCACTCGACTAATAAATTAAAGTCTTCCTAATGTTATATCAAATATACAACAACATTGGAAAGTCATCAACGATGGCTCGTCTCATTCCTAGAGATCCTTTAATATATGTTCTCGGGGCAACTGGAACTGGAAAATCACAAGTAAGTCTTTCCGTCCCCGATTGCGGATGTAGGTTAACCGTTCTGTAGCTGGCAGTCGACCTCGCGAAACGCTTCAATGGCGAAATAATAAATGGCGATGCTGTACAAATGTATGAAGGTCTGCCTATAATTACAAACAAAGTTACTATCGAAGAACAGAATGGTGTTCCGCATCACTTGCTAGGTTTCATTCCTCTGAATGTGGAAACATGGACAGTGGGAACATTTAAGAAGCAAGCTAGCCAAATAATACGAGAAATTCGATCAAGGGGACGACTACCCATTGTAGTAGGCGGAACTCACTATTATACGCAATCCCTTCTGTTCGAACATGAGCTCGTCTCCTCTGAAAAAGCTTCCGTGGAAGGACGGGATGATGAACAAATTCCTCTAAAGGAGTTATCCAAACGATTTCCAATCCTCGATGCACCTACGGAACAATTACTAGATCGATTGCGGGAGGTTGATCCACTTATGGCTGCGCAGTGGCATCCCAACGACCGTCGCAAAATTCAGACATCACTTCAAATATTCTTGACTAGTGGAAAGAAAGCCTCCGATGTCTACAGAGAGCAGAAAGAGACCAAAGCCAAAGCACAAGCAAATGTGGACGGTTGCTTAAGCTCTCCAGAAAGGTTCGAGATAGGCTCGCCATTGCTATTCTGGGTACATGCTGAATCAGATGTTCTTAAATCAAGGCTTGACAAACGAGTCGATAAGATGATTGATGTAGGTTTACTAGACGAAGTCAAGTCCATGGAGACAACACGTCAACAATATATTCGTGGCGGCGCTGATGTTGATCTCTCTCGTGGTATATGGGTTTCCATCGGCTGGAAAGAGTTTGAGCTATACCTGGCCGCTCTTGAGCAGGAGGGCGGAAAGCCCAAAAGGCATGATATACTTCGTGATGATTCGTTAGAAAAAATGAAAGCTGCCACGCGGCAGTATGCTAAGCGCCAAATCCGATGGATCAGCCTCAAATTGATACCGAGCCTTGCTCAAAAGAATGCTCTTGACAGACTATTTCTCCTCGATGGAACAGACATTTTAACATGGTCGGACAATGTGTCAGGTCCTGCTATTGATATTACACAAAATTTTCTTCTTGGCAACAAGCTCCCCACGCCCAGCGAAATGTCTGCCCTGGCCGGGGAATTCTTAAACCCCGAAAAGCCTTTGCAGCACATCCAAAGCAAAGCTCGTTGGGTACCCAAAAAATGCGAAATATGTCACATTGTCGTTATGACAGAAGGTCAATGGGAAGTGCACTCTTCAACCCGTGCCCATCGACGAATGGTTAAGAAGCTGCAGAAAAATGGGGCAAATAGTAGGTCTCTTCACGATAGCGAAAGAAATGGCAGCAAATCACCATCTGCTACTTGAAAGGCACCAAACGTTGTGCTCATAAGCATAAATCACGCAGATCACCAACCCCCACGGCACCTTCCAGATTCCGAACATGTCCCTCAATCTTCTTTCCCCCAAAAAAGAAACCATTGGTAGCTTTAAGAGCTGGTGATAAATCTATGGTAACATGACTTTCATGAAAATTTGTGGCCAAGATCTGGCCAAGATCCAGCCCTACGAGAACCACGAGAATGAAAGTAGGAATGACATGAGGTTTTACACAAGGCTAGCAGCTGGGTACATTGTTGTACTTTACGCCATGCATCGGGACGGAAATTAGGAAGTACTACAGGACGTAGAATTTTACACGTTAGCAGTACCTACAGTAGTAGTATTTTGCCGGGCTATTTATTTGTACAAGCTTCCTCTAATCGCGTGGGACAAATCTATTGACGACGACTATTCTCGACGAAACCTTTGCTTCTTCTTGAGCTCCTGGAAAGCTTTCAAATTTCCAAACGTTGCGTAGGGCGCGAATAGGAATATTGCTGACGAGAATTACCTTTTCAACGGAAACCTTGCTTCTGAAGGCTGGTTTTCAGGCATGGATTGCTCTCCCGTATCCGGTATCGCGTATCCCGTATCCTCTGCTAGAACCGGTGGACTAAGATATTTCGATATCTGGAAGCTCCAGTGCTGTAGCAGTCAATCAAAGCTTTTGTCAATATGAGGGAATTTATGAACATTCTTACATGCGGAAAGAGGACAGAAAATGTGGGCTATGTACTAACAATCTAGTCCACGAGAGTCTACTGTCTGACGCCCACCGCGACGTACTCCATCATACACTAGCACGGAACTAACCCAGCCACCGTGCCAACCCAGCAAATATAAAAACATTGACCGACTACAAGCTCGCTAGACTTGCTAAAATCTCTTCCCCAAAAAAGCTTGATGTGTAAAGGAACACTGTTGGAATAATAATGGGCCAACTACCTACCTAAGCGAAGCGATCGGCAAACGTCCCTAAGCTTTCAAAACGTGTCCACGATTGGTTTTGATATATCTTCAACAGTACTTCTACGACTTGATCTCAACACAATTTTGATATATTCGAAATCTCAAAGCGTGCATTCGAGCATGTCGTAAAACTTACAGATAGCGTCTTATGTTATTATCCAATAGCACCAACCCAAATTGCCACTAGAAATCCTTCTTACAAACAACCAATTGAGCAAGGAGGGCCTTGTTTGGTCCATGAGGGATTTATCTCCCAGATATAAATTTCGCGGCTAGTACCAGCCACGAATGTACGAAGTGTTGGTGAATAAAAGTTTCCAAATGGGTCTTCCCCCACAAATACCAAGCAAGACCTGAACAATCCAGTTTGATAATATAATTAACAGGTTCAATTTTGTATGAGCGATTTGAATGCAACGCCTTAGGTGCAGAAGATGAAAGGAATTGAATATCATGCTCAAATTTTATTCCAATTCAGGAGATATCGCTATCAGATTGGCTTACCCTCTACGCCAATCGCTTACAGATCTAGACCATATTCGGTTTCTGGAATGAAGAAGTGAATTCTATTATGTGCAGTTGTATGATGGGAACAGTTTTTGCTACTGCTATGTTGCTGTCATTCGATTGGAAAATCCCTCACGGAAATTACACCGCAATCAGGAAATTGGAAAGATGCTCCCACGCTTGTACCGATACACAATTATACAATGTCAACAAAAGGGACAAGGCCCATTAATGTGGGAAATTCTCGCACTGCCTGCCTGCGAGCACGGCGAGTGCGTTTGTTAGTATATTTCTAAACGTCAAAGTTCTTTTCTGAAGCCTTTAAGTTCTTTGATCTCCTTCAACATTCCAGTCAATTAAAGTCATTGGCTTGCTTGATATTCCAAAAAGATTCTCATTGTGTTATCCTCGTTGCTTTCACTCTCCGGTGCCTATTCACAACTCCTTCACTGAACGACGAGGCAAAGCCGCTCCGAGCAGAGCGCTCGTGTTATACTGCTGGGCTGGGCTTGTTTTGCCTACTTGCTTGCCAATCTTAGCGTTGGCAAAGCTGCAGTGGCAATACATTTTGCCAAACTGTTGGTCAACTGCTGCGAATTTAGAACCTTATATTTCAAACAAAACTACAACGATCATAGACATGGAGGGAAAAGCCATGTACGCCACATCTGAGGAGCAGGATGACGAAATTTTCCAAGTCCAACCTAGACCAGAAATGCGAATCAGATTCGGCGCTCAAGATGAAGAGGCAGGCAGACAGATGAGCGCACTTCCTAGAATGGCTCGGACAATCACAAATAGCTCACAACTATCGGCTACAAGTTCAAGACGTCGCAGAGTGTCTATCGATCCAGCAACTGCTTTGCCCATTACTTACCGCACAGTCTCATTTGCAATTGAAGAGAGTAAGGAAATACAAAGGGCTGAAGCAGATCGTGCAAAGAAGGATGCGGCAGCTGAGCTTGGTGATTTAGAGTGGCATACTCTGTCCACAGACGACGTAATAGGCCGGCTAGAGACTTCAGTTACTGAAGGTCTCTCCAAGGAACAGGTCGAGGTCAAAACGAAAGAGTTTGGAAAGAATATGCCTTCGAAACCACCGTCGGACTTGTTCTCGAGGGGTAAGTCTGTTCCCATATGTCTTAGCGTTACACAAACGCATTTCCTTTAGTCGTTTGAATAGGCTCTAACACTCTCAATTCTTAGTCTTTGGGTATCTGTTTGGTGGATTTGGATCCGTCTTATTGATCGGTGGTATTCTGGTCACTATCACTTATGAACCACTCGGAGAGCCGAATCCAGCACAGGCCAATCTAGCCCTTGCGATTGTCCTCTATGCTGTCTTCCTCATCCAAGCCTTATTCAACGCATGGCAAGACTGGTCATCGTCTCGTACAATGGCGTCCATCTCTGGCATGCTTCCTGATGACTGCTTCGTCCTCCGCGATGGCAACCGCGTAGAGCTTGCCGCAATCAGTCTAGTTCCCGGTGACATTCTTTATATAAAGTCTGGTAATAAGCTGCCAGCAGATGTTCGTTTTATTGAAATCTCATCTGATGCTAAGTTTGATCGCTCTATCTTGACTGGAGAATCACAACCTATTCCCGGTTCAGTTGAGAATACAGATCTCAATTATTTGGAGACGCATAACATTGGTATGCAGGGAACGCATTGCATCTCTGGAAGCGCAATAGGAGTCACTGTCAGCACGGGAGATAAGACAGTGTTTGGTAAGATTGCTAAATTAACCAATACTCCGAAGACAGGTATGACCACATTGCAGAGGGAGATCTTGAGGTTTATCATAATCATCTGTTCCATTATGGTGTTCTTCAACATAGTTGTCATCGTATGTTGGGCCGCATGGTTGCGACATTCACATCCCGACTGGATCACCGTTGCTGGATTAATTGTTGGTGTGTAGTTTTTCTTTATTTAGCTCATCTCATCTATCACTTGATTTTGGGGGGAGAAAGTTTGACTAACGGGTTTCTAGATATCGTGACGGTGGCAGTTGCATTTATCCCTGAGGGCTTACCTATCGCACTAACCGCTTCATTGACCATTACTGCAAATATTATGAAAAGGAACCAAGTTCTATGCAAGTCATTAAAGACAGTCGAGACCTTGGGAGCTGTATCAGTCATCTGCTCAGATAAGACTGGGACATTGACAAAGGTAACCCAAGTAGCACTCATCTTTAGACATTTCGAGGATCTCTGGCTAACTAGTCGTCTTCTCAGAATAAAATGTTTGTAACGGAGTGCTCAATTGCAGAAAAGACAATGAATCCGGAGAAAGCCGTCGAATTTCAAAAGTCCAATGGTAATACTACCAATTGTGTGGCCCAATTGCGATCCCTAGCAGGCCTATGCAATGCAGGCGAATTCGATGCTGCGACGCTCAATTTACCTCTTGCAGAACGAAAGATTGCCGGAGACGCGACAGATCAGGCGGTTCTCCGACTGTCAGAAGCATTCGGGGAGGTTCGCCAGTTACATATGTTATGGAGAAAGACTTTCGAGCTAGCATTCAACAGCAAGAACAAATTCATGATAAGAACTCTGACGCTATCCGACCCTGAAGGTCTGGAACTTGCAGTATCACCTCAAGAGCAGGCAGAATGGAAAAAAGAGGATCTGCTGTTGACTATTAAAGGTGCCCCAGACATTCTTGTGGAACGTTGCACTAAATATGTTGGTGAGGATGGTCATGTGTACCCACTAAACGCGGATATGAGGAACTCTATAGAAGTGATCAAAAACAAATGGTCAAGTCAGGGAAAGCGGGTGATCTTACTTGCGAGGAAAGTGCTCACCGGCCATCAAAGACAGCATAACCCCGAAAACAACACTTTTGAGGCCGAGATTATGCGACAAGCTAGCAGCGATTTGATTCTAGTGGGGCTTGTCGGCATTGTGGATCCTCCCCGAGATGAAATACCAGAGGTAGTAAAAGTTCTAAGGAGAGCTGGCATACGAATCTTCATGGTCACTGGCGATTTTAAACTTACTGCTCAGGCTATTGCTATAGAATGTGGTATCATCACTAGTCCTACTGACATGATTCATGATGTTTCTAAGCTCAACAGAAATGGATTGGAGACACCAAAAAGTGTTTCGAGCGGTGTCATCTCTGAGAAAGATGCAGACTCGAAGCATGAAGACGCGAGGTCCATAACTCTGAGTGGCCCGGAGTTGATCAGTTTGAATGATAGTCAATGGGATCAACTCTGTCAGTATGAAGAAATTGTCTTCGCACGTACGACTCCTGAGCAGAAGCTACGAATTGTCAAAGGTATGCTCCTGAAATCAACCCACACGTCAATATGCACATGGCTGACAACAGTACAGAATTTCAAAAACGCGAGAACATAGTAGGGATGACCGGCGATGGAGTCAACGATGCTCCATCCCTAAAAGCCGCTGACATTGGTATTGCACTTGGGAGTGGCTCCGATATCGCAATCGAAGCCGCTGATATGGTCCTGTTAGACTCTTTCGGCGCTGTCGTTGAAGCCGTCAAATACGGTCGTGTAGTCTTTGACAACCTCAAGAAAACCCTCATCTACCTTCTTCCCGCCGGAACATTTTGCGAATTCCTTCCCATCATTACGAATGTGATTCTCGGTCTTCCTCAAATCCTCAGTTCTTTCCTCATGATTATGATCTGTTGTCTTACGGATTGTGCTGGTGCGACGGTTCTTGCTTATGAAAAACCGGAAGCTGATGTGCTTTTGAGGAAGCCAAGAGATGTCAAGAAAGATAGGTTGGTTGATTGGAAATTACTCTTCCATGCGTATGTCTTTCTGGGTATGCAAGAAGCTATTGCGTCGTTCGCCATGGCGTATTGGTATTGTCAACGGCGAGGAGTTACGTTTTCAATCTTGTGGTTGGGATATGGAAAGTACCCGCCTCATTTAAATGATGAGCATGTCCAAAACGTGTTAGCTGTGGCTAGCAGTATTTACTTTGTCAATTTGGTTATTATGCAATGGTTCAACTTGATGGTAAGTCGCTCTTCTCCGCTCCGATCTTCTCTTCTTTCTCCTCAGCCCTTTTAACTAAATCTCTCCTTTCGAACTTTACTAACCCAAACCCAGGCAACCCGCACTCGCCGTCTCTCAATCTTTCAACAACCTCCCGCCTTTAACAAAGCAACACAGAATCTCTGGCTCTTCCCAGCCATAATTTTCGCCCTCGTCGTGATTTTCATCTTCCTCTACATACCAGGATTAACATCTGCAATCAACAGTAGCCCTATTCCAGCGGAATATTTCTTCTTTCCATTATGTTTTGGTATGTGGATACTTTTCACAGATGAGGTGAGGAAGTTCTATGTGAGGAAGTGGCCGGAAGGATGGTTGGCAAGGATAGCTTGGTAGAGGGGTTGCATGGTAGATACTTTTTTATTTGAGGAGAGAGGAAAAAGGGGATGGGTTTGTATTTAGTGTGGATGGTGCGACATGGTTGGTGGTATGCGTTGAGATTGTAGAAATCGAACGGCTTTATTTTAAATTTAATGGGTGGCATTGTCGTCGTAGAGATTATGAACATGATGACACTAGATTACACTTTAGACAGACGCTTTTATGAACGATAAAGCATTGCGATGCATTTTCGTGTAATATAATGAACGATTAACGCTTCACTGATATTCTAAATAGGTGTTTTTATTCTAAGATACTTGCGAGATATGTTGTTATGCTAAGATTTTCGGGAGAGTGTCTTTTGTAAATGATGGAATGATTGTGCCAGTTTAAGTAGAAGCTACGGAAGGTGATCATGATAGATAGATCTTCTTGCTATAGCTAAGTGTTTCTTGAGGTTTGAAATAGGGCATTCTTTTACATTGTAATATTAGATTGACATCAAGATGGTGTAATATAAGTAAACTGTACTGATTTCGATCCGTCATCGGTATATACTCTTATTAGCTTGTTTAGGAGATACAAAATCCTTTATTTTATATTTTGATGTTGAAGATGTGTCTTGAATATATAATAGGTAATCTATGTAGGAGATTTGTAAGAGTTATAATCTGTTCTCAACTCTTTGCATAAAAGGGGTCCGCAAATGTACATCAATGAAGCTGCTCTACAAATGCTTGCTTACTAATCTTCATCTAGCCAAAGGCCACATCTTTACATTAAGGCACCAGTCCCAAAATTTACTAGTGTTATGAACACCATGAATTAACCCCAAGCTTTGAGATCTGTTCGGATTATTCTTCTCAACACATCACAAATCTGCGACATTTTCTTAAATAGCAGAGCACAGTGTCGACGTGCCATTCCTTAACTCTTCTTCTTATTCTTCTTTTTCCACTTCGGTGAGGTTTTTAAATATCAAATCGCCAAGATGAGTGGCCGTAAGTTATATATTTTATTCCTTTTGTAGCTCATCGTCATAGGTGTCCATGAGCTTCGAAATATTCAAATTTCTTCCCACGGTCAATTGCAAAATACTGACAATGTATCTCTCTAGTTCGATTCCTCGATCTCATCAAACCCTTCTCGCCGTTCCTCCCTGAGGTTCAGCAACCCGAGACAAAGGTCCCATTCAACCAAAAATTGATGTGGACGGGTTTGACGTTATTGATATTCTTGGTTATGAGCCAAATGCCATTGTATGGTATTGTGTCCTCAGATACCTCCGATCCTCTATACTGGTTGAGAATGATGTTGGCAAGTAACAGAGGTACTTTGATGGAATTGGGTATTACGCCAATTATCTCCTCGGGAATGGTTTTCCAGCTTCTTGCTGGTACACACTTGATTGATGTCAACCTTGACTTAAAGGCTGATCGCGAGTTATATCAAACTGCGCAAAAGCTCTTTGCTATTATTTTATCAATGGGTCAAGCTACTGTGTATGTCTTTACTGGATTGTACGGTCAACCATCCGATCTTGGTGCTGGTGTTGTCTGCCTTCTCATCCTTCAATTGGTTGTCGCTGGTTTGATTGTCATTCTTCTCGATGAGCTCCTTCAAAAGGGATATGGTCTTGGAAGTGGTATCTCCCTCTTCATTGCTACCAACATTTGCGAGTCTATCATCTGGAAAGCATTTTCTCCGACTACCATCAATACTGGTCGTGGCCCAGAGTTCGAGGGTGCCGTCATTGCGCTCTTCCACTTGCTTTTGACATGGCCAAACAAGCAACGTGCTCTTCAAGAGGCTTTCTATAGACAAAGTCTTCCTAACATCATGAACCTTTTGGCTACCATCGTCGTCTTCGCAGCCGTTATCTATCTCCAAGGTTTCCGTGTTGAGATCCCAGTCAAATCTTCTCGTCAACGTGGAGCTCGTGGATCTTACCCAGTTCGTCTCTTCTACACCTCCAACATGCCAATTATGCTCCAATCCGCTCTCTCCTCCAACATCTTCCTCATTTCTCAAATGTTGTACTCTCGCTTCTCCGAGAACTTGCTTGTCCAACTCTTCGGTGTTTGGGAGCCAAAGGAGGGTTCAGCACAACTTTTCGCTACCTCTGGTATCGCATACTACATGTCCCCACCTTTGAACTTCACGGATGCTCTTCTCGACCCAATTCACACTGCTGTCTATATTACTTATATGCTCGTCGCATGTGCTATCTTCTCCAAGACTTGGATTGAGGTTTCCGGCTCCAGCCCAAGAGATGTCGCTAAGCAACTGAAGGATCAAGGTCTCGTCATGGCTGGTCACAGAGAACAAAGCATGTATAAGGAATTGAAGCGTATTATTCCTACTGCTGCGGCTTTTGGTGGTGCCTGTATTGGTGCTCTTTCCGTCGGTAGTGACTTGTTGGGAGCTCTTGGATCTGGAACTGGTATTTTGTTGGCTGTCACGTAAGCATTTTCACTCCAATTTCACCCATATATCAAAGACTAACATTACCATAGTATTATCTACGGATACTTCGAGATCGCCGCAAAGGAGGGAGACATGGCTGGGATGAAAGGCATGATCATGGGATAAGGATTTTCTTATCGATACTTTCAATTTCTTCTTGTATGCTTGATTACATTAAAGAAAAGCAAATGTTTTAGGATTGGTGGTTGTTGGGAAAATCGGAACGGGATTCGGAGATCAAAGATGTGTAGATGAAAGAGGCAATATCATTTTATCTACATACTCCCTATGATCTTCGTATAAATGTAACAATAAGTGGGAATGGGATGCATGTATTTTTTGGAACCCGCGTTGTATGAACTTGCATGAATTTTGATGCCAGCGAGCATAAGCAATGAGCATGATTTATATAACAAGCATGTAATGTACAATGTAAAAAAAAATGATGTATTTATATTTTGATTATATTTGTGCCTGTGTTGTATTATTATATGTAGTAGACAGTGATAATTCCAGACAAGACATCTATCGTCTCATAATATAGATAGCTCGGTACCTAGTAATATTAATATTAATATTTAAAATTTAATAATGATGATTTTATACCTAGGTATTCATCGACTGGAGTCTTTGTATTTAGATTGCTTCCTCGTTGATAGTCTGCTTGCTTATTAGGGATTAAAGTAAAGTATTCCCGCGCAGCGCATGAGATGTCTAATCATTTTCGAAGCTGTGGGATTCGCGTTTGTGTTCCACCAAGAGCTCGCATCGCTAATGTAGGTTGTTTCGGAGATTTTGTGTTGTGAGGTAGTAGATGCTTAGTACTTCTCTATAGAAATAGAGATATTGGGGATTAATGCTAGGAATGGGAAGTGTGTTGGTAGTGGTTGAAATGCAAAATTATAATCGTATTCCTATGTACAAATCTAGTTGAGAGGGTATGCATGTATGTATATGGTGGCGAAGGTTCAAAGGCTGGAGGGGAGACTGAAAGTAAAGCTACTGCAACCGGCTGGGGGAGCTTTCTCGGTACCTTTAGTTCTGAAAACATAAGAAATTGTCTGCGCTGCATCGGCTATTCGGGCATAGTAACCGGGAGAGGCTGATTATTGAGAGGACATGGAAAATCGGGACTTGTTTATTTTTCTGAACGGGACTTGGAAGGAGAGCAACCATAAAGACGGATATGAGTTACAAGTCCGAGATTATAGCACTTGAGGGGATGAGATGCTACGTTCACCGAATGATTGTATCGCCCGTAGAATATGAGAACGTTATGAACTTTCATCATTCCTAACTCAGTTGGCTACTGACGTCTCGGAGTCGACTCAAATTGCCTCAGCCGATTTTCAAGAGATTGTAAGCTCTGCATTGGACGAAATGGGTCGAGAATCGGCGGAACTATGAAGAATTGGCACATGAGGTTTGCGCATCTCGAAGGAAATAATTTAGATCAGCCATATATTAAGCTTCGGTCATTTTTGAGGCATCTAGTAAGCTTACTAGACGTCCTAGTCAAAAGTTCCCATCGATGACTCTATGATGAGTTATTTTCCTCTTCAAGACGTCTGTCAGTGTGTGACATGTCAAATATCAAATATATCGATTGCCAATGAACCCAAAAGATTTGTAAAAGATTATCCCCCATAGGCGCCATCCTGCATGGTCTTGGACTAATGTACTGGCGAGGGCGGTTGACACCATCATAAATCAGAAACAGCATTTTCTGTTACATGTACATGCCACCAGATGGTTTTACACTGAGTCAGAGCCGTTATCGCACATGGCTTTTTGCCCTACACGGATAAGGATAATTTCCGACAAATCAGATAATGAACGGCTTTTTCCAGTAAGTCACTGTAGGTGGTGTGGTGTTTGTGTTGTGCAGGAATTGATTGTAAAAATTGTTTGATCGTGTCCGTGTCCGTGTCCACTTTACCCAGTGAGGATGCGGCTACTATTTTCGACACCACCTTCCTTAATGGGTATTCGGCCAGTGATTCATTATCATTAGTTTGAGATTTTTTCGTTCCGATAATTGATGGCGGTGTGGATGAAGGGTATGAAGTGTGGAGATAGAAATATGGTTCAGAAATGAAGGGGTGCTTGTAGTCAGGAACCAATACCATTAACGAGGGTCCGAAAATGGGTCCAGTGTGAAGGAAGTCTTTGAAAAATCGCAAGTCTTAGGATATCGAGATGAAAAGGTCGTGAAGTTCGTTTGTTGCAAGTACTCAAAAGATGGCTTGTTGGGGGATCTAGAATGTCCCAGGATAAGGAGGACTAAAGCAGATTCCTTGCGGCTAAAATTAATCCATGAATGCTTCGATGCCTTCTTCTTAAGGGCGTTGAGAAGGCGTTTGCAATAGTAGCTTGATGAGGATGCCTGCATGTTGGTATTTGTAGATTGGAGGTTGAAGACTGTAAAATGTATAGAGAGACTTATTAGCACCTCGGTAGATATTGATCTAAGAAGAGCTCTATCTTGAGATATGTAATATAATGCAAATGAGGCCTCAACGTACCGCAGCTTCTTCCTCTTGTGAGATTCAGAGCATCTTGGACCAATAGGGACAATGATGATAATAACATAGCAACAGCAATAATACTACATGTAGCAACAAGATCAATGTGTGTGTGTGTTGATAAGAAACTCAAATTTGCTTACTCGAATTTCGACATTCAAAGAAGTCCCCTGTTGTCTTCTTCAAATGTTCGCTTGCAGGTTACCTAGTTAGTTGAATGAGTCATCCTCAAGTGGGGCAAATTGTTGGCTAGAGACTAGAGCACAAGTCTTTTTGCAGGTAAACCATATACAAGTAAGTTAGTTTTCCTATCTATCATGTAGTTTATCCCATCTCCCATCTTCCATCCTCCATCCTCCATCCATCTCCCTTCTTCCCTTCCATTAATACAACACTTAGTTTCGACCGACCCTTTTGAAGGTATAAACTCCTTAATAACCAAGGGAATTTGCTCGAATTTGTACATTAACGCCAGAAACTGTGGTAACCACCCAGGTGCTTCTTTTTTTCTCTTTTTATTCATCATATACTATTTCTAAGCTCTTCGGTCTAATCTCATCAACTTAATTCTTTTTTTTCCCCACTGAGGTCATCATTTATAAGTGTGAAATAATAATCTTACTTCATTAATCAGTTCAATGATACGTTAAGGTCACACTCGATAAGTCGAGACGGTGTAATCGCCATCCTACTGTCCAGCGCATGCAAGAGAGCAATCATGTTGGGTCAATGCAGTGGGCCTAGTTGGCAAATCGATGATTTCACAAACTGCATTCAGAGAGAGTAAGCTAAACCAATTTACCAGCAGCTGTGGGTAAAACTGACTGCATGAAGTTATCTCAAAGTACTTTTCCCATTAATAGTCATCGGTCTCTCGTTCCTCAATCTAACAATATCTGCAATTCGCCGGAAAGTCAAGTTAAAACAGAAACATAAGTATCGACAGCTTCGAAATGGCTCAATCGACCATACAACGATAGGCAGCAATGGATTCAGTCAGGATAATGGGGAGGCAATCGTGAACGGGGGCGATCACACCGCTATCGAGGAGGATGATGAGGGCTTGACGATGAGTGGCGGTGGGCGGTTGGTATTGACCAAAACGACTACCCAAGGCTCGGTTGCCGCGATCGATAGTCCCAGAGCACAAAATACTTCGACGGTCATCGAACTCCTCGCGATCACGGCAGAGATAGGTATTCAAATCGCAGTTTTTGTGCTTGGTGCATATGGTTCAAAGGGCGCTGTGGCCGCTGTTGTTGGAATCCTCACATGGACTTATATTTTAATACTTGCAGGTTTGAGATTTGCCTTCTCCAATACGCGGTGGAGGGTCCCGAGGATTTGGAATCATACGGCTGCTTTATACACTGCCCAATGGCTCTTCTTGCTGGTCATTTTCCGCTCCGCGATCATTCATCCACGCTCGAGGGTCAGTCAGACACTTATCATCACAGACTTCGTACTCTGTTCGCTTCTTTTCGGAATCGCAATAACTACACGCAAGGGCAATAAAGCTGTGGTCTTGGAGTGGGAGGGTGATATTGAACCTTCGAGAGAACCATTGGCCAGCTTGTTCTCCATTGCTACCTTCGGATGGGTGGATGCCATTGTATGGCATGGCTATGTCAACACCTTTGAGATTGCAGATGTCTGGAACCTTATGCCAAAAGATAAGGCGGCATCCGTCTTAGCCGATTATAGACAGCTCAAAAAAACTACGGCTTTGACATGGCATTTGATGCACTATTTCAAAGGTCTACTTACTGTACAGTGCGCTTATGCTGTCTTTTCTGGACTTTTCAATTTTGCGCCTACATTGTTGTTGAAAGCTATTCTTGAATACATAGAAGATCCAGAATCGGCGCCTCGCAATGTCATTTGGCTATACGTCATTCTTCTTGCTTTCACAGATATTCTTCGTTCGCTAGCTGATCAACAAGCACTCTGGATTGGCCGCAAGATCTGTATAAGACTAAGAGCAATTATCATTGGTGAAATCTACGCTAAAGCATTGAGAAGAAAGGCTGCATCAGGGAGTGATTCTGTCCTTGGAGCAAAGAAAGGGCCTAAGAATGCAGAGAAGCCCAGCTTATGGCGACGAGTATTGGGAAAGAAGATGGATGAGCAAGCTCCCAACGATGCGCAGGCTCAGCCAGACGCTGCAGCTGAGATTGGAAAGAAAACAGATGAGCAAGCTAATGTTGGTACCATTATAAATCTCATGTCTGTTGATTCCTTCAAAGTCAGCGAGGTCACTGCGTATCTTCACTTCCTCTTTGCTGCTGCTCCAACTCAATTGATTGTAGCTATCTACCTTCTTTATCGTATCCTTGGAAAAAGTAGTATTCCAGGTCTCATTGTCATGGCCATTCTCCTCCCTGTGAATATTGGATTTGCTCGTGGCTTTGGAGCTGCGCAAAAGAAAATCATGGCTGCTACCGATAAAAGAATCCACACAACTAATGAGGTATTGGAAAACATTCGTGTAATCAAATACTTCGCCTGGGAAAAGCGCTTCACTGATATTGTGAATGATAAACGAGCTCATGAGTTGAAAGCACTACGCCTGAAGTATATCATCTGGGCTTTCGCTGTTGCGGTATGGAACACGGTTCCTGTTGTTATTACTTTCTTTTCATTCCTCTACTATACCGTTGGAGAGAAGAAACCACTGTATCCTTCCATCGCATTCACAGCTATCTCACTTTTTAACATCCTTCGTGTTCCTCTAGATCAATTGGGTGACATGATAGCTCATGTTCAGGAAAGTCAAGTATCGATTAATCGAGTGGAGGAATTTTTGAATGAAGACGAGACAGAAAAGTACGATCAGCTCTCACACGACAACTTGGATGAAGATGGCAATCAAATGATTGGATTTAAGGATGCTACTTTATCCTGGGGTGGCAAGGAGACGTCCACGGACGATACCTCGGCCTCATTCCGAATGATAGATTTGAATGTCAGATTCGAAATTGGTCATCTGAATATCGTTGCTGGACCTACTGGATCTGGAAAGACTTCTCTTTTGATGGCACTTCTCGGTGAGATGGCACTAATTAAAGGAAAGGTGTTCCTGCCTGGCGCTTTCAGTCGTGAAGACGTTCAACCTGATCCTGAAACTGGTCTTACTGAGACCGTTGCCTACTGCGCGCAGCAACCTTGGCTCGTAAATGCGAATATCAAGGAAAATATCTTGTTTGCTGCTTCGATGGATGAAAAAAGATACAAAGATGTAATCGTCGCTTGCGCTTTGGAACGTGATCTAGAGATTCTGGATGATGGCGATGAGACACTGGTGGGTGAAAAGGGCATCAGTCTTTCAGGTGGTCAAAAACAGCGTATCTCTCTTGCGAGGGCTCTTTACTCAAACTCAAAGCATGTACTCCTTGATGATTGTTTGAGCGCTGTAGATTCACATACTGCCAAGTGGATATTCGACAATTGTATTCGAGGACCTCTGATGCTTGAGCGTACATGCATCTTAGTCACACACAATCTATCTCTTTGTGTTCCTCATTCTCAATATGTTGTTTGCCTCGAAAACGGTAAAATCACGGAACAAGGATCGGCGGAAAAGGTTATGGCTTCAGGGAAGTTAGGTGAGGAAATCAGTAAATCGCTTCCTGCTTCCGCTCCACATTCACAGATTCCATCTCGAGTTCCATCTAGCGTTGGTGATGAGAGTAACGAAACTCTTATTGAAGACCAGCCCGCAGACGATAAGCTGGATGGTGCAAATGGAAAATCAAAGGGAAAGAAATCCAAGGGAAAGAAAGATGCTATGGCCGAAACAAAGGCAGTAGGAGGTGTCAAATGGAGAGTTCTTATGTTGTACCTGAAAGCCATGGGGCCTTGGTGGTTTTGGGTACTCGCTGTAATGGTCTTTGGCGTTCAACAAGTTGGTGCTCTTGCAGCCAACGTATGGATTAGACAGTGGGCAAATCAGTAAGTTACTATATGTATTGATTGGTGTTGTCAACTACAATATTTTGCTAACGGTTTAAAACTACAGATATGATGTCGAAGATGTCCGTTCCAAATACCACCTATCAGCGAATTCCTACATTGGTAATACCATCTCAACAGTTCAAGTCGCGAGCTCAAAGTTATCTCAAATTCAACCATATTTCGATCCCAACAAGACTTCAATTGTCGCAAAATTGGCTCCGGAAGTTGATGTTGGCTTCTATCTCGGAATTTATGCTATGATTGGTATCGCATGCATGTTAATTGCTCTTTTCAGAGATTTCTGGCTCTTCTTTGGTTCTCTTACTGCAAGCTGGAGAATCCATAAGGATTTGATGAACGCTGTTACCCGAGCAAAATTTAAGTTCTTTGACTCAACTCCTTTAGGTCAACTTATGAATCGATTTAGTAAGGATTTGGAAGCTGTGGATCAAGAAGTAGCACCTATCGCCATTGGTGTCATGTCATGTGCTTTGGCGATTGTAGTTACGGTAGCTTTGATCACTGCTATCACCCCAGGATTTTTGATTGCCGGTGTGTTCATAAGCGCCATGTATTTCTTCGTTGGCAAATTCTACCTCCGATCATCCAGAGATTTGAAGAGAATCGAATCGATACAAAGAAGTCCACTGTTTCAGCAATTTGGAGAGACCCTCAATGGTATCACTACTATCCGGGCTTATGGTGACGAAAAACGATTTGTTCGAGACAATATGCTACGAATCAATACCCATAGTCGACCATTTATCTATCTATGGGCAGCAAATCGATGGTTATCATTCAGAATTGATTTGGTTGGTGACCTCGTTGCATTTTTTGCAGGAGCATTCATTGTCAGTAGTATTGGAACTATTGATGCTGGTTCTGCTGGTCTCTCTTTAAGTTACGCTATCAGTTTCACGGAGAATGTTCTCTGGTTGGTACGATTATATTCGATGAATGAACAGAACATGAACTCTGTTGAGCGAATCAAGGAGTATCTGGATGTTGAACAAGAAGCAGCGGCTTACATTGAAGAAACAGAGCCTGCTAAAAACTGGCCGAGTCAAGGATCTGTGGAATTCATCAACTATACTACAAGATATAGGGCAGATTTGGATCCTGTATTAAGAAATGTTAGTTTTAAAATACGACCTTTGGAAAAGGTTGGTATTGTTGGCCGTACCGGTGCAGGGAAAAGTTCTCTTGCTCTTGCCTTATTCCGTGGTCTTGAGGCTGAGGAAGGAAAAATCTTGATTGATGAAGTAGACGTTGGTCTTATTGGCCTTCGTGATCTTCGCGAGAGAATAACTATTGTACCACAAGACCCTACCCTATTTACTGGCACCATTCGGAGCAATTTGGACCCTTTCAGCCTCTTTACGGATGAAGAAATATTTACAGCTTTACGAAGAGTTCATCTGATTGGACCAGCAGGTACTGCATCAACAGCTCCTTCTACACCTGATGTCTCACGACCACCATCGATTGAATCATCACCAGGCTCTACTACCACCAATAAAAACATCTTTCTAAACCTCAATTCCACTGTTACGGAATCCGGAAACAATCTCTCCCAAGGTCAACGACAACTTCTATGTCTCGCTCGAGCTATGCTCAAGCAACCAAAAGTACTAATGATGGACGAAGCAACCGCCTCCATTGACTATACCACCGACTCTAAAATTCAAGAAACGATTCGGGAACTTAAGAGTACCATCATCACAATTGCTCATCGTTTACAAACAATTGTGGATTATGACAAGGTGTTAGTATTAGATAAAGGAGAAGTGGTAGAATACGCTCATCCTTATGAATTATTAAGGAAAGAGGGAAAGGATGCGATATTTAGGGGTATGTGTGAGACGAGTGGAGATTTTGATGGATTGATGGAAGCAGCTAAAAAGGCTTGGGAGGGAGTGAGGTTGGTTGATGATGAGTAGAGTGTTGATGGGGTGTCGTATAGTATAGTATACTCGGAAGCTATACTTCAAAAAGTTTTCTTTCTGTCAAGCATGCTGCATTGGGGGTTCTTTCTTGTAAATGGTTTTTTTGGATTGGTTACTCGTCGATGCATATGGGTGGATGGCAGCTAGTCTGTGCTTGTGAATAGATAGATAGGAAGCTGTGCTGTAGTTGAGCTTTGGTGGTACATAAAAGAGATGCGAATAATGATTAAATTATGTTCATATATTACATTATGTGATGCTTGTTGTGTTGTGGTAGAAGTATGATGTTGTTATATTTGATGGTATTGTAAAAGAGGTAGGTCGAGATTATACAGTCTTAAAAACTCTAACTTTCTCACAGTATATAGTTTTTATAGTGTTTTATAGATACTGAGTATTTTTATTTATAAGAGGATGGGGGAAGTGTATATATATAAAGTGAGTTATCAATATATATATAGTAAAAATCATATATAAGCTGCGCAGAACCCTTCGCTAGGTCGATGGACTATCTTGGGAATCAACTTAACATGGAAAATGGGAGCTAAATACATTTCAAAAAGTCTTTATATAAAGCCAATGAATCTTCTATGTTCCTGGATTAAGCGGTCCGAGAAAAAGTAATGAGTTTGTATATGTCATTTTTAGGATTTGAGAGGTATCTATCTCTTAAATCTCGAAGTATACGCTATTGGTATTGTAACGTAAAGATACAGCCCCAGTGACTACATACCATTTCGAAAAGCCTACCCTCAACGTTAACGTCAACTTCGATCATGGTTGTGCCAAGTACTGCCAGCTTGAATGATCTTGTAGAATCTCATCGGATTAGACGAGATCTCATTAGATAGATATATAGAATAATTAAACTTAAAGAGTTTAGATCTTATCTTTTTTTAGAAGTCTATATACATAGGATATTTCTGTATCAGGTCATCTATTTCAAATTTTTATATTATATTATTCAATTATTATATATAATCTTTTTTTAAAAAAGAAAAAATAGTTGATTTATAAATTTTAATTTCAAATTCTAGGAATGAATCAGAAATGGATTTATATTTAAACCTTTTTGATATCCGATAATAAAATTTTGATGTAAATCTTCACCTTATTCAATAAACCTCTGCCGCTCTACTTACTCGCCCGCAGACACCATATTTGATGTTGGAGTCACTGCTAACTTTTGGGAGGTAATGAATCACTATACTATCTATCCATACTACTCGTAATCAACTTATATACCAGTCTGCAAGTCGGATCTAAATTACGAGAGCACCATAGCGATCGAGGGTCACCTACGTCTACTCCGGTTGAGGAGTATCTCTCTTCATATCAATCATCTTGCATTGAACTTGATAGGAATGGCGGATGATGTATGCCATTGTACAAAATGTGCACTGATCCCTGTAATTAACAAGTTCCTGCGCATTAGCTCGGTTAAACCCCTGACAATGGGCTCATTCTCAATCTAAATTTCCAGGGTCGAAGATCTAACTCCTATAGCCTGCTCACTTTCCCCGAAAATTGGACTGTTTGTGGTGAGAGCAAACAAGACAATGATGACCTCAACTCAAGTGAGCACAGAATCGGCTGTAGGTAGTTCTGAACAGGCTTTCTCAGGAAAACAGGTAATGCAATGTGCAGATTGATTGGATTGTTTATCGCTATACGGTTAGTCTGCGCATGCAGTCATGTGTTCCAGCTCACTTGGGTAAATAGATCATTAAAGTCCATTCCTAATAGGATAGGATAGGGTTAGCTGAATAAATTAGAACTCGGTAGGGTTTTATAACACTCTGGACCTAGCGCCTTCTTGGGACTTCCAATAATATCACTTGGTAGGTCGAGATCTCATCGTGTAGAGGAATAAGCCGCGGGATCTTTGATTCGCCTTTCTTTCTTTAACTTACCAAACGCACATTAATCTTCCACCTTCGACCAAGACTTATCTTCGCATCTATGGCATGCTTGAAAAGCAATACTTAAGATGTGACTCATGCAAGATATCCAAAAAATTACTTCGCCTTATTGAAAGACCTCTATTGAGAAGACTTCGTTCTGCGGCCTTCAAGACGGGAAGGTAGATCCCCATGCCTAGAACTCCTTCAGGTCACACAAATCTGGCAAATATCTTTCAAGCCATGGTGTCACGTAATAGAATAGGCAATTGTAGTTATTTAGCATAGCAGGATCAGACCACTTACTATTCGTACAACATGATCACTCAAAACTAGGTCATGGCATTCTTCGATTAATATTCGACACATATCGTGCACCGGTTTGCTCTCCTTTCCGAGCAAGTTTTTGGTCATGGTCACATATTCCTTCTTGATTAGTTCCCTTGTGTGTTAGCAGTACTGAAGCGCCAATGCAAGGGCTATGTAATATCAAAGTCAAAATATCCACCTTAAGCCACCTGAAGCCATTCTTACGTTGTGGGCCCTCAATACAAGCATGGTTTAATAGATCTCAAGGTACATTGCAGGATTCATTGCTAGATTCTACATTTACGTTGCATTAGTCTTTTCAATCATGTCTGTTCCGGGATGTATTCATTGATATGGATTGAAGGAGTCTCAGATGATGCCCAGAGACCGCAGAACCCACACTATTCGAAATACACAAACCGCTGAATCCTAGTTGTCAGTCCTTTTTAGTGCAAATTTCTTCTATCGGGAGCCGGATGGAAGAAGGGGATGAGGCATCCTATCTTGCGTATTGGAATAATTATATGACCATGTGGAGCCTCTGTCCCAAACTGAATCACATCACATCTCCATCTTTTCGTCACCTCAAACCCGTGTTCCTTAATCCAATATCCTCCAAAGAGCTGCTAGATCTGAAAATATGTCAACCTACACGACTCGCAGCTGTTCAAAGCTATTGTTTTTGCATGATGGATCTGATGAGTACGAAGTAAACCAAAGCCCGGCATCCATATTTTCTTTACAGGTGTTGTCGGTAGAAGTCTCCACAGAAAACGTGGGTACCGTTTTGTTCTTGCTTCAAATCCTAGTCTAACGTTTCATAGTTCCTTGGATTGTGTCCGAAACACGGCACATCGAAGGCCGAACTTGTTGTACACAATCAGCGCAATCCCAGAACGATTTTTGATCTCGATATCGAGCAAAGAAGGGGGGAAACTGGAAACTTTGGGACATGACATTCAGCAAGAACTAGAAAGCATGCCGCCGTGGACGCTCCCTATCAATTTTGTGATACTGTCCTCCTTTGAGCGCTTCTTGCTCACCCTGCGCGACACTATCGTCCAAGTATGTGGTGAACAAGCCATTCTTTTTGTTTATGAACCAAGACAGCGATTGGAGCTTTATTCGTCTTGTCTGAGTTCAAGGATTCTGCTATCTAGATACCACCGATTCATCAAGCTTCCCCAAAATACCCCAAATGTCAGCTCGAACCCGCTAAAAATAGAGTTGAGCAAATTGCTGCTTGATGTATCTGATTTATTCTCGAATAGTCGTCGTGTCACATCGTATTCTACTCTGTCAGGGTTTCGTGCTGAGTATTCACCTCGAAGACCTAGCCTCTACATCATATATAAGACGAAAGTATTGGATACGTGGAAAGCGTGGAAGGGCATATGGAGGGGTAGATGGAAATGTTTTGGTAAACTGAGCAAATATGTATCGTGATCTGTATCAGTGGGAACGTATCACCATTACAGAGTTAACAGATTAAAGAGTGATATATGTTATTGGATTCCTCGAAGAGTTGCTCTACCATATCTTCTTTCTGTCACTGATAGACTTGCTTTGCAGTGCTACTTTGTAGCATTCGATATCCATCAAAGGTACTGAATCTTCGCCCTCCTGTGCTATGCAGAAAGAGCACTGTCTAGCGTATTTTCTATATATACTTTGATACCCGAGCAGACTTTTAGGTTCTTCTGAGATCTTCCAGAGGAGAAGGGTGTGATGAATCCATATCCTTCTGCAGTGAAGATACCAAGTTAGGATGTAGTTAGTAGCCTGGTTGCCTCATAACTCATGTCGAGACAATCAGATCTTAACATCCATTCATTTCGCGATCCACATCCTCCCACCTCGGAGAAGATTCTCAGCTACAACACCCATATCTAGATCTGTTCATAGTAATATTCCATGCAGCATCCTTTTGTCTATAAGTATTGCAGCATCTGAGCAGCGTTAAAATCATTTGAATATAACAAGTGAATCCATCATCAGACTACGTTGCGCAAACAATCGTTTGAGCGGTCGTTGAGTCGGTGAAGTCGAGGACTTTGATGATGCCCGGGTTTCAATGATCATGATACTAATATAAGTTGAGAATGGAAAAGTAACAAATAGAGATCTATATGACATTTAGGAATAAACAGCAAGAAATAGACTAATATACACTTGATCTCAAGCCTTACTTCTTGATTCAAATACATCTGATGTAACTATCAGTGCGATAATCATGATGTGTGAATATATATTGGACGCCCCCGGTAAGATTACTTTGACATAAATACTGTACTGTATGTAGTCCTGTGAATAGAAATTGACAAGTGACATACGCAATCATTTGAACTCTGAAGAACTTCTTCCTCTTGATATATCTAGTTTACAAGATCATGATAATTATTCAAAAGTATAGAGGAATTAAAAGTTCTGCCAATTTCCCCAGATCAATCAATCATCAATCATCAAATTGCTCTTTCCAAGTTTCGAAGCGGAGAGGATAATTAAGGTTGAGGAAGGGCTCAATAAAAATATCAAACTTTAGAATGAATGTATACCTTATACCTTGCAAAACAACCGCTAAGAACAAGGTACTAAAACATCACTCTACAGGCACAAATCATCAAGCGTAGCCTGCCCGGCTAGCTCAATCGGTAGAGCGTGTGACTCTTATCATTGAAAGATGTTCATAGTCAATCACAAGGTTGCGGGTTCGACCCCCGCGTTGGGCTCAATCCCCTTCGTTTGCTTGAAACCTTTTGTGAATAGAAAGTTTTGTTTTAGCTTGTATGGGTTTTTTTAATTATTTTTGTGGTTGTTTTTTGGGGGGAGGAGGGGTGGTGGATGGAGTGGCGGAAAGAGATTTCTTTTTGGTGGAGCGGAATTTGGTGGTGCTCGCTCGGGTAGTGAGTGGGAAATATTCATCTTTAGCTGCTGTACTCGTATGTAGTTTGTTGTTCTATATTATAAATAAATAGATCTTAAAATCGAATATAGAAAGAAAGAAAAGTAATATATTATATGTGTAAAAGGTATCTAGTAATTAATAATCGTACGATATTCTGCTTCTAAATTTTACAATATATTATCTACGGAACCTGGCCAAGGCAAAGATGGAAAAAGGAAGTCAATGGTAATGGTTTGGTGATTAGATAATAAGAGAGAATGGGATGGGATGAGAGATTGAAAACATTATAAACGTCACAATATCCTCTAAATATCTATTTATATTGTCTTATCATCTCATCTCATCTTGTACATGATGATATCTCCTCTAGATATTTGCACCATCTCACATCTATCCTCCCTATCCTCTCTATTATCTCATCTCAACTCAATCACCACCTCCACCTCCACCTCCATCCACCTCAAATAAACCCGCCATCTCAATCAAAATCTATCCATCCATCCATCAAAATCATAAGAAAAACATCAAACTCCATTGCTGCCATACAGATGCAATCCCAAACAATACATCATACATCATGCAATAACCCAAATCTTAAGTATCCTCATATTTCATCTCATTAAAAGAATGATCTCGTGTGAATGCAAGAGATTTGTACAAAACAAAAAACAAAAATAAAAAACAATAAAACGAAACGCCTTTTGAGATATGTATCTATATATAGGATATATATGCCCGGGGTTATCATTCCATGCAGTGCAATGCAGTGCATAATTATCGCTAAAAACAAATCAAGAAAATCCCTCATTCTATATGCCAGAGAAAGAAAGAAACTCTACATAGCATAGAATAAACCCGCACCCAGAGCAGCCATCCCATACGCCAACGGCGGGGGAGTTTGAAAAGCCGCTGCATTTTTCGATTTGGATCCCGAATTCAAAGTAACTGATCCGCTAATAACAGCACCCGAACTATCCGAACTGGCTGTTGCTGCGTTGGAAACTAAGGCAGCATTCGGAACCGCTGATATACCCGTGGTAATTTCAACCACGTTAGTAGCTGTTGCGTTGAAATTTGTTTGGGCGAGGGAAATTTCATTATTGGCGAGATCGTAGACAATATAGGCAGAGCGGATGAAGGTATCTCCAAGAACGGCGGTACTTTCTCCTGCGGGAGCAATACCGAAGAGACAGGCTGCGGTGCCGTCAGTGAATCTTAATTGTTGGCCATTGCTGCTAGTAACTGGGATGACGAGTTCGTCCATGGTGACTTGAATGGTTGGGGAAGTGAAGGTAAAGTTTAGGGCGCTGCTATTGGAAGCGAGGGAACATGGGACGTAGGCGGCTCCTTCACTATAATCATATTGTGCGTCGACTTGTTCGTAGATGGCTTCAGCGATGGCGTCTGGGAGGTAAGTGAGGGAACTCCCGGAATCGAGAAGGACAGCGAGGGATTGATCTTGGGCGATGACGAGATTTCCCAACATAACTTCTGTTAAAGTAATGAGAAACTCGGCATAGTATCCGGATTCTTTTTGAATCGGGAGTGTTTCCAATTGACCGTGATATCGAGCGGTATCGACACCACCGAACAAGATACTTCCAGTATTGGCATCCAAATCGTTAAGCCATAGGGAGAAAGCATTTGAATTGATCAAACCATCAGAAACCATTTGTGCTGGTAAGTTTTTATATGCCGATTTCATGGCTCTTCCGACCTGAACCTCATTAATCTCGTAACCAACTCCTAGAATACCTTCAGGTGAAGAACTGGTATATCCAATACCAAACTGTAATTTGTCTAATGTCGTTGATCCAATCGTAAAGGTATCGGTAACATAATCCCCGGAAGCACCAGATCCATCAACGTAAGAAATATTAAAATCACTCGCTACATATGCATATGTTGATGATGAGTTGGCAGAATATGTTCCAGCAGCCTTACATGGACTTCTTCCCTCACTACATAAGGTCGAGGTAGCAGTATTGACCCATAAATCACTACTACCTGTGTCGATATGTAACCGTAAACTTTGTGCTGGTGTCCCTAATGTTCCATTGACGAAATATAAAGTTTCCTAACTTTAATCAGTATTATGCCTGTCGCGGGACCTAATGAATTTCACTAACCTCATTATCTAATGTAGCCGCAACTGTTTTTGACCTCCGCCTTAATTTCCTTAATTTGTCTCTTGCTAAAGGATTGTCCACTTGTTTCCGTACCATATCTAGCGCAATTACTCTTGCTGATGCATCGCTTCGTCTCTGTAATTGAAGTGCATCGGTACACGCTGATAATAATCCCACAGCAGCCGCAATGAATGTCGTCGTCCTCATGATTGGAAACGTATTTATTGGTGGTAAAGAAAATCCCCTTGTATGGATTCCTATCCAATATGGGATGTGAAATCGGTATATATTGTTCGGGTGAATCCAGATGACGCGGACAATAAACACTAATTATTTAGCTTCGACCCTGGAGACCAAAAATTTGTTATTTCCGAAATCCGAGAAGACCGGAAAATCCAATGTAATAAAAAATAAGTTCAATGTGAAAAATGATTTGTTGGTTGGGAGATTGATTTGGAAGTTGTACTTTCAAAAATCAATCTTGAATGAATCTGATGTTTTCTACAAGTTCCCGAGTACCTAGCAACAAAAGATATCTGCGACAAATGGCGAAACTCCTAATTGTGGCTGAAGGTATGAGAGTGCCAAGAGAATAAGTTTATGCAAATTCGTGGAGTATCCTTTCTTGGTATTCCCAAAGAATTTCAAGCGCCTTCTACTGTAAGGCTGCAGACCCGTGAATTTGTCTTGTCCTGTATCAAATGGTGGGTAGCGGACTGTTGGGAAGCGCAGCGGTTATAATGCCGAGAAAGGCTGAGGGAATCAAAGGTAGGGTAGGAGGGAAGGAGGAGCGGGGAGAGTAATACAGGAATCAAGATAAGCAACTCTCTTAAGATCAAGGATGGAACAAGGTGAAAACGATCCTAGAGTAGAATTGAGAAAAGTAGCGGTAGAATTATCTAGGTACTGTATGGGAAGACTTGTCAAAAAGCTTTGAACATTTGAGTTGTCGTTCCTCATATATGATACAAGATTGAATGATTCCAAAGAATCCGAATTTGTGATTCGACCCTTTTTCTATACCTTGGTACGTAACCTTGGCTAGTTTTGTTGGTGAGCACTGAGTACGACGTAGATGCTGGGATTAGAAAAGGTCAGGGGTTCCGCAAAATGACGCGGCCTATGCTACGAAGCCGGGGCGGGTACGATGAAAATCAGAAAATCAACGGTCTGTGATTGGAAAAATTCATGAGAATAAAAAGAATAAGGGTATGAGTGTATTGATAACAAGTGCATAAGGGGGTGGATTGGCAACAATTTGAGCTGCGAGAAAGACGTATGAAATGAAAGCATGAAAGCAAGAAATCATTCATCAACCAATGATATCAAAAGGAATTCCTTCACTTGAAATCCTGCGCCCCAGACTCTCTTCCTAAAATTCTAAATAGATTCAGGTTCCATTTAAAAAAGGAAGAGGCGATGCAGTGGAAATGTAAAATCAGCGAATCATAAGATTCTCATCCAACAATTCCCGACTTTTGGTGAATCTGCGCGTAATATACAGTGTAGCATCGTACTATTTCCATCCACTTACTCACTGCACAAATCCTCTAGTGAGTTTCAAGGATCTGCGAGAGAGGAAACATACTAATGATACCTACTATTCATTGCCAAATTATTGGCAATAAAATAGTTTGTATCGAGTATGACTTCTCATTTCTTTCTTCTCTCGACGCTCAGACATGGAAACAGTTCATGAAGCATTGAGGATGGATGTGATACTCGCGACGACGGCAAAGCGCGTTTGCTTGAAACACCATGACAGCCTTTTTCCCAGCGACGAGAGCACCATGATACAAAGCATGGATAGAGATTGTTTTAAACTTGACCCAGAAGAGATGCGGATAGTTTCTTGCGCCCGGTCCTTTAATTGAGCCTTGCATCTCGTTGATGGAAAATAGTCTCAATAATCGGATGAAAAGATAAAAGGTAGAAAGTGGATGGAGTAGGGAGTAGAGAGTAGGGAGTAGGGAGTAACCTTAGGGAGGATGTAGGATTGATCATGAGCAAGTTCAACACGTACTCGGTATTAAAATGGAAAGAAGGAAAAGCATATTATTGATAGATACAGGAAATACAATAATAAGGAGTGGACACAATCCGTAGCATATTCGTCACATCACCGCATGTACTCGTAAGCAAACAGTGGCGACGGTGATATCGGGATTGGGAGAGTCGCATCGAATATTTGGGGACGGAGAATTAACGATTCCATATTTCTTTTTCAAGTAGAATCACTTTAATTGCCGAATCCCCGAGTGACACATGGATAATTTCTTCCGCTTTTCCGACGCGGAACTCGGCAGCTACAGCCACAGCCACAGCCACAGCTACAGCCACAGCCACGGCCACAGCCACAGCCACTTTACAGTAGATACTTTTCTTAGCGTCGTTATTCGAATTCAGACGAAGCGATAACCTTATTATATACACCGATGCATCATGATAATGTTTATAGTACTACCTAAGCATTTCAAACGTTCTTACCAGTGGTGTGGTCTGATTGAATTGCTGGAATGAATTTAGGAAATGAATGATGTTCCGAACTAACAATTCTTCTACAATGTCGACGTCAGACAAACACAGCAAAACTTTCAAACCAGGACCTCAACAGTAAAGACGACATCTAAACAAAATGGTGTTTTTCTACCCAGCACTCATCCTCCTTTCCTTCCTCCTCTACAATATACACTCACTATACTCAAACTACAGAAATGCATCAACATTAGGTTTACCCCGAATAGTCAGTCCCATCACCCCCGACAACCCCTTATGGATTGCTTTCCAAACCGCATTCAAAGTCTTCGTCCGGAGATTTCCCTTCGGAGCAACTTCTTTCACCAGATACACTCGTTTGGGCTGGGAATTCCATGATAGATTCCATACTCATGTACGGCTTGGCGATGGCTGGGTTCTGGTGACACCGGGAAGGAATTGGGTTTTTATTGCGAATGCTGCCGCTGTGACAGATATATTCTCCAGAGGGCGTGATTTTGTGCGCCCTTTGTGGATGCTTGGTAGCTTATTTTATTTTGCAGCTTAGATCATGGGGTACTAATATTGATTCAGAAACTCTCAGTGTCTTTGGACCAAATATTTCCACTGTAAGATATGTTCAAGCTGTACCAGGACTAAAAACTCATAAGTGTTAGGCTGAAGGTCAAGACTGGCAGAGACAGAGAAAACTCACTGCTACTCCGTTTAATGAGCAGAAGAGCCCTCTAGTATGGAACGAATCTTTTCGCCAAGCTAAAGATATGTTGCGCGCTTGGTGCTCTCGGAGTCGAGATGGAATTACCACAACACCGGATGATACCAGGACATTGGCCCTGCATGTACTTGCATATGTAGCCTTCCAAAAATCATATCCGTTTGATAGTATCTCACACGGTAAAGCTGTAAACCAAACTTCTTTAACTTATCGGGATTCTATCGCCATCATTCTAGAAAATGTTTTGCTCATTATGGTTCTACCGGAGAAGGTATTCACTCTACCATTCTTGCCACGAAGCTTCCAACAAGTTGGCTGGGCTATTAATTCATTCCGTGAATACATGACAGCTCAAGTAGCAGCCGAACGAGAATTGATCCGGAATGGCGAGGCCGGTACAGGTAACCTCGTTAGTAATTTGGTTCGCGCCTCGGACAAAGGTCTAGCAATAAGCTCAGAATCTGGTAACAGCAGCAAACTCAAGCCTTTAACCAACGCCGAAATCTTCGGTAATATCTTTGTTTTCAACTTTGCTGGACACGATACGACTGCTATATCACTTGCTTATGGCATGCTTCTATTAGTTGCACATCCCGAAGTTCAAGATTGGGTCCATGAAGAAATTGAACACTATGTAGGGAATCAAGACCCTAAACCCCTGGCATACAATGAAAATTTTCCCAAACTCAAACGAATACTTGCAGTTTTAGTAAATCTCTTCCTGTTGGGATTCGACGTCAAGTGGGCTAACCAGCTATTCCAGCTCGAGACTCTACGTCTTTATAATCCCCTTCCTGGTGTACCCAAATATACCGGTTCTAAATCCACCGATCTCAAAATCAACAGCCACACTTATCATATCCCTGCCGACTACCTGGTAGTTCCTCACCTCCAAGCCTTGCACACGCATCCACGGCATTGGGGAAGCGACTCTCTAGTATGGCGCCCGCAAAGATGGATCGAGCATCCAGGAGCCCTCGATCAAGAAACCTTATTCAATCCAACAAAAGGGACATATTTCCCATGGTCAGAAGGACTACGAAATTGTCCGGGCAAAAAGTTCGCACAGGTTCAATTCGTGGCAACGTTGACTGCACTCTTCATGAATCATATTGCGGAGCCTGTTCCCATCGCGCATGAATCGATTGATGCGGCTCGTAAGCGGACTTTGGATATTGTGCGGGATAGTCATGTAGAGTTGTTATTGCAGATGGCGAATCCGAGGAATGTTTCTGTTAGATGGGTGGAAAGGACAGCTAAGAATTGAGGAGAAGTGAAAGTCAAGTACAAGGTGAAGAAATAGCCAAGTTGGTTATAATATATGATTCTTAGACTGCACTGCTTAACCTTATGTATCTTATCAAGGTAGACGCTATCTTCATCACAGGTCTGGTTGAATAATTTTCTACATTAACGGAGTTGCACATCATGGTTTGGTAGGTTACCATGATGAAATCTGCACATTTAGATATCTCCGTCTATCAAAGAGTTGGATAAATACGCAATTCCATATGATCCTATGATCTTAAGATCTCGGAATATTATGTCAATATTGCAATTGGTAATAAGATTCCATAGTCCGTTCGTGTGAGATATCAAGAAGAATTTCTATTCCAAGCTTCAAGCTAGATTATAGTTATCTGAAGAGTCTATTTCCATAGATAGATAGTTCATCGATAATATAGGAATAAAAATCTCAATTCATATGCAAGATTATCTCATAGTGGATTGGGAATTTTGAGGTTATTTGAAACTATTACTTGTTATAGTCAGATAATACTTAAAGCTTTTAGAGATTGATGATTTTGCAAATATTGAAAGTATCTGGAGTAGGTATTGAAAATTCTTCAAAACACCCGATTGCATATAGTAAACACAAAAAATCCCATCTCGACAATTGCAAAGGAAATCTTGCCAATATATTGAAATTTATACCCGGGTATCTATATACATACAAATTACAACGCCCTTCCTCCCTCTTCCTTCTTCCACTGACCCCTCCTTCTCTCTACTAAAATTAAGCGCCCAAATCATAATAAATACACGTTCCCGTTCTAAAATTATAAACAAACGCATTTCTTGTGATGTCTTTATTTTGAAAAGCCAGAGTGCTCATCAAATCATGAATCTCACCTATGTAGCGACGTTCGGTCGTGGGGACTGAATGGGTGACTTTACGCCAGGAGTCGGGATCCGAGAGTTTGGTTTCACGGATGAAATCCATTACCTAGGGAGAGAAAGTGTTATTAAAATGAATGATGAGATACCATGAAGCGAGAGGAGACGAAAGGCTACAGGAGAGGTGTTTAATGAGGGATGCATATGGAGAGAGTGACCTACGTGGTCTGTTGTTTCAATGGCAGCGATAGGGCCGTCTAAGAAAGATTGAACGACTAGGGTGGAAACGTTAATATGCGTCTTCTAGAGCACTGAGGATTAAGAAATTATAACTCACGCGTTGCTGCTCTACCTTGAGCTTGGTCTACAATACTTCTTCTATTTGACTTCTTGCTCTTCGTACCGGCGAACAAAACTCGTACGTCCTGCTCATGCTCACTCGGTCCTGTGTCGGGTTGACTATGATGGCGAGATAGTCTAATAAATGCATTAATATCCTCATATTTTGGAGACTTCCAGACACACTTACTTTGCCCGATTGTATGTTCCTTCCCTCTGATCCCTCTCACGCATTTCACCACGAAGCCATGAAACTAATTGCGTAGAAGGAATATCGGCATCAGGTATATCCTTTCTGCCAGTAGTCTTGCATCTCACCACGGAATCTTGCTTGATAATAACTATCCAAGAATAACTATCATCTCGGTATTTAGAAAGAAGATCTTCCGGGGAACGTGAGTCTCGTGCTAGCTCGGCACTTATGTCATGCGACCATAAGTTTGAGACAAGCTCAACTCCGGTTGATCTCAGTATCGCTGCATCATGACTTGCAACGAGTACATCGCACTATTGAGCAAATTAGCTGTGGCTCTCTGAAAAAATACGCGAAGCTCATCCAGCTGAGAAGGATGAATGCGGTGGTACTGACTCTTTTTGTGCTCCAGATACCCTGTACTTCCTCATCGGGCCTCTTTAAGAAACCTTTTGAGTTCGACTTTGGAAGCCTAGCCATCTTTTCCCATGCTAGATTGAAACCCACAGCATGTCGTTCCTCATTGATATTCTTGTGATGACGGTTTTCTCGGATCAAAGAATCATATCGACCTCCTGCTGCAAATACATCTCGGACCTTTCTGTCATACAAACAAGAGAAAAGTACGCCACCCTTGTAAAATTTCTCTTTTAGACTTCCTAGAGGATGGACATAAATCTTTCTCTGGACCTCAAAACGTTTTGTATATCTGTACTGGCACATTAGCGATGCTTAGTTGAAAGACACCAGAAAAATTGGAACACATACTCGATCACATCACGTAGATGCGCGATAGAAGAAGAGGCCTTTTCGAACATCTCGGTACCTTCGAAGATTACTTTTAGCTTTTGAAAAGCTTTGCTGGGAGTATCTCTGAAATCAAATCGTTGAAGATCCTCGACGCTAGTGGCGGATACCTAAGTTTGGGTTAGCAAGTAATTTCACTTGAATGGAGAATCTCAGTAATGATTATTCAGAAAGTCTGAAAATGTAAGGAGAAAGTAGACGGATAGTTTGGTGACGGATCTGCACTTTCTGTTATTAATACGTACCCCTACCAATGGTGATCGAAGTTCTGCTCGTATCTTCTGCCATGTCCATTGCTGTACATTTAATTTACTAAGTGTATCGGCTGCAGCTTGTCGTATACTGGGTTCGATGCGACAGAAGTCGAAGATTAGACCAAGTAAATCTGCATGATTTATATGGAAGCACATTTGGGACGAAGGTAGAGATGGAAAGCTGGCAACAATCTCATCTAGAACCTTGATAACCTCAGCCTCTTTTAATGCAAGGTCTAAGCTATCTGAAGTGACAACATCAAAGTCCACTTCACTAAAGTTTGTGGGTAGCACCGTCGTGCTTATCTCGAAAAACAGTACCAAATGCGAAGGATCTTTCCACGGGAGGTTGATGTTTCGCAATAGCACGAGCATTTGGGACAGTGAGATCATAGGGTAGCTGTAAAAGAGTACCACTTTTGTCTAATAATTGGACAGCATTGATACCATAATGATCAGATGATGGGAACAAAATACTTCGCGGTGTTTCTACGGCTCCATGGTTGCGGAAAATGGAAATTAACTTTTGCTTCACGAGCCCTTGAAGTAACAAGTCATTACCACTGGGTGTCGGAACTCCCATATCCCACGCATAGTCCTTTGCTCGTTTTGTTGGTCTAGAGAAGAGAGCACTCATCATTTTTTGATGATATGGCGATTTCGAGTCGGATAAACCAGCTAAAGTTTGGCGGATCGTTTCGCTTTCCATCTGGACCGGTAACTTCCTACTCTGAAGAAGTTCAGAACTTGACGGCCGCTCCTTTGGATTATGGTTAAGTAGGGACAAAACAATATCTGCCTGAACGGCTTTTTCGGCCTTGTCAAAATTCGCTGGAAGCAACGGCTCCTTCTTCCGTAAACCATCAACGACTTGTGCCTAAACTTATAGTTAGCATCGAATTGAAATATACAATGAGAGGCTAGTCGCGTGTGTCTATTTGATCTCTGAAATGAAACGCATAACGCATGATATGGAGTCATTAGCGAAGTAGATAGATAAATAATATACTTACTCTTTCCATCCCAACTAATGGCGTATAGCACATCTCGAAGAATATCACACCAAGAGAGTACATGTCAACCTTGCCAGTGTATGGACCCCAGAGACTGCTGATCGAATTTCGGGTGCAATATAGGAGAAAGTACCGATACTCCTTGTTAAATCCCCACTATTCTGCATCGCAGAAGCTGACGATTTATCGATTGCAGAGTATTGGCCCCTTGTAGCCAAACCGAGGTCGCCTATTTTAACATTAGAGGCACCATCGATAAAAATATTCTCCGGCTTGAGATCGCGGTGAACAAAGTTCAAGCTATGTATATGGGCAAGACCTTCGAGGATCTGACGGAAAAGACGCCATATTTCCTCGTTGTTTTTATAGAGTCCTCGTCGAATAAGATCGCGAAGTGTTCGCTTCTCACAATATTCCATAGATATGTATAAGATTGTTTTGAATGGGCGCGAAGGCCGCGGACTAGATCTACTTCCCCTATGTGCTAGAGCAACACGCTCATGTCCCCGGTTTCGGGGATGTCCGTTGCGTTCTACGGAATATTCGTCGTCATCGTCATCGTCATCATCTTCATCCTCATCGTCATCCTCATCCTCATCATCACTGTCGCTTGCCTCATCATAACCGAATTCGACTTGGTATCCGCTGGTAGACATGAAATCCAGTCCACCGGTACTAGTCCCGAATTCGATATGAGCTTCTGATCCTCCAAGAGAAACGTTACTAGATTCTTCAGTGGCAGCATCTGTTGTCGTATTATCGTCATCCGTCTCAGAAAGATCAGGAACCTCTTCTGTCCATGTATTAAAGTAACCTAAGGGAGAATAAGCATGTTTTGATAAAGTGATTATTTTCATCCTCTGCCAAAGGATCGTAATAGTTGAGCACTCTTTCTCCCAGTCCACTCTTAACAATTTGGGGAATCAAGAATAACACAGGAATAGGTCTCCAAGTTTGGCTCGTCTGGTATAAAATATACGAAAAAGAGTACTTACGGACAACAGAAGGGTGGTTGAGTTGGGAAAGTAGGCGAGCCTCTTTTAAGACATCATCTAGCTGAGCAGAAGACTTTTGAGTAATCTTTTTAATGGCATATATCTGCCCATCTAGTTTTTGCCTTGCTTTTACCACCTCTCCAAACCCCCCTTTCCCTAAGCGACCTTCCTCCACAAAATCATGAGCATATCTTGAGAAAGGTCCACTAAGACTCATAGAATCATGCCTAGGTCTACGTGGAGTAAGGGGTGCTAAAGATGAGGTGGAACCAAGTCTTAACATTAGAGCAGACGAATCTTCGTCCATTATCGGAGCATCAGTAACAAGAAATTTGCATGAGCCTATCCAATTTTGTCATTATACGGACGACCAGGACTCTGACAAAAAGTCTAAATTGTACAAGAGTACTCACTGAGTGCAAAAGCTCGTGGCCGCTTTTCGGGTCAGGATTGAACAGCTTGAGCATAAAATCGTGAAGAGCGTCTGACAAATCCAATGAGTCTAGCATAGCCTTAGGTGACGTATATTTCCTAGTGACATTTAAGCCAAAAGCCATTTGAAGGAACACGATGCCAAACTCCCAGATATCTGTTTTTGCAGTTCGTGGGCCATCATCCGAATTTGCTATTTCCGGAGGAAACCAGTACGCAGATTTTGCCATGGCAGAGCTATCTGTCTTCCCTTTCGCGGTTTTACCACTCAAGATATGTAGCTTTCGCTGATACCCAGCATCAGAAAGTTTTGGCCTGACAACTCCATCCGATTCCCGGAAAAGGAGTACGTTCCCACTATGTATATCCTAGAACGGTGAGTGTCAGCATTCTGGTGAAGGGCGCGGAAAGACGGGCTCATTTGCTTACCTCGTGGATTATGCCGTTTTCTTCGTGGAGAAACCTTAAAGCGTCTAATAACTCTATCGTCCATGAACGAACTTTGTTGACATTCATGTTCTCGACGATATCTAAGAATTCCTCCAACGAACCTTTCTCGGCATACTCGCTCAATGTACTGACGTTCCAGGAAGACTCGTTTCTGCGGCACCGACAAAATTAACTTCCACTATACAAGGCTAAAGCGACTTGACTTGAAAAGTAATAAACACTCACTCTTCCTTTTCCACCTTGAAATCCAGGAGATTAAGGATGTTGTCGTGTCTAATGATTCTGAGCTTTTCTAATTCATTCTCCATCGCTTGCAGTCCTCCCTTGATGCCACGATCATTCAAATTCGTATCAAGCACCGCCTGCTTCAAAACCAATAACGGGGCCTGGGAGCTGACTGCTGGTCTCACGGTGTAGCAACGAGAAACAGGACCTTGACGGATGAGTGATTTACCAGTCACCGCCTGAAAGTACACAGGGTTACCATCAGCATCCAGGATCGAGACTTGACGATCTAATACTTCGTGATCTTGTGGCGATTTTCCAATCACTGAATTAGATACAGTAATTGAGGGAGGAGGCTGGTTCTTCCGCTTTGTCTCTTTCGCCTTGGCTCGCTGTCTCTTCAACTCATCCTGCACCAATGAACCAAGCATTCTTTCCTCTTCCTGGGACTCAATTCTATTCTACATTTAGAGTTTTCCACAAGAGATTGAGGAATCTGTTGGGCCGAGAGCGGCAAACCAACCCGAAAAAGTAAAAGGGAAACAGAGATGTACTGACATTTTCTTCTTCTCTTCCTCTAGACGCTGATCTTCCATCATCTGTGCAGCAGCCGCTTCATGAGCTGCTCGCTCTTCTTGTAGAGTGGGTAGTACTCGTCCTGCAGCTTTTGCTTCGGCAGCCTGCTCTAACACTTCCTGACAAGCAGTTACAATTTCCATGATCATAGCTTGCTCTTCCTTGATCAGTTTTTTAGGTAAGGTCTCAATAATCTTCTGGAGTTTAAATTTTGTAGAATCTTGAAGGCCATCAGTATTCTTCAATGTCAACAATGGCGCCGACCTCGGGTAAGTGAGGGTTAGGGTGACTCCTAACGTCACCGAGAAATCCTCATCATCAGTTTTTATGGATATTTCAAATGATGGTTCCGATTTCTGTGTAAAATTAGATTTATCCATGTAAGCCCCCAAAAGAGTATTGACGTACCTTCCATGCTGATTGATGCGTTTCAATACGACGAAAGTCTTCACCGTATATTGAGGCGAGAGCAATAAGCTCATCGTCTTGGATCTCTTGATATGGAGATATTGGTGAGTCATTTCCAGCATCATTGTGTTTCAATGCAGGAAATGTATTCAGGGACTTTTTCTGCTGTGCTTTCCTTCCCCATGGACTACTTGCTGGAGGCATGATGGAAACTGGGCTATGGCGCTTGTTCGCTGATATCAATATCGCAGTACTTTATATATTTCAATATCTGAATTCGTCGTTAAGATTCAAAAAAAGCAAGAAATACGTGCGGCCAAGGCCACAGCATCGCCTAAGAGGACATTTTGAATCTCCCGAGTTCAAATTTAAATTATGTTGGAAATTTATGAGTCGTTTAAGTCACATTTTCCCTCCCTCGAACCATGTACACAACGACTTTGAAGTTTGAACTTATCAATGGCAAGGCTGAGTCTTCAGCTTATCTGATAAAGAGTATGATGTTCTTGTCGCACCACATTAGCGCTAGTCTCTTTGTAGCAGAACCTCCGTCATCCGATGCTTTGACCTTATCGCACAAGGCGGCAAAATTTCTGGTGAGTCAATTCCTTATCTGTTGCGAGTTCTTTCCAGTAGAACATAAAGTGCTAGGTAAGCCAATTGATCTTTTGTGTCAATTCAATTGGTATTACTCTAGCAAGATACGCTTTACGTCTTGCTATTCTCACGCAATGGTTCTCAACGCAGGTACAAAGCTTCCAATAGCTCGATTGATCAGACCAACAGCTTCCTATTACCCCGCAATTAGTAGTATTCGATACTATTCTGCACCACCTGAGAGCACGATACCGGCCGCAAAGCTAAAATACATTCCCACGAGCGGCACATACCCTAAAGGATTTCTAGTTTCTGGAACCTACGTAGGAGTTAAACCAACCAACAAATCTACGCCTGATCTTGCTTTCCTTGCCTCGGAGACACCATGTGCGGCTGCAGCAGTGTTCACGAAGAACAAGTTCCAAGCGGCTCCTGTCACCGTTAGCAGGAAGATGCTACAGAGAAGGAATAATGCTGGAATTCGTTCAGTCATTATCAATTCGGGCTGTGCAAATGCTGTGACCGGGAAGGGTGGAATGGAAGATGCTGAGAAGATGGGAGCTGAAGCTGATAGATGTTTTGATGCACCAAGTGATGGCAAAGGTGGGAGTTCAATAGTCATGAGCACTGGTGTAATTGGTCAAAGGTTTGGAATCCTGTCTCTACTTCCAGAAATTTTGCCATTACTAAAGCTCTCTCAGATTGCCAATCCAGAAAATATTACTTAAAATACCTACCGCCTTCGACGGTCTGGGAAACTCACACAACCATTGGTTGGCGACTGCAACCGCAATTTGTACCACCGACACATTTCCAAAACTCTTATCCCGAACATTCTCCTTACCCTCTTCTCCAGGGGTCGAATACAGAATGGCTGGTATGACAAAGGGTGCCGGAATGATTCATCCGAATATGGCGACTTTGTTAGGAATGATTGCAACAGATGCACCAATAGCACCGGTGTTACTGCCATCTTTGCTTAAAAACGCTGTTAATAAATCATTTAACAGTATATCCATTGATGGTGATACCTCTACGAACGATACGGTTGCTGTTTTGGCAAACGGAGCAGCAGGGGGTAAGGAAGTCACTTCTGAATCATCCGAAGATCATGCTGCATTTCAAAAGGTTCTGACCGAGTTTGCTACTGGTCTTGCCAAGCTCGTCGTTCGTGATGGTGAAGGTGCAACTAAGTTCGTCACTATCCGTGTAACAGAGGCCCCGTCAGAGATTGGAGCACGTAAAATTGCTAGCACAATCGCAAGATCTCCACTAGTAAAGACGGCATTGTATGGTAAAGATGCAAACTGGGGCCGTATACTATGTGCTACTGGCTATTCCCAGATCTCAGAACCAGGCGAGCCGATAAATGAAGTTCCAGATATCGTCCCTGAGAAGACTAGTGTCTCATTCATTCCCTCAGATGGCTCACCGGAGCTTAAACTTTTAGTGAACGGAGAGCCGGAATCAGTGGACGAGACTCGTGCTGCCGAAATCTTGGAGCATGAGGACCTAGAAATATTGATAAGGCTCGGAGGTGGAAAGGAAGAGGCCGTGTACTGGACTTGTGATTTCAGGTAGATGCTCAACATATCAACTAACAAGACAAAAGCTAACCGGTATAGCCATGAATACGTCACAATTAATGGAGACTACAGGACATAAGTAATGCAAAGTGAGGTGAGGTCAAGAAAAAGAGAATTTCGATCTAAAATCATTCCAGGGCAAGACGTTTTAAGTGGGGATAGAAGGGAGTTGTAGGGCAGTGCGTAACAGTAAAAGTGAATTTTGGGAAAAGCATAGCAAGATAATAGAAATACCCAAGCATCTATGAAAACCACGGTAGAGGAGTAAAAAGAGCTACAATTCGATCCTTACCTTTGCATTCTCAAACCAACTGTACATGCGTCTTGTGCCATTTCAGACGACCATTCATCCAGGGTTCAAACCGGCTGGCATCGTGACTTGATTCTCATTAAGGTTTCTGCCAGCAGCCTGATGAAGGTATGTGTGCAATGCTAATTTCATTTTCTCTCGTCCACGTATGTACAGAACAGACCACATTTCCACCTCACCCTCTCTCAACACTTTCAGGGGTCCAGGCGGTGATCTTTGGCTTCACACTTATAAAAATATCAGCTCACACCCATACACTCCAGCAAACATATCGAAAATATAAACACTCACGTAGAATAAGTCTTGAAAGCGCCACGGCTCATGGTGAAAGTTGGTCTGTGGTGCGGCAATTCCCAAGGACGTACTCCGGTCTGTAAGATAGGATCTTGGGTCGGTGGCTTATCTACCATGTATGAGATCCAGGCGTGCCATCCGGGCTCGATTTGACACCTGTGAGAATCGATAAGTATCAAGATAAGATAGCTCAACGAGGAGCGCTAGATGTTCCTTACGCGCTGAATTCATCGTCTTTGTAGTCTACCCATCTCGTGCGTACTGTATATTTCTATGAGCATATTTGGACTTATATATGGCATGTTATGCGGATTCCGTACGTGGTAATTCGTCCTCCAAGTTCTCGAAAAACTTGTTGCCATATCCATCCTTTCCGATCAAGGTTCCGGCTTTGGTATCACCTGTTTTGCATGAGCTTCAGTCTTTCCACCATCGTTTCGAGCATTGGATACCTTGGTACTGTAATTCGACATCCACCCATTAGCTCCAGAGTTCGCGACGTAGCGGGCTGGTCGTAAGGTGTACTTACATGCATTTGATGCATAGCATCCTATATCTAAGTTAGCAATCGGCTGGCGCAACTCGAAGATCCTACATACCTTGATACCCACTTTGCGCAAATTGCGCAGTGTTCGCATAATCGTAGACATCTTGTTGGCGTTGCAATGTTTTCCTGAAACACTGAGAAGCAATGAAAGTGTGATGTTCATGAAGTCGTCGCCCATTCGGCACGCCGCTTTTGCGCTAGCGATATCAAACGCTATCGCTATCCTATCGGCTTCCTTTAAATTTCAAATCGTCGACATCGCAAATCGAGAAATTTTAGAGAAGAATTTGGAAAGACACAAGAAGATATGATTATTAGGAGTATTACACGCTGCTCTCGCATTCGAAAGGTTCCTTCTTTTCAAGCACCATTACAACGAATGAAACAGCGCACCTATTCGACATCTACAAGCTCCTCTGCTACCGCGCCCACGGCACCTTCACCAGCCTCCATATTAGGTGCTTTTACGAATGAATGTGATAAAATAGCCCCAAAATTCGAGGTGCATGGTTCGCAAATACAAATACTACGGACGCCATCAGAATTCTACGAGACGTTGAAGGTTGGCACATACTTAAATTGGACATTGGCGGATGGGACGAATGCTGATGGATGGTTCTAGAGTAAAATACTAGCAGCAGAGACACGGATTTTCTTGTCGACTTTGTATATAGGAAAGACAGAACATGAATTAGTACATACAGTTATTCTCCCAGTTCAATAGTACATATGAATGATAACTATGTGTAGATTTCCACACTTCAGCAAGCTCTGCGTGCAAAACCAAATCTTAAGCTTAGTATCCTTACTGATGCGCTGAGGGGTACGAGAGAGTCTCCTAATGCATCATGTGCTTCACTTCTTGCGCCGTTGGTGTCGGAGTTTGGTGCAGATAGAGTTGATATTCGTATGTACCATACACCGAATTTGAACGGGTTGAGAAAAAAGTATATTCCTAAACGAATCAATGAGGGATGGGGTTTGCAACATATGAAGTTGTATGGAGTGGATGATGAGATTATAATATCTGGGTATGCCATCATCAACTCCTTGTCCGATGCAGTTCAGAGGCTAATGAACGTGAAAAGAGCAAATCTCTCCAGTGACTATTTCACAAATCGACAGGATCGGTATCATGTGTTTTCCTCTAGAGAAGTCACTCAGTATTTCTACAGTATTCACAACGCAGTCTCAAGTTTGAGCTTCTTGGTATCGCCAGACCCTCAATTACCTGCTGCATACACACTTGAATGGCCTTCCTCAAACTCCTGTCCTTCCCCTTTGACAGATTCCAAGAAATACATCTCTCACGCATCGTCCATTCTCAAACCATTGATCCAAGCTTCGACAGCATCAAAATCGATACCTAGTGTTCCTCAAGCTAACACAACTATCTACCCCATCTCCCAATTCACGCCACTGTTCCCCTCAAACTCCGACACATCCACCGAGCTCCCCATGCTCACCCGTCTCCTCACCTTCCTCAGTTCACCAACCATCCCCTCATCATGGACTTTCACCGCCGGCTATTTCAATCCCTCCCCGACTCTAACTTCCCTCCTCCTCCACACAAGCTCGAAAAACAATACCGTCTTAACTGCTTCTCCACAAGCCAACGGTTTCTACAACTCTCTTGGAGTCTCCGGCATGCTCCCGGCAGCCTACACACTCCTTCTCCGCAAATTCCTCACCTCCGCTCAAAAACTCCAAGGACCATCCCCCTCCATCACTCTCCGAGAATGGAAAAGAGGAACCGTGAATGAACCCGGAGGGTGGACCTATCATGCCAAGGGACTCTGGGTATCATTTCCTTCCCCCTCCTCACCCGCATCCTCACCCGAGACACCCAAGCCGGCAATCACGGTACTTGGTAGTAGTAACTATACCAAACGATCGTACACGCTTGACCTTGAAACTGGCGTGATGATCGTAACTCGAGATCGGGAGTTGCAGGAGAGATTGAGGCAGGAGAGGGATGGATTGGGTGAATGGGCGAGCGAGGTGGGAATGAAGGAGTTTCAGAGTAGTGAGAGGAGGGTGGGGTTGCATGTTAGGATCGCATTGTGGATCGTAGGCGTAGTGGGTGGCGCTTTGTAGATAACATAGTCCTAGTCATATTGAGCTAAAGAGGAATAGAGAGATGGGGTTGGGGTTCTTGCTATTAGGATTTCCTCGTGGTATGATAGATCAATTTCAGAACATCTCCAAATGGATTTATGATGCAAGCCATCACACGAATGCAACTTGCACAGAGGACATGGATTCCTACAAGATTTTCGTATATTTTATGACGATTGTAACGTAGCTAGCTTTATGCTCACTTTAATGCCAAATTTCACACTACAATTCATCTCTCTTCCTCAAACCCGTCTCCACAGGCCTCATTCTAAACATCTTCACTCCATGCGGCTCCACATCCGCCACCACTGTTCCACTCGGCTGAACCGTCCCGGTCAAATTCCCCAACAACTCACTTCTTCCTGCCGCCAAACCATCCTTATAACTTATTTCCGTAGAATTATACCTACCACTCCCCACTCTGGTAGCATTATACCCCGTCGTCGCATTTCCCGTCGCGGTACTCGCGGTAATGATCGCTTGAGCTGTTGCGTTATTCATACGATTTGCCCAGAGATCTCGTAGTTCCCATTCCATGGAGACTTGTTTTGCTGTGCCTGCGGTGCCGTAATCGATGAAGATGTCGGCTAATGTGGCGTTCATAGTGAGGGGTTTATCACCGCCGTTTATGAGGAGGAGAACAAAGTCATCGGTTGTGCTGTTGGTGGTGGATTGGAGTGAACCGGACCACATTTGGATTGTAGCGACACCGTTTTCGTCGGTGGCGTCGGTGGAGTACATCCAACGACGGGCAGCACTGCTGCCTTGAGGATCTTGATTGACGGCTATAACGGCTGGGTTGGAAATGATTGCTAAATCGGCTGGTTGGATTTTACGGAGGTCGTTACCGAGGATGAGCGGACTTTTTACGATTGCCCCTATTGATTATTAGAAATTTGATGCTTTTGTATTTCATGGCTGGGTAATATAGATTAAAAACTTACACATGCTGAAGTGGGCTACGTATTCTGCATCAGTCATTCCACCGTTGCCGACTTCTAACATATCAAGGTCGTTCCAGGCACCAGGCTGAGCTTTTGAGACAATGAAAGAAGCTTTATTCATTATGTTGACAATTGAGCACTACAAGTCGCGGTGGTTAGTCGTGTAAATTTCCCTAGGACGATAACTTACATGGAAACCAGGTAGTACGCAGTTAAATGCATCAGGGCCATCACTGGAGGTTGTTAGATATATTGTCAAAATTATGGATTGCTCTTCCTTACCAGGGACATCTTGGATCAGCCCTATCCCATGAATCGTACACATCGCCAGATATTCTCCAACTGTTAGCTGTGGTTGAACCCCAGTTCCATGGGGAGTCTTCTCCCCAATTGCAAAGGGAGTAAAGGATAGGGCGCCCAGTAGCATTGAGCGCTTTCGCCATCACTTGGTATCTGGAAGGCATAATTAGCTCGACGTCAACAGAAACAATTAAAGCGCGAAACCTCTAGAACATTGGCATTTCGCTCTCCAACCCCTGATATCCTTACCTTTGCGAACTTAAGTATTGAGTTCCGGCTTGTCCCGTGTTGAAACAATTATCATATTTCAAATAATCAACCCCTACCGAAGCAAAATAGTTCGCATCGACAGTTTCATACCCTAGACTTCCAGCGTATCCACCACAGGTATATTCGCCAGCATCTGAGTACATTCCAAATCCCAAACCAAGGTCATGAATTGCATCTGCTACAGCCTTCATCCCATTTGGAAATTTTTCCACATTGGCGATAAGAGTGTTGTTGTCACTAGCATTCCGACCATTGCTCCAACAGTCGTCAAGAATAACATATTGATATCCCAAGTCTTTGAGTCCATAGTCAACTATTAAATCGGCCGTTTGAAGAAGCAGTTCCTCAGACACATCGCAGCCAAGAGCATTCCAATTATCCCATCCCATCTGAGGGGTCCTTGCTAGGCCATTATTGACGGCATCTGCTCTGAAAGCCAATAAGGCAGTGGTGAAGGCACCGAAGATACTTCTTTTCGACATCTTCAGTTTCAGGAAAGTAAGAAGGAGTGCGTGAAGATATTTCTCTTGGGCAGCCAGTTCTTATAGCCCCAAATCCCCCTAGCCTGAAATTTTTCTCTCTGCATCTAGATACAGTTCATTCTTTCCCCCAATGACTTCACAGATTGGCTAAAAGCAAGATTTTCGGCGGGGTAATGTTGTACCTGGTAACTCGGCATACGCATCATTGTTGAGAGATATGGAGAGTACCCGGCATCGGACATGCAGTATCCTTACATCTCAAAGATGATATTCCTAGTTCAGAACGACAAATCCATTTAATAGAGTTTTTGGTGTACTCTAAATAATTCCAAATCTCTTTCATATGACAGCTCAGCAGGCACTGCACAAAGATCTGGTAGTCAAGATCTTATCTTGCTTTTGGAAAGGAAAAACAAATACCCAGTTATGCACTAGAGTGCTGCGTACCTGGACCTGGTGTCTAAAGTTGGCTCGAATCATCTCTTGACCCCGCATTCCCCACCAATTCCCCGCGTGCACTTTACCGAGGCCGGCGACGACTCTCGTACCAAAGACCCTCAAAATAGATTTTTATTATATTGATAATTATTATTTAATTATGAAAAAAGGTAATACATTAAATTTTAAATTTCTATCGTAAATTTTCTAAATATTCAATTATAAAAGATTTATTTAATATAATTAAAATACTTTTAAAGATTTAACCTCTTCAAAAGAAAATAAATAATTATTTATATTAGAATAATATTTCATTAATATATCTTTTATACTAATTAACATACGAACTTTAATATAAAATAAGAATATATTTTACATGTTACAATTCTTTTTATTGACTTGCTATCGGAACCTTGTATAAATTTTATGAAAATAGTTATAGTTTAAAGAAATCTATTTTCGGTTTTGGCAAGAGAGTCCTTGCTAGCCTCGGTAACCCGGTGAGAATGCTCGGAGGACAAGCTAGATGTGGAATTTCGCATGACAGGAGAAGGAGACAAGGGGTTATTAGACAGGGACAAGCACTAAAACTCCAGTTATTGTAGCTCTGCAGCTTCTTGATGTAAGGCGGTGTAAGTCACACGTACTCTGTCGGTCAATCCACGGTAACTCCGTAGATGTATCGTATCGCGTATTAGCGGGCAGTCTCCAGTGCCGACGCCGGGAAGGCTCGATGGGAAGCAACTGGATGACTGCAGAAGTCGTCATACCAAGTCGCTTTAATGGCGGCTAAACTCTCCTACGCCACCATGCTGCCGGAATAAATGGCAGCATTATTACTTCGTACATGGTAACCTTATTCATAGCCGGCGCCTAATTTGTAAAGTCTCTGTTGGTCACTCAATCGCAGACCCTGAGACATACGAAAGTCAAAACGGAATCATTAGATAAGATATAGTTCTATTTTAGATTGATCTTAGTAAGCAAGAGCGGCCTCTTCAAGCGCCGCCATGTCGTCCAAACTTCTTTTGCTGTTGTTGATTGTCTCAAGAGATTTCAACAATCATGTTCAGTAGTTTGTTCTTACCATAAATTCTTACTTGGGACTTAATAGCCATATGAGTTCAACATGCTTTGAAAGTATTCATGTACTGCTTGGTTGTCTCAAAAGCTATCTTTCTACCCTTGTGCAACAGACACGCCAGCCCAGCCAAGGGTCCCTCACAATCTTACAGTCCTGTCGTTGGAAGCAAGTTGTTGAGAAATCCTTACACAAACCTATCCAATATCATAAAACACGAACCTGCAGAAGCTGAGATCGGCAATAAGATACGACCCCATTCCTACCTTTCCGCGCGCGAGTAGGTCAAGGGTCTTAGGGCATTCTGGTCTGCACGATGGTGAGGTCTTCATGATTCAAACCCAACGCAATATGCCGGAAATACTCCAAAACGAATGCGCTTGGTCGAGCTTCATATTAGTGTTCTTTGTGTCATTATTTTATCCTGGTAGTGCTGGGAACATTGTCACTTTTTGATTTGAATACAAATTTCCAGACTTAGATGTTGGAGGCAGTGCAAATTCGTCGTCAATCGAGGCACAAGGTGTCTTCGTACACATGAAAAATCCGTGATATATATAGAGATTATGCATAATAGCTATCTTAAGACTTTTAATGCGCGAACATTGGCTATTCTTCAAGCACTGCCGCTGCTTAGCTCCCCGGTCCTTACTTATACTATTATTTTCGCTCGTCATCTTCTCACCCACCTCTGAAAGTCTCCAGATCCAAGTTTGTATTGTAGTGTGGCGCTGAGAATAGACGAGTGGATGATGAGGCTCGACTTGAAGCATATCTCGTGAGATCTCTAGCGTAAATAGCCTTAAGCGTCGGGTTCAGGAATTGAATCCTAGAGATACTACCCAAATCCGATCGATCGGGAAGGTGAAAACCAGCACCAAAAGATTTGGGCACGAGATTTTGTAAAGATAATGTACTTCCTAAATGAGTAGCCTGAAAACAAGTGGCGGGTATTCATTGGCTATGAAACATAAACAAGAGTTCTGATTGGGAGATTTTATCACTTTCCTTTATTATTGGATAATTGTACAATGCAAGTATTGTTCGCGCGACTGCAGCCCTTAACGCAGAGGCGACCAGGGGACCTACAATAACTATGAATTGAAAATGCGTGTTCGATGGCCATGGTCTCTCAGCGCACCTGTTGGAGATACTCTGGATGTGAAGATGGATTTCTCTATATATGTAGCAGCTGTCGAAGTACAGTTTTCCATTATCAATCGAATCATTACCACCGAGTCAACTATCTATCATGTCTAGGCCTACGTTCGTCTGTGTTCCAGGCTTTTGCCACACCTCAGCCATATTTGATCCGCTCAGAACTCTCCTCGGCCACTACGGATATCCTGTCCTTCCAGTTCAGCTTCCATCAGTACTTGTGAATGGAGGTCATGCATCAAATGATCCTGCTCAGGATACTAGAGCGATACGAAGTTCTGTCTCATGTCTTGTAGAAGCAGGCCACGATGTCATTGTAATTCTGCATTCTTATGCCGGTGTACCGGGTGGCGATGCCTTGCAAGGCCTAGGCAAAACTGAGAGGGCACAAAGGGGCTTAAGCGGTGGAGTTCTACGAATCGTATTTGTCATGGCGTGGATCGTCCAAGAGGGCTTTAAACTTTGCGAAGAAGGAGATTATAGTTCTTTCCCACCATATATGCATTGCAACACAACTTCACGTGTAAGTCGTACGATCCAAATCTCTCCTTTCAACCAAATACTTTTGATAAGATTCGGAAACCACAACCTCGCCAAGGGATTTTATCCTCACTCCAGCACAATATTTTTCTTTACCTCTGCCAGACTCTAGCTTACTATTCGCTACATGTTAGAAAAAGGCCGGCACTGTGTCTATTCCATCTGCATTGGCGATTCAATACTTTTACAATGACTTACCTCATGACCATGCCGAATACGTGAGTTGTTCTAGCCAAAGCAGAAGTACTGCTTACTAAACCCTCTAGTATGCACACATTATGCGCCCCCAAGCTACATCAGTATTGTACCACCGAACCACAATTGCGGCATGGCGCACAATCCCTACCACATACGTTCTATGTCCCCTCGACAACGTGCTTACTGATGCATACGCACGACTTATGCTTACTTCAGCTCAAGAATCGGGTAGTAACATCGATACTATAGAGGTATGCGAGGGGGCCGGGAGTTGCTGTTGGTTGGGGTCCGCAGCTGATTCATTCACGGGGATTTTACGACGGGCCGCAGGAGAATCGGTATGAGTGCAGCATAGAGCAGGGATCAGCACTTCACAATGCATGCAATATTAGAAATTGAATCGGGATTAAGCTGAACATTTGGAATTTGGAATTGTGGGATAAACTTGGCGTGGAGGCGAAAATTGTGTTCTGGGGTCGGAGTCTCGGTTTACGAGACGGGTGTTGTCATGGGGTAATTGGCATTTTATGCGGAGTTGGTGTGAGAAGGTTCACGGTTATGACCGCCAACATCTTCGCATCTACTGCAATATTTCTCATCAGACTGGGCCCAATACTACTTTAAAAAAAATATATGCAACATGTTTGAGGTTACTTGACCAGGGATCCAAATATCTCAATTGGTCTCTGTCTATCCCGTCGTGCCTCCCGGTCTCGATCACCGTTTCCACCATCTCAAAACAAAGTCCCTGCCAAATGTTACTTTCCTCAGCACCACCTATTCCCTTCTATGGCAATGATCTGATCTCTTGTCCACCTGGGAATTATCCTAGATTTTCCGCGCGTCACTAACATCGACAAACAAGACTTTTTTCATACGCATTACAACGAATTCTAAAGATGTAAGTCTTCTAATTCTTCATATGAGCATTATGACGATATACCGTGTAAAACTAGCAGAGAAGACATGCTCAACCATGATGTGCGTGTCTAATATCTTGATTCATTGTTCACTTCGGTGCTAAGTCGATCCTACATGATCTTTTCGAAGATTAAGATTTACAGATTCCTTACCTTTCAATGTTACTATCAAGCTGGACATTCATCAAGTGGATAGGTTATTTCTGAGGAAGTAGAAACAAAAAGCCTAAGGTTGCAAGCGTAACTAACAATGGTGAACGGGTCTTATCACTCCCTTTCTTGACATCCACACTCTTATTATTTGTCGTTTTTGCCTAGGAATAAAATACCATGAACTTCCATCACCATCTCAAGTCTTCTTCATGTAGATTATTCATACCAGAAGACTTAAGATTGATTGATCATAAATCCCAATCCGAATCCCAAAACCCTTAATAAGAAGCTTTAGATCTCTAACTTGATTTAGGATATTCAAATATTTACAATGTTTTAAATATCAGATGTAATCAGAACGCTCAAATATTTAAAAGAGTTCCAGCCATTTAAAGTCAGGTTTAGTTTGTCAGTCCAGACTATTAGACATTCTGTCAACTTGAGGGGTTTCTTCTCCCTCCTCGAGAGCGGTGGGGTTTTGCTGGGTTTGGTTGGAGGATTTCTTTAAGGAAAATTAAAATTGTTTGTAAGGAAAAGTTATTGATATTGGGATTGATTTGAGGTGAACGATGGGGCGAAAGTGAAGTTTTGAGGAGATTTTATGGAATGAGAGAGATGGATAGTAGCATGCGAGGTGTTTTAGGAGGTTGCACGGGAGGCCTGTTATGACTGATATTCATTGATCTAGATGGGATGCAAATGTAGGTTGGAGATTTGCAGTATTTATCTAGTGATAATGGATTGAGGATAGAGAAAAGGTTATATTCTAGGAACTACTAAAGGAATCTTCCTTTTCACTGCTTCGGATCCTTAGAGCAACTATTTATTATCACTTGAACTTCGATTATATGCTTGGTACTATAGCTCAAATGTGTGCTCTACTGACCGGTCGACTAATTAGACTCATGATACCTCCATCCTAAACCAGAATGCATTATCACTGATGTCAGTGTTATGAGATTCCTCATTAATCTCTAGCTCGTCTACTATACTAACCTGGGAAGGAAAGTCGCAATAAGCAGCTAATATTAGGAAGGAATAGCAGGTGGCTTTGGTTATCGAAAGTAGGAAGGAACAATAAGGCATAGGACGAAAACAAGTCGAGCAGAAGCTAAGAGCCGTCTACTTTATCAACATCTTTGGAACATTCCAATCAACATCTGCATGTAGACATTATTAAGCTTACAGCAGAAGTTACTAACATTCATATAAGAAATATCTCGGTAAGTCGTCCTCCACATTCCTCTAAAGAATAAATACTGAACTTGATCAGACTTAACATGCAAAGACTTCTAGCAAACACTGCCTTATAACGATCCCTAACTCCAAGCTAATCCGCAGAGCAATACCAGTCCCAGCCCGTATCTCAATCTCGGAATCTTTCAATAGTCCGCATATCACTTCAGTTCCCAATAACAAAAATGTGCAAACGACAATGGGCATCGTTTACACATTGCAGTGATATAAGAACTGTTGAGCACCGCTGCAAAGATAATCCAATCGATGAACCATTCGAGAGCTGTAAGAATCGCAGTGTCAAACGGCCATTAAACGCATCCGACAGAAGATTTGGGCATGGTAGACATCCAGATCCAGAGATGATGCTCTTTCAAGGCAGATGTGTCGACTGGGGAGCACAAGTTGACAAGAACGCGTATGAGATGTTTCTGCGGATGTGCCGACGTAAAGTTTCTATAATAGATGAAACTACCTGGATTATTTGCGGTAGCGATTGGAAGGATGCCATACATAACACTCATGAATATGAAATGCGCTCTGTCCGGGGGGTCGAATCCTCAGAAGCGGCGTTGACTAAAGACAACCTGGTAAACTATTCCCTTCGGAGTTCAGAAGATAGCTAACATTTGACAAGAACGAAGCAAATCCAAAAGCAATACATATAGGAGCTACTGAAATAGCCGTAATCAATGCAGGATTTCCGATGTTGTCTGACGAAACTATAGCGAAGTTTACGGAGGAACTCTTAAAACACCCAGATTGTCCACAAGATCTAGTGAGTATTTCGTCATATTCTCAAACATTTTCGATCAGCCACCTTAATCTTTTCTCAGATCCTGGGAGACGACGGTGATATTGAAGTATCACTCGAGATGCTCCCACGGAGCTTTCCTCCAATGATATACGGAACCATTTGTACAGAGTTACCAACTATTGCGGCCACTGTTAGGATGACTCGTCAAAGTGAGAGTCATAAACGAATTAATTATGATTACAGCGTTTGTTCGTCTCAGATTCCGAAGCTATGAACAACACCCTAAGTATTATTGCTAACCTCAACATCGATTCAGATACAGGAGGCATAGGAGATGGTCGAAATTCAAAGTTAGGCATCCCTCTGATAACGACTTGCGCAAACGAGGACGGCAATGTAGAAAGTTTGGATCCAATCGTTAAAAGTTCAGATGGTGGAGGAAGTAAGGAAGATCCCATGGAAATTAGCGATTGAACAGTACTATATTTCCTTCAGGATCCAGCACATCACCGACCTTTTGAAGGGTAGATAACTAAGCTCTATGATTCAGTTAGAGATCTTCAGCATTTTAGATGTACGGGAGCTGCCATAGCCTGACATGATAGTGAGCAAGATACAGTTCTGCACTGATGAGTTGGACTGAGACGCGGTGGACTTTGGACCTTCTCCAGCTCCTATATCTCTAGTAGTGTTGGATATAGAAGAGACTTCCCCTCCGTATATAACTGTTGTTTAAAGTATCTTGTGGTTATATCCACAGATTAGCGTGTTATTGGAAACACTAGGACGGAGAAAACCTGCATTATGGCATATGGATCGATATCGACAACAATGATAATTTTTTTTAACTAACAAAAAAACAACAACAATATCTGTTCCTTTTCATCTTCCCTTTTCCCCTCTTTGAGATACCTAAATCATCTCTGATTAAGTTGTAGTTGCAATTGAATTATTTTTCGTTCCATTTCCTGCTTCTCTCGTACCATTTCCTGCTTCTCTCGTACCCTCTCTGTCTTCTCTTGCTCCAATTCTATCTCCTGATCTCGCAGAGTCATATAAACATCAAAGTCCTCGGAAGCTGAACCTGGCTCAGCAGAATACGATCGTACTCTTCCCTCGCCCAGAGCTAAGGTTTCTTGTAGCTGTTTGTTATATGTATATACTTCCGCAGTACAATCATTCGCGTCGATAACAATATGTAATATATGCTTTTGTATATCAATATCTAGAAAAATAGAATATATGTTAGATAAGATTAAGCTCTAAAATTGAAAGAAAATACTACCTTTGACTTGAAGGGTATCGATAGACGATTTGGAACAAAAATTAAGAATAATATAATCTTCGAAAATACCCCATCTATGATATTTTCCCCCATATCGAAATCGATTTGCATGTTCTTCTAATCTTCCATTATTACCAGATTGAAGTATCTCGACCCCCCATCTTTTATCAAAAATATAGAAATCGATTCGTCCATCCTTGGTTTCAGCATATTCAGATAGAATCGGTAGATTATGAAGCTCATAATTAAGACAACAATACATTTCATCCTGAAAGGCTGCCTCGGGAATGCCCCACTTATCATTGGACTGAAAACTGCTGTTTGACAAGGGAACACGATGACGTAAAACAGATGGGCTGAATCTTTCAATGGCGTTTAGACAGGCTTTCCGAAGGGTGATTTGATCTATATTGGTTCCTAGTGGTGGAGCAGGGATGAGACGTCGATATGCAATTCTGATTTTAATTAGTATAGATAGAGGACAGGTTGTATCTACATACCTTTGATGTATTGGAGAAGCAAAAATGTAAGTCGTTACGCCACTTCCAGGCCTAAACTCCTCCGCGTATAGGAACCCCATTTTATGACAGAATGCTAACGCAGTTATGGGATCCGTTCGTATTTCTGTACAGCCTTTGGGTAGTCTTGCTACTTTACGCATTGCATCTGCAATATCCGAATATTTGAGGTGACGATAAGAAGGATCGCCTCTTAAACATCGTTTTAAGTGATTCTCTCCTGCGGCGGTCCAGAACCCTCTGCCCCATTGACTAAGAAATCGTAGTAGTGTATCATGCTCAATAAGATACTCGTGAACAAAAGCTGGTGACCATCTCCATCCGGGACGATTCTCAGCGTTCTTATGAAGCAATGAATGGTTAGAATATTTTTCCAAAATAACTCATTGAAAATAGCCGAGGGGAAATTACCTGTGACGTCAACAATTCAAAACTAGCTAAGATTAACCCAACCATGCCCGGATGACCGTTAGTAGCAGAGTGAATATACTCAGCTAAAGCTATATGATCAACACTTTCAGGTTTGAGGTTCTTCTGAAGGATCCATTTGCTGACCTTGGTCAATGTCTCTTCTGGTTTGAAGAGCATGCCTAAAGAGTTAGATTTAGATGGGCGTAATTCTATTCGATTGAGAGTGTCTAGTTTAGAAGCTCGCGATTCGATCCGTTGGCCTTCGCTCCCGAAAATGCTAGCCGGGCTATAAAGACAGGCAAGCACAAATATTGGCCGCGATCTAGTGAGATGGTTTTTGAGATCATGATTCCAAAATGCGTCTTCTTCATAAGAACCTTGAGCCTCATCGATAAGAAAAATCCTTTTGGCGTTCGGGTTATGTGGACGAAGCCTAGCGTTTGCTACTTGTGCGCTGACTGCTCCCTCGTCTAGAACCTGCTGATAAGGAAGATTATTGCGTTCATTCCTGGGCTGCCAAGTAATGTATATAGGCTCAAGTTCTCGTCTGTGAAAAAGAATATGACGGCCAAGCAGCTTGAGAAGGGTTGTCTTTCCCACTACAGGGGTAGCACGAATAACCACCATTCCCATAGTTAGTGCCTGTTGTAGGACTGAAGAAACCAGCTCTTGTCTTTCGCAAATAAAATCACAGAAAGGATTAAATCCAACGAAATCCTGAAGTTCATGATTGTCCATGTCGTGCCCGCAATTGACGCAGATAGGAACGAATAATTCGAAGACTCCTTGAGGGCAACCACAGGCACGGCAAGGCCAGTGAGTGATAGTAGTAGAAGAGAGGTTTGGCAAATGAATGTTTGTGCTTCCTCCGGGAGGCTTTTCTTGGCTAGAATTTTGATATTTTTGAGATTTTTTTCGTGGTTGTTGTCTGGACTGGTGTTTTGACTGGTTCTGACGACACTTTGGGTAAACAACAAGGTTTTGTAGAGGATCATCTGAGGAAGAGGCTTTGGGAAGATATAACTTTACATCTTTTGGAAGAGATGAGAGACATCTTTTAGATTTAGACCTGGTAACTACAGGCATTTTCTGTATAAGGTAAGTAAAAGTAGATTTTTGAAGAGGAAGGAAAGTTCTTGTTTCTTCATAATCAATATATGAACAGAATTTCTTTGTTTGAAAAAGAAGTGAAAGAAAAGGGAACTCGATTAAACAAGTATCTTCTATCTTTCAGAACTTTCATTATTAGATATAACTTTATAACTCAAATAATTTATAATTCCCTTTTTCCGTGAAGAGCGCTTGTTGAAAGGATGGTTAGTATTTATAAATACGTTTTTTGATGCGATGGTAAAATGATGATTTTTTTATATTGATTTTTTATATACCCGAGGTCTATAATCAGAAACCGGGTTTTGATTACAATAATAATAATAATAATATAATTAAAAGAATCTGAATATAAAATAATTTTCTTCATTAAACTTTATTATTATATCTTTTTTTCCCTTCCCCCACCGTATAGAAGTTGGCAAGTGACGTTTTCTCTTTTCTGACAAAAGAGTTCCGGACCCCTCGCCTAAGCTTTACTAGCACACTAAATTTCTTTTATCCACACTCTGACCCTAAGCCCACGTCACAAATACTACAAAGGCAGGACAATTTGGACAATTGACAATTGTGAACTGCAGAGTCCAACGGATTGTGTAACCCACTCGCAGGTCAAATTATTCATTAATCTCGAATTGTCTAGGTGGTTTTGTCTCATTATCCGCCAATATGAGTGACGCTCAGGCAAACGAGGCCGAGAAGAATATCGAGATTTGGAAGGTGAAAAAATTGATTAAACGTCTCGAAGCTGCGCGTGGAAATGGAACCTCTATGATTTCTCTCATTATTCGTAAGAGACTATATCCATCCATTTGCTTGTATACTCTCTAACATGTTGTTCAGCCCCAAAGGATCAAGTCTCCCGTGCGGCGAAAATGTTGGCAGAAGAATACGTATGTCGACACTTTCCTCGATATTTTCCCTTCTACATGCTGACTCGGGCTTGGATATAGGGTACCGCATCAAACATCAAGTCTCGGGTTAATCGTCAATCCGTTCTTTCTGCTATCACATCTACGCAACAAAGACTCAAGTTGTACAACAAAGTTCCGCCAAATGGCTTGGTCGTATACTGTGGCGAAATTCTAACTTCAGAAGGAAAGGAAAGGAAGGTCAACATTGATTTCGAGCCCTTCAAGCCCATCAACACATCTCTCTACCTCTGCGACAACAAATTTCACACGGAAGCTCTCGCTGAGTTGTTGGAATCTGACCAAAAGTTCGGTTTCATCATTATGGACGGAAATGGCGCCCTTTTTGGTACGTTGAGTGGAAACACTAGAGATGTTGTTCACAAGTTTTCTGTCGATTTGCCAAAGAAGCATGGTCGCGGTGGGCAATCTGCTCTTCGTTTTGCGCGTCTTCGTGAGGAAAAGCGACACAACTACGTCCGAAAGGTCGCCGAATTAGCTGTCCAGAACTTCATTACAGCCGATAAGGTTAACGTAGCTGGTATTATCTTAGCCGGTTCCGCCGATTTCAAAAATGATCTCAACCAGTCCGACCTGTTTGACAACCGTTTGGCCACAAAGGTCATTAAGGTCGTTGATGTTTCTTATGGTGGTGAGAACGGATTCAATCAGGCCATTGAGCTTTCGGCCGAAACACTTAGCAACGTCAAGTTCATTCAAGAGAAGAAGCTCATCGGAAAGTACTTTGAGGAGATCAGTCAAGACACGGGACGAGTTTGTTATGGTGTTGAGGATACTTTAAAGGCTTTGGAACTAGGTGCTGTTGAAGTTCTGATTGTTTTCGAGAACCTCGAAATCAACCGATGGGTGTTGAAGGACAGCAATGGTAATCAAACAATTCTACATACTACTAAGCAATCCGAGACTGCGAATCGAGAACAATTCATGGACAAGGAAACTGGTCAAGAAATGGAGGTCGTCTCTTCAGAATCGTTCTTAGAATGGATCGCCGAGAAGTACAGAGATTTTGGTACAACACTCGAGTTTGTTTCGGACAGATCTAGTGAGGGTAACCAATTCGTTAAGGGTTTTGGTGGTATTGGTGGCCTCTTGCGTTACAAGGTCAACTTTGAGCAGTTGGCCGAAGTCGATGATGATGATGACTACTACGACGGTATGTTACGACTGTCTCACAAATGGTCAAACTTTCAGAAGCTAATATTCATGTAGATTGACAGTTTGATGCCCTCGCATCGGGCGAGGAGCCAACTCCAGTCGAACCGTCAAGCCAAATTCTGTCACACCGCCCTCGTGCCGTGGAACAGACGACCCCAGCGCAGCCGGCTAGCCCAGCCGGCTCGAGACTAAGAGGGAACTCAGGGAACACCCGTCCCAGCCCTCTTCGGTCCGTCATGACGGCTTCTTGAGTTGGAGAAACCATATTTCAGGTACACGATCCATGGTTGTTCGCTCTGGACACTTTCTAATAGTTTTGTGCAGAACATATGAATCCCTGAAAAACTAGGCGATACCCTGATGTTTCTCATGTGTGTTAAGGTTGAAGAAAGATTGCGTTTTGGCAGAATTGCTTGCTATCAAAAGGTATGGAATATCTGAAGTTCAGTATCACTAGATCAACCATGGATAGATCAGATTCCTGAACTCAAATATCAGACAATTTTTATACTTAAGCTCGATGCTTCATGCTGTTGTCGGTCACTCGTATTGTGGCTTTATATCTGTGAATTTTCGTTTGCTTCCGATCTCCATCTCAGATTCTCATGATTACAAGAGCTAGCACCCAAACCATGTACAAAATAGTCTGTTGGACCACACGTTCAGGACCATCGGATCCGAAGTTTCTGGCAAAGCCAGTGCAAAGTTGTGACAAGGTGGGGTTCATTCTCATGTTTACAGTAGCGGGGGCTGGCAACAGTAGCAAAATAAATATCAAAGATTTCCATCACTTTCTCTAGAGTCATCCCAACTGTTTTCTACAACAATATGACCGTATGAGTGGTACGCGAATCTTTCCGAAATGCAGTGAACCCAATTTTTTTAAATACCGGAATTTTATTAAAGTCTTTTCCGAGCCACCGAACAACATCCACACCGAGAAGGAATGAAGTCAGGTTGAACGATGCAGTCCAAAACCAACTCCTCTAGCACACCTGCTATCTCTTTCCTTGGACCTATTTCTTCTTATACTCATCAGGTATTTGATCTTCGTTTAATCCAGTGTCCAGCGCCCTTCAATTGTCAACATTATGAGCCATGTGCGATTTCCATAGGACTAACAGATGATTGTCACCCCCAGGCCGCTCTTGGATGCTTCGATAAAAAAAAATACGAGTATCAACCAGCGATTGGAATTCCAGGTATTGCTGTTTTCGGGCTTTCTCCTAGAAATGACTGACGGTACATAGATGTTTTTGAGGCAGTTCAATCGGGCCAGGCAGAGTTAGGTGTTGTGCCTTTCGAGAATTCCACGAATGGAGCTGTGATCTTTACCCTAGAACTCCTCGCAGATCGCCATTCCTTATATAAAGATGTCACAATATGTGGCGAAGCCTATCTTGATGTTAGTCACTGCCTGTTAGGTTATATTTCGACGGCAGATTCTCCAGTAATGTCCGGCACTTGTACTCCAACTACCTCGACTCCATCTCCGGTCAAGCCAAAGACGACGCCGTTATCTAGTCTCAATCACATTCAAAGAATTTACACTCATCCACAGGCATATGGCCAATGCGAAGCATTTTTAGGAACATACTTGAAGGGGGTTGAGAGACTGGACGTCAGTTCCACAAGCAAAGCGGCCGAAATTGTGAAGGCAGACAAGTCTGGGACGAGTGCAGCAATTGCTAGTTCGCTCGCAGCAGATATTCATGGATTGGACATTCTTGCAAAGGGAATCGAAGATCGTGAAGACAATACTACCAGATTTCTCATTTTGCGCAAAGGTGTGGATACATCTGCGACGAAGGTTAATGTTGCGGCGAAGTCAATGGTTACTTTCACGATTGATCATCGAACACCCGGTGCGCTCGCAGATGTACTGGATTGTTTCAAGAGATACCAAGTCAATTTGACCAGTATCAACAGCCGACCTACAAAAGTAGTTCCATTCCGTTACATCTTCTTCGTCGAGTTTGAAGGCAGTAAGCTGAGTGATCCTGAGGGAAAAGTTGCTGGAGCATTGGATAGTCTCGACAAATACACAAAAAACTGGCGCTGGCTTGGGAGTTGGGAAGATAAACTTGTGGATAGACAGAAATAAATAACTATAAAAGGGATATCAATGGAATTGGATGGCATTCATGGTACGGGGCATATGAGGGAAAATTTAGATACCAGTGTATATCTGCCGTTATCGGATTCTTATCGATAAGAATGACGCTTTTCCCGGCATCCGGCTTGGGTTTTCCATTTCTTCTAGATCCCCAAAAATCTTCTTCCATCTTTCATGGACTTCTATGCATCATACTTAGTGATGACGAATTTATGATATTCTAGCAGATGTTTTCCGCATAAAATTTGACATGGGATTGTTCAATCTCTTTCGGCCTCGGCCGTATCGCTTTCGTGCTGCCAATCGCTCGTTAATGTCAACGGCGCATACTCGAAAGTCTTCCATACAGCAAACTCTCCACGAGGAGCTCACTTCACGCCAGCCCAACATCATATATGATTACTTATCGCCAACCCCTTCTCATCTTTTGAATATATCTCTTGCAGATTTCCTTCCACCTTCATGCTACCCTGCCAATTTCAAATTCCCAGATCTTACCCTTCCATACTCTTCTACACTCGGACGACATGAGTGTAGCGATACAGCACTTCTCCCCCAGTCGCACCATCTAGTCTATTTCTCTCCGCAAATTCCAAGCAATGCGCTACTTGACGATGGCACAGATCCTTTGCAGTCCCCAGGGCCGCCATTTGTGCGCCGCATGTGGGCTGGTGGGTCTATTGCTTTCAATGCTAAAAGTGCAGAGCAGCTTCGTCTTGACAACGTGCGAGCCGCTTGTATAGAACGGATAGTGGACGTTTTGGTCAAAGGGAATGACGGTGATGAGAAAGTCTTCGTAAACATTGAGAGACGAGTTGGCGTCGCTGAAGCTGAAGACGGCCCGCAGACGAACCCGAACGGAGGGAGCTTCGCAATTGCTTCTAGGAAGTCTCCTATGGTTGATCAACAATTATTAAAACGCTACCATGTCGGGAACCACGATGACATTGGACGAGCATCCTTGGTGGAGACGCGAAATATCGTCTTCATGCGAGAGAAAAATATAGCTACCGCCAAAGAGGATTGCGCCAGACCTCCAAAGATATTGAGGCGTATGCCATCTTCACACTATTGTTCAATGATTTCTCTTTCCACTAACCAACCATATTTATAGCAACGGGCGAACCAGATTTCGATGTGCGAATAACACCTACACAATCGCTGTTATTTAGATTTTCGGCCCTCACATTTAACGCCCACGCGATTCACCTGGATCCTCTATACTGCCGGGAGGTTGAGGGACATAGAAATTTACTCCTTCATGGGCCGCTTTCATTGGTCCTCATGTTATCCGTCTTACGATCACAACTTCAACCTGGAGAAATGATAAAAAGATTCGATTATAGGAATTTGGCTCCACTTTACGCAAATGAGGAATTAAGAGTTTGTGTGGGGAAGAGTACCAACAAAAATAACAAATACGAAGTGTGGATTGAAGGGAAAGAAGGCGGATATGCCGTCAAGGGCTCTGCGGTTATTGGACCCCTTGACGATGAATAATTGGGTAATGGACCAACAAGGCTGAACAATGAACGCATCCTGGAAAGTTTTAATCTCTCTGGAATATTCTCCGGTGTTTGAGGAAGGAGGTAAAACAAGCCACTTTCGGAGTGTCATGCAGATCTGAAGAGATTTGACGATGGAAATATAATTTGGTAGATGTTTTGGAAAGATGGGACGAAATCAAGATCATCGCTTTCGTCCCTGACACTAAGTAAGGTACCGAAAACAGCTGTAGGTACAGCACTAGCTGCGTACAACACGATCAATTAGATGACGCTGCAGGAATCCCAAGTATTAAGATCCTCAGACACTATTCACAAAATCACGAGCAACCGCAGCATCAATGCTAATGGATGAACGTAAAGTAGGATGTGATGCATGAGTAACAGAGTTTGGCTCGTATCTCGGGAACGCCTTGATACTAGTTCGTAGGAGAAAAGGGAATAAATCATAAATAATGGCACAACAAAACATACATACTCCTCTAAATTCTGAGTATCTAAGCGAGAGAAGTTACTTATTAGTTGATTGCAAACCACGAACTGGGAACTGGGTGGGATATTGAAGAAAGTTATGAGATCTCTTGGGTAAGACTTTGGTGTGCGATAATTCATTCATCCACCGAGTAACTGACTTAGTTAATAGTTGAAAGTCATACAAAAGTACAGAAGGTAAGTAAAACGTATGACCCAGTTTATGTTGACGCCTCTTTACATGGTTATTTATGAAAGCATTGCTCTCATCACCAAGCAAATCTCATTAGGGGGCATTTTCGCCCATGGATTTGAACTTTGCAATAGGTTGGACGTCTTCGGATGTTTTGAATTGAATTCGCTCTGATGCTCGCAGACAAATAGATTACAATGGATGGATGCATATATTGTATGGGATCACAGAATCCAGAATCCAGAATCCAGAATCCAGAATCAGAATGCGGAATCCAGAATTGAAATAGATACTACTGGGCAGGTACCTGCCGGTACAGTACGGAGTACCTAGTAGGTATCTCTGCATGCATGTACGGAGTATGTGCACGCATGCATAATAGATTCAACATTTACTAATTAAACATGGCTGGCTGTCCCGCTCCCGCAATAACATAGTAACAGCCAAAGCACAGGCTGCAGACACAGCACAGCATCGCGATTCACCCTTTACACAATGGAGAACATCTAAATAAATAATATCCACGATCGCATCCATGATAGCATCCATCCTTCCATATTATCCATCCCAGCCATCCCATAGTAAACCACATATACACACGTACCGAGTTATCAATTACTAAGTCTCCATCCTCTATTAGTAAACAGAATGTACAGATAGTTATGGACTAAGGAGGTAAGAATACACCTAGTACCTATCTAGTAGTGTCGTACCTAACACTTAGCTCTGCACCTACCGATACTACCTGGTATATTTCTATCAGAATATTCTTCGTCTGTCAGAGAAGAAAGAAGAAAGAAGAAAGAAGAAAGAAGAAAATGATTGATTTGTTGTTTGTTGTTGATTTATATGTGAATTAATCCCTTTTCGGTATAAATCGTTTTTATTCATTCTATTATTCTATCATTCTATCAGTCTATGATTGTTCCATCGTTCATTGAATTGCTCAGTTGTTCACTCATTCAATCATTCATACACTCGTTCATACTCCGTATAATCATTCAATTCATTCATTCATACACTCATTCACTCATTCACTCATTCACTCATCCATTCATTCACCATTTCATCACCCATAATTCTCCCCACCATATAGAACGAGGAAGAGCCATTTTTCGTTGGTTACCGTTATCATACATAATATAATTAATTCTAAAAGTCGATCAAATTTATTTAAGCTCAAATTTCTGGTCCTTAACTTTAATTAATATTCCTGCAAACAGTACAGTACAGTTACAGTTTTAGTTTTATCTTCCTATTCCATACATTCATTCTCTCTCCAATTGTGGTTTTTTTTTTTCCACCTTAAACCTCGTCATTACCCAATTCCGCATTCATCAAATGCTCGCCCAGCATATCTCTACACCTTTGCAGCTCTTATAGCTCGATCCGGCCAAATTTCCTACCAGAGCTCATATACATTAGAGCCCCCAATTTCTGCCGCATGAATGTTCCTGAAGGACCTGAGCATTCATCTTTGGCTTTGCAGACCAGCTTAGGAGGAAATTTGCCGGTAACGAGAAAAGTTATGAGATGGCGCCCAAAGGATCTCGGCGGAAGAGCTTAAGTCTCCTTACCAGAGCATCTTTTTCAAACCTCACCCATATAAATACCGATGTCAATAATGGCAGCACAGGCGACAAGGAGCAAAAGGATAAGAAGAAGTTTGGGAAGAGAAGTTCGATATTTAGCGGTCTGACGCCTGCGGTGCATGTTGATACTGAAAATGGAAGCATTAGTCCTGTCAAATCCGACGCTCATTCGCCCAAGCTGCGGCCTCGTACACTGCAAAAAGGCAGACCGAATTCAATATTCGGTTCTTTAGGGAGGAGATCTATGACAGATTTGGCCGAGGAAAAGGAGGTGACGGGTACCACTCCTGAATCCCCTGAAGAGGAATATCATTATCTTGCAGCCGGTATTCTCAATTCGAGCAGTGCTGTTTCGATACTTCACCATGGAGAGGTTCAGACAACTAGTTCAATGTTCAGGAAGAAAAAGGAATATCTTGTGCTGACGGATACACACCTAACGCGCTTCAAGAGCATGGCACGGGCGATAGAGGCATTTCCCAATATACAACCGGCGCACTTGCGACAATCTCATCGTCAATCATCCACTGCATCGATAGGATCCTTACAAGAAGTACAGTCTCAAGCTTCACATGCGTCGACGGAAGGCGAAAACAGGATCCCTTTGGGTCAGATTGTCACAGTTTACAAGATGGAAGATGGGCGACCTTTTTTCACAACCGAAGTCGTGTTTTTAGATGAAGATTATCATGGTGTAGGATCCCTTCAGCTTATGTTGCATGATCCAAAGGAAGCAGATCTATGGTCCACTTCAATAAGAGCGGCTGCGCAGAAAGCTAGACTCATGATGCCGGAACCATACCCTGAACGAGTTGTCCGTTATCTTGTTCAGACCCTGGAGGGGGTGGACGACTATGACGCCAACCATTTCCAAATATTCCGGGTTATTAATCGAGCACCATTGGCCAAAAGTGCACGCTCCTCTTCGGACGACCTTCAAAGACTTGGGTCGTCAGTGTTCTACATGGTTATTGGTATAAATCGACTGCATTTGATACCCCTACCCGACTTTACCTTGCCTTCTGGTGCCCTCTTTCATCCAAAATCTAGTCGAAGTGCGTACGGCCTTGTATCCCTAGTTGCAATGAACGTGCAGTATTCCGATGATCGATTTGAGCTCGCGTTTAGGTGAGTTTAGATCTTTTAACATACTTTCATCTCCGTCCTCTATTTATGTGTTGTATGAGAAGCACCACACTCTCTCCTTGATGGTTGCTAGTGCTATTGTCTTCAACCAAGATGACTTTCCCCCTACCAAATCTGGGGCTACTTCAAAATCGACAAGTGCCGTCGCACGAAACATATTCATATGCTTGCATGCGTTCAAAGAGTCCTTCTTTCCAGTGATCCAGCATTATAGCAATAAATAGGAGTGCAAAGACTAATATTAGCTTAGAATACCGCTCCAACAAGCTAGCATGCTCGAGCTGGCAGCTTCAGCTACACATGACATTGCTGTAGTCATTTTCCAAGCCATACAGTATCTTAAACCGGCATGGCTAGACTACAATTTCACATTCAACGGGCCTAAACGCCTGCTGGAGTCTGGTGATATCCCACTAGTTTACGAAGAGGAGGAGTACGGATGCTTTGATAGAACTCTCGTTGCTTATTGCATGGCCTACAATGTAAGATCTCGCCTGTGTGCTAGTAATTTTGACCTGACTGACGTATCTAGTGTAATCCCATAAATATAAAATATGCAGTAGATTGGAGTGTCGAGGATGCTCCAGAATTTCGTTTATACCCTCCTGCCTTGACAGCTAAATATACGATTTACGAACTGCTTGCTATCTTTAGGTCTTTACGATATAACGAATCTTTTCGCTCAATTTCTTTCGCTGATATTGATCTTCATTGCTTGCATGGTATTGTGGATTCCTACGGCATAGACCATGTAGCATGGACTACTCGAGTAGGTATTGCGATAGACACCTACTTCACGATGAAGCCGCAGGACGGGTCTCTATTGTACCAAGAGGTCCAAGCACTTGCGTTGAAATCATTACAGCTTCGAAAGATGGATTTCAGCAACGCCCTTCCCAGAAGAAGACCGCGGGACACATTTGATGACGAAGGCGGTGTTCTTCACAAAGATCCAGGTTGCGAAATTACTGCAGCATTGATGCCCTTGTGCAGCGCTCAGCTAACCGATGTTAATTGGATTGTTCTAAACGGAATTGAGCTGGGGGAAACGGATCTTGATGCTATGATTCCTGCATTGAATAATCCAAAGGCCGGGATCAGGGCAATCGAATGCTCGCGGTGTGGACTGAGCGATCGGGGGATAATGCAACTTTTAACTCTTCTGGAACGACAGAATCAAACGCTCGAGTGCATCAATGTATCCAACAACCCAGGGCGAATCCTTCTTGAACGATTCCAAGTATCCATGAGTCGATTTTCGCACGTTCGTAAGCTTGATTTATCAATGATTACCCGTACTTCCGGCGACCAACCACTCTTTGTTCCCGAAGTTATGCTCGCCTGGCGACTAGAGGAGTTGATTCTGAACGGTATTCCTGTAAGTTTGTTCTTCGAACTCAGTTTTTTTGCTAACTTGACAGGTAAACGATCAAACGCTGGATACAATTTCCGCCTATCTTACAAGTGACATGTCTAATGGGCTTCGCAGCTTACAGATGGATCAATGTAACTTAAGTGGATCGCATGTTGCTCTTCTCATGAGAGCTATGACTCGAGTCGCTGGTGAACCTCGTGATTTAGAACTCCACGTAAGTGCTAATCGGCTGGAGAAGGGAATAAGTGACTTTGTGAAAGCTATTCAAGAAAATTATACACCAACAAAACTCGTGGTTCGGATGATCGAATTCACCAAGGAGGAGCACTTTAAACGATTGTTAGAAGCTTTGCGCACCAATACTACGATTCAGGTACTGGATATTTCGAAAGCGTCACTCCCCTACGATGCAAGTCCGGAGACTTGTGAAACCATGCAGAGGGTTTTTGCCGAGAATACCACACTTCAGGACTTGGACATATCTGGAGAACAAGCACATCTGGAGGTTACGCGATTTGGAATCGGCTTAAATCAAGCATTAACTGGTCTTAAGAAGAATAACACTTTAAAGTCTCTTCGTATAGAGTACCAGAACTTGGGTTTGGAAGGAGCGAACACACTCTCTTCTGTCTTAGAAGAAAATAGAGGTTTGACGCATATTTTCTGTGAACACAACGACATCAATCTCCAAGGATTTACGATACTCGTCAATGCGATTGCAAAAAACCATACTGTTCTCGAGGTGCCTTATATGCGGGACGATCAAGATATCGCCATGAAACGAATGAGCGCTAGTATGAGAGATACACGCCGCGCCACGAGTTCCTCAGGCCGTGAAAACCACCATGTGAAAAGTTCGGTGAAGCGGACATTGAAAAATTTTGGCGTTGGGGTTGAGAAGCCAGTGAAACAAGAGTTAACGCCTCAAGATGTTGATCAAGTGGTCAAAGTACTAGCAGAGAAGTGGAATACAGAGATTGGGAGATTGTCTATGTTCTTAGAAAGGAATAGAAACATAGCAATGGGTGTGGATGGGTATGACCCTACTCAGATTTTCGGCGAACATGCCATGCGTCCTACGACAGCGATGAGCGACCGAGGAATCTTAGAACAGGTTTTAAGCAACACAACTCCAAGGATCGAATTGGGAAATCCTGTCGAAATTACAAATGATCGATTTTCTGGTATGACACCGCTAGCAGAAGTGATTAATCCAATGGACAAGGAGAACGAGAAGCCGGTGGATGAGCGGGATTCTATCCAGTTTAAACGTATATCCTACAAGCGCAGTAAAGATGGAGGTTTATTACCTGACTTGCCTTCTTTAGGCAATGAAAAGTTGTTTGAGCTAGATGAGCCGGACAATACTAAGCTCAACCCAAAGCGCTTATCATACAAACGCAGTAAGGATGGGGGACTATTACCCGACCTGGGATCATTGGGTAATGACAGGATGTTTGAGATGGACGGTGGATTATTCGAAATGGAACCTTGATCTTTGTCACTGCGACTCGAGTACTTTTGCACATGGTGGATAAATTGTTCCTTCGCCTTGCATTTGGGAATGGGGTTGGAGAATCGGTATTTTACTCGTATTAAAAGTGAAAAGGCAAACGCATATTGCAAGCATGCATGCATACACAGAGGGCGCAGAATACAGCAAGGAAGAATAGGGAAGAAGTGCCTACTTTACTTGATTTCTTTGATTCAGGGGTTGGATTAATGGACTTGGTGGGGAAGCGCATACCATAACATAACATAACTTTAACTGTATATTGAGGACATTGAGGATATTGAGGAACGGCTCAGCGGACCATCTGGAAGGATTCATGGATGTATTGGTGGTTGGCTTGGCTTGGCTTGCAAATTCGAATTGGGTGAAGTTTTCATATCTTTGACTATAGGGAAGGGGGAATGGAAGGAGGACAAGGGATGCATGGTAAGCAATCGGAATGGAATGGAAGGGAAGGGTAGGGAAGATCAAAGCGGGATTTTTTAGGAGTAATCGTACATTTTATATATGTATGTATGCATTATACATTATTGGCGTTGGTGTTGGTGTTTGGTGTTGGAAGATTAGATATGTGGATCCGGGAGTGTGTATTGATTGATTGAACTATTGAATTGGGCAAATATGGAATTAGGGGGATGGAAATGGAGATATTTGAAATGGGAAGGGAGGGAGGGAGGGTACACTAGTATATAGGATGAGAATTGAGAATTGAACTATTGGACTATTGAATTATAAAGAATCGAATCGATTTAATGATTGTGTAGAAAGAATTAAAAGAAAAGGAAGAGAGGGAGAGGGATATAAAAACAAAAATAAAAACAAGAAAAAAATAAATAAAAGAATAATAATAAATATAATATAAATCAATCCTATATATATATGATATATTATTCATTATTAAAATAAAAATAAAAGAACTTGAGATATATAAATGAATAAATAATAAATAAATAAATATTTTTTATAATAAGATATTTATCTATTTGATTATTTAATTATGTCTCTCCGTCACTTAAAAGAAAACCCCTTACAAATGCAATACACGCTAGCTAAGTATCACGATGAGAGAACATAATAAAATTCATGTCCGTCTATAATGCCCACTCATTCCTATCATCCGACGCTGTAACAAATGGTTCGTCAATTCGTTTAATCGCAAAGTCGCTACAGAGGATACTAATATTCAAGTTAGCAAGATATATTCCCCACATCTAGACCCATGCATAGCCTTTTCCTAACTCTCTACCTCCTCGACTAATATAAAAAAGAACTCACCAAGCACTCGCTACCAAACCATCCAACTCAGCAATCAACGCTTCCCTCTTCGCACCCATAACCATTCCCTTACTAATCAACATCTGTACCTCTCTAATCCTCTTCGCCCTACCCACGCCCACCTGATCCATAACTCTCTTACCCAAACAATCACTATGAAAAGCATGCTGACAAGGAAAGACGAAGAATTGGCGACTCAGTAGCGGTAACGTACACACGTAGCATTTTTCTCCCGGTTCAACAATAGCATACCGTTGATCAAGAGCCGCAATGTCGATTTTAATATTCGTAGCCGTTTGAGAAGATTCGTCCATTTCTTTCTTGAGGGCATCGATATTGCGACTGTAGTCTTCGAGCGCAGCACAGATTTCTTCCTTGAAATCGTCAATTACGACGAAGTCGGGGAAGAAAGGGATGAGATCTTCAATTTTGAGAAGATCGCAACGTTTGAGAAATTCAATGGCGGTTTTGATGCCATTTGATTGAGATATTACTTTTTTGGCAACGGCAAGCCAGAGCTTCTTTCGTAGTGGAGGATTTGAAAGAGGGCGGTCGGCAACGAGAGAGGCGAGATCTATTTCCGAATGTGCGAGAGCGAGTTCTACAGCTTGTAAATATTGCCCCATGGTGCTATAGATGTGTACACAAGATTGAACTCGCGAGTGTTGAATGCAAAGTCGGAGGGCAAAATCTGAATCAAAACTTGGATCATCACCTTGCGATTCGAGGTACGAGAGGAGAGCCGATTCATCTTTTGATGGATGAGAGGCATAAATTGATATTAGTGTATTATGTACAGCAGCGTCGGTAGAGTTTAGGTGATTGATAACATGTAGGAGGTAACGAACGGCTTGGTTTTTTGACAGAGGCCCCTGAAAATGCTTATCGTAGTTCAGTAAGGCAGGAATGAGATTCCGAGGCTTCAAGTCTGGATGCCTCATTAGAATATCGACAAGATCAGTGGCTACGTGCGTCATAAGTCCACTGCTATATCGATAGAAGATTTCGGGTGATGTTTGCTTCTTCAATACATCCAATGCCTCCTTCCATCGCTCTCTCTGTATCCAGTAGGAGAGAACATAATTGTAATCATTTACAGCACTGGCAAAGAATAACAGTTCATCTTCCCTGCCATGGCTGCTGATTATGTCGTAGGTAGTCTTCCTGTCGAGGTCGGTTTTGTATTTTGTGACAAAGTCTTGGTATTCCGTTCGAATTGTGTCTAATTGATTTCTAGTCTCGGTAGGATTCAAATTTTCAGACAATTCAGCTTTAGTGATGATCGTATCATCTAAGGAATTAAGCTTCGACATAAATATTTCTACCAGCCAACTCGCAATCATAATTCGTTGCATTGTTGAGGCTTTTCTGTACGTCGCAAGTTTTGTCAGAAGGTACTTTCGTAAAGCATCTTGTTGGTCATTGTCAACGAATTCGAGTGCAACTTGTTCGAGTGGTTTGCTACTCTTTCCATATACTCCCGCAGCTTCAAGATAAGAACCTTTGCTAATGAGGTAGTCACCAGATGCTGTAGCGACAGCATCCTTTTGAGCTGGGCCCCTGGCATAACGCAACGCTGCATCAAAATGTTCTGTCTGCAGCATAACTTTCCAAACATCTCTGTCTTCGTCTGTGACAACAATTTCATAAATTTCCTGTGTAGTGAAGAGCCAAAACGTGTTCTTCTCTTGGTCAGCGAACAGTCCAAGTGCTTGCTGGCCAGGTTCCAAGACTACTTGATCAAATATAACTCTGTCATCTAGTCGATTGACGGCAACAACCCGTCCACCAATCAGATGAAGGATATGCCATTGAGTCAACGCGATAGAGTCGATTGAGTCTGGAACTGGCTTCTTGCGACCCATCGAATTCTCCGAAGCCGGCAATTGAGACCTAGGTAACAATTTTGCCTCGGTAAATAATCTTGCGCCTAAATCCGAGGTGGCTGGTGTAGTCATTAACGTCCCATAGTACACACCTTGTGATGACAGCCATGCAAAAGTACGATCTGGGGTCAGACTTTCCATGGACGCGGAGTCGGGATGATTTGGGGACACCACAAGAGAAGAAGCTGCAGTTGTAGATATCCTAGACAATTCATGAATAGTGGGTTGTTCCGTCTCGAAAAGTCGTGTAAATATTGATGCACCCCCTTCATGTGCGACCCGGCCAATCTTGCCTATCAAGTGAAGAACCCGACTTTGTGTAGCTATCATTACTCGTCGGACTTCTTTGGCATCAGGTCTACCAGTGACAAGGTCTACCCATAGTCCAGTAACAGGTCCATCTGGAAGCCTCATAAGTGCTTTTAAATATTTGTCCTCCTTCCGGTAGAATTCCGTGGCGGTTTCTATGTACCCTTCATAAATCATTCCATCGGAAGTCCCAATAAGTATCTCCCTGGTCGAAGATGTCGGTAACGAAGGATTCCAAGCAATACATTCTATCGATACTCCTCGCAATCGCGAAAGAGGCCTAGGTTGCCTGGATTGTGTATGAAGGTAATAGTTCTCCCCTTGTGAAGTGCATACAATCAGATGTGAAGCTGTTGGGTCGAGGAACATGCGCCGTATCACTCCAACCTCCGAGGTCTTTTTAGGTAGGTCAATATCTAAATCAACAATCAGTTGACTGATTCAATAAAAAACAAGTGTGCAAAGCCTTACCATCTATATCTGCGGGATTGTCCAGGTCGATTCTTAGAATCCTCCCATTTGAAAGTGCCAAAACCAGGACATTGTTTGCGACTTGCGCCGCTACAAAGTCGGAGGCTATAGAGAATTGTAGTTGTACCTTCTCGACATTAAATATTGGAAGTGCAATCTCATTAAGATCTTGTAGATTTCTTGCGGCTACATAGCCGCTTGATGGGTCGAGAGCCATCCGTCGTTGTTTGTATGAGCTACCTCATGGTCGTTGAGCTCGAGGCTGTGATTCGTTGTCCAAGGCTGGCAAGCCATAGCTTCAACTTGCACTTGGCGAATTTGTGGCAGGCCGTATCAAACTCACGTGATGCACATGTCACATGATATCAACTACTCGGTCCTTTTAAGGATCACAACATATTTAGGGTCATATCTGTCGCCCTTGTACAAATCATGGATACGAGGCTTTCATTTTGCGGGTAGACACATTATATTACCCTGGATGCAGTGTCCCCATATGCAGCATCGAGAGTTTGAGGTCTTACAGCATGCCATTCTGAGTTCCTCCTGGTTGAAAAGCACTAGTTAAGTTCCACCAGGATTCAGATAATGGCAGTCGATGTATATGTTATTGTACTGCCATCTCCATCTAACGAATGAGCCTTGTGTTCTTTTATTGTAAACACTCCAAGTTTTTGGTTACAGCCCATGCTGCTTCTGTGAGGCCCTGCACCTTAAACCCGAAGCAAGGACTCTGATGTCGCCTCGTGGATCCATACGTAGCTCGTGGATAAGCTATGGATTACACAGCATGATTTATCTCGTATGCCAAATTTTAGATACATTTTCCTCTTGGGTAGTACCGGTACGTATTTGTACGCACAGCCCTCGTGGTCCGAGATCGTTAGCATCTGTCGTAACTTCCTCCAAGTTTCCGGGAGAGGATATTTACGGTCTCCCGGTCCTCCCACTAATGACACTGGGGTATTTCCAAATAAATTCGGAGTACAATCGTAATCTATATCGGCGGGATGACTTGGTTTGAGGCATGGCATGTCCACTTCTTGAGTTACTGATCTTCGTTCATCAGTGCTGAATCATGAATACGGTGACAAACATCGGCTGGAAACATCGCGAAGGCCTTGGCCCTGGATATAGAATGATGAGCACAATAAATTTGCGTCGTTAAGGTTCAACGACATTGACGATATATTTCTATATCCAGAACTGCCCTAGGCGAGGGGTCGTTAAGTGAATTTCTCCCGCTCTTGGAAAGTCAAGGTGTCAGTTGGGGGCGGAGGTTTCATCCCCCTGAGCCAAAAATACGAAGGCAATGTCTATAATATATCGATTGCGGGGGCTTCACATGCTGCTAATCTTATGTTTAGATCAATAGGAATGGAAACCTCCCTGAATTTGGTGATGGACTAAAAAATGTTGAAAGACAGGGAATATTGAGGCAACTAGTGACAGCATTGAGGAAAGGAAATTAAGAATGCTTGAAACGACTTCGATAAGGATGAGCTCAGACAGGTGACCTCATGCCTTCAGGTATAGTGAAGATCATGCTGAAGATATTTTGCGTATTCCAAAATCCCTGGCCCGGGGGAAATGGAAGGAAAAACATCATTGCTGATGATGATGCGTAAGTCTTGTCAAACAAACAAACAAACAAACAAACGGAAAGAGATATACCAAAACCCATCTCTGGATCATAGTCTAGAAGGATGCTTTGCGGCTTTGACTTCAACAACGTAAAGTTTACCTGCCGGAGGACCAGGAATAGAATGGTACATACTACATGTATGCGGCAACTGTTGCAGTGTACCAAAGTCTACAACATGATTCCTTTTCCCGGTAGTCAAGCTTAAGGATTGTAAAGTCCGGATCTGAAATACTACTATGTACTCCATAAACCGTGATGCTCCGACGAATATTATCATTGGTCAAGAAAGTTTCCAAGTTTCGTCAATGCTTTCGCGACCCTTGGAGTTTCATAATTGATCTGCGGTCATCAGGTAGGATTAGGAATGGATCATTGGAGCAAATTCTCAAACACCAAACCAAAAATCATCGAGAGGATCAAGTGAACGGTATGCAATTGTGGCTATTGACAGCGGCAAATCCGAAGGCAAATCCCACTCTAAAGGGTCGCTTGTAAGTTGTGTTGTGTAACTCTATACTCTATATCTTGTTTACCAGTGTTGTTCAGGTACTCGGCGATTACTTTAAGGCCTTTTATTCACGTTGGGCTCGATGCTACTCCCTTAGATACGGGCTGAGCATGTAGTTAGGTATTTGTGGATTACGTGAATGTAGAGTAGGTACATAGAGTACACAGTAGTTTTTGGTTGGAGGCTGCAGGATGTTGCCGCCATCTGATGATCTGAAAGTTTGGTTTCATAGTCTGGCTTACAACCAACCATATGATATTTTAGCGAGAGAGCTCATCAGTCTTATCCCGGTTTATGCTGTTTCTTCTACGAATAGTTCCATCAATGATCCATCCACCATTCGTAAATGGTTATAATGCTGTGGCTATGTACTCAGATGCCTGGTAGGTGTGTGATAAAAGGTCATAGAAAGTACTGATATAGCCCATGGATGAGCATAAACCACCTCAAAATTGATTAAGATGATACAAATCAAACATGATAATACGATACACTTTTGATTAAGGCCTTCCTTCATCTTTCAAGCAATACATACCGGTACTATTCCTATTTCCATTTTCTGATTTACCTTTTTTTCCCCTGGCGCCGACGAAAGGGATACGCCTTCAAGGCTAAAAATCCCTAAGGCTATGAATTATAGTACATAGTATGATGTTATTTTTCCTGAGCCAGGGTTCCCTGGCCATTCGCGTGCACAAGCTGTCCTGTTCGACCGACTTTTCGACTTTTGGGACGTTTCATCTTCTCTTTAGATGGAGTAAAAAGGTAACCAGCGACCATCAAACGCTCAACCTAGCACCAAGTACCTAGTACTACCTAAGACCCATGTAGGAACCAATTGAGAGTTAAAGAAGCGGCCCATCCTCAAGACGACCAAAAGATTTGAGGGGATTTGAGACTGTGGCATATTCCTAAAGATGGAGGCAAAAGATTTTAACAAATAAGATTTGTAAAAATATTCAACTTCTTACCCCGTATATTTCATCTGACTGCCTGTTGCATGAGAATTGTTGCCAGCGCATAGGGCAGGAATCTGGGAGGAGATACTGGTCTGTACGGCCGTTTGAGACCGATGCCATGTCCTTCTGTGTCTTATCTCTCGAGATGAAAATAGACATACAGTTGACGGTACCGGTAACCAAAAATTCCCAAACATTGGATCTGATCTTTGCCTTCCGTCAGTTTATGTTTTAATCATCCCTCTTCCATTTGCCCCCAGATCCCACAGGAGATTCATGCTTTCTTTGATACTGACATTAGCAAACATCAACAGCCATAATTTAATCAATTTGATGATGCCTTCCTTTTATCGCCAAATCCGTTCGATCTTGGCCCACCAGGTCTCCAGTTTCTGATCTTAATCTATGCTCGGAAGAACCCGAAACCGAAACCAAAATCCTGAGCTCACCTGATCTAGATGATTCGGTTTTGCCCTCCCGAGAACATCTTAGAATCATCTTGCATGTTTGCCGAGTAGAAGCATGGCATAGCTTTTGGACGCATTTCAGCGATTTTGGAAAGCCGGATTATGTCGATGTGCTTTCTCTGACTTTCAATTGGGGACTTTTACAGCGTATGTATGATCTAGGATTATTTAGCTCCGGAGTAAACTACCACTCTCGAACACACACACCCATACAGCGTGCTGTACATCTTTTTTAAAGCCTGCAGTACGGTGTACCCATCTGAGCATGATCCATCATCATCCATCTCCCATAAAACCGATTATCCATGATGATGCCCATCTACTAGCCTGGCACCCTCGTACCCGCATCCGCATATAGGTGGTTTACAGGTTGGCAAGGGTATCTGTGGAGTAAGTCGATTCTTTCAAGCATCTCCTCCGTAAAATCCTGGGAGGGTTCAAGTTCTCAGTTCTCTGGGAAAAGGCTTGAAAAATAGCATGCATAATCATTTGACCCTTTACCATATTGAGTTAATCTCATGATTGCGGCCTTGCCCTTGATTTGCCGATTATAGTAGTTACTTCTCTCAACCCTTGTTCCTTTTCATCCTCGTGCTAATCCACATGCAAACAAATCAATTGATGATCCAACTGCCTCTTTGCTCTGATCTCCTCGCCTCTCTTCCCTTCCCTTCCCTTTCCCTTTCCCTTTCCCCACTCATACAAAACATAGCGTGAGAGCTTACTTTGGCAGCCGCGTCCATTGTTGTCTCAGATTCTCGGATTCTCAGATTCTCAGATTCCCAGAGTCTCAGTCTCTCTTGGAGAATTTAATCACCAACCTACCTGACAGCAGGATCATATCTACCATCATACCATCGTACCGAACATCATACATATCATCATATCATATCATACCTGCCTACTCTGTGTCTACCGATCCAGTAGTAATAAAACCCCCCGTCGTCGCTCCCTCATTCCACGACAACCCTTGAATCAGACTACTACATACGTACAATATAGTACAGTCCAGTACCTACCTCCCGTATTCAAAGCCTACCTTCTACCTTGAGATTTCATCGGTCCATTGACTCTATTCGTAAAATTCATTTATTAATATTTTATCTTCACTGCGTATACCAATTGTTAATTCCTTCCCCGATTATTTTTTATTTATTTTCCCGTCTAGTGGGAAAGATATCCACTTCAAACTTTATCTCGCCACAACCCCAGTCTACTCACATGGGCAGTGAGCACGTACTTGTAGCACTCAAACCCTCCTCCTCTTCTCGGTGTCTGTTCTTTGATCCCATTTCACATCACAATCCACGAAGCTTCACTAGATCTTTACCAGGTGGTATATCTATAGAACTTATTAATTATTAAAATAGATCCTGGAAGATCTATATCAATTAACAACATACAAGAACGACATATCTTGCAGCACGATCATTGAGCAATTGAGCATTCGCACACAGTCGGTTGTAAGACTGACTTACCTACGGAAAAAAAGCAAATCCTCCATCACTTAATTCAATTCAACCTTGCGACACTCGCTTTCAATCCTTTGAAACTTCAACTCAACCCCTCGAACAGATAATTACTATCTGACCTGTTTAATCACCGATCGAAGCAGAATCTTCTGACCTATTTTCAAAAATAATCTACCCTCGCCAGGTCTTCTCCCTTTATTGCCAATTCGCTCCTGCTTCCACAAACTCGAATTAGTATATTAATCAACCACCTTCATGCCCTTGTAATGCGATCGACACAATGGCAATGCTAGCTTCAAAGAATCCTTTTCCCGCATCGCTGGGCCCATCCTCATCTTCTTTCTCTTCCAATTCACAATCAGCCACTACACAATCAAGTAGAAGAGCGCCAGCCATGTTGGCCACAAACCAGACATTCGCGAGCCCTACAGAATCCGAGTTTTCGGATATAGACAGTCCAGAGTCTGCAAAGAGGTGGGATGAGCATCAAGTTTGCGATTGGCTAAGGAGCATCAACTGCGGCGATTATGTGAAATTATTCAAGAAGAACAATATAAATGGCGAGAACCTCCTGGAGATGGATAAAGCAGTGCTTCAAGAAATGGGCATTGAAAAGATAGGAGATCGCGTTCGTCTATTCTTGGGCATCAAGAAGCTCAGGACGAAGGCCTATGCCAACCAGAAGAAGAGAAATAGGGTAAGTGTTCTTTAAGTGCTCATTACAGTGGATTGATTTTGACGATTTCAATCACAGGATTCTTTCGCGACACTGGATACTTTTGCGCACACCCCGTCTTCTTCTGGCTCGCCACGCCCTACAAATTCTGGAAGCCGAAATATGTCTACATCTACGGGCAAGAGATTCTCGAGACAGTTCGATTCCTTTAATACCGCTACAGCGATTCCCGAGAATGTCAGTAAACCAGCTTCGCGGCCTGTCTCACCATTGACAAATTCAGAGGTTCGACCTCTACGACAACAGAGATATGGTATCATGAGCCCAGCAGAACAAATGAAGCGGGAACAAAATCAAGGGTACTTTAATGGTCCTAATATTAGTATACCAGGAAGTGCTGCGACTATTTCTGGAAGGCGGCCTACCACCCCGTCTGATCCTACACAGCCACAGATATCTCGGCTAGCTGGTGGTCATACTCGAGCCAACCCAAGCATCGATGGCTCGCTCATGGCTTCATTGCCCACAAACCAGGATGTCATCAGGGTCATATCTTCTAAGGGTGTCACAAAGGTGGTCAAAGTTGCCGAATGTAGCTCCTGCGACGAGGTGATGCGATTGACTTTGAGGAAATTTGGTTACCGCGAGGACCATGATCGGAACTATTGTTTCTGGGTCCTTGCTGGTGTCGATCCAGATCCCAGTCAATGCCGTCGATTGCCAGAGGCTGAACTCTGGCGCATCATCAAAGATCAAAAGAGAGCTGAAAGGAATCGACTTATCTTGCGAAAGATACATGCAGGTGAACCAGGCGATGATGAGCTACAGCGAGCTGCCAGCATCGCATTGGAGGAAGCTACGACAACTCATAATCGTGCTATCGAAACGTCTGATAACAAGCGTAGTCAACTCAAAGTTCAGAAAATGCTCGGAGAGACCTGGAATGACAACCTTCAACATCCATTGTCACCCGCTTCGTTTCAATCAGCTGGATCTAACCTGTCCATCACTGAGAGAGAACGCAATGTGTATAATGCGGCGAAGGATCTTGAGAGACCATTACCAGCCGATTCCCGAGAGAGTTCAAGGCATAAAATAGGCAAGAAAGGTGGTCTGCGTCACTTCTTTGGACAGAGACCTCCAAGTGAATTGATCACATCGGATTTGACGACATACTTTCCCGATCATCCTCGTGAAGAGATCGATCGCACTGCGAGACTTTCACTGCGGAGATCTACTCGTCTAAGTAAGGTCAATAGCCGTTTGAGTGTTGCCAGTAACCTGAGCTTTGCTTCGAGCGTAGCTGATGCTCCACCAATGCCCACCATCGCCGACACTTGGCTTATGGGTAATAGCCAATTAGCAAAAATCCGGCCTTTGGACCTTTCAAGAGCAACTAGTAGTCGATTTAGAGACTCGGTGGCTTCTTCATTACTCGACATTGTCCAAGAAGAATCCCCAACCGAGCCGAATCGCAAATCTTATGTCTCTTTTGCGACTGATAGCGGATCTGATACTACTAATGTTAACGTAACTACTGATGATGGAGGTAGCGTTAGAGATAGCTACTTCGAGGATGGTAGCACAGAAGCTGGGGATTCTTTGAAAGAAATCACCCAAAAGCTGAACAATGACGGAGAGGAATTGGACGAAGAGTTGGAAAGTTTCCTACAGGGGGACTCTTGGGACGACAGCAAATGGATGAAGGGTGCACTTATTGGACAAGGTTCCTTTGGTAGTGTTTTCTTGGCTTTGCATGCTGTCACGGGTGAACTACTTGCGGTCAAGCAAGTCGAGACACCTTCGCCTAGTACGGACAGTAAAAACGATGCTCGCAAGAAGAGTATGATCGACGCTTTGAAACGTGAGATTAGTTTCCTTCGTGATCTTCAGCATCCCAACATTGTCCAATATCTCGGAGCAAGCTCATCCGACAATCACCTCAACATTTTCCTCGAATACGTGCCTGGTGGTTCCGTCCAAACTATGCTTAACTCTTATGGAGCATTAGGAGAGCCTCTAATTCGAAGTTTTGTGCGACAAATTGTTACTGGCTTGGCTTATCTCCATGGCAAAGATATAATTCACAGAGATATCAAAGGTGCAAATATCCTTGTTGACAACAAAGGTGGAATTAAAATCTCTGATTTTGGAATCTCGAAGAAAATTGAAGCCTCGAATCTTCTCAATGGACCTGGAAATAATAAAAACCGACCTTCACTTCAAGGATCCGTATTCTGGATGGCGCCTGAGGTCGTCAAACAAACTGCCTACACACGCAAAGCAGATATTTGGTCACTCGGTTGCCTTGTTATTGAAATGATGACTGGTACCCACCCGTTCCCTGATTGCTCTCAACTACAAGCCATTTTCAAAATTGGTGGTGCAAGAATTAGTCCTACCGTACCAGATGAAGCAAGCTCTGATGCGAAGATCTTCTTGGCATCAACTTTTGAGGTCGAACATACTAAACGACCGAGTGCTGACGAGTTGTTACTGAGCCCATTTTTGAACCCAATCACTTGACTGGGTTATTGGCAGTTTCCTTGCTTCTCTTGCGGCACCTGTATTAAACTAGTACATGCTTCAAACGCATTGCAAGCGCTGGACATTGCATCGCCTTGGAGTTTTTCCTTTCAGCATATTCATTTTCTTGTACACATTTTTTTCCTTTTCTTTTTTTTTTTGATGTCGTAACGAAATACGATACCCAAAGCTTCCTATGGATTTAGGCATAATAAGGGTACTTAACATAGATGCATGGATGACAGAAGGGGTGGATTGTGGTATCACTGATTGGTCTCTTTTCTTTGGGGCAAGTAGTTACATTTTTGAGAATGGAAGATGAAGGCGAACGTTATAAAACCATGTATCGAAGGGGAATGGAAGAATCGGGAATATGAAAAGTGCGGAAATCAAAGTGTACAAATATAAGGTGTTGATAGATATGAATATCATGATTCAAGATTCATATATAATATATGTCTTAAACTATATTTGCTTTATTATTCAGATGTGACTTGTAGTATCTTGCGCTTTAGATGAACCGCAAAGTTATAGAATATCTAACTATCAGAACTCATCTAATCCAAGCCAACCACCTTCCTCCTCATGCCCTAGTGCCCAGCTCACCGGGGACGAATACTACCCCGGATTTTCTCGATCAATATTCTTCAAAACTAATAAGGGCTTCTAACACAGAGAACATGCATGACAGGCATTGGGCATCGTTGAGGAATAATACACAATTTCTAATCATGTTCGCCGAAAAGTAATGGATATATTAATAAAAGTTGCTACGATGTCCGAATTCTGAGATAAAGATCTCCGCCTCGCCAGCCCGCTAGCCCGCTAGAAATGTGTGGCGTGAAGTGAACTACTGTGGCGGTGCATTGATCTCAGCCTTAAACTTTTCGAAGCTCTCGATTCCATTTCACAGTGACAACCACATCCATCATCAAAATGTCTGAAGTCGAGAATGCAAGTCCACCAACCATGGCGCCAGCAATTGAAGCTTCGGAGGAAACTTCAACAGCTCTCACTACGACAAACAATGAAACAGGCGCACCCGCTGAGCGCAAAGTTAAGAAAATAATACGTCGAAAAAAGCGTCCAGCGCGTTCCCAAGTAGATCCCTCAACGATAAAGAGCGAACCTCCTCCACAAACTGGTACTATTTTCAATATCTGGTATAACAAATGGTCTGGTGGTGATCGGGAAGACAAATATTTATCAAAAACTGCTGCAGCAGGACGTTGCAACATCGCAAACGATACTGGATATACTAAAGCCGACAAAGTGACAGGCAGTTATTTCTGTTTATTTTTTGCAAGGGGAATTTGTCCAAAAGGTCAGGAATGTGAATATCTACATCGTTTGCCCGGTATTCATGATATGTTCAATCCGAATGTGGATGTATTTGGTCGGGACAAACATTCGGATTATAGAGATGATATGGGAGGTACGGGAAGTTTCATGAGGCAAAATAGAACTATTTATGTGGGAAGGATACATGTTAGTGATGATATTGAAGAAATTGTCGCGCGACATTTCGCAGAATGGGGTCAGGTTGAGAGAAGTAAGTCTATATCTTCTTGATGTGATCATTAATGCATACTAATCTGTGTTAGTCCGGGTTCTGAATACGAGGGGTGTCGCTTTTATCACATATTCAAATGAGGCAAATGCGCAATTTGCGAAAGAAGCAATGGCACATCAATCTCTAGACCATAACGAAATCTTGAACGTAAGATGGGCGACGGCAGATCCGAATCCGATGGCACAGGCACGAGAGGTACGAAGGATAGAGGAGCAAGCTGCTGAAGCTGTTCGGAGGGCTCTACCTGCGGAATTTGTGGCTGAGATAGAGGGGAGAGATCCCGAAGCACGAAAGCGCAAGAGAATAGAAGGAGGTTTTGGACTGGCAGGTTATGAGGCGCCTGATGACGTTTATTTTGCTAGGGGTGCCAATGCTGTAAATCCACTCGGCAGACAAGGGCTAGAATTAGAAGAGGAGCAAAGACTCATGCTTGAGGCGGATGCCTATGAGCAGACGGAACAGAAAGAGGAGAGTGGAGGTATATTTTCCAGCAGCACTCTAGCGGCATTAGAAAGTGCCAAGGGGTCAATCGCAACAAAGCCGAAACCCAAAGCACCGGCAGGGCCATTGGTAGCTTATGATAGCGATAGTGATTAGATGGGGGTGATAAACGGAGTTTAGGAGTTGGTCAACTACTATTACCATCATGTATAGTATAAGTATAATACTCGGTCTTTTACAAGCCAAAATCATAGCAGCATTGTCTCAGCTTCGAAAGTAGAAGTAATGAGCAAAATCAAAACAATCATCCCATGATACGGTTGTGTTCTCCATAATTTCGTTATAGTCATCAACTATTGAAAATCCTCGAATATAGCATCTCATGCCTTCCAATCCACAAATCCATAACCGGTACACTCTGACCAGCATCCTCGACCTTGGTATTCCATTCCCTTTCAATAGCTTCTTTAATTCCCATTTGAACTTCCCCACTCGCCAAAACCTTCTGTGCATGATACGGTCCGAACATACTGGCTCTCACTGCGGCCGAAAGCAAAGCCTTCACATGACTTAACATAAATACATATGCAGTCTGCTCTAAAGTCATTCCCACAGTCGATGTAATGGCACCAAATAAAGGTGCGAGATGGGCGGATACAGGTGGTATTTCTCCAGAAGTAGTTTTAGGTGCTGAGGATATAGATTTCAGTAGTGCAGAGAATTCCTTTAAAATGTTACTTCCAACAGCAGATGCAGAAGTAGAGAACTCTGAAGCTAAAGCAGTAGAAAATGATCGATCCCAGATAGACAATAGAGCTCTTCCTTGAGCAATCGAAGCTCGTCGTCCGACGGTACACATGATCGAAGCATCTTGAGCATCGTCTAGATCGATCAAATCCTCGGGTTTCCGATGCGCGGCGAGCACGAAAGGGAGAGTGGTGGATGCATAGGATGAGAGTGAGAAGGAGAGGAAATCCGTAAATGATGATTTGGGTTTGGTGTGCGCGAGATAGGATTCTAGGCCGCTGCTGAAGGCGAATGAACCGAGTGGGAGGGCGGAATCGGAGAGGAGGAGGAGGAAATGATTGGATTGTGGAGAGAGGTGTGGTACTGGGGTTGGTTAGAAATGAAGCTTACCTAAAAGATAATTGGGAACTTTCTCACCATTGTTGATATCAGGACGATGATCCCTAGATGATGCGGAGGGTAAGGTTTGACAGGCTAATCGGGCTTTCGCAGCTGCTAATCTCCTCTCCAATTCTTCAACCTCTTTCTCGATATCCTGAGACTCATTTTCTATATCCCGAGACGCGTTCCCTGTATCCTGAGACTCCACTTGAAGACTCATTGGACTATCATATCACTGACTCACAGGATGTAATAGAAATGCAGCTGGTAACCATGTCGGTTGGACAAAATTAGATGTGGCTTTAATGTTAAGCTTATTATAAAGTGTGGCTGTGAATGGGATGTAAATTCAACGTATTAATACTTCTTCCTTCAAACCATCAAACGACTCTTGAGATGAATTGAAGAGACCTGCCAAGATTTGTTTAAAACCGAATCATTGGTTGAGCTTATGATAAAGGCTGGTTACTATGTATTCTCGCTCGTTTCAAACAGCTCTCGTCTTATCTCATATGCATCCGCAGTTTTTCATCTAAATTTGGCATCGCTTCCCATGGGAGCCACTGAGGAGAGGCTGGATTTACTATCCTACCTACCATAAGGCTCTGCTTCTGTACCACCACAATCCTGTCAAACCTACAATCGATGTGTGGATTTGATCTTATTTTGTGTTCTGCAATGGTGGCTCAGCAAGAGTTCTCCATGTTTCGAAATTTTTGATGAATGCAGGAGGATCCTTTCGTCGAGTATTTTCTTAGGCATTGCGGATTGTTTGGCCACTGTTTAAGCAACAGTTGTTTTGCATTGATGCTGCCTACTATTAGAGTTGGTTCGCCAGATGGTGTACTACGACATGAATCACAAGCACAGTCGTCAAACTTGTGTTATTTTTCATCCAACAGATACGAGGACAACGATGTAGTATCCTCGTTTTCCCGGAGAGGTATCAGCCACGGTAGTACACGTGAATCAGGACCAATTATCCACTTCCAGAAGGCTGTCATTTTTTATACTTGATATGAAGTTACACGCATGTACGTCTTCGTTTTCCTACGCGGTTGGACCGGTTACACTGCAGCAAGATTCCTTGCAAGTCGAGATTCGACGTCTATCTCATCGATAGTGTATTTATTAAGGCATAGGCTATGAAGTACAGTGACGCGATAATCCAGTAAGACTCCTTGCTCACCGCATACATTGGCTGTGCTCGTAGACACGGAATAATCACTATGGGATTCTTACCTTGTCCTATCTATATTGAACCTCGCTTGACTCATTTCTCTGTCAACCCTTTGTATATAGTATCCATTGTACTCGACCAAGTAACCCTGTCTTCACTCAGTTTACATATAAATGCTATAGTACTTGAAAATAATTAGCATATACACACAAGTCAAAATGATTGTCATATTAGCTCTCCGCGTTTTCCAGGTAAACTCCATTTCAAATCTTATATTACATAAATCATATGGCTAACCTTAACAGTTACTGTTCGCTACCATCGTTCTAGCATTATCCGTGATCATGATTAAAGGTTATGGACCGGGTCTCTCGTGGCTTCTCATAATATACGGTTCCTTTTGTGGTGGAGCCGCAATCATCATTGGAGTAATTGGAATTGTAGCTTGTTTCATGGAAGCTTTACAAGGCACAATAATGCTCGTCCTCGATTGCGTCGCATCATTCTTCCTTCTCGCAGGAGGAATCGTACGTTACCGCTTCACCAGTGCCTTTATAAATTATTGCTAACAAACTTTTTGCAGGCATACGCGGCGACAATCAAGGTCGGTAACTGCGATGATTTTGTTGGTTATGTCAGTCACCACAACAACCCATTTAGCTTCAGTGCACAGAGACGTCTTACCCTCTGGGAAAGCATCGACGAAGCTACGACTAGATGTCGAGAAACTCAGGCAAGCACGGCATTTCTTTGGTTTACGGCGGCATGTTTTATTGGGACGACTGTCATTCATTTTTTGGGTCGCAAACGTGGCGGTGGTGCTGTGAGTTACCCGTAGAATAGATCGAGGGGAGTGTACAATAGGGAGGAAATACGGGACTGTAATGTATTATGATGATGGATATAAAACGGTGGGATACTGATATCAATGGCGTTTATTCATGTTTGGAGTTTGTATGTTGATAGCTGGGTCGGGGTGTATGACAATTTTCTGGTTCTTCCTATCACTTGGTTGATGGAGTAACCGGTTTCCCGCTACATAGAAACAAATAACAATATATATCGCAAAGGTATTCTCAAGAAAGTCATTCCTTGGCCGCATGTGTTCGGTTGGCTCTACTTCATCGGTGGATTGTCCATTCCCATCCTAGACAAATGAATCCCATGAAGATCATCAAATCACTTCATGTGACATGAAAGAAGATCCCAAGTCTTATAAGAGCATTGTTGCAGAGCAGAAATCGGACGGGATGATCGCGGGACATTTTGATGTAAGTCTCCCGTTATTGCTGTCTGATATATTATTCTCCTTCGATATAAAGGATTGTATTTGCTAATGGATGACTTTTGTATATTATATATAGTATTCAACAGTTGAGATAGTTAAGATCTGAAAGAGGAAGAAGCTGAAGAATTTTTTGAGATGTAAATGTGTGTGGTGTTTTGATGAGGATTATTAGTGGAATAATTGGAAAAATTGGGACATCCACAACATCCAAAATCTCAAGTCCATGTAGCAGTTCTCCGACACTGTGACGAGTCCGCTATTAGAGAGCAAGAGATGGGCCAAGATAACTTGATGAGCAGGGAGTCTGTAGTGGTTCTGAAGCTAAACGTGTTACCTTCCGAGACGCAGTGCAGAGAAGCCAAAGGACTCAGATGCTAGTTAATGATAGGGATATTAGAATTTAGACGCTCCCCTTAAGCTTAGTTAGAAACTCACATCTTCGCTTCCCTAAACTCGTGAATGTGTTAACTGTCCCACTTACGTTTGCGCCCCCACCGATATTTGATAGCAGTCTGACCATCCCTGGATAGCATGATGTGGTTCAGAGCAAAAGTCGATTTGAATGGCGTTATTTGGCTGGCCTAGAGCCTTGGTCCAGCCATAGCATTCGGCTCTGGCAATGAATGGAATATCATGCTCATTGGCATTACGCACCTTTGGTCTAGTAAGCTGGGAAACAATATCATGGACTCATACCGGATAGAATGATACACACTCACTGTTTGCGGATATTAGATTCAGCGGCAACTTGAACCGCGGCCGCGACGGTGGGAGCCTCGTACTCTTTCCTTCTAGCTACGAGACTGGTAAATCTGGGATCGCTAGTGAGGATAATAATTAGATGCTTTTGACAATAGTAACAGGTCGAGATGGACCGGATCGCTTTGCCATACGGACATATTGCCGGTCAATCTCTTGGCGAGGGTAGAGAAAGAAACCAGGCAGATCAGGAGAAGGGTATTCGAAGGAATAGGAGAAAGAAAGGAGTTGGCCAAATGACAAATATAGAACAGGAACCGACGTGGCGGGTCGTGACTAGAAGTTCTGGATTTACTGCGTGGAGCTCAAATGGTAGCAATAATTGATAGAAAATATACCTAAGAATGGATGTTTTAGAGATTGGTATTTGTATAAGGGATTACTGTGTAAGATATTGCAATTAGCTTCGAATATTCCATGGTTCTGATCTTTGCCAATTAGAAATTGGCAACTGTTAGTTGACTATACGTGCCCTTATGGCACATAAGCTCTTCTGGACGATGCCCTCTACATAGCCATTATTCCACATACTTCTTTTCAGTTATATGTACAATATAACCAATTTTCCATAAAGCAATAAATCATGCAGATGTGCATTTATTCGTGAATAAACCTTGTATTTACTATCTCTGCATGCAATTTCCGTTTCCTACGCACCAGACGCCGCAACATTAATATTGATTAATGGTCGATTACAGCGCAAACACTGTTGGAGACCATTTGGTCGATTCATAGAGCGCACACTAACAGACGATATTGATGTGATTTACATTCTTGTCCCTTTACCTAACCTGACATTATTGAGATCTGATTATATTTGTGCTAACCAAAATTTCAATAATGCCTGGCCGATTTAACTCTTCAATCGCAGTGAACTGTCTATGTTCTAGAATACAAACTCCTCGATAGTTTCGAAAGTATCTATGTAATAGCCTAGAGGCCCAGCTTCCTTCCCCAAAATGCCCGACTTCCAATCTAGCATTACATTTGCTCAACCAAGCTACTGATTACATAAAGGATACTGTGGGAAATATCAAGAGAAGTTATGATGAAAACTTCAAAGCGGCCCTCTCTCAGCGAGATATCTCTGACACGCGGGAGAACCTGAACGAACGTCCAACAGACCTTTGCAGAGTAGGAAAGTGGCCTACTATCTAGGCTGGAGTGTGGAATTCTTTACTAGATGTTCATGGCACAGAATGTCTAATGAAAGCAGTAATTGCAACCACACAAGCCTCTAAGAAAGTAAGTTCATGCAATGTATTCTATAACACTGCATCACTTTACTGAATTGGCAGAGTGTGGTCACAACAAGGAGAGCCTTTCGTCCTCTCTCGGACTATCTTTCTATTGCATTCGTGATTCTAGGACTATAGAGCCTAGCCCTGCTGCTGAAGAACTTTCTTTCATGGTATCAGAGTATCCAATAGTCTGGACTGTAATCCAACAATAAGAAGCTTTGAATCTCTGAATTTATTTAGGATATTCAAATCAATTAAAACAATAAATTACACTTAAATATTTATAATCTTTCTAAATTAAATATAATAAGATATTCAAAAAAATGAATTATATGCAAATATTTAACGAGTTCCGATCATTGAAATTTTAAAATCAATCTGTTGATCCGGAATATTGAACACCCTGAGTAGTATTGATTATATAGCCATACCACCTCCAGCTCTAGCTTAGTCCAGCAGTTGAATGTTTGTCTGCTGTTAGATTTTATCAATATGGACAACAGATATTTAAATACGAAAGAAAGTTATCGCGTGGCCAGCGAGAAAAATTGCAAAGACTGAAACGTGGAATATTCATCATTGTATTTAGTAGCTGTTGAAATAATGTGTCTTAGTTACTCTGAGGACTCCGGAATATTAATGTGAATACCAGATTCAGTGGCAACGTAGTCCTAAAACAATGTCAACAATATGCCCCGTCCATAGTAAATACCCTTACCTGAATGGTCGAGGCACTTCCTGGCAGCTCTACTAAATGTTCGAATGATCCGAGCATGGTAGCGAAATTGAATGCATGTGGACTGCTAGAAAACCTGCCGCAAATTTTAACACCAGTCGAAGAGAGAGAATCTGGCACTCAAGTCATCGTTTCAATGATCTCAAATAAGAAGTAACCTACGTTTGTCCAACTTCATCGGATAGTATGTCAGACTTCTGACTGATCTCATCGCCAAAGATACTTGTCTCGACACTATGTGAAAAGACAGGCTTAATTCCAATTTCCAAGGCGAATGGTGCTTTAGCGACTGGCTGTTCGATCAAGAAGACGAAGGTGAATTCTCGGGGAAGTCCGGTAGCCTGTTGTTCGTTCTCTTCGAGCGACCAAACAAGCTTGCTGCTCTCGATGCCTTTAGCAGATCGAGTTGAACCTTGTATCTTTAACGTGCTGCCGATGACCTTTGATTTATCGTACTCAGTCGAGGGAGTGACAGCTGCGGTGGTCGGTAAAGAGACCCCTAGGATGGCTCCTGATAGTGAAGTTAGAAACATTATTAGACGAGCTAATCCCGACTTTTCAATAGTCTGGGCTGCTGTCATTCTCCAATGATGGATTATTGATTCCTCAGCCTATCACTGAGCCGGTTTGAAATCTGGAACTGATTGAAGCACTAAATTCGCCCAGAATACTCATTTATACTCACAAGTTCATGAGTTTCGGATCTGAAATGCAGTCCGAACTATCGGAAACCCTGCCCCAGACTCAAGGCTCTCAACCAAAGCTTTTCGTTCCTGGTGCATTTGAAGTAAAAGTTAATTACTTACCCAAGGAAAAATTCCAATGTAAATTCTCCGTCGAATAGCGACCAAATGCAATATGTGGAGCAAATTTGATAATCCTCAGCGGTTGATCGGTAACCTTTTCCCCTGTGGTTTTAAAAGCCTGAATGCTTATTTGAGCTCTTTTAAATCTACGCTCAACAGAGTGCATGGGGTGAAAGACAAAAGTTATAGCTACAAAAGTGACATTGTATGGCTGAGGTCCATCGAGATTTAGTTTGTCGAGATCGTAGACGCCATGATGAAGACGTGAAAGGCTGGCAGAGACAAAAGCATCCTCATGATGGTACTCATGCTCAAGCAGGGTCTTCTGGAAAACTTGGTAACGATGGTCGGGCAAATCAGAATACATTATATTTAAATCGGGCAGAAATGAGTAGAGTAGAAATCCAAATGTCTAGATATGATCATCTGGGAAATATTTGGCTTTAAGCTGTGAATTTTCCACGTAAGAGCTTACCATGAACTAATAAATACCTACTTGACCTTGTGTGGCCAATAGACAAAGTACACAACCTATGTGATGTACATTGTTTTCCATTCAACACTTGTTGGATCCATAATCTTGTACAAACATGGTAAACTCTTATGTGTGTTGGGGCAATGTAATATATGGCCCACTAGGTACCACACCGTCTGTTGAAAACAAGCACTGCTGAATGCTTGAGGCGACATTGATATTCCTTTTTCTCATGATCCCTCGAACCAAACTACGCCGTGTAAGAGAATGAAAGGACATAGAAAATGTAGATAATACCATGGAAGGATTGATGTAAATACAGAACATTGAATAATATCAGATATATTTTGAGGAAAACATGTTTCTGGTACCAGTGACGGGAATTTTTGATTGCGTTCACCAAAAAAGACCAGAAGCTCGGAACCCGGCAAACTCCACCGAACAGCTCAAAGCCATCAACACCGAGAAATTGTAGCTCAGCTATTTACACCCATACACCCCCGCTGTCTCACAATGTCTTCTTCTTTTCCCCTCGAAATAGCATCCACAATTCAAAGCGCATCAATAAAGCGCGATCCATCTCCCGACCGTGACATAAACCCTTCTACCGCGGCCTCCAGCAAGGAGCCCGTTTCCGTCCATCCAGAATACGCATACATTGACAAAGATAGTATCGATGGCGAGGAAGAAGTAGAGGAGGATATTCCATACGATGTTATAAGACCATTACCACGCAGAGCCAGCTTCCCGCCTATACCTGATTTACGGTTTGAGCAGAGTTACTTGGCTAGTATTGCGCATGCAGATTCGTATTGGAAGGTTGCTTTCATAACGATTAGAGACCAGGTAATATTCTCTTTCCCAGCAGTTATTCTATTCTTTACGTTTAACATATGGAACACCGAACTAATTCTCATGCGTAGGTATGCATGCCACTCATTCAAGGCGTTGCTGTGACCCTCCTCTGGGCCGGATGGAAGCATTGGAACAAGAACGCCAAACTCAGCGGCAACAGTGCAGGCGCCCGAGTCCGTCGATGGTGGTACACGGTCAACAACTGGCCGATTAAAGAGAAGATAGCAGAGATCGGAAAGAATGCGAAGTTGGCGGCGGAGATGGGGGATGTGAGTCCCCTTGCCATGCTTTATTAATACTACTTCCCGTTACTGATGGAATTGGGCAGTATTTTGAAAACCAAGCTTCAGCTGGAGATTGAGTGCATGAATCATGAGGTGTTTCGAGAAAAGGAATGGTGCGTTTGCATGGATGGCGTTAGGGACGGTATATAGAACAAAATACCAATGTACACTTTGAGTTCTTTGGGTAGGTGGAACCAAACGTTGTGAGGACTCATTTGATAACTCAGGACAGGAGGAAGCTCAATGGATTTATCTAAGCACGGCACGCATTCTACAGATTCCAAATGACCTGATCACGATAAGATGGAGGAGGCATATGTAATCATGTAACTTTTTATTGCAACAGCCATGAAACTTTGTCTGCCCATGAGATGAGACTTTCATAGGTAATTATGTTGTAATGTTCCGAATGTTTTGTGTTTATCAAGGAACATAAATATACCCAATAATCAGCTCTGATCGCGCCCACCCAAGGAAAGCACGATGTCTTTTATCTTACGCCTTTTGTCATAATACCTTTTTCCATACCCGCTATCATGAATTGTTATTACATTAAGAACCACCATGACCAACATTTATTGATGGCAGTAGAGTGGACGCTTTCTCAGGACTACCGCGGAAAGTAAGAGAAGGCGAGAGTTGGGTCGAAATCGATTTCGTTGTGATGGAGATGGGCTTAGTTTTGTTGTCGTCTTCGGGAGAAACAAATTTCTCCTCGTTATTGAATTCCAGAGATGTATTTGGACTTGCAAGTTTTCGAGGAGCCATACGGTCTGACTTCGACTCGGTCCGTGGGCTCAACTGAAGTTTGATCGTAGTCTTCTTCTCCGGGGTTGGCGTTTTGATTGGAAGCTTGACAATTAAACTCTTCTTCTCTTGATCGCCATCCTCCATGTCTTCATTCTCATCACTGTCCTCCTCCATCTCGTCCATATCGCTTGCCAGAGAGACTTGATCGTCATCTTCTTCGTCATCGCCATAGTCTTGCTCACTAGCATCGTCCTCCTCATCGTCTTCCATTTCGTCCACTGAATTATATCCTTCAATATGCTTTCCCTTATTTGCCCAACCGCGCCCACGGCTGGAAGCAGCAGCACGGCGTGGTCTAGAGGTCACTTCTTCCGACTCTTCACCCAGCTCGACACCTCCAAGACTTTCTGCAAGGGCATGTGTTCCGCTCAGAACACTTTCACCATAGGCTCCACCAACGCGGGATCTGACCTGACGACCACTCAATGTGACAATAGGCCCAGCTGGCTCAGCTGGTGTGTGACTACCAGTGTTTCGAGTCGAACGACGGGATCCGGTAGTATCAGAAAAGACCTCATCTTCATCATCTGAATACGTGTACTTCATGCGCTTTCCTCGGGTACGGCCTTCATACATTGAGAAGTTTGGTTCAGGACGTTTGAATTGCTCTTTACGAGCTTGTCGGTATTCTCTTCTCTTTCGTTTCTGTGACATTGTAAGTAACGCTTAAAAATAAAAGAAGCAAAAGGGCCATAAAAAATACTACGCACTTCTTCAGTTGCCTCGAACCGTGGGACTGCAGCAAGGATTTTCGCGCTCAGCGTTCTGGCCTTCTGACCACCATCCTCCTTGACTAGTTTCTCTGCTAATGATTTTAACTCGTCTATATCACTTGCGACGCTCCACCAAGTCCTCTTTAAGCCTGTGTAATTGCTCTCTCTGTAGACTCTGAAGTGTGTATCGTCTAGGCCTTCAATGAGATAGTAGCGACGTCGGTCGGCATCTGAACCCCAGGGTTGTACGGAAAGTGGCTGGTTTAGATCATCTTCATGGCGAGTTTGCTTGTAAGAGGCTGTGATCATGCCCTTAACCACATCGGAGGAGGCCAAGGACCAGAGGATGAGAGTGCGTAGAAGGGTAAGCTATATTATAAAATCAGCAAGATTCTTTGCTTCTGTGGACTTTGTATAAGCTACCCGCTCTGTAGGAGACATGGAAGTGAATGTAGCTCCCCCAGAAAGAGGATTTTTGCTTTCCCAATCCTTCGCCCATTGTAATTTATGCGTCTGAACAGCCTCCTCGAGGGCGCGATTGTAATGTCCGGCTCTGTGGGCGATAGGTGGTCAGCTGGTGGTTCTGCACAAACTCTGAAGTAATGCGAGGTAGAATAACTATGACGCAAATATGACCTACTTCACATCCTGCTTTCTATTTAGAAGTAACCCCAACAATGCGCAAAGAAATTGTTCCGCATGCTCTCCAGGTGTAGTATCGACAACAGCACGCTCTAGTTCTTGGGGTCCGAAATTGGGTAGGGATTTTGGAAAAGCTTCACTGAACCGGGCACGGAACATGACGATAAACTATGCAGATTTCGCGTTAGCCACAATTGAACCGTACAACCACGCGTTTTGAACGTGTAAAACTCTTGAGTACGCGACGATAAGAGTTATACATACGGCAATGTCTGGGCTATCTGCTAAGACATATTCATGAGGGGGTGACGCTTCTCTCTTTGGTCGTGGTGGAGATGCCTCGATTTTGCGTACTGCACTTGGTTTTGGGGCTTTTGGGAAGAATTTAAGAATACCATCCTTTTTCGTTAATTGTAAGCTTTCATCCTCAGAAGGTACCGAGGAAAGATCTGAGGAGTCATCAGAAGAGGCCATAATATGGTTGGGTCGTGGTGTTCTGATGTTCTGAAGTTGGTTTGATAAGAAGCTTTTTAGAGGATGAAGTCAGAGGGAACTTTGAGATATTGCCGACAAGCGCGACTCGATTTATTGGTCTAAGCATTCTGTCACGCACGTACAACACAAAGAGATAGACATGAATAATATTCAAATGAATTTTAAGCCCCTTGATAATAATTGGTCATATCCACTAAATCTCCCTTACCCATATGCCCATGTATGCCCTTGTGCATATATGCCTGCCTATATGCCTGCCTATATGCCTGCCTAGAAAATTGAACGAACTCATGAACGCTCCTGATGAAAAACTATCAATACCCCAATAAAAAAATCCCCTGCTAAAAAATCTCGAAAACGTTCCCCACGGGTCCACAACCATAGCTATGTAACCTATGCGACATTACCTAACAGCTGTGCACCGATCATGCGCTGCTTCCTCCAGTCAGTCCTCCAACATGTTTTCCGGCCCCTCCTCTGAGTCATCTACCTTAAATACGTGCATCTTCTCCTGGACCTAACTCTGGACCTGCTCCTGAGTCCTCTGGGCTGGCTGTTGAGACTCTACCTGGAGCTGAATCTTGTACTAATGATCCCGTTCTCCGTCAAGAGAAAGTTCTTCACCCACAAATTCTGGTTCCTCGGCTTGGTGTGCATAATATGCAGTATCCATCAAGATTGCTAAATTCATTTGCAAATGTGACTTCCACAATGAGGCAACAGTCAGGTTCGACTCCGCCGTTCTGAAAGATTGAGTGACAATCTCCATGTTGGACAGATCGATACTCTGAAACAGTAAATAGTATCTTTTCGATTGTTGAAATTGCTTGGGATATTGATGAGGGTGCCTGCAGAGCTAGTTCGGGACTTTAGGGGCTCGGAATTATAGGAAACGATACAAAATTTCCTATACTATTTCTGGAGCAGTAGATAGTATCTTTTCAATTGTTGATATAATTTGGGATAATGATGATGTATTTGTGGTAGTAATTCGAACTGCAGGGAAAAGTACAAAATTTCCTTTACTGTTCCCGGAACAGCAGATAGTATCTTTTCAATTGTTGAAATAGCTTTGGACATTGAGAGTGTATGGCATATTAAAAACGTGTAGGATATTGAAAGTGTATGGGATGCTGGAAACATATAGAGCATTGAAAATATACATGTGGTAGTAGCTCGGAACTGTAGGGAAAGGTACGAAATTTCGTGCATTCCTCCCAGAACAGTAAATTCAACCATTTTCAGAACACTCATCCGAGCACCGGATATAATGAAAAGAAGATTTTTCAATTGTTGAAATAATCTCAGACATTGGGAGCCATGATATATGGGATCGATTGGGCACCCCGCTATTTCCTCGCCGAGCAGGGCGTATGGCTCACATGGCCTAGTTCTGGACCATCCATGCAGCTCATCAACTTCAAAAATTCCATCAAGTCATGAGGTACTACACAATCACAACGAAAGTGGAATGAAGAAGCCATTTTCAAAGAACTCCAAGGAATTTGAAGATTGCCTCAAAACACTATCCGAAGGCCTGAAAAATCTCCAAAGCACCCACAGGATTATATACACCACGAAATAAAAGGCGTGCAATGCCCAAATAGATTGATGTGACTAGAGACTTCGATGATATGGTGCAAGACATGGTATGGGGCGATGGAGGAAGGAAGTCAATGTTACCACCACCAGACCAGATGAGTGCTAAATCAAGCTAAACAACGCACCAGAGTCCAGTCTCCAATCTTTACATCTAGTATTCCTATGACATTTTTAAATTTGAATGTTGGACGGTGATCTGTAATATCGATAATTGTATGTTAAGAAAGATTCAGGGTTAGTTATCAACAGGTCGTCATTTGAAATATCCACTAGCGTATCTCATCCCAGTGAAACAGCAGCCTCATATTAATCATCTGTTATTTAAGGCCAGCAACTTTTTTTCGGGGCTAGTGCAGTCGCTTATGATTTTGGCCGGCACAATGGAAATATTCGTTCCTTCCCCCATTGAAAGTTCTTGAAGTTCTTGGTTGACAATTAACAATCCATCGCCAACTTATTGTCAATATGGGGTACGTACTCTTGATATTCTACTATCTCCTTTCAATATGCTAGTGAAGTGCTCTGGTTCTCTATTTCATGGGATAAATGCGATTGAAAGTGGAGGACATGCGCGCAGCTTCCCCTCCAGCCAATTCTTGACGGATTGGATGGGTGAGAAGATATTTTGAATCGCAGAACTATAGCTAACAAATGAAATTTTTCAGTCGGGTTATACGCAACCAAAGAAAGGGCCGTGGCTCGATCTTCACAGCCAACACCAGATTGAACAAGGCACCAGCTCAATTCAGAACCCTCGACTATGCTGAGAGACACGGTTACGTCCGTGGTGTCGTAAAGGACATCATCCACGACCCAGGACGTGGTGCTCCTCTCGCAAAGGTTGTCTTCCGCGATCCATACAGATTCAAGCTCCACACCGAGACCTTCATCGCCAACGAAGGAATGTACACCGGACAATTCATCTACGCTGGAAAGAACGCCAACCTCACAGTCGGAAATATTCTCCCTCTCGGATCTGTTCCAGAAGGTACCGTTATCTCCAACGTTGAGGAGAAGGCAGGTGACCGTGGTGCGTTAGGACGTACCTCTGGTAACTATGTCACCGTTATCGGACACAACCCTGATGAGGGCAAGACCCGTGTCAAGCTCCCATCCGGTGCCAAGAAGGTCATCAAGAGCAGCGCCCGTGGAATGATTGGTATCGTTGCTGGTGGTGGAAGAACCGACAAACCCCTCTTGAGTACGTTTCCAGGGCTCGATTGTTGATAAAGGGTATGCAAAGTTCGGTACACTGACTGTAAATTACAGAGGCATCCCGTGCTAAGCACAAGTTTGCCGTGAAGCGTAACTCATGGCCAAAGACTCGTGGTGTTGCCATGAACCCCGTTGACCATCCTCACGGAGTATGTAAAATCTGCCATTTGTACCAGAAACAAGCGCTAATTAAGAATAGGGTGGTAACCATCAACATATTGGTAAAGCATCCACAATTTCAAGATATGCCGCACAAGGTCAAAAGGCTGGTCTCATTGCTGCAAGAAGAACTGGTCTGTTACGTGGTACCCAAAAGGTCAAGGATTGAGCGAGTTGAGGGGGTTTTCATTGCTTCGGATATGTTGGTACTGCATCTTTGTAATTTGGGATGGATCTCAGCGAGGATGACAGAAAAGACTTCTACCAAACAATCTTGTGTGCTCTGGCATGATTTACTAGTGATCAGGAGATCGTGATGGCATGTTAACAGACACCATGCAAAATGAATTGATGGCTTTTCTACCAAATTGATTTCAAGCATTTGAACAGAGTAATTTCCAGTGACCGAATTCTTCATTCACAATATTTACCTTGTACACTTTGTTAGTTAACGTAACGATACTTCCCGGCCTCAAAATATGTCCTACACCAGAAGATTCGTTTGTCGCTGCGGGCCTTTGTCTTTTAGAACCCCAGTCAAAATCCGACCCCACCAAACCTTTCTTCACCGCACAGTAGCCCCGCCATCAAAACACAACATCCTAAAATATACCAGCAAAGCTACAGTAAATATGTCTGGAATTAAAGAATACGCCCTCCTTTGCTTGGAGAACCCATTGCTTGGTAGGTAGAGATGAGTCCAACCAATCTTCACAATGAGTCACCCTTGGACGGACAATCTCCAGCTTTCAAACAGCTTTGAATGTAGAAGATTTTCGAGTCTCGAGTCCATCCACTCTCAAGAGGGATGAAGCTCTTCACCCGCGCTTCGAACCAAGCCTCTGCAATATACATCTTAAATCAGAAACTAACCTTGGTCTCCAGATATCCAAGCCCAAGGAGACCAAGCTCTTCTCGACAAATACGGCCTCAAACCCAACGATGCCATTCTCGCCGAAGAAAAGCACATCCCCATTTACGAAGATCTCCTCAACAACTACTCTGCCAAACTGATTGCCGGAGGCGGAGCCCAAAACACTGCCCGTGGAGCTCAATATATTCTTCCACCCAACAGCGTTGTCTTCCTCGGCGGAGTAGGAGACGACAAATACGCCGCCATTCTCCACGATGCCGTCAAGACCGCCGGTCTCCGCGTCGAATATCGTGTTGACAAGACTCAGCCTACTGGACGATGTGGTGTTGTCATCACCGACCACAATCGATCTATGTGTACTGATTTGGGCGCTGCGAACCACTATGATTTGGAGCACTTGAAGTCGCCAGAGGTCTGGAAGTTGGTTGAGGGTGCTACGCATTATTTTGTTGGTGGTTACCATTTGACTGTGTGCCCACCGGCTATCCAAGCTCTTGCTGAAGAGGCTGCAAAGAATAACAAGGCATTTGTCTTTTCCCTCTCCGCACCATTTATCTCTCAATTCTTCAAGGAGCCTCTTGATGCCACCGCACCATACTGGGATTACGTTATTGGTAACGAGACTGAGGCATTGGCGTGGGCAGAAAGCCACGGCGTCAAGTCTAAGGATATCAAGGAGATCGCCAAGGCATTGGCCGCTTTGCCAAAGGAGAACAAGAAGAGAGAGAGAGTGGCTATTATTACACAAGGGACCCTTCCTACTGTTGTAGCAGTCAATGGACAAGATGTTAAGGAATACCCCGTTCACGCCATCGAGAAGAGCTTGATCAACGATACTACAGGTGCTGGAGATGCTTTCGCTGCTGGCTTTACTGCTGGTTTGGTTGCTGGAGAATCCCTCGAACAATGCGTTGACCAAGGGCAATGGTTAGCTAAGTTGAGCATTCAGGAGTTGGGTCCTTCGTAAGTTTTTCAGTCATTTATGCATGTATCTCACACCTATTATTCGGGCCATCGGTGTACAACTTCATCAAATTGTCTAGATTACAGACTAACGATATTTGCAGATTTCCCTTCCCTAAGCAGACTTACAAGCCTACCAGCCAGTAAGTATCTATGACTTTTTTTACCATTCTGATTCTAGACGGCGTTCGGGTGATGGTTTCAACAACAGGAGCGTCTACAATCGAAAAGATGTAGTGCATGATGCATGAACTTATGATCCTCCACGATCAATTTATAGAGCTAGCGTGTCGTTAGAGACCCAATAAAACGTTATTTACCCATATCTGCTTTGATATTTCTCAGTTACAGCTTCTGACTGTGGTTTTCCTACAATGTGCTGATGAATTTTGCTTGCTGATGATTTGTCTGGTGGCTCCTGGTGATGACCTCGACTTTGTAAGAGCAAAGACTTCTTACTGATTTCTGACAATAGACGGTAAAGTATTTGTTGTCCGACGAAGATGTGGGTGATGATGATATCAAATTGGTGGTCTGTTACGAATCATCAATGATTCATAGTAATAACTTGACAATCAACCATGGTAACCTTGGCCAGCGGGAGGTGTACGGTTGCCATTATCGGTCTGAGTGTTCCAGAGTGAGCTCTGTAACATTGTAGTTCGCTCATAATCGCTAGCACCTGGATCGGCAGTACTGTCATGGCCATTAAAGGATGAGCGACCGAAGGTCCTACCATAGTATGCCTTTGGCGGAGAATTATTTGCGTAGATGTTACTGTTTGTTGAGAACCCTGATGAAGAGAGTGACATAGGTTCAAATTGCTTGGCCAAAGACTCCTGCAACACTTGATTAACAGGTTTAGGAGTATCAAAAGATGAAAACTGGCCCCTTGTATATGTTGCAGCACCATTTGAACTTCGTGGTTGCATTTTAGTCATGTTATCTAGCGCCGCAGCGGCAGCAAGCTGCTCTCTGTTGGTTGAGTAATTCATCGATGAGAATCCACCAGAACTTGAAGGCTTTTCGGGACTGATGGTTCGGAGCTCATTAGGCTTGGGTGTGAAGGGGGAGCCCCAGATGCCAGGCAGACTTGGAAAGGCTTTGGCCGGTGTAATATGACTACTCGCCGATAGACGTGTTCTCTCAGAGCCAATGGGCGCAAATACTGCATTTGTAGTGGAGCTACTCATACCGTAAGAAGTATCGTCACTAGGAATAAGGCTTGCAGGCTCGAGTAAATCGTCCACCATGCGATTCATCTCAGTATCCATGGTGCCCAGAGAATCTGATCCTGCGACATTCTCGTTACCGGTCTTGGCGTAGCTCTGCACAGCATAAGTGGGCTCCGCTGGCTGGCTTGGAATTGCAAATGTATCTGACGGGGGGCTCGGAGCGCTTTCGGTACTATAGATAAATCTACCATCGTTGGCCATGATAATTGGACATGCCTTTTCAAAATGAAGAGCCATACCAGCTCGCAAAATATCCCGAATACGAGAATAGTTTTCATTATCAGGTTGACGAATGGCACCATCAGAGATACGAGCTTTCAAAAAACCATCATCTTTATTGTAAAGACTGTACTCTTCCAAACCACTAGGCGGGTCTCGGAGAGGCCTGAACCCGACAGTTTGTTCGTCTTCGGGCAACAGATATGGAAGATAAGGAAGGGATGCCACGGGAAAGAAGTTAACCAGGGCGGAAAGTGCATCTGCGGCTGTTTTCCACATATTTTGGATATGACTGACCAAGCGGCCTGTAGACTCCTGGTCAATTCCGTTTCCAAGGCCGACAAGGACGAGACGTTGGGAAATAATCCAGGCGAAGTATTGACGAATACCGGGGAGGACCCTAATTGCGACTGGGCCGAGCTTTTCAAGGGAATCACCGGAAGAATCTGTGGCGGTCAAAGACTCCAGATTTTCGGCTTCAGCTGCATCGGCAAGTTCTGAGATGAGTGCTCTTAGAAAAACGCAGAATACCTGCAGGTTGAAGCCAAGAAGGAAATAGAGTGATTTCTTGAGGTCATCAGTTACACCACCCTCTGCTTCTACACATTATGTTAAAAATTTTACATGGAATAATAGAATCAGGAGTAAATGATCACTTGCCAGTAAGCCTTTGAGTAGCCAGATAATTCGCAGCCATATTGATCAGCACCAGCTTGTTCAAGGTTTCCTCAAAAGAGTGGTCCTTCAAGGCTGAGACCAGTTGACTCAGAACTTCATTCTCCAACTCTCCTTGCGTAGAAAATTCGACACCCTTATAAAATCTTGCTTGGAGTCTTACGAACCAAATGACCAGAGCGGACTCAACGGGTGCTGGGCGACGTTTACTCTGTCTTTCCTTCTCCCAAGTAGTAGATATTTTTTTGTACTCAATAGCCAAGTTTCCACGAGCCAACGTATGGGGTTCTTTGACAGCAACTGCGCGTAATAGATGGTACAATGCGTCGAGATGGCTGCCATCAGCGAGAGCAATGACTGCCATTTGGTTGTGGGCATTGCCAGAATCAGGATAAAGAGCTTCGGCTAGATGATAGTATCCTAGGGCGGGGTCCCAGCTGCGTTCCTTGATTCTTAAGTCATTTCGATATCTACTCAAGTCTCCGAGGCGAAGTAATGTGAAGTGGCAGGACAGCTTAAGAAGATGTTCAAGAGTTTTGCTGACTTTGATCGGCTTGTCCACGGACAGCGGGCTCAGAGAAAGGCGATTTGCGATACGTTGCAACGCAGGAAGAGGGCCAAAGTGAGAAGCAACACGCTGAATATATCCCTTGTAGAAATACTGGCTCTCCTTGAGAAAATCGACATAGTGTTTCTCCAACTTTCGGCGCTCCACAGCACGGCGTTTCTGATCTGCGGAACGGTAATGAGCTGCAAACTTTCGATATCGAGAATTGATTAGACTGTGCGAGTCCCAAAGACGATGTTGTACGCGCTGCTTAGTAGCATATTCGAAGTCGCCAAAGATAACCGCTTCACAAGCAATGCGCAACCTAAAATGATTAACCGGTGCGATAAAGACAAGAGTGCGTTAACGAACTGTGTGAGAAGATGTTGAATATCTTCAAATGTAGGAGAATCCTTGTTTAATTGCAATTGTAACTCCTTCTCGATCTTTTGTGCAACGCTGAGAGATTGCAAGTTAGTGTGAATTGGCATGGTAGTGCGACCGGGATATCAGGAACTCACAGCCAATTTTGTTGAATGGAAGAATTATCCATAGCTAAAGTTCCTTGGGAGATTGCAAAGGATCCCAAGGTGGACTTATTGTTAAGTTGATTTTTGTCTTCCTACACCAGAATAAAAGTTGTAGGAGTTGGCCATGGAGTCTGGTGGGAAAATAAATGTGAGGGAAGGTCACAAATTGAGGCTCGGGGGAAATTTGCAAAAAAAATCAAGGTGAATCCAGATTTAATCAAATTAATTCACTATCAAATAATCGCTTCAAGGGATTAAGCAAGACTGGTATGGCAAAAAGACTTTATGGTCTTTCTGGGCCTTATGCTTATGAGAATACATGAGGGAGATGAAGGGAGGGGGAAGGAAACCGATGATGAATTATAATCGAAGTGATGTTTCTCTAATACCCTTGGTTTTTTAGTCAAGTTCGCCCATCACTAGTACAGATGCAATTTTCTGCCAATTACACCGCCATTTTCTCTTGATGTCAAAAATGGAGCACGTGCTGAGCTAAGTAAGGTTATTGTACAGAGTACTTTTATAGCATGGTATTTTCACCTAAATGCTACAGGTAGCCACAACAGCATGAATACACTTGTTCTCACAGAATGAACACACCGGCTGTCACAGAATAAATGCACTTGTTCATCAGAAAATAACAATAATGTGTACAGAGACCTAGGAAACGCGACTCTCAGCTCCCAAGTTCCGGTTCCTACGCTCACTTGCTTCTGTCGACTAGGTTCGATATTTGTGCTATAAGTGAGGACCCTATCAGTCATCGAAGGTAAAGAAGGAAGTCAGAAGCAAAAGGAAAACTATTTTTTCAATAATAGAGTAATTCCCCCGCATCTTATCTTTCCTTTTATTTCCTTTCATCTTGTTATACCATGACAAAACGTTTAAGAGATGAAGAGTTTGATGATCCTTCTTCTCCAGATCCGGAGATCACAGAGAGCCTCAATAAATCGGTAGCACAGGAAACAAAATCTACCTCAATTTCTACACCTTCAGCCTCCTCCAAAATTGTCCACCTTGAGCAGGAGAGCGGCGAAAGCCCGTCAATAATGCGGTGCTCTTTGCCAGGTCATCAGCGGTCTTTATCCTTCCTTTCATACGATGAATATGAAGTACACTACAAGAAGTCTCACATGAACCGATGTTTGGAGTGTCGCAAGAACTTTCCTTCGGAACACTTTCTTAACCTTCACATCGAGGAAAACCATGATGCGTTGGTTAGTGTCAGAAAGGATAGAGGAGAAAAGATCGTAAGAGAACCCTTGAGCGTGTCTAGTTTATATCTACTAATTCTCAAGTAGTATTCTTGTTTTGTTGAAGACTGTGATAGAAAGTGCTCAACTCCTCAAAAGAGACGTATGCATCTCATCGACAAACACATGTTCCCTCAGCAGTATGACTTCTTCGTTGTGAATGACGGCATTGATCACAAAAGCTCTATGCTCAGATCAGGACGCCATGGACATCGAAGACATAGCTCAGCAGTACAAATGAAACCTGAAGAAGTTAAGCAACGCGCGGCCACTGCTGAGCTTACTTCGAGCAAGCACGGTACTGAAGGAGAGGAGTTTGCTAGTAGACCCAATGACGCCTCGGCGCTGAAAGAGAATGATGGCATGGAAGGATTAGAGACTTCAGTGCCAGTTCTCAAGCAAGAAGATGATCAAATGAAGGGTCTAGAAACAGCCATGTCAGCATTGAGATTTGTTCCGACCAGTGTCAGGTTTGGAAGAGGGCGTGGAAGGGGAAGGGGATTTAGCAGGGCCTGATATGACCTGGGCTAACGATTTTATGATGTTACGAAAGAATCTATGTTAGCACATGAGCACTTGTTGTATTTTACGCAACTCGTGACTATGTAGCATGTGAGACTTTTATGATGAACGAGCAATGGATTCCATAGCTATGGCTACAGTAACACGTAGATGAAGTCAACTACTAAATGAAGTGGGATATATGAATGTCTGATGTCTGAATATCCAATCTTGGTCTTTGTTTATCTTGACTGGGCTAGAAGTTGGTAAAGGGGGATATTGCACAATGCCTCATATCACCACTACATGTCAAGAATATATATCGAGTTCATGATTTGCGAATAAAAAAACAATTCATATTGGGTATCTGTATCCAAAGTATCCTCTATCCAGCTCCGAAACTCCAAAACCATTATTTACAATGCCCATGCTCATCTTGTCGCTTCAAAATATACTCATGCGGGCTCCCCAGCTATCCCCTCTTGGGTTTATTGTAATCTGATAAGGAAACGGGTTTGCTTCGTTCGTAGTAATAGGCGGAATATGATCTTTCTCCATGTTAACCGTTGTCACGATCTTCATTGCCGCTTTCAGTAACATAGCTTCCATCGCACTTCTGACCTTTGCTCGTTCTGTAGGGCACAGTGTGAGCCAGCCATAGGCATACTATAGATCATTCGAAAACCTTACCACTTTCTGTTCGCGGAGTCGCTAACGTAACATCCAAAGTCCACTGTTCCCAGCATACCTCTTCCTCCTTTTTATCCAAGTCAGCATTGAAGTATTTGGGATAGAAAGAATACGATCCGGATCATCGGAATTGTACTCCAGACTCAACATACTCCTTTCGTAAACCAAGCCTTCCTTCGTTTTTTCTCAAAGAATTGAACAGCCATCTGTCCTCTCACACCGGTATTTCTCGCGCCGAGATCTGAGTTGGTGTCCAATTGCCGCACCAGAGCAGCGGTCCTCTGATCGATAAGTGTTTCAATTTCAACATTCTCCATGTATGGCAGAGTCATGTCGAGGACATCGCGGGTCTTTGGTCTAATAGAAGGGAAGAAACGATGGAAAAAAATGGTATGTAGAATGCCTATATAGGAGTCAAGTTAGCAGGCGCATGGATAATGGCATGTTATGTTATGCCGATGCTGATGATGTCAATGAAACACAGTCGCTGCTTGCCTCTAATGACCTCTCTCACTGAACTTGGGTCAGCAAACACCTCAATAATATATTCCGGTGGTCTACGCTGATCCATTGTCAGTATTCAATCTTCTCATTTGTGTTTGATGTGTTTTGCTGTTTTCAGAGTTTAGTCGTGCACTTTGAAAGCTTTGGTCTTTGTGCATTCACATGGAGGGGTAGGAAGTTATGCAATAGATGCAATAGTGTAAAACTAGATTCATTATCCTTGAGTCGGACCTGCGAAACCACCGCCGACTTGTGGAGTTTGGTTGTGGCTGGTAATTCAACATCCTCGGCCGCAAGACAACAAAGGGACTGGAGCTTTCTCTGGGCCTTGACGGAAACTTTGATAAATCTTATCATTCAACATTCAACATTGAACATTCAATCCTGTTTTATTTTATCTCATTTTCATTTTCAACCTTTCGAATAATTGTTTTTCTTAACGTTATGTGATTGTGGTCTCATTCTTTTTCTGGAAAAGAAACAGAATCATGAATTCCATCCGCAAATGGGCAAGGAGAAATAGAACTCCCCTTGCGATTGGATTTGGAGTTATTGGTGTAGGCTATGTTGCGTCTCAATATGTCTTGGGAAAGATTTCGGATGCTCGACAACGCATGAGTAGTGATCGTATAGCTCGAGAGAAGTATGTCCAGTGTCCACTGAGATGAGATAATGAGCTCATGCTTATACACCTACTCCTAGTCTACGCCGTCGATTTGAACAAAACCAGGAAGATTGCACCTACACTGTCTTAGCCCTCCTCCCCACAGCCACCGAGAACATTCTTGCAGAATTGAAAACCGAGAGGATCACGGATGAGTTGCAGCAGCAGAAGGCTGCGAAGCAGGCACGAAATGGAGAAAGTCGTCGATCAGATTGGGGTTCCAGTCCTCCGAGCATTACCGACGATGATGGTAGAAGTATGGCGAGTTTCAGTGATAGTGGAATGCATATAAGTCAACTCGGGATACCTTCAGGATTAGAATTAGGTATAGATGGAGCGCAAGATGGAGGGCAACAAGGAGAACAGCAAGTACAGAGGGTTAAAAGGTCGAAGATGCAGTTGTGGAACGATCTCAAAATTAGTTGTGAGCTAATTGAGTCCATCTTTCCATCCATTGCTAACATGTACTAGCTATCACACGATCATTCACTTTGATATATACGCTCTCTCTTCTCACACTCCTCACGCGAATACAGCTCAATCTCCTAGGGCGTCGCAGTTACCTTTCGAGTGTAGTCACTTTGGCTACTGGTGGCGTGGAGCAGTCGACGATTAATTTGGAGAACCACGATGATGATAATTCAGAGCAAGCATATGGAAACGATTTCGAAACGAATAGACGATATCTGACATTCAGTTGGTGGCTACTTCATAGAGGGTGGAGGGATGTTATGTATAAGGTCGAAGCTGCAGTGAAAGAAGTATTCAGGGATACTTCTATCAGAGAAGAGCTTACCATGGCCAAGTTCTCTGAGTTGACGCTCGAGGTTCGTAAAAAGGTAGAAGGAGCCACTCCCGAAGACAGACAGGCGACTCGATGGTTGCAGTACCTTCTGCCACCAAGGGACCAAGAAGATTTTGTCATCAAAGAATCTGGCATGAAAACTATGGAGCCTGAGACCCCTTCATCCTCCCCTGTGTCGCCTCTGAGACGACTACTTGATGAAACTTCGGACCTTATCGACTCTCCACCGTTCTCACATGTCCTCACTATGCTTCTCGATGCTGGCTTCTCAACTCTTGTTGAACAAAAGATAGCACAGCAAAGTTTCAAGATTCCTTCTCAACCAGATGATACTCGTTTTACGGAAGTTGTTGAGCCAAAGCCGGTAAAACTTCCATTAATATTGGCTGTTCTCACTAGACAGGCACATTCTATAGGCAACGGTGTGCCTAATGAATATCTTCAAGCCATGGAGCAGGTTAGGGAGTTGGAAGCTTTTGCTGCTGTGGTTTACTCCAGTCACGAGAACGAGATCAACCCAGTCGATGACTTTGGAAGTGCTATATTAGTGCCGAAGAATGGCTTGGGCGAGTCCGAGATAACTGCCGTGGCTTCTAATGGCCAAGATAGCCTCATAGATGTGGGGATCGCAAGCAGATTTGAAAGTGCATGGGGGAAAGCGGTAGAGCCCGCGGACAGGGCGACATAATTGTAGATTGTATGTCGATGACGTTTATACAGACTCGAAAGAATATTTGGAATATGGGAATCATTACCGGGCAAGGTTGCGGGAAATTTGTTAAGGCGAGGCAGAAATGAGTTATGTAAAAGATACCAAAATAATGGCATAATTTTATCATCCTTTTAGTTTACCCATGAGGCATATCATCTGCACTGTCTAACTTGGCTTCCGTTTGACATGTATGCCATGATCGTGGTCCGAAATGCCGGACATTCTAGTGTAGAAGACCAATAAACTGCCACACTAATTTGTACAACATCCATACTGAGATTTGGTTTCCCTAAAACTGGATGTATTCGTGATTTCATACGGGGTCGTTTGCCAACTCCCGGTTCTATGAGTGTCCCCTTTAACCTCGACTCCAATGTCCCCGAACGCCTCTGCCTGCTACTATGTCTTGTTGCATTACCGTTCATATTAACTTATAAACGAAATAGAATCTACCGTGTGTAAATCATCAGGCTCTAACGGGTATTGGACTTCAAAGAACGCCTTTGACGAATTGATCGAGCGCCAGCTCGAAGAGCTCGTTCGCAACACCTTCCCCTCCAGGGTGTTCGACAGGGGATAAAGGATTCTTGACAACTGCAGACCATCAGTACATACGCAAGGATATCATTGGGGAGCAGCCATACCAAATTCCACATACAGATTGACATAAATCTGATGTAGCACCTGCCTCATAGTAGGAGTTTGCGTGTCCGTAAGCATCACGAACTTGATATTCGTTGGTGTCTCGTAATAATGTAACTTGTACTGTCCAGTTCGAAAGGCTATGAAGCTATCATCGGGTCCTCCCAACTTCCTCACCATGTTCCGCAGCGAGAATATAGTTCCAAATATCAATTTCGCATCATCTTGCGCACTCAACTTCCCTGGGCGACTCTTCGGGGCAGCAAGTTCTGGCGCACTGATGGGAGGTACGGCGCTGGAGTTGCTGGAGCCGGAGATGGGTCGCGCGGTTGCGGTGGTGGTCGAGATGGGTCGCTCATTATTGCGGTGCCAGAGTTTGGAATAGATGCATTCGGCTGGGGCATGTGGTCAATGTTTGATTGGAAATCTGAAGATGTGTAATGACTTACTGTGCCTATCGAATATGTAAAAGGAATAGACAACCATATTGAGAACGAATGCAATGTATGTACCTAGTCTAAAGTACTATATGTTTTGCTGATAATCCCCTTGAAAATACTCTCAGCCTTAAGTTATTAATGGCAAGGCTTTGTATGTCCTATGTACGGGTCGGTGAATACTCCGTAATAGGCTTTAATTTAGTAACCAGTTTCACAATTTCAATGAGATAGTGCATGCTAAATGCACGCTAACTTTAAGCTTTCATCAAGGGGCTGGCCGATCCCTGGGATTTTCGGGATAAGGCTTGCTTAGCTCGATAAAAGCTTCTCATTCGTCAGAATTATTTATGATAGCCTCACCATTCTACGAGTATCTTACCCTTTCTTCCCCAAATATTTGTCTCTTTGTCTTTCATTCTCCCAACCTTCACGATAGCTGGCCTTGAGATATGAAGGGAAATATTTAACTATTTACAAAAATGTCTTCATTCGCTGGCGATTGTGAACAACCAGGTCATCCAGGTGACATTACTCAGAAAGAGGCTGATGCGGGCATTCTTCCTTCTCATGGTGTGTGAAACTTTTCAATTGTCCACCATAACCACAAGAAATTCCTCAAAGTGTGAGCTAAATCAACAAATACATAGGCATTTCACTTGATATACCAGGTGGACTAGTTGATGGTCGCCCGCCTATGGTACAATATCTGTAAATGATCCCAAAAATACCCCTCCTTTTCTTTATCTCCCGCTAATTGATCTTCGAGGTCCGCCCCCGCATATCAAAGCCCTCTCCGACATCACCGTCGCAGTGCTTCTGTGCACCGAGAAGTAAAGGTTCGCTAGAAATCGCTATCCGCAGTAGATATATACTGATTGCATAAAGGAAACGCTTGATGCAAGATCCGAGTACATGAACAATGAACAAGATGGCAGGGCTGAACATCACATTAACCAATATATTATTAAGGACGAAATTGGGAGAGGATCTTTTGGAGCTGTTCATTTAGCTGTGGATCAGTATGGAAGCGAATTTGTAAGGGCTTCTGTCCTAAGCCATTGACTATTGGTTTAATATTGGGTACATAGGCAGTCAAAGAGTTCTCAAAATCAAGGTTACGGAAAAGAGCTCAATCGAATATCCTTCGAAGACCGCATTATGTGAGGCGACCAGGACATCTCGCAGCGGGAAGCGGACTCAACTCTCCTCTGCATCGCCACTCGGCCTCTGACATTCACATCGGTGAACAACAAGGGAATCCTTTGTATTTGATAAAAGAGGAGATCGCCATCATGAAGAAATTGAATCACCCAAACCTTGTCAGTTTGATAGAGGTGTTGGATGACCCGGAGGAAGATTCACTTTACATGGTTCTGGAGATGTGTAAGAAAGGAGTCGTTATGAAGGTCGGGCTTGGAGAAAAAGCAGATCCATATGACATTGAAAGTTGCAGATGCTGGTTTAGAGATCTAATACTTGGCATTGAATATCGTGGGTACTTTTAGGATTTCTGTATTAACTTAGGCTGACATCATGGAGTTCATGCTCAAGGCGTCGTGCACCGGGACATCAAGCCAGATAATTTACTTTTGACCGAGGACGATGTGCTGAAAGTTGTGGATTTTGGAGTTTCGGAGATGTTCGAGAAAGCTTCAGACATGATGACGGCCAAATCTACAGGATCTCCGGCTTTCCTGCCGCCGGAGTTATGTATCACGAAGCATGGTGATGTCTCCGGAAGAGCGGCTGATATCTGGTCCATGGGAGTCTCCCTATATTGTCTGCGCTTCGGTCATATACCTTTCGAGAAAACCGGAGTTCTTGAATTGTACGAAGCAATCAAGAACGATGAACTTGAATACGAGCCAAATATTGACCCTCATTTTCTCGATTTAATGAGAAAACTTCTCGAGAAAGATCCTAAAAAACGAATCACCATGGACGAAATCCGTGTATGCTTCCCCTAAATTTTTTATATCCGAAATTGGCTGACACCTAGCAGGAGCACCCTTGGGTAACCAATAATGGAAGCGATCCCTTGCTATCAAAGGAGGACAATATAGCAACCTTAGTTGAGCCGCCAAGTGAAACTGAGGTCAATCATGCAATAACCACTAAAATGAGAGGGCTTCTCGTAGTTATGAAAGCCGTGAAGAAATTCAAGGCAAAGTTAGAGCAGAGAAGACCTCATGCCATATCCGAGACTTTAGGCAAAGGTATTCGTGTTCTGCATCCGTCATTGGGGATGGGCGAGCAAAATGAATCGGCGCTTCATAGGTCTAAAAGCTCAGATCTTGAGGATAGACGCATAATCGAGGGGGCGCTTGCTGCTGAGGGTGTCCACCATGATGGCACATATCCGTCAGCTGATGGTACCCGAACTATAGCAAGTCGGATGGACTCTTCTAGTACGATTGTAGCGGATGAGGAGCCTATAGGCAAAATATACTCACATCAGAAGATTGAAAAATCTGATTCATCTGATTCAATAGCAAGACATCTGGGTCTTCGGGAACAGCACTCTGGTGACAAGGGACATGCTCATGATCCTTTGGATGAACAGCCTCTATATTTAGGAATTGGAGCGGGGGTTAGTGGGAACGATTCTCTGGACGCGCCAGCTGAAGAATTGATTGCTGAGTCTCCGACAGCAGCAGAGTTCAGCATTTATGACACCGCTTACCAACAAGAGGTCGAACGGATTCGTGCTGCCAAAGGACAGGCCACCACAGTCTATTTGACCCGACGAGTAGATCATAAGAAGGAATATAAAGCGGATCGCTACATGATCAATCTTCCAAATCATGCAGAAATGAAAGGCCGGATCCAAGAAGGATGGAAAGGCCTCGTGGATCGCGCCCAGGAAAGCAAGAATGAACTTTCCCTCCATGAGAAACTCACTGAGGGTCATCAAGCATTCTCGGACCTTGTTTCCAAGGCGGTGGAGAATACAAGAAATATGGGAAGAGATATCAGTGAGAGGGGTGGGACTACATTTGAAAGTGTAGTGCATGGAGCCATGGAAAAGCGAAAGGAGAAAGTTGAGGAGCAGGAGAAAGATGAAGGAAAGAAACCGTGATAGAAATGGCCCAGTGACAGCATTGATGCAGCAGGCGTTTCACTTCCGCGATGACTTGGCAGCCTGCATTGATTGAACGATTCTTGAATACCATAATTACTGCAACGTAAGATAGCTGTTTTTATTGTAGCTACCTAGCTATGGACTTGCATATTGCATTGGGCTTCTCAAACAGTTAGTTTATAAGCCTTCCGATGCGTTTGCTCGGTCATGCACATATCAAACTATATATCTAGTATACTCCTCAATTTCCATTTTCCCAGTGAGAATTGACTCATCTTCTCGCTCAATATCTACATATCGCCCAGCTTTGCGGGAGTCCGAGGCGGAGTGCTATTGTGAGTAATAACATGGAGTCGATGTGGACTTATATATAATCTTGCCTAATTCACGCCTTGAGACTCAGAGTTAGGTTATTATTGTTGCGTATTAGTGGGAGGATTAGCTTCACTGTCCATTTTTGAATATTCTGACAACTTGGCTGGGTGGTTTGGATATGATTTCTCTCTTCTCATTATCTAAGTACTATCTGACCATTTCTCCCTCATATGCAAATGCAAAATATGCATGTAGATTTACCCTCAAAAGTGTATCTTCCATAATGCGAGCCGTGGGCCCGGACACTCTCTCCATTTCCCTAGAACAAACATCGGCAGCTGAACATCTGGAGCTTTTGGGACTCGTGCCAAGATGCCTCGACTATCTCTCATCTAGAAAGACCGCAAAATAACAATGCTGTGCTCAAAGGATTCTTTAGAGCACCCATGTGTTTGTCCTCCGTGATGTAATTAATAATTACGAGGGGCCTCAATAAAATCTTAGTTTTCTTTCATACTGCCCGCCTCAGCCATAGCATTTGACTCCCCAACCATGCACCTATTTCATTCTGAATATTTCCTTCCTTTATGTCCTACCCATGAATATCCTGAACGCCAAATGTCAAATCCCAAATGCTGGTATCATCAAAGTAGCAGAGTATATAATACTCATCGAATTGCGCTCCTCCTCCGCCACCCGGCGTGAATGTTTCCCAAATCTCTCCATGATCCTTGAATATCGTCGGTTCTCTGGTCATCATCACTCAAGCAAATAGTACATATCACTCCCTTTGGATGAAGGCGGAGTGGGTCTCGCTTTGTGCATTTCTCCCAGAAACGCAAATGCAGTGAGCATCGGCGAATAAGTGCAAGGAAGCTCCCGGCCTAATCGCTCGAAGCACAGCCTCTGCATCCGCAACTAACGCACTGAATCTCCTGGTCCTCCTTCAAATCCGCTTTCGGAACCCGGCATATACAGGTAGAGTTGAAGTTTGTCTCTTTCGTTTGAACGCACTTAAGACAACATAACTATATCATATTCTCATTAGTAAATCACTCAAGCATTCATCTACCATCTCATTCCTAAGGAATAAATTAACACACCTTCTCATATCCTTCTTTCTTCCACTTCGCCACGAGCGTCGCATCACACTGGCCATTCTTGACACACCAATCATACAATGCCTTGCTAATCTTCTCTTCGCAATACATATCCCAAACGTATCTACTCCGCTGATGATTTATCTGTGTGATTTCCCAGGTGGCTTGGTGACGGGGACCGGTAGATGGTGGAGCCGCAATGGCATCCTTCATTTTGTTGCTGTAGACTAGAAGGGAATCTTCGATGTCACTGTAGCCTTGGGGAGGAGCTTTGCGCTTGGAGGAGTGGCGGATGGCGGGCATAATTGCGGTTTTTATGTCGTAGTTGTTCTAGTTGTTAGGATGAGGAAGTTTTTTATGTATTGTTGTTGGACTGTCTTTGTGTCGAAAATGAGATTGTAGTTGTAATGAGCATCAAAGTATATCACTTTGTAGGCGGGGAAAGCAAGCAAGCTCTCGAAAATTAATTCGTCAGCCTCGAGCTCCGGGCTTAAAATTTAAGGTTCGCCGCATTCACGTGATGTATTTGGATCAGGCCGCTTCTGTTGAACCTCATCTTCTGAGGTCTGGTTTGAAGGGAAGAGACCACAAGGAATCAGCGACAATGGTTATTAATCCTACTTATCTTGCGCAGCGGACGCGCCAGTGTAAGCACCGTTTAATACTCTTTGAGTTATGATACTATGAATTTGGAAGAGAAGAGAAGCTAATTGGTGTGGTAGCCGTCAACTGGACTGATGCGAAATCAAGGGTATTGAAGAGTTACAGAGAATGGATCCGTGCTGTATGTCTGCTCTGTATCTGTGGGCAGGATTAGAAGAAGTGGCGGATATTTAGGGAGTAGGGAAACTAATGGGTGTTGATGTAGGCTCCGGAAATCCAAACGATGTACTCGCTCGGAATTCCTGTTTCACAGTTGAGGACGAAGATGCGGTCGGAGTTCGAAAGGCATAGATATGTGAATCAAATCCAGACGGTTGATAAGTTGTTATATGAGAGCCATGCAGAATTTCAGGTACGTTGCACATATCAGAGAGGCTATAACTGGGAGATGCCGTGGGGCTAGATGGAAGAGGGGTTTCACGTAGTATAGTGCATGATATAGTGAGAGGTCTCGGCATAGGGAAGGATCGCTGGCATCAGCACAGTCTGCAGTCGCAGCTGTCGATTCTTGGATGCATTGGGTTGTACATGGAGTCTGTTTGCTGACTTTGTGCACTAACAGGAGACATTGAATTACTGGAAACAACTTCCTCACATCTTGAAGTATTTCCGACAAGAAGAAGACCCAACTTCGAGACTACCACAAAATTTCATGGCCGGTTTCCTGGAGGTATGTCTGCAATTTGTTCCCGTCTTCAAATCATTCTGACCTCAATCACAGGGACGCAATTAGAAGTTGTTATCTTATTTTTGTCGCTTTGTACATATCCCAATGAACCTCAATTGAACTCCATGAGAACCTCCCCTTTTATACGCCTTGCCATGCCTTTTTATCTAAGATATCATACCCAATATATTACCTGCTTTATGCCTCCATCTTAGAGGCATGCGCCTCCCGTGCCTCTGTGAACTTATCGGCAACCACATCACAAAGGTCTATCAAATCATCTAACCCTTTTCTCAAAGCATCTTCAGCGGAATAATCTATCATACGATTAGCTAATTGGCTCCATGAGATATGGAACGAATGATACTGACCGTATGTTTGAATTCGAACGTTCATTAACTCTTCCGAAGGATGTGGTATTGAATAACCGCAGAATTCGACATCAGGACTGCAATCAATATCATTAACATAAATTAATCTCAACTTTTAGCAGGCAGTTAGGAATTTAACATACTTCTTCATGATAATATATCTCAATGCATTCCCCAGTGTATGATCTTCCTTCTTGAACTCAAAAGAAGCAGCTTTATCCGTCGACCCAGGGAGCTAAATTCCACCAAATTAGTACACTCTCCTATGGAAACGACCCAATATTCCTAGGGAATTTTCTGCGCTCTTACAATACGAAGTCTCTGTTCTTGGAACATCATCGCGGCCGGGTTATGCGGATCTTCGCGCATGAGGATCTCGCCTTCAGACTCTGCGGGTACCTCCTCCATCTGTACATCTTCTGCAGGTATAGATGCAGGTGGCTCCGCTTCCACTTCCTTCCTTCTTGGTGCCATTATTAAGTTGTTTGGGAGATGGTTATCGTGGGTTGGATGGGCGCAAAGGGAACGTCTGATTGTGGAAGAACGGCGAGATTGATAATTTTGATAAATTTTATCAGTATCACGTGTAGATAAGGGATCTTTGGATTTTTTTGGGTTTGGGCCTAAGGCTGTTTATTTTTCTCTATTTTACTCTGTAGGTAGCTAGATGTTACGTCGGATTTTTCTCATCATTGATGGTAGGCAGTTAGAGGTTAAGGGAATATACGGAGTATCGATAGCACTAATTGCTTGATAATCTTGAGGAGGAATAGATTAGTATCTGCATATCTTAGAATTCAAAACTGGTGAATGGTTTTTTCCGAGTATCTTCTACTGAGATTTTACAGCTTGTCAAAAGTTGTATGACGAGCTTTGAGTCCGGCCTCTCGGTGTTTGAAAAATAAAAGGAGCTTTCACTCCTCTTTTTTTAGACATCTCATTGGTCTATCTCGCAGCTCGTCCTCTAGAGGGTTTAGTATTTTATTATTTTTGGAAATTTATAAATATTCATAAAGATTTATTAAAGTTTTTTTTTTAATCAAAATTAAAAAATTATAATTATCAACTTGTCGATATTATAATCTTTGTCACGGACGCTACTAGGTTGCCGCCTAAAGAGCCTAATACGCCTTAACAGGTCATAACCCAGTTTACATAATCTCGGCGGCTTGTTGGCGAAACGTCGAGTCAATAATCTAGAGGAACATTGTGTATATCTTTTATTAACGTTCATGTATCGGATTGTATTCGATCCGAAATTACCTTTACCTCTGCTTATAAAAAGAATGATTTATCTAGTTTAGAAAAGACAATGAAAAGCTTTGAAGCTGTTTTAAGATTAGTTAATTCTTTGCTCTATATAACTCTAACAATCTTGTTATATATAAGATTTACTCAATAAATAATGAAAAATAAAAAACTTATTTAAATAAATTACAATCTTGATAATATGATTGGTTTAGAATACTCTGGTAATACTCTGATAAATACCTTAGTAAATAATTAAACAAAAACTTGATATAAATCTTACAATCTCAAATAAATCTAATTTAAAGTTTTTTTTAATTCAACTTAATTGAAATCATTTAATTATATTAAAATTATTCAATTTTAAAATCATTCAATTCAATTTTATTTATTCAATTTAACTTATTCAATTTATAATTGTTAATTTATTAATATTATAATTTTATTATATATTGTTAAAGATCTTATATAAAAAACGATTATATGATTTTAATTGATTAACAATTTCTATTAATAAGTTGATAGTCTGTATATATCTTTTTCAATTTATTCTTTTTAATATAGTATTATATATTATAGAGTAACAGTCAACCTGTCCACATGAGCTTAGGTCTTATCGAAAAGCAAGGCAATTTGTATATAAATTTATATAGTAATCACCTCCTGTGGTTTTCCCACCCTTAGTAAGCTCGGATATATAATCTGATCGTAGTCATATGATGGATTATAAAATCTAAGAGATTTAAAAAATCATATTCTAGATTTATTAGATCTTTATAATCTGATTGATATAAAGATTTATATAATTAGAAAAGAATTCCTTTTATAAAAGTTTTATATTTAAGATTAATATAACGATCTGGTTGATGCAGCGGCTGTCTCAGGATTTGTATAATTGGTAATTGTAGATTAAGGTTAATAATCATTAGTTATCCACTCGAAGATGAATATATTATTAGATCAATTAGAATATAGATAAACTAATTGATAATTAAATTGAATATAAAGCTTTTAAATTATAAAACTATTTTGATTATATACTAATAAATATAAAAAAGTTTTGTAAAACTTTAAAACTTCAAAAAACTCTTAGAGTTTTAAAAGTTTTTAAAACTTTTAAAACTCTTTATTATATAATTAAGATCAGATTATATATCCAAGTTTGTTAAAGATAAAGAGATTATATAAAATAATTATTATATAAATTTATATATAAATCGTTTTGTTTTTCGATAAGATTTAAATTTATATAGATAAATTGATTATTGTTTTTTAATATATTATAATCTTAATTATAAATTATAATATTATTTCTTTTTTAATTAAATATTATTTCAATTGTTTATAACTTTCTAGATTTCATTTAATAATTAGTATTTTTTCTTTTTTTATATTTTATTTGTTTTTCTTTTTTTGTTATAAATAATTCTGATTCTTTTAATAATTTAATTCGAAGAAAAAGAAAGAAATATATATATTTAATTACAATTATTGATTTTATTGATATTGAAATGATTCTTTGTTTTTATTATTAATAAAAGAATTATTGTTATATTAAAGATCTTTTTGATAAATATTATTTATATTATTTAAAATATATATAAAATTCTGTTTTATATAATATTAAGTTTTGTTTGAAAAATGATTAGAATTATAAAATTCTTCAAGAATATAATATAATGATCTGGTAGAGACAGCGGCTGCCTCAGGTTTTCGTCTGGTTAGTAGTTGTAGATTAAGGCTAATAATCATTAATTATCTATTCGAAGGTGAATATGTTATTAGATCAATTGGAATGTAGATAAATTAATTGATAACTAAATTGAATACGAAGTTTCTAAATTATAAAACTATTCTGATTATATATTAATTCATTTCGGAAGCCTTTAGGAGTTTATACTCTTGAAAGCTTCAAAGAGCTTATAGAAATCTATGTTTTTAAAAACTTTATTATATGATTATGATCAGATTATATATCCAAGTTTGCTAAAGATGAGGAGATTATATAAAGCAATTATTATATAATTTAGTATACAAATTGTTTAGCTTTTCAGGAAGATCTAAGGTTATAAGAATAGATTGATTATTATCTGTAATATTTTATAAAATGATTTTGTGATATTATTCTTTTCTTAGTTAAATATTGTCCTCGATCGCTTATAATTAATATATAACTTATTAATTTTCATCGTTTTATATCTCGATTCTTTTTTTTATTATAAATGATTTATAATTCAACAAAATTCGTCGAAAGAATAAAGAGAAATCCTATTTTATAATTGAAATCAAGAATTCTAATATCAAAATGATTTTATATATTTATTGTTATATAAAGAATCTTTATTATGTAAAAATTCTGAATAATTTATAAAAGATTTGTTATTTCGAATGTATACAATCTTGTACTCTTTATAATACAAAGTAGTATTTGAAAGATGATTATGATAAAGAAGTTTTTCGAATGAATGATTGGAAATCTTTAGATAAACAAAAAGAAAAACTTTGTAAGAAAAAAGAAAAGGTTATAATTAAAATTCTTTATTTTTAGAAACAATAAGATTATTTGTAAAATTATTGTAAAAAGATAATTAAACAAAATCTCAAATATTTTGATGAATTGAATGTTTTGAAAAAGAAGAAAAGAAAAGAAAAAAAGGAAATTATTATATTCTCGATGTTTATTATTAATTCTGATTTTTCTAATTAATTTGATCAATTAAACCCTGATCAATTTAATCGATTTAATCAATTTGATCAATTACTAATTGATTTTATTAATCCCAACGAAATTTTTATAAACGATTTCGATTCTTTTAACTTTTTTTTTACAAAAAATGATGAATTCTTTTTCTTTTTGAATAAATTCGAATTCCATCAACGAAATTCCTAGAACTTCTTCAAATGTTTAATTTCTTTTTTAAATTTCTATATATTTTCAGAATCGAAATAATCTTTTTATTTTATCAAGTATTTGATCTTATTTTTAATATATTTATAATCTAATATTTTTTTTACTTTATATTCAATATCTTGATTTGTAAATATAATTTCTATTTTAAAAGTTTTTGGTACTTTTAGAAATATTAATTCGAATAAAGATATATAGAATATTAAATATATATTTATATTTTTCAATAATATCAATTTATAATTCAAAAATCCTTTAATTTTCTTAATTTTGAATAATTCAAATTTTTTATAATCCAATTTTGTATTAAACCTTTTTGTTTCGATATTCTTTTGAAATAAATAAACTTTATTTTTTTCTTTTAATATTAATTTCTAATTATATTTTCAATTATAATAGTATATATTTCTTTCGACAACAAATTTCAATTTTGTTGTTATTTTTTTATAAACTTCTTTGAATCTTTTTGTTTGTATTATTATAGATTAATTCTTTATTTTTGTAATCTCTGGTTTGCAATATATAATCAATTTGTATTTATAATTGATATAATTCAGAATGATTTGTATTGTTTTTAATATTAAATTGTTATATACGAATTATATTAAAGATAAAAGTTTTATTTAATTGTTTTATTGATAATTTATATAATATTGAAGATAAGTTTCAACAATTTAATTTATTCTTTTGTTTCTTTTATTAATTTATAAATGAAATATAATAAATATTTTTCTTTTTATTTCTAATAATATTATTAAAGCAATCCAAAATTTCAAAGTAAAAAGTTTATTTTTATCAAAAAGTATTTCCTTTAGTAATCTATATATTACAATAATTTCTTTCAAAAATATTGAAATTAATATTTCTATAGTTAATATTATTTAATATAATATAAATATTAAATACTTTGTTAATTTATTCATTATAATAAGAAAATAATTGTATACTACTCTTGTTATTGAATCCTTGGATTTTGGTAATAGATCTATAAAGTTTTATAATATTGATTTCTATAATATAAATAATATTTCGGTAATATTCATCTATTTATAAGGAGTATAACAGGAAACCTTATTTCTAATATAAGTATTATACTCAGTAACTATTTTATTGATTATATTATAAAGTCTCGAACTTTAATATTGTTTTTTGATTCTTAAATATATTCTTTATATTCCTTGGTATCTATAGATTAACAATATATATTGTTTTATAATATATTTAAAAACGATATTATTTAATAATTATATTTTGTTTCTTATTTGAAGCAATTTATCAATAATTATTAATAATTTTAATTATTTAATATCTTTTTTATTTTATTATATTTCTATAAATTTATCCTTTCAAATCTTTGTTAGTTTATTTTCTATAATAACAATCTTTATTAAATTAGAGATAAGATCTTTATTTGATAAGGATTTTAAAATCGCTATTTCTTGATAGGTTTTCTTATCTTTGTAATCTAACAATCTATTCAAATTATTTGTTTTT